GGTCCGTAAACATGTAAAATAAAGAGACACCTCATCAAAGTGTCACCTTAAAGTATGAAAACCAGAGAGAGAGAATGAGAAAGATGCAGAGACAATAATTTGTGTAACTTCTGAATTAAGTTATATTGTAGAGTGAGCATCAGATCCCTTTTGGGGTTTAGTGGCACAACAAGCCCAAATGAGGAACTACACTTTTGGAACAAGCCCCCAAAAATTACAACCCACAATCGCCAAAATTTACAAGAACTTTTCAAAAAACAAGACAGTCTGGTCTTCATGGAAATGCAATCAGACCGAGACGCTAAAGCAGAAGAACTACCGCGTCTGCAGTGCAGAATGATTAATATGATGATTATTACTTCATGGAAATGATAAAGAAATGATCATAAATGTTCTTCCTTGAGGCCTGAGGTCTGGCTACAAACAAGCAGCTGCTGGAAGAGAGTAGGTGAGTTGTGTTTAGTCTCTTTGCTAAAGAAATAAGTCAAAGTTAAAAAGATGTTTGGTGTCTAGTACTATGTCTGTGACCCTATATGTCCTGTTGATGAAGTTAGGTGCTGTTCTGAGCATTATTTGTGGCTATAGAGTGGCGTTTTGGTTGAGGTTCGTTTATGGCTCCTCAGACCGCTGTGTATTGCTATCCTGTGGTCGATACTAAAGTTGGTAAAACTAGAGAAGCAAGCGGTCGGCAACATTCATCCCTCGAGGGGGTGTCTAACTCGGTGTTACAGTGTGTTTGACCCTGACTTAATTTTACGCCGGAATATCCCTTTAAGTAATGCTATTTTAATTGAATAATCCACAAACACTTAGTCTGGGGGACTTAAGCTTATATCCAGTGCCCGTGTTACATTTGATTTCTGATTCGTTTTTATTCCCACTGCCTCTGTTCTACATGTTTTCAGTTTTTTTGGACACTTCTTCCATCACGCCTCTGCAGCAGAAATCAGGATTATGGGTCTCAGAGAAGAAACGTGTCACAGGGGCTCATGTAGATGAAGCTCTGCCAATTCTGATGATCCTAATGTGTTCTGCGTGGTCACCCACTCCCCCTCACACACCCTCACCTCCGTGCCTGGCGCCTCGTCCAGCTGGCTCTCTTCTGCAGGGACCGCTTCCTCTGGCTCAGTCGCGGCGTCGGTTTCAGCTGAAAAGAGTCTGCTGGAATACTCAGAGTCTGCAGACCCTGCTGGCGTGAGAAATGCAGATTATCCCTGTACTGAAACTGGCTCCGGAGCTGCCCGGACCCTGCTGGTGATTAGTTTCCCTGGTGGCTGCAGGCTAGGGGTCTCCGGGTGTCTCGAGGCTTCAGTTTCCTGAAGACACAGACGGGTTTGTAGAGGCATGGAGGCTCTGGTTTGTTTGGCTGTTGGACAGAAAAGAGTTGTGTTGAGATGATTATAAAGTTACATCTATCTATCTTGGACAAAGATTATAAAGTTTTTAGTCGGGAAACCTCGTCTTTCATCAGGGGGCACCAGAGGGAGAAAGGAGTAATGATGTTTCCAGGAGTTTATGACTGACAGGGGCCTTAAAATATTACAACCACTGTGGTAATGAAGCGGTGGAGGCCAAAGGGTAATACTCGTCCTGTCGTCATCATATTCAGGCCTGAAAACAGTCAAACACAACCTCATTCTGAGCTGTAATAAAGAGCCTATCAGTTTCTCATACTTTTCATTTTATACACTATAGTTTATGGATGTGTTTTAACGCTTCAATATACATTTACAACTGAAATTTCAGTTACTCTGTTCTAATATCACTTGGAAATTACATTAACTTTTCCCCTCTGAGGCCTCTGGCGAAAATGACATTTGCGAAGGTAAATCTTTGCAGCTATGAGGCCTGCATGCAGGACTCAAGTTGAGAGGGGATGAGGAGGGATGGCACTCCTCCCTGAAATGAAAATAGTCAAAATCATCTCCCCTTTTACTTAACCCAAGAACACTATCGCTAAAATGAGTAACACCATCACTATCGCCGGGTGATTTTTACCCGAAATAATACACCCAAGAATAAGTACATGTCATCAAAATATATTGAAATAGGACAAAACATGACAAATTAAAATTCTTTTATTTTTAACTGTGTAATGTTCAAATGGAGGATAAAAAGTGCCATGAGGAGACCATATAAAAATGCAACAAAATAACTGAAATTAGGCATTCGTGAACAAAAAAATTCCTAAAAAATATATAGAAACTGTAAAGTTAATTTTCTTTTTCGAGTCTTCCTTAGTGAAGACTCAGAGTCCTTGGAGAGAGAACCAAAATATGGCAGATTTGGAGTAAAAATGACCAGCTGACTCAAATATTTCTTATCACCATATGAATTTCCTTGAAAATCACTACTTTGTGATAGTTACTCATAACCACTGCGCTAAATAAAGACAGCATGTAAATTCCAGGACCACTCTTACTGACCTTATTCCCTACATGCAGCTATAAAATCCACCCAAACCTACTTTACCCTCTATCACTATTGCAGGTTTTGGATCAGGGAAACAAATACGCCTTCAAAGATGTCAAAGGAAATGCTGAAGATACTCAGGGACACGTGATACTCAGACAAACGCAACATTATGAAAATATTGCTGTCAAGCCAGCCGGCACGCAATTTGGAGTGTGCACATGTATTCGAATGCTTACGGTAAATGCATTACTATGGTGCTGTAAATTGACGGGGAGAGCAATAAGAAAATAAAAACCTTTCTGAATTAAGTGGTCCGAGTCACCCGTACTATTGGACAGAGTACTTCTCGGACAACATGTCCTATTAATATCAAATACTTTTACTGTGTACTTTTGCAGTAATCCTATGTCAAAATCTCCCATATCAACTTTAAATATGGGAGATATGGGAGACTTTGACATTTGATTACTGCAAAAGTACACAGTAGAAGTATTTGATAGTAACAGGACATGTTGTCTGAGAAGTACTCTGTCCAAAAGTACAGGTTTATTGAACCACTCACATCAGGAAAGTTGTTTTTATTTTCTTATTGCTCCCCCCGTCAATTTACAGCACTATAGTAATGCGTTTACCGTAAGCATTCGAATACATGTGCACTCCAAATTGAGTGCCGGCCGGCTTGACTGCAGTATGAAAACCACCGAAATGGGTTTGAGTGAGAAATATTACTACTACTTTAACATAAGAAGCATTAACCACCATTTTAACGTTTAGGGGTTGTGAAGGAGCGGCGTCCTCCCAGAGCGTGGACACGCACACCTCCATTCGCGCCAAATTTCCCTCCCCTCCAACTTCTCTATTTACCCACTAAACAGAGATACTTTTAGAGATACCGAGGGTGCACAATTTGAGCTCTATCAGTGAACTTAAACATACATTCACATAAATATTCATCCCTTCACTTACCTGCCGGGTGTCCATTCACACCATCATGCCGGTTCATGTTTCCAAATGAGGAAACAGAGCGCGCGTGATAAATAGGTGGGTATGGCGGGTCAAAGTGGTCAAATGACGCAAGACAAATTAATTCCCCTGTTGTTTACCATGAATCCCTAAAAATTAAAACTCTGTTGTTTTGTGTGGAAACCTGATGAAAATGGTTGAAACTTACAGAAAAAGGGTCTGAAGGTTAAAAATGGTAAAAATGGTTTAAATGTGAATAAATGTTTTTGTTTTTTTCTAAACTTAGGTAATTGAGAACGCCCACTGGGAGGGACTAAGGAGGTTAAAAAAGGCTGCCTGGGCCTTTCTCTGAGTCTGGAGTTTGTTGCATTAACAGTAAAGGTCCTTACACACCGGGAACGTTTTTTCGTGCGATTATTTCAGACATCAATATTTTTTTTCGAACCCGTATCCTGTCAATACAAGCGTTCACATCAGCGATGTTTCGCATACTGCGATATTGCGGGATTTATTTTTTCAGATCATGGTCGATTTTTCTAAAGTTTTGCATACTGTGTGTCCACTTCTGACCAATCAGATTGCGTGTTGTTGCAACGTCAGATTCACTGGTATATCCAACATGGATGACCAGCTGATCGTTTACATGTCGGAGAACAGAGTGCTTTTTGATAAAAGGCACAAACATTACAAAGATAACAACCTGAAGGACAACTTGTAGAGAGTCATAGCGTCAGATTTCTCATATGACGATGGTTTGTGAGCTTTAACAGTTTGATAAACGTCTTTGTTTTAAATCTCATCTGTGCTAATGTAAACCAACAGTTGTTACCATAGTTTCATGTGCTTATCTTATCGCCTCTGATTGGCTATAAGTGCTGACTGTTTGGCTTGAGTGCGTGATGACGGTTCCGGCTTTTCTAGCCAATCAGAGGCGGAGGAGGCGGGACTTTCCCCGGGAAAAGTCTTTCCCTGGATGCGTCTTTTCCTCCCCGGAAAGTCGCAAAATCGCATCGGGCTTGATGTGTATAGTCAGGCACGTCAAAATTCTCCTTTGAATATTTCGTAATTTTGCGTTCTATATTCGCATCAGCCCCGGTGTGTAAGGACCTTACATGTCCATAAGCTTTGCTGGTGGAGGTGAAATTTATGACCTATACTGCAGCCCGTCACCAGAGGGTGATGTTCTCATGGCGGCTTCACCCAGCGAGGAGGCAGACGGCGTCCATTCTATATACAGTCTACAGTCAAATTTATCACTTATTATTTCTAATATTTCATGTGGAAATTGTAAAAACAGTGCCGTCTCTTCACCTACCTCTTGGTACATGTTTCCATCATTAAGAATTGCAATAACATGAAATGGTCAGTCTTGTCATTGATGGGCTTGTTTGGTTTTTGGTTGTCATAAAAAGGCATCACTGTGGAGCTATAAAGTAGCCCTGAGCATTTTATTTACCACCTTTTACCGTGACAATGGGGGAAACTATCACATGAATACCTGAGCTCTAACCCTCCTCCTGTTCTGGATCTCTAGAGTGTCCTCGGCGCCCTCCCACGGTGATCCCCAGAACAGCAGCGGAGTCAGACGTCCCTCCTCCGCGGTGAGAGGCTCCTCTCTCTCCGTTGTACAAGTTCACAGACCCGCTGACTGTCCATGGAGAGTTTACTTTGGCTGTCTAAACACTGGAGTCTCTACATACATGCATTTTTGTTGACTTTGGAGAGACGGAGCTCTGCTAAAGTTTGGATATTTTTAGGCCTTTAAACTTTTCAACTTCGACAACTTTTGGATGATTTGTCGGTTTTGTTTCCTCCACATCCAGACTGAGATTTGTTGATGGCGCGGTCGAACCAAGATGGACTCAGGTTGTCTGCCGGTCGGGGACTAGATAACAGTTTCACCCATTAGTTCTCGATGTAGACCCTCTTGATAACTCGCTGTAAACTTGTTTATTTGTTGGCTGGATGTAACCGGACTGGGTCTTTTCCACCCCGGAGGTCTCATCCTATAATGAACATTTCCTCACTCAAGTTTCGCTAAACTTTTCCCACGACTCGCCATGTCGGGAGTGGTCCGCACCCTGAGCCGCTGCCTGCTCCCGGCCGAAGCCAGCCGAGAGCCGGGCAGCAGCAAGGAGAGGAGCCGGGAGAGGGACGCGGCGCAGGAGCGGGAGGCGAGGCGGAGGAGCCGGGAGATCGACGCGATGATCGCCCGGGAGAGGAGAGCCATCCGCCGGCTGGTGAAGATCCTGCTGCTGGGGGCCGGAGAGAGCGGAAAGTCCACATTTCTCAAACAGATGCGCATCATTACAGGACAAGAGTTCGACAAAAAGGCCCTTTTGGATTTCCGGGACACCATCTATGAGAATATACTGAAGGTAAGAAGAACCAAGTCTGCTGAAATACTGAGGCCCTCAACTTTACAGGGGCCAAAGTTGGAGTCCCCAGATTTCTAGTCTGTTTGTTTGGATGTTACATAAACATACATTACTACAATAAGTCAACTCAGAGAAATGAATCGATTAATTAATTAGATTTCAGATTTATTGGCCAGAACTGGTAGATTAACTAAATTAACCAATTAGAAAGATAATCAAGTCAACTTTATTTATAGAGCACTTTAAAAAACAAAGTTTGAGCCAAAGTGCTTTACAGCAGGAAAGTTTGGAACCAAATGATAAAGTAAAAATATACATATGTACTTTACACTAAGGACAGGATAGCAAAATGGGTAAGAACTTAATTCAGATGAGAAATCAGGTTATTAAACGGCAAGAGAGTAGAAGTGAGTCTTTAGGACTAACTAATCAGTAGCAAATAACATGACCTAGGGTTTAAATCAAGGAAGTAAAAACTGGATTTGTTTTTATGAATAATTTCAAACATTTCAATATAGAATCACTACAAAGAATTCTGCTTTATCTCTAAACTAAGCCGTATTTGATTTGTCAGGGTATATCAGCAAAGATTAATCTTATTCTGCAGTTTATTATTGACATTTTCACCCCATAGTTGAGGCTAACTCAGACACAACCTCCCTCAAACACAAAGAGGTTTGTTGACATTGTACATATTTTTATCCTGAAGTCTGGTGTGTGTGTGTCTGTGCGTGTGTTAATGCATGTCTGTGTGTGTGCAGCCCCTTTGTTTGCTGTCATGGCTGGGCCTCCTTCACCAGCTAACAATACCAGACTATTCCTGAGGGATGAGCACATCCGCCCTGAGTGCCACACAGCCCAGACCAGAATGATAAGAGCTGCACTTCAGCCCAGACAAGGCAGCAGTGTACAATAACCCCCCCCCCAAACCCCCCCAAAATACCAGGATACAGTGGCAGCGCTGTCTCAGGCCCCCCTATACATCCATTTCATCACATCTTTACCTCCAGAGAATAAGCTGATACTCCACACCACCATGTGAGGGGGGAAATAAGAGAGGCAAAAATTACAAGAGATCCCATGACATGCCCACAGTGGGAGATAAAAGGTAGTTTAGCTGTTTTATTATCTGTTTTTAGAAAGGCTGCAGTGTCATTTCATTATCTGAAACAGTAGAACAATGATACTACAGGCCTGTATGCCCCCAAACCAGCCCTCTATCTTATGGGACAATTTCAGACTTTTTAACATCGGGGTTGTGAGTGAAGCTTAAAAAAACAGGATCTCGTGATAATTTGGGAGAATAATCTGAGTCAGTGTCTTTGTGATGTTGTAATCCAAACCAAAACCTAATTAACGTACATATGAGTAAAAACTGGGTTAGGGCGTTATCTCTTTAACCGCTGGACTACATAAATAAAGGTGGAATATTATACTGGTGTCATCTAGGTCTATACCTAATGATTAACCTCTAATGAACCTGCCGGTTAAAGGGATATTCCGGTGTAAAACTAAGTTAGAGTCAAACACACCGTAACAAGAGTTAGACACCTCGTCGAGAGATGAATGTTGCCGACAACTCACCTTCTCTCTTCCAGCAGACGCTTGTTTGTAGCGAGACCTCAGGCCAGTCCATTACAAACTACAGCGGGGTGACGCAGCTCAAGGAAGAACATTTATGATCATTTCTTTATCATTTCCTTGAAGTAATAATCACCATATTGATCATTTTGCACTGCAGACTCGGTAGTTCTTCTGCCTTAGTGTCTCGGTCTGAATGCATTTCCATGAAGAAATGATCATAAATGTTCTTCCTCGAGCTGCGTCACCCCGCTGTAGTCCGTAATGGACTGGCCCGACAAGCGGCTGCTGGAAGAGAGTAGGTAAGTTGTGTTTAGTCTCTTTACTAAAGAAATGAGTCAAAGTTAAAAAGATGTTTGGTGCTAGTACTATGGCTGTGACCCTATATGTCCTGTTGATGAAGTTAGGTGCTGTTCTGAGCATTATTTGTGGCTATAGAGTGGCGTCTTGGTTGAGGTTTGTTTATGGCTCCTCAGACCGCTGTGTATCGCTATCCTGCGGTCGTTACCAAAGTTGGTATAACTAGAGAAGAAAGCGGTCGGCAACATTCATCTCTGAAGGGGGTGTCTAACTCGGATATCCCTTTAAAGCTCCTGTAAGACTTTATCTGGTTATGAATCAGACTCCAAGCATGTGCACCTGCGTTCACCCTGCACCTCAGAGCTGACCCGTCTTGCTGGTCTCTTATCAGTGTCAGTAAACACAGTTTTATGATCGTTTCATAATCATTTCATCATCAAACGTAATGTAGGGCGACACACAGACATCAGTTTGAATGACATAAATATCCTCCGATAAAAAGACTCACTGCTTTTTTTCTGACTCGGTGAGAGAAGCTGTTGGTGAATTATCTTTAACATCATTACCTTTGCTCCTGGAGGATGGTGGAGGTTCAGGCTAACCTGCCAGGTGTCAGAAAATCCCCTCACCACATCCTCCTCTTCTGATCTTAATAACAGAGAAGGAGGAGATTCAACAACACAAAGGGCACATGTAATATAATAAGGAGGATTATGAGGTTAATATCACACAGGTGGAGTTTAGGTGTGGTCCTGCTCTCTAAATCCCAGCTATTAAAGCGGAGGTTGCTCAACAGTGTCTGCTGTGTTGTTTTCAATGTGGGATTACTCATTTCTCTCTGAGTCATTTATGAGTTTATCCCGGAGCCCCAAAATTCAGACTTTATAAGAACATTTAGATCAGTTATTGAAGTCCATGAAGCTCAGCTGATTTCAGCACGTTGTGATAAAAAAGGAACTTTTTCTGCATTTTACAGTTTTTTTTTTATTCCGGCTGTGCAGAGGAGGCTGTTTTCTGTCACCACATGTTCCTCAATTCAAAGAAAAGACCTTGTTATAGAAAGATGTTCTTCCTGTAAAAGGACATTGTAAACTGAGCTTTCAGACTGAAGATATCAGGTTTTTAATGTTGGTCTGATACTGCAGAGGGTCAGGGACAGAAGCCAGTCTGTTCCCCCGTGTAATACTATCTCCAAGTCAATAAAGTCCATCAGACATGCTCACCACAAGATTGGATAGCTTCAGAGAGCCTCTTCTGTCCACACCTCATTGGATGGTTTAAAAAAAAAAATCAATATCTAATTTCCTCATTCTCAAATGTAAACGGCCTCACACTGTGATGGGTTAGAGGAGTTTTCATCTCTGTCTTCTTTAGGAGGGAAAAACTGGCATCAGGATCCCCGTATTTTAACAGCTCCACTTTATTTCCAGACCAGAATCAGACAAACCAGCTCTCCTTTATAACACAGACAGAGGCTGCAGACGTCACACACAGACACAAAAATAACAAACACTGGAGATGTGACATTTTCAAACACAGCTGTGTATAAAGAAACAAGAGGTAACTGACAGAAAACACAGCTTCATGTGTTTTAGTCGCAGAGATGAAAATCAGCTGACAGTCATCCTTTTAATTAGACGATTTTTCATCATATACAGAGATACAAAAAAAACACAAAGACAATAAAATTAGACCACCTGAGCATCTAAAGATGAGATTCATATCATGACAAAAGTCCCTTGTACTAAAAAAACAAAACAGGAAAAAGAAATCTGCATCCTCCTTTTCTGCAACAAAAACTGTTGAGGGAGATAGACAGGACAACCGTTCTCCTAAAGTGAAGCCAAAATATTAAAGCTCCCCCTGGTGGCTGGTTGCAGAATGGATCACAAAGCCTGCCTCATTATATCTCATTATAACAGGGGAGAATATTTAAATCAGAAACATCTATTTTTTTTATTTAAACCGCATAATTTATGCTAAAGAGTCGTGGATATAAACTGTTCTGTGTTCATCCATCACTGATGTTGTATGTTTGGTTTCTATATTTCATAAGTGATTAAGAAAAGTTTCTTCTTTTGTACATTCAACAGTCTAAAGGTCTTCTCACACTGGGGCCGATGCAAATAAAGAACGTGAAATTATGAAATATTCAGATCTAAAGAATAAAACACTGAGAACAGGAGGGAAACAGGGTCAAACTGAAAACTCGGGAAAACACACAGAAAATAAACTCAGACGACCAAAACCAGGAGAAAACCAAAGACCAGAACATATCATGACAGATTCTTCATGAGATAACTGGACGTCTGAGTATGACGAGGTTCAGGAGGAGAGACGAGTCGACAGATGAAGTTCAGGTTTACTCTCAGACTGAAGAGTTGTAGATGATAACACCGGCCCATGTGACTCAGAGCGCGCTCACTGTGACGCTCCGCTCGTACCGCACACACACGCTGCATGTGCGTGTGTCACATTGTGGTTATATGTGTGCGTCTTTGTGTTCAGCGCTCCTGTGGATTCGTCGGTCTTACTCATTCAAACTGCAAAAACAAAGATCAGCCACAAGTCCTAAACCAGGATCAGATACACTTAGTCACACCGCACACACACACAGTCTCACACACACACACACAGACTCACACTAACACACATAGTCGCTGCTTTAGTGAGAATCTTTGAGTTTTCTCTCTCAGAGGTCTCCCAGAATTCATCCTCGTCTCCATGGAGACAGGAGCAGGCCGGGGTTGCAGCTGTTGCTGTTGTTGGTCTGTAGAAACCCTCTGAGTGTGATATTAAGCTGTGCAAATAAACTTGACTGTGACTCACACGCCCTCGCACACACACACACACACAGATACACAGCAGCCTTAACCCACAGTGACCTTTGAAACACTGCGCTGTTGTTTGGATCAATAAATGTAGGAAACACACTCTGTGGATGTTGAACTTTAAGATGCTGTTAAATTCCCGTCAGTGTTAATTATTAAACTCTTCAAATGGAAGAAAAACGCTCCAGTTTGTGGAGAAAAAGAGGATTTTGATGTAAAGCCATGAGGACACACAGCATCAGTTCATCAGAATTACTTAAAGATGTCTGAGTCATTATGTTAGTTTAGTTTTTTAACCTTTACAGGAAAGATTTAACGAGCGAGCTGAACTAAACTAAACGACTGTGGCGAGGAGCTTCCTGTGAAATTAAACTTTAATACAACGTTAGTACATCACTGAAGATTACACAAGATTTCAATCAATCAGACTTTATTCAAAGATCACTTTTCATACAACGATGAAACACATAAAAAGAAAATGAATAATATTAATATTAATAACAAACTGAAAATGAATTTAAAAAACTGAGGGAACACTGGAGGTAAACTAAAAAGTGAAATGTTCAACAGGAGAGTAAAAAAAGAAAAACATTCAAACAGATTCAGTAAATATAAGATGATATCAGATATAAGGTGTAAGAGAACATTTAACATCGATCATTGGTCAGGAAAAGAAATAACATTAAAGAAAGGCGGGTCTAGAGTTTGCTTTTAAAAACATGAAGACTCAGGTCCTCAGGTCCTCAGGTCTTCTAGCGTGCTGAGCCCACATGATCACAACACCGGTGTGAACTAAGATACTAACAAAGCAGAGAGGAGTTGGAGTGATGTCGGTCGTGTGGCGGTATTTTTTGTTGAAGTACAAAAAAGACGTTGCAGCTGAGTATAAAACTTGTCATCCACAAGTTTGTGCCAAGATCAGATCAATATCGGTATCGACTGATACTGAAGGCTAGAATATCGGTATTTATTGAAAGTAAAAAAGTTGAATCGGGACACCCCTAGTCTTCAGGTCCTTAGGTCTTCAGACTTGAGCATCATTCATATCCAGATTCTGTGTCGATGGTGTCAGATAGTCAGTACGATTACAGTTTATTCGACTAAGCTCATAATTTTTTTTTTCGCCCAATCAGACTTCTCTCCTTCTCAGTGTATACATGCAGCTGAGGAAATTGAATCATTGACATGATTGACGTCCCCAAAACTAGGGGGCGATATGGGTCTTTTCAGCAGCGCTAGTTCCGACCCCATTCAACCGTCAACAACAATTCTGATTATAGTTGGACTAAGGTGTTTACATGCTCTTCAGTTGTCCGGTCTGAATCGGAATAAGGCGATAATTTGGTTTTCTTGAGTGTCATGTAAACGTACTGAGTGATTCTGTGATGAGGATGAGGCCTGTTGATGGTCGTCTGTGCACGCTCCTGAAAGTCTGCGCTGGGATCAGTTCATCAGATCAACTGTAGAGATGAAAACCTTGAATCCTTAACCTTCATATCCAGGAGTTCAGACACGGAGCTGTTAGTGCAACGGTGTGACGGTGTGGAGAGCAGCCCATCAGACTTTGTTAGACAAACAGACTCAGAGACAAAGACTCACTTTAAAAAGCCGTCTGTGAAATAAAAGGTCCAGAAAGATCATCAGCCGAATGTGTCCTGATACTTCTTCTCTGATATCACCTTATTGTTACAGCCCACACACAGATGAGCCTGTAATTATAGACTCTCTTCTGTAATTATAGACTCTCTCTCTCATAGATTTCACACATTTCAACCTGAATCCTACAAACTGAAGACTTCATTCTCTCACTGTTATAAATCCTCTTCCTGAGTCTGCTTTTACTCTGTCACAAAGACGAGTTTAGAGAGGATGGAGCTGAATGTCTCAACAACAACAGAGAATATAAAAACATGATCTCTTTTTCTCCTGACTGTCTGTCTGTAAAATGTTTGAGAACAAAGTTTCTGTAGAGAAACGATCCGAGCTCTCACAGATGGTTCATGCGTCAGAAAGAAACTTTAAATGAGTTTAATTAAAACGAGAGAAAGAAAAGGAGGAGACCTCCCACACAGATCAGCCCACATTACTCCAGCAGGCACACACGTGTACGCCAGAGTGTGTGTGTGTGTGTGTGTGTGTGTGTGTGGGTGCGTGCATGTGTGTGTGTGAGACTCCATGTTTACCAGAAAACCTAAACTCTGTGTTGACATTTTTCCCAGGAAGTAGCTCATGCAGTGTAAGTTTTTTCTCTTCCTCTGTGCGGTCAGTGATTTTTGCTGAAGTCGGAGGAGCAGCCGCTGCGCCGCTGCACCACTGCACCACATTCAGACTCATGTGCTCTGCTTTCTCTCTCACTTCCTGCAGGGCATGCGCGTGCTGGTGGATGCTCGGGACAAGCTGGGCATCAGCTGGCAGAGCTGTGAGAACGAGAAGCAGGGCATGCTGGTGATGTCGTGGGAGGGCCGAGTGGGCGGATCGGGGGTGGAGCCCAGTGAGTTTCAGCTGTATGTGATGGCGCTGAGCGCGCTGTGGGCGGACACTGGCATACATGAGGCCTACTCACGGCGCTCCGAGTTCCAGCTGGTGAGTAAAAAAGGTTTTTGATGTTACAGAGGTCTCAGAAAACCACATACACTTAAATGCGGCTTCATTCTGACACCTCCCTATAGATTTAAAGATATAGATGCTAACATCGCTATTTTATGAGCTTGGTTCTATCTCAAAGAATATCCTGAGCCAGGACTTCAATTAACCCGACTTTAACTAAACTGACTTTAATTAACCTGACTTTAACTAACCTGACTTAAACTAACCTGACTTTATCTAACCTGACTTTAACTAACCTGACTTAAACTAACCTGACTTTATCTAACCTGACTTTAACTAACCTGACTTAAACTAACCTGACTTTATCTAACCTGACTTTAACTAAGCTGACTAACTAACCTGACTTTAACTGATCTGACTTTTACTAACCCGATTTTTATTAACCCGACTTAAACTAATCTGACTTTAATTAACCTGACTTTAACTTATCTGACTTTATCTAACCTGACTTTAACAAACCCAACTTTAACCAGCCTGACTTTAATTAACCTGACTTTAACCTATCTGACTTTATCTAACCTGACTTTAACGAACCCAACTTTAACCAGCCTGACTTTAATTAACCTGACTTTAACTAACAATACTTTAACTAACCTGACTAACTAACCTGACCTGAACTGATCTGAATTTAACTAACCTGACTTTTACTAACCTGATTTTTATTAACCCGACTTTACCTAACCTGACTTTAACTAGCCTGAGTTTTACTAACCTGACTTTTACGAACCCGACTTTAACTTGCCTGACTTTAACTACGTTACATAATCAATAAGTTTTACTACTGTCCCAGGTTTACTCAGAATCAGGTTGTCTTTGCTTTGAATCATTAAGACAGATTTTAGGACAGGAAGTGAAACAATCTCAAGGAGGAGAGAGTCAGGAGGGACTGAGGGAGTCGTGGTACAGCCTCATGAGTGACCTTCAGAATGACCTTCAGTATCTCGTTTTATTGTTTGATACCGCTGATGAAAGATGTTAAAAGCGGCTGAGGATTTTAAACCAAAGACGGTTCTGCTGCAGGATTTATGAAGCTTTTAATGAAAGCTTCAGTAAGGTCTCTGTCCAAAGGGGGGCGCCACAATCGACACAAATGAAAAGTTCCTCACTTTAAGGAGACAATATGAACATAAAATGATCATGTAGTGATCTAAGATATCCAGTCACATGAACATGATCAGAACTTTTTACCGCATCAGTCTTCATGGTGAAGCTCTCCTGGGTCCACATGAAAATGTTTGGACTTTATGGAGCAGGAGTCATCACGGCTCACAGATGACTCACTGGAGGACCTGATTCTTCACGGTCCAGACTCTGCAGACACAGATCTTCTCATGAGTGACCCAAACATTCTTTCATCGTGAGTTTCCTTCAACTGTCTCAGTCTCTGCTGTGGACCCAAACGGACCTACCCTCTTTGTTTGAGTCCGGGTGATACCTGATCCACCACAGCTGGAGATCAGACCGGGTCATATCAGAGACGGGATCACAGCTGTGGGACCATTTTAACAGTTTTTGGTCCAGATTATCTGCAGACCTTTGTTTGTTTGGAGACTTTATTTGATGAGAGGCGGGGGTATCATGCTCCAGATCACACCAGGAGTCGAGACTCGGTCCTGTGACCCGTGTGATGAGGACTATCTGTACCAGCTGAGTTCTGGGTCAGCCCGTATTGATGCACACGCATGTTTATCAGCCATAGAAGAAATCAGTGAATGAGTTTGACTTCAAACATGTTCAAGAACTTTCCATGAAATCATGTGAATCATCTTAAAACTGACAAGATGGAAATAAAGAGGAAGCCCGTATGATCAGAACCAGGTTTTTGTGGACCTTCAGGCTTTGCTTTGTACTTCCCCAGCTTGTAAATCAGGATTATATAAAGATCAGGAAGTCTGATTCCTGGCACTGATCAGTGAGCCTTTGGCAAACTCAAGGGATCTCTAGACTCCAGCTCAAGTCCAGCAGATGTTTTTTAACGGGTACTTCCTGCTCCTGAAAGCGGCCATGTTGTAGGGGTGGAGAAATGACAGCAGAGCAGACCCTCCGTTCACACAGAGATGATGAGTCACTCAGTGTGTTTACGTGCACAGTTTAATCGGACTAAGCTCTTAATTCGTCTTTTTTTCTCTAAATCAGACTTCTCTCCTTGTCCGCGTTTACATGCAGCTGAGAAAATTAGATTATTGACGTGAACGTGTCCTCCTCCCCAAAACTAGGGGGCGATATGGGTCTTTTCAGCGGCGCTGTTTCCGACCCCAAACAACCGTCAACAACAACAGCAGGTCGGTGTCAGACGTCAGAAGTGTCTGCAACTGCTGCACGGCATTTTGGAGAAACAAGAAGATGGAGCATCGTACACACGCTACTCCTCTTCTCTGGTGTTTTTGTTCCGGGGTTACGGGGGCGTGGTGCACATGCACATGCATTGTCCAATCATACTCTGACTACGCTGGTTACATAGTAGAGAAAATCGAATTCCAATCGCAGTATCTGTGTGTCTTAATCAGAGTTCTCGTTGGACTAAGGTGTTTACATGCACTTCAGTTGTCCGGTCTTAATCGGAATAAGGCGATAATTCGGTTTTCTCGAGTGTTAAAGCGAGCAAACGTAACAAAACCAACAACAAGCAGGTGAAGACATCAACTCCATAATCACAGTAAGTGTTTAAATGTGTCCTTTTTTCCCTCTTTACTCTCGACTCCCTGAAGAGACACAAACAATCAGCGGTTTGTTGAAGACAGACACTTACTGTGCTTTAAAAAAACATCTGATGAAGAGCAGAGCAGCTGGAGAACCAGAAGGAACTCCACAAGAGTCCACAAACCTGCAGTGAACAGGGACGGGTCCAGCAGGACGTGAATCACGTCTCACAGCAGACTGCTCAGAGCTGTATGTTTGACCTTTGACCTCCTTCTTACACATTTATCAGTGACAGAAGCCACTTTGGTCTCACTTCACAAACTGTAAGTGTGTGTGTGGGACGTCAGAGCACAGCTCCGGGTCAGGGTCTTATCTGGAGTCTCTGTTCAGGAGAGTCATGGTGGTACAGATTCAGGTTTGTCCTGTTTCCAGAACGTTTCCTCAGCACCTCCAAACTTCTTCTTCTTCTTCTTCTTCTTCTTCTTCTTCTTCTTCTTCATCCACACTCCTCCCTCCGAGTTAGAAAGTCTCTTATTGGACAAAGGGGTCAAGACCTGAGTCTAGTTTACGGGTCTACTGCTCGACCTGAAGTCTGGCTTGTGGTTCCATTTCTACACTCTTGACCTGCTTCATTCTGTAGTCGTTTTAGCACCGGTAACCATGGCGATACCAAGCGTATATCGGACTGTATCTTGTTACAGTTGGAGCTTCTCTTCAAACTCCATCTTGTGCGTCTCTTTCCAGGAAACGGCTCGTCGCTCTCGGAGGACTTTTGTTTCATCTCTGGATTTGTGGAAAACAAGAAAAATAAACGGGAAGATCAGCGGCGTCCTTTCAGAGAGAAAAATCAGCGCTGTGGTGTAAATGTGCTGAGTTAGAGATCTCCGCCTCCTCCCCTCTTCCCGCCGCTCTCTGAGAGGTTTTCCGGGGATATCACAGTCAGCTTTTCCCAGGCACGGCTGGAGCGGGGCCATGGGCCGACAGGGAGAGCCAGGAAAGAGAGGGGGGGTAGAAATAAAGCAAAACAGAGAGAGAGAGAGAGAGAGAGAGAGAGAAAGAAAGAGGAAAACGAAGACGAGCAGGGATGATGGAGAAAGTGGAGAGGAAAAACAAACCGAAAGCGAACACATGCAAGAATTTTGTTTACTTGTAGGCTTCTCTGCGTTCCCACCACACCCAGATAACACACAGTTAGATATAGGACACACACACACACACACTAAAAACAGACGTGTGTGTCGTGCTGTGACGGTAAACTGCTGCTGTTGTCTTCATATCCTGAGGAGGAGGAACGAGGGTGCTGTGAGGGGAACTTTGAAGCTACACAAAGATGTAAAGAGGATACGCACACAAACACACACACATACACAAACACACACACACACACACACACACAAATCCAGTGTGTAACTTATCTCTCAGTGTGGACCGAGTGGAAAAATGTTCTGTTCGGTGTTTTCTCGTGTTTGCTCTCAGTGTCTTTTTCCTTTTTCCCGGTTCGTCTTTTGGAGTTTCCTCGTGTTCGTGGTTTATGTTTCTGTGTGTTCTTGACTCAACATCATCTCCAGGGTAATCAAAGACTAACATCCAGACGTCCATGAACCCGTTTGTCACACTTTAATAGTTTTTTTTCGTCTTTTCCGGCACAAAGCACCACTAACTTCTTCACAGTTCGATGATGGTGCTGAAGTTTTCGTGAAATACCGAACGTTTTCAGATCTTGTCCGAGGAGAGCAGAGAGATCTTTTTTCTAAAGTCATTTTCTTTTAATCGGGCTCATCTGACAAACTCATTATCACAGGTGTTTGGGATTGATTTCAGAGATCCAAAGAACCCACTAAAATCCAATTCACATAATAATTTGGAACAGTGTATAACGTGTCATATTTTATATTTATGATTATTATAAACTTAAATTTTCAGAAACGGGCAGAAATGATGCAACAGGAAGAAGAATATGTGCAGCTCCCAAAATGTTGTCATTATCTTAAACACAAAAAGGGACTGTATGTATGAGTGTAAAGGTCCTTACACACCGGGGCCGATGCGAATATAGAACGCGAAATTACGAAATATTTGGAGGTGAATTTTGACGCGCCTGACTAAACACATCAAGCCCGATGCGAACAAAACCGTTTGTAAATCTGTCAAGATTTCAGTGAGTTTCTTTCATATAGATATCTATGGTGTTGATGTTTATGGCTCTGTGGTCCATCGCCATATTGCGTTGTTGCAGAACCAAACCCAGAATTTGAGTTCCACTTATAAAAGTAACATAATAAACAGTGCCTAGCAGTCATGAATTATCTTTATAATTATAAAATTCATGAAAGACAATGAAATAACATTTTTAACAGCATTAACATGACTGTTACCTCCTCAAATGTGTCATTCAGAACCACAGAGGTGTCTCTGTTCTCCAGCAAGAAGCAGGAAGACAGAAGGCCGTCAGGGAGGAGAGACGGCGGGTGATACGAAAAAAAAACATGTTCGCTTAAACGCATCATGATGGACGAAGTCATTTAATAGACTTATTATTGAGAATTAGGGAAGTTAAACAATCATGGCACACCCTGTTACACACGTGGATGTGGCTCATATACACCTGTGGTCTCACACACACACACACACACACACACACACACACACACACACACACACACACACACACACATACATACACACACACTGCAGAGCGTGAGCTTATTCAGGTCTTTGCTGTGATAAAGCCCCTAATCTGCCCATACACGTCATGAATGGAGACATTCCTCCTGCCTTACTCAATTGCACACACCCACCGACACACACACCCACCGACACACACACACACACACACATACACACACAGTAAGCTATAGTTTACTATCAGCATACATAACAAGCGTCTGGGACTCATGTCAGAGAGAGAAAATGAGATTTACGAGTTCTTCAGTTCTGCTGCATCACTCTGTGTGTGTGTGTGTGTGTGTGTGTGTGTGCCAACATGTGTCTGTCTCTGTGTTTGCGTACCCCCCCCTCTCTCTGGGAATTCCCCTCTTTCTACTTTTCCCTCCATCCAGCCCCTCCTCCTCCGGTTCAGGTTCAGCTCCGCTCATCAGAGTCCCCCCCCCCACACTTTGTGTTTCGTATTGCGGGGACTCTGTGGGTCAGCAGCAGGGTCAGGGGTCGGGGGTCAGGGGGTCACAGCTCATCAGCACAGGGGTCTCGTTTCCTGGATGCTGTTGGATGTGTCAGGGCCGACAGATCCAGTCTGAAGTTTTTTATTGAGAGGAACAATGATGTGTGTGTGTGTGTGTGTGTGTGTGTGTGTGTGTGTGTGTGTGTGTGTGTGTGTGTGTGTGTGTGAGTGTGTGTGTGTGTGTGTGTGTGTGTGTGAGTGATGGGAGCACTAAAATAATGACTCTGTATCTGGGTTCTGTCCGACCCGCTAATCCCTCCCTCCCTCCCCCGTGTGTTTCCCTTCTGTTTTCACACACACAGCTGTTTCCTGTTGCATGTGTGTGTGTGTGTGTGTGTGTGTGTATCTGTGTGTGTGTGTGTGTGTGTGTGTGTGTGTGTGTGGGAGGAAGAGAGCGATGTACTTTTATATTCAAACATGAATTAATTAGAATCATGTGAATAAAGGAGAAGTTACTCAGAGCTTGAATCCATGTATGTGGATCACATGTGAGACCAGGTGAAGGTTCGAGTCCTCCTCTGCTGTGATCTCTTGGGTCCTCGTCCTCTGTTGTTGGTTTTTCTGGTTTATAAAAATCAGAGTTGGGAAACTGACTCAGTTTTTTAGACTTCAGACTTCACGTCTACAGGAGAGCGGCTGATTGACTGAAATTATGTGAAATGTGAAAAATAAAATGATTTCAGAAGAACAGCTGTTTCACCTTAAAGTGCCGGTATCCTGCTTTTCCACATTTGCTGCACCGTGTTTCTGTTTTTACTGTTTATTATGTTTAAATAAGAACATACATCTTTTTATTTACATTTTTATTTATTTGGTTTTTATTCCACTTCCACTCCTGAAAGTGCAACATTACTCACCGTGCTGCTATTTTAACCTTAGTTTCTATTGTTTTTATTTTTCTGTATATTAAATTAAACAACGTGAATATAGAACTTGAAATTATGAAATATTTAGAGGTGAATTTGAGGCGCCTGACTATACAAATCAAGCCCGATGCGAAAGTCCCGCCTCCTTCACCTCTAATTGGCTAGAAAAGCTGGAAACGTCATCACACGCTCAAGCCAAACGGTCAGCACTTATCGCTAATCAGAGGCGATAAGATAAGCACATAAAACTATGGTAACAACCGTTAGCTTACGTTAGCACAGATGAAAGTTAAAACAAAGATGTTTAGCAAACTGTTAAAGCACACAAACCATCGTCATATGAGAAATCAGATGCTATGACTCTCCACAAGTCGTCCTTCAGGTCGTTGTCTTTGTAATGTTTGTGTCTTTTATCAAAAATCACTCTGTTCTCTGACACGTAAACAATCAGCTGGTTGGCCATGTTGGCTATACTAGTGAATCTGACGTCGCAACAACATGAAATCTGATTGGTCAGAGGTGGACACACAGAATGGGAAACTTTAGAAAAATCGATCGTGATCCAAAAAAATAAATGCAGCAATATCGCAGGACGGAAAAACGTCGCTGATGTGAAAGCTTGTATTGACAGGATACGGGTTCGAAAAAAAATATTGACGTCCGAAATAATCGCACGATAAAAAGGGTGAAAGGACCTGAAGTCTTCCAACAAAAACTGCAAAGTTTAAACAACATTTGTTTTCATAATCTGAGACAGTCGGTGTAAACTGGTTAAAGAGACAAGTGTCTGTGTGGAGGCTGAAATAATGATACTTTAATTCACCAGACTGAGACTAAAACTCTTCTTCTCTGTTTTCGCTGTTACATCACGGTGAAAACTTGATCTTATTAAGGCGGTTATTTCTTATTTCATGTTGGAAACAGTCCCCTCCCCCGCTCCGCTCACAGTCTTTATTGGATCAGCGTCTCTCTAAACCACCGAGTCGTCCTGATTTGTAGTTTTATCTTCTTCTGTTTGAGCGTTCAGATCACAACATAACTCAGATGATCAACAGCTGGAAACAAACAAACCCAGCGTTTCTGGTCTGATGTGAACTTGTTTTTGTCCGTCAAGACCAGGATGATGGATGTGGGGGAACTCGGCGTTTGGGGGTTGAATCTTTTGTTTTTAAATCTGATGTTAATCTTAAAATTATTAAAGTTTTGTTTGTTTTTTAGTTTCTTAGCAGTGGAAACAGGACAGGGACTTATGATCACCTCAAAGAGGGGTGTGGATGAGGGGTAGACCTGCATGAGGGTCTCCAGGTAAACAGGGTCAGTTCTGGTCACTTCTTTATAAACATGAGTTTGTGCAGTGTGAGAGGAGCTGTTGGGAGAGTGGGAGGGGACGATTCGGAACTACGGGAGAGTACAAGCGAGGTGATTGGATGGAGAGGCGGAGCCGGAGCTATCCGGGAAGGATGGCGCCTTTTGGTCATTGTGTTTGCAGCCCTGCAGCTGCTTGGATGAACAGATTTTTTTCATTCTGTTTTCACTTTGTGGAGATCGTACTATAGGACCATGATCGCCATAGAAACAAGGTTCATAAAAACTGCCAATCTCTACCATGACTTTAAATCAACTTGTGATGTATTACTAATGTAAAGTAGTGAAGCTTGAGCGTCTGTTAATCGATAGTTTTTGTGTTGTAAATCAGAGACATGTCCAAAAATCAAACCCAGAGATGTTTGTTTTTGTCGAGGATTCAAAGGAAAAAAGGAAAAAAGGTTTTGCCTTCAGTCCTTCAAAGTTTCTGCTCTTTGTTGGTGACGGGGGAAAAACCAGAGCTGGATGTTGATTAAATCAATAACCACAGTATGAAATGTGATTTAGTAGATGAAACACAACAAATGAGATTCTTCTTAAATCAAATCAACGGCTCTGATCTGATTATTCGAGACATCATCTTTCTGTGAATAATCAGACTCAGTTATGTATCTGTGCTGAATGTCCTCTCTTTCTGTCTGCAGAGTGAGTCGGTGAAATACTTCCTGGATAACTTGGATCGGATCGGTCAGCTGGTGAGTCGCAGTGATGCCTTGAGGGGGTATTCTTTCGTAAAATTAATTTAGGGTCAAACACACCGTAACGCCGAATGAGACACCCCCCTCCAGAGATGAATGTTGGCGACTGCTTACTTTTCTAGTTATACCAACTTACGTAACGACCGCAGGATAGCAATACACAGCGGTCTGAGGAGCCATAAACAAACCTGAACCAAAACACCACTCTATAGCCACAAATAATGCTCAGAACAGCACCTAACTTCATCAACAGGACATATAGGGTCACAGCCACCAAACATCTTTTTAACTTTGACTAATTTCTTTAGCAAAGAGACTAAACACAACTCACCGACTCTCTTCCAGCAGCCACTTGTTGGGCCAGCCCATTAGGGACTACAGCGGGGGGTGACACAGCTAAAGGAAGATCATTTATGATCATTTCTTCATGGAAATACAATCAGACCGAGACGCTAAGGCAGAAGTCTGCCTTGATTATTACTTCAAGGAAAATGATACAGAAATGATCATAAATGTTCTTCCTTGAGCTGCGTCACCCCGCTGTAGTCTGTAATGGACTGGCCTGAGGTCTCGCTACAAACAAGTGGCTGCTGGAAGAGAGCAGGTGAGTTGTGTTTAGTCTCTTTGCTAAAGAAATGAGTCAAAGTTAAAAAGATGTTTGGTGTCTAGTACTATGTCTGTGACCCTATATGTCCTGTTGATGAAGTTAGGCGCTGTTCTGAGCATTATTTGTGGCTATAGAGTGGCGTTTTGGTTGAGGTTTGTTTATGACTCCTCAGACCGCTGTGTATTGCTATCCTGCAGTCGTTAGCAAACAAGTGGTCGGCAACATTCATCTCTGGAGGGGGTGTCTAACTCGGTGTTACGGTGTGTTTGACCCTAAATTAATTTTACGCCGGAATATCCCTTTAAATCTACAGACTTTCTTTATCTCTCTGGAAATAACCTCAACAGCGCTCCCTCTCTCTCTCTTTCTCCTTCTCCTTCTCCTTCTCTCTCTCTTTCTCTCTCTCTCTCTCTCTACTCAGAACTACATCCCGAGCAAACAGGACATTTTGTTTGCGAGAAAAGCCACTAAAGGGATCGTGGAGCACGACTTTGTCATCAAGAAGATCCCCTTCAAGATGGTGGACGTGGGAGGTCAGAGGTCGCAGAGGCAGAAGTGGTTCCAGTGTTTTGACGGTATCACCTCGATCCTCTTCATGGTCTCGTCGTCAGAGTACGATCAGGTAAGTGTGCGCCTCACAGACGTGTAGCCTAGAGGTTCTTTAAGGGGAGTCACGCCGTCCCGTCATTAATCAGTGAGCGCACAAAAAAGATCAGAGAGGAGGTCCAAACAAAGACCTCTTTGTGGTCCAATCCAGGAACCTGATTGCCCCCCCCACCGCCGCCTGCCATGGTTCAAACCAACAGTCATATGACGAGTGGATCTGTAATTGGTGCGCCGATAAATCTCGAATAAAACCATGGGCTGTGTGTGTGTGTGTGTGTGTGTGTGTGTGTGTGTGTGTGTGTGCATGTGTGTGTGTGTTTTAAGGTTCTGATGGAGGATCGCAGGACGAACCGTCTGGTGGAGAGCATGAACATCTTTGAGACGATCGTCAACAACAAACTCTTCCTCAACGTCTCCATCATCCTCTTCCTCAACAAAACCGACCTGCTGGTGGACAAGATCCGGACCGTGGACATCCGCAAGAACTTCCCCGAGTTCAGAGGAGACCCCCGACGGCTGGAGGACGTGCAGGTACACAAACACAGGGAGACACAGGAACACACATATAGATGCACACAGGGACACACACGCATGTACACACAGGGACACACATGTACCTGTATGTGTATACACACAGGGACACACATACACATATAAATATATACGCACAGGGACACACATGGACACACTTATACCTGTATATATATACGCACAGGGACACACTTAAATATTGCTATATACACACAGGGACACACTCGGGACACACATGGGACACACATATACACATATGGACACACATATATACACACACATGTACACGCCTAAACATATATATATATATATATATATATATATACACACACACATGTTCACACCAAAACATGTATATAAATATACATATATACATATTTAATTATGTATATATACATATACATATATATACACACAGGTACACACATACACACACATGCACACACGTATCCAAACATATACACACATATACACACATGTATACATTTACACACATGTACACACATAAACACACATGCACACACGTACACACATGTACAGACATACATACACATGTACACACATATACACACAGGTACACACTTAACCCCCTTGCCGCTGAGTCTCCTCTGTCTGTGTCTGAACTGAGGACTGTATTGATCAGCTGTTAAGAGTCTTTAATGACACCATCATTTTTATCATTTTTAATTATTCTGACATCAGCTGATCAGCTGATGGTCTGTGAGGAGGAGAAGATCCAGGACTGAGATATTGATCTTTTTGAACGATGACCATACTCAGATCTGTTCTTGGTTTCATGACTGTAAACAAACCACCTGACTGCTCCCTGCACACTGACAAGATTACACGGTCCTCCAGAATCTGTGGTTCCAGCCAAACACACACACACACACAAACACACACACACACACACACACACACACACAAACAGAGGTTCTGGCTGAACCGGACGGCCTGGTTTAACTCCAGCCTTCTGCCTCGGCTCTCTCTCCCTGTTTCCTGCTCGCTCTGCCATCCTAGTCGGTCAGATAGAGGAACAAAAATACAATAAAATAAACAGTGGGCTATTTCTGCAGAAGCCAATCAGAATCAAGTATTTAGAGGTAAACAGTCTGAATGTCCTCCTGTCCTCTTTACGCAGTGATCCTTTAACTCTTTGAATTAACTGATTTTAAGGATGTTTCAGTAAACACTGACTGTTTATCTCGACCCATGAGCATAAACAGCTGACAGTCAAGGCTGAGGCTGGTTTTTCCAGAGAAAGGTGACGTAGAAGTGGAGGACATGTCCAAATGATAAGGAAGCACATGTAGAAGTCTGCGTCACACTGAAATGACTAAAAAAAAACACTAAAACAACAAAGTGAAGTGAATTCACCTCAGCTAGGACCATTTCTTATTTAAAGGAGTTCATATTTTCACTGAACGTACATACACACACAGACATAAAGATTAAAGCAGGGAGAGCAGCAGCGAGGACCCCAGGGGGCCGAGCAGAAAACAGGAAGAAGTTCACAAAGAGAGACCGCCCTGTGATGAGGAGGCTGAAGAGTAGGGCTGCACGATTAATCGGTTTTAAATCGTAATCGGATTATTTGATTGTGATGATGTTAAAAAAATTTTAATCGTCAAATCTATTTTCCTCTCTATCATGTCTCGCACCTCCAGGCCACCGTAGGCTCCCCAGTTCCCACACAAAAGAAGGCGATGATTAGTTAAAATAACGGTACTTTTTGAATACGGGTCAGAGAGTCATAAACCATTTCATCTCCGTGTGGATGTCTATCTGCATCTCTGGAAACGATCACGTGACACACAGCGTAACTCGTTTATGGCGCCAAAACAACCTTTATACACGTGCTCTGTACTCTTCTTCTGTCTTTTGAGTATTTCCTGTACAGCATTACAGCGCCACTTATTGGTTTGGCATATGCACTTCACCGTTTTCAGTGGTTTGGTTTCGAGAGATGATAGAAAAACTTTAGTAAAGTGAAGTTTGGTGAAGTTGTCACTGGATAAAAAATGAAAAATCGAGTTTTCAGAGAAAAAAATCTGGATTTTATTTTTGGCCAAAATCGTGCTGCCCTACTGAGGAGGTCAACCTGAACCTGCCTGAACTAACACTAAGCCCAGTTAAAAGTCATGCTTGTGATTGTGGTTTCAAACAATTCTTTGAGGTAAAATCCAACAAAAAAAACACACACACAAAGAAAGTAGAGATTCACACAAGGACTGAGACTGAGACACAATAACTAACAAACACACAAAATGAACCAAGAAGAACAGAGAGGAAGAGACAGCCGATATATATACACAGGTAAACGAGCAACAGGTGAGACAGATGAGTGATTAACAAAGGAGGAAAAACTAGGGAAGTAAAACCAGACTAGAAACACAAAGAATCAACTCCTACAAAATAAAACAGGAAATAAACACTGAGAACTGATCTAAAGAATAAAACACGGAGAAGAGAAGGGAAACAGGGACAAACTGAAAACTGAAAACTCACAAGACTGGACTAGAGGGGGACAGGAACTAAATCTACTGAACACATCATGACGACATCTTAAAGTTCACGATAATAAGAAAAAGTCAAAATCTTCTGAAAACTGAGCTGGTTTCTGTATTTGGATGTAAATATCTGTGACTCTGCTTTCTGAATAAATGTCTCGGTGGTTCTGATGGATTTTTTCCAGAGAGAGTCAGACCAGGACACTCAGGTTGGTCGTCTCTCTGGTTTGATTCCTGAACACAGGCTTTGCTGTATTAAAGATGGCGTGTGAGGAATCGCATTAGTCTTGAAAGGCGTCTGGAACTGAGTGTGTCCCCGCTCCTCTCCTTCCAGGCCTTCTTGGTTCAGTCATTCAGCCGTAAGAGGAGGAACCGAGGGAAGCCGCTGTTCCACCACTTCACCACCGCCGTCGACACGGAGAATATCCGCTTTGTCTTCCACGCCGTCAAGGACACCATCCTGCAGGAAAACCTCAAAGATATCATGCTGCAGTGACGCTCACGCCGCCGAGGCCGTCTGTGAAGGACGGGCGAAAGACTGCAGCACCTGAACACTGACCTGTGGAGCCGACACTCAGTGTGTGTGGATTTAACCAAACTGTGGAGTAACCGTGGACCTGTGGAAACTGTGAGGGTCTCTGTGGACCGGACCCTGACCCGTACCCTTACCCTGTATAAATGTGTGTCTGCTGGAAAGACAGTCCTTCCTCTTTTCTTCTGTAGCTTTAACAAACACAGGTTCAAAAAAAAACTGATGAAACAAAAGAGGAAAAAAAAAAAAAACACCACCAACACCTGAGCACTGAAAGTGTGTTTGTCTCTGATCTGTGTGTGTGTGTGTGTGAATATGAAAAATGACAAACCTGTCACTAAACCAAGTCAAGTCAGAGCTGTGAGAGGAAGAGGAAGAAGAAGAAGAAGAAGAGGAAGATTGTCCTGACGCACACGTGACAGAGGAGAGGACGGGCGGTTCTGGCTCAGCCCGGTCATATGCTGTGTTATGTGATAAGGTTGCACAAGTGTTCCTGTCAGTGAACTTTAAAGAGGAAAGAGATGAATCCTTCCTTTCTCTCTCTCTTTACCTCTTCTGCTTTTAGACCGGGGATGAACAGATAACACGTCTTTATCTCTCCTCCTCCTCTCCTGTCTTCCTCCTCCTCTCCTCTTCTCCTGCTCTCTCGCTGCGTCTCGGACTGTTTCCCACCATCGCTGCACTTTTAAACAGCTCATAAATAAACTCTCTCTCTCTCTCTGCATGAAGACTTCTTGTTCACCCTCTCACAGCTTCTGTTTTAGACCATCAGAAGGGACGAGGACGGCAGAGGGCTGAACTCTAAATCCACTTGAATAATGAAACCACATTTCTGAGTGACACAGAGGTCAGAGAGGAAACCTTCAAATGTCTTCAACAACCAGAACAACAAATGGCTTTAATTCTTCTGTTCATGTGTTCATCAAAGATGGTTTTCTTTGTGTACGAGGAGAAGTTTAGGAGCCCGATGATCTGGATCACCAAAAATCAACCTCTATCCATCACTAAGATCCTCTCACTGAAAAAGCAGATCCAGATCTTACACCCTAAGACGGATCACAGACGACTTGAGCCTGATTGGAAGTAATCTGTGGATCTTTATGGACATCATTTGTTCAAATTAAATCCTTTACTGGACTGGAGTGATGGTCTCATGAGGGACATTCGGAGGGTTTTTATCCAAACCTGAATTTGGAGTTTTAGATTTTAAATCTGGAGATCTCCTCGGAGGGTTAGTGCTGCAGACTAAAGGTCCTTACACACCAGGAACGTTTTTTCGTGCGATTATTTCGGACGTCAATATTTTTTCAAACCCGTATCCTGTCAATACAAGCGTTCACATCAGCGACGTTTTCTCGTCCTGCGATATTGCGGCATTCATTTTTTCGGATCACGGTAGATTTTTCTAAAGTTTCGCATACTGTGTGTCCATTTCTGACCAATCAGATTGTGTGTTGTTGCAACGTCAGATTGATTGTCTGATTGTTTACGTGTCGGAGAACAGAGTGATTTTTGGTAAAAGACACAAATATTACAAAGGACGACTTGTGGAGAGTCATAGCGTCGGATTTCTCATATGACGATGGTTTGTGAGCTTTAACAGTTTGATAAACGTCTTTGTTTTAACTTTCATCTATGCTAAGTAACTTAAGCTCGTAAGCTAACCTGTTCAGATACAACATACCATATGTATTTTCACTGTCTCAAACTCAATCGGTCTCGGTTGTTCCCTTACGTTTATGGATTATAGTTTAATGTGTTTATCTGGTACTGGCCCCGACTCAGTACATGCTATCATGACAGACAGACATCTCAACACTAGAGTCTGATCAGAACTGAAAAACACTCAGTCTGCTGTTGGCTCAGTCTTCTCACTTCCACCCTGGATGCGTCTTTTTTCCCCCAGAGAGTCGCAAAATCACATCGGGCTTATTGTGTTTAGTCAGGCGCGTCAAAATTCTCCTCCGAATATTTCGTAATTTTGCGCTCTATATTCATGTCGGCCCCGGTGTGTAAGGACCTTTAACGATAAATCCAGATGATTGACTTTCAAATTCTCAGGTTTTGAAAATGTGACGTTTCTCCCTTTTCCTTTAGTTTCAGAGTCATGAATTTGAAGACATCAGTAATGTCGTGGAAATACTCAGACAGATTATTTGACAGTCTGAGAGTTCACTGTTCTCGGTCTGATAATTACCATAGAAGCTGGAGGAGTTTTTAAATACTGAAGACGGGCGTTAATTTACAGAAGAAACACTCACACCATCGATCCCGTCGTCTTTAAAACTCTTTTTTTCTGTTTGAAATTACCGCTCCTGTCTCTGAAGTGGAAAGGTCGTATCACTCTGACATTTCTTTATTATTGTTATTATTTTAACATCGTTGGATAAAACATTGAACTTTCAGTTTGGGCTGTTTTTGGCGCCCCCTGTGGAGAAAGAATCTTTTCCTTTAACAGTCAAATCTGTCACACTGAGAGTCGCTTACAAGAGCTTTAAAGAAGCAGTTTTTTTAATCCTCCAAGTCACTGAATAGAGCTTTAAATGTGATCAGTCCATCACTCCTCCATATCTCATAAATAAGAGTTAGCTCATGATGAGTACGAAAGAGCCGTGTTGCTATGGTTACCTCCAGTCGAATATCCTTTTATGCACTGATTTATGACGGGGGTGAAACTGTTGACCAGAACTGTGTCTGAAACGACCCGAGCCCGTCACCTTCCTCTCGTCTCCGGATCACCAACATCACGCCGTGGAGCGTCAACTCTTCCTCCTCATGCCTCGTTATCGGACTGTTAAAAACTGTCGTCTGTGTGTTTTCATCATGACCTTTGACCCTGATGTTCATGTTTATACTTGTACATAGAGTACTGTAAGTATTTGACTGACACTGTGTGTAACCCTACAATACAAACACCACTCTGTCTAACAGTCCCACTGTAACGTCTGTCGTTAGATTATCCACTTTTTTTTTGTACGTTTTTTCGTCATTGCACTGGAAAAAAGAAAACAAGCAGAAAAGAAAGAAAGGAGGAGAAGAAGAGAGAGAGAGAGATGTCTTCTTCTTCTTCTTCTTCTTCTGCTGTTGTTTTTGTCGTCGTCATGGTCATTTTTGGGTTCCCAGTGCCTTGGCTCTGTGCTCTGTGGTGAAATACACTGCCGTTTGCTGACATGCTGTTTCTTTATTTTCTCAGAGTGGGCGCCTGTGTGTGTATTTGTGTGTGTGTGTGTTTGTGTGTGTTTGAGTGTGTGTACTGCAAAGCAAAGAGGTCGAGACCCTCTGAGCTGGAGAGGTTAGCCGACAGAGGGACGTGGGGGTGAGTTTAGAAAATGAAGCCGGAGCTGTGAGGAGAAAGAAAGATGGTTTTCTTTGCTTCCACCTGGGGGCCGTCTCATGAACTCAGGACGGTCTTCTCTTAAATCCAGCGAGCAGAAGATGAAGGCCTGAAGGCCAGCCCTGCATGAGATCTTCTTCTCCATGGTTTAAAGTCGTGGTTGACGATCTGAGAAGCAATTGGAAAAAAAAAGCTGCCGTTGAGGCAGATTTGAAAAAGTGTCCCACCCCCCACACACAAACCTCTCCCCTCTGTGCTCCACGATAACTCCCCCCTGAACCTGTATCTTCCTCACCCCCTCTGACAGAGCAAGAAGATCCTACGCTAGCTTCAAATAGAATTCATCATGTCGGATTGTTAGTGATTAGCGTCAGTAAACGCCAGCTCTGCTCGCGAGCGCCGTCTGCAGCTGCCTGGACAGCTACCGTGTTGACATGTCAGAGACTAATAAGAGTTATTTATGTAACATGAGCCACGATAAAAGGAGATAAAAATGACCAACAAATCTGTTTTCAGGCCCAAATCCTGGTCGAGTTAGATTCCTCGCTTGGTCACGTTTCCTCTTCGTCTCCGCCCTTTCTTCTGTCAGCTTGCGTTTTCTTCCAACCTTTGGCAGTGGGGCGAGCAGAAGTGGGTTTTTTTTGCGTCCTTCTCCATCACAGCTCCTGTAGCTAAGCTGCTACGCTACTTTTAGCCGCTCAGAGCTCCGAGGACAGCCGGAGAGAAGCGGACCAGGAGATTGACCATTAGGAGCTGTCCGGGACGGATGGCTCCCATTGGTCAATGTTTTTGCAGCCCTGCAGCTGATAGAGGGAACAGATTTTTTCTTCACTTTGTGGAGATCGCACTATAGGACCGTGATCGCCATAGAAACGAGGTTCATAATAATTACCAATCCCTACAATCGTCAACCATGACTTTAACTCGAGGGTACGAGAGCAGAGCTGAGGCCAGAGCGTCTCAGTGTTACCCAGCAGAGTCTGACCTTTGCTTTGGCTTTTAATCAGAGCAGCTCTGATCCAGAACAGACCGAGTCTCCGGAGAGAGAGAGAGAGAGAGAGCGACAGAGAGAGAGAGAGAGAGAAAGGGAGAGAGAGAGGGAGGGAGCTCATGCAGAGACGGAGGAGCAGAGCTTCAACGTTGTTTTAGGACTCTCTCTGCTTAACGTGGATTTATTTACACAGGATGTGAGACACACACACACACTGAACACACGCACACATACACACACACCGCACAAACGCATGTGACAGCCTGAAAAAGACAGGACTGACCCTGTGAACGCGTCGGCACAGACTGACCGGGGGGGGGCACAAAGAGAGGAAGAGCGAATACAAGAAAAAGTAAGAGGACAGAGGGAGGAGGAGGAGGAGGAGGTCATGTTTCCTCTGTTGAGCCCACTTCCTGTCCTGATCCCAAAATGGAGAGACTGTAAGAACGACTGTAACACACACACACACACATTAGAGAAACCCAAACCCGTCTCCCGTGGTCCTACCAGAGAGATGAGAGGGGGAAACAGGGAGCAGAAAAACACGTCCCCAGAGAGAGGGAGAGAGAGAGAGAGGTTTCTGAAACATAAGGAAGTGAGAGAGAGAGGGAGGGAGAGAGAGGGTGCAGGACATTTTGTCCTCAAGTAGCTCTAAACATTTCTGTGTGTGTGTGTGTATATCTGTGTGCGTGTGTGTTTTATTCTCATTATAAAAACTCTACATCTTCTCAGACTTCTCAGGGCGTTTTGGCGCCCCCTAGTTTGCAGGATTAGTCCTCTTCATGAACATGAAAATATCACCCTGCTCTATTTTAAAAGTCTGAGTCATGAACCAACAACATTCACCACATTAAACTTTATCAATATGATGAAAATCAACTTTAAAAACAATATTTGGCGAGTTAATCAGTCGGCGGAGCTTCACTTTTGGGGAGCCTGCATGTCGTCCATCTTTTTGTGCATCTGCAGCCTGTCCGATCATACACATCTATCTATAGACATTCTCCTTTTTGAACCTTCAGGAGTTTATCACTTCATCAGAGAAATCAGAAATTAGACGTAGTGGAGAAATGAGTCTGCAGACAGCTCCTGCAGTATACATTGACCGAAGCTGTTTATAAACCAGCGTGTGTGTGTGTGTGTGTGTGTGTGTGTGGGAAAGTGTACACAGCTGCATGTGTGTGTGAGTAAATTGGTCTCATGACTCTGGTTATACTGATGTTTCTCAGAGGCTGTTTTGATTGGACCTACAGCTGAACTCTGATATTTAGTAATGAGGCGAGTACTCCCTGGGTTTCTGACTTCACACTCACACACACACACACACTCACAAACTCACACACACTCAAACACCAAAGGCTTGAATCATGCAGTCGAAACTAAACAACCCGGGGTTCATTAACTGATGATTTGGCCGTGACACATCACTGGACCCCGGGCCTTCTCATCATTAGAGCACTTCTGTTTTGGTTCACACTGACAGTGGGTTTAACTTTGTGATTCCTGGCATCTTCTTGGCTCTGCTGGACGGGCTGTTTTCTCTCTTTGGACCGGAGCCTGGTGGGCAGATTGTGTGTTAATCCAGGGAGATGGGCCCAACAGATAAACACGTTTACATGGATAGATGACGAACAAAACCGCCAACGGACAAAACGACATGATATAACAACAAATCTGAACATGTGGAATCAATTCATTAATCGACCATCCTGTCTGTGTTACTCAGTAAAGGTGGTTTGGAGATTAACTTGACGTATGTCTCCCCCTGCTGGTGAAAAGAAGTACTGCAACACTTTGATGCTTGGATAGCAAACGCCCCTCTTCAACCTTCTAGTCCTGATAAACGGACTCCGGGGCAGATTCTGGACCTTTCCGGGACATTTACCAATAATGACCAAATTAATTTCTGTACTTTCTTTTGAACATGACCTTTGACCCTCTATGAGAAAACATGAGCTCCTTCAGATGTTTTTTCTAATTCTCATGCTGATCATACTTCTGCCTGACTCTTGGCTCAGTCAAACGGTCCGAGTTAAAAATAGTTTCCTCTCAGTTCCCGTCAGTAACTCTGACTCCTCATCTGGAGAAACTGAAACTGTTTTTGTGATTACACCAAACAGCATGAACCCGCTCTGTAAGGTCACTCTGTAAAGTTGCTCTCTAAGGCCACTGTTTAAAGACGCTCTGTAAGGTCACTAAGTAAGGTCACTCTGTAGGGTTGCTCTGTAATATTGCCCTGTAACGCCAGTCTGTAAGGCTAATCTGTGAGGTTGCTCTGTACGGTAACTTTGTAAGGTCGCTCTGTAAGGCTGCTCTGTAGGGTCACTTTCTAGGGTCACTCTGTAGTGTTACTATGTAAGGTCAATCTGTAAGGTTACTCCGTAAATCCGCTCTCGAGGGTCACTCTGTAAGGTCCCTCTTTGGGTAACTCTGTAAGATCAATCTGTAGGGCTGCTCTGTGAGGTCACTGTAAGGTTACTATGGAATGTCAATCTGTAAGCCATTCTACAGAGTCGCTCTGTAGGGTCACTCTGTTGGGTCACTCTGTAAAGTCACCTGTAGGATAACTCTGTAAGGTCAATCTGTAGGGATATTCTGTAAGTTCACTATGTAAGGTCGACCAGCAGCAGCAGATGATGATACAGCTCCTCTAACCATCACAGACTGTGGGGACGTCAAGCTGGACTTTAGCACCTTAGATTCTGGACCTCTCTGATCCTCCTACAGACTCTGGGACCCTCATTTTGACCTTGAATTGACTTTCATCTGACAACAGGACTTTGGACCACCGAGTAATGGTCCACTTCTTTTCTTCTTTGCCTAGGTGAGACACTTTTTTCAGGACTGAAATACCTGACAAGAAACCGGACTTTTCACAGTCTGAATCAAATGACTGGAAAAACAAACATTACTGTTGATATTTTTTTAATATCGACTCTTTTGTATCTAAATTTTTATCTAAAACACCTGATTTCCCTTCTCTGACACACCCACAGCATCGATTTAATTCACTCATTCGAAAAAGTACAAAAGTTTGATTCTTTATCATTCAATCAACTGCAGTCCAAGAAACACAGCGCCATCCAGTGGTTACAGGAGAGATTTCACACAGATTTTCAGGAGGAGCTTTTCAGGAGGATTCAGATCTGCCAACGTACAGGAGTGTCGAAATATGGAGTCTCATATAAAATCTTCATTTTTAAGGTTTCTGGTCGATTTTGATGGGCAGAGCACTTCCTGTTGTTGTGTATGTTTAAAAAAAAGTCAGAACATTCTTCAGTCAGTCAGTGCAGTTACTTCAGGGGGTGCACACACACACACACACACACATACACACACACACATTGACTATCAGTAAATCAGCAACACCAGCTCCGTCTTTTACAGTCAAGTGTTGGGTGTGTGCTGAACTTACAGTGCTGTGACAAAGTTTGTGTAAACTGTTTTTCAGTTCATCCTGAATGTGAAGCATCTTAAAGTCATGGTTGATGATTGTAGAGATTGGTAATTATTATTATGAACCTCGTTTCTATGGCGAGCATGGTCCTATAGTGCGATCTACACAAAGTAAAGAGAAAAAAGAACGGAAAAAATCTGTTCACTCGATCAGGTGCAGGGCTGCAAAAACATTGACCAATGGGAGCCATCTGTCCCAGACAGCTACTATTGGTCAATCTCTTGCTCCGCCTCTCCATCCAATCACCTCGCTGTATTTGACACACCCCTCTCCTGTAGTTCCAACTCGTCCCCTCCCACTCTCCCGGCTGTCCTCGGAGCTCTGAGCGGCTAAAAGTAGCGTAGCAGCTTAGCTAAAGGAGCTGTGATGGAGAAGGACGTTTACTGCCGCTAGTCCCTAACAATCCAACATGGTGAATTCTATTTGAAACCAGCATAGGATCTTCTGCCAGCCGGCTTCTTGCTCTGCCAGAGGGGGTGAGGAAGATACAGGTTCGGGGGAAGTTATCGTGGAGCACAGAGGGGAGAGGTTTGTGTGTGGGGGGTGGGACGCTTTTTTAAAATCTGCCTCAACGGATCAACTGCTTCTCGGATCGTCAACCATGACTTTAATGTGTGATCTATTATACTGTTATCTAAGTTTAATCTCTGCCTTTAGGAGTAACAATCACCTTATATCTGTGTGTCTTAATTAAACTATAAGAAATGTTAAAACTGTTTATTTTTAAAACATTTTTTCTGTTTCGCTCCTGAGAATTAAAACAGTTGCACTTTAGTTTGAGTTTAAACTGAAATGAAAAAACTTCTAAAATGTGAAATAAAGACGAAGGAACCACTGCAACACTCCAGCAAACAACGGGTTAATCTGTTGCAGGTGTTATTCATGAAACACAAGAACTCCTGGGTCTGAATATATATATGTGTGTTTGTGTTTCGCTCCTCCATCATATTTATTCGAGGATATCAGACGTAACTGTGCATGCCTCTCTCTACACTCAAAGTGCTTTTCTGCATCTGTTTTCCGATCATTTCATGATCAACAGCTGCAATAAATACAAAATATAAATCTATAAAAGCGTCTCAAACTTCCTCACAGCACTGTCGTCTCCTCCCTTTCCAAAGAGGTCGGGCTTTACAAAAGCAGTAACGAGGCTCTGCACTCAGCGCATGAGTGTGCGTGGGGGGGTTATTTGGCGTGTGGGGGCAGATAGTAGGGGTGGAACAGTCTCTCCTGGGCGCAGACGTGCAGCGCGGAGTGTGTGTGCATCAGTAACCGTGGGAACCGTGAGGTGAAATAGCTGATGAAGCCTTCGGGCAGCTCACCGAGGGTCTCCTGCACCTCTGGGGGTAACTCATGGTAGTGGTGCTTCTGTAACGTACAGGTGAAGAGGTCAGAGAGAGGTCAAAGGTGATTTAAAGGTGTTTGGAAATATCGAGTTTACGTTTGCACTCTGACCTTATTCCTCATGGCTCTCAGCAGATCTCGGACTGAGTTCCCTTTATAGGTCCTGAACCGCCGCAGGTCTGAAAGTCAAGAGGAGAAATGGTTAAAGGAGCATCAGGAGGCGGAGGGGTATGAAGGTATGTCACATGTCATTTGTAGTTGTGTACAGTGATTGTGTGTGTGTGTATTAGTAAATGTGAAATCCGCACTCTGAGTTGTGTACTTATAGGTCCTGATCTACTAAGATCCAAAATAGCAAGCACTAAATTGCAGGTGCAAACTAAAAAGCTGCCCGGGACACTGTAGGTTGTTAAGGGAAGGTCCCGCCCTCCATCGTCTCTGATTGGTTATAAGTGCTGACGGTTTGGTTTGAGCGCGTGATGACGTTTCCAGCTTTTCAAGCCAATTAGAGGCGAAGGAGGCGGGACATTCCCCGGGAAAAGTCTTCTCTGGGATGCGTCTTTTTCCCCCCGGAGAGTCGCAAAATCGCATCGGGCTTTATGTGTATAGTCGGGTGCATCAAAATTCGCCTCCCAATATTTTGTCATTTCACGTTCTATATTCTTTATCTTTCTTTATTTGAACATGATAAAAATAATGATGAAGTAAAACAAAAACAAGGCTTTATGAAAAGAAAATAATAATAGTAATAATAATAAAAAAAAATAAAAAATAAAATCAAAGACAAGCCTAACAGGCAATAATCGGCCAATATCATGATCATATTCGCGTCGGCCCCGGTGTGTAAGGACCTTTAGTTGCCATCACAAAAATGAATGACTGAATTTGTGGTTTTATAGAGTCTGATGGGAACCTGGACTGGATCAAAGTCTGTGTCTGAGCTTCAGTACCTTCTGACATCTTTAATTGACTGTTTCTGGGTCTGAGACTTTCCCCTGATCCTGGAAATACTGCTCGTGGTGAACTCACCTGTCTGCAGCGGCACAGAGATGTGCATCCTCCAGTTGGTCCGAACCACTGCTCTTCCCGCCGTCTCCAGTCGGACAACGATCTGACTGTCTGCTGGTTCCTTCTCTATGCGGTCACTCACATCCTGCACACACAGACACACACACACACACAAATAAATCCAGTACGAACCCGTGATGACCATCAGAAAACGAACAATCAGCATTTTTAAAGTTTAAGAATCATCACAGGAGCTTTAAACGGATTCAAACATCACGCCGTGTGTCTTTATTTTCATGATGTGACTCACCTGGAAGAAGAGCAGCTGCTTCTCAGGACTCCAGAAGAACGGATGTTTGAGGACGCAGGCGGTGGAGGGACGGCGCTCTGGTTCGGCGTGGATCATCTGCTCGATCAGGTCCTGGGCGATGACGTCATCTGGTTTAACAGAGAAACAGATTTTTAGGATTTTTGGGGCGTTTGGATCTCTGAGCTGTGACTCTAGAATGAGTCGAGAAGCTGCTTTTAAATCCACTGAAGATCCTGACAGTGAGAGTATTTAGCAGGACGGGTTTAGAGCGGGTCAGAACCAAAACCGGGTCAGAACCTACTTCTGTCTTTTTTTTAAATGTTCTCACCGTGTAAATCCTCCATAAAATGTGAGAGTGAATATTCTCCTGACAGGATGTTAACCTGACGTCTTAACGGATCACCAAACGGGTGCTGCCCCCTGCTGACCACGTAGTAAAACACGCAGCCCGCAGAGAAAACGTCCACCGCTGCCGTCTGTGGAGAGAAGAGGTCATAACCAAAAAAATAAAAACCTCCCCCTAACCCAGAAGGAGAGGATCCTGCGGAGTGGGCGGAGCTTCAAACGTACCGGTTTGTTAACAGGCGTGTCCCGCAGGACCTCAGGAGCGATCCAGCCCTCCGTTCCTGGTATTCCTGAGCGTAAAGAGAAGCTGCAGCGACCATCTGGGATCTTCTTACAGAGTCCAAAGTCAGAGATGAGAGCTCGGACCCGGCCCAGAGCGCTTGGACCGGAGAGGAGGATGTTTCTGGGCTTCAGGTCTCGATGAACTAGAAGAAGAAAAGGATCTTATCAAACCCTGAAACAGTGTCCAGACCTTTTCTCATTCATGATAGTTTATAACTGAAGTTATTGACACCCTGCAGTACTTCAGGCGGCCTCAGGGTGGAGCTGCTGACCCTGATGCTGCTTCAGTCCATCAGGTCTCAGGATGTTTGACAGAATCCCTGAACAGTGTCCCCACTAGGGCAGTGTTTCAGGTATAGTGAGTTCAGGTGTGTGTGTGTGTGTGTGTGTTTGTGTGTGTGTGTGTGTGTGTGTGAATCGTACCTATGTTGAGTGAGTGCAGGTGAGAGAGTCCACACATGGTCTGCTCCAGCAGAGTGATCGGACTCAGTTCTGGAAAGTGAGACGGGTCCTCCACGTACTGCAGAGGTTCATAAAAGCACATTTTCAGTCATGTGATGAAGACTAACCAACGCTCGGAGCTTTGAGAGGACGCTCAGGACCCACCTGCTGCAGGGTGGCGGCGCACAGCTCGATGGCGATGTAGGTGAAGAGGCGGTCTCTCTCTGTGCAGAAATATCGAATGACGTTGGGGTGCGTGTCGGACTCTCTGAGGAGCTGCACCTCACGCTCTGCCACCTCAAAACACTCGGGGAGTATCCTCTTCACCGCCACCTGACGCCCGTCAAAGTTCCCCCTGAAGTCAAAGACACGATATCGCTGTGAGCGCACAGGAAGTTCCTGTATTTCATCCTGAATCGTCTCTAAAGTTCTTCTGAGGAACCTGTCAACTTCTAAAGAGGTCTGTATACACTCACTGATCCGGTCCACATGTACCTGAAGACAAACGTCCCCGCTGTGCCGTGTCCCAGTACCTCTGCTGGACTGAAGGAGATCTTTCCCACATGCACCTCCTCACTTCCTCCTTCTGACAGACGCAGAGAAAAAGACCAGGGCAGTGAGAAACCAACTCAGAGAGGAGGAGGAGGACGATGACGGTGAGCTCCGATGGCGTGGCTTCTTACCTGCAGCAGGTTTCAGCAGAGCGGCGCCGTTTTTATCCACATCCAGAGAGCTGCTGCTGAGAGACGCAGGGCTGGGCGGAGGAGGAGGATCAGCAGGAGCAGCCGGAGAGCCTGGATCAGAGAGGTTTTCATTCACTCATCATTTCAAATCCTTCAAATGGTCTGACGTTGTTTCAGAGAGCTTGTTTCAGTAACTCACTGCTGGAGAGGTTTCCATCCGTGGAAGGGTTCGAGTCGACCGAACCCGTCTGCGTGTTGGTCTGCATCCTCTGGAGACGAGACTCTAAAGCCTCCTCCAGCTGCCTCTGAGCTTTGAGCTGCTGCGCGGCTCGCTGCGGAAACAAAGACGTAAACAGATCAAAACAAGAGAAAAAGAGAGAGAGAGAGAGAGAGAGAGAGAGAGAGCGCAAACCGTGGATCGGTCAGTCTGAAAATAAAGGACTGACCACGTCCCTGAGACCTGGATCTGGTCTGTGAAGACAGCAGGGAGCAGTTCCTCTGCTGACTGGACTTGAACCCTCGGTTCCGTTTCGAGGACATTCGTCATTTTTTTCATCTTTATTTTGAGCTGACAGTCACATTTTTCAAGATTGGGACATCAGATTTGGTGAGAGATCTTATTTTTCTTCATATTAAAAAAAAGTGTCACCTGTAGTTCTCCGTCGCCGCATTTTAGCTCCACCCACCCTACTTTGTCCACAAATCAGACAATAGACCTCCATCAAAAACACGTTTTTTGACCGTGTGTTTACAGCACTGTAACAACATATTACAACCTTTTTTCTTGCAGTCAGTCGATCAGCAGGGCTCTAAATTTGACTTCCTGACAGTGATACAACAGATTGAACCAGCACATGAGTTTAACCCCTTCGGTGCCGCAAGTCTTCATTCATGGACTGAGAGTGTTTGAAGCGCTGATTCATCCACCGAACATCATCTGTAATGACTGAAACTTTACATGCAGTGACATGGCGCACAAAGACTGGCATGAAAAGGGTAATACATTGAATTTTGTATTTATTATTTTTTTAATGGTTAGGGCTGAAGCTGTTTAAGAGATATGAGTTGAAAACAAGTTAAAAAAAAAGATTATTTTATGACAACTTATCTGCATGTCCGTTTTGTGGACAAAGTCGGCTGGATGGAGCTTCAAATTAACAGGAATCGAGGGTTAAAGGGTTGAAATGTTTCTCTAATTAGACTCAAAAAGACGCTGTCACATTGTGCAAGCTGCGACTAGCATGGTGTGAAAATGAAGTGACACCTGTGGGGCAGCAGAGACACAGACGCCACACTGCGTTAGCTTAACAATGGCGGAGGAACACAGCAGCGAAGAGACGAGTTTTAGAGACGCTGAGAAGGACCGAGCAGAACCTCCGTCTGCAAACTCTGAGTCAGGTCCCTGTGACCCTGAGCGGTGCTACAGCGGTCAGCTTCGTTTGGTCTTTTACACTGTTTTATTAAAAACTTATTAGACCATCTCCACTCCAGCCTCACACACACACCCACAAACACACACAGACTCACAACTGGGTAGGTCAGCGCGAAGGCCAGCCATCCTCCCAGCAGCAGCGTGAGAACAGCCAGAGTGAGGCGGTCCTGAGTGATGAAAACTGGCAGCACAGGGACCTGTCTCCGAGGCCGCCCCTTCGTCTTCTCCTCATCCTCCTCTCCGTTACCATCGGGGTCCCCAGCATCAGTCTGGAGCCAGAGGACACAGATTTAGGACACTTGAGATGGACTCTGATGGACAAAGACACCTGATTGGTGATTCTCGTCGACCACACATAGACAGTGCTGTGACTCACGTAGCGATCGTAGAAGTTTGGCGCCGGAGGGGAGGGAGTGTTCTGAGGAGGCGGAGGGATGACTCTCTTGCCATTGCGCTGCAGGCTGGCTGGGAATTCCCTCAGCATGGTGGTGTGAGCCATGGGGGGGCGCTCATGATGACCTACAGCACACAGAGGAAGTAAAGGTTCAGGACCCGAGAAGAGGGCGGGGTTAGCTTCTTCTGACGTCAAATAAAAGACTGATCTCCGTTTGATGGACTTTTATTTGATTGCGTCAGACATTCAAAACCTTCCCTTTAAAACCTCCCCTTTAAGACAGCGAGAGGGGTTTCCCTGTGTAATAACCTTTACCTATGAACAGCCAGTGGTTCTTCAGGCTGTTTGTGGTCCCTGCTGGATAACGCACATCCGTGGTCGGCGTGATCTCGCACTCCCCCTCCGCTCTGACTGTCACTCCAGATGTCTGCGGACCCTCGATCTGACCCAGGATCAGTCCTCGAGGCTGCCGTGGAAAAGGGTCAAATGACAGCCGCCTTAAATACTGATACACCTGATTTGATTACCGTAAATACCGTAAAGACCACAGACAGATGTTAAAGTTTACTGTGTGTATAAACGCGATTCTGTAATAATGAACAAACTTACCACTAATGAGACCCCGTGATGTGCAAACGAAGTGGAGGCGTAGAGGTGGGAGTCCAGTTTACCCACGAAGAGAGTGGGTCTAAGAGAGGGAAACAGAAAGATAGTTTAGGTTTGTTTACAATTATTTAAACTTAGTTGAAATTAGTTTGAGTTATTTAAAGTTAATTCAAGTTCTAAACTTAGTTTTACTTAGTTAAAGTTAGTTAAAATTATTTAAAGTTATTTGAAATTATTTAAAGTTAGTTTAAGTAAGTTAAAAATTATTTAAACTCAGTTTTAGTTAGTTAAAGTTAGTTCAAAATTATTTAAAGTTATTTGAGGTTAGTTAAAATCATTTAAAACTATTTAAGATTGTTTAAAGTTAGTTTTAGTTTTAAAATTAGTTCAAGTTAGTTAAAGTCAAATCAAGTTCATTTAAAATCATTCAAACTTAATTGAAGTTTTTAAAAGTTATCTAAACTTAGTTTTAATAACTTAAAGTTATTTAAAGTTATAGTTCAAGTTAGTTAGAATCATTTAAAGTTAGTTAAGGGTATTTAAAGTTGGTTCAAAATATTTAGAGTTACTTAAAGTTATTTAAAGTTGGTTCTAGTTATTTAGAGTCACTTAAAAATAGTCAGTTATCTGAAGTTAGTTAGAGTTTCAGTTATTTAAAGTTGTTTAAAATTATTTAGTTATTTAAAGTTATTTTAAGTTATTGAGAGTTAGTAAAGTGATGTATAAAAGCAAGCGGACCACCAGGACAGAGTTGGTCTATTTTGAGCTTCAGCAGGAATTTGGCGTCTAACAGAATGATGAAATTATAACCTCACAGAAAACCACAGACTGTGACCACTGTGATGAATTTATGTGCGTGTGTGCTTGGTGTGTATGTGTGTGTGTGTGTGTGTGCGGTGTCTCTTACACCAGGTTGGCCTGTGCACTGGCCTGCTCCTTCACAAACTGGTAGCTCCACTTTAGCGTGGAGTGGGTGTCTGCCTGGTCGCTGGCTGAGGAGAAGGTGAGGAAGCGAAGCGTTTCCATGGCGAGAGACACGTGGGGGGCGTGTCTTAGCGAGTCGCCGGAGTACAGGTAGACCCCCACGACGGGTGAGCCGTAGTTCTGACTCCACAAAACATCACCTGGGAAATCACAGAGATGTAACCTGAGCTTGGTTTTCACCTGAAGATGAAGATGTTTGAATCCTGACAGATTTGTTTGTTTTTCTTGTTTTCTTGACGTGACTCTGTAAAGCTCTTTGGTCTGGATGTTGTTAAAAACCACACACCTCCCCCTACCTGACTCTCTGTCAACTGTCACCACCAGACCGTCCCCACTGGACACCAGGTGGGCCATCTCTGAAAGGACAACAGGTGAGACCAGTCAGGGCTTTGGAGAAGCTGGTGAAGTTCATGTCACTGCTCCATCTTAAATTCAATAATGGACCCAGACAGGTTTCAAAATTTGATCTACTTTGTGATCTAGGTCCCATCACTCTATGTTAAAGACACTTGTGGAGGTTATCTCATGGTGCTGAGAGGAGCAACAATCTGAAGGAGGTGAAAACAAACCTGGTCTGGACCTCCTGATAGAAGCTGCATGACTAAGATGTGGTTGGTTTCTATGTAAAAGTGTAGATATATTTTAAATAGAATGACTCCTGCACTTGAAAGAGTGAAATCTGAGCTTCAAACATTTCAAACATTTCAGGGAACAGGTTCTGCAGAACTCTACTCCGTGTGTTTGAGTCTGTGGAGATGCAGTTTACAGAGCGACCGTGTCAGTCTGTGTGACTGAGTGTGTGTGTGTGTGTGTGTGTGTGTGTGTGTGTGTGTGTGTGTGACTGACGTACTGTAATCCTGTTTCTCATCGTACGGCGGAGCAGAGTAGTCGTTGTACGTGGCGTTCCAGCGCAGCTCCTGTGTCTTCGTGTCAAACATGGTGACCTTGTACTCTGGAGAAGAAGCAGGTGCAAAGTGTCTGAACAGTGAGCTTAGATACCTGTGTGTGTGTGTGTGTGTGTGTGTGTGCGTGTGTGTGTGTGTGTGTGTGTGTGTGTGTGTGTGTGTGTGTGTGCACGTGTGTGTGAGAGATACCTGTGCGTCCGATGTAGAGCAGAGGAGAGTTGGGGCAGATGGATTCAGAGGCAGATGTAGTTAAACTGGTTTGCTTCTCACCTGTCTCAGGATCCACCACAAACCACACATCCTGTTTTTTACCTTCAAGTGCACACACACACACACACATACACATACATACACACACACACACCCACAGAATTATTATCCAACAGCACTGAGGGATGTCAAACATTTATGTCTTTTCTGTCATCAACCGTCTCTGACATTAGAACGTGAACACAAACCGGCTGCAGAGGGAATCATGATCATGTCGACTCAGATCTGAGTCGTGTCTGTCTGATCAGCGATACTGGACTCCATCACAGTCATGTTTTCTACATATGTCCTGAGGGGGAAGCTGCACCAGGTACCAGATTAAAAATAAGAGGACAGCCTCACCTGTGTAGAGGATACCATCAGAGCTCCTGCAGGGGGCGGACTGGACCAGCTCTGGGATTGTGAAGGGCAGTTTCTGTGAAAAGAAACGTTTTTATCATGGAGTCAAAATCAGCAGAAACATGAACAGACTGTTCGGAGAACTCGGGTCTTTACCACCAGGCCTTCTTTGTGCTTCCCGCCCAGGACGTACAAGCTGCCATCGTTGGGGTCGGGTAGAAAACTGGGCCTACAGAACCATAAATAAACCAAAGTTAGACCCGCCGGACCCTACAGAGGGTCTGCATGTGCAGGTGTGTGTTCTCCGTGTGTGTTACTTACTCACTGAGGTAGACCGGTACTTGTATGATGGGGTCTGCAAATGAAAGAGCAGCTTCATGAGGATACAGGAGAACACCTGAGTTTAGTATCATCCATGGTGACGATGTACAGATTCTTGACTCTTACAAGAATCTCTGAACTATGTCAACAAAGGAGTCACTTGTTGTGGAAACTAAGATCTTCTCATGTTTCTGAGGGTGTCCTGCCTTTTTTTATCATGTAAAGTCTGCTCCAAAATCACCCGAGTCCAGCTGATGGACCTGAGAATCACGGACCAGCCTGGACACATCCTTTTCTCTTATGCCCACTGGGAGGCGCTACTATGCCCCCCCCCAAGAAGAACAAATGGATACTCCAACTCACGTATCCCCTCAGCGATCAGGCTGCTAAACGCTGAGAAGTAGCAGATTAGTGGCCTGTGATGGATTTGGGGGTCTCAGGATTGTTTTAGCACATGTATTTATTATCTTTTCATTTATTTATTGCTGATCTGTGGTGCTGACAGGGGAATGTTTGGGCCATACGCTGCTGTGAATGTCTGATATTTTTCTGTTCCTGATTGTTTAACAACAAGGCGGGTTACTGTGAAATGAAGTGAGGTCTTCTGAATGTGAATGTGAATCAGGACTAGGACCCAGTGTTGACATTAGAGGGTACAAACCTTCTCTTAGAGTCCACTTGATGTCTCCGGACTGTTTGGAGACGGCGTGCAGACTGCCATCCAGGGTGGAGACAAACAGGAGGGATTCTGGGAGGGTGACGGACCTGACTCCTCCCACCTGACCGGAGGAAAGAGAGAGAACTTGGAGTAGACCAGTTGACGACAGCGTGTGTGTGTGTGTGTGTTAGTGGAGGTGGGTGTGTCAGCAGGTCTACCAGTCACTTTCTTGCTGTCTCTCACGGAGCAGGATATCCTTACACACACACACACACACACACACACACACACAGACTGTCTGCCGCTCCCATGTTTACCCTCTAACGGGTGCAGCTCCTCCAAACTTGACCTAGGTACAAACTCAACATGTCACAAACACAGATAGCGCAGACCGGACCTGTCCCACCCGCTCACTTCGTATTAACCCTGGAACACCATCACTATCGCTATCAGGTGATTTTTACTCGAAATAATAAACCCAAGAAAAATTACTTGTCATCAAAATAATTTAAAATAGGACGATACATGACAAATTAAAGTAGTTTTCTTTTATTTTTAACTGTGCGTTGTCCAAAGGGAGGAAAAAAAGGGCCATGAGGGGACTATAAAAAAATGCAACAAAATAACTGAAATAAGCCATTCATAACAAAAAACTCGTAAAACACCGATGCGTCGTTAACTTCCGTTGTGGCTTTTTTATTTTTTATCTGCACCATTTCTTTTTTATTTGCAGCAGGCTTGTTTTTATTTATTAATTTATTTTTTGCATCAGAAACTTCTGCTGTTGTTATTTATTTTTTTTGCATTGTTTCTTTTTTTATTTGCAGTGTTTTTTGTTTTTGTGTTTGTTTTTATTTGCACTGTTTCTTATTTTATTTGCAGCGGGGTTTTTTTTGCATCAGTAACTTCTGTTGTCGTTATTTATTTATTTATTTATTATTTTTTTGCATTGTTTCATTTTTTGTTTGCAGTGGGGTTTTTTGTTTTGTTTTTTATTTTTTGCACAGTTTTTTTTGTTTGCAGTGGGGTTCAGTTTCTCTTTTCGCATCAGTAACTTCTGTTGTCGTTGTTATTTTTTTTTGTATTGTTCCTTTTTTTATTTGCAGTGAACTTCGGTTTCTTTTTTTTGCATCAGTAACTTCTCCTTTTTTTTTGCATTATTTTTAATTTGCAGCAGTGGCAGTTCTCGGCCACAGTATCAAGGCAATGCTGAAGCAACCTAAGACCAACACAACATCATGAAAACCACGTAAACTTGTTTGGTCGATCGTGTTTTAGGGATAAATGTCTTTGAACGTTTGAGTCCAATCGTCCAATCAGATCACAGTATCATGGTCACTCTCCTGGAGCCTGAAATAGACATGGAGGGGGGGGTGTACCAGCTGTGGACCCCGACCACTGCAGCAGAAATAGACCGAAAGAAAAGAGCCGAACAACAACAAACACACACACACACACACACACACACACACACACACACACACACACACACACCCTCCTAAGTTTACCTGGGTCGGTCCGGACAGCAGCAGCAGCAGAACAGACAGCAACAGGCGTCTCAAAGACCCCCCCATGACCCGGAGCAGACTCGGTCTTTACTGGCTCCGGACTGGATCTGTAGAACTCCTGACTGGAACAGAGGTCGTGGTCTGTCTTCGGTCCCGAGAGTCCATGAGTCAGAGGGTCCGAGAGTATCAGAACCGGACCGATAGACACCGTGAAAATCTGCTGAAAACCCACGATGACAGAAACCACACCGTTTCTTACCTCGATTCAGATATTTCCGTGTTGGGACGGAACCGGTGACGTCAGGAGCGAACTGTCAAGCAAACGAGTGGGCGGGGTCCGAGCTGAGTGACAGGCGGGCGGGCCAATGAGCGTGGAGAGATCGGGAGGGTGAGGGGAGGAGCGATGGAAACGTCTGGAACACGTGGAAAGAGACAGCAGGGCAGTTTGAAAACAACAAGAGAGAGTTTCGAGTGTTAAAGGAGGAGGAGGTTCTGGAGGTCCGCTTTGTGTTCCTGTCTCTACTGTCCCAGAAACACTCACTCCCTATTGGTGGAAAATACGCTCCACACATCACCGACTGTTCTTTACAGGGGGGGAACTCCGATAATAATAATAATGACGTGTTCAATAATTATAATAATAATTTTAAAAAAGAGAGAGAAATGCTTTATATCTACATGTTCAATAATGATAATAATAATAATAATAGCGCCAATATTTACATGTTTAATGATAATATTAAAAATATTATTATATCAAATTTTATTAAAAACGAATATTATTTTAAAAAGAGATTTGTGTCATATTTAAATGTTGAGTGAAAATAAAAGAGATGAGCTTTTACATGTTCAAAAATAATATAAATAATGAAAGATGTGCTCCAATATTTAAACGTTCAGTAATGATAATAATGTTAAAAAATTTGTTTCATAACTACATTTTAAATAATAATAAAAGATGTGTTTATAATAATATTAGGAGAGATGTGCGCCTATACTTACACGTTTAATAATAATATATTTTTGAAAAAATTAGCTGCATATTTAAATGTTCAATGACAGGGTGACTTAAAGTCAGATTTCCATAAAAAGAATAATTGCTGTACACACACACACACAAAAAAAAACATTTTTCTTTTAAATAACTTTTGCTGGAATTATTTCTAAATGAACCTGGAAAGTTTTAATCTAAAAGGCAAAAATGAAGGGGAAGACTACCTTTATATACTACCTATATATATATAAATGTACATATATAAAGTCTGGCCTCAAAGGTTAAAGGTTTACAATATTTGGTCCACTGTAGTCCAAAGCCTGTAAAAATTTTTCCGTCTGGACTCTGTTTTTAGTTGGCAAAGTTTTATTTTGAAGGGGCGACATTGAAATTGACTTTCATTTGTTCAGATGTTCACTAACAGAGAGGAAGTTTATGATTGAAGAACAGTGAAGTTTAAAACAGTCTACCTGACAGAAAAACTACTGAGAAATCTCAGTTTGATGGACTAACATGAAATAGAAGAGCTCTAGAAGCATGTTAAAAACTGTGGATATAAATTTGTTTTGTTGTTAATGAGATTTCTATGATGAAGTTTTATTTTTTTCATGGTTTGATATCATCAGGAAAAGGCTGGAACAGATAAACTTTCTGTTTCTGCTGATCCTGTTGTTTTCTTTTTGTCTGCTGTTTGGTGTCCTGTCATTAGAAATACTTCAATAAATTAAAGAGTATATTCAGTATATGTACTTTGAATTGGATTGGACTTTTTATGAAGATAAAATCAAATCAAGAAGTCTTAATAAAATCTAACGTAGGTGTCTTCACGTGTTTCTAAAGTACAGATTGGACAGAAGAGGGAGGCAAAGACACCTTGATTTTAATCTTCCTCTTTGGTTCAAAGAACTTGAACTTTTTCCTGGACTGAACTCAAATTAGCAGGAAAATTGAAAGTATTACAATTATGGAAGATTAAAGATGTAAATGTCTTTACCTTTTTATGTGAACAAAAGTCAGTCACAAGTTCAAAAAAATGTTTATTTCCCTTCAGAAATGTCAGCCGACTGTTTTTCCGTTCTTGACTGTCAAAAATACGACCAAAGTGCTTATGCAAGAAAAACACGCTGAAGAACGGTCTGAGCAGGTGTGCTTCAGATATGTACTGATGACAAATAATAATAATAATAATAATAATGATAGTGATGATAAGGATGATGATGATGATAATACTGGCAGGCACTTCTGTCATTTGAGGTATGCGCAAAATGAATGAACCAAACAGCATCACAGACACGTCTTTAAAGGCAAACACTGGCTGTGCACGAGTGAGGGAGGTGTGGGTTCTGCACACGGTGCAGCTCCCGGGCCTTTGGCTCGATGAGGTCTACAGGTGGAGCATGCTGTCCGGTTTAGGATACCCAAACAGCTCAAAGTCTGGTTGGTAGAGTTTGTAGAGTTCTCTCCTCATGGAGGTGGGAATCTCTCGAAACCAGTCTCTCTCCCAGCTGGCTGCAGTGCGGTTTCGAGCTCCTGAAGGGAAGTGAAGGAGATGATCTACCTCCAGGAGCTTCAGCAGGTGCTCGGCGTCTGTTTCCAGGGTTTCCAGTCGACCGATGAAGTCGTATTTCACCTGGCATGGATGGCACAGACGATAAACCTGCAAAAAAAAAAAACACAAAAAAACAAGATGTGCAAATTTAAAACGGCAGGAGCTTCGACCTTAACACTACAGAGGTAACATCTACCTCTGTATGTGTTTCTGTGTGTTCATACCATACATATATTAAACATTATATATCTTAAACTTATTTTTTATACACAGTAAAAAGAAGAAAAGACAACATCAGTACTGTCATTAAAAAAAAAACAGATGTAGGTGCTGATTTAGCCGCAGGATCAAGTCTGACCTTTATTATCCGCTGCATGTTTCCTATCTCTCTCTACACGTCTATCAATAAAGGTATCAATGACCAATATATAAATGATATTGATCATTCAGTCACTCTGACTACCTGCCGCCAGTGTTCGTTGAAGATGCTCTCCTTCTCCGTCTCCGGGTCCAGCAGGTAGGTGACGAACTGCTGAAACGTCGGTTTGATTCCTGCTGCAAACGCCTCGGCTGCTGTTTCTGGCAGACCACCTGACACGTTACCGTAGCGACGCAGCATGACCGAGCCAAACTGCTTATAGAAGTCCTCATTGGGCCTTAAAACACACACACACACACACAAAAAGCATACTTTAGACATTCAAGGACATTCTTGGTGCTCGATTCAAGGTACATGCACACACACACACACACACACACACACACACACACACACACACACACACCTTCCAAACTTGTTCCTGAAGGCTGAGATGAGACGAACAAAAGGGTCCCGAACAAAGAGAAACTTGGTGTAGTGCTGGAGTTTGAGCGCCATCAGGTGGCGGGACAGGGAACCATAATGGCGCCAAAACCTGTGAAACACACACACACACACACACACACACACACACACACACACACACACACACACACACACACACACACACACACACACAGACGGCAGCAGTGTTAAAGCTGGTGTTTGTCCCAGTGAGGGTTTTTGCTGCGGTCCCGTTATGTCACAGGATCCAGAGGAGGACAGAAACAAACATGCAGACACAGACGGCTGACCCCGGGACCGGAGAAAGGTCCGTCTGTGCAGCTCTGGGCCCCGCCCGCCAGCCCGCCGTTTCCACTCTCCTCTTCCAAGACCCAGCCCAGTAAATAACTCTGAGACCACAGAGACTTCCAGCTCAGTTTCCACTGAATATCAAAGACTTATGTAATCAAAAAGATCATGGCCCAGTGTGAAGGAGTCGAACCCGAGTCTTTAGCCTCTGAATTGAACTCACAGCTCTGATCATTGAGGTTAAAACGGAGACTTTGTTCAACTTCATCACAACCACAGAGTTTGTTTTTGACTTTTCCAAGGACATCCTGACTTAGCTGTGATTTTCCTCTGCTGTTGTCACGGTAACAAGGTTGTTTTTTCTTTTAACAAGTCTCTTTGCGTCCATGTGGGTCGGTGAGGAGATCATTTTATGAGTTATTTAATAAAGAGCTCCACAGACCCTTGAAGACCTTCATATATTTGTTTTTCTCCAGCTCTGTTAGATAACTTGAGTTTTCAGTTTTTAAAGACAAACCAGTTACATAAAAAGTGCCAAAAAATGAACCAAAATACCGAAAATTCAAAAACAGATGCTCTTGTTTGAGAGAAAAGTAGAACACTGACTGTGAAAATCTGTCACCTGAGCCCAGATGTGTAAGTGTGTGTTTGTGGTTGTGTGCGTGTTTCTGTGATTCAGTCATACTTGGCAAAAGTCAGATGTAGAGAGGAGTTGTGTACGAGGTCTGGAGGGACGGCCTCGGGGTCAGTGTAAGGTTTTCCTGAGGAGGGTGAGACCAGCGACTGAGAGAGGACCACCATCACTCTCTTCCAGTTGGTGCACGCTACCTGGAGAGGAGACAAGGAGGGAAGGAGAGGAGGTCAGAGGGAAGGAGAGGAGGAAGACAGACAAGGTCAGAGGGAAGGAGAGATGAGTCAAGTTTTGACCCGTCCAGACATGAGCCGTGGTTTCAGGATGTTTCTGACTTTTCCTCACACTTTATAAACGGGCGGGTGCATAAATGAAAAAAAAAACACCTAGCCTTAAAAATATTCTAACTAAAGGTTTCTCAGCTGTTTTTTTATAGTATTAGATGTCCTTAATAACAAACTAAAAGTGTACCGAAGTTTGACCACTAGAAAGGCGTCATTTTCAAGATGGCGTCCATGATGGTAGGAAGCCCAGGGAGACACCTCAGGTGAATAGGGTCAATTTTTTCACTGACAGATATCACCATGAAACTTCCCAAGTTTATAACTTACATTAAGACAAATATTTTTATATTACAAGTTTTGTCAAATGTTATGTTTGAGTATGTAAATGAGGTTATATCTAATTAAATATGCACTAATTTACATACATTTACAGAACCTAAAACTGAACAATGGATAAAGCCCCTTTTTAAAATTCTTGTTTTATTTTGTTGACATACTAGAGTCAGAAGAGGGGGAGGAGGGGACTTTGGATATCTCTGTTTATGACTCTGTAAATGAGAAAATACTCTCACCACCCCTAAAAACTCAAATATCTCCATGTGTATCTCCATGAGTTTTACTTGTAATCACTTATCTATCACACATATATGCTAATTAGAATATTAGATGAAAAAAAACATGTATCAGGCACCAGTATTCCTGGTCTAGAATGAATAAAAAAAGAGTTTTGGTCACATACACAAAACACACATGGAGATATTTAAATTAAGCGTCCGCATCACTGCTGACGCCGCTCCGATCCGCCTGTCGATCCCCCGTTTTATCCTACCCTCACTCTTGAACAAGAACTGGTTTGATGTAAATAAATTATCCTTAAATATTGAAGAAAAAAAAAATTTATGCTGTTGGGTAACAAAGGCAAGAACATTGATGCTTCAGTAAATATTAAAGGTATTAAAAGTAATAGAGCAAATAGAATAAAATGTTTAGGTGTTTTTAATGATGATAAATTAACCTGGAAATCACAGAATAATGGAATAAAAGTGAAAATAGTAAAAATGATTGCTATGTTAAACAAAATAAAGGACTAATTAGATAATAATAAAACTTTGTACCTCTTGTATTATTTGATTATCTGACCTACTGTGTTGAAGTGTGGGGAAGTACATGTAAAACTTCCATCCATCCAATTTTCATTTTACAAAAAAGAGCAATACAAATTATTAGTAGAAGTCAATACAGAGATCCTTTAAATTGTAGTTATTGAAATTCAGTGAGTGAGTAGATTTCAGTTTGTTGCAGATTATGTATAAATCTCATAGGAAAATGTTACCAGTCAACATCCAGAGCCAATTTGAAAAAAGAGAAAATTTATTAAAATTTAAAAGGATTTGAAATATTTAAAAAGCCAAGATTCAGAGCTAAACTGAAGGAGCGCTGTGTTACAGTGAGAGGAATACGTTTGTGGAACAATCTGAAGAAAGAAACTAAAGAAGACAAATCAGATTTGATCTTTACAAAAAGTGTCAAAGCCAGTATGTTGAGTAAATACAGGGAAATGTGTTCATCTAAGTCTTGGTCTGTTTGTTTTGTGGAAAAATGTGAATTAATGTGGTCTTTTCTGTTTGTTTTTGAGAATAAGAAATAATGAACTGTAACAGGCATGTTGGCCTGCAGCTCTTGTTTATTTTTATTATTGTGTGTTTAGTTGATTAATATCTTATGAAAGAGTTTTCTTCTTTCTGCTCCTTTTATTCACATGTTTGAGATTTTTCCTTGTTTGTATTGAATGTTTGAAATATTAACTGAATGAAATAAAGCATGAAAATGAAAACGAAACAGGTCTGAACGTACGGCGTACCTTTGGAACGTAGCAGTAGATGATCTGATGAGTGTCGTCCACGATCAGGTGGTCCAGTTCTCTGTTGGGGATCTGTTCAAAAGCCCGGGTCCTTCCTGGGAAATCGAGTCCATCCTTCCTTGAGGAACAAACATCCAGGATCCTCTGCTTCCTTGTCTCCTGTTCCCTTTCCTCCACAGCAGCATGTCTCCTTCTTGTCTCCTCCTCCTCCTCCCTTATCTCCTCAGTCCTTCCTCCTTGTGTTTCCTTCCCTCCTTTCTCCACAGGCACCAGTGTTGGACCAGCAGCAGTCGTGTGGACCGTACTGGGAGAACTGGTCCCCGCTCTGCTGGTGGACCCAGACTGCGGTGGGCCTGTAGTGGCCTGAGGGTCCGAGTGCAGGGACTTGTGTTTGGGGTCCTGAAGCGGGTAAAGGTTGAAGCCCCCGACATCGTCCCAGTACACGATGATCAGCAGGATCATAAACAAAGACCCCAGGATGAACGCCACGCGTAGACCACGCCATGTTCCCATGGTTACGCCAGATCCAGAGCCGTGATTGGAGAACACGAGAGGAAGTTATCTGAGCTCCATGGTGGTTGTCTACGGCGGAAGAAGGTGCTTCCTGTTTGCCAGCTGCAGCTGAAACATACAGGAAATGTGACTAAGACCAAACTTATGCACATGTTTTTTGTTTTTTTGAGCTTGCTGGTGGCTCAAGCTGTGATTGAAGAGCCCATTTGTCAGTGTGAGCCTATCATTCAGGTGACTGTATATTTTTGTAAATAGTTTTTGGACACTGTACATATTTTTTGCACTGTGTGGAGACTGGTGGAATTTAAAAAAAAACCTAAAATGTACCTTCTCGACTACGCCATATTGATTTTTTTTTTATGGGAGAACCCACAACATTCAAGAAATGATCATAAATGTTCTTCCAATTTGAGTTTCATCACTGAGTTCAGTAATGGACTGGCCTGAGTTCTCGCTACAAACGAGCGGCTGCTGGAAGAGAGTAGTTGAGTTGTGTTTATGTCCTGCTGATGAAGTTAGGTGCTGTTCTGAGCATTATTTGTGGCTATAGAGTGGCGTTTTGGTTGAGCGCTTTGCTCTCTGTATTGCTATCCTGCGGTCGTTACTAAAGTTGGTATAACTAGAGAAGCAATCGGTCGGCAACATTCATCTCTGGAGGGGGTGTCTAACTCGATGTCACGGTGTGTTTGACCCTAAATTAATTTTACGCCGGAATATCCCTTTAATCAAACTAACTGAAGAAGCTGAACACGAGTGAAGGTTTTATAATAATGCAATAAAAAAGGCATGTATCAGTCCATGTACGCTACAATCTAATAATCCTGCGTAGAAACGATGAGCATGTTTTAAATGAAGGTAGAAAACATGATGAAGGTGATATCAGCTGATGACTTTGACAGGCTGGTTTTTGTGCTCAGAGGTCAGCTCTGTAAATCAATAAAAACAGGAGGAGGTTTTAGAGCTTAGTAAGATTTCACCTTCGCCATTTTAACCCTTCACTCCACTCACCGCCATGACTCCTAACATCCACTCGGGTTATTTCAGGGGAGCTAAGATCAGATTCAGCTTTGGTCTAAAACTGCTCCGAGTCAATAATTTAACAAACAGCATGTTCTCAGCGCGTCCTCAGGTGACTGCATGAATAAAAAAAATCAGAGATTGAATCATGTAGAATAAACTGGAGCTCCTGTTTTGTTTTGGTGCTGAATGTCCTCCTCCTCCTCCTCCTCCTCCTCCCAGTGTTGTTGTTGTAGTTCCTGCAGCACTTAAACTTGTACAGACATATTTTACAGTACAAATATGAGAACAGGCATTTATGAAATATGTGCTATAAATGGTTTTTGGCCGGAGTGAGTCGTCCCGGGGCCGTGGGAACCTGCGGCTCTGCCCGGGGGCACTCAGCTGTCACGGAGATGTGAACAAACGGCGGGTGTGTGGGGGTGGGTGGGTGGGAGCTGCCTGTTGGAGGGTTTACTCCCCTTATTGTCTGTCCCATAAAAACATCTGCTGTCAAAGGAGAAGGTGGAAAAGATGAGGCTCTTAATAAAACCAGGGAAAAACACAGACAGTCGGGGCTAAAGCAGAAAATCCCTGAGCTCTTCGTGTCACAGATAAACTCTTGTTGTTGTTGTCGACATGAGTGAGTGACTGTGTGTGACTGTGTGTGTGACTGTGTGTGTGTCTTTCCACCAGCTTTAAATCTGAACTCCACGTTGACTGGAGGCCGGCCTCTTCAGAGGAATCTGCAACCACAGACTTTGGCACGCACACAACTAAAACACACACGTGCACAAAAACACTTAAAAATAGATGAAAATACATTTTTGTGAGGTTCGAGTTTCTCTGGGTTTGAAAACAGGTAAAAAAAAAAACCTAAAACTGGAGACTCAGACTGAAATATTCAAATGTGTGTTTTTCCTCAGGGGTCTACAGATCACCTCCTCCTGATCTTTGGTAGGAAAACTACCTTAATTTATACAACACACACACACACACACACACACACACACACACACACACACACACACACACACAGGTTACAATGTGCCCTTTCACTGGACACTGTCCCTCTCTCATGCATTTCTCTCTATTTCCCTTTAAGGACAAATTCACTCAAACTTCTTCTCCTCCTCTCTCCTCCTCCCTCGCTTCTCCTCTCTCGCTTCCTCTCCTCCTCTCACCTCCTCTTCATGCTCCCTTCAGCCGTGAAAAAAGCCCGGTTCTGTTCCCTCCACACCGGGAGCATCACGGCGACAATTAAACACGAATCCGTCTGAGACGAACTGACCCGGATTCCGCTCCGATCTTACCCGGCTGATGAGCTCCATGGTGCCGGGCGGTCAGCCTTTTGTCCCCGGCTCGGTGTCCCCCCTCCTGCCCGTCTGTCCGTGAGACCAGTGATGGGTCCGGGTGGGCACGATAGAAGACTGTGGTGGTCCGCGCTCACGCTGAAAGGAAATCACGCGAGATTTAGGGGGACAGGGCACAGACTCTCCCTCTCTCGCCAGCTCTCGTCTTTCACACTGACTGACACACACACTCACACACACACGCACTGCCTCCAGCACAGATTTAAAGCATGAAACCGAACACCATCCGCCTGAGTCTATGTGATCCAACGGAAGGTTCGAGGACCTAAAGACGGCCCAAGAGAGGAGGAGTCCCACTGAGAGAGAGTGGGAAATCCCAGACCCACTAAAGACTGTTTATATACTATTATAGGTTAACCTTCCTCCTGTGTTAAGTTTTACTACCATGACACCATGTTAAAGGGTCGGTTTTGACCCGTGTCTTAAATCAGCTGTAAATTACACTAAAAACATTTCTCTATCATCCAGTTTGGTTCTCATCTCTCGGTTTCCTTGTTCGGCTTCATTATCCATGAAAATATTGATTATAATAGTTTTCATGATGGTCCTCTGGGCCTTTTTTTGTCAGTATACCCCACACACAAACATCTATACTGAACTGATCTCACATGTCAGGACATGCCCTCTTTGTGCAGAAAAACATGGAAAAATGAGAATTTCCTAAATCTCACATAATTGGAAGAAGATCTGACTGTCAGTGCTATTATAAGGTTCCTATAAGTATTTAAAATCAAAAATGGGTCGGTGCGGACCCTAACACAGGGGGAGGGTGAAACTGAAACCTTTATATGATAAGCTAAACAAAAATATAAACTAAAACATACAGTGAATTATCGTTCCAACATTACGGTCCCCATCTGTGGAACAGCCTACCTCCAGACCTGAGAGCGACACCTACTGTTCATATTTTTAAAAAGTAAAGACCGACCTTTTTAGTCTGGCTTTGAGTTGAATTTTGTTTTAATCTTGTATCCCTTTAATACCTGAAACCACAAATTATGGACAGAAAATTCACATTTTTTTGGAGCTGAAATGTTTATTTTATTTACTTCTGAAAACCAAAATAATCAAAATGTCCTTCAAGTGTAACAAATATATTTATTTATCTAGTTTGATACATGAGATGTTTTTGGAAACTAATAAACTACAAGAGGACATTTTTATCATTTATTGGACTGTATTCAGGTGATTTTTATTAGCAATTTGTTGATCATATTGATTTGATAGAATTATAAAAAAGTATTTATCAAATATGATACAAAAGGCATTAAAGGGTTAATCTGCATTTCACGATTTTAGTCCTAGAGTAACTATTTTGTGTTTTATTACCTCTTTTTTAAATTTACTTGCTGTTATTTTTTCAATTTAAGACTGTCTCTATTAATTAACTGTTAATGCTTTATCACCTTTATTATATTTTATCACGGTTTCATCACTTGGGTTCTAGATTCAATTTTTCCTCATTTCATTTAACTCAAGAAAGCGTTTCCTCAGTCATCTGTGGAAAGTTGAAGAGTCCTCACCTGTTTATTAGTGTGTGGGTTTGATATTTGTACTTTTATTTACTTTATTTCATTGTTTTATAATATCCTGCGCAAACAGACAGCAGTTTGTGCTACATTATATGTATGAAAAGTGATTTATAAATAAAGTTTGATTGGTTGAAGCTGTTTGGGACGATAACATAAATATGTGAAATTATGCAAATGAATAAAGATCACGTGACGGATTTAGTTAATGGAGCAGTGTGTGAATAAAATGGGAATATTTAGTGATAGTCAGAGTCTGGACCAGGAAATTACACTGACTTCAAAACGTAAATGATTTTCTTTCTTATTTTTTTATTCTTAAGCTGTTTTTGTCTCACATCTCTCAGGAAGTAAGTATTTTAGGTCAGTAAAGACCCGTTTCACCAACACCAGCAGAAGTAGACATAATATTTTGAGAACGATAATAATCACCTCGGGGTTGATTTGCATCTCTGTCCATCTCTGTCCTGGACTCTCTCTGTTACTGAAGTCCAAACTGGATCTCCTCGTGTCGTAGTGCGGGTTGAGGCGCTGTCTCCTATAATGACTATTTATATCATGTGTGAGCTGATGGGAAAATGACGGGGTGACTGTCCGCCGCTGCCTCCACATCAAAGTCCTGAGCAGAGGCTGAAAGTTTGGACCACACTGGTGCTGTTACTAAAAAAAGTCGAGTTTTTAGACGGCCTTCAGCCCAGAAAAATAAAAGATGTGAAACGAGAGCAGAGTTTGACCCCTCAGAAAAATAAATCAAGATTGGTTGATTTTTTGTGTTGGGCGTCATGCAGCTCTAACTCCAGAGTGTGAAATCCTTTTCTTGTCGGTCTTTCTATAAAGAAGTTTGATCCATTAAAGATAAATTGTATGTGTATGCTATCACATGTGTATTTTATCATTATATAAGTATGTTAATCATCATTTACTGAAAATCACTTGGTGTAAATGCTCGCAGAGTCATATCTGTTTCTTTTTAATGATCAAGGAAAAGGAGAAGTACGGCCTTGGAGTTGGGACTGATACTTTTGTGCTGAAGCCATGCGACTACATGAACGCTACAATTTCACCCACAGGTTGTTTTCCCAGCAGTGACACTGAACTGATAATAAGTAGGACAATAGTATAAGCAGGAACCTGATGATGAACTAAACTGTCTTTGTCTTCCCAGTACAGACCACAGCTGCAACCTGTACCCTATTTGGATACTGTTGTAATGTCATGCCTCTTGTGAGATGATGTTAGTGGGCGGGGGTGTCTGTTTCTTGACTGCATAGAGGATGTGTAAAAATCTGAATTCCTCAGTCAGAGGAAGCTGCTGCTGACTCCTTGTAAGTAAAAGATAAAGAAGAAAAAGAAGTCCACTATCTCTGTCGTTCTCTGCAGTGTTATTTTTCTAACACTTTAATATTTATTTCATATTTATTAAAATCTTCTCTGTTTCAGAAATTTGGAAGGTTTTCATCTTTTTAAAAAAAAAAAAAACCTTTTATATATCTCATATATATATATTTGAATTTATTTACTTATTTTGCTTTACTGTCACTGCTTTTAACCGGAATAAAATGTTCTGAATGCTGGAGTGTGTGTGTGTCCATGTTTATGTGTAACTCTGTATTTAGTTAGCCTTGGGACAAAGGATTAAAATGACCATTTATGCTAACTCGGGCATATTTACATTGATGCTTTCGCTGACACGTCAATTAATGTGCATTGTACCAATCAAATAAATAAATAAATAATAATTCTATATCAGCCTCCAGTTCATTACTTATTACAAATAATTGACAAATAAAGATAACAGTAAAAAAAACATGTTTAACTTGGTCTGTTGAACTCACAGCTGTATCATTTCTAATATTTTTTTATTTTTAACAAATTAATCTGCTGATAAACTCGCTGTTACATGAAGGTGGCGAGCAGGATGAAAACTAAAACATGAGAGCTTATCTGGATGTCCTTTGACTTTGAAGTAAAAGGACCTGATGGGTCTTTAATCTGCTTTATTCTTTGTTGTGTTTTCAGGAGGATCACAGCTTTACAGAGACTTGAAGAGACTTTTGTGCCGATATATTTACCGTACCTGAGCTCTGTGTCGCCTCATGATTGATGTGTTTGTAGAAAACTGACTCACTGACCCATTTTTAAATCAATCAGGGGTGTGTGCTCCTATAAGAAGTCCTGGCTTTTGATCTTCTGAAAAGGCTGTAAAATATATAAGCCTGACTCTTTGTCCGACATCACTGTAAACATCTACAGCAGAAAGCAGGATCACACATGGACTCGGGGTGACGAGGTTAACGATCTCTGCAGCTTATAGAGTCAATAAACAGTCTGACCTCCTCAAGAATGAGCATCAACACTCCGACACACTGAATCACACGGCCGAGCAGGAAAACTAAACAGGACTTTCTTAATGACAGAGCAGGGATCCAGAATCATGGAGGACCTGATGTTTAAAATACCCCGAAGAACCCTGACTGTTTGAGACGTTAAAATCTGTTCAAGATCTCCTCTTAAAACCTGGAGAGGAATGAGTCAGCAGATCCACAGACTCCGACTCCTGTGGGTTTAACAAGGACTTAACGGTGGGGTAGGCAGGAACCCGTTAAAGAAGCATCTTTTTTTGTGGCGTACTTACAAAAAAGCTTTTTAATATCAGTAAATAGTTATCAGTTTTTGATGACATTTGGTAATATAACGATATCTCTGTGTTCTCTTATGTCTGTGTCGTCAACATTTTAACATTTTTAAGCGGCCCGCTCTTTCTGACTGTAAAAAAAGCCGTTCTCTGCCTCCGCGACCTGATTGGTTGTGAGGCAAACGCTGCTCCCCCGTGTTGTTCAGGCGCCCAAACAAAGTTAGCGTGCTACAATATCTGACAGTAGAAACCAACCAGAAAGTTCGGAAAATTGTCTGAATCCTCCTTTGGCCACGACTGCCGACACAAGCAAGAAAACAAAGTAAATACCGGAGACTCTGGAGGAATAACGGGCGCTTAAAACGGAGGTAGACCGGACGATCATCAGCTTCAATCAGAGCGTATGCTTCAGTTTATCACCAGCCACACGCATTTTCTTTTTCCCCGACTGAAGCAGAGCGCTGGAAAATCAAGAGAATGGCGCCCAGTTTTACGATTAAAGGTTCCAACTACAGCTTAGTTGTAAAATTGTAACGTAGTTATAAAAGGCTTCAATGAATGTGAATATTTCAGTGTGGAAATTAAAACGCTGGATAAAAACGCTGAAATTCATTGTCCATCATGTGTAGGCTTCTCGTTAATAAATTTAATTTATAATATAAATGAAATAATTCTCCCCATGATACTTTGAAAAGTCAAAGAACCATAATTTTGACCAGGTGGCGGCGCTCTCTGTGTCCCAAAAGGTCTCACGGTGCTGGGCAGGAGCTCTGGAGAATGCCTCGGCTTTAGCTCTGGAGCCTCCTGTTAGCTAGCCTGTCACATCGCTAACTTGTTTCTGAATCGATCAGTAATTTAAATAAAGTTTTTAAGTTGAAGTAAATTTGCACTTGCGCAGTACGGATCGGGTAGGTAGCGACTCGCTGCCATGAAATACACTGAAATGCCGAGAGAGGAAGTGACGTACGTTTCACACCTGAGCAGTACAAATTCTGTAATCTTCTGTTTGATGACGTTTCACAGCCAATCAGAGGCGAAGGAGGCGTGACCTTCCCCTACCATCCCACGATAAAAGAACATCGCCCCCTGGTGATAAAGAAGCAGACAGCGGGACACCAACAGGTCGTCTTGTATTTGAATGTTTATTTAAAGTTACTCCCGCTGCGCGCCCCCCCCCTGTGTGAAAGCTGAGTCTGAAAGGAGGAGGATAGAGGCCACTATAGCGCCACATCAGCGCATGTTTGATCACAACACTTCTGACCCAGACCGCCACGCCGCTCTGTGCTGCCCTCTGATGACACACTAACATGGCGAGGCCGGTCCAGAAACCAACCCGGATTCAGAAGGTCCAATCAGAGGTCAGAGGTCAGAGACTCTCTGATGGTGGAAGATAGAAAAAGAAGGCAGTATAACAGAGAGGTGACAAACCAGGGAGAGAGGAAACTAAGAGAAATTATTCAACACTTCAGTCTCTCGTCCCTCGATGTGGCGGCTGATCAGTGCGGCGCGCTCTGATGATGTCACTAAAGTTAAATTTTGAGGCTCAGGATGTGGAAACTCAAGATTCACGTCGTGGTCGTCGTCCTTCTCCGATCAATGACGCAGTTCTTCTCTCCTCCTTCCACACAAAAACGGATGGACTGAAAGAAAGAGAGCGAGAGAAAGAGAGAGAGAGAGAGGACGAGTTAGATTCAGGTCAGTGTCTAAACAGCAGGTCCTGCTGACCTCAAATGATCCACAGATGACGTCCACGCAGGAGTGAGACAGTCGTTCCTGCAGAGTCCACTGAAGATCTGACAGAGTGAATTCAGGAGCTGGACGAGTTCTGGACTCCTCCGTCTAAGACGCTCTACACAGAGTCAACAGTCCACTAAGGTGTGGTGCTGATGGTGTTCGTGTTGGCTGGAGTACAGGACTCTGACCCCGAATTTCCACCGTGTCTGGAACTGGTGCGTTTTTCGCCATCCGCTAATTCCCACTGGATCCGTTTGTGAGGAGAATGAGGAGACACTCCACGTTTCTCATTACGGCGGCTTTAACGTGTCGTAACACAAGTTCATGACCATCTATATATTACTGGTTTGTAACGGTCACATGATCAGTCATCAGTCCACTGAATGACCATCACAGCTGTCTTATTAACATCATCAGGTTGACTTCTCAGAGCCACGTCTCCGAGTTCTGCTCGTCTGAACGTTTACGACAACAGCTGATCATGTCCTGTCACTCAAACAGAGGAGGCGTGTTTTAGCCGTATATGTTTAAACTCAACAGCCAATAATCAGTCAGAACACTCATCTATCTTCAGGATTTCTGCAGACTCGGACTGTCCTTCTGCAGGTGCACCTGGGTACAGAGTCTGGGGTCTTCACAACGTCAGAGAGGAACCCAATGAGAGACCAGAAGGTCTTCTGAATAAATTTCTCTACATTACACACAGCCTCCTAACAGAACCGTGATTCTGGACCTTTCATGGTTGGTTTCATGAAGCTGGACTAGTCCTGAGAGGATACCTGAGGGGTCAGCTGAGGGGTTACCTGCGTAGGGGACTACAGATCTCCAAGGGGAATGATTTCTTCGTTGATAAAAAACTCAATGGTCTCCTCCTCCCAGTCGTCCACGTTGCTGTCCAGTTCATCAGTGTCCACTCCTGAAAGACAAAAGACAGAGTTGGTGATATTCTGGTGGAAGAAGGAGGAGGAAGTTCAAGGAGAACATCTGAGAGGGTCCCACCTCCTCTGAGCTCCAGGCGGAGGTTCTTCTGCTCCAGATAGTTCTGCTGTGCCGTCTCCCTGTAGCGACGGTAATCCTCCATCATGGACCTGCGTTTGTCCACCAGCTCCTACTCGAAAGAGGAAAAGTAATCAGACACGCAGAAGACACCACGTTCATCTTTAGATGGAACTACGGAGAGCTGAGCTGAACAGAGACGTGAAAAAGGACGAACCTTCGAAGCCTTGGACTGGCTCAGACGATCCTTCTGCTCAAAGATCTTTGAATACTTCTTCAGATCCTTTTTGATCATCTGGAAGACACGACAGAGTGTTAGAGAGGAGACCACGACACCTGTGGGAAAAAAACACTAAAACTGTGGCAGCTGTGAGCCTCAGAGCAGATCTGGAATCAGGAGCCGCGCAGCAGCTCTCATACGAGGTGTCAGAAAAGTTTGAGTTTTTGTCATCATGGGCTTCACACACAAACACACACACACACACACACACACACACACACACACACACACACACACACACACACACACACACACACACACACACACACACACACACACACACAAACACACAGATCCAAAAACCATCGACCACAAGATCAGTCATTAGTGACAAAATATCGTCGTCAACAAACCTTTCTCACGTGATGAAAACGAGATGAGACGCAACGTAAATGATGGTCTTGTGATGATAACAATAACTGAATATATAACGCAATATTGTTGACAAATAAAAATTTGACTAAATGTGGATCACAAAAAGAAAATCTGCTAAAACGTCTCTTCATTCTCATTGACTAAAACGAGACGAAATTGTTTAGTCGTGTTGCTTTTGTTTTTGTTTTCCGTTTCCTTGGCTGTGTGACGTCACATCCTCGATCCCCTAACTCGCAGTATTTTTAGATGTGGTGGGAAAAGACGTTTTTGGGTGAGTTGGAGTCATGGCCGTGGAAAAGGATGGGGAGAAATGCGGCCGTAAAATATGCGGGAAAATCGCCACGAATCTAAAAAGACACCTAAAGGTCTTCCATGCTGAACTCGAGGATCTATACTATTCCAGGTAATTACACTATATTAACGGGGTTAAACAGAATTAATTAACTAAAAAGAGATTAAAGTCATTGACTAAATCTAGACTCATATAGTCATGGGTTATTCTGACTAAAACTCGACTAAAATGTTCAGAGTTTTAGTCGACTAAAACTTGACTAAACAAAAATTAGTTTGTACTAAAACTAATAAAAACTAAAATGAGAGTTTGACACAAAGACTAAAACTAAAATTAAAATTAAAACAACACGACTTAGTCCAACAGGAGTGTCCCAGAGCGTGAGAAGGCCATCAGATACCGAGCAGAAGTTTCTCTCTCTCTTTAAGACTCTGAACAGGACGGAGCAGGAGCTGTTCTTCTCGTTCTCAGACTGAGAAATTTACCTTTACATCAACGACAAGTTCAAACAAGCCAACCTGTGGAGTAAAGCCTCGACTATATACAGGATCAGCACCTTGATCTGGTCTACGCTGAGCAGGGTTGGAGGTCTGGGTCTCCAGAGAAGCTGACAGAAGCGGTCTTTGTTGTTCTTCTGAAGGAGACGGCCCTGGAAGGTCCACAGCCAGTACGCGTTGTCCACCTGAGAACAAACGAGAGAAAAACTTCAGGAACTTTCATCAAATCCTGAAATATAAATTTCTGCAGAAAAGGAGGAACCATATTTTTGGGATCTTGGAGAAACTGAGACCTTGTGACTCCACCAGGAGACTGAGGTGACCACGTAGCGGCCGGTGGGGTCCCACTCCACGTCAGAGGCCATGTAGTGCTCTGCTATGTTCATCATGGTGCAGTCTGACGTGTCCACGAAGGCGAGCGCTCCGTTCATGCTGTTCACACAGAAGACTCAGAGGTTACCATCATGAACCAAAGTCACGGTCTAATGTGGTCTAACAGGTCCTCAAAGGGGGGAGCCTCAGACCAGCGTTAGAATCAGGAGCTTCACAGCTCTCATACGAGGTGTCAGAAAAGTGTTTTAGTTTGTCATCAGCGGCTCTGTGGGTCCTTCACACACGGCTCATACTGACCTCCTGAGTCCGGCCAACACCAGGAACTGTCCCTGCGGGCTCCAGAAGATGCTGTTGGCCTGCTGCTTATCAAACATCTCTGCAGAAGGAGAACAAAAGAGGCGTTCAGGGGAGCTGGAGAGGACCAACGTTTGAGTCAGGACATGAGAGAACTTTGGACAGAACTCACTTATGAGCTCGATCTTTCCGTTGTTTTTGACGTGATAGAAAGAGACGCTTATCCTGGGAGCCTCTCCGTGGAGGACCGCAAACTTGCTGCCGTTGGGTTCCCACGCAAAGGCGATGATGCTCTCTGAGAAGAAAACCGAGATTTGATGAGGAAGTTTCAGACGTGAAGGTTGACAGATGAAGGTTACTGCTGAGTGTGTTTCAGACCTTTCATCTCCACCACGTCCACAGGAACCTGCTTCTCTCTCATACGGAAGATTTCAAAGTTGGTGACCACACCCTGAGAAATGAAGAGAGGTTGAGTTTAACGTTTGAGTTTGACATGATGAGAGGTCTCTGCTGAGTCTCTTCTGCCTCATTTTAAACCCATATTGGATCAACAAATCACCTCTGTTGTTAAATTCACTTTTTTTATCATCTGAGGCTTTTATCCAGGATTAAATCGGTTTGATCTTTTCATGATTTTGAGCGAGTCATTCACACTTTGGTTGGACGACTGTAACGCTCTTTTACGTCGGTGTTCATCAGGTTTCTCTCACACACTTACAGTTAGTCCAAAATCTTCGTCTTTTAACAGGTAAACGAAAACATGACCACATCACTCCTTTTCCGTCGTCCCTCCATTGGCTTCCTGATCATCTTAGAATTTGTTTTAAAATGTTAGTTTGTTTTAAAAGCTTCAAACGGATCAGCACCACAGCACATCTTTGACCTCTTCAATGTTTATACCCTTGAGGTCTGCTGATCAGCTCCAACTCCTTGTCCCTAAAACTCTTTTAAAAACCTGTCGCGACCAGGTTTTCTCGGCCGTGGCTCCAAAATTGTGGAACGAATCGAGATGAAACCATCCCCCTCTCGTTCTACTTTTAAATCACGTCTTAAAACTCATTTGTATTCCTTGGCCTTTCGCTCAGCATGAGAGCTGTGTGATCTCTGTCCTTTTATCACTTTTATTTCTCTCTTTTTTTTTACTTTCTTTTATTTCATTTTAAACGCTTTTTTACCTGCTTTTATCTATTTCATCTTGATGTTTTCTGCAGTGTCTGTTCTTTTCATTTAACTGTGCAGCACTTTGGTAAACTTGAATGTTCCTCTAAATGTGATATATAAATAAAGTGGATTGGATCTGATTGGATCGTCTCCTCTCTCCTCCCACACGTGCACACCTGTGTTCCTTTGGGAGTCCGGTCCACTTTGACACACAGGTAGTCTCCGTTTCTCTGCCAGTGCAGTTTGCAGTCGACCACGTTGAAGAGGTTACGGACTCGGATCTCCTGACGGGAAGGCATCTGCATCAGCGTCACTCTGGCTGGGATGTCTTTGTCCTCGGGTACCCAGAATGCAATGATGTTGTCGCCGGGAGACCAGGAGAAGTCCCTGCGGACAAACACACATGAATCAGCCGGGTCACACGGAGCTGCTTCACACTCACAGCTCTTAGTTTGATCCGTGGACGTCTCTTACTTGATCCCGTTAATCTTCAAACTCTTCTTGTCCAGCAGGCCCATCGACTGAAAAAAGGAGAAATGGATTCAGGACAAGCTGCACACTCTACATCTCCTACATCTACGTTTCTATTCTATTCTAAACACAGTCATCTGACTTCATCTGGTCAGTCCTCTCACCGGAGTCTCATAGATGCTCAGAGTGTCTGTGGTCATCCTGGCGAAGAACTTCCCGTCGTGGCTCCACCTGAGAACAAACCCTTCTGTTATGAAACGCTCGATCACAGCAGGAGCAAAAACCAGGAGCGGAGGAGACAAAAACATCAGAGTACTGACTTGAAAATGGGCCAGTGTGCCGAGCTCTCGCAGTGGAAGCCTCTCTTCTTCTGTCCGGTCAGAATGTCCCAGATAATGATGGCCTGAGGGTCCTCTTTGGTGTCCATCAGAGGACTGAAGGTCACCACATACCTGGAAGACATCACAAGCACAAAAGCAGCTTCAGGTTGAGGTTTTATCTCTACAGATTCCTCTGATGAGAATCTGAGACATCTACAAACTCGGTCTGAAGAAGGTGACCACATGGAGCCTGAAGTGTCAACACTCCTCCTTCAAACTGACAAGACATGCTCGTACCTTTCGCACGGTGAGAAGTCGATGAGGGAAACGCCTTGATGACTGAACCTCTGTATCTGCTTGAACTTCTCGCCGCCCCACAATGCAATGCCCCTTTGATGGAAGGTAGCCAGGTAAGTGCCTTTAGGAGACCAGCGCACATACGTCTCTGTCCAGCGCTGAAACAAAGAAGCTCTGAGTTAAGGAGCCGCTCCTCGTACCTGATGCAGCTTCATGAATTCAGAGTGTGATCTAGTGCTTACCGCTCTCTCTTCGACTACGATCGGGTCCTTCGCATCGTTGTTGAAAATGGCCGTCCTCTCTCCAGCTTCGTAGATCACGCTGTACTGGTCACGACAGTCGGGGTCCTCGATCCAGTGGCGCATGTTACCCTGAAAGGAGAAATATTCAATTTAACCCCCAATTTCCACCGCATCTAGAACGTCTACGAAAAGTCGGTATCCTCCGATTGTAGCTGATCAAATCACTGACGATTACGCCGAAGCAGTGTCAGTCTCGTGTCTTTAATCGTGACAGTGGTGCGAGGGTTAAACTGTCTGAATTAAAGAGCATGTCGGATAAATTTAGCACAGATTAACCCGTGCTGGAAAGGAAGTCGGGTACAGATACAAAATAAAACATCCGGCTTCTTTTCAAAATAAAACACTCCGTGTTTCAGGAGGATCGTATTTTACACCATGCAAATGGGCGGAGACGAACAAGTGAAAGGTTTTTAGACGTCATTTCACCCCGATGACACCATGGATGAGGAGATGCTGATTTTAGAAGTCTAGAAGTATATTTCCACCTCTGGAAGGACACAATCTACTGCTTATATGTTAATGTGGCTGTCTTCATAGAGACAACTCGTTATCGTATGTGAATCTGCAGGTTCTTGTGAGTTGTCGCAATTCCCGCTGTCCGTGATCTGCCACAAAATTCACCTCACAAACGAATCCGGGTCAGAGTCGTTCCGGATGCGGTGGAAATTCGGGGTTAGGAATGCGGATCCTTCATCAGGTCATTAACAACAAAAACAATCATCAGCCTCGTTGTAATTCAAGTCAGGAGCTCGTTAAAACACTCACAAAGTCTTTGAACGGCTGCTTCTCTGGAGTGACCCACTCATCGCTGATGTTCATGTACCTGTGATCAAAAAAAAAAAAAAGAACACAGATTTAATCCACGTCCCTCTTTTCTGAATGGACATTTTTGCCGGAGGTGGATCTCGTACTTGTCAAAATCAGTGAAGAGGTTGACCCTGAACGTGTGCTGCTTATCCAGTTTGTACCCATCTGCATTTTTCACCGCCTCCAGCGCCTGAGTGGGGGCGGCGTACTCTATGAAGATGTACCTGTAAGAGGAATTGTTGACAACACTCAATCCACATTACGGTTCTTAGACATCACCATGACAAACGGAGTCAAAAAACCAGCACATACCCTTTAGTCACGCCCTCCACCTCTGGGTAGAACTCAGTGGTGATTTTGCCAAATTTGGAGAAAATCTTGTGAATGACGTTCTTGAGTTTCTCCAAACGCTCCGGGCCCACCTGAGGGACGTTGTCCACCACCACCACCGAGTCAATGCCATCAGCCTCCTGGGGCTTTTCCCTCAAGATGTCACCCAGCAGCTCTGAGGAGAAAAGGGGTGGAGTGGGGTTAGTATAGTGAAGGGAAGCAGTTTTAGTCAGAACATGCGCAGAGAGCCTGACCTCTTTAACCTGCAGACTGTCATTCACAGAGGAAACATCATGTCCTCCTCTCAAGATACATTTGAGTTTTCTACATGATTTAAAATCAATTCTCAATTTCAGCCTCTGTCGCTTTAAGACCCCATGCATTTCAGAACCCTCCTCCGCTGTTGCATTGCTACAAAATTGTGTTTCTCTACCTAAAATGACAACGTACACAATATGGCCGTACGTTCTGGACCCTGGTTCTGACTGATTATGTTCGGAAAGACACAAAAAAAACTGTTCAGTTAAAAAGACCAGAGCAGGACGTCTCTGTTCAGGAAGTTCTAGGTTCGATGCTCTCTTTCAGGAGATCCTCCAGATTCCCAAATCTAAAATGTCCATCAAATTCAGCTGATCTTGTTGTCAGAGCATTTGAACAAGATTTTCAGAGCAGCCTGTGATCTTATCCTGACGTGACTCCAACAGACATTTAGGAACACTGCCCACACTTCAGTGTAATATTTCTTAGTGACATATGAAATAGCACATCGTTATTGAAGAATCAACGTTCACAAGGACTGTGGAAGAATATCAAAATGGCAGAAAGCCTGGAGGAGGGAAGTTAAAGGGATATTCCGGCATAAATTTAAGTTAGGGTCAAACACACCGTAACACCGAGTTAGACACCCCCTCCAGAGATGATTGTTGCCGACCGCTTGCTTCTCTAGTTATACCAACCTTAGTAACGACCGCACGATAGCAGTCGATTATGCACTACCGCAGGGTGACGCAGCTCAAGGAAGAACATTTATGATAATTTTTTTTATCATTTCCTTGAAGTAATAATCACCATATTAATCATTTTTCACTGCGCGGTAGTTCTTCTGTCTCAGCGTCTCGTTCTGATTGTATTTCCAAGAAGAAATGATCATAAATGTTCTTCCTTGAGGTGCATCACCCCGCTGTAGTCCGTAATGGACTCGCCTGAGGTCTCGCTACAAACAAACGGCTGCTGGAAGAGAGTGGGTGAGTTGTGTTTAGTCTCTTTGCTAAAGAAATTAGTCAAAGTTAAAAAGATGTTTGGTGTCTAGTACTATGTCTGTGACCCTATATGTCCTGTTGATGAAGTTAGGTGCTGTTCTGAGCATTATTTGTGGCTATAGAGTGGCGTTTTGGTTTATGGCTCTTCAGACTGCTGTGTATTGCTATTGTGCGGTCATTATTTAAGTTGGTATAACTAGAGAAGCAAGCGGTCGGCAACATTCATCTCTGGAGGGGGTGTCTAACTCAGTGTTATGGTGAGTTTGACCCTAAATTAATTTTACACCAGAATTATTCATTATTACAGAGGTGGTAAAGCTCACCCTCTCAGACTGTAATGTTTGCCCTTCGTCCACATTGAAGATGGTTTATCAAAGATGGAAGCACCCTGTCTTCTTCCACACTTGTGCAATCAAATGGTCCGGATCAGTGTCTTCTTCCACACTTGTGCAATCAAATGGTCCGGATCAGTGTCGATCCATAAATTACAGGTTTGGTATTTGGAAATGTTGGTTTAGGGTTAGTGGTTAAGTCCAATTAAAGATGGATGTGAGAGTTTAATTTATGTTCATGAATCACTGTGACAGTTTCACAGAACAATCCCTTGCCTTATTAGATTTTCATGTACAGACCTATAGGGGGATAGTGTATCAGACTATACTGGTCTGAACCTGACCCACATGAGAAAGCTGGCCTATATCACCAGCTGCTTCATGCAAAACCACAAACTGCAACGTCGCAGTTCTGCTTTCTCCGCGTCTATAACTGATTCATACAGCTAAAAAATCTACATTTATCAGAAATCATCAACATGTATTCATTTTCTCAAGTGGCATCGGAAAGGCCAAATTCAGGGGCTGTCTGGGTCTGGGTGAGGCTTCAATGGGCGGGATATGACACAGTTAACGGGACTCTTCTGTCGGAGTTCAGCTACAACACGAAGGAATTTGTCTCTTTATTTCGTCTATTTTAGTCTCCAATGCTTTGATATAAAGGGGCATGCTAACTCCAGCTAGCTTCAGTGTAGCTCCTGTGGTACAGCGCCGTTGGTTTAGCTCCGAGCTAACTATTAGCACCAGGCCGGAAAGCCGCGGTCTTTCCTGCCGCTGCTTCTTACCCTCATCATCGACGTCATCCTCGTAGTCCTCCGGGTCGCTGAAGGAGGGCTCCTCCTCCTCGTACTCTGGGTCGTCCACCATATCCACCGTTTCTTGCATTTATCGCGACTTAGAGACGGATCTCTTGCCACAAACGAGCAGAATCCGAAACAGATCAAGAAGGCTGACGGTTCCTCGGCCGGTGCGGCACCATGTGCGAATACGGGAAAATGGACGAAGAGACGGAAACGGAACACCGGAACCAGTTCGGCGGGAAGCGCGCGCTGAGCTGTAGAACATGTGTATGCGCGAGCTGCTGGTGCTTCACATACAGGTGTGTTTATGACTCTGATAACAGCGCAGGTGTCTCTACTGTGACACTCAAACGGACACTGGAAGAAGAAGAAGAAGTAGAAGAAGAAGAAGAAGAAGAATTATGGAAATTACATTTAGTGAGTCAGAAGCAAAGGCATTGATAAAGAGCAGAATCATGAGTGAATAGCAAAAGTGTTGGGAGGTAGGTAATAAAAGAAGACATCTTTATGGAATTAACAAAAAGTTGGTAGTATGGAAATTACAGAAAAATCTATCAGGGAACAGTGATGTCTAGATTAATACTAGGCCACACGTTAAGATTGTATCTGAAATTGTAGGGATTAAAGTGCCCCTCCAAGCCAAATTATGCATACTAGGTATATATCCAAATGATGTTATTGTTAACTCAAAGCAGATGACTTTAATGGACTTGGGACTCCTGCAGGCCAGGAGAATATTTGCCTTATCTTGGAAGAAAATGGATGTACCTTCAATTAATGTTTGGGCGAAAGAGATGGCTTCCTGTGTTATACTAGAGAGATTAACATTTGTCATCAGAGGGAAAGCAAGTGAATTTGAGAAGATTTGGAGACCCCTATTGGGCTTTCTTGGATGTTAGGCCACTGACGCTAATGCAATGTGGCAAAGGATGGTGGTAATTAGCTGATGCAGAGCTAGCTGGTGACAAATTGGCTTAGAAGAATGAAATCGCGTCAACATTTCCGGTGAGTGCGCCGCACAGCAGTAAGCGATTTGGGACAACACTGCACCCTTGAAACTCAAGCACTGCACGATTGAGAACATAGTATGCTTAGAATCTTCAATTTGATAAATCTAAGTATTTGGTATGGAAGTATGCAATTTGAGACACACCATAGTGATGTGTCCCTAATCGCCGTATATATACAATATGTCAGTAGGTATGTCATGAGGGATGTTTTGACTTGCAGGCAATTAAAAAGATGAGAATGACAAATGCAATTTCGCTATGTTATATTGATAGAAATTATATTTTATAATAAGGCTGAGAAATATATATATATATTTTATACACTTTTTTCTTTTTTTCTCATCTTCCCTCCAACTTTTCGCGGCCCCCCTCACGCCCTCTGGCGGTCCCCCAGGGTGCCGCGGCCCCCACCATGAAAACCAGTGCTCTAGCTCACACTCCTGCATGATAGGGGGCGGTAATGCACCTCTAACGTTGGTTGCCATCCGCCGTGAAACAAGAAGAAGAAGAGAAGACGAAGAGGGAAGTCAGGCACCGGTGCATGTGAATGAGTTTCCCGCGACATGGTTGTTTATCAAACTGCACAGAGAAACTACAGCTGCCTGTTTTTCAGACATGTTCATTTTTTGTGTCAAACTTTCCCTCGCCGACGTTTTCCATGTTCTCCTGAATGTCAGGGAGTGTTTTAGCAGCAGAGGTTGAGGGTTTAACTGTACTTTTATTAGTAACCATGGACCGAGAGTGTGTGTCTCTGCTGCCCAGAGTGTGTGAGGTCCTGGCGGACTCTCAGAGGTCTCTGCCCGATGATACCAGCCTGGAGAAGCTGTTGGACTGGTTCACAGGTCTCACCGAGGCTGGTCAGTGTTCAGTCTGTTTCATCTGTCTGTGCTTTTACACCCTGTTTGTTGTTTTATTACCATCGCAGACTGTAAATCCATCTATGGTAATTTTAGCTTGATTGAAACTTCCCGATTAAAGCTCCAGTGAGGGGTTGTTAAGGGAAACACACACCCTGACTTATCCTCAAGTTCCACATGAGGTAGATCTGCTGCACTATAAATATGTAAAATATTAGTTTTATTTAAAAAAAAAAAGCAGAAAATGTTGAACATGATCAAACTCTTTCATTGAGGCAGTTTTTGTTTCAGACTTTGGCGTCAGTCAAGAGTTTTAGTTTTAGTTTGTTTTGTTTTTCTGAGACATTATAAATCTGAATTTATGATATTGTTTCTTCAACCTGAACAGAATTATTGATTATTTAAGTATTTGCTCATTGATCAGGATCAGAATGCATCATTTCTAGTTCTGGTTCTGATCCAATAGCATAGATTATAGAATAGGATAATTGATAATGAAGTATTTGCGAGTTGATAGATTTGCTATTCTCATTATTTCTCTTGGTTGGCTCACTTTCATGTGAATATGAAGCTGTCATGTTGGTTTTGATGAACTTATAAGAACATGTATGATGGTCAGGATCTTTCTTTGGTTTTTATTGGAGTTACTCATTGAAACATTGTTTATGATATCTGCTCCACCGTCTTACATCGACCTCCTCTGCTCATGAAGGGGGGTCTCTGCTGGAGTCCTGCCCATGCCTGATGGAGTTCATCTCTGCTGTGATCGACAACAAAGACTCCGACCCCGGCGTCCTCTCCTTCACTCTCAAACTCACCGGTCTGATTGCAGCCGCTGAGGACAGCTTTCAAACACTTCAGGTGGAGATTTTTGCAGTTTTTAGGTTTGTGGATCATTCAAAATGGACTGAAATGTTGCTGACCATTTCTGCATCTGCTCGTGTCTTGCAGGACCGCTCAGTTCTGGACCGGGCCTTCAGCGTTCAGCAGTGGCAGGACTCGGGCCTCTGGGAGGATCCTTGTGTAAGGATTGGCTGGATTCAGGGTCTAAAGAGCTCTCTGCAGCACACAAAGGCTCTCAGTTTCTTTATACAGTCAGGTGATCATGCTCAGAGTATTACTTCCTCTCCTTGTTTAGGAGGTGGGCAGTATTTAGGAGAAAAACTTGTTTCACTTTATAACCGTTTTCTCTTTTTTTCTCCTCTCCTCAGATTTTATTAAAACACTCCTGAAACTCCAGACAGACACCAGCCTGTTTGTTGCATCGGCTGCCAATCAAATGCTCGCCCACATCCTGCTCTTCTTCCAGACGTGTGTGCAGAAGAAAGAAGAGAAAGTCAATGGAAGCAGGAACTCTTTGGATATCGGCTCAGGAGGACCGGCAGCAGAGTACACAGCTGCTGTGAAGGTGATCTCAGAGAACCTCAAGGAGTCTCTTGTACCCAAAGACAGCGCACAGCTTCACCGGAGTCTGCAGACCCTGAAGCTGCTGGCCCTGCTGCTGGCTCAGGCTGGGTCTCCTCTCAGGGATGAGCTGATCCAGGCGGTCGGGGGGTCTCTGGAGGAGGTGGTGACAGCAGACTGCAGCCAACTCACAGCCCCACTGATGGACGTTATTCTTGCTGCATACAGGTAGGTGTGGAATCATCTACGCTCCATATCTACATTTAACACCATGAAAACCAGGTAATACACCACTAATAATAACGAAAGAGTAAAGGAGAGAGAGAGAAGTAAAGTTACTCTACAACCAGAGTCTGGCAAAATAAGTTTAGGTCCAGACAGGAGGAGCAGCAGTGGAGCATCAGAGATCACATCTCGACCTAGAGAGTCTGATTTGGAGTGAATATGATGTGACTATGAAGAAATGAAGCCTCGATGTCATTGTGCTCATTTGAAACTCGGATTAAAGTTCAGTCTTGTCAGTCCTGATTAAAGCAGCATCGAGGAAACAGTCCAGCTCGTCTCAGAGGATGAACATGTTCTTACGGTGGCCGAGAACCGCCACTGCTGCAAATAAAACATAATGTGATAAAAAATTTTTTTTAAAAAGCCAAAACGGAGGGTACCGATGCGACAAAAAAAGGAATCGAAGCCCATTGCAAACAAAAAAAGAAATGGAGCAGATAAAAAAAAAAAAAAGCCACAACAAAAGTTCATGATGCAAAAAAAGAAAAGAAGAGTTACTTACTGTGAAAATAAAAGGATGCAAATAGAAAAGCCACAACAGAAGTGAGCTGTCAGGGACCAATAATGATGATGCATCGGTGTTTTACGATCTAGGCACAGAAGACGACGGCGAGAAGACGAGCAAACAAGGAAGTGAAAAGGTTATTGATTAATTTCGCTTAGTAAACTTTTTAATGTGTCATTTGGTTAGAACATGTAGAGCCTGAGTCGATATGAAGTTGAACTGAAGCTAACACCACACCGACATCCTCCAGTTCAACTTCATATCAACTCAGGCACTACATGGTCTAACCAAATGACACATTAAAAAGTTTAAAAAGTTAAATTAAACAATAACCGTTCGAGGAGGTTTCACTGACTCCACTCAGCTGCTGTATAAACCAGAGTCTCACTGTGATGATGAAACAGTCTTACATGGTTCATTATTTTACCTGTTTGTCTTCAGCAGCTCCAAACCTGGGGGTCAGATCTCAGACCAGCATGTCAGCCGTCTGCTGTCGTCCATGTTGGAGACGAGCAGACCGCCTGTCCTCATTCAGGCCGCCGCTGCTCTCCTTCGCAGCGGTCATCAGTGAGTATCTGTTCACCTTCTCATGCACAGAGTGTCTGCAGCATCAGATCGAAGGGTTCATGTTTGCACCAACGAAGTTCAAGAGATCTTATTTATTACTCAACCTGGAAACTGTTTTCTTCTGTTTCTTCTCTTTTCTCTGACAGTGATTCCTCCCACACCCCCCAGGCAGTGAAGATCCTTCTGCTCCCTCTTGAAATGCTGACCGGTCAAACTCTACTGTGCAAAACCTCTTCTGGTAAAACACACAGACACACTAAAACTTCACTAATCTGCTGATCCAGATCTAATCTTGTTCTGCTCTTGTTACAGATGATCTTCATGTCTCCATGGCCCAGCAGCTGAAGAGTAAACCCTCCTGCGTCTCGATGATCTGCTCCTGTCTGACAAACACGCCGAAGATCGTGGTCCTGGTGAGGCTGAGACTACAGAAGGAAGACCCTCAGAGGGTTCATGTGGAGCAGGATGACAACACTGTCTGTGTTTCTCTCTTCCTCACAGACCCCTGACCTCCTCCCCTGTCCTCCAGCTTCAGTGACCTCCACAGTCCTGTCTGTACTGAGGCTCTGCAGCGGCGCCTCCTCTGGTTGCAACGAGGTCTGCAGGAACGTCATCGGCAGCCGCAAAGTTCAGAAATGTGCTCTGGATGCTCTGACGGCTCTAAGCAGCAGCGCAGGTAAAACATCGCACTCCCATGAGATGATCCAGAAACTCTGATTTAACTATCTGAAAAACATCGAAACAGTCTGAATAGATCTCCTCATGGAGTCACTGTTTGTTGGAAAAGTTAGTTTTTTTCAAAATCGCTGAATTTTTCTTTATTTTCAGATGAGTGTCCTTCTCATTTGGAGTTATCAGATGTAGTAATAATAATACAAATAAAAATGATAATAATAAAAATAATGATGATGATGATAATAATAATAATGATAACAATAATGATTATAATAATTATTATAATGATAATTATGCTAATGATAATAATAATCATAAAAATAATTTAAAAATAATGATAATAATTATAATAATGATAGTAATAAGAATAGTTATAATGATAATAGTAACTTTATTTATACAGTTACAAAGTACCTCACAACCTAAAAACAGAAGAGAAATAGAGGGGGAAAAAAAGTACAGCAGCAGACATCAGAACAGTCTCAAAACAGTCAGTCAGGAGGAATAATTTGAAAACTCATGAAATATTAAACCTCAACTGCGTAAAAAAAAAAAAAAAAGTTCTTAAAATAATTTAAAAATAATTATGATAGTAAAAATAAAAATAAAAAAGAAAAGTGTCCTCAGGAAGTTTGTTCCAGAGACTCGGGGGCCCCGACAGAAAAAGGCCGGCCCCCCTCGGTCCTCAGCCCGGACTGAGGAATAGTTCCGCGGACCCTTGGCTGAGGACCTCAGGGATGTCGGCTTTAACAATCAAACTAGTAAGTCCAGATTCAATGAAAATCTTCAAACTCTCTAAAGTTCAGACTTTTTAAAACCTTAAACTCCAGTAATCATCATCATCATCATAATTTCAGTTTCATAATAAACGTAGCGCTCTGTGTTTGGTGTGTTTCAGGATCACAGGAGAACACCAGCGACGTTTTGGCAGTCCTGACACAGTATCTCCAAAGTCCTGGTTCTGACCCCACTGTGAGTCCGATTTCCTCCACATCTATGAGCGCAGCTTCTCTTATCAGAGTCTAATGTAGAACTACAGTTTAGAATCCTCCAACACCTTCTCCTACTGTAAGCTTCCTCACACAAATCAAGTTCAGAAAGAAAAACAGCCGTTTACTGCTGATTTGACTTATGTAGAAAAAGGTTTGTCATCCTGTACCTTTAACACACACACACACACACACACACAGCAGACATGTTAAGCTGTTGCTGATGTAAAGTGGTTCATGTTGGTATCAGGTGCGTGTACACGTGCCTGGATCTGGATCAGGGTCAGCCTTCAGTCATTTCCCTGTTAGTAATGAGGGTGGACTTTGTTTTATCAGGATAACTGTAGAAAAGTCAGCTTGAAATGCTGTTTTTTATTAATAGTTATTATTATGTTTGTTTTGTTTATGTCATGTTATGACCGCAGTATAGCTCAGTGACCGATAAGTCAATGTGAAACTCTGTTCTGTTTGTTTTGTTGTTTTGTTTTGTGGTATGAATGTTGCTTATTGATCGATTATTAGAACAATTAGACGTTGAGTGAGGGGTTAGGTCATATAAGTTGTTTCTTCTCCCTGCTCCCTTTCAAGAAATGTTGCAACATGACATGATATAGTCAAACTGAGAAATCGCCTTGGCTGAAATAGATAAAGAAAGATCTCTCTTCCTGTTTTGCTCTCTAACTAAAACCACTGTTTGTGTTTGTGTATCAGGTTCTCCATAAATCCTTCCAGGCCTTGATGAAGTGGACCAGCACAGACCTCTCCGTGATATCAGACCAGATCAGATCCGGTAAGCTCCATGAAGGTCTTAAGTTCTGGTTTTAGGATGGACTCTCACCCTCTTAGTTCCAGTTTCATCCACGTGTGTCTCCGTCAGATCTGGCTGATGTGCTGAAGAAGCGAGTGTGCGACGTGCGCTGGGAGGTGAGGGACTCCGCTGTGGAGTTTCTGGGACACGTCGCTGACAGGCGGGTCCTCAAATCAGGAAACGAAGCGAGCTCTGTGTCTGGAGCTCTGCTGGGAGGCTGCTGTACCATTTCTCTCCTGAGGGAGGCGCTCCAGGACACAGAAAGTTACGTTAGAGCGAGCGCCGTCTCTGCACTGGCAAAGACACTGACACGCAGCTGGCAGCAGGGGGCAGCACCGACCCAGGAGGAGGTGAGCAGACGTGTTCGATGTTTGACTTTAAAGACAGACTTGGACTTGTGTTCAGGCCTCTAACAGGTTCAACAGATCTATAATAGATGCCCCATGACATCTATATTTGGAGTCCTGAGCAGCTCTTTAAAATTTTCATACGACTTAGAAGCTTTTTTCACTTCAGACCGCCGGAGAGGCGGCGAGAGAAACTAGAGCGGTCACGAAACAGACGGAGAAAAGTTTGACAACCTGAGTGTCGTTTAGTTTCTGAACTTTTTGTGTTTATTCTGTAGATTAAGGTTTTTATTTTGATTTCTCTTTCTTAAATCACAACACGTCCTGTTGGTGAATTCATACAAATGTGTTCTTGCAGTTTAAGGTTTCAGGTGTACTGGACCACAGGTGTGGAGTCATCACCTGCTCTGATTGGCTGTTTCAAACACGACAGCTCGTTTACATTCAGTCAAATAAAAAAACTGATTATAAAGTTCAGCGTCTGAAAAACTAAGAGGAATAAACTCTAAACTGTGAGCAGAAATTCTACAAACTTAACAGTAATAATAAACTTCTCTATTATTATCATGAACAAATATGAAGTTCTGACCCGGTTTGATATAAAAGATTCAAACAAAAACACTTTAATAATCATTTAATAATCAGAATAAAACATTGATTTGATACTTCAGGAGAACATTTAGATGAAAATCCATCACTAAATTAAATCAGTATCTGTGATCAGATCCTTCTTCACCGTCAGCAGCTTTTATGTCTGAGCTCAGTCTTCCCGGTCCAAAACTGGTTCCTGCTCAGAGGATTTGGATTCAGAACCAGGATGAAAAGTCGGATTATGACGATCTTCAGATGAAATGATGACAGCCGTCCTCATTCAGAGTTTAATTTCAGGTTTATTCGCCATCACTGATGAACCTTTAATGATCAGTTTTTGTTTTCGTGTTTTTTTTACTGTGTTTTGTGAAATTTTTATGTTTTTTTAATGTGTAACGTGAACTTTTCGTGGTTTTTTATTGTGTTTTGTGAACTTTTTGTGTTTTTTTATTATGTTACATGAACTTTCGTGTTTTTTTATCGTGTTTCGTGAACTTTTTCGTGGTTTTCTTCTGTCAGACTGAAATTGTGACCCGGCTGCTGGAGATCCTCTCTCAGGACACGGAGGGATTCGCCAGGAGGGCTGTTGTTCGATTCTTCATCGTCTGGTTCTCCGCCTCCTCCTCCTCCTCCGCCTCCTCCTCTCTCCTGATGCAGAGCGTTCGCTCCGTCCTCTCACAGGGCAGCGCCGATCTGGACTGGGAGGTCAAAGTTCACACTCTGGAGCTGGCTGAGCTTCTCATGGACAAATCTTTTAAAGGTCAAAGAGGTTACAGGAAGTACACGACCACAAACCACGCCTTGTCACACCCTTACGGGGTCGTTTCTGGGCTGACCCACAAACTCCACGCTCATACGGAGGGGGCGGAGTCTAACTCAGGGGGTGCGCTGAAGAGTCTGGTGGAGCTGGGCGTGGTCTCAGCTCTGCTGAGCGGTCTGGTCGACTGTGATCGGCCCGTGGGCCTGAAGGCGTGTCGTTTGTTAATAACACTCAGAGAGACGGTCTGCCCGGAGGATGTTACCATGGCAACAACAGCCGAAGTGTCGTGTGAACTTCCTGTCTGGGGCTGGGGACAGGAAATCAGAAAGATACTGTTGATGAAGAACGGCGATTTCACCCGAAAGGAGGGCGGGACTGAGGAGGAGCGGCGTGGGACAGTGGGCGCCACTGTGAGTGTGTGTGGGGTCAGGACTGAGGAGGAGCGGTGTGGGACAGTGGGCGCCACTGTGAGTGTGTGTGGGGTCCTGAGGTCCCTGAGTCTGGAGGACAGACTAGACCTCCTGACCCGGAGCAGCGACCACGTCCACAACTCCCCCCTCTCTCTGCTGCAGGACATCCTGACCGCCAGGACCGCACACACCCGCACCGACACACAAGCAGGGCAGGAGGTCATCGTGGACTGTTACTGACACACACACACACACACACACACACACACACACACACACTGATCCTCTCTTCATGGATAAAACAGGCGGTCTGTCAGAAGTGCTTTTCTTTACCTCCTCTGCTGATGGAGTCATTTCAAACATACAGCCAGCAGGGGGCGCTCTTCTGGTGGCTGGAGAAGAAGGACGACCTCGATGTGAAGAGGATGCTTCTTCATGGTCTGGATCCTGGATCACTGTGTGTACAGTCCTGTATGTAGACCCTCTGTGTATGAGGATCAGCTGTAAAACCAAAACTCTGTCAGGTTGATCAGAATCTGTGACTCCTGTTAGTTTTTCTAAATAAATCAGCGTCTCAAAGAGTCTGTGCTGCTGTGGCTCCGGTCTCACATTATGAACGCCGCCAAAAAACACGTAGATGATCCAACCATTCATTTCATTTTCATTTTCATACTTTATTTCATTCAGTCAATATTTAAAACATTCAATACAAACAAAGAAAATCTCAAACGTGAATGAAAAGGAGCAGAAAGAAGAAAACTCTTTCATAAGATATTAATCAACTAAACACACAATAATAAAAATAAACAAGAGCTGCAGGCCAACATGCCTGTTACAGTTCATTATTTCTTATTCTCAAAAACTAACAGAAAAGACCACATTAATTCACATTTTTCCACAAAACAAACAGACCAAGACTTAGACGAACACATTTCCCTGTATTTACTCAACAAGTTTATTGATAAAGATCAAATGTGATTTGTCTTCTTTAGTTTCTTTCTTCAGGTTGTTCCACAAACTTCTTCCTCTCACTGTAACTCAGCGCTCTTAAACTAGATAAACCATCAACTAGAGGACATCCTTTTTCTAATGTACGTCCTTCAGTGAGTCTAAAACCCAGCTACAGTATCAGAGCCGCAAGAAAAACTTGATTTTGGGGCCAATAATATTGATTGTTGATTGTTGATTGGATTCAGTGCACATCGCACAGCAGGAGGAACATAACGGTAGTGGACTTTGACATATCGGCACGAAATTACGAAATATTCAGAGGCGAATTTTGGACCGTTTTTGTCGTCCTAAATAATCGCACGACGAAAACGGTCCCGGTGTAAAAAGACATACATGCAAAAAATAAAAAATATTTAAAAAACGTATTTTTTTTATCGCTCTTGGGGGCCCTCGACTGGCCCCGGGGCCCTCAGTAGGCACTTAGTTTGCTTATTCCTTATTCCGGCTCTGTACAGTATCTCCATCAAAACCACACAAGATCAAACTCTGAGTTACTTTTAATTTTCTGTTGTTTTTTTACTAACAAATTTCACATTTATCCGTCTGAAGACGTCGACAACTCCATCATAGAAAAGTGGACGGTGACAGAATCCTTGTGCTGGTTCAGAAACACTGAATCTAAGAGTCGATTTTTGAAGGTTTGAAAGATTTTTCTGGGAAATAATCCAAGTTGAGAAACTCGCTGTGGAGAAATGAGTGTGGTATATTTGGAAACATGGTGAAATATATCTGGAACATGGTGCTGTGTGAGCGAACATCAGCATGACTCCAGAAAAACAGTTTCCTGGTAAATGAGAAACAAACTCTTTGTTTTGTTTTCTGTGTTCAGTCTGCATGTCGGGGTCACAGACGATCCTAAACTCTGAAACGGGTCGTCTCGCTCTATTCTGGATTATTTTCGTTCCTCCTCTTTTCTTCCCGTGTCGCTGATTTCCCTCGAGGAGATGTTTGGACGAATCCCCAGAGAACCAAGTGTGTGTAGACCTCCACGTGTTCACCCACTCTGCCAGAGTCACATGGAGCAGTAGAGGGACACACGGGCCGAGCGGGCCGACTCTCCTCATTAACTAATGAGCAGCGCGCACACACACACACACACACACACACGCACGCACACACACGCAGACCGATTATCTCATGGTGTAACAGAGCGTCCTGGCCTCGCTCTGCTGCACTCACACAGCTGTACTCTCTCTCTCTCTCTCTCTCTCTCTTCATTCATGAAGTCAAACTATTTTGGTCGTTGACTCTTCTCATTCGCTCAGCATGGAGGCGGTGGCTCTCTTCTCCTTCACCGCATCAGAGGCGGACGAGATCAGTTTCCAGAAAGGGGACATCATCAAGGTAAGAGTGTGTGTGTGTGTGTGAGTGTGTAAATGCACTGTTGACTGTAACCTGTCCAGAGTCACGGTGTGTTCACGTTGTGTGTTGCCGTTGTGTGTTTTAGGTGACGGAGATGGAAGATGATTCTTGTTGGTTCACCGCAGAGATCCAGGGGAAGCGGGGCTACGTTCCAGAGAACTACATTTCCCTCCTTCCTTATCCGTAAAAAAACTCGCCTTATTCCACTTCTAGTTCTGGAAACTTCTCTAAGATAGGAAACTATTGTTTGACACTTGTGGTCCTCAAAGTCTTGGGTTTGTGGTCCTTTCAGGCACAAATCTGAGCCTGACTGAGTCTGTTAGAAGAGAGACGGTTTATTCGGACTTTCAGAACCACAGACGCTTCAAACGGTCTTAATTTAGTGCTGCAGCTGCTGATCCTGGTTTATTTTTAAACTACAGCAAAGATGATGAAGATGTTCTTTGTTCCTCTGAATCCATTTTTAGCTCCAGATCCAAACTGACCTGATTTTGGGTGTTTTTTTGTTTTTGTTTTTTTTTTTTTTAAAGGTGGTTTGCTGGACGGCTTTCGAGACTCAACGCTGAGAAGCGTCTTCGCTGGCAGGACCCCGGCGTGTTCCTGGTGAGGGAGAGCGAATCAGCTCCTGGAGAGTTCTCCATCTCTGTCAGGTCAGTGGACGCACGGATCAAACGTAGACAAACTTACACAGACCCACGCTGCAGCAGACTGACGCACCACTGATCAACTCTGTTAAACAGCTCATATTCAGGCGTACACTCCATACTGTTGTCTACTTTAACGCCGTCAGGAAACGGCACAGGCAGCATCTAAATCCTGTATTATGAGTTTTATTTAGATTCTTGTTTTGCATAAGATTGAGCACATTTGCATGTCAGAGCGTCCACGTGTCTCTGAATGTGTGTGTCAGGTTATTTAAATACGCTCATCAAGAACCCATCACACTAAAAATACAGTGTGTGTGTGTGTGTGTGTGTGTGTGTGTGTGTGTGTGTGTGTGTGTGTGTGTGTGTGTGTGTGTGTGTGTGTGTGTGTGTGTGTGTGTGTGTGTGTGTGTGTGTGTGTGTGTGTGTAGGGGTTTAATTAGGTCACCAAAAGTGACGTGGGACTCATTTAATCATTGAGGGTACATTCAATAATCAGGGCGTTACATAACAGCACTCAGTCTTTAATTAAACGCAGGTACATTATGCAATTGACACATAACACATCCATATTTGTATATACTGTGTGCGTGTGTGTGTGTCTGTGTGTGTGTGTGTTTAAAGGCTCCACATCTGTCTGCTTTCGAGAGCTCAGAGATGTCTTAGACTCCACAGACTCAGACAGACAGAGGTGATGTTGAAGAAGAAGACGTTTATGGGTTTAAAGCTCAGCAGAGTCTCTCAGCTGGTTTAGATGAACTCGTGGAAAACAGGAAGTACTTTGTTAATCTTCAGCTGTATTTTAACGGCGCTCTCTACACTCGTCCTCAAAGTTCTGGAGGTCAGGAGAAGCCTCGAACTCTGAGGTCCACTTTATCTCTGAGTTTCGTTCTGGTCTGTAGACTCTGTGCCCTCTGATGGAGAATCTGCGAACACTCCTGAAACGACCTTTTTTAACCTCTCTGGTTTTAAAGGTTTTGTGGTTTTAAGAGAACACAGAAATCTCCTATATATTATCACCTTTATCATGTCTGTGTTAAATAAAACCTTTAAAAAGCGTTTTAAAACGCATGATTACATCAAACCTCTGACCAACGACTGAGCGTGAACAAACGACAATCCTGATGTCTTATTTCTAATTAAAGTTATAGTCTGTTACAAACGGCAGGTCAGACGGAGGCTGAAATAAAGATATTTATAAACAGGAGGCCGCTTCTGCTCTGAAAACCAGAGTAAAGATGTTAAAGATGGAATCTAAAATAAATACACAATACTCGCTTTTTAACCCAAACTGCTGTTTACTCATTAAAACTGCGCTTCACTCTGTCCCTCTGCTTTACTAACACACACCTGATCCTCCTCCTGATCCTCAGATGTCTTTCTGAGCGCCTGTTGACGTGACGGATAATGAGCCAAACTTCTACGAAAGGGGATTAGAGCCGCATGAAGAGAAAAAAATAATTACAGGGAGGAGATTAGAGTCCAAATCTCAAGATTAAGATCGAAATTATGAGATTAAAAAATTAAAATTATGTCAAAAAATTTGAATTTATGATATTAAAAAATCAAAATTAAATTGATAAAGTCAAAATTCCAAGAATAATAATTGAAATCTTGAGACTTAAGTCGAAAATTTGAGATAAAAAAATCAAAACTATGTTGATAAAGTCAAAACTCTGAGATTAAAAATTGAAATCTTGAGATTTTAATCGAAATTTTGAGATTAAAAAATTAAAATTTAGGGATGAAAAGAAAGTTAAGTTTTGAGATTAAAGTCGACATGAATTTAAGTCAAAATTTCAACCTCAAAATGGAAATTAAAAAATGATTTCCCTCTCTCCTTGTGGCCGTGATCCTCTTTGGTAAACTTCTCATAGGCGAGCTGGTTCAGTGGATAACTTCATAAAATGAGCTGCTGGTGAATATTGTAGAGATATAGAGCGTAGTGTAATATTGAACCTCAGATTAATTAAATACAGGGACTATTTTTAATCAATAACACAAAGTTTGCTCCTCTTAAAGATTCTCGCCCCTTCCTTTTTTTTCATTGACCGTAGAAAAGTCAAAGATGACCGAAGTTTGATGACGTCTCCAAAAACAACATCTCCACTGACAGCAACATGTTTGTTCACGTGACGTTGAAATAGGACAGCGCATGAGATAAAAGAGATATTTTAGGAAACACACCTCTGAGCCGTTCAGACTCTGTAATTAACCTCGTTTAGTGACTTTGGAGAACGAAACCGGAGAAACAAGAAGGACAAAAGAAAACTGAAAGAATCAGGAATCAAACTCACGACTCTTGTTATTAAAAACAAACGAGAATATAAACTAGAGCACTGAATTATAAAAACAAGAACATAAACCAGAGCGCTGAATAATCCGGACATCTCTCAGCAAACAAACAGAGAGGGAATCATGAGCAGAGTCGTCCTCGTGTTCGAGTTATTAAACCATTATCCTCAGGCGTGTTAGGGAGGGACAAACCAGCTCCTTATTATTATTAGAATTACCATTATAATTATTATTATTATTATTACCACGTGCCTGTTTGTTCTGAAATGTAAATGAATTATTTTCAGGCTCTAAATGACAGAAACAATAGAAGCAAAGTTACTCCCTACAAAATGATCCAGCGGAAAACAATGAGACAAAACATCATGGATCATTCAAAGGGGCCGTGCACACACACACACACACACACACACACACACACACACACACACACACACACACACACACACACACACACACACACACACACACACACACACACACACACACACCTGAAGCTCATCACACACACACACACACATGAAGCTCATCACCCAGCAGGAGGCAGCTGTCATGTTGTCCCTTCCTTTGTGTAAGACAAACCACCGTCAGTCTAAACGAGTATTGGAATTATCGTTTTCTGGATGGATCAATATGCAGATTGTCCTTTTTTTGAAAACACAGAGAAGCAGCAGGTCCAGTCGTCTGAGACCCTCGGAGCAGTTTTAGAAAATCATTAAAAACACAACGGTCCGTTTATCGGTGAGGTCTGCTGACTGAGTCACTGACACAAACATCTTACTCACCTCTGAACTACTGAGGAACCGCTCAGACCACATTAATGTGTGTTTATTCACGTGTGTGTGTGTTTGTGTGTGTGTGTGTGTGTGTGTGTGTGTGTGCATGTGTGTGTGTTTGTTGACACTGAAGCACAGGAACCTGTCAGATGGTTTAGGAGAAACACCCACCTTCACCTTCAGTTCCTACACCAACAGAGAGTCTGCAGACATTCCTGAAAAGAAAAACAAGCTCCATCTCGGTCACGGACACACACACACACAGACACACACACACACATACACACACACACACACACACACACACACACACACACACACACACACACACCTGAAGCTCATCACACACACACACACACACACACACACACACCTGAAGCTCATCACACACACACACACACACACACACCTGAAGCTCATCACACACACACACACACTTGAAGCTCATCACACAGCAGGAGGCAGCTGTCATGTTGTCCCTTCCTTTGTGTAAGACAAACCATCGTCAGTCTATACGAGTATTGGAATTATCGTTTTCTGGATGGATCAATATGCAGATCGTCCTTTTTTTGAAAACACAGAGAAGCAGCAGGTCCAGTCGTCTGAGACCCTCGGAGCAGTTTTAGAAAATCATTAAAAACAGGACGGTCCATTTATCGGTGAGGTCTGCTGACTGAGTCACTGACACAAACATCTTACTCACCTCTGAACTACCGAGGAACCGCTCAGAACACATTAATGTGTGTTTATTCACGTGTGTATGTGTGTGCGTGTGTGTGTGTTTGTTGACACTGAAGCACAGGAACCTGTCAGATGGTTTAGGAGAAACACCCACCTTCACCTTCAGTTCCTACACCAACAGAAAGTCTGCAGACATTCCTGAAAAGAAAAACAAGCTCCATCTCGGTCACGGACACACACACACACAGACACACACACACACAGACACACACACACAGACACAGACACACAGACAGACACACAGGTGTTGGGTTTTTACGCCGCTCCATCTTCTCACTGCAAAAAAAGTGGGGTCTAAAAACAAGATAAAAACACTAAATCTGAGGGAAACGGTTCTAAAAACAAGTGAAATTATCTGTCTGTGCAGCAGGATCATTCCACTTAACAAGATTTCTTAAATTAAAATCGTTAAATCTAGAAATGAGCATGTCTGCAAATGTATTTGAAAGGTTTAAAGTAGGACAAAAATTCTGGTTTTAAGATCAGATTACCTAAAATTCAACTTTTACAGCCCCCAAAATAAGTTAAATTTTCTAAATATAAGAATAAGGTAAGAAGAAAATGCTGGTTTTAAGATCCATCCACTTTCTATATCTCTTATCCCTTTCGGGGTCACTGGTGAGCTGGAGCCAATCCCAGCTGTCATCGGGCGAGAGCTGAGGTACACCCTGGATTGGTCGCCAGTCAATTGCAGGGTCACATAGAGAGACAGACAACCAATTATGCTCACACTCATACCTGAGGACAAGTTAGAGTCACCAATGAACCTCATGAGCAGGTTTTTAGTCTGTGGGAGGAAACCTGAGTGGCATGATCCGGGGATCGAATCAGTGACCTTCTAACTGGGAGGCACATGCGCTCTCCGCTGCACCACCGTGCTGCCTTTGTTTTGAGATGAGATAACTTCAATCAATTCAACTTTTTTACAGCCTCAAAATAAGTGATTTACACTAAATATGAGCAATTACATATTTTGTTTTCTTACTTTTAACAAATGAAGCTGAAGATTAGTTCAACAAAACATAGAAATGTAGAGAAAAATACAGAGTATTAGTGAAGAATGATGAAACTGTCTTAATCCAAGCAGGCTGATCTTAAAACAAGGCTTATCTAATCTTAAAACTAAATCTTAAAACCTAATGCCTGTCCTCATCTTTAGGACATACATCCTAATATGTACGGGAGTGTTGTGTATTATGTATCAGGTGACTGAGTTTGTCTGTTTCCAGTTTTGTTTTTCCCTGTGATAGTTTTACAAACATGCTTAAAATCAGAAAAATAAACTCTTTTTCTAGATATTTTTTGTGTGACTCTTGAATCAAGCAACTTGAGTTTGTTCCTTAATCTCAAAACAAGATTCCTTTTGATGAGACTTTAACTTATTTTAACAGTTATTTTCCTCATTTTAAGATTTTCTACCTATTTGAGACAAAAAAAAGATAAGGTTGTGCTTCATGTAAGATTAAAGTGTAAAGTTAAACACTTATAATAAGAAATTAAGTCTGAAATCAGGAGAAATTATCAAACACTTTTAAATCTAAGTTTTTTTTGTCTTGGTAATAACCTGATAATTTGCCGTGCTCTCCCCTCTGACCTTCTACAGCTATGGAGACAGGGTGGAGCATTTCCGGGTGCTGGAGGGGGGTGGTCAGTACAGCATCTGGGACGAGTCTTTCTGCTCCCTGAACCGTCTGGTGGATTTCTACAGGACACACAGCATCGCTGTGGAGAAGGTGGTCCTCCTCAGGGACCCCTCTTTGTCCCCTCACCTGCTGTCTCACTCTGGACGTAACCCGTACCCTAACCCGTACAAAAGCAGCTCTCAGGAGTCGCTCCTGTCGACCCGCCTCTTCGCTCACCCCCCTCACCCAGAGAGAGAGTGTCTGCTGGAACCCGTCGTGGCGGTACGGTGAATCACTCGTCTTTAAACAGCACGCCTGTTTTCATGATGGATGCCGCGCTCTAATCTGCTCTCTTTGTGTCTGTAGAAACCTCGTCTAGCCCACGCCCTCTGCGACTACACCCCCCCTCATACTGCCCACCTTCACTTCCTGCGCGGTGACATCATCGACCTGCTGGACTGCTCGAGTCACCTGTCCTGGAGGGGGCGCTGCAGAGGCCGAGTAGGAATCTTCCCGCCTGAATTTGTCCAGCCGCTGTACCACTGACTGACGCCATATCAGACTGACGTACCGTGGCCGTATCACGCCATCAGACTGTAGTGACCTTCCTCTTTTACCCGTGACTGAACTAGAGATGAAACTGCGGGTCCACCGACTCCAATTAGCATCCCGAACTAAGACCTGTACCTCCGAATCCAGCTCAGAAACGCTGCTTTGATACAGATTTATATCCCAGGGGCGCAAAAACGTCAGAACGAGTTTGAACATTTACAAAAACCCTGACGCAGATTTGAGGATCAGACAGTTTCATTTAGTCTTAAGGGGCGTTCACACCGAGTAAAATCATTCACATGAAGGAATTATACTGTGTTCCAGTTACCTCGGAAGTCGGATGTCGGAGCAGGGAATGATATTACACCAGAGTTGACAGCGTTCCAGTTAACAAGTTAGAAAACCAAGATGGACCGGACCCGTTGTTAGCTGTTGTTTACAATTGTCAGCTGTCATTAGCCGTTGTCAGTTGTTGTCAGCTGTTGTTCGCGATACCAGTTGTAAATAACACAGTATTTTACTCGTACAAACACCATAGCCCCGTGTTCACAGTGAGACGTTGGGTAGTACGACATATATCACTTATTTAATTTTACTAAAACAAAACAGAAGTGATTATAAATAAACAACTCAGAGCTCGGAAATTCCAACTTCCGAGTACAACTGGAATGTAGCATTACATCTTAAGTCAATGTAAAGACGCGATGAGATGCTCTTACTACTCTAGCGGCACAAATGATGCAAATTGGGCGAGTCATTCACACGAATTCGCTAGAGTTGAAAATGTCTCAACTCTAGCGACATTTGCGCGAATGAAGCGAGTCAATGATTTTATTCACTCTTGGTGTGAACGCCTCATTAAATGACCAGAAGGAGCAGTAAAATCAGAGTAATCCCTTCAAACAAAAGCACTTATGTCAGTCTCCTCCCACTGTAAGGGCCTGTGTCCACCAAATTACTGTCAGCCCACGTCCTCAAGAGAGTTTCAGAACATTTTCACACGTGCTAGTTGTTGTTAGGTTGTTTCCAGGTACTTTTGCTTCCCTCGGGACAGACCATGAAGTTTGTCTTAAATGTTCTGAATGGGACTGAAGACCACCATTTTAAGGGCCTGTGTCCACTAACTGCTTTTTGTCCCAGTAGGGTGTGTGTGTTAGTTTGATGGAAATAATTCAGTGGAGATCAGAGCAGCAGGTCCAGGCCTGAGAACTGTCCCAAACCAAGTGAGGTTTGTTTCCTCTCTCTTTAGACCTCCACCAGAGGTCCGGCCCCCTTCTGAGTTTTTAATATGGCGTACAAATGACATGAAGTGGAGGTGTGCAGACCACCATAAACATAAACAATAGGGCTTTGAACACCCGTGTCATTTACTGAAGGTCCTGAGCAGAACCTCCTGATTAATGCTGTACCTTTGCCTTCCTTTCCTTCCTTATTTTTGTCGTTATCAGTAAATCTGCGTAGACGTTTGACTGTCAGTCAGGAAGGTGAGAGATGGAGCCTCATTTTAGGGTTATTAATATTAATCCTTTTTGCTGCACAGTCTTGCTTTTGTGACCAGAAATGATAAAATTCATTAAAAGTGAATTTGAACTTTGTTTTTTTGTCATCCTGTGTGTCTCCATCCTTCTTCTAAGTCAGCCGATAAATTCATGGAGTCTGGTCCAAACCCGGACTATTGTGTCTGAGTTATAAAATGTCACAGAAGAGATGAATTTGGGAGGATAGTGTCGACAGATGGATGTAAACCTGATCCCGTAGCTGACGGTTTAAAGTCCAGAAAAGTCAACAGGAGGACACAGACGTGGACACATAGATTTACTGCAGCTACACAAAGTCATAGACATTAAACAAGCATCTTCAAAAGGTATACATATTAATGGAACTTACAAACAACCAAAACTACACGAACACATCCTGACCACGCTTACTATTATTGAGGAATTTTTAATGCCCTTTTACTCAGATGTCAGTTTAATCTCAAACTTAAAGGGATATTCTGTGGTAAAATTAATTTAGGGTCAAACACACCCATAACATCGAGTTAGAGACCCCCTCGAGAGATGAATGTTGCCGACAGCTTGCTTCTCTAGTTTGACCAACTTTAGTAACGACCGCACGATAGTAATACACAGCGGTCTGAGGAGCCATAAACAAACCTCAACCAAAACGCCACTCTATAGCCACAAATAATGCTCAGAACAGCACCTAACTTCACCAAACATATTTTTAACTTTGACTCATTTCTTTAGCAAAGAGACTAAACACAACTCACCTACTCTCTTCCAGCAGCCGCTTGTTTGTAGAGAGACCTGACAAGTCGATCACCGAGTGCAGCAGATCATTTCCATGAAGTAATAATCACCATATTAATCATTTTGCACTGCAGACGCAGTCGTTCTTCTGCCTTAAAGTCTTCGTTGGCATGTTGACATCTATGTTGAAAACAATAAGCCACCGGTTCACTGTAGTCTGGCCGTATCTAAGCATCAATCTGTGAAATAAGTCTAAGTTAAACTTCTTTTGTCTCTTTCCCCTACCTGGTTAATTACATACATTGACCATTGTGTCCTCCTTCGCCTCAGGTATTTGGTCGTGACTGATTTCTCTTCACCTTCTTGCTGTCTCCTCACTCTTCATGAGATAAATAATCGCATTTGACTTCATGTAAAATCTCGCGTTTGTTTACATGAGTTTCCCCTGCAAAAACGTAAAGTGAAAAAAATGCTCTTCTGCGCTCATTTCCCGTCCAGCCCTTGATAATAACAGTTATAAACTAACACACAAGATACACAAGAACTCTGATTACATTTCCATGAAGCGGTGATCATAAATTTTCCGCTGTACTTGGTGATCGACTCGTCACAAACAAACGGCTGCTGGAAGAGAGTAGGTGAGTTGTGTTTAGTCTCTTTGCTAAAGAAATTAGTCAAAGTTAAAAAGATGTTTGGTGTCTAGTACTATGTCTGTGACCCTATATGTCCTGTTGATGAAGTTAGGTGCTGTTCTGAGCATTATTTGTGGCTATAGAGTGGCGTTTTGGTTGAGGTTTGTTTATGGCTCCTCAGACCGCTCTGTATTGCTATCGTGCGGTCGTTACTAAAGTTAGTATAACTAGAGAAGAGAGCGGTCAGCAACATTCATCTCTGGAGGGGGTGTCGGAATATCCCTTCAATTCACACATATTTGAGCTTACAGGATTTCTTGTCATCCCGATAAAACATGACCAAACATTTGAACAAGAACAAGACCGAGGATTTAAGTCCTGAAATGAGATATTTATAAGATGATAAAGACAACATGAAAACATCAGCAGAAATATTCCTGCGCACAGAGACCTGTGACTCTGTGATGATTACCTCTAATTATGTGTAATTTGACAGAAACATGAAGCTGATTAAAACCATTCAGAGGTCTAGTTTAAAACCTGCATCATTTAGGTCTCCTACAGTACAGCGGATTATCTTGATTTTTAAGTTTTGGTGTAAAATCTGTCAAAGAAATCAGCCTCTGTGTGTCTGAGGAAATCAGCGGCTGTTTGGCTGTTTGGCGGTATGTTAATGTGATCCTCGACTCAGGCGAAGTACGCATAGAGGAAGATATTAATGCTGACCAGAAGGAGAGCGTTCGCACAGCAGAACCTGGACCAGAACACGCTCTCTCTGACGCTCTGCACTCTGGGAGGAGGAGGAGGAGTCTCCTCTGACCGCCGAGCTGCTGAGATACACAGTCCTGCAGCCTGACCACAAGTGACCCGCCGAGTTGGCTCAGAGCCTGTGAGAGACACACACACACACACACACACACATTCAGGGAGCAGAAACAGGAAGTGGATGGAGATGACTGTAAATCACATGCAGGCTGGTTTTATTCCTGAATAATCGGACACTCACCCTGAGAGATACGGTGGCTGACAGAGGACACTTTCTGTAGAGGAATTTCTCTTTGTGGCTCTTCGGTTATAGTCCACCAGGTCAGATTACAAACCTCAGGTGACAGGAAAACAGACATTTAAATGAATAAAAGATAATTTAGTTATTTCAGAGAAGTACCAAACCTACTGTGTGACGTCTGAGAGGATTTAAACAAAGACAAAGTTCACGTCTGCTTCGATAAACACGAGAAGAACCTGGTCTGGTATCAGGATTTCATGGTCACACTGCGTCTCTTTCCAGCTGTTTTCAGTCTCCAGTCTGTTTTTATTGTTCCTTTCTGTGGGCCTACAGCTCTTAGCTCTAACGTCATCTCCACCCCTTAAAGTCCTGAGCTCTGGCTGACTGTCTGCCATGTCAGAGAGCAGACAGAGTCACTGTGTAATACTTCCCTATGTCTATCACTGTCTCTGAGGTTTACAGTCAGCTGCATACATGAGAGGTAAACCATCTGTTTTTCTGCAGTTCGGACTGATCCTCCCAAAATTACCACAGGCGATTTCATCAGCTGTTTGTTCAACCGGTTCACATTCAGGCCAGAGGAGTGTCAGATCAGACAAATGGGTCAAAAGCTTCAAAAAGACGTCAAATATTTGACCTTTAGCAGGTTTGTCTGCCTGTTGTGCCCACAGGGGTTAGACACCGGACAACCAGTGACAGTGACCCTGTTATTAGCTGTAGACTAGATGTGTTACACTCAAGGAGTCAGATAAGAATAAGAAGAACTTTATTTATCCCTAAAAGGAAATTCAACAGGATGTTAGTTTAGTTTCCCAAGAATTAAGTGAGATTTAAGTATTGGTCTATCCCCCTTAAAACAGAATGACAGAGCGAATCACAGACTGCCTGATATAACGGCTTTGGATTGATTTCACTCTTTGACTCTCATTTTTATCACTGATTTCTGATAATAATTTTACACTCATGAGAAATTCACTTCACTTTAACTTCAATTTTTTTAAGAAAAGGATTTTACAATACTTGAATGTAAAGTTTTTTGAATGTACAGACCGACCATCTAAGTGAAGACATCTCTGTTTAAAGGTGGGGTCGTCAGGATCTGAGGAACCAGTTTTCCCCTCAGCTCCTCCTCTCCCCTCCCTCTCTGCTCCAGCAAGCCCCGCCCACAAACAGACGCTCCTGCTCGCTCGTATCGTTCCAATTAAATTCAGATATAATGCAGATAAATACTTCAGATCGTTACAAATGGGGCACAGTCAAGGTGAAAGTCAAAAGCATTGGTGCTACTGTAGATGCCAACAGACTACCAGCAAACACAATGTTTGGACTCAGGACTTCTACAACTAGGATAAAGTGACATAGTCCAGGACCCGAGGTCAACAGTTTAGCGATGGCGCTACAACACGCTACAGCAGGTCCGTTTGACAAGAAACACTTCTGTTACAGACACTTGTCTTACTTTGTTAAAGCGGTTTACCTGTCCAGCAGAAAGGTTACAGGGTCACCAAGATCCCCAAGCGTCCCCCATCGTTTATGTTGACCCGGCTTTTTAGCTCTTGTCCGGTCTACCTCCATTTTAAGCGCCCGTTATTCCTCCAGAGTCTCCGGTATTTACTTTGTTTTCTTGCTTGTGTCGGCAGTCGTGGCCAAAGGAGGATTCAGACAATTTTCCGAACTTTCTGGTTGGTTTCTACTGTCCGATATTGTAGCACGCTAACTTTGTTTGGACTCCTGAACGACACGGGGGAGCAGCCTCACAACCAATCAGGTTAGAGGAGGTGGAGAACGTCTTTGTTTACAGTCAGAAAGAGCGGACCGCTCAAAAATGTTAAAACGTTGACTACACAGACATAAGAGAACACAGAGATATCATGCTATCGTCATCAATAACTAATAACTATTGACTGATATTAAAGCTTTTTGTAAATAAACCACAAAAAAAAGATGCTTCTTTAACGGATTCCTGCCTCCCCCACCTTTAATCAATCCAGTCATTTCTTTATTCATTGCTGTCATTGGACCTCTTTGTCTGTATCAAAGACAAACTTTCAGGTCATGTGTGTTTTCCTTTGTCTCAGATTTATGTTTACCTTCTGCAGCAAACATTACAATTATATATCAACAGCTCACTTCCTTATGAAGTGTCCTTATTAAGTAGGTCACACCTGTTCATGGCTGGGCGGCGGTGTGAGCAGTGTGACGACAATCACAACGATGGCGGTGAGTCCACACAACAAGATGGCAAAATGGAGGTAGTGGACGCTTCGCAGCACTGCAGGAGCCGAGTCCACGACGCCACATCTGGGAGGAGGGAAGGCGAACTCCAGCACCATCCTGCACACACCCACCACCAGCCCCACCATCAGGCCCCAGAACGCCCCCTGAATACACACAAACACACAAACAAACACACATAAACAACAATCAGGTGAAATTGCACGCCTAACAGTGTTTTTGTGTCAAACTTCCTGCTGCTCAAAGTGTCAGGGTAATTCCTGCAGCTGATCCGAGGTCACACTCGGGTGTGTCTGGCTTGGCTTGCAGCACTCTCACTTTCCCACCATGATCATCTGTCATTGTCGTGTCATTTCTCACTTCAGTACGTACGCACGTGCTGCACTGACACCGATATTTCTCCGTCCGCTTTCTTTAACCTTCAGCCAAGAATGTGAGCGGTGCAGTTCGACCGCACGCTTATAAAAATAAGGAGAATGTCAGGAGACACAAAGTCAAACAGCTCTAACCTACTTTAGCTACCCTACTTCTCTCTGATTGACACGGCGGTTACGAGTCTTGCTGCATTGTCATCTGCTGTGCTCAGATCTTCCTTGATGGTTTTAGGTTCCCATAAATAAGAAGAAAACACTTTGTGTCACAGATTCCTGAATGTGACTCTGTGAGATAGAGACGACATCCAAACCCCACGTGAGTTTGATTTACAGCCATAATTACAGGGTTAATAAGACTTTATGAGTTTGACTCGCGGCTCTGCTTCAAACAGACACGTCATGTTCCCGATCAAACTCTTCAGAGCTGTTTGCTTTCTGCCGTGTCAGACAAGTCAGCATGTGACACATCCTAGTGTGCGCTAACCTGCGCCCTTTGACCCCTTTTGAGTTTCATAAAGCTGCATTTATACCGAAGAAACGCTTTATGTAAGAGTGCTGCCGCTGCTGCTGAGCCTTCCCAATAACTCTTTATGAGTTTAAAGTGAAACGCTAACAGATATCTGTGACATTTGACGACTCCTCCACAGAGAGAATCAGTCAGGTCATCTGCAGGTCTGCAGAAATGAGGCCGTGCAGATCTGAACTCTGCTACAGCGACTATAAATGTCCAAATCAAGTCCTCACCGGTGGGTTCGAAGGCTCAGAGAGAGAAACTGACCTCTAAGATGAGACTAAATCTGAGCCGAGCAGTGAGAAATCCAGGTGTTTGATTTGAGTCTGGATTTAATCTGAGACTAAAACAGTATTTGACATTTTAAAGGTGAGGCCGCGTCTCTCTGAGCCGCACAGAGGGACTAATGCAGACTTTTCTAACCAGCAGGTTAGACCGCTGTGACGCTCTGCTTACTGGTCCACCAAAGAAGACCTGAAACCAGCTGCAGATCATCCAAAAGGCTGCTCAGAATCTGAATCAGAAATACTTTAATAATCTCCAGGGGGAAATTACTTTTCATTACAGTAACTCCAGTGCAAATAAAGAGATAATATACAAGTATGTACACTATATACAACACAAAGTAGTAAAATAGTATGCATATATACTCATTTCACTTTATAGATTTGATATTTATCTTTAAAGTTTGAACTTATTTTAATCTCTTTTAAAGTTTTAATGACACAGATTTGCATTCGTCTTTACCTTTACTGTCTTTTATTTTTATTTGACACTCTTTTATTTTCACTCTTCGCTGTTTTGTTTTCAGTTAGTGACGCACTTTGAACTGCATCTGACAGTGCTGTATAAATAAAGCTTGATGATTGATTGATTGATTGACGTCACCTGGAGGTGACATATTGAGTGCAGTTTAATTCTCGACTTTAACGGGAAGCGAGCTGAATGTTCATGCGTGGCTAACAGTGATCCCAGTGGCGATGCTCACTACCTCGGGTTCGACAGCTGATGTTTGTTTCTGTAATTTCCTCAGTTCTGTGTTTCAACATGTCTGAGTTTATCACACAGCTCGGTTGTTGCTGCAGAAGCTCACAGATATTTTCTATATTGGTGAAATAAACAGAGATGATTTCAAACTTTGGGGATCAATCCTCTGGGGGATATGAATGTTGTTTACCTGTCCAAGTTCACTGAATGAGACATTTTTAAAGTTGTTATGTTGTTATGTTGTGTTGGTAAATCAGAGTTCAGTAAAGCTGTATTTAAAGGGACAGTCTGCAGAAATGAGAACTCAAATAAACAATAACAGATAAGTTTATAAACCCTAACCCTGAATCTGTTCCTGTTATTATCAGCCTGATATCAGAGCGGACACCAAACAATATCAAAGACTCGTTGTAAAGCCGCTCTGATATTCACAGCCCTCCTTATCTTAACTGCACGCAGATGTGGTCAAACTAAAAGGTTGCACAGAGTCATTATTCTCCTTTCTCCGAGGGTCGATGGTCTGCAACCCGTCTGATTTCAGGTTACAGGAGAGTCAACTTCAAATCTGCTAAGGTGGTGTTTGTGTTGGTCTTTGGTCTCTGCTGGTTTTGTCGTCCATGTGTGATTTGTGTTTCTCATCCTGATCCCTTAAACGCTCAAATGTTTCACTCATCAGGCATCTTTGAGGAGGATGTGAAAATAAAACTGCTCTTTCATTATCGGGGCTGACACATACCCTCCACCGCTGCGTTCAGACATCATAAATAAGATTACAGACACACTCCTCTTCTTGGTGATGGTATCTTTAACTCTTGCAGGTCTTACAGCAGCTAACAGTCATCTTTCCAGATAAGTCCCCACAGGGGTTTTAAGTCTGGAGTAAAAAACCACATTGCTGCTGGCACAGCTAAAAGACACTTCATGTTACAAAGACGGTTTCAGTGTCGTCTGTGTTTCTGCCAGACTCTGTCGTTGTACCTTAGACGGTAAACGAAGAGAAAGTGTTTGAAACGTCAGTCTGTGTTAGAAAAGAGGAAGAACTTTTTCAGAGTGAGGATGGTCTGTGTCTGAGAGCTTCACAGCGTGTCCACAGAGAGCAGACACACCCAGGAAACAGAGCTTCAGTGGTGACTCTCCAGCTGACTGGTCCTTACATGTAGACAGAAGACGTCTCAACAGGCGTGTTTTTAACTCTGGGCCGATACACTTTCTTCTCAGCAGGAGTTATACCTCATTTGTCTCACTCTGTAAATCTTCATCCTCACATAATCACACTTTCACTTCCGTACACTTTGTTATCAGCCAGGAGCGATAACTCTTGTTATTCTTGTGAAGGAGCGGTACGGTCATGCCGGTGACTACAGAGGAAATGATAAACAATGCACTTCATAAAATGAGTGGCTGACACGCACAGATATGAGTGCACTTGTGCACGCGCACGAGGACTGTGTGCACCGGGGGGAAGTTGGCAGCTGGGTCCCATGTGGAGCTGATAAAACCATGCTTCAGTACGGTGGAGGAGAAGGGACAAAAACAGGGTGAAAATACAAGACAGTACACGTCTTTTCATTTTTATCTGTCGTCTCTGTTATCTCTATCTTCATTCGGCTTTACTGTCTTTTTATCTTTTGTTTTACTTGTTCTCTTTTCTTAATTAACCTTTTAGGCCTTTTATTGTTTTATCTTTTGCTCATTTCTGTTGCTCTATTAATTTGCTCTTATTTTGTTATCACTATTGATATTGTCTTTTTATATTTACAATCCTTTTTCCACTTTCGACCCGCCTTTTAATTGCATTTTATTTTTCTTACCTATTTTATGTTTTTATTTTGGTCCTTTTTTTGTTTTTGTCTTTTTCCATGTGCTTTAAGACTATTTGTCAAAGCACTTTGTAAACTTCTGTTCATAAAAATAAAGTTATTATTATTATTATTACACTGTGAAACAGAATGGAGTAAATCTTGAATGGAGTTTGGTCCTGTCTGTGCTGACTTTAGGATTTGTTTACCTCTAAATTCAGTGATTATTTAGTCCTATCTGCTGGATTCAAAAACATCCTTACTGACATTTTAAACTGATTTATGTTAAAAAATTAACCATGAATTCACAAAAAAATCAGATTTCTGAAAGTTGCAGCTCTACTGGACCCTTGTTGGACTCTCTGGTGTGTGTTACCTGCTCATTGGTCCTCTTCCAGAAGACGGCCAGAGTGAAGACGGCGGTGACAGGCGGGGCGAGGTAGCTGGTCACAGACTGGATGTAAACGTAGAGCTGACCACTGTTGGCTGACTGCAGGATGGGGATCCACACAACGCTCACCACCACCAGGATCACAGTCACGATCCTGGAAGAGAGCATGTTCACTCTCAGTGCACAGGCCTCCCTAACCCTGAACCCTTCCATGATTGATCGATTGATTGATTGATAAGGGGGCAGGTTTGATGTTGAGGCGCTCTTACCTGCCGACCAGGAGCAGCTCTCGCTCTGAGGCTCGTGGGCGCTGTTTCTTCCAGATGTCCATGGTGAAGAGGGTGGAGCTGCTGTTAAAGATGGAGGTCAGGGATGACATCAGAGCGGCCATCATAACAGCGATCATCAGCCCCCTCAAGCCTGCGTGTATTAAACACACACACACACACACACACACACACACACGCACACACACACACACACACACACACACACACACACACACACACACACACACACACACAGGTTCGAAGTTTCAGACATGAACTTACAGGTTTTTAATTGATGATGTCATGACTGTGGTTTTCTCACCGCTCGGCATGAGTTCAATAACCAGTTTGGGAAATGCGATATTGGAGCATCCGACCTCAGCTCCACACACACGCACACACTCCTCCGGATCCACGCATCCCACTGAGTCTGAAACAGGAAGACACGGGTCACAGCGGGTCGTAACCAAATATTCTCCCCATGCAGAATTCATGAAGCTTTGCTCTGTTTTCCACTTCTGCACAGGTTCAAATATGTTTCTGAAACACAAACACGCTGAACTTTGTTTTCAAATCATCTAAGAGAGGATTTCAGAGCAGTGGTTCTCAACTGGTGGTGATATTTTCTGTATATGAAACTCCAGTAGTTGTCCCCTTCATGTGCTCTGAAATGCACTTTACTCAATGAAACAAATGGATTTATGTTAAAGATTGGAGTTTTTTACTTATAAAAAATACATTTCCTCAGTTTGAATTCTAGAAAAGTGGGTCGCAACTTAAGGACCATGGGAAAATGTGGGTCCCAGTTGAGAACCACTGGTTTAGAGAATATATTAGAGAGTATTCTGACCAAACTGTTGGTATTAACAACTGAACCATTTTTAACTGAAAATATTTATCAAAATAGTTTCTGGTGAGGAATTACTTTTTTATTTATTGTTTCATATCAAATAGTGAATAAAAAATTTAAATGTAAATTGTATTTGTCTATATGTACAGCTTAACTTCAGTTGTTTCCTAACCTGAGTGTTGTGTAAAGGTTTTTTTTTCTTGTCTTATTTTGTGTTGTTGTTTTTATGTGTGTGCTGTATTAAGTGGATGTAGATTTTCTTTTGTAATACAAAATCACAGGACGGAACGTACTTTAATGATCTATAATTATAAGGTACATCTAAACAAGTTGCAAGGAAGCTCGATGTGGGAGCTCATCAGTTATTCTTCCTCTCACTCCTTTTCCAGTATGTATTTCCATGTTTTATGTTTAAATGTTTTGCCTTACTTTTCTTGTTTTATTTCTTTTAAATACTTGTGGTTTGCATATTCGAAATAAACGTCAATCAATCGATCATAAAGGTAGAAAGATATAAAAGCATTATGGTTAAAGCTGGAGTTTCTTGTGGATTTATAGTTAGGTTACACCCTGGGGTAATTCACTGCCTTTGAATGTAGTAATTATTATTATTTTTTTAATTACTAAAGGTTGTTAAAAGTGTAAACATAAACCAATCCTTCAGTGAATAATCATGTAAAGCTTCAAAGTTGTTCTTTTTCTTCTAATGGTTGGGTGAAAAACAACCATTCAGAGCAGAACTGTGTCTGTAAACTTGTCAAACTGGGTCAGGTCTTGGTCTGTCTGCCCAGACTGGAGGGTGGAGTTTAGAGGAACCCCTCTCTCTCTCTCTCTCTCTCTCTCTGTCTCTCTCTCTTTCTTTCCTAACCAACTACCGGACACTCCGCCTCTCTCTACCCGCTATCAGAGCTTCCGTTACCGGATTCCAGGGTCAGACACTCCGCGCCCCCCTCACTCTGGACCCGAGAGAGAACTTTGTCTGAAGAAACTTTCGAGAAAAAAACAAAAAAGAGAGAGAAAAAAAGAAAACCGACGAGATTTCAGAGCAACAGGAAGTGAAGAGTCGCAGCGCCACGTCGGTGAAATGAGCAAGTTTCTTGAGTTTTTGGGGAACCGATGAGAACCGAGGAGAAACGAGGAGAACCGAAGAGAACCGAAGATAACCGTCCGCCTGACTCAGTATCGGTTTCGACACTTTTACAGGATTAGAGGAGGATTAGTGTCTCACTTCTTGATCTCAAGTTCGGGTCCCGCTCGGGTTTGACTCACCGGCAGACTCGCCCCCGTGTCCGGGCCCCGCGGCTGAACCGGGTCCGGCCCCCGTCAGGTGAAAGGCGTGGCTTTGGGTGGAGGAGCCTTGTTCGGAAAACACCTGAGTGTGTGTGAGTGTGTGTGTGTATGAGTGTGTGTCAGAAACATGCGATCTGAGGTGAGGAACTGGAGGTCTACCTGAGTCACATGAGAACCGAACCAAGGCGGAGGGGGTCTGTTTACGGGTCACGCGGACACGATATGGACCGTAATGAGAAGTTATTTTTTTGACTGTTTGGACCGACGACACGGATCTGGATCAGAGTCTTTACTGGGTCTTAACTAAAACCGGGTCATGGCGTTGTCTCAGATCCAGTGTCTGGACGACCACCACGTCAACTGGCGCGTGAGCGAGAGTAAACCCGAGTTCTTCTACAGCGAGGATCAGAGGCTGGCCCTAGAGGCCCTCGTCACCCGGGGCCGAGATGCCTTCATGGACTTCATCCACAAACATAAAGTCCGGGAGTTTCTCTCGGAACCGGAGCTGGAGCGGATCTCACAGATAGCAGAGGCCTACAGACCGGGGCACGAGCACCACCAGAAACCGGAGGTCCTCAGTCCGAGTTACAACAGCCCGGGGCCGGGGAACATGACCCCGGGGTCCGCAGCGATGTTTGAGGATGGTGGAGACGGAGAGGTGTCCCTCCAGTACTGGCCGGACCGGTCTGAGGCCTCGGTGGCAGAACTGGACCTGGGTTGGCCCGAGGCCATTTCATACAGAGGGGTCACGCGCGTGACCATTTACACTCAACCTCCGACCGAGGGACACACACACATTAAAGAGGTGGTGAGGAAGAGCATTGCATCAGCCCAGAGGGTAAGTGTGTGTGTGCGTGTGTGTGTGTGTGTGTGTGTGTGTGTGTGTGAGTGTGTGTGTGTGTGTGTGTTAACAAAAACAACTAACTGTAGTTTCAAAATCAAGAATATCACTGACTGACCCACTGACTGAGGGTAAATTCACCTTAAAACAAACCAGATGTGAAGTTCAGTCATGTATTTGAGGGTCATGGTGATGTGGAGTAATCTATCAGGATATAGGGGAGAGTGGGGCAAGAAGAACCATGTTTCATATTTTGGATCACTACATCAAGTCAATCCTAGTTTAGTCTCTAACTCGTGTATCTGCGTGTATTTCAGGATGTTGTTCATCCCTGCAAACCAACAGAATGAGTGTAAACAGAACTGTGATATTGTTAATATAACATGCAAAAAAGAGTGGTCTCCTATGGTCAACTTACCCCATACACGGGGTAAGTTGACCATAGGAGCGGGTTAAGTTGAGCCGTATCCCTCCCTCACCTTGTCTCTCCCTGAATAACAGTCACTTCTTCACATTCACGTGACTAAATTCACTTTGAAATGTTTTCTCCTCATCTCCTCAATATTTGGTCACATGATCACTTTACTTTTACCATTTACAAGCGACAGGGGGTGGCTCAACTTACCCCACCCTCCCCTATTATCCACGAAAACAACAAATACAGATTTAGAGATCTAGTAAGAGAAAATTATCAGTCAAAAAGCTCCTTATTGAGATGAAGCTACTTTGTACAATCAATCAGTGTTCGTCTGATTTACTATAGCTACACTGTGAAAATAAGGTCCAGTAATATGTGTATGTTGTTTGTGTTGTTCTGGTTTTGTTTTTGTCTTGTAGATTGTTGTAAGTTGTGGTTATTGACGTTGTCTTTGTATTTGTGGCGTGATGTTTAAGTGAGGAAAAAACAACAACAACAACAGCAGCTCTGTATGGGATCTGTGTTTTCGGACCTCAATGTTTAACTGTGTTTGAATATTTTTGAGAACAATTATTGTTATTATTATTATCATTATTAATGTTATAATTATTTTATTTATGCCTTCAGTGAGCCGACCAAACACTCCAACACAAACAAACAGAGGTTCAGATCTACTTCAGCCGACACTGAGAGACAAACTTTTATAGGTTTTCCAAGTCGAACACAGGGCAGCGAGTTAGAGCTGATTTTACTGCGTGATGGAAAAGTGGACATAAAGAGCGTCATCTATTCGACTACTATACAAACAATGTTCTCTGATTCTATCCAGAGGAAAACAGGTTTAGCAGTTTTCTCCTGAGTGGATGTTGCTCCATATGTAGACGTGTGGATGGGTCTGTAGTGACTCAGGAGTTTCTCTGTTGAAACAAGAAAATCCTACGTGTTAAACTCCTGTTCATGTCTTTCCTCTTTCGTCGCACACAGGCCCACGTCAGAATAGTCTGAAGCTGGACTGAGTTTAATCCAGAGCGTGTTTATCAGTCAAGAGTTAACTTCTTCCTTCACGTGTCGCTCTCTCCTCGCCCTTTTCTCTCATTCCTTTCACAGACTCAAACATGCAAACGGTAAAATGTAAATGCAGCAAGTCTGATCCTGACATTAGGGAGAAGAAATGATCCGATGTTGTTGAACTATTCAACGCCAGCTCCGTGTACAACCCGCCCCTCCTCTGACACACATAAATACTCGCACATGTTGTCACACTTTGACCCAATTAAACAAGAACTCGAATTCATTACTCAGAACCTTTTTATGACTTGGAGGGAACTTTAGGCAGCGAGCCAGTCAATAAAGTTTCTTTTTTTTTTCCACTGAGCTGTTTTTTGGTTTTCACCTGAGCGTTTTTTTGTTACTACTGTCATCAGAAACAAGAAACACACTCAGTATAAAGCAGATTTTTACATTTGTGTTTTTCCTCTTCTGCTTATTTACTGCGTCGTCGTTCTTTGGGCCACAGTCACAGTTCTGAAAATCCAAACCGGGTCAAGTGAAGAGGCGCCGTGCTGTCACTGGACTGTTTCCAGACGTCTCTTTATCGGACTCCTTCTGTTCGGACAGATTCTTTCATTTTTGGGGTTTTTAAATTAACGTTCAGTCGCCGTGGTTATCACGACTGCACAGCTTCCTTTGGTGGATGACTGGCTGTAATTTTGTTTATAGGAGTCGCTCAAATCTGAATCCGCCCTAACAGCGCAGGAAAAACTAACACCATTTGTGTCTTCCTGTGTTTTTTTTGTAGGTGATCGCCGTGGTGATGGACGTGTTTACAGACGTGGATATCTTCAGAGACCTGCTGGATGCGGGTTACAAACGCAAAGTTCCCGTGTACATCATTATAGATTCAGCTGCAGTCCCGAGTTTTCTCGCCATGTGCGGCAGAGCTGATATGCACCGTGGACACCTGAAGGCACGTACACACACACACACACACACACACACGATCAGCTGATGTTTTGATTAGAGAGAGGATGAGTTGGTCACATAGATGGTTCCTCTGGATAATAAGCAGGTCATAATAAAAGGCTGTTTGTTTTATAAAGCTCCAGGTCCGAGGTTTGAGATGAACTTTTCTTTTTCATTAAAGAGACTTTTTTCAGAACATTTTCATCTCTATAAAAGGGAGCTGAATGAAAGTGGGGCAGACCAGGATGAAGGTGTGACATGTTTTGGCCTGCAGCTCTTGGCAGCGTTCGTGCAGCAGCTCGTTTTTTTTTCACCAGAGGCTGAATGTCTTTGTTATTCCTCCCCGAGCTGAACTGGTCCAGGCACTAACAGAAAAAACATTTTTTTATTATATGTAGCACAAACTTTTTTAGACTTTGGAGACCAAAAGGAGACAGACTCGGACAGATCTCCCTCTCATCTTTCTTCCTCTTCCTCTTTTTTCTTATCTGCCATCTCTGCTGTCACCGTCATGACTTCTGTGCTCAGCGTCTCCTGAGAGATTTCACACAGAACGTTTACTTAGGAGGAAACGCTCGGCCTGGAACCACACCCTTATCACAAACACAGCAGGGTGTGTCCAACAAGCATGCACATACATCCACACAGGCCGTGCTCCAACCTGTCGAGTCAGGAGGTTATGGAAGAATTCAAGCTTCTTAAAAAGTCATTCTTCTGGGCCTCCTCAGCCTCTTTATGCCCCTTTTGTTCTCTCAAATCCTTCCTCCTCTTTTTACACGGTGCTAACCTCTCAGCCGTGCATGTGTGTGTTTGTTTGTGTAGAATCTGCGCGTGCGCTGCTGCGGAGGTGTGGAGTTCTTCACGAGGTCGGCTCAGAAGGTGCGAGGATCACTGAACGAGAGGTTCCTCCTGGTGGATGGAGACAGAGCCATCTCCGGCTCATACAGGTGAGTGTGACAATGATAATGATGATGATGATGATGATGATGATGAGGATGCACCCCCTCCCAGTCTACATGAAGTTTAACTAAAGAAAAGTCAAATCCAGGTCTGGATCGGACTCGTGGACTCTTGGTTTCCTACAGCCAATCATGATCAGACACTGTGATTATTAGTGCACCTGTCAGGTTGCCATGGTGATGCACCTCAGTGATGGTCAGTGTTTCTAAAACTGCCGTAACTTCTTTAAAACCAGAACCTGCAGCCCGTCCACTCTAGACCTGCATGTTGGTACCTTTTTGGTCGTTGTTTCAGCCGAACTCTCATCCCGTCCAAACTGTAAAGAGGCAGCCGAACGTGTGTCTCTTAGCGACCCGATAACAGAAGATAACCAATCAATACCGGGCTGACAGCTTAGTCCGCTGCTCCCATCAGTAAAAATCAAATCATACTCGCTGATCACGTGGGCATTGCTCTTGGATATCATATCACTGATCAATCATTGACTAGTGGATAAACATTAAACACAGGCTCTCACTGTTATCACGGTTTAGAGCTGTCTGCGATATTAATCAATACCTGGAGGAGGAAAGTTCAATCAAAGTGTTAAAGAAACGTGACAGAAAACAAGAATCAGAACCTGATTTCAAGGTGAGAATACCAGGGGTGATCATTAACCAATGAGAGCGATCGTTAGATTAGGAGGTGTCATCGAAAAGAGAAAGAAAAAAGAAAGAAAGAGAAAGAAAGGAGAACAAAGGGCCACTGCTTTAGAAACAGTGAGATTCGTCAATACATGCTGTAATAAAAAGAGAGGAAATGGACGGAAAAGGAATAATAAATCTCAGAGATCCTTTGGTTTAGTGCGTTAAACCTGCAGATTTTCACCTTTATTTCTTTTGTATCTGTGCTGATACTCTGTCAGTATAATTTACAGAAACAAGGGAGGCCCTGAGAGCGAGTGATATCAGCGCTAATAAAACAATAAAGAGTTTCACGTGAATAAAAATAAAGATTTCTCAGGGACAGGTCGACACGTTCACACCGTCCTGTCAGTCAGTCAGTTTACATTCGTTTATATTCTCCACAGATTATTTAGTTTCCTAATCTCAGGACTGAACAGAGGTAAATAAAGAAACGTCTACCTGAGACACCTGAGAGGAAGTGTCTGTAAATCTTCCCTCTCTTCACTGTCAACAACTCCGCCCACAAAAGCGGGGCGAGAAAATGCTCCAACAGTCAGAGCCTGAACGGGACTTTTACCACGTTTGTGAAAAGGTTCACTGTAAGCTCACGATACCGGTCACTGAAAATACAGTGATGATGTTAGCGCTGACCAGACCATTCATAAAGTTCACTCTGAATCCAACCCCCCAACTTTCACCGCATCCGGAACGGCAGCGATTTCCTCTCTCTCTTTGAGACTCCAAGTCATACGTCAAACTCTTGAGTTGGAGATTTGTTTTCTGTCCTTCTGGGTTTTTTTTGTCTAATAGCTGAAGGTGTTGAAGGTTCTGGTTCTGATTGATCATATCTGCATCTCGATGTTTTTCCAGCTTCACCTGGTCCTCGTCTCGTCTGGACCGTAACCTCATCACTGCGATCACCGGACAGGCCGTGGAGACCTTCGACCTGCAGTTCCGGGAGCTCTTCCTCCTGTCCAGAGGAGTGTCTCTCAACAAAGTTCCCATGGAGGATGAGCCGATCCCTGACCCGGTCCCTCACAGCGCTCCTGCTCCGGTTCCAGCTAATATTGCCCGGAAACTCGTCAATCCCAAATACGCCCTGGTTGCTACGGGAACTCATACAAGCCAAGCCTCTTCGGACCAGAACTCAAACAAACAGAATCTCCCGGGAGTGAAGCTGATTAAGGGACGTCTGAAGGGGGTCATCGAGGAGCCAAACATCCATCCTGGACTAGCACATCTGGAGAAGGCATACCTGATCCCGTACCTGCCCACCTGGCCAGAGCCGGACCCGCCAAGCGATGTGATTGGCTTCATTAACATCAGGGATGAAAAGCGAGCCAATCAGGTCCACCTACAGAGGTCGGAGAGGTTTGAGGTCAGCCAGGCCATACGCTTCACCTCACCTCTGCAGCTGCCGGCCCAGACCGAGGAACTCGCTTTAGGCCAGGAGGCAAGAAAAGCAAGAAGAGCCGAGAATCCCTCTAAAGGCCCAGAAGCCTCCTCTCCTGTGAGTCCGACCAAAAGACCGGACAAAGACCCGACCCAGGAAACCTCCGGGAAAACCCAAACCGATGAGACCGATTCCAGTGGTCCTCCTCAGCAGCAGAAACCTCCGGTCACACCGGACTCACAAAAACCAGAGACTCCTTCATCAGTTCCTGCGGAGCCACAACCAACAGAGGAGACCAAACTGGCGCCACAGGACCCGCAGACTGCAGCGCCTCCCGTTCCTAAGCCCCGCACCCTGCAGCTGGTCATAGACACCGCCCCTTTAGAGCAGCCCGGCCAACCACAGGTCAGCCTGATGAAAATGGAATCAGAGGAGGAGGAGGAAGAGGTGAAAGCGGGCCTCGGCAATGCCATGACAAAAGAAGACGATGGCAGGGACTCAGGCAGCGGCGAGGACAGCCAGGACAGCACCAAGGTCATATGTGACCGCGCCGGCAACGACGACCCTTCCAGCAACTCCACCGCCTCAGATGAGGAGTTTTACGACTGCCCCCCGCCGGAAACCAGAGACCCGCTCACCAACGGCGTGACTACAGGGTCAGGTCGGGGTCATCGTCACGGAGATGGGGTCAACATGATGGCCCGCCTCTCCCAGAGCATGCTGGACTTACGGGAGCAGACCAAACCAGAAGACAGCGCCGACCTGATCCGCCAATCACAGCAGCTGCGCAGACAAACCCACGGCTCACCGCACCGGCACATCGGACAGGTGAGTGCCGGAGACATTCGCTCGGTCAGAGGTCATGTTTGGTGAACAGAACCAATTATTGGGTTTGACCAATCAGAATCAGGCTTTCAGGCCCTCCTATCATGTCCTGCAGGTTTGGTGTTAATGACCACATGTTTGAGTCTTTGTTCACTCGTTCATCTGTCAGTCAATCTCCAGATTTAGACGCGGTTATGAAACAGGCTTAGATAATCACTAATCCTCATTTTGACCCACACTGACGATCACAATCCTGGAGTTAAAATGTGATTATATCAGCAGAGGAAACACTCGACAGCATGTAAACAGGAAGTGCTTTTGTTTACAGTTTCAGTTTTGACAGGATGAAATTTAGTGTCCAAAAACACGACGTTCACATCCACAGGCAGGGAAGTGAAACTGTTCGGTGTTTACCAACAAAATCCTTTAAAGTGAAATCGAAGGTTTCATTTCTCCTGATTATCCTCAAGTTTTGTTCTGACTCATAAATCAGACGGTTCTGAAAATAAACTTCTGTCTCTTAAAGTGAGATGATCATTTCTGTGATTTAGGAGAACACAGAGGCTCTGCTGCCAACATGTTTATGAAATCTTAAAAAACAGGGCGTGTCCCTCCGCCGCCGCTGCTGTCAGAGCAGGTTACTACCTGCTTACAGTAAACAGGTCAACCCTTCTGTGTCTCCTTCCTACATCTGTGTGCACACACCTGGGTAGAGAGCTCGGCTGATCATGCCGGGGAGGACGATGAAGATGAACGGCAGCATTTTCAGATAGGCGGCGAGGATCGACGCTCCTTTCACGTGGCTCATGTTCTTCGCCGACAGGGAGCGCTGCACAATCACCTACACAAACACAGACAACACGGTGACGGTTACTGCTCTGGAGAATAATGACATACGTTCTCTGAAGTAAAGGCGTGGTAGAGAAGAGTCGGCAAAATAAACAACAGGTCACATGATCTGATCAGGGAGGAGCTTCTAGGACACGAAAAGGAGATAGCAGAGAAAGTGAGTGCGAACAGAAGAAGGTCAAAGTACGTCAAAGAGTAATGCTGCGTTCGAGTTACCTCGGTTATTTTAGCTCTTGCCTTATATTCGGACGATACAAGCGCTAAAATAATTCTCGTAGATGTAGCCATCTTGTCCCTCCGATTTTGCTTTTTTCCGACTTGGTAACTGAAACGCTGGGAACTCAGATGTGACGTCATTTTCAGCTCTGACTTCTTACTTCCGAGTTAACTTTCTAAAACTATGGTGATGATCGTTTGTACAACTGAAGACGACTAACGTTAATAAAAGACTTGATCAACTGTTGAAGAGGAAGATCGTCGACCTAAATTTACACGGACATCTTTGAGTGATACTGTTTGTCCGAGCTTTATCGTTATTATTAAAAATTATTATCGGAGTTATTCGATTAATTTAAATGGAGAAGCACAGAAAAGTTTCTGACGAGTCAATGACGAACAGACAGGCGATAGATTTAAAACATCGATTCTTTGATTAATGGTCAATGATAACCGACTCCATGGTAACCGATTCCATGGTAACCGACTCCATGGTAACCGACATGTCTCCCTCTGTCTCTTGTCCATGTCCAGTTGTTCCAGAGCTCGAGATCTCCCGGCCGTGACGCACGACTCAGAGGCAACAAAGTCGTCATCGCTAAACCAGGAAGTTTTCACCGCCCCGCTCGAGCAGCTGGCCCTGTGATTGGAGGACACCGTTACTGGCAAGGCCAAGGTATGCAGTCTGATTCGTCTCAGCTGCGCACAGAGCAGCGCTCCGGCCGGTCCCCGAGACGCCACAGTCCTGGTTACAGGAAGACAGATCCCGCCTCGGCACAGCAGACGGCCAACCAGTCAGCGTTACTCGGGGTGTCCTACTCCAAACTGAATAACTTAAAACACTTGAGGGCGAAAGCCGGGCCGACCCAGAGGAAACCGGCGCAGAATAACAAGGTGACCAGGTAGAACCGTCGACCGGCACATGTACAAAATGGTGGTTGGACGCTGAGAGTGGAATCAAACGAAGAGATTTCCTGTTTTTAGAGCGCCGGGCTCCACGAACAGGAACTCTGCGACGGCGATAATGGACTTTATCAGCGTGGGTTTGAGTTGATGGTTTTGCGTGTAAAGGAATCACATGACCTTCCCCTAAAATGGTTTAATCGTGTCGTTACACTTTTGACTTGTTGAATGTTTAGACGCAGAAGTGAATATTTTTGATGATTCCAACATGTAGATAAAACTCGGTTTACTTCATTTACTCATGAATAGTGCCGAGACTCGTACCGTGAGCAGATGGGTGCGAGTCTTCAGAGACACTGTGACGGTGCGACACTTGTACATAATCCTTTTAACAAAGATTCGATCATTACCTCAACGGCTGTTCTTCTCAGAGTTTTGTACTGTAACCAGCACAGACTAATGTGTTGTATCTGTGACATGTTTCCCCCGCTGTAGTGTTGATACCACTGTGATTGGTTACTGATGTTTGAGGGTGGGGCTAATGTTTGTAATGGATTTCCTGTACAGAGCGAAGAGTTTTAATCACTAATGTGGGAGTCCAGGGACGGTTTTAAATAAAAAGACAAACTGGGTCGACCAAATGATGTTATTGATTTCACAATCGAGGAAAATCAACGAATGATCGACTCTCTCGAGGAATTGATGAATCCTGTGTTGGCAAGACTTGTAAATGCTTCAACTTGAGTGGCGTGAGGCGGCACAGACAGACAAAAAACCAAACGGATGCCGCCCTGAGGTTTCTCACTTTTTGCCTTGGAAACGGTTGCCATAGCAATCTAACCACAGGTTTCATTTTCGGCTGCTCTGAGGGTTCGGTAGTTTGCCATCTTAGTTTCAGTGAGAGAGCAGTGGCACAGAAATCCGTGTTTGGATCATTAAATAACAGTTTTACGGGTGGTCTACAACAGAATAGACTTTTTTTATGCTAACTCTGATGGAAAGACCATTTTTGATCAATTTGTTTCTGTCTTGAAAGGTCAAGAGTTTTAAGGGAATAAGTGGATGGGTCGTATTTTATCTTCTTTTGCAGATTACCCCATTTTAATAAACAATTGTGTGTGTACAGAGACGCCCCCTTTAAAGGTATTCTGCCTCTCTATTCAACTTGGCCTCGCCTTCCATCATTATACGAATTTGAAGCTAAATTGCTCTCAGTATTTATGGGTTTTTTCTCCACTTCCCGGAACCAATGTTGCGCAGTAGCATTGTTCGCATTCGGCGGGAGAGTCGCTGTGATGACGCTTGGCTCAAACAGCGTATCTGCAGGGTGAGCTACGCAATCTTCGTACGCCCATAGGCTGTATCAAGTGTCAATCATAGCAAACATGAACCCCCTAATAACTTTTAAAAATGGAGATTCACAGAAAAAAGAGGACTTGAGCACAAACCAGTCTGACAGTAACTACATGTCAACATCACAACCAGGGGGGGGGGACATTTATATCCTGTGGAATTAATTTATAAAGTTTGTCCACAGCTCCATAAGGAGCGGGATTTATGACCTATACTGCAGCCCGTCACCAGAGGGTGCTGTTCTTGGAGTGGCTTCACCCAGCGATGAGGCAGATGGCGTCCATTCTATATAGATGTAACAGACGTAACGCTCAGCAGTATCTGTGTATCTCATTTATTTTCAGAGAGCTTTCCTGCTGCTTGTTGCGGTGATAACGTTCATTGGGGGCCCTAGTGGTCATCCTGGGAAGTGCATTTTACGGCATATCTGCCCCAGTGCCGTTCTCAGCCCCTTACTTTAACAGTTTGTGTGTAAGTGTACCTGGTCAGAGCACCAGTACCAGGTGGCCAGTATGGTGAGTCCCAGAGTCATGCCGGGCCAGGGCAGGTCTCCAGTGACGGCGTCTCTGAACAGGTGCATGGCGTCCTGACGGGGCAGGTGGCAGGTGCTGTTGGGAATGATCTTACTGGGCACCGCCATGCTGTACACACGCTCCAGGTTGCCGTAGCCGCCGATCTTGTTGAAGGCTGTGGATCGGAAACACACAACTCCAGCACAGACCCGATCCTTCTAGAAAAAGACTTTCTCATGTGTGACATTTGTACGAACCGGTGATGGTCAGGATGATGGCGCCAACTATCATGACGAAGGTCTGCAGAGTGTCCGTGTAGATCACAGCAGCAAGACCCCCTGGAAGGAGAGTTGGGGGTCATAACCACAAAGTATGAGGTGGGTTATAGTCGATGTGTGTCCTCACTGCGTCATTTGTTCACCTGCGATAGTGTAGAGAGCAGTAACCACCAACATGAGGACGGTGGACAGGTAGAGGTTCCACCCCAGACACACCTGGACGAACAAAGCTCCAGAGTACAGGTCAGTCTGGGGGAGGAAACACACACACAGACACACACACAGACACACACGTGTCAGCAGCAGTAGGTCTGGATCAGGCTGATCGTGATGATGCCTCACTGTGGAGCGTACTGAGATCTTTGTGAAGACGGACAGCAGCAGCGAGAGTACAGCCAGGTAGGTTCTGATCCGCTCCCCTCCAAAACGACGGCCCAGGTACTCTGGCATGGTGACGATCTGAAGACACACACACACACACACACACACACACACACATGTTTCAGCACAATAGCTACACAGGAGGGGCACACTGGAGAAGTTCTGGACGGGTTTAGGAACCTAGTTTTATTTGTTCACACTGTTTTCAGTGCAACAGTTGTGTAAATACAGTAATTTATGTTTCCTCGAAGACAGTTGATTGTGTGAGTGTGTGTTAGTGTGTGTGTTTGTGTGTGAGTGTGTGTGTGTGTGTGGAGTAATGTAACACCCTCTTGGGGAATTTGAAAGGCGGGGAATAGTGATAGAGGGAATGTCTCTTGGCACCGAATGTACCTGCTGAACCAGCCTTAACAAGCAGACTGACAACCTCTTGTGTATGCATGCATGTGTGTGTGTGTATGCATGTGTGCGTGTGTGTGTGTGAGAGAGAAAGTGCAGACTAACCCCTGAGGAGATGTAGACAGGCACAAACACCCAGGCCAGGGCCAGCAGCACATAAGTTGCCTGAGAAAAAGAGACAGGAAGTGAAGAGAAAGAGGTGAATCTGCAGACGTGTCCGAACATCTGTGTGAGGGCCTCATGGTCTTAGTGGTCACACTGAGGTCCGAGTTTTATCTGCGTAACCATGTCTGCCGTTGTTGTGCACATCTATCTACTCCAGCTGGGTGGCAGTAAAAACGTTCCAGTGCTGCCCCCTGCAGCCAGAAGCCTGCAAGAGCCAATAAAGGACGACCAGCACAGTGAAGAGATGCATCATTCAAGACTATTTGAGTGAATTTGACTTTACATCGACACTGAAACACAATCCTCAATAGTCAGAGAGGATTCACTAAGACTGAATGTGGATGCTTTAAACACACAAGGTCTTTGTTTGCTGGTCCGGTCCTATAAATACCAGAAACACAATAAAAGAGCGAGGAAGGACTCCAGAGCGTGCTGAGTTTATGGACACTAATAGATGATTAGAAAATACCTCGTAATGTTTTGTTGAAGCTTTGATGTGTGTGTGTGTGTGTGTGTGTGTGTGTGTGTGTGTGTGTCTGTGTGTGTGTGTGTGTGTGTGTGTGTGTGTCTGCTCACATTCCATTCAAAGCCAGTGACAGCGATGCCTCCAGCAGCTCCAGTCCCAGCCAGTCCAATGAACAACCCGGATCCCTCTGAACTGGCAAAGAGAGACGCTCCAATCTGCGATGAAACAGGTACTCAGAAAAATAAAACTCGTGATCCAAATATACTCTGCTGCAGTACAGTGAAGTATTTACATAATAATACAGTTTTTCATGTTTAGTTCCTCCTTTATCATCATAAACGTCTAAATTCGTCACTGCAGAGTAGAGTTGTCCTGTGGCGGAGGGAGTTTGTAGTCGAGTTGGGCGACTGCAGTTGGGCTGGGCGAAAATGATATGCATCAAAAATTAATTTCCCTCAATATTGATATGAAACATGGTCGATATCCTTTTCGATAGTCGGCATTCTGCCATGTTTTGATAGACTATACGAATAGCCAATGAAAAGGGGAGTTGCTTCAGGTCCGCTTCACAAACAACTGTGTAGTAGCAGACAGCAGCTACACTTAACCGTAGCACTTAAACACGTGAAGCCGACAGCACTGTTGGTGAGAAAAAAAGAAAATACCCCCCGACAGAAATGACCATGAAGGCTCAACAGATGACCACATCGTCAACAACACTGGCACGAAAACGTGGTGGTGTGGAGGTATTTTGGTTTATGTCGAGTACATGTTCTCGTAAAGTCGGGGAATACCTCAATTTTTTTTCACCACCTGAAGCAGCGCCACGCCGCAGAGCACGCACAGCGCTAAAGGTTACAAACCCCGAGCAGAGCAAGGAGCCCATGGCGCCTGTGCAGCTGAAACAGACGACCATTCAGTCTGCTTTCTCTAAGGTAACGCCTTACGACAAAACGTCAAAGACCTCACAGATGCAGAAGATTATTGTATTGAAAAAGACATGCTACCAATAAACACTGTTAAATTTCATTTTTTTATATCCTGATATTTCTTGATATTGACTGATATGAAAAAATACATCATGATAAACTTTTTCCCATATCGCCCAGCCCTAAGTTGAGTCAAACTGTGAAACTAGATTGAACTTTTTTTTTTTTTTATCAGGATGATCTTGACTGAATCTCTCATTTGGCTCTAACGTCACAGGATTACCACCTGAAACAATCTTGTTTTTATTCAAACATTTATCCGTCTTTAATGTCCTTCGAATGAAAATCTGTCATTTTGTGATGTTCATTTGGACCTGAGCTGAGCTAAAGTAGTACCAACAAGTTCTGAGTGTAACTTCTGCTGGAGGAAGTCTGATCTAGTTCAGATGAAATAAAGAAATCCATTCATCTCAGATTTTCTTCTTTAGTTAATGTCTCTTTAAGATCCTCCCAGCACTCCAGAGGCCTCCTCCACTGTTACCATGCTAAAGAGTTAAATTTTTTACACTCAAAATGAAACATCATGGGATAAAGCCTCTAATCCAAAACAACAAAAACAGATCAAGATCGACTCCTTTAAGAGGGTTCACCGTCAGTCAGAGATGTTCTCGTGCCCCTCTGGCTTTTTTCTCATGTGACTTTTTCAACAAGTCGATGCAGTCTCATCCAGAACATGTTTACTTCATACTTTGAAACCTCGCCCACATTCAGATTCAACATCCAACATGCACCAGCAGCCTCTCTCAGGTCGGCCAAAACTCAGTGATCGCTGAGAGCTCCATCCATAAATCAGAGACTTTCAGTAAAATGTGGACGCTCCTCCAGAAACAGTGAAGTGTTACGTCAGACTCACCGGCCACCAGGCCATGTCCCGTCCAGCCAGGAAGTATCCGCTCAGAGTGTTCCTGCTCACCCTGCATGATGACTGACAGAGGAAACTGTTACACACACACGCATTTAAACTGAACATACACACATTTACTCCTCCGACTCTCACCCAGATGCCAACAGCGAGGTTGAGGAGAAAGTAGGTTGCTATGACGATGATATCAGAGATGCTGAAGGACTGAGGCAGGGCGTAGAAGTTGATGGTGGAGTTGGACATCTTCAGTGTTCACAATAACGCAGATACACACTTGAAATCGATGGAACACACACACAAACACACACTTGGTAGATCAAACTTTTAGACAAGAGCTGTTTGTCAAATCATCGTCCTGAGACAGTCTGACGCTGAAGACCGACTATGTGAAGATCAAACAAACACACAAAGACCAACACAATACACACTTCCTTACAGCTCACAGTGACCCTCTCAGACAAAAGAAAACCTGAAGTCCAAGATTTACCCGACACAGACACAAAAATCCTCCGAACATGGATACACACGGACAAGCACACACTCCAGCTCTTGGTAAAAGTCCCTTCTTGACTGATCAGTTAGCAGCCTAAGAAGGAGTGTGTGTTTATGTGTGTGTGTTTGTGTGTGTTTGTGTGTGTGAAGAGGGCCGTCCCTTCACTGAATTGATGATTAAACACATCACCTTAATGTGGCACCTGCAGCGCTGACACACACGCTGTGCTAGGGGATAATGGAGTGTGTGGTGTGAGTGTGGAGTACAGCAGATGCTCCTGTGGACCAGAGTCCATGCTGTACACACACACACAAACACACACAGACACACAAACAGGGATGGTCAATGATTGTCAATGACAAGTTTATAATCATTAGTGTCTAAACACACAAACAGCTTCTGGTAAGTGCTCGGTGGGGGACGTGAAGGTGTGTGTGAGGGACAGGAAGTGTGTGAGACGGATTTATCCACTTTTTATGGATCAGTCGGTAACTTTGAGGGAATTTCTGATCAAATAGATCCTCCAATCAGAGAGCGAACCCTCAATACCAGTCTGACTACAGAACGCAGGAGCAATATTTAACTCCATTTGTTATGATTTTACTGATTGAAAACTAGTCCCAGAAGTAGACGATTTATTCAAGGATTTGAGTCTTTCAAGTTTTTGATGGATCTTTATACTCACCAACAGATAATTAGAGAATAGATTTGAAGTCCTGCCGCTAGTTTATAAAACACTACGAGGTCCAGGTCCAACAGCATCGGGGATCTTCCAGTTCAGTCTGAACCATCTGATCCGAGACTCTTCATGTTTTAACATCTGGGTTAAAGACTCACCTGTTTCCTTCAACAAATGTACTCAATGTCCATCTTTATTTTCAGTTTTAAAGCCCACTCTGAAAATATACAATATATATGAACTTACCCTGTCTTACTTTACCCCAAAAAAAGAAATATGATGAAGAATATTTGCATTGTTGCATCTTTATTCTTCGTCCGTTCAGACTGATGCGTGTATCTCCTCCTTGTCAATGCCATTAAGCAACATTTTATGTTCCTTTTCTTTTTACGAAGAGAATCTAAAATATCAATTTTTGAGTTAAAATATCTTGTAAATCTGAAACACAGATCTATCACTTAAAACTAACTTTCTAAAAGCTGTATTTGTTCATTTTCAATGTTTCAGTACGTGTGAAACACTGCGTTGATAAAAGATGAGTATCGTAAAGCTAACTACTAAAAATAAAGAACCACACACCGGTTAAGTAATTTTTCAACAACATTTGAGGACGAAGAGTTCTGGTGGAAGTCTGCAGAATGAGTTTGCTTTCGTGCTCCCTGATGTGAAATTAACTCAGTGTCACACACAAACGTCTGCTCAGTGTTTGTCTGCTGTGGGGAGCAGATGGCGGCGAAGGAGGCGCCCTGACGTCACTCACATCATCATCATCAATCTCTCACACAAACTACCACACTGGAAACGAACTGTGAAAGTGCATGAAGTGGGCTTTGTGTGCAGAAAAATCCAAATAATTAGTCAACGATTTTGGTGTTGCACAAAAGTTACAGTGGAAATTATTTCATGTTAAAAATATTTGTGATTCTGAAAATTGTTGAGAAAGACAAGTTCAAGTTTTAGGATTTTTGTCTGCATGAACACATTCACATGAATAGCCAAGTACTCAGACAAGCCTAAACAGACGGAAACACACAAACTCCCTTACTGAGAATATTTCAGTAAAATGTCACAGTGGCCTAGAGTTTGATAAAACTGTTATTCTGTTATGATATTGATTGATATTGATATGATATTACTCCTATTATAATAATCTTATATATTATAATATAGTTTATGATATTGATACCCATGTGTATTATCTGGAGAGTTTTGTGCACATGTTAAATCAGACTGTCTTAGAAAAATCTAGAAAACTTGCAGTAAAGCAAACTCAGTGAGGTTACATCAGGGTTCCCCATAATAGTTTGTTAACATATTCAAATTTTAAGTGAATTAACCCTCAAAAAACAGCTTATCCTAGGGTCATATGATTTTGTATTATCGCCTTTAGGGGTAATTATTAAGTGATAGTGGCCCAATTTTCAAAAATGCTCATATGAATGGGTTAATGTCTTAGATTGATTCAGCCATAGAGAGTAATCCACACAAAGATAGTGAATTTAGTAAATTGATAAGTCTAGGGCTGAAAAACAAAACAAAACAAAACAACGTAAAAAGACTTTGAGATTAAAGTCATTAATTAACGAGAATAAAATCGTAATAAAATCATTATGATAGTTATGATAATGTGGTGCTGCTGTGCCAAAAGATGAAATATCTCCTTGTTTAAGAGTACATTTTCACAAAATGCTCCATGGCTCTAATTCCAATAACTGTCACCTGAAACAACAAGTTAGAATATAAGGACTTCGTTCTCGTAAATTATTGACTTTAATCTCGAAGTCTTAATTTTTTTCTTAATGTGGCCCTAATACGCCGTCATAGTTAACTATTCTAAATACGCAAAGAAGAAAGAAAAAGTTTAACGACAGCATAAAATAAAGTGTAATGTAAATGTAAGATCAATAATATAACTTTAAATAGAGTTATAAGTCATCAGTAAGGACACGAAAACATGAAAACTGATCAAAAGTCTCGTTTCGCCTTCGGATCATGCTAGCAAATATACAGCATATCACCGCACTGCATGATGGGACTTTGAGGAGAAAAACATTTTCAACAACAACCAATCACAAAACGGTTGGCCCCTCTGACCCGGAAGTAAAGCTTGGTAACAAATATTTGCCGGGAAATCCGCTCCGTAAAAACAACTGCTGAAATAATCGATGAAATATTTATGAAAATAACCGTCAAAGTTTGTGTTTTCGAGCGATATTAATTCACCGAAGAGTCTCCGGTTCTGTTGTGTGTCTGTCTGCGCGGAAATGGACGAATATGACGAACTATTCGAGGTCGAGGATGACTTCGAGGACCAGTTCGCCGACGAGCTGGAGGTTCTGGCCGAAATGGAGGGTGAGAGGAGATCCGAACATGGTTCCGAATCTGCTTCTGTAGAGAGTAGACTTAAAAAGAAACTCAGTCTGAGATTAAATATTCTTTCACACAATAGTTTCACCAAAGTTTCTCTCTTAGACCCTCGTCATTATTTAAAGCTGCTGTAAGGGATTTTAGCGGATAAACAAACAGACTCAGATTTACTTTATTAATATTACTGCGACTTTAGGACCCACAACAGCAAACAAGACAGAAAAGATCTCTGTTTTTTCATCTTAGACCCTGCTGTGAGCTGTGAACCTTAAAATGATCATTTTAACTTTGACAGGATGTTACAGAGAGTAGGAGAATGTTTCATCAGGATTAACTAAATAGACATGTACAGGTTAGACTAAAGATATTTCTTCAATTGTGGCTTTTTTTATTTGCATCCTTTTATTTTCGTTGTAAGTAACTTTTTTTTCCATCGCCCCTTTTTTTTTTTTTTTTTTGTTAGCAGCGGGCTTCTGTTTCATTTTTTTTTGCATCGGTAACTTCCCCCGTGACTTCTTTTTTTATACATTCTTTTTTAGTTGCAGCAGTGGCCACCGTACAAAACGATTACAAATACAGAAAAACATGGATGTTTAAAGAGTGGGCTGTGTTTATGTACAGCCTACATTTCTATTAACAACAGTAATAGAATTTTCAGTTGTTAGTTTCTGTGTCGATTTGTACAAACGTTCGGACATGATTGTAGACATTCACTATTTCAGTGTGGTGTATGTGTCATCTCAGGCGTCTCTGTGTTGTTGTGTATTCTTGGATGAATCAGATTTTGTCTTTATAAGTAAAAAGAGTTTGTAAGATTGTAGTAGAAAACTCGACCCTGAGAACCTGGATGATTTTCGGCACATTTTTTCAGATAAAGATGATCAAGCTATCAAAAATGTTGTCACTTTTTTAATTTAAAGTAACTGAATTTTACTTTATCACTCACTACATGTGCTTATCTTTGTGTGAATGGATCAGAAAAAAACACAAAGGTAGGAAAAGGCCAGCAGCAGCAGGACACCTCTGACATCGAGCATCTCCTGGACGATCAGCCGCTCAGTAAGTCGACCGTCAGACCCTGAGGTTGTTGTTGTTGTTTTCCTTGTTTCCGTGTTTTTGCTTCCTCATTGTGACTTTTCTTCCTCGCAGCCCCAAAGGCGAAGCGGCAGAAGCAGGATGTGGGAGTGGTCAAACGTCTTTTTAACGCAGCTAAAGAGAGCAAAGGCTTGTCAAAGGGATGTGACATCACACCGCCATCCTCTCCAGAGCAATATGAACCCTCTGACGCCATCAGGTACAGGAAATGCATTTTGAGTATGTAAAAGAGGACGCAGTTGATGTTAAAGGGATATTCCTGCGTAAAATTAACTCATGGTCAAACACAGCTTCACAAACACAGCTTTCAGCTTTTCTTAGTTTTGTAGCTGCTGCATCATGGGAATGTTTCCTGCCACAAGAATCCCAGTGTGACGTTTTCATCTCATCACCAAATGTTTCAGACATCAGCAAACAAACTAATATTTAGTTCTTAGTGAGACCGAGTGCATCATAAAAAATAACAGATAAACTCTTATTAAATATTAAACCACGTTTTTGTCTTACTTTGGTGAACTTTGACTATATTCTGGATCCTTGTTTTCTCATGTTGTATTGATCCCTGAGGTGACATTCAGGTTTTACTCTCTGCTGTTGAAACTTGCTGCACAAACACAGGCTGAAATACACACATGCACCTACAGGATCCTCTGGATATGCGCTCATGCATTATAGATAAGGACTAAAACCGTGAGACTATTCTAACTGGATGAGAACGGCTTATTTCTAAATCGTGTCCCTGAAAATCTTTCTAGGTCTGCCTCAGCCCTCCTGGATCTCAGCGGCTTGGCTACCATCCCAGATACTCCTGCCCGACCTCCCACGGCGGCTCCGGCGTCCCTGCATGTGCTGAAGCGTCCTCCTTTAGAGGGAGAGTTCATCACCGTGACGGACTCTTCAGGGAGTCGGGTCTACCTCAGACAGAAAGAAGAGTCGGAGTCAAAGGTTAAACTCCCGACACTTATTCATCCGCAACGACCACTTTAAGATCGCACAGTTTTATTTTCTTACATTGATCTGCGTGTGTGTGTGTGTGTGTGTGTGTGTGTGTGTGTGTGTGTCCAGGTGGTGGAATCCAGGATGGTACCAAACTCCCAGGGTTCTCTGGGGCTGCTGGCCGTTCCTGTCGGCGTGCTGAGAGAACAGGAGGCTGACAGGGTGAGTGATCATCCGTCTGCTGCTGTTTGTGTTGAATCTGCCAAGTTCAGCACGTTACCACACAATAACCACGTTTTCATGTTTCAAGGCTAGACACACACGCTGGACTGGACAGTGTTATTAAAATATTAAGTGACGTTACATCCGTGTCTTAACTTTCCTGGAGTTCAGCATGGAAGACCTTGAGGTGTCTTTTTGGATTCATGTTTTTTTCCCCGGTTATTTTACGGTCACATTTCTCCCTTCTTCTTTTTCCACGACACATCCTGTTTTGTTTTCCACTTGTTGAAGTGTGTCCAGATATCATTTCTTATTTTTGTCCCCGACTCACCCAAAAACGTCTTTGCCCACCGCATCTAAAAATACCGCGGGTTGGGGAATTGAGGATTTGACAGATATGGTGGTCAGATATAATCTGGTTTGATCGAGCAGCTGAAGAGGAAGAGGACATGTGGAGGGAAAAATGAGGAAAGATCTGCAGGAAAGTGCTCGTAGATGACTCGACCACCAGGACAAGATCAGCAGAGAAAGACGTGTTTCCTCTTTGTGCACAGAGGGTCCCAGAATCCACCAAGAGGTAAAATGTCCTCTCTTTTTTTCTGTGCAGCGTCATCAGCAGGTGATCGAAGAGTCCCAGCGTCTGACTGACCTGCTGACGGGGTAACTCTGCGTCCGTCACATCGGTAAATTACAAACGTGGTCACATCGAGTTTGAAACGCTCTTTTCTGATTCGTTTGACCCTCCAGGAGTGTGAATGACGTCTTCGCTGAACCCGAGAGCCGAGGGGAAGACGAGAATGAGGACACAGAGGGAGGAGCCTGTCGCCTGTGGGTGGAGCAGTTCTCGCCTCGCCACTACACCGAGCTGCTGAGTGATGATGTCAGTCGTGGTCAGAGTTAACCCTTCGTAAGAGTCCAAGTTTGGTGTCATGATGACAACTCTGTGCATGTCTGCTTTCTTTGTTGTTGTAGTTCACCAACCGCTGTCTGCTCAAGTGGTTGAAACTTTGGGACACTGTCGTGTTTGGGATCGAGAGGAAGTCCCGCCCTGCTCGCCCTGACAGACAGGCTCCGACTCAGAACAAACCCAATCAGAATCAGAACCGCTTCAAGAGCAAAGTGGAGATGACGGAGGAGCTGCTGGAGGCCGAGCTGGACCAGTACAAACGGCCCAGATTCAAGGTGAACACTGAGAAGACCTCCAGCCTGTTTCAGCCTCTTCACTCTTACATGAACTTGAACATGTTCTGGTCTCTCTGTAGGCGGCGCTGTTGTCCGGTCCTCCTGGATTAGGGAAAACCACCCTGGCTCATGTCATAGCAAAGCATGCTGGGTACAATGTGGTGGAAATCAATGCCAGGTTAGACCTAAAACTGAGAATGAACCCAGAAACTTTAATAAACGGTCAAAGTCTGGTGTGTGATAACAACCCTGTCACGTCTCTGCAGCGATGACCGCAGTGCGGAGGTTTTCCAGAAACGCATCGACACGGCCACGCAGATGAAGTCGGTTTTAGGAGCCAATGAGAAGCCGAACTGCCTCATTATTGATGAAATCGATGGAGCGCCAGCAGTACGTACCGAACCCTGAACCCTGAACCCTGAACCCTGAACATGTCTGAGTCTGTGACCTGAACTTTAAAATCCAAATCTGTGAAAAAAGTGAGTTTGATTCTGTTCAGAAGCTGCAGACAAACTCCTGTGGGAGATGATGTCAGCTGAATGTTGGCGTGGATATGACACGTCTCAGGTCTGATCAGTACTGAGCATGTGCAGATCAGAGTTCAGTTGGATGGTTTCGGGTCGGAACAAATGTTTCTCTTCACAAACTAAAAGTCTTTTCAGTTTTTCTTTGGTTCTGATTTCTTCTTCGTTGGTGTTTGACAGGCTGCCATCAACATTCTGTTAGCGACTCTAAACAGGAAGGACGGACATGGCGGTGAGGTGGGCACAGAACCAACAAAGCAACAGAAGAAGAAGAAGAAAGAGTCCATCCTGCTTCGACCCATCATCTGCATCTGTAACGACCTGTGAGAGAGAGAGAGAGAGAGAGAGAGAGAGAGAGAGAGAGAGAGAGAGAGAGAGAGAGAGAGAGAGAGAGAGAGAGAGAGAGAGAGAGAGAGAGAGAGAGAGAGAGAGAGAGAGAGAGAGAGAGAGAGAGAGAGAGAGAGAGAGAGAGAGAGAGAGACAGAGAGAGAGACAGAGAGAGAGAGACGCTCTCATGTGGAAATGTTCAAACACGCTGAAGCTCGACTGAAGACCCTCTGTATCTTCTCAGGTATGTTCCAGCTCTCAGACCGCTCAGGCAGCAGGCCTTCCTCCTGACCTTCCCCCAGACTCAACCTTCTCGCCTGGCACAGAGACTCGCAGAGGTTCGTATGCTCACATTCACACCAAACAGACGGGAAGGAATACAGTCTTGACAGAAGAACTGACAAGTTCCATGAAGATCTTTGTCTCAATTTACAAATCTGGGAGTGGAAAGAAATTAATAAATTAATAACCGACAGGAAGTGAGGTGAATCCAGGTCAAACCTGAGCTTTTGTTTGCAGATCTCACTGCGACAGGGGATGAGGACAGACACGGGGACGCTGATGTCTCTGTGTGAGAAGACAGACAACGACATCAGGTCCTGTATCAACACACTGCAGGTGAGGGAGTGAGGCCGTCTCTGTTAGATATACCAGCAGGTAACCTGGAGAGGTGGGAGTTATTCATGAGTATATTTGATGTGTGCAGTTCCTCCACGGTCGGGGCCTGAAGAAAGTGGACACCAGGACCATCCAGTGTGTCTCTGTGGGACAGAAGGACCAGAACAAAGGCTTGTTCCACCTGTGGCAGGAGATCTTCCAGTTACATCGGGTCAAACGGTACTTTGTGTCCGGCCAGAGCGTGTCAGAGATTTAGTTCAGAGCCGAGTCTGTTTAGATGTTCAGACTGTGGACATGTAAAGATGGACGGTGTGTCTCCACCTCCCTGACTGCAAAAGTGAAGCTCTGTATAACTCATTCTTCAGTCAGTCAGCAGGGGGAGCTCCAAACGCCCGGACTCGTGAACAGGAAGGTGATGGTTCTTACTTGTTCTTGCAGGAAGCGTATCGGCGAGGCGTTTGAGGAGGCTCCAGGTTCAGGAGGTGGAGCTCAGAGGTTTCAGCACCTCTTACATTTAGCGTCCTCTAGTGGAGAATACGAGAAGGTCTCTCAGGTAATGAAAACATCTCCCACATGTACAAAGTAGAAGTATGTGAACGGCGTCTTCACGAGTCTGTGCTGGTTTTAATCCTCTGGAGACACACGTTACACGTGACATGAACATGTGTGTCTCTCCTCAGGGTCTGTATGAAAACTACCTGTCCATGCGTGTGAGGGATCCAAACCTGGAGAGCGTGTGTGAGGCTCTGGATTGGCTGATGTTCTCAGACAGACTGAATCAGGTGATTCTGCACGGACAGAACTTCACCCTGATGAGATACCTGCCCTTCCTGTCCGTGACGTTTCATTTCCTCTTCGCTCACACACACGTTCCCCGGATCAGCTACCCCCACAGCCAACAAGAGGTACAGAGATACACGATGAAAACACAAACAAAAGGAGTAGAGATGAGACATGTTTCTTTACAGTTCATCTTTAACCTCTGAGTCGTACATGTTCCCTCTCCAGGCCACCTCCAAGATCCTCACCAGCAGAAACGCTTTGTCCACCATGTTAGCAGACATCCCAGCATGCATCAGAACAAGGATCAGCCAGCTCAGCTTGACCCTTGATGTCCTCACCCTGCTCCTCGACATCATCTGTCCCAAACTACGGCCGGTAAGTTCAGCGTTCGTGTGGAGCTTCAGGAGGTCGTAAATATTATAAACAAGAGGTTAAGATGTTCGACGTAGAAACTCAGCGAGAGACTCAGAGGACCCGAACCTGCAGGGACCAGAACTGAGCCGAGTGGAGAAAGTCTTTACAGGTTTTATTACCTCCACCGTTCAGCTGAGAGGGAAGCCCGGATTCTGATTGGGCCTTTTCAGGTCAGCTGACTCTAGATGCAGCCTCTAATTGGTTGACAGACCAAAACAGTGAAAGCAGTCTTCCATGAGTACAGTTAGCGAACAACAGAACTGCAATAAAACTCTTAAAATGGAGACGATACCATGTGATGATGATAATGATAATAAAAATGATAATGATGATAAACATGAGAATAACAATAATGATGATAATAATAATGTTGATAATAACAATGATTATAATGATAATAATAATGATGAGAATGATACGGTAATAATGACAATGATGATAATGATAAAATAATGATGATAATTATTATGACAATAATATCATACGGTAATAATGAAAATTATGATAATGATAAAATAATAATGATGATTATAACAATAATGATAAAATAATAATAACAATGATTATAATAATGATAAAAATATTGATAATAATAATAATAATAGTAATAATACATTTTATATGTATAGTGCTTTTTACAGGAGCACTATAATGATTATAATTATGATAATAATAATGATAATGGTGACAATTATGATAATGATGAAGTAATAATTATAATGGTAATGATAATAAAAATAGTTATCATGATAATAATTGTTATAATAATGATAATAATAATAATAATAATAACCATGATAATGAGTATTATAATAATGATAAAAATCATGATAATGTTAACAATAATAATAATAAATATAATGATGATAGTAGTAGTAGTAGTAGTTAAAACTGTTTCTGATACTCTGATCTCCTCTGTGGGATACTGACACTCCAGGATGTTGTAGAAACACCTGAAACACTCGTTTCTGACACAGCACTGTGAGCTCCATGATTACGGACTCACTTGTTGGTCCTGCTGGCTGCTTCTCCTCAACGTCACAATGATCCAGTTCTGATCTGGAACTGGGTTTTGATTCCCAGTCTGCTTCGTTCTTGGTCACAGAAGATTTTTTTTGTCTCTTTCCAGCAATGACACCTACGCTTATTAGTGTCTTTTAGAAACATACTGAGGACCCTTCTGCTCTCTGCTCGAGTTCTCATGACAGGATTCACTCTCCGGACTCATGCCTCGTTTTTCTCCTTCCAGGTGAATCCTCAGCTCTTCAGCAGCAGAGAGAAGGAGCAGATGCGGGAGCTGATAGACACCATGCTGGCTTACAACCTCTCGTACAGGCAGGACCGCACGCCTGAGGGACAGTACACATACCTGCTGGAGCCGTAAGTACACACTCATGCACTGGGCTCGGACACATGCAGAGCAGATGTGTGTTTCTGGGGTGTTGAAGGTCACTGCTCTTGTCCAAACTGTGGTTCACCGCATGGAGGCTTAGAGACTAATCCCCTTAACACCAGGTGTGTGTGGGATGCATAAGTGTGTGTGTTTGATGGTGAGGGAACAAACAGAGTACCAAGCCTCAGATCCTGTCAGGTCGGGTGCTGGTGGAGTGAGAAACAGCTGATCTTGAGGACTGAGAGACCTTATCCATCGTGAAGCTCTGTGCTTCGTGACCTCTGAGGACGGCAGAGACGGCGGCGTTGGTGAGATGGGATAACTGGCCATCATGCCGTCCCAGGCCGATCATCAGCCCAGCTCTCAGGGCGGCTCCTTCCTGCAGGCTCGCTGTGACGAGGTCCTGGTCACCAACGACTGGTGCCTCCCTCTGGTTTTAGCGTTGCTGCTTCTCCTCCTCATCTACACCTTTCTCTACCTGCCCTCTCTGGCCCACCACAACACCACCCTCTGACACCTCATGGAAACAGACTCAGAGCAGCGCCGTGGATGTAACCCTTTGATATTTGAGGAGGCGGGTGCACCCACACCAAACGGGGCTATTTGATTGGACTGCTCCTTTTTTTTGGACGCTGTTGGTGATTGGTCAGACCGTGGCAGAGATTTTGGAGTTGCTTGGGAGAGACAGGTGGAGTAAGCAGTGGAGAAGATGGAGAGGAATTCACACTGATGTTCCTGTTTATGTCTATGAAATATTTCATTGTCTTAACTGAAGAAGACGCTTGGCCACGTTACCATGACGATGAGTTTAAAGAGGTTCATTCCTCTGTAGACGGTTAGTCTGCTCTCTCAGCTCAGTTTGATGAAGACGAGCGTACTCTTCCTCACTTGAGGCTTCACTTTAATTCGTAACATTGAGAGAGAAGCGGAGTCATCGTAGAACCTCATCCTCATCACCATCATCATTATCGTCATCACCAGCATCATCATCACATTCATCATCACTCATCATTATCATCACTGTTATCTTCATCATCATCACCACCGTCATCATCATCCTCATCACTGTCATCACAATCATCCTCGTTATCGTCACCCTCCTCTTCATCATTCTCATTTGTCATCTTCATCATCACCATCATCATCACAATCATCCTCATCCTCCTCTTCATCATTTCTTTTGTCATTATCATCACACTCCTCATCATTATCTTCATCATTATCATCACTGTCATCATCATCATTACCATTACCCTCATCCTCATCACTGTCATCTTCATCCTCATCATCACCATCATCATTGTCATCACAATCATCCTCGTCACTATCATTAGCCTCATCATCATCATCACACTCATCATCATTTTCATCATCATCATCCTCATCATCCTCATCTTCCTCCTCATCATTCTCATTTGTCATCATCACACTCATGATTATTATCCTCATCATCATCATCACCATCATCCTCATCATCCTCCTCACCCCCCTCCTTATCAGTCATTTATCGTCATCATCACATTCATCATCATTATCCTCGTCATTATCATGAGCGTCATCATCATTATTATTTTCTCATAATCATCACTGTCATCATCATCCTCACCATCATCTTCATCAGTAATGTCATCCTTATTCTCATCATTATTCTCATCATCATCATCATCATGTCAGCTTCGCCGTCATTCTCCTCCTCCTCCTTAATTTTAACAGATCGTTCAGATGAGAACCTGACTTAGATAGATAGATAGATAGGTAGTTAGATAGATAGATTGATAGATAGATAGATAGACTTTATTGATCCCAAACTGGGAAATTCACTTTATTTATTTATTTATTTTTTTAAGATAGATAGCTGGTAAAAATTTCTCACTCGCACTCAGAAACTGATCTTATTTTGACTTTTTTCATGTTGTTCAGGCGTCGAGCGAGAGTTTACTGTCCCACACTGTGTGTGTGTGTGTGTGTGTGTGTGTGTGTGGTAGAATGATGGAGGTCATCTGTAAGAGGATTAAGGTTTTATAGAGTGACAGAGTCGGGTTTATTCTGAAAACATAAACCACAGAATCCAGACGTGAACCTTTTTGTCTTTTCTCTCAGGTTCTCGTCTCTCTCATCTCTGTGCTGCCGCTGTTGTTGTCGTCTGTTTGTGTTCTTCTTACAGATATTTTCTTATTTCTGTTTGTGCGCTCACAGGCGAGTGGAGGAGGTAGTGAGGTTTCCTGGCCTTCCTACGCGCCGTCAGCTGACGTATCAGGCCAAACAAACGATCAGCAGAGAGATGGAGCAGGAGAAGATGAGGAGAGCCGAGCAGATGATGCTGCAGAGAAACCCTGTAAGGATGAGAGACACGTGTGATAAGCAGCAGATGGTGGTGGTGGTGGTGGGGTTTATACAGGACAGTCTGCTGACAGTGGGGTCAGTCTGTGTCGATGATCGTCTGTTTTTATAATCCTCTGTTTCTGCATGAAGAAGAGAGAGGGCGACAAAAAGAGTGAAGGGCCGAAACCCAGCAGGAACCACGAGCAGAGGCTGGAGAACATCGTCAAACAGACCACGGTGGAGAGCAGGGTGAGGCAGAGAAACCGACTCACTGTCTGTCGTTTGATTTCCTGTTAAAAAAAAGTCTCACAATCATTCCCAAGAAGCAACAGCTCGATCCTGGAGCAGCACCTGGTGGTGGAGGAGGAGAGATCCAGAAAACATCTGTACTGTGTGATGATAACGAAGGGTTCATCCAGTGTGGAGGAGGAGGAGGAGGAGGAGGAGGAGGAGGAGGAGGAGGAGGAGGAGGAGGAGGAGGAGGAGGAGGAGCTGAAATTAGAAATCAGAGGATATTACAATTTTTCAGCTACTCCCCCTTCATTTTGCTATTTATATAGTCTACCAAAACAAGAGTGTCAACTATTGAAAAGCATATTGACCATGTTTTATATTGATATTGAGGGAAATTAATTTTAGATTTATATTGTTATCGTTTTATCGCCCAGCTCTACTTTAGGATGTTTGTTTTATTTCATATCAGGGAAGAACTCTGGAGCTTTCAGGTCACCAACCCTAACCCTAATACAGAGCTCTTCCTTCAATTATTATTATTATTATTATTATTACTACTGTGACTGAATGACAAAGTGAATAAACTCACTCACAGTCAGAGGGAGAGTTTGATGATGGACGCAGAAGTCCAGTTTGTTGAACTGAACTCAGTCGTTGTTCTGAGTTTGGATGAAAACACATGAAATGATCTAATTAGTTCAGGGTCCAGCCTCCCAGAGCTGTGTGACGCCTGTGGGTGGCGCCAGAGAGGGCCAGCAGGCGTGTTTAAATAGAGCAGAGAGAGAGAGAGAGAGAGAGAGAGAGAGAGAACCTCTGGAGGACAGAAACCAGGATAATGAGAAGCCACTGGGTTCGAGTCCCTGATGGTGGAGCTGTTAAATGAGGCTAATGAGAGGTTCACTGTGTGTGTGTGTGTGTGTGTGTGTGTGTGTGTGTGTGTGTGTGTGTGTGTGTTGTAATTGACCTCGTTCTGAAGGACGTCTCTAAACTCCATGATCACCCCCACGTTAACTCTCTCTCTGACTCTCTCTCTCTCTCTCCCTCTCTGTCTCTCTCTCTCTCTCTCTCTCTCTCTCTCTCTCTCTCTCTCTCTCTCTCTCTCTCTCTCTCTCTCTCTCTCTCTCTCTCTCTCTGTCTCTCTCTGTCTCTCTCTCTCTCTCTCTCTCTCTCTCTCTCTCTGTCTCTCTCTCTCTCTCTCTCTCTCTCTCTCTCTCTCTCTCTCTCTCCCTCTCTGTCTCTCTCTCTCTCTCTCTGTTTTTTTGATCTGCAGCCCGAGGTGGACTTCTTCGGCCGAGCTGTCGCCCTCAAACCTCAGAGACCTCAGCCGTCCTCAGACTCAGGTACGCTCTGACATCACTCAGCTGTCCCGAACCTTCACACGCCGTTAAGCGGAAAAATGCTGCGAGGCACATCTGGTCCAAACCCACAGCTGAGGCCGTAACTGACGCGTGTTATGTAACCCCGCTAATTCAGATCTCCAGAGAGACGCTGCAGACTGAGAACGTTAGTGCCGCCTGAGTACCGTAGGAAACATTCCTGTTAACATCGGGCCTGATGGGCAGGATCCTGGGGATCCTAAAAGACTGATCTGGATCAGTTTCCAAAGGCCCTGGAGTTCTCTTAGCTGTAAAAACCTCCTGACAGTCCCGGATCACGTTTTGTGGAAACAAACGGGATGTCTGTGTTGGGATGCACCTCAGTCCTGGTCTAAAAATAACACATCTGCATAAACAATCGAGCAGAAAGGTTCTGGTCTGGAGCTCCGATTGAACCCCCATCCATGAATCTTTGAAGAAACACGGTGAGCGGACACTCCTGACCCCCTGAGAACTCCACCCTGCTCTATATTCCCAGGACAGACGAGCAGCTTAAGCGCTAAAATCAAAGTGCACCCATCGAAACGACCGACCTCTCTGAAAGCGCCGCATTACTCAGATTGATCAGCGCTCCTCTAATCGCGGCGCTAATGCGGAGCTGCGGCTGTTTTGAGGTCAAACCAGGAGAATAAATCAACAGGCGGAGTCCTTTACTGTCAACTCTGAGCGCGTTTCTCTGAACCGTCATCTGTCCTCCTGTTCGCTTTAATCTGCTCAAAAAAACAAACCTGCAGTTTGGTGTTCTCGCCTTTCTGGACCCTGAACGTCAGTCTGGAACGCTCACCGGGTCTCTGAATACGTGTGCGCCCTTCGTATGCTGTGCTTCATCTTGATGGTTCCCCTGAATAAACGCACAGAGGACCATATATTTGTGTAAATCTGAGTTTCTAGTTCCTGATTGAATCAGTTAAAGGAGTTTATTCTCCCGATTCAACCGATGGATAAGAAATGTTGTGATGTGACATGATATTATCAAATTGAGAAACTACCTTGGCTGGAATAAATAGAAAAAAAACTAAAGTTGATTCAAACCCTTCCAAAATAAAAGCGATTAGAGCAGGAAGTACGTATTTTGGTCTACTGTGAATATATTTTATTTTTTGGGGCTTAGTTTTATGTTTGTAATGTTCGTATAATTTTTTTATGAATTCCTGTGTTCAACGAAGAGAAAATACAAGACATACAAAAAATTCCCATAATGCTTTTCCTCTTTTCTCCACAGGTGAGAAAAATGCCGAGCTTTGTATGGGAACAGCTGTGGGCAACAGTGACGTTTGTTTCCGCTTCAACGAGGGGATGTCCAACGCCGTCAGACGAAACATTTACATCCGAGACCTGCTGTAGCCATGACACACACACACACACACACACACAAACACACACAGAAACACACATGCACGTCTCACATGTATATAAATAAATCCAAACTCCAGCCTGTTAAATTCAAAACAGTCTTTATTTTGATTGACAGTGTAAAGAGCCAATAAAAAGGTGTTGTTGAACATTTCTCTGCGGTCCTTCAAAACAAACTTTAGAAAGCTACTCAGTGCTGAACGCTCACACACACACGCACGCACACACATACACACATACATACATGCAGTAGTCTTCACATAAATTAAAAGCATTCAGGAGTCTCCCAATAAATAACATTATAATCGTAATAATAATAATAATAGCAACCGTGTGTGTGTGTGTGAAGGAAAGAAAAGGTGGGACTTAGTGCAGCGTGAGTGTGTGTGTGTGTGACTGTGTGTGTGAATGTGTGTGTGAGTGCACGATTCTTTAGTTTATATGCATCCGTGATTGATTGTGTGCATGGGCGTGTGTGTGTGTGTGTTTATGTGTGAGTGTGTGTGATCATTAGAGGATCACACACTTGCCCTTCTCCACCCAGGGGTTGGCTCTCATCAGCTCCGGGTTCAGAAAGGGATCCTCACACACACAACCCTCGATCCACTTCACCAGCCTGAAAACACACACACAACCAGTTAGCATGAAACTGATACTGTGTGTGTGTGTGTGTGTGTGTGTGTGTGTGTGTGTGCAGACAGTAAAGACTCACTCAGTGACAGTGATGGAGGATTTCTCTCTGTTGATTGCCAGCTGATACTGAAGGCTCTCCACCTCTCTCCTCATCTGTGGGACGTCCAACTCCTCCATGATGCTACTGCTGATCACACACACACACACACTTGATCAGAGGGTCAACAGAAAGATCAACTGTTCTAATAAAAACCCAGAATAGTGATCAGCTGGACCTTGTGGCCTACATGATGCTCATCATATCTACAGAAAAAGTTAAATTTCGAACATCACAGAGAGTCAAACTGAGAAAAGGGCGGAGCGACCTCATTTCCATAAATCGCTGTCATGACCACGCTCAGCTTCCTGGTTATCATTTCTAATGACAATCACACTCATCATCACTGAAACTGTGGAGAGGACACATCATAGATATAGTAGACATAGACATAATATACGTAGACGCCTCAAAGCCTGACGCTGCCTACTAGAGCTCACGTATCAGCGCGGCCGCCATCTTGGATGGGTTCCCCATGCGTCTCCAGTGCATTAAGATAGGTTGGAATACCCAACCATATTAATAATAACTCTGAATCTCTGCCCAATTTTCACACTGTTTGGTTTGTTACAACGGCAGGGATGTAGCCATAATGCAGGACAATGTCACATATTAAAAATAAACCAAATTATCTTCTAATCCTATTGTAATATGTAAACCTACGTTGTCCGGTTTCAATACTGCGTCGGGTTTTTCAACCATAGAGTGCAAAAAAACGGGTATAGTCGCTCGTTCTTCTCGAGTGAGCCTGGACTGGAGAGATCCATCCAATATGGCGGCACTCGATTACGCGCCAGCATGTAATGAGGCGTCTACCTATATAAAGTCTATGGGACACAACCTGATAAAACAATTGTTTGACGTGCTTTTATTTTGAAGTTTGAGCTGACTAGATCAGTAACCTGAATAGGCAGAAGCTCTAAAGCTGCATTTGGATCTCCAATCAATCATGTTTTAACTTAATTTTGATAATTTTTTTAACCACAACAATACAGTGTTTACATCTCAATACATTCCTTTCCTTTTTCCAGCTGTATGTGTATTTTTACAAACATCCACAGATCATGTAGGATTCAATCAAAGAGAATAATCAACACAAAGAAACCATGTCCACTCCAAAATTCTGACTTATAGGCACAGATTCGAGTCAGAGGCCGGATGAGAGTATTTTTATATGGATAAGATATTAGAGCATCAATGAAGGGACCACAAGCTTACATCTCTGAAGGCCCTCTGAAGCCTCAGTGAAAATGTGATCTACTCTATCTGATAAATATCCCAGACTTTTAGAATCCAGATACTGAATGAAGGAGGTTCTGATGGTTATAGACTCAATAAGATGTTGAAGATGTTTTATTTTTCTGACCTCCTGCCCAAAACTTCAGAATTATGTTTGTTTTGAGATGAACTTTGTCTCCAAGTTTGTCAGTAAGGAAGAGTTCAGTACCTCTGTTTGAGGAAACATGGAAAATTTTACACATTTACTAACTTTGTGTAGAGGAACTTCAAACTTGTATCGGACTAAAAAACATCTTCAGTCTTTATGTGATGTTATTAAACGGCTCTAGGACTCTGTGTAAGTAGTCCCAGGACTGAAAAGGGTTCACGGGGCATTTCACTTAAAAGTGAAACTATTTCACTCAGTTTGTAGATAAAATCCTGTAAATTAAGTGTTTCATTGTATCATATCGTCATATGAGAAATCCGACGCTATGACTCTCCACAAGTCGTCCCTCAAGTCGTTGTCTTTGTAATATTTGTGTTTTTTATCAAAAATCACTCTGTTCTCCGACATGTAAACAATCAGCCGGTCGGCCATGTTGGATATACCGGTGAATCTGACGTTGCAACAACACGCAATCTGATTGGTCAGAAGTGGACACACAGTATGCGAAACTTTGGAAAAATCGACCATGATCCGAAAAAATAAATGCCGCAATATCGCAGGACGGGAAAACATCGCTGATGTGAACGCTTGTATTGACAGGATACGGGTAGGAAAAAAAATAACGACGTCCGAAAGAATCGCACGACAAAAACACTCCTGGTGTGAAAGGACCTTAATGTTAGGTTTTTGACCTCATGTTGTAGCTCATAGATGCCATAATTGATGTATAAAAGTAATTTAAAAGGATCTTTTTTGGTCTGAACACAATTATCATCAAACTGATGACTAAAGACAAAATTCACTTTACAGAGTGAAAAATGTTTTTTTTTTTTAAATAAACCTCTAACTCCTTCACCCATGAGCTTCTAACCCTCACAGACTCCATGAATTTATGCCCATCAACTAAATATTTTTTATTTTACCATTTCCAACTTGGCTCAACTTACCCCGGTCTCCCCTACTGTTATTATCCACTCAGCCCCACCCTGCCCAGACTACATCTACAGCAGGAGGAGAGGATGGAGAAGAGAGTTCAGGGCCAAGCACTGGATCAGTTTAGTCCTCTCTCTCTCTCTCTTCTCCTCCTCCTCCTCCTCTTCTTCTTCTTAATGGATGTTAGTCTGCTGCCCTGTGCCTGATTCCTCCAGCAGCATCCATCTATCCTGCTGGAGCCAGCTGTTCCATAAAAAGGCCTCCCTCCTCCTCCTCATCATCATCATTTAATTACAACATCCTCTAAATGTGCCACAGTGACACATCATCTCCATCACTATGTGGTGGGGGTTATTAAAGGCTCCTTATTACAACATTTACGGTAAAATAAGTGGATTTTTGACCCGAATAGCTGTGCACAGAAGGGTAGAGGGGGTGGAAATGCTCACGGTGGAGTTAAACATCGAAACAGCCGCCTTCCTCCGAGCAGATGGATCGTGATTTTATGGTTTTCTGATGGAAAGGCTCAGCACCCCCCCACGGACACACAAACAACCGCTCTTACCGTCAAATGTGTCCGGAGGACCGCGGAGAGATGGCGTTCAGCCGGCTGATCGAGGGGGGAGAACGGGGTTATGACAGCGACGATTTCAGCCCAGAACAGCTGGAGTTTCCCCGGCAGAGAAGTCCGGCTTCAGTGCAGGCAGGAGGAAGAGGAAGACGAGGAAGAAGAAGAAGAGGAGGAGGTGGTGGTGGAGGAGGAGGAGGAGGAGGATGTGTGTCGGCGCAGGGCACTCCCCTGCGCTCCTCTCTGTTAGCGACTGGATGCGGGATGCGCAGGGCGGAGAAACAGGAGCCGCTCCCTCCCTCCTTCCCTTCCTGCTGCTGCTGCTTTGACAGTCAAACCAGGTCGGAGACAGAAGGACGCACCTGTATGGAAATCCAGGAGGGGGGATGGAAACACGCAAATTAGGACACGATCCAAAGGGAAAACAAGACCGCAGATCATTTTCCACGAAGATGATCAGATCCCCGAGGATGTTTAAGGAACGATGTCAGAGTGTAGTTTGGTAAAAATGTCATAGTATAGTATAATAAAAAATATCAGTATAGTATGATATAAATCTCAGTGTAATATGTAAAAAAATCATAGTATTGTATGATAAAAATGTCTTAGTGTAGTTCGATAAAAATGTTTTAGTATGGTACGAAAAAAATGTCTGTAGTATGATAAAAAAATGTCAGTTTAGAATGAAAAAAATGTTGGGCAGCAGCATTTTGCACAAGTTGAAGATGAGATTTGGGAGATGCTGACAAAAAGTGAATTACAATAGTCTAATCTTGAACTGATTAGAGTGTGGATGGCTATCTCGAGGTCGTGACGGCTTAAAAACATATAGACCTTGGCCAGGAGATGTAGTTGGAGGAAACTAGTCCTGACAACATTGTCAACCCTGACAGTTGGTTTATTCCCCATATTTAAGATGGTCTACCTTTGATTTCCAGGTCGCCCTTTTTAACTTTAATAAAAACTTTTATAGGGAGATTTCTTCCTTTGGAATTCAAACCCAATCATTACCAACAGGCTTCACTTTCCATTTCAGTGTCAAATTAGTGGGTCAAACCCCCTCCCTCCATTGATTGACCTGTTTTTTTAAAAACATACAAAAGCCAGCGGCCCACAGGATCACCCACTGCCACTAAAACCAACAGCTGTTAATAAAGGACAAAGCAAAGCCACACAGAAGAGTGGAGTACAAAGTTTATTACAAAACTTAATGTTACAAAAAGTTCAGTGTCAGTAAGAGAGAGATCCTCAAATTCTGTGTATTTCACAGAAGCTCCAGTTTTCACATCTTTAAAAGAAGAAGCACTCAGACTTGTAGGCGACTCCTCGAACCTGAACGTCAGTTTATTCCGTCACCTGGTTAGTTTTCTGCTCGGTGATTCCTCATGTGACGACTGTTGGTTCACCTGAAAAAACAAAATCAGAACTGTGTCTGAGATCCAACAAATACAACAGCTGAGTAAAGAGAGAGAACAGGCTCCACAAACATGGACTTACCACCGAATCATAACCAGGTCACCAGTCATCAGGGAGGATCCTGCTTTATTTGGTAGATTCAGCAGCAAATCTGCCTGCAAAAGAGGAAGTTTCAGCTTTAATTCCTAAAGAAGATCCCAGGATCAGACATTTGGCTTCAATAAGAGCCTCAGAATAAAGTCCGAATCAGGAGCTGGATTTCAGCTCTCATAGTAGGTGTCAGAAAAGTTTATTTGAGTTTGTCTTCACAGGCTGAAAGGATAATCTAAGAGTAGAACAAACTGAGGAGACTCACCAGCTTTCAGACACACAGAGACCCGACTTTGACCCTGAAATGAAGGAGAACTACATGAATAATCATGACGCTTTCTCCAGGTGAAGGTTTCACTAACTTCACAAAGCCTCAGAATAAAGTCAGAATCAGGAGCTGGACTCCAGCTCTCATAGTAGGTGTCAGAAAAGTTTATTTGAGTTTGTCTTCATCGGCTGAAACACTCTGATACTCCGGATCTGAACTCACCAGAGCCCACATGTGTGTAAACTTCCACTTCAGCGCTCGTTCTCAGGTCATGAGGGGCTGAATCTGGACGATCGCTGCTCCGCTGTCCCTTTACATCATTTCAGCTGAACCTGGGAATGAAAAGACGAATTAAAAATGGGCTACATTAAGGGGGAAGACCTCAGACTCCAAATAAAATGACTTGAATCATAATTAAGACGTCATCAGAGCTCCTCGACTTTGGATCGACCTGTGAGAGGAGATACAGAGACGGTCCCTTCTTTAAGTCAAATTAAAAAACCTCAATTTTACAGACTTGATTTTACTTACTACGCTGTTTCCTGCTTCCTACCCCCCTTTTTATTACATTTTCTTTTCCTTACCTATTTTGTTTTTATTTTGGTCCTCATTGTCTCATTTATGTTGTAGGGTTCTTGTTTTGTCTGGGTTTCTTATGACAAATAAAATTGTCCTTCAATTCGGAGGTTTTTAACTTTTGTTTTTATTTCCAAGTGCTGATGTTCTGTGCTTTACAAGTGTTTGTCAAAGCACTTTGTAAACTTCTGTTTACATAAATAATTACTATTATTACAGATGCGGGGAACATAGAGTGGTTTTAAAACAGATTGTAAAGGATCAACTCTTGGATTTATGAGAATAAAACAGGCAGAAACTCCTGTCCTTGTTCATTGAAACTGAACTGACCTCCATGTTCAAACTCTTTAAAACTAACTTAGACATTAAACAGAGTCATATCTAAACGTAGACATTTAACAATAGATTGCTTATAATGAAGATAACTGGGTTACGGTGAGAAAGACACGTGGTGTCAGAGGTTACGGTTAGCAGCCCTGCCACGTGCTCCTGAAAGTTCGTCAAAGTTCGGCTCACCTGTTCACCTCCAGGACCAGCTGGACCTGTCTCAGCTACACAGACCCGCTCCACTCATCTCCTCCTCCATCTTGGTGAGGTAAAGTTTGTTCAGACATGCTGGAGGACGAGGACCAGAGTCTGCCATCTTCCTCTGCGTGACTCCCCGAAGAAAGAGAGACCTGAGCAGGGGATGATGGGACTTTAGAGTTCGACTCCGCGAAGCTCCGCCCATTTCAGGCTAGCTAATAGCGGGTCAGCTAACCATAGATTTATATATAAACGCTAGATGGTTTACACACCGACGTCCGCGCATGGCGGCCATCTTGCTTCAGACAGCTCGCTCACTCCTAACATTCCGGTCTATGGTGCCTGTAACATTTAAATAACCATAGATTGATTATTTTTTAAGCGATTTAAAAAAAGTTTGGTTTGTAGCAAACCTTAGAGTTTTATTTATGTTCTTGCATACCGAAAAATAATTATAACCATGGATTTTCATAAATAAACATTAAGCAGCATCCTCAAAGACTGTCACTTAGACTAAATAAACAAACAAACAAACAAACAAACAAATAAATAAATAAAAAATGGGCTGTCATACAAGAAATTAAAATCTCGATTGTGGTCTATGCCTGTAAAACACAAAACCGTTTGTAAATCAGTCAAGATCTGAGAGAGTTGAGAGTATTTTTGATCATGCAAATTACTCACCTAAGATGGCCGCCATGACTCGAATCATCTAGCCTTTCTTCTAGATATCTATGCAGCTAACAGCGGGTCAGCTAACAGCAGGCCAGCTAGCTTCTTTCTCTGACCTGTCTAATATCAGAGTGAATTTGAACGATACTGTCTGACTAATTAGTCCTAATGACTGATATCTGAACACACACTCGTTCTTACGGGGTGAATGGCGTTGGTTTTGTTAGCCACATATACCGCTAGCTTGTGTCGCGTAGGCTTTGTCAAAGCATTATGGGAGTTGTAGTTTTTATGTCAAAGGATTCAAAGCGCGAACTGCTCAGAAAAGGATCGTATTAAATCCCCCACAGTTTCTGTAAGGTTAATCGTGGTTTATAACATTATTAATGCTGAAAATAAAAATCCAGCTTTAAATCAACATATGCAGACATCTAGACAACGACGTTTACAGAGGAGACCCTACAGAATACAGAAACAGGGAATTAATTTTTGGTAAAATTTGAAATCCTATCATGCAGGAGTTAATGATGATAAAAATATGATAGTATAGTATGATAAAATATCAGTATAGTATGATAAAAATGTCATAATATGGTATGATAAAAATTATATAACAAGTACAATTAATATGTCGTAGTATAGAATGATAAAAATGTCATAGCATAGTATGATAAAAAAAAACCTCAGTATTGTTTGATAACAATGTCAATGTAGTATGATAAAAATGTCATAGTATAGTATGATAAAATAAAATTCATATTTTGATGTGTGAAAAATCACATTTTATTATGTTAAAATGTCATAGTACAAAAAAGGTCATTGTATAGTCAGTTGAAATATCATTGCATAGTAAATTATGATAAAAATGTCATAGTGTGGTGTAATAAAAGTGTCTGAGAAAAGTATGATAAAAATGCCATAGTATAGTATGATAAAAAAATCATATTTGTAATGCAAAAAAAAAAAAATCACATTTTATTATTATTAAAATGTCATAGTATAGTATGTTTAAAACTTCTTGTTTTAACATGAAAAGAAAATAATTTTTTAAGGATGAAAAAATGCCTAGTAGTGCATGATCAAAAATTTCACATTTTAGTGTGAAAAAAATCCTATAGAAATTGATGGTATTGTATGATAAAAATGTCAGTGTAGTATTAATAAAATGTCATAGTGTTGTATGATAAAAAGTCATAGTATAGTTTGATAAAAATGTCATAAAAATGTCATGGTATAGTATAGTATAAATGTCATAGTGTAGTTTGATGAAATGTTGTAGTATAGTATGATAACAACAATTAACTTTTAAAAGTCAAGAAACTGTTAGTTTACATTGTTATTAGAAAAGGTGATGCTATACAACAGTAAATATTCCCCTGTTGTTTTCATTTAAAATTAATTTTCAGTTCCAACATTTGAAATATTATCTTTAAAAATTTATGTAATGGAATTTAATGCATTTTAAATTTTTCACCTCTGCAAGATTTACAGACATACCGAGAAAAGATAAACTTATCCTGCGAACTTAAGTTTGAGTTTTGGCCGTTAAACTGCAGCCTCCACCTTTGAGCCTTTTCTTCAGACAAATCCTCTTTTTTTCTTTCAGCTGGGCCAGACCTCACCCAGTCTCTCTACGAGTTTTAGTGGTCTGTCAAAGTAAGCTAATCCCTGAACCAATGAACCAAATATTACGTCATTCCTAAACAGAACCGTAAAAAGGAGACACAAAAACAGACTTTCAGAGTCATGTAAGGTTTAATTTATACATTTATTCTGATCACAGCTGTACAGGAATGCATCGTCACAGCAGAAACACAACCTAGACCCAACCGTGGCACAACAGCCATCACAACACATCCAGAACTCAACCAGAACTGTACAGGCTCAATCAGCTCACCTTAATTCAATATCTATATCTATCATCATCATTATTATCATTATCAGTATTATTGTTATTATTCACATAGAACCATCTGTCTCTCAAATATATCTTTGTTTTCAAAGAGCATAAAAATACAAGTGGACTCTTCATTAGGATGAACACTGGTGCTTGATCCACTGTCTGGCCTACATGGGGGACCACTGAAAACCGGGGAGCTGAAGAGGAGCAGAGCCAATTTATTACAGCTTACTGGGGGGTCCAGGGGCGGGTAAGGGCTCCTACAATGCTTCTCAATAATTACAGGAGGACAGCAGATGGGGGTGATAGTCTTTTAGGACACAAAACTCAACCTAAAACCTACTTCTGACGTCACACATACACAAGGAGCCCAAAAAAGAACAATCAAAAGTTGTGTGATGGAAAAAAAGAAGAGAAAAAGGAGGACAAATGAAGTGTGGAAACGTGGAAGAACACTACCAAGGCACAGAGAGATGTGGAGTTAACCAAATGTCACAGAGGGGATAAAAAGAGCGGGGAGAGACAATCAGGGAGGTGGGCAGATTGGAGGCAGTTTCACTAACCAACACTAGAGGGAGCTCTAAACAGCTCAAATACCCAGGTATATTAGAAACTCTATGTATGTATACTGGATTGACTATATAAAGCATTGAAATATAGGATTATCTTTTTAAAAACACTGTTCACTGCAGCAGGACAAAGGGAAACACCGCATGAGAGTGCGTGTACGCATGTGTGTGTGTGCATGTGTGCGTGTGTGTAGATTCATTTCCAAGCAAACCTCCATAGATGGAGCTACACACCAACAAAGCAGAACACCAGCAAAGTCCCTACCAATGAAATGTTAATCTGCACCAGCATGTGTGTGTGTGTGCGTGTGTGTGTATTGTCGCTCTGATCTTTAGAATAAGTACTGTAAGAGTGGGAGGACATTGACATGAGCATCAGCAGGGACTACACACACTCGTAACGACAACAACGGCAACAGTAACAACAACGGCAACAACAATAACATGAAGAAAGACGACACACAAGTCAGGAAGTTCCGGCTAACCACAATCCTCCACTCACACAGAAGAGAAATCTGGAAAATGCATCTTTTTGTTTTTTTTTGTTGTTGTTGTTGACATCGCAGGAGTGAGACAGACTCAGAGAGCAGCCTGTCTGTCTGTCTGTCTGTGTGCTTTAAAAACTCCGCCCTGTTTCTCGCCTGTTTGCATCCTCTCTATTGATTGAGCTCTCTTATCCGCCTGTCACTCAGTTCATGTGCTTATTTTTTTGCAAGCAATATGCTTATCCGTCTATCTCCCTGTCCGACTGAGTTTACATCTCTGTCCTCGCCAGAGTCTGTGGAGATCAGATGATGAGGAAATGATTGTGCTTCTCGGTCCACGCAGCCGTCAGACTCTTCTCTGAGGAGGCGGCGACTCGCTGGGCTGCAGAGGTCAGAGGTTGTGTGGGAGCGGCCTCCTTCCGTCAGGAGAGCTACCGCACTGGACCAGGAGGACTCCCCTCCTTGGTGATTTGCTGTACAAGGCTACATGAGAAGCGCTCCGACACACACACACGCACACACACACTCACACACTGTCAGAGCGCCGGCGTCGAGCCTCGGGAGAGTTTTCTTGATACACCTACACATGATGAGGAAGAGGAGCGGGGCAAAGGGCTCGTCGGAGACAGGGCGTGGGCGGGGGGGATCAGTCCAGCATTGCATCCAGTTGGTCTGCCAAGTCGTCAAACATGCTGCCGATGTCATCCAAGATGGAGGCCGTCTCCTTTTTGCTGGAGAGAGAGCTTCGAGTTGGAGAGAAAGAAGGAGAGAGTTAATCTGCGATGACTGATGGAGACACAACACAATCACAGCCAAACATGACAAGAGGAGGGTGTTAAAGTGGTCTTCACACTGGACTGATCAGCATTTTACAGATCCTCTCTGATGGTCGTCTGTTGTCTGCTTTAACAAGAACACACAGGACTCCTCTGGACACCTCCTCAGGACTAAAGGAAGAGGAAACGACCTGGAATAACGTCTATTTCTTCTCTTTTCTTTTTGTCACAGTTGGTTTTATCAGTAAATGCAGCCGACATTTCCTGCCTTTCAGAAAGTGTTTTCACAGCGTCACACTTCACTTCCTCTCACCTCCGTGCTACTGTTAAAGAACCGGCACAAAATTAGTCACCGCTTCTTTTTGTCGCCGCAGACTCCAGACAACCGACATGTCTGAGAAAAAGCGTCTTCCAGATGACTGAGGAGCATTTTAACACCGACCTCTGTTTCTCCCATGATTACTGTGAGCTCCTTTAAGTCGAATAGAGTTTATTATTACATTAAAGCTCCTGTTGGCAACTTTCAGTTTGTGTGGAATTTGGCGCCCCCCTGTGGACAATGCAAATCAGACATTATAACTGATGAACTTAAAGAGCCACATTTGTTCTTTTTTGAGATATAATAAAGGGGATGAGATCCAGGAGATGGAAGAGATAAGCAAAGACTGGTGTGAACACAGGAGCTTTAAAGGGATATTATGGCGTAAATTTAATTTAGGGTCAAACACACCGTAACACCGAGTTAGACCCCCCCTCCAGAGATGAATGTTGCCGACCGCTTGCTTCCCTGGGTATACCAATTTTAGTAACGACCGCAGGATAGTGATACACAGCGGTCTGAGGAGCCATAAACAAACCTCAACCAAAACGCCACTCTATAGCCACAAATAATGCTCAGAACAGCACCTAACTTCATCAACAGGACATATAGGGTCACAGCCATAGAACTAGACACCAAACATCTTTTTAACGTTGACTGATTTCTTTAGCAAAGAGACTAAACACAACTCAGCTACTCTCTTCCAGCAGCCGCTTGTTTGTTGTATACCGTTATTACCTGCCTCACTCTTCCTCTATAACCATCATCATAAATACTCATGTTATTACTGGCCCTGTACAGGACTGTCTAACATGAGTCTGGTCCTGCTGGAGGTGTCTGCCTGTTAAAGGTTACCACGGTAACGTGATGCTGCACAGTTCTCTGCTCATGATGGATTAAGATAGGAGGATAAAAACAGGTTAGCAGACTCTAATCCTGATCCGGGGTCTTTGTGATGACAGAACAAAGAGTCAAGTCTGGACCTCTGTCTGTAAACTAACATATGATGACCCGGTTCTGACTCCAAAACCTCGTTTACATCAACAGAACCAACAAAGAGCTCCACCTTCGTCAGGCTTTGGTGTCCCAGTGTGTGATTTCATGTTGTAGCAAGGCTAACTGAGAAACACACACACACACACACACACACACACACACACACACACACACACACACACACACACACACACACACACACACACACACACACACACACACTGGCTCACAGGGATCCTGTCTCACCTCTGTAACACCTTTGTTATACTTCTGATTCTGGCAAAGCAACTTACGCCTCCATGACATTTATATCCAAGCCAAGACGCCACGGGGGCGTGAAGACGGCGCTTTAACGGGTACAATGGAAAAATCCTCAGTTTATCAGGTAGCGGCTGACTCCTCCCTGTCTACTGTTTGGGTTTTTGAGCTCACAGCTGTTTCCAGAAATAAGTCCAAAGGTGGTTTACTAGCAGACCTGCCGACATTCGGGTTATAAAATCTGGGAAATTTTTGCGACACACGCAGTTTTGGGGTGACCTTGTATGGTGGATATGAGCTCATTAAGAGAGTATTTGTGATTAAATCACTCATCCAAATAAGTATAAGTGAAGCTGCACACTTTTTTGTTTTGTTTTAATAATAAAAAATGGTAATAAAAACATAATAACTACGATATGAACTTCTTTAGTCCACTTATATTAAAGTCCTCCTCTGTTCTCCATGCTCTCTCCTGTATGAGTCTCTCTGAACATCTGTGTGTGAAATACAGCGCTCTTTTATCTGAGGCTGCCCTGAACGCATCACTTCGAGACGGTGACAGACTATCAATGTAAAAATTATATCTGAGGTTTGTTTCCCTTTTATTAAAGTGTTTACAACAAACACTGTTTAAATATAGTTTACATCTTAAAGCGACCTGAATCATCCCAAATTTGTAAAGTCAAAGTATCAATCCAGAGTCTGTGAGGCTCAGCAGAAACACACGACAATCTTCGGTTGTCTGGAAACTTTGGACAAATATAGCGATCTGATTCATGAATGAACATGGACCATTGAACTACGGGGGATTCCCAGGAGAAATGACAATACAGGAGGTGGGCGGGAGAGAGGTCTGAGATACAGGAGTGTTGGCAGGTATGTTTACTAGTGAGCACCTTAGCATCTTAAATCTGGACTTCTCTCTCTCTCTCTCAGTTATCGGAGCAGGTATGAGGAATAAAACGCCTCTAACTGAGGGACATGGTCCATGTTGGAGAAACACTTAATGCATGAACACAGAGGGGGGCGTTGGTTTTCACAGATACACCTGTAGAGGAGCAGAGTCCTGAGGATCTGGGTGTTTGTTACCTCAGCTGCTCCTGGAGGTACTGAGGTCCAAATTGAAGCTCAGAGGGGATCGATCTTTTTCTGTTGCAGCCCCAAAATTATGGAATGAGCTACCCCTCCAAATCAGAAAAGCCCCCACACTGTCCATTTTTAAAACTCATCTCAAAAACCATTTTTAGTCATCGGCTTTCAACCCTGTTTTAGTGTTTTATGGTTTGTTTTTAGTTATTTGTTTCTATGTTTTTAAATCAGTTTTTAAAAACATTAAAACTATATTTTACTTTTGAATATCTGCTTTAATTTTATCTATTGTTTTAATTGTTTTTCATGTTTGCATTGTTTTGTCTATTTATGTACAGCACTTTGTTCAGCTATGGTTGTTTTAAAGTGCTTTGAATTGAGTTTGTTGCACTGTTAAAACACATTTCTGTTGCCATAGTAACCAGAAGTTTCACACAGATGGGCCGTCAATGTCACGGCAATCGGCTATAAATACACCAACCTTGTTTCCATCTGTTTGTTTTGACTGCAGGCTCTTAAATACTACAGTCAACATTAGTCACGGCAACAGTTGCTATGGCGATGATGCTAGTCAGAGGAATAAATCCCCGACTGCAGCACTGAGCCGGAGTTGAAACATGAATGAGAGAGACTTCAGTGGCTGTACAGAGTGTTGACCTTTGGCAGAAGTCGTCTTTAAACTCGGAGCTTCAGTTTGTGGAGAGTTGTAATCGACTCTCCTTTTAAAGAAACACATGTTCTCTTTAAAAGGGAGAGAGTGCTCTGGTTGTTGGGCCGTGTTCGCGCTGGTTTTGGTCTCTAATCATGGTCACAGCTCCTTTAAAACCCTGACTTCAGTCCTCACAAACTCGAGCTTGTTCCCCTGAAACTTTGTCCTGTTAGCTCCTTTAAACCTCACAGGTGAGAGTCATCCATCGAGTATTAAAAGGACTTTAACTCTGAAACCAGCATTCATGACGGACTTTGACGCTAACACGTCTCTGCAGAGCCGCCAACCGTCACGCTTTCAGTGTGACAGTCATGCAATTTGACCCGTTCTCACACCACACGCCACACTTGGCATTTCTCTTGCTTATTTTTCCCCGTTCAATTCTCTGTATTTGATTTTTTCGAGTACCGTATTTTCGCACCATCAATGAACGCGTCTATTCGCGGAATATAAAGCGCATTAAGCCAAACAAAACAGTCAGATAAGTCAAACTTTATTTAACTTATTCAATAACTCCGCGAGGCTACAGTAGCTGCAGTGCTCCGACAAGCCAAAAGGATTTTAAGTGTGCCTTATAGTGTGACAACTACGGTAACTCTGATTGGCTGACCGAGATAACCAATCCCAGACCGATCCATCAGTGCTTTGTGCCTAATGCTGCGTTCGAGTAACCTCGGAAGTCAGATGTCGGAGCTGAAAATGACGTCACACCTGAGTTACCAGCGTTTCAGTTACCAAGTCAGAAACAAGATGGCTACATCTACGAAAATTACTTTAGAGTTTTTTTTTCGGACTAAGCAAGCGTTAAAATAACTTTCGTGAATGTAGCTATCTTGTTTCCGCCTCCGATTTAGCTTTTTTCCGACTTGGTAACTGAAACATCGAGTTTTTGTTGGATCTTTAAAACCCACCCGATGTTATGCAATATTGACAAATAATTGATTTTGTCAAAATTCTTGCTACAATTTTCATTTCTAATTTCTGGTTAATTAAGACGAGCATTAGGGAGAGCAGCTGGCATGGAGGTGAGGACATCAGTCTGAAAAAGGCGAAAAATGTTCGCTGCGTGGCCGAACTCGTCATAACGCTAAAGTCTCACTCGTGTCGTTTTCTGAAACTTGGCAGCCCTGTCTCTGAGCGATGCTAGCTGAAGGTCAGTGGTGGATTTTTGGATGAACTGCAGGTTATCTGTCCAAACTCACTCGTTTTGTGCGTCCTCCTCTTCGATTTTATGCTCCACAGCCCGCACAGCTGCAGCCAAGGAGGCGCTGGTCTCCTCCAGACGATGCTGCACCTCCTCCTTCTCCTCCTCCTCTTCTGCTTGGCCCTCCACCTGCCTCTCATTTTCTTCCTCCTCTGCTCTCCTCCTCTCCTCCTCTTGCTCCTTCTGCCTCTTTAGCTCTTTCTCTTTCCGTCTCTCCTCCTCCTCTTTCCTCCTTTCCTCTTCCTCCTCCGCTTCCCGTCCTCCTACTAGATCGATGGAGAGGCCGGCGATGGAGGAGCGGGGAGGCTTGACAGGATGTGGAGAGGGTGTCGAGGGGCTCTGGGCGGGAGAAGGGGAGGTAAGGGGGAGTCCTGGGGAGAGTGAAGGTCCAGAGGTGGTTTCAGGAGCAGGGAGAGGAGTAGTGAAGGGAGGAGAGGAGGGTTTGGGGGCCGGGGTGGGGCTGGCTGCAGCTGGACTGGTAGCAGCAGGACTCGGGCTCTTTGTAGCTGAAGCTACTATTGCTTTGCCGGGTTTAGGAGCTGTAGGAGGCCCGCGGGGTTTGGGGGAGACCGGGGGAGGGACACGCTTTGGCTCTGGTTTGGGAACAGAGAGAAGAACGACAGTTTTTATTTAGCTGCCAGTCAGACAGAATTCATACAGAGCAAAAGGTCAGACACTTAATTTGGAGTTTGTCGTTAAAACACGGTGGATCGAACAGGAACTCTTTTCTCTCTCTGGATTTGTTGGTGAATTAGTTAGTCTTCTGTTCACACTATCACCTTTATTTACTTTGTATGTTTCTGTCCTCTGTCCAATCAGTCACAAAAACATCTCGTCTAAAACGGTCTAAAACAAAAGGAAAGAAAACAAATCCTCATAATTGAAGAGCTGAGGCATCAACAGGATTTACAAAAAAACAACGGCTGAAGATTTCCTCTCTGTAAATCCACTTATGACTAATTATTCAGCTCCAGTTTATCCCCACAGATGTCTTTAAAATAAGGAAACCTCATTACGAGTGATTTCATTAAAGCTCCAATCTGGAAGTGTCCGATAGCCAAACATCGAAATCAGAGAAACAGAAGTGCAACAGTTTCTGTCTGAATCACAGCTGAAGAAAATAAAAACACAAAAACATGTCTACAAAAAAAAGCCAAAGAAAACGGCAAAAAGACGAAGCAGAGACGATAGAAACGCAGAGACGCAGAGACGATGGAAACGTGACAACGATAAAAGCACAGAGACAATAGATACACAGAGAGGACGGAAAGGCAGAGAAGATAGAAATTTAGAGACGACAGAAACTCAGACGATAAAGACGCAGATTCGGTCGAAAAGCAGAGACGATAACATAGCTGAAGAAAATACAAAAACACAAAAAAAAGCCAAAGAAAACAGCAAAAAGACGACGTAGAGACGATAGAAACAAAGAGACGATAGAAATTGAGTGACGAGAGAAACTCAGAGACAATAAAGACGCAGATTCGGTCGAAACGCAGAGACAATAAAAAGATCGAGAGGATGGAAATAAAGAGACCACGAAAACGCAGAGTCAATGGAAATGCAGCGATGATAGAAACAGAGTCGATAGAAACACAGAGACAATAGAAACGCAGAGACAATAGAAACGCAGAGACAACAAAAATGCAGAGACGACAGAAACACAGAGACGATAGTAACGCAGCGATGATAGAAACAGAGACGATAGAAACAGAGAGTGGATAGAAACCCAGAGACGATCGAAATAAAGAGACGATGGAAATGTCGCTGATCAGCTTCTGTTTCCGTGTTTTTCTCACAAAAACAGTTTTTACTCCACCTGATGACCTCCACCAAAATATGACGTTTCAAAACTTTAACGCTGTCGTGACACAGAAACCATAAATCTGCTCTGTCTTTGGAGGACAATAAATTTATTCAACACAACCTCTTTAAGATCAACTTCCATCCTGAGTATCAGTGAGATCAACACATGTTTGTGTTTGTGTGTTTTTGTGTGTCTCACCGGGGCTCGGCGTTGTCTCCACGTTGTCCGGCCCTGGTATGGGGACCCTACGAGTCGGGGTTGGGGGGTCAGCTTGCGTCTTCCTCAGGACCACCGTGGACGGTTTCGGGGAGACCGGCGGCTTCAGAGACTTCCTGGCCTCCATCCACTCGCAGCTCTCCCTGTTTGTCTCCGCCCTCTCAGACGTTTCGGACACCGGCCGCCTCCTCAGGACCACGCCCCCGTTCTGCTGCAGCTCGCCGCCTGTTTTGCGGCTACTGTCTGTTTGGCTGCTGGGAGCGTGTGATTGCTTATTGCTTTGAACTCCACCTTGCGTATGATCAGACGTGCGTTGTCGTCTGCGTATGGTGTCAGTGCCGGTTGTCATAGTAACAACAGTGGTAGCTACAGACACCGGTTCTTCAGAGTCTGTTTCCAGAGGACGTGGCTTCCTTCTCAGCGTCGCCGTGCCGTCTGTGATTTCAGTGGACGAGGAGGCGACCACGGTGGAGCGAGGACGGGGTTCTGGGCGCGGCTGGGTTGGTTGACGTGATGACGGGTCTGTCTGATCACCAGGAAGAGCTTCTGGGCCGCTGATGGTTCTACGCCGACTCAAGACATCATCCTCCTCGGCGCCCAGACCCCCTGCCCCCGCCTGTCGTCGAAGCGTAGGGGGACTCACCTGGAGGTCACATGACCGTTACACATCAACATTAGCTATGAAGGGGTTGAAGCAAGGCTGTAAAGTTAGACACACCCACCTGCAGGTAGCTGTTGCTGCCTCCCAGATTCCTCGGAAGGGTTTTAGCCCCGCCCACCATGGAGGTTTCCAGCATTGCTGCAAGGCTGCGGACACTCCCAGAAGCCCCCTCGGATCTCTCCAGACCTCCTGACTCTTGAGGTCTCCCCAGACTGCCGCAGTCGCTGGCTCTCCGCTCCCGGTAGGTTGGCAGCCCCAGAAGCCCCTCCACTTTGGCCTCTTCCTCGCCGTCGCCACCAGTAATGGAAGAACAGGAGCGTTTGGGTGGGGTCGGGGGCCTCCCTTTTCGTCTGGGTCGCAGGGTGACGGACGATTGGCTTCGGTTGACGGTGACATCATTGGAGGCGGCAGTCCGTGCAGAGCTGCTGCGGCACACGGTGGCGTATCGAGAGTCTGATTCGGAGCCGATCAGACTGTGAGTCCTCCGACGCTCCTCCTCCTCACAGGGCAGACGGAGCAGGGGGACCGGGGACTCCGCTGATCCCATCTGTGTTGAAGGACGCGGCCGAGCTCTGGGGGAGGCCTGCTGCTGGGAGGTGCGGGTGTGTGGGGGAGTCTGTGGAGGGGTTTGTGTGGGTGTGAGGGGTGGGGTCTGTGAGTGTGCGAGACCCGGGCGAGGTTTGGCCAGCGGGCTCGGGGTACCTTCCCTCAACTTCTTGGCCTCCCTGCGGGACTCTGAGCCGGTGCTGCTCCCTGGACTGGAGGGAGGGGTGGAGGGGCTTTGAGGAGGTTCAGAGCTGCTTCCTCCTCTCTGCAGCTCCTTCAGTCTCCTCACCCCCAACATCAGCTTCTTCTGATGACCTGGAAGGGGGGAGTAAATATCAGTCCTTCAAATGTCTTTATAACTGATATTTTCGTTAATTCGGTCAATGAACGAACTCGCCCCTGTGTCAATCACTGGTGTACTGTGCTGGCAGGACGGGGCTCCGAAGCACTGACTAATTCAGTGAACAAATCGTTTTAATGAACAGATTCTAAAGATTCAGTCAATTGGCTAAAACAGGTCTCGGCTGTGTTAAAACCACTCCACGCCTTCTCTCCTCCCTCACTACGACTTACGCCGCTGGGAGGAGCTGAGTTAGGGAGGGGGGATTCTTACGCTGGGCTGCGCCGCTCACCAAAATACCAAATTGTGCTTGGGAACGCCTTGTCGGTGCGGCGGACCTGACTTACACCGCACCTGCGCCACGTCTCTGGCGAGGCACAAAAATAGAGCCCTAAGTATTATGAGGTTATTCAGAGGTAGTTCAGAAGTTATTCTTTTCTCACTCCTTTTCCAATATGTATTCCTATGTTTCTATGTTTAAATGTTTTGCCTTACTTTTCTTGTTTTGTTATTTGTTTGGTTTGCATATTGGAAATTAACCTCAATCAATCAATCGTTTCCTTCTTGGTTTCCTTATCCGACGCTAACATCACCGCTGTGTCTTACCCAGTTTCGTAATGCCGATCTCTTGCAGATCCTCCAGGCTGATGTCAGAGATGAAGTCGATGTTTTCGTACCCATTCTGCACCAGGACCTGGTAGTACTGACTGAGACCCAGGTGAGACAGCCAGTCTGCGAGGTTGGCCTGAAACACACAGGACCACAGGGGCCCACAGACGTCACACGCACACTCTTGTTACTCCACAGAGCTGTGTGTACGATTTTGTGCGTGCAGCTGTCCAGACTCCACTTCTCCCCTTTCTGTGTGTGTGTGTGTGTGTGTGTGAGTGTGTGAGCCTCACAGGCTTGTGGTCCGGCAGCCAGTCTGTGGAGGGCAGCTTGCTGATCTCTGTTGTCAACTTCTTTCGATGTCCAGGCTTCATGACCCCGATTGCCGTCAGGTCCTTCAACACAGAGCGGAGTTAGTCACATCAGGAATAATTCAGCGCCGCTACTGTAGGTGTTTTTTTTTCTCTTCTCTTTTATATGTAAGCAGTTTTATGTGTTGGTTTGACATTTGTACTAGGGCTGCGTGTGATGTGCCTTCAGGAAGACTCTGTGTGGATAATCTCTCATGAGTGTCCCCGGCCTTTAGGCGGTTTACGTCACAGCACTGTGTCCGCCTCGATACACACACACTGAAACACACACTGGCACTGGAAGCACACTCAAGGACAAGCACAGAGCGGCGTTTACAGCACAGGACTGGAAGACACGTGTGAACACAGGTATGTAGGACATGAAGCAGACTGAGCATGAGGAGTGACTGGTTGAGGCTCAGGACTCACACCGGGGGGTCAGGTGACAGAGACAGGAGGGTCATGGTGGCATCATCCAGGTCAGCGGGGAGCTGATTTGAGAGCTGAGCTGGGCGGAGCCTTGACAGACATGGGGGCGGGGCGTGAGGGGGTCAGGGGTCATGACCTTACCTCAGGGGTCATGCGGCTAATGGTGTCTAGATCATATCCCGCGGTGAGGAAGTGGGTGGTGTAGAACTGCAGCTGAAACTCACCCAGCCACGCCACTACTGCCTGCTTCTAGAACACAGAACACAGAACACTACTGCCTGCTTCTAGAAGAGTCCGAGGACTTCTTCTAGAGCACGGCGCACACACCTGTTCTAGAGCACGGCACAGCGGCCCGCTCTAGAGCACGGGAGAGAAGACTGTCCCAGAAAACTGCAGAGAAACATCCATTTTACCCAGAGTGCAGCCTGCTCTGTAACAGAGTGTGGCGAGGTCTGCCGCCATCATTAAACACGACAATCATCCTGCAAGACGTTGACAACACTAAGAACCATCCTTCCCTTCCTGGGGTAAGAACATGGTCCTACAGTTGGATTTATCTGAGTACGCAGTATTAAAGGCACTGTTAGGAGCAGAGCCGGCCCGAGGCATAAGCAAACTAAGGCTACGTTCACACTGCAGGTTATGATGCACAATTCAGATTTTTTGTTAAATCCGATCTTTTTGTGCGATCGTTCACGTTACAACAACGAATGCGGAACAGAATGAGTCTGTGAAGTGACCCACAAAACACAAATTGCTTCCCGCGCCTGTTTGTCACCACAATGGTGACGTTTGTCGCATATTGATGACGTATAGGTCGGATGAACGCGCCTGAGCATCCACACTGCAGTCACATTGGATACATATCCGATTTATATCCACGTACAAAAGAGGCCTGGGTTGGATTAGAACAAATTAGAATTGCACTGTTCACACAGATATGAGTCACATATGGTTAAAAAATCAGAATTGACCTGCAGTGTGAACATAGCCTAAGCGCGTGCTTAGGGCCCAGCGACCAATAGGGGGCCCCCAAGAGCAACAAAAAAAAAAAAAAAAAAATAAATATTTTGTATTTTTTGCATGTATGAGTGGTGCTTTCTATACGATCGAATACATATTATTGTAAAAATAAAATAAAATGAAAACATTTTAGTGCTGCAGCTGATGTAGGTCCATGATTTTTACTGCTGATGTGTTAAAGCTCCGCTACCGTTATGTTCCTCCTGCTGTGCACTGATCATCCAAAGCGCAGGTATTTGTGGGACAATGTTGTAAAAAAGGACATATCCTTCAGGAGCCGAGAAAAGAAAGAGGGAGAGGAGAAAACGCCAAGATAAAGGTATGTTTGAATGTCAGGGGATGTTAATCAAAGAGATTTGTGAAGGTGTGTGAACAATCAATATTATTGGCAGAAATAGAGGGCCCCAAAATCAAATTTTGCTTAGGGCTTCATTGAGGCTTGGGCCGGCTCTGGTTAGGAGCTGTAAATTGAAGATTTGCCATCTTTATATTGTTTCAAAGGAGAAACTCTCTGAGCAGAGCTTCGGTGGGTGACAGGGTTTAGTAGTCATCGGGATCATGTTTTTTGGTGCTGCTCTGCCAATAACACTCTCAGTTCAAAATGGATCAACTTCTCGACCGACTGCCAATCAGAATGAAGAGAAGGCGGGTCTTCTGATAACGTCTTTGTCAACCACAAAAGTGGATGTCCGTACGAAAGAGAAAGTTTAACCCTCAGTTCCTTGTAATTTTATGCTCCATCCAGCCTACTCTGTCCCCAAACACGGACATGCAGGTAACAACTTAAGCCCTGACCAGTAAAAAATATGATTATCCTAGCTGTTGTGCACCATGTCACTGTTATTTCATAATGGTAAAAAACACAAAAACTCTGTATTTCCCATATAAAATGATCGAGATGAAAAAGTCGTTTTTCCTTGCACGATTAATGGATACATGTTTAAAAGAGTGGGCGAGGTGCTCATGGGAAATGTAGTGAAATGTAGAGAATAACAGTTCTGATTTTGTCCATAGGGGTCAGTATAATAAGCTAACAACAAAAGCTCCTCACAGTGCCTTTAAACAGATCTGACATGTTTGTAGTATTAACGGCTCTTACAGATTTTTCTGCTGCTTGAGTCTCTACCATCGTTTAGTCATGACTGAAGTTAATGGGACCTAATTCATGGTGTCTAAGCACTCACACACTGTTTTGGAAAAATGCACCATCATTGGCTCTCTGCGTAAAGGGTCAGGGATTTATGGTTTGGATCTGGGTTGAGCTTCAGGTTCAGGTTTTTCAGGTTATTTTTGGCAGCGTTGAGGTTCTATTGAGGTCCAAACTGAGGTCCAAACTGAGGGTAAATGAACCTTCCCAAAGCGGAGGTTGGAGGTTCTGACTCCTGTAGTTCCTGTGAGGCGTTGTACAACCATAGAGAAAATCCCATTAACTGTTCCTGCAGGTATTAACAGTCCGATCAGAGGAGGAGGATTCACAGGGGATGGATATTTTAGCCGATACAGTGAACTTTTTTCCCGGTACATCACATGTTTTTAAAAAAGGTCTCATATCGGCCCATATCACAGTCAACCAAGCTGATACAATATAAATAAGCTCTTATAATAACTGACTCTTATAAACCATGCAGGGGAAACGTCAACCACATGAACACTGAAACAACCTTTAACTATTTAGAGTCTAAGAATCGGCAGGGAATTCAGGGATTGATACACGCTCCTGCTCTCGCCGCCATGATGAAACACTGCTGTCTCCTGGTAACTGGATGATGTTCGACTCTAGATCTCAGAGAGTGGATTTAACCCACAGCTTCACAGAACACACACACACACACACACACACACTGTTGGCAGGTTCTACAGCAGAGCAGCATGTGGCTTCCTGGCGTCTCGGTGTGGTGTGAGAACGGGGGGGCGAGTGGAGGGACAGACGGCAAGACCGACTCCCTTGTGTGACTGTCATGCCTGCCTGTTTCCATGGTGACACACTCACATGCCCCTCCTCAGTGTGTCATCTGTTCAGGTGCAGCACAACCACGCTGGCTGGCACCTCACTGGGCCCAGCGAACACACCCGTGTAGACGTCTCTCTCTCAAACCAGAACATGGTCTAATAATAGATGAGGAGTAACAGAAAGAGGGAACCAAAATGCTGTCCAAAAACTCACTTTCCCATCATCCTCCTCTGCCTTCCGATCAAACGAACGCTGTTCATGAACTGTGCAACTGGAGGAGCCTTTGCAGAGGAGAAAAGGAGAGACAAAGAAAGAAAAAAGGTGATTCAAATAAAGTCCTACAGATCCATTTAAACTCTTTTTTTAATCCAATCTGTATTTAAAGTCCACTCCCACTCCCATTATAGACCTATTTACAGTGCGTACAGTATGCCTGTGTGCATAGGCAACAGAATTTATAGGGTAGCTTCCCCTAGATTGTCACAGATAATAAAATAACATCACAAAAATAAAATAATAAAATGATTTATTTTTAATATTATTTCAGAGAGAGGTGGGAAATACAACACAAATTTTTAAGGTATTATTTATCTTGATGTTTTTTTTATTTTTCTTTTTGGTTACCTGCGTCATTACGTACACACAGCGTCGCTGTAACCCAGCAAACCCAGAAGCTAACCTTAGCCTTTGCCTTGCTACCTGTGCTAGTCACCAACAGTCCAGCAAAATGACAAGACAGATGCCAGGTAAAACAGACATAAGAAATTTTTTCAATGCCAAAATTAAAGAGTCCAAGGCTCTGGCCCCTGCCCTCCAAGCATCTGCGGCCTCTCCCCAGACTCTGGCCCTCCAGTCACTGGCCTCCATCATCCAACCGGCCACCCCCCCCCCCCCAATTCGTGTCATTTGCGCCGCCAGAGTAGCAGGAGGGTCTAATCGCGTCTTTGCATTGACTTAACATGTAATTCATTCGTGCGAATGATTTTACTTGCACTTGGTGTTTGGAGACAGTATGAAGAACTTTATTTATCCCTGAAGGGAAATTCAAGAAGTGCACTGGGGAAGTGGTTTACAGAGGTAGGGCGCTCGTTTTATTTAACTGTCATTGTTTTTGGTATGATTTTATTCTGTATGATCTTGGCATTGTTTTTATTTGGATATGTACAGATTTATATCATATTTATTTAAAGTGAAGCCCTCGTGCCCAGAAATTTGCTATTGAAATGCATCCAAAGAAAACTCAATAAAAAGAAATTCTAAAAACTAAAAAATGTTCAGAAATGAACAGGCTGTTGGAGAAGCTTAAAATACCAAATGAATAAACATGGATATCTCTGTTACCTGGTGATCTAGCACAGGCTATGAGGAGAAAACCAGCTGATAAACTCTGCAGATTTTATTCTAATTTTAGTTTTTCATGGATAACAGCTCAGGTAACAGCTTTTACGCTCGGCTGGCTTCTATGTTGGTGTTTCAGCACTTGACTTCCCACATACCACTGAACTCAGAGGAGGCTTAAATGTGCTGATTTATCTGATCCATTTAAAGGTAGACTCAGTTAATATATCTTTACAATAATAACACAGCTCAGACTTCGATCACATGAGCTGCAGCCAATCACAGAGGGAACTGTAAACATTTTGGCTTCACTTTAGGGGGGTCATCCAGGTTTTAATACGGTTGAACGGTTCGGCCTTAGAGACATACTGTATCTACTCTTAGACAGGTCACCAGAGGTCATAAGCTACCATAAACATTCAACATCATAGTACAAGTAACTGGAGGTCGTTTTAATCATTAATATTAGTTATTCAGTAAGATGAACAGTAACAGTCTGCTGATTTCTACTTCCATGGAGTTTCATGTTTTAGATATTTTTCAATCCGCCTCAAATACACAAAGTCCTCTGAGCTAGAAACCCCCAAACCCTGAAACTGATCACCCTCATGACTGCAGTCCCGCTAATATACTTTCTTTAACCCATTTAAACCGGGACAGCATGTACACATTTCAACCTTTCAAGCCGGGAGCGCGGATGTGTCATTTTGTAACATTCTGTAGTTTTTCATTCATTTCTGGAGTCGTGGTGAATGAAATCATCATACCTGTCCGCCTCTGATAGGCGAATAAAGCTTAATATAGTGACCGGATTCATGCTCGGATCTCGCTACGTGCTTCCAGAGGAAAGTAAACAATGACAGAGGCAGAGAGCAGCTTCAGAGGAGAGGCATCCAGCAGTGTGAACAACCTCTTCATATTAATGCTTTGGCTCAAACTATCTGTGTTTTCTGTGAGTGTTTTCATGACTTTGGGTGAGCACAGAGATGAACACACTGTCAGCCACTTATTTTTTAGTGCTGCTTTTGTCCTGGCACTATACTAGGGCAGCTGTATACCCTTTCAACACTTTATTTTTTATATTTACATTTGTATTGAATGGACACTTTATCATGACTGCCACTTGTTTTACAGAGAGCGAGTAGTTTGTTATTCTCCAGTGCAGAGTCTTTACTTTTATTTATACAGCCGCTTTATTTCATTTGAGTTTGTTTGTTCAAGATTTTCAATAATGTGATGAAGGTTTGGAAAAATAAAAGATAGTTATCTTAAAAGCCACATGTATAAGCTCTCAAATACTTTTTGAATTTTGTTTGTATCTGCTACAGAGGCTGAGATACCACCTTTTATGTAAACCTCAGGATCTGGGGGCCCTTCTCAAAAACTGCCCTCAGGATTTCAGAGGCGTGTCTCAGACAGGGTTCAGGTCTTAATGGGTTAAGGGCGTGGGCGGTAAATACTCTGAGTCTGATATGAACAGACAGGTGGTCTTTAGAGTACCAGGTCTAGTTAAAGTGAACTTAAGAAAACCTCATTCACAAAACCAGTGATCCAAACAAGCCTTAAGGGACTGTGGTGCTGATGAGCGTCTCCCTGGTCTGTTTTAATTGTTGTCCCTTCACCACAGACAGAGCGGCCTGATTAAATCCCTGACTCACTGCTGAGGACAAACTGGAGCTCTCTTTAAAATCACCAAGCAGACGGCAGCGTGAATAGACAATGACACAATATTTCACTTCAATGGTGTGTGTGTGTGTGTGTGTGTGCATGCTTACTTGCTGACTGCTCAACAGACTGCGACTGCTCCAAGAGATGCTCCTTGGCTTTTACCGACTGAGACAGCACAGTGGCCAGGAGCTAAAACACAAAAGCACACACACACACATGTAAGTGGGCTCATACACACAATCACACACACATTTACTCGAGCATTATCATTCAAATCCTAGGGGTGTCCTGTGACTCAGCACGGTGGACTAAGTGAGCATCAAACAGACTGGTTCTGGCCTGTGACCCTCTTCCTCCTCCGTTTCCTGCAGTAATGATTCATCACACATCCCAGAATAAGATCTGAGAATAAACGCTGTCTGTCCAGAATAATAGGGAAATACCGCCCGTTTAAATGGTTTCTAAAAATACTTGTCATCTCCACTGATACACTGTCCCGAATAGGCGACTCTGATAATAAGACTGGACCGCAGTGAAGACCAGATCTACTGCAGAGACCCACAGAGTTTATTACCTGGAAGCTGCCGGTCTCAAAAAGTGAGTGGATTTTAAAGGAAGTTCTGTTTTTAGAGCTGATGTAATAAAAAAAAAGTCAGACTTAAAGGGATGTTCTGGCGTAAAATTAATTTAGGGTCAAACACACCGTAACACTGAGTTAGACCCCCTCCAGAGGTGAATGTTGCCGACAACTTGTTTCTCTAGTTATACTAACTTTAGTAACGACCGCAGGATAGCAATACAGAGAGCCACGCGCTCAACCAAAACACCACTCTATAGCCACAAATAATGCTCAGAACAGCAACTAACTTCATCAACAGGACATATAGGGTCCCAGCCAAAGTACTAGCCACCAAACATCTTTTTAACTTTGACTAATTTCTTCAGCAAAGAGACTAAACACAACTCACCTACTCTCTTCCAGCAGCCGCTTGTTTGTAGCGAGACCTCAGGCCAGTCCATCATGGACTACAGTGGGGGGAAGCAGCTCAAGGAAGAACATTTATGATCATTTCTTTATCATTTCCTTGAAGTAATAATCATCATAATAATCATTTTGCAGACGCAGCAGTTCTTCTGCCTTAGCGTCTCGGTCTGATTGTATTTCCATGAAGAAATGATCATAAATGTTCTTCCTTCAGCTGCGTCACCCCGCTGTAGTCCGTAATGGACTGGCCCGAGGTCTCGCTACAAACAAGCGTCTGCTGGAAGAGAGTAGGTGAGTTGTGTTTAGTCTCTTTGCTAAAGAAATCAGTCAAAGTTAAAAAGATGTTTGGTGTCTAGTACTATGTCTGTGACCCTATATGTCCTGTTGATGAAGTTAGGTGCTGTTCTGAACATTATTTGTGGCTATAGAGTGGCGTTTTGGTTGAGGTTTGTTTATGGCTCCTCAGACCGCTGTGTATTGCTATCCTGCGGTCGTTACTAAAGTTGGTATAACTAGAGAAGCAAGCGGTCGTCAACATTCATCTCTGGAGGGGGTGTTACGGTGTGTTTAACCCTAAATTAGTTTTACGCCGGAACTGAGTTTACTGTGTGACTGAATCCTCCTGAAAGCTGAAGGTGAACGGACTAGACTCTGAGGGGAAAAAATCGACCAAGAAATGGTCTGTCTAACTGCAGACTTCAGCAGAAGTACTCAGGAGTTAGCAGCTGTTCACAGAGACAAACATCATATAGCGTCGTTATGCAGTGATGGATGATGAAAAATACAACTGTAATGTAGATGAAGCTCGGACAAGGCCACACTCATTTCAGGATTTGTTTAGGTGTGATTTTTCCTCTTGACATTTGCAGGTGATCAACATCTGAACAGCTTTTTTTGCATGATTGAATTCCCTGCCTGAACATATTGTTGGATGCTGCTTGTTAATCTTGTTACAGAATATGGTTCAGGAAGGTTGCTCTTGGTGGTTTTAAATAAATATCGTCTGCAGTCGATAAATCCAGGTTGCGGTTTTGAACCTGCTGTTCTTTCATGTAAAATAAGTGAAAGTAAAACTCGTCAGGAAGCAGAGTTGTGGTTTTATCTGGTAGCGAGGCTTCCTGGAAATGTTTCACAGTTTCCCAGAAATCATACCTTCATTTAGCTGTACCGGTAACACACACTGTACACTCATGCCCAGAAGTGCGTGCATGTGTGTGTGTCTTACCTTGACGCCCTCAGCTTGTGCGTGCAGACCCGGGGCGTTAAGGCCATGTGTGTTGACTCCTGGTGTGTTTGCAGGAAGTGGACTCGGAGCAGGTGTGGTCAGAACATGTGTGTTTCCAGAACCCTGTAAGCTGCTGGTAGAGCGAACGCTGCCGAGGCTGCCCACGCTGCCGCTGCGCTCGCCACCTGCACACACACACACACACACACACACTACTTATTCGTAAAGGGAACGACAGTGTTGTTGAAATAACCACACAACACACCACAGACAAACACTTACCTGCCAGAGGTTTGCGTAACACCCAGATATCCTCGCTGGTGCTGCTCTGCTGTCCCAGAGTTGGAGAGCCTTGAGGACTCAGCTCTGCGGTCCGTGAACCTGTCACACATGCACACACATGCACAAACACACACACAAAAACCCACAAACACACATCTGTGACTGCTGTTACACCTTTCTTATTTTAGACCATTCTTACAGCCAGGATTAGACCACTTAATGCTTATTAAATGATACTAATTAGTACATAAACTATATACTGTATAACATATATAATGTATGTATGCTTTACGATAGATACAGTTTATAATTGAGCACCATCAGACACCCAGGCTCACAGTGAGTCACTCCTGTATTAACACATGAATCCTCTCTGAACCCTAACCCTTACACTGTGCATTGCATTATGGGATATTCCTCTCTGCTGTTTTCATACCCTTGAATAAACTGTCATTAGTTTCAGACTGAGATTTTCGGCATGAAGAAATCCTGTGTATCATTGAACAAAGTAAACAGCATGTCTGAACCGACGTTCGGACGCATCACATGACTTGATATTGAAAATCCGAAGGTTCAAGACCGAGCCGAATCCTCATGAAATATTCAAAAGTCTCTCATATATTTTCCATGATGGTAACAGCATGTGAAGTATGTGCCCTTTAAATATGAATGCTTCACTTAAAGGGTCACTTCACCCAAATTACAAGAAGGCTTTTACAGTCAGCTGCACTGCGCAGATGCTCAGGGGAAAATGTGTTTTAAAACGTGCAGAGATGGAGTATTTTTTCACAAACTCTCTCATCACTTCAGTTTAAAAACTTCCAACTTAATGAGACACCCCTCAAAGCTCCAGTGAAAACTCTGTTCATGTTGATTTTGGCGCCCCCTGTGGACAATTTGCTCCCTCTCCCTCTTCTGTACCTGCAGGTTGGGTTTCTTGTTACGGTGTGTTTCTCTCACTGTGAATATTTGCTGCAGAAAAAGTCAAACAAGCTGTTTTCTGAGAGCGCTGTAAAAGTTGAATCTGACACCTCCTCCCTCACGGTGGAAACAGGCGTTTAATCTTCCAATAAAGAAACTGTCAGTCTCCTCGATCGCGGCCTCGTGTGCTTTTGTTTGTCTTGAAGAGGCATCACTGATAATTTCAGCTCCTCACAGGGACTTTGAGTTGTGTCTCTTTCTCATCTTGTTTGTTTCCTCCACAACTCCGGTTAACAACGGTTAACTCGGCTGTATAATCAGCACTCTTCCTGCAGTGCATGCCTGTATCTCGACAGTTTCTGACACAGCCTGTATCCATGGAAACGGCTGTTAATTTCTACCGTGTTTGAGGACGTGTTTTAAGGCAGGCAGATTCAGAGTGAGGGGCCGTAGTTAGACCTCAGTTAGCAGCTGAATATGTCCATAGACTGTATATACTCTGGGCAACTCGGTTCCGCCTTCTGCCACTGTTTGGATTTGAAGCTGAAAAGCTCTCGGTAATTCTGCGTTATTTCTTCACTTCCTGAAACCAACACTTGCGCAGTAGCGTTGTACGCATTCAGCGGGAGAGTCACCGAAAGTCGCTGTGATGACGCTCGGCTCAAACAGCATATCCCCTGGGTGATCTACGCAATCTTTGTACTCGCATAGGCTGTATCAAGTGTCAATCAAAGAAAACATCAACCCCAAAAACGGAGCTGTACAGAAAAAAGAGGACTTAAGCACAAACTAGTCTGACAGTAACTACACATCAACATCACAATCAGGGGGGAGAAACATTTATATTCTGTGTCATTAATTTTTAAAGTTTGTCCACAGCTCCATAAGTAGGCGGGATTTATGACCTATACTGCAGCCCGTCACCAGAGGGTGCTGTTCTCGTGGTGGCTTCACCCAGCGAGGAGGCAGATGGCGTCCATTCTATATACAGTCCCATAAGACAGCTAGCTAGCCTGTACTGAAGTGTGTGGCTACGACTGCAGCACCGATCATGTGGGAGGAGCTGACTGTCTGATGCCCACAAAAAGTTTCCTCGCCACTTTGAGAGCGGTGAAGAGGACTCTTAGTTTTCATTTGATTAGACGTTTCTCTCACACAGCCGGTGAGGTGGATCACATAAACCTTTAAACAATCTTAGAAGTAGATGACGACATGTAAGTCAGCTGGTTACCTTCATTAGTAAACCACTGATTGATCAGGCCTGATAATCTGACACTGACGTCTATGCCTCCATTAGAGTCGTTAAAGTCTTGTCCTGGGATGAGGGAGGACTTTCAAATCAATCTAGTTTCTCAAAAGTCAAACGTCATCTTGATCTGAGATAATTCATCAAACAATGAGTGTGGTCTAGACCTGCTCTTGTTCTTTGAAAAGCGTCTTGGGATGACGACTGTTGTGAATTGGCGCTATATAAATAAAATTTGATTGATTGATTGATTGATTGATACGACAGCAGTCAGCGGAAGTTTTTCTACTGAAGCACTTTATCAGTGAATTTAATCCACAGTCTGGTCTGTGAACGAACCAAAGAGAAAACTGAAGCAGGTTTCTCTCATCACAGTCAGCGGGAGGTAAAGCTTTCTGTGGTCAGGGTGAATTGATCCTTTAATTTGGCTGCAGATACACAATTTTCATACATTAACACACACCCACACGTGTAAAATACATGTTAATATGTAGCTGCAGTGAGGGGCGGATCACGGTCAACATCTGAGGTCTAGTCAAACAAAGAGGAAAGGATTCTTATCTGTGATTGGAAGTGAGTCTACAGTATGTACCTGTCTGACTCTGCTGCTCCTGAGAAGTGGAGAAAGGAGGAGGAGGAGGAGGAGGAGGAGTGGACAGAGGAGGAGGAGTCGACAGAGAAGGAGGAGAGATGGGGAGAGGAACGTACCCAAACGAGGAGAACCGAGGGGGGGACTGTGTGCTGGGATGGGAGGGAGGAGGGGAAGGCAGATGCAGGGGGAGGACTTTGGAGGGGGGGTATGAGTGTCCGTTGGCCGAGGTAATGGGGGGGCAGGGGTTGGGCCTGCGAAGGAGGAGGGTGTGGCACTGCAGGGAGGGGGAGTGACCTGGACACAAGCCGGGGGAGGGGGTGGGGGGGTGCAAAACAACAACAACAACACAACAACAACAACAACTGATCAGTCAACTTGAAACAAAACAAATCTAATCATGTACAAAATAATAATTGATTAAAATCAAAATATGAAAAAAGAAAACATCCAAGGGGGAAGATACCTCTACAAATCAAACTATAATATCACCACGGCAACGAAGCAAACAAACAATATGAACACAAGAATCACAAGCTAGCAGAGCAAGTGGGTTAGAGGGTGTGACGGAGGGAGGGGGGAGGGGTCAGCAGGGGGCGGTACTTTATCTACAGTGATGATTGACAGCTGGAGGAATGGACGGACGACCTAAAGACGCCGATGACGCTGCAGCTAGCTACAGCTAATGGTTAGCTAGAGCAACAGAACAGCTGCTGAACTCACACACACACACACAGACACACACACACACACACACACACACACACACACACACACACATACACACACAAACACACACAGACAGACACACACACACACACACACACACACACACACAGCTGTGATACGGGTGGTCACCTGCCCTCTTGATGACTTCCACCATGTTGGAGGGAAAGTAACCAACACGGTCGTTTCCTGTGCGGTTGTCGTGAATACAACCTTTCCACCGGCCGTCAGAGTGCTGCTCTAATACCTGTCCATTAACACACACACACACACACACACACACACACACACACACACACACACACACACACACACACACACACACACACACACACACACACACACACACAGACGTAGTTAAGAGAAGCAGAATAATAGCATGTAAACATTCTTCGTTGGACTTTTTTAGTCGTTGAAAATTTGATTAAATTCCTCTGAATCTACTAAAGTCTTTATTTGAAATATTCTTACATTTTACATTAATTAATAATTAATCATGAGCCTTTCTGCACCAGAGCTGCAGGTGAGGAAGCCAATCAACTTAAAGTCAAATCACGATTTTCCACATAACTGATATTAAGCTCTATCCGCTCTTCCTGACCTCTGATATATTAATTTAATGTACAACACAAAAAGGATCTTAAAACATTATCAGTGTGTAAAACAGTTCATATAAGACACCATTTGGGCTGTACAACAGGAAATAACGGGACTCTGGCGAGTTCACCTGACAGCTCAGGCGACTGTCAGCTGATATTTCTGAACGGTGGTGATCAGCTGTAACTGAATTCTGGGGGCTCAGAGGACGGGACACATCATATGTCAACATATATGGGACCTAACATTATAACATAATAAACATTTTGCTGCTTTATGGATGTAAGTTAACTGATAATTGACTGACAGAAATTCATTCTCACTAAATTGAGTCTTTATGGTTTAATTCACTATATCGCCTTTTTTTCGTGCAGCATTTTAGGCCCGTGTTCAGAAAGTTGGTTGTGATCTGTGATGAAAACTGGATTTATTACCGTGATTATGTCTCCAGCTTTGATGTTGAGGCTTGTGAGGTCGTAGTTGTTGCAGTAATCCTTCAGAGCGCGCACCTGCATCGCCGCTGAAGCATCTACAAGACACGGGTTGGTAGTGCGAGTCAACAGCGAGGTTGATTTGAGTCAAGCGGTGAAGTGAGATTTTCAGTCAGTAGAGGCGTGTTTGTGCTCACCTCTCAGCAGCTGTTTGATCTCACGGCTGGCCTGTGTGGTGGTGAACTGGTTCACAATGTCCAGGGCGGTTTGGCTCAGAGTGTTTCTCACTCCTGCACTGATGCCGCTCTGGAGGGAAGAGGAGAGGAAAAGGTGATCGAAGCTGCAGTGTGACACCCTGTCTGTCACACGGCGTTTTTAACAGAGATCATTCGGTGTCGGTCTGCCTCACAGCGACTAACACGGAGCGGACAGTGGTGGAGGAGGAGGTACACAGATCCTTCACTGAGGTAACCCGGGTTTGAGTCCATTGAGTCCTATAGTGCGATCTTCACAAAGTGAAAAAAGATCGCACTATATGTCTCTGAACAGCCAACTTTGGTCAAGTTAAAAATATCTTTTTTTTGTTTCTTTTACAACGAGAAAGAGTAAAGAATCAATACATTCACATTTTCTCCACATTTAGAGAAAATAGATTCTAATTTCTTAATTCAGGTGGAGACAATTGTAACCTATAAATGTCCGGCACCGTCAGCGTGATATTCGCCTCTCCTGCAGCATAAAGCAGAAACAAACACCGGAAATGAAGGTGCTGGATTTGCCATTTTGTTCAGTGAATCCACTCAATTACATTCAAATGGAGAACAATACAACCGGACGTGTTCGGAAGCATAATCCCCCTTTATATGGAGGTGACGTGACGGGGGGGGGGGCGGGGGAACAGGGCCGGTTTGATAATGACAGTACGGCGGCTGTTCAGACGGCTACAGTGTTTTATATAACAGGCAGACTTATCCCACAGGCTTCATCCCACAGATCACCGGGACAGACGCCAAGAGCTGAGGTGGAAAATTTCTCAGCTGCAGACGGGGAGGCTAACAACAACTGCGATTGTAAACACATTAGACAGACAGACAGACAGACAGAGAAACAGACAGGCGGGATGGCGGTCTTACATCCAACAGCAGGCGTACGACCTCTGTTTTCCCACACAGGGCGGCCTGATGTAGCGCCGTGCCGGACTCTGACTGTCTATTGATGTCAATGCCGGCCTGGATGAGCAACCTGGAGACACCAGTGAACATTGACACTAAACTCAATCTGCACGACAATGACAGACAGATGAAAACCAAACTGACAACAAAACATCGTCAACTGTTATTAAAGTTCATCTGAAGAAACTCTGAATCTCTGACCACTCAGACAGACCTCATACATTCATCAGATTATAATCCTGGTTCTATGATAAATAGATTCCTGGTTCTATTTGATGAATTTAATCCTGGTTCTAAAGAATAGATATAATCCTGGTTTTAATGAATAAATATAATCCTGTTTCCATAGAATAATTGTTATCCTGGTACTATGGAATCAATATAATCCTGGTTCTATAGAATAACTGTAATCCTGGTTCTATAGAATGATTGTAATCCTGCTACAATAGAATCAATATAATCCTGGTTCTACCTAGTAACTATATAGTCTTGGTTTTATAGAATCAATATAATCCTGGCACTACAGAATAAATAGAATGAATATAAACCTGTTTCTATAAAATGAATATAATCCTAGTTTTATAGAATAAATTTAATCCAGGTTCTATAAAATGAATTTAATCCCGGTTATGCAGAACAAATATAATTCTAGTTGTATAGAATGAATTTAATCCAGGGTCTATAAAATGAATATAATCCTGGTTCTACAGAATGAATATAATCCTGGTTCTATCAGCTCTGAGAGCTGTAAAATACGGAGAAAACGGTGAGGATCTCAGACTTTATGACGTCGATGTGTCCGTTCTTTGCAGCGAGGTGCAGAGGTGACACTCCGTTGGGGTCAGATGGTTTAGGTTCCAGCATGGCGGCACACATGTTACTGCTGAGGAGGAGCTGGACCACCTAAAACACAAACAGACAGCATGAACGTCCTGATGTAGTCCCACAGAGCACGGTTCATGTGTTTTTAAGCTTCTGTTTTAATTGGCAATACTTATTTTTTAATGTTTTCAGACATACAGTTTATCTGCTTCACATTTAAATGGCTGCAGAAAAACGAAAACTAAACCAACACAGACAATCGTAAATAAAGCGCCACATGTGACTTTCTGGTCACAGGTATGCATGAGCTCACCTGAGTGCCCCCTGTCCCCCTCCAGTTAAAACACACCTTCATTTCTACAGTCAGTAAAATCAACTCACTGCAACTCGTCCAAATTCACAGGCGAGGTCCAGCGGCGTTTTCCCCGCCGCGTCTGAGATGCACGGATTAGACTGGTGTTGTAGCAACATCTCCGACTGCAACACACACACACACACACACACACACACACACACACACACACACACACACACACACACACACACACACTTATTTTACTGCTTCCTCTGAGCTCCCTCACCAGTAACAACCACAAATCATGCATGCATCATCAGCCACACTTAACAGAGGAACACACACACACAACCACACACACACACACACACACACACACACACACACACACACACTTTATACACCAGCACAGTTACCCCGTCGTAGTGTCCGTGCTGAGACGAAAGGTGGAGAGGGATTTGTCCTTCGTCTGACTGCCCGTTGACAGACGAGCCTGCCTTCAGCAGCATTTTCATTGGCTCAGTCTTCCCCTGCCATGCAGCGTAATGCAGAGGACGCATCCCTGCACATATACACACACAAACAAGCACACACACAGCCAGAGATGACAGCACAATAAAACACAGACACACAGCACACACACCAGCACATGCACAAAGACAAACGAGAGAGTGTAAAGACACATGAGTGCACGCAAAGACACACACTCGGTTTTTGTCGTCGTTATAGACAGATACAGTTTCTGCACTCGGTTCACAGTTAACTCCGACTTTATTAAACTTATACTATCTGTACCTACAGTTAATTGTGACTTTATTAAACTTAAACGGTTTGCACACTTCTGCAGTAAAATCTAATGTTGGTCTGAAACTTGCAGGTTTTGGTTCTGAAAGAAGTTCGTCTCATGACTCAAAATGAATCTGCGACTCTGAAGAAAAAGCAGTTTATGTTAAACAAAACAAAACAAAAAAAAACTGTTTTTTGGTCTTTTCTATGTCTGACATGGTAGTGAAATATTTATTGGTCTGCTTTGGCACAGATCAGGACCTTTAGTGACGACCCTGTGGCTCTCGGAAGTTTTCATGGAGTTTTTTTCCTGTTTTCTGACGATGGATCGACTAATCTAGAGTGAATTTTTTTAGACATCCTGTTGAGACACTTTCTAAACATTCCTGTTTTGCTGTAGCAGCAGACTGTTTCGCTCAGACTCTCAGTATCCCTCCTGGAAATGTAGTCTTCTTGTTGTGCCTGACAAGTTTCTGACCTTCCTGACCGTTGGAGTATTGTTTGTGAAAGTGCTGAACTCGTGGGACACTGGAGACAAACAGCCTCAGACAAAGGGCAAGAAATCCCCTTTAAGTGGTCTAACAAGTCCCTAGAGGACCTCACTGGAGGATGTAGGGAGCAGCTGAGACCTGGAGCTGTGCAGGAAATCTAAGGTAGAGCAAAGTTCACCTGAGTTCAGAACAAGAATCCACAGCCGAGTGTTTTAAGAGGCTCTGACTTCAAGAAATTAAACGCCACTTTTGAGCCGTGGCTTCGAGGAGCAATGAGCATATTTCTGATGGCAGCAGCCCAAGACCTCCAGACTTGATACCAGCGATGAGCCACATCGTGGAGTTGAATAAAGAGGCCCTGCAGGCCTGGCTGGCATGAGGGAGTCCTGACTCAGATGAGTGGTGCTGGCAGGATGAAGAGACACAGCGGCTGTTGGAGTTACAGAAGCTGCAGCCTGAGTGTATGAAAAGATGTGATGGGAGAAGATTACCAGGCAGCAGACTCACTGAGCCTCCAGTGAAGAGAGGACTCCAGACTTCAGACCGGGCCCAGAAAGAGACGGACCTCTCTGAAGACTGGCACAGTGAAGCGGATGAACCAGGAAGTTCTTGGAGGACTGCCAGAGGTGCCGTGACCTATTTTCTGTGCCGTAGTCAATGGGATGGTCTATCCTGACAGTCTGAAAGCTCTATTGTGGAGAGTTTGTGATTCATGTTTCCTGTGTGGCTTTTATAAACACGCCGATAAGAGCGCCAAGTAAAAAAATACTCTTATCGGGAAAAAGTTGCTCAACAAACCACCGGTTTGTTATTTCAACATCAAACACAATCAAAAAGAGCGGACAGGAGTTTTTTACTTCTCTGGAAATTCCCTTAAACACTTCCCATGAGCCTCCAGGCAGAGACCTTAAAGTCATGGTTGACGATTGTAGAGATTAATAATTATTATGAACCTCGTTTCTATGGCGCTCATAGTCCCAAAGTGCGATCTCCACAAAGTGAAGAGAAAAGAAATGGAAAAAATCCGTTCACCCTAGCAGGTGCAGGGCTGCAAAAACATTGACCAATGGGAGCCATCCGTCCCGGACAGCTCCTATTGGTCAGAACTGGACTTTGTCTAAGTTCTTCTGTGTGGGAGAAGAAGTTTCAGGTTTGACCTTTACCAGGAAGTGAGTGGTGAGGATGAGGGCCCGTTGTAAACCTGGGTTAGAGCCGCTCTGGGCATGACTGAGTGAGTTTAGAGATGGCATAGCCTACTTCCTGGTGGGATTACATCTCCCATCTGCCCTGAGATTTCTTCTTTTTCTTCTTCTTCTTCTTCTTGTGGGATCTGGCCGTCTGAGCTGTGGATATTTGCTGCTCTGCTTCCTCTTGGCTCTCAGTCCTGCTGCCACAAACACTTTCCTTCTTCTTCTCCTTCTTCTCCTCCGTTGTCTATTGTTTGCTGTGCACACAGATCTGTCACTTCTTGTAAACACTGAATACTTCATTCATTTATTTATTTTATTGCTTCTCCTACAGGCTCACCTTTTATTACGTAAGGAGGTTTTATTAGGAACACAGGCAGAATCAGGAGTGTGTTTGTTTTCCTGGTTTTTCAAACCCTGTTTACGGTCAGGTGGTCTGTTCCTGAACCCTTTTGGACCAAAACCCCCACAGAAAGGAGATCTACGTGTGGTCCCCACAGAAGAGACGATGAGAGTCTTTAACACCAAACTGCAGTTTCACCGGACTATGAAAGACACCCCCTCCAGAGATGAATGTTGCCGACCGCTTGCTTCTCTAGTTATTCCAACTTTGGTAACGATCGCACGATAGTAATACACAGCGGTCTGAGGAGCCACAAACAAACCTCAACCAAAACGCCACTCTATAGACACAAATAATGCTCAGAACAGCACCTAACTTCATCAACAGGACATATAGGGTCACAGACATAGTACTAGACACCAAACATCTTTTTAACTTTGACTCATTTCTTTAGCAAAGAGACTAAACACAACTCACCTACTCTCTTCCAGCAGCCACTTGAACATAAAGCTCATAAATGTTCTTCCTTGAGCTGTGTCACCCAGCTGTAGTCTGTAATGGACTGGTCTGAGGTCTCGTTACAAACAAGCGGCTGCTGGAAGAACATTTATGAGTTATTTTTAGTCTCTTTGCTAAAGAAATTAGTCAAAGCTAAAAAGGTGTTTGGTGTCTAGTACTATGGCTGGGACCCTATATGTACTGTTGATGAAGTTAGGTGCTGTTCTGAGCATTATTTGTGGCTATAGAGTGGCGTTGTGGTTGAGTGTGTGGTTTGCTATCCTGCGGTCGTTACTTAAGTTGGTATAACTAGAGAAGCAAGCGGTCGGCAACCTTCACCTCTGGAGGGGGGGTCTAACTCAGTGTTACGGTGTGTTTGACCCTAAATTAATTTTACGCCAGAATATCCCTTTAAAACTTCCTACCATATGGTGACAAACATCTAGTCTGCAGACTCGAGTCATCACATGTAGACCTGTAACCGTGTCCTTTTGGTGCAAACACAGAGAAGAACAACCATTTTTGTCTTCACCTTATTTTTCTTTAATTTCTCAAAAGTCATTTTTGAAATAGTTTCCATCGACCATCGAGTTTCTTCTTCTCACTTCTCTGCGTTATTTCAAAGTGGCCTCTGAAGGCCACACAGCGGACCCAAAGTCACCCTCCGAGCCAGAGTTTTGGCGTGATACCAGTATTAGTATTATTTATCGATCATTATTTATCCTTATTATCTGATCATCATTTATCACATTTATGTAGAGTCGCTGAGAATCATGAGAACTGATTTAACGTCTAAATTCTGAATTTTGTTTTCTTTATTTTTGCCTCTATTAAAGGGGCGGTGCTCCTATAAACGAGTGCACATATGTCGTACATTAAGATTATTATCATGATCAGATATGAATCTGTGTGTGTTTTTACCTTTGTGGTCTTTAATATCCACGGCTGCCTGGGCCTCCAGCAGCAGAGAGATGAGCTCCTTGTTTCCACTCAGAGCAGCATGATGCAGCGGCGACAACCTTCACACACACACACACACACACACACACACACACACACACACACACACACACACACACACACACACACACACACACACACACACACACAGATTATGTATAAAAATACACATATTCATGGATTGGGTGTAAAACCAGAGCATAACTTTGCTGAGATAATCTCCAGCGTAGTGCAGCTCCTCCCCTTAACTCTGTGTGAGAGACGGGAGGGGGCAAATGACCTACTTCCATTAATAAGCAATCTCTCTACCCCGGAGCTGAGCGTGAACACAGCGCGCCTGTGTGTGTCTGTGTGTGTGTGTGTGTGTGTGTCTAATGGATCCCTGGTGAATATAAGGGCCGGGCCCTAGAGTCAAATCAGCAAATCATCAGCCATTACACAAGGAGCTGAGTCCAATTATCTGATTCCAATCAACATAATAAAAAGATCTTTGTTATCTGATGGAGGCAAATGGGACACAATCGCAAACCAAGCATGTGCACACGTAAAAAGCCGAACCAGTCATGAGTCTAAATATAGCCCGGATCCATAGATGTTCATTCAGGGTTTGGACGGGACATTTAGGAGACAATTATGAGCTTTTTAAATGTTGGTATTTATCAGATTTACATGACCACGAGTCTCTGTATCTCAGCCCCCGTCAGAGAAGTTCAGGTCCGAGTTCAGGTCCTTATTTGACTTATTTTAGAGTGACCAGGAACTCGGTCATTATCTCTTCTTCTTTTCTTTTAATGCAGCTTATCTCAAAGTCTGCGCCTCTTAAGCGTCTTCGTACGCTGTTGTAAATCTATCATCAGAGCACGGCTGATTGGAGTAAGTTGGCGACTGGGCATGGGCTCAGATTTTCTTATTCACTTTTTATTTGATTGCTGTTGAATTTTTGATTTAGATTCAAACTCCCTTTTTTCCTTTTTTAGATTATATGCAGGTTCAGTTTTTTCAGTGTGGTTTTGAATCAACAAAGCTAGTTGTAATGGACAGGCTATTGTTATTGGTCACTGTCACTTTAAGAAAGTTCAGACGTACACTGAAGCTGAAAACCCACATGATCCATGATGGGCGTGCTGGAAAGGAAGTCGGGCGCGGATACAAAATAAAACATGCGGCTTCTTTTTTCAAAATAAAACACTCCATGTTTCAGGAGGATCGTATTTCACACCATGCAAACGAGCGGAGACAAACAAGTGAAAGGTTTTTAGTTATTTCACCCCGATGACACCATGGATGAGGAGATGCTGATTCCAGAAGTCTAGAAGTAGATTTCCTCCTCTGGAAGGACACAATCTACTGTTTATATGTCTTTGTGGCTGTCTTCATAGAGACAACTCATTATCGTGTGATTAAACATGACTCCACGGGTTCTTGTGAGTTCTCGCAATTCCTGCTGTCCGTAATCCGCCACAAAATTTGCCTCACAAACTGATCTGGTAGGAATTGGCAGATGGTGAAAATCGCCACCGTTCTGGATCGGAGCTGTTCCTCCAGATGTATTGAAAATTGAGGGTAAGCTAGGACTACAAGCTAGCAGTTTGGTTACGTTTGCAACATCTGTGGTACAGGTGAGGTAGGTTGTTGTTTAAGTTGTTACTGCAGTCCGACTCGCTGAGTGTCGATCATTGAAGGAGGTTTAATCATTTTTGTTGGAATGGGTTTGAAAACTTGGGTCTCAAAGGTTTTCCAGTTTGTCTATGTTTTGTTTGGGGACACCTGACAGTCTTGTCACGGTGTCGTCGAGTTCACCTAAAAATCTCCAAAAGTAAAAATGAAACCGAGACAGTCGGCAGAAACGAAATCCTCCTCAAACAAAAACCCGACCTCTGAGTATGTTTATCAGGTAAGTCGCCTTTAGCATCTGCGTTTGAGCGTCTCTGCACTAACTCCAAAGTAAACCCATCAAACCCTCGCTGAAACCGCTCTTAGTGACAGAGTGGAAAGACAGATAGTTCTGCCCGCAGGCCACGGATTGGTCCAACTGCACGCTACTCTCACCCACTCACCAGACCAGGACTCTGATCAGTCAAACAGACTGTTCGAGAGCAAGAGAGAAAACGGACACCACCTTGTGTTTTTCAGGAAGATGTTTACAGTTTTGGTGACCTGGGAGTGTGAAGGTGTGGAAAACTCTTGATTCTTGAGAGGACAGCCCTGCTCTTTTCTACAGACACAGATTAAATCAAAGTGAAGCCTCGCTGTTTCCGAACCTCCTCATGAAAACTCTCTCTGCTGCTGCAAATCCTGGACTCTAAAGAATCAACCAGAAACTCACCAAAAGCGGTCCTATACAGCAGCAGAGTCCCATTATAACTCTCTATGGTCTTATCAATATGACGACCTCGTTCATGTCTTATTGATCCAGCATTGACTAATGATACTTCAGTCCAATTATTGATCATAAGCCCGTTTTGTAAACCCTCGGGCAGCTTTAACAGCAAAATTAAGCACCAGTGCCCTGGATATCATGTGACCCTCTACTAATGAAGTCTAAAATGATTCTGATTCAGTTAAAAACCTGTTTGTGAGGTATCGTTAACCCGTCTAATGATCACTGAGTTAGCCTGGTGGGAATCCCTGGGAGTCAGAGGAAGCAGGAGTTTCAGGGGCGTTCGATCACAGCAAAACGTCATGTGACAAACATGTCAGCAATAGCTGCTCATTCACACTTACAAATACACACATGTCAATATTGATAAAGATGAAGATAGATGAAGAGGTCAGAGACGTGGGAAATGAGAGCAAACTAAAGAGGACTGAAACATCTAAAAACAGCAGGATGAAGATCTGATAAAAACAGAGTCGTGGTCTCTCACCCGTCTGCATCCTGGATGTTGACGTTCACTCGCTTTGCTGCTCCAAGGAGTTCTGAAACAGACAAACAACACAACCATGAAACACACCGTCCACACTAACATCTGTGTGTGTGTGTGTGTGTGTGTGTTACGCACTGATTCATGTTTTCTGTCCTCGTACACAACCTGATAGTTCAACCCCACAGAGAGTCACCTGCTACTTTTCTGTATCTGCCAGCGCTCTCAAACAACTACAACTACAGCAACTACGACTACAGCAACTACAACTACAGCAACTACAACTACGACTATAGCAACAACAGACATAAAACAAAACAACAAAAAACACAAAACAACTACAACTACAGCAACAACAACTAGAGCAACTACAACTACAGCAACTACAACAACTATAGCAAACAAACATAAAACCAAACAAAAAACACAAAACAACTACAACTACAGCAACATGAATAAAACAACAACTACAGCAACAACAACACAAACAAACATAAAACAAAACAACAACTACAGTGAAAAACATGAACAACAACAACAACAAACACAACACAACAACTACAGCAACAACAAAACAGACATAAAACAAAACAATAACTACAGTGAACAACATGAACAACAACGATAACAAACATAAAACAACATGAACAAAAACAAAACACCAACAGCAACAGTGAACAACAAAAAAACCCATAAAACAAGAACATTTACAGTGAGCAACATGAACAAAAATGACAACAACAACAACAAACATAAACAAAACAACAACAGCAGTGAACAACATTAACAACACAAGCAAAAAACAGCAAACACAGAACCACTACCGCAACAACATGAACAACAACAACAAACAAAACAACAACTATAGTGAACAACATGAACAACAACAACAAACATTAAACAACATGAAAAAAAAACAAAACAACAACTACAGTGAACAACAACAAAACTACATCATAAACAAACACCAACAACACCATCAGTAGAGAACTGACACACGTCTGTGCTGCAAACTTGAATCTGTCTTTAAACTGATCTTTTTCATTTTCACACAGTAAAGGAACTTTTCCACTCATGATTGTTGAATGTCAAGTTTCCTGACGTAACCCAGCTCTTATATCCTCTCTCTCTCTCTCTCTCTGTCTCTCTCTCTCTCTATCAGGTGCTGTTCATTAGCCGCTGCTCTGTTCCTACTTTATCTGTGGATATTGTGTCTCTTCCTAAAAAACAAACAGCAGATAAATAATATCGCAGACTTTCTGAGAAACTTCTTCTCATCATGAAACTTCTCACCTTTGTGATTTCAGCTGTTTTTTATTGTTACCGGTCACTGCAGTGAAGGTTCTTGTTGTCTAATAAACCACGGTTCTAGATAAGTGTAGCAGCAGTGTTAGAGATGTTAATATCACTGCAGGTCTTGGTTTGAGGAGAGCTGGTATCATCTGTGTGCAGCAGGGGCCGCTGTCTTCAGCTGGTAGTTATAAGTGTGACAGATTAGCAGCAATAAAACAGGTTCAAACGCTGCGTTTTAAGATATTAGCCACACATGATTATGTTATTCCCGCCCACACACAATGAAGCCAGATCTTGTTGTGCTAAATTTTCAGAGTCTCAGCTGATTGGTTCAGGAGATTTACTGCTCAGAGGCCAAAGCTGTTCCTTACTCAGACCATGAAGTGTTCATGATATCAGGACAGCAGGTCTGGTCTTAAAGTGATGATCCTTTTGTTTGAAGCCTTATCAATACTTAATTTAACGCTGCAGCTGATATGTAACCTGTCTGTTTTATCATAACTCTCATAACATGATCAAGTGCACTATCACTATTCTTGAAATCAGGTTTGCCTCAAAGCGATAATAATGGAGAAACTCTGGAGAGATGTGAAACCTTCCGGGACGTTTTCCTAATTGCTTTGCTTCCATGCATTTATCAAAACACTGATACCGCTCTCATTTCACAGGGTTGGCGCATGTTTTTACTGAGTTCATATGCAGCTGTTTGTATTTCATGTGGAAAAGCTCGTCTTTGTGTTTTTCTATAACCTTGACTTTGACGAAGCGGCACAAAGATAAAGACTCCAAACAGCAGGAAGACAAGCACACAAAAACACACACGCAAACACACACAAACTGAAAAAGCTGCGTGTTTGTCCCTCTGCATCTACTTTCCTTTTTTTTTTTTTTTTTGGTCAAACCCTCTTAATCCAGCGGCCATAATCTGAGGCTGTTCTGTAATCTGGGGAAAAGCTTCTCCCTCCCTCTCTTCCTCTCTTCCTCTCTCATCCGTTCATCCTGCTCTCACACTCTAATTTTCCCTGTAATTTGCTAAAGAGCGGCGTGCTGATTGGTGGCTCTGCTGTGTCTGTTTACACTCCTCGCCTGACATCATTCTTCTCTGCATGTGTGTGTTTGTTTGCACATCGAGCCGCCAACCCCGAATGATCTATCTTGGATTAAAAACAAACCGGCAGGCCCCCTCCCCCCCTCGTCTCTTCCCCCAGCAGATGAATCAATGAGTGCAGATATCTGTGTCACCGTCAGAGAGACACGTGACGCCAGACAAAAAAACTTCCCCTCAAACTCATCGAACAACAAAAAGGGTCCCACTTCCTCTCTTAGATTAGATGATCCTCCCTTTACATCAGGAGTTCTGGATCACAGCAGTATTTATTTAATAAAGCTGCCTGCCTGACTCCGAAACCACCATGTGTGTTTAATCAAATACTCTCATGAGGTAAGGTCACTAGGGTTGCAAAATTCTGGGAATTTTCAAAGTCGGAAACTTTCTACGGGAATAAATCTGAAATGTAGAAAATTGAAGGTTGGCCCTCAACAGAGAACTTAAATATAGTTGGTGAAATTGTAGTATAATCTTGGCTAAAACATCCAGATTTAATGCAAGTCCACTCCTCAATCACATGATCACACACCACGGTATTTACTTTGTTTTCTTGCTTGTGTCGGCAGTCGTGGCAAAAGGAGGATTCAGACAATTTTCCGAACTTTCTGGTTGGTTTCTACTGTTTGATATTGTAGCACGCTAACTTTGTTTGGGCTCGTGAACGACACGAGGGAGCAGCGTCTGCCTCAAAAACAATCAGGATGGGGGAGGCGGAGAATTGCTTTGTTTACAGTCAGAAAGAGCGGAGTGCTCAAAAATGTTAAAATGTTGACTACACAGACAGAAGAGGACAGAGCAATATTGTGATATTACCAAATGTCATCAATAACTAATAACTATTGACTGATGTTAAAAAGCTTTTTTGTATATACACCACAAAAAAATTTACTTCTTTAGGGGATTCCTGACTACCCCACTTTAAACACAAATTAAAAGAAAAATAGGTGCTAAATGTAAACAATTTTTTATTTCATTGACCGTTTAAGGGGATATCTTATTATGGTGGTGGTAGCTACATCAAATGTGATGCTGTTTCTTTTGACTCCTGCAAGACGGTTTTCTGTAACCATACAATAATTTATACATCAATTATCAAATATTTTAAAGACCATTCCAGTTGTTTAGCCAACTATATTTCTGTTCATACCATTGCATTAGTGTTTTTTTGTTATTTTATTCTACAGAAAAATGCCACGTTCGCCAGCTGATGTGTGGAAACGGTTCACACAAACTAATGTTGAAGGAAAAATATTTACATTGATGTTCGGATATAATAGAGTTTGTGTAAATTACCCCCAATTTCCAGTTAACTCCCATAAATTCCCATGAAAAGTTTCCAATTTGGAATATTTCCAAAAATTCCCCAGTTTAACTTCCCATGGAAAGTTTCTGGAAATTTACTGGAAATTTTCTGCCCCTTTGTAACCCTACGTATCACTCATCCCATTTTTCTTTGTTCCTAGAATCTTTAAAGAAAGATAATTTCAGTATGAAGCCCCATCAGATTGGAATAATTTACCTCTTTCTTTGCGTTCTATTACATCTTTTTATCACTTTAGAGAGGCACTATACTCTCATCTCAAAACAAATTGCTCATGTTTCTGATTTATTTTCTTCTACTTTTTTGCATTTATGTTCAGATTATTTATCTTTGTTAGTCGGTTTTGTCTATTTTGTATGTTGGGCGTATGTTGGTTGAGATTGTGAGTACGATGTCTGTATTTGTTTTATGTTATGTATGTTAATGTATTGTAAAAGTTCTGTGTATGTTTGTTTAGGGACCCCCTTGAAAATGAGACGCTCCATCTCGAGGGTCTATCCTTCATAAATTCAAATCCTCTCTTTTTTTTATCCTGAACACACCCTCGTTTATTTCAGAAACTGTATCACAGCCCAAAGACCCACATCCAGACCGGCTCCTCACCCACATCACCATAATGCGCCTCTGATGGTGTCCTTGGACCAGAGTTCATATTTCTTTATGATAATTTTCAGCCTCAAACACTGCATCTGAGCCCCCCGTTACTATGGTAACTGATTCTATGTGCCATTCTCACAGGCTGTCGATCTCTTGGCAGTGATTACCGTGACATTATTTTGCAGCGTCTCCCTAAACTTGTGGCTATTTTAGATTTATAACCCTGTCATTCAGATTTCATTGGAAACTCCAGAGGGTGCAAACAGCCGGCTAAACCAACGTCAGGTAAAACTGAGCAGAGTCCCAGGAAACCTCAGGAGAGGTGAAGTCCAGGACTTCTCAGGGGTACTCATTAAAGTCCAGTTTTCCTGGTGCCCTAAATTCAGAGTTACAATTTAACATGCAAACACTGATATCCCTGACACGCCTTTGTTTCTATATATATTTCAGACGATTGCACACGTACATTAGATTCATAATGTACAAAAATGGCATCACAGATGTTAGGACGTTGGAAAAAGACACATTTTTTATGTTATTTAACAGAAAAGAGAGAAATCTGAAACTTTTGCCGACTCATCATAGGGCTGCACGATTTTGGCCAAAAATAATTCCTGTTTTTTTTCTCTGAAAACTCGATTTTCGATTTCTATTTTTATTCAGAGACAACTTAACTAAACTTCACTTTCATAAAAAGTTTTTCTCTCATCTCTTAAAACCAAACCACTAAAAATGATGTAGTGCATATGCCAAGCCAGTAAGTGGCGCTGTAACACTGCACAGGAAACGCACAAAAGACAGAAGAAGAGTACAGATCATGTGTATAAAAGGTTTGGCGCCATGAAAGAGTTACACTGTGTGTCACATGATCGTTTCCAGAGATGCAGATAGACATCCACACGGAGATGAAATGGTCGTCGTTTACAGATTTATTCACTCTCTGACCTGTTTTTAAAAAGTACCGTTTACAGTCACCTGAAACGCCATTTCCGTGTGGATGAAACGCTGATACGACAAAAAACTTTAGCGTTTACTCCTGAATTCATTTCCATGGTGACGGGTTGATACCGCCTTCAGACAGACTTTGCAGCGGGGAGTGGTTTACTCTTCATCTGAAACTGTGAAGTCGTACCAATTCAACACGACTGACTCGCTTTTGTCCTATTTAACCACGAAATTATCGCCCTCTTCTGCAAACGCCATGTTTGTTTACACTGGTGCGTGTGGGAACAGGGGAGCACTCCTGCAGGAAGGAGGAGCCTACGGTGGCCTGGAGGCGCGAGACATGATAGAGAGGAAAATGGATTTGAGGATCTAATTTTTTTAACATCGTCATAATCAAATAATCTGATGAGGATTTAAAATCGATGAATCGTGCAGCCCTAAGTCATTATCGTCAGTGTTAAAGTTATCTTGTTTAGTAAAATTCAGGATTTAATGACTGTTGCTGCTGTGACGCTCCCCCTCTTATATTGAGGATGTCCTGTCTCTTAGTTCATTAGTCTTAAGGTGCTCAAAGCTTTCTGAGGGAGTCCAGACAATAAGAACTGTGAAAGAAAATCCTTACAGGTAACTTTTCACATCCTCATATTAAACCTTTTCAAATGGAGTTAGCGGCTGTGGCAGATCTATTATGCATAAAACTCATTTCAGCTTTCAGGGAGAATCTAGGTCAGTAGTGGCAAATCGGAAAAATGAAAAGAGAGTGAAGTACGAACGCCAAAGAGTGTTCATCACTTATTTCAACATGGCAGAAAAAAAAGTGATTTAAAGAAAACATCAGAGACTCAGAGGTCCTCTCTGGAGATCCGCTTTGAGTCTGGTAATCATCATAAGTCCTCCTCGTTTTCTGACTGAGCACAAACAGGGAAATAAAGAGCGACATCTGAAGTTTCCGGAGACAGGAAATCTTATTTATTTGTCATGTGGCACATAAAAATGAAAGGCTGATTCATCTTTGCTCTCCACTTTGTTTCCATCCTTTCAGTCTCTTATTTACTCATTAAAAAAAAGAGTCTATTTTTGTGTAGTTTCTCTGCCCTGTGTCTTTGCAGTCTGCTTTTCCCCACATTTCTATGCTGTTGGTTGATTAATGTGCTGCCAAGTTTATGTACATCAGACCTCTATACTTCAGCCCGGTAAATAAACATATACATGCCAGAGAGAGGTCAGTGCCTGTCGATTGTCTGCTTATTCATCCCATGACTAAGAGCCCATTTCAGCATCTTTCTGCAAACTGAAAGAGATGTCATTACGATAAGATATCAGTATCACTCACATCACTAAATTAGAGGGATACTGAGCCAACGATAAGGAAACCAACGCCAAATGTTTGAGAACTCAGCCGTCTGCTGTGTAGGAGGTCGGTTAGAAAACGGTTCGTCTCTGTGAGGAAACTCCACATTTTTACATCAATGAAACTTCACAAGAATCAACAGAGAGATTCAGTTCAGCGAGCAGCATTTCTCCGACTGTGAACAGATCACATGAAGACCTGTCACCAACGCTTCCCTCTAAGACTGCACACCTGTTCCTCCATCTCAATGAACGAGGATTATCTCCTGTCTTTCACACTTACAACTCCCTCTCACCAAAATAGTTGAAAATACTAGAAACTCTGTGTTTGTTCTCCGATGGAGAAAGTTTACAAAAACACACGAGTTCATCTTCTTTGAGTGAAAATGTAAAGTCCAGATATTTACTCTGAGTTTATCAGACGCTTGTTTGAAAAAACGAACGAGTTTCAAGACTGAGAGCCACAGGAAAAAACATCCATCCTTCCATTCATCCATCCATCCATCAACCACTCATTCATCCACCCACCACTCACATCCATCCATCCATCCATTCAACCACCACTCATCCATCTATGCATTCATCCACCCATTCAACCACCCATCCATCCATCCATCCATCAACCATCAACCACTCATCCATCCATCCATCCATTCATTAATCCATCCACCCACCCACCCACCACTCATCCATCCATCCATCCATCCACCCACCCATTTATTTTATTTAGGGATGTAGGTAAGAGTCGGCCGACGGGTTTTTTTCAAAAAGGGGGGCGGGTTTGGGTGAAATTTGTAGTTCTATTGTTGTTATTGAAGTTGTATACTGTTTATGAAAAAATGTTAATAAATAAATTGTAAAAAAAAAAAGATCTAACACCCTTGAACAGGAAACTGGACCTGCCTGAGGTTCGACAGTGACCTGGATGAATGAAGACCTACAAAGACCTAACAAGTTCTAGATGGATTCTCTCGTTTTTATAAATCTGAGTGTTTTTTGCCGTGATTGAGGATGTGAACACTAGGGTTGGGAATCGAGAATCGAGAATCGATGGGAATCGGGACTAAAACTTCGATTCTTCCGGTATCGTTCAAATATTAAAATTTCGATTCCAAGTTTCGATGCCAGAGTCCGCCGACCGGAGGAAACAGCCGCCGAAAATCAACGAAGAAGAAGCCGCTTAACACCAACGAGGACGGAGCGTATGAGACGAAGCCACACAGAAAGTGAAGAGAGACAGAGAGATAAAGTACATTGCAACCCACTGCAATGCAGCCGCTGTGGGTTACAATCTCTCTCTGTCTCTCTCCTCTCTCTGTGTGTTTTAATCCATTGCTCTGGTGGCTTCGTCTCATACGCTCCGTCCTCGTTGGTGTTCGGCAGCTTCTTCTTCGTTGGTCAAAAGTTTGGCTAACTTTAGCAGGAAGAATGAACTCTTATCTCAATGCAACATTAGCAATACAGTTATATCATGCAAAGGAGGGTAAACGACCAACATGATTAAACACCTCAGGATTCATGGAGGAGAAATACCCGAGTGCTCGTCTTTGACGCGCTTCGCCGGTGTTGTGTCGTAGAATGCACCCCTGACGGGAGCGCGGTTGAAAGTACACAACAAGGCGAAACAATCCAAGTTTTTCTTGCCGTTGGACGGAATCTAAAGCGTGTGCCTTTAATGATTTCATTCAGGCTATTCAGATATGCCGAAAACAATAGCCCTCTGATTCGGAATATTTACTGTCCTGAAAATATTATGTTCTCTACATTAACAGCTTACTCTACGGTTTATATACCCAAGTACACCTTTATGTGTGCATTTTTGAGACACATAAAAACAGAACGAAAGTTTACTGCTCCATTTGACACGTTTTCATGATCTAATACCCGTGTTTTATTAAATATGAGATCATATTTCTTCCACTAAGAAGCTAATCAGTGGAGGGGAGGCATTCTACGGCAGGGGTGCATTCTACAGCACAACACCTGTCTTCCGCTAACCAGTCAGGATCAGATAAGTGAAACAATAAATTACTTCTGTCCTCTGCTAACTTTGAAACGGTAAAGAAATTGAACTGTGTACGGTGAGTAAACTTAAATATCCACCTAACGTTAGCCCTTGTACTTTTTCATAAACAAACGACCTGAAAACAAAAATTGATATTTATATACTGGTTGAAAATAGCTCTGTGAGAAATCCATAGTAAAGTTCTTAAAAAGTTAATAGGATTTAAAAATTCATGGAGAAGTTCAGAAATTTCATCCAAAAAGAAGAGCCCCGGTTAGCACCCTCATTCAAACCATGCTTTTTTTTTCTTTTTGATATCCTGCCTTTTAAAAGAATCGAATTAGAGAATCGATAGGAATCGGAATCGAAATGAGGAATCGAAATTGGAATCGGAATCGTTCAAAATCAAACAATACCCAACCCTAGTGAACACCGTTTATTTTCACTCAGAACAATAACTGTGATATCTGCCCTTGGAAGGATAACAGAAAGATTACTGTAAATAACCATCCAACTGATTAATTAGTCCGTCTAGTTTCCAATGCATCTTCTGGGGAATATATAAATCAAATTATTTCATGAACTGGATTTCAAACTTCTGCTGGAAATAAAATATTGAAACTGTCACTTCAGTTAGTTTTAGAAAAATAAAACAGAGAGCTGGACTGAACCACACTTCCTGCAGAGTCCTCCTGTCACCGCAGCGTTTCATTCAATCGCTTTAATCAAAGAGTGAAACAGATCAGCTCTGATAATTAACAGAGAGTTCATAAAACAAACGCAGAGAGAACACCTGAATCACAGCTGAAGGTGGACCTGTGTGTGTGTGTGTGTGTGTGTGTGTGTGTGTGTGTGTGTGTGTGTGTGTGTGTGAGTGTGTGTGTTCAAGGTGTTAGAGTGTGTGTGAAGACAGTGATTCTCCAGCAGAGAAACTCGACTTCCTGTTGAATTATTCAGACATAAACCTGGAGTCACGCTGTCACACACATACACCCACGCCCACACACACACACTGATGCAGAAACACACACTCTCACACACTGATGCAGGAACACACACAAAAACTAACACACACACTTTGCCTAATAACTCACCCTTTGACCTTTGTCCCATCACTCTCTCACCCCTGACCTCCCTCAAATCTCATCTCCTCATCTCCTAATCTTCCTCTTCCTGTCCTGCACCCTTGCACATCTCCTCTCTCTTCCAGCTGTCTTCCTCACCCCTCACCTTCCTCACTCTACTCATTCACCTCACCCATCACTCTCCTTACCCCTTACTCTTCTCACCCCTCGCTCATCTCACTCTCCTCACCCCTCACTCTCCTCACCCTCACTCTGCTCACTCTTCTCACCCCTCACTCTCCTCACCTCTCACTCTCCTAACCCCTTCCTCTTCTCATGCCTCACCCTCCTTACCCTCACTCTCCTCACCTCTCATTTTTCTCACCCCTCACTCTCCTCACCTCTCACTTTTCTCACCTCACCCTTCACTCTCCTCACGCATCACTCTCCTCACCCCTAACCTTTCTTACCCCTCACTCTCCTCACTCACCTCACCCCTCAATCTCCTCACTCTCCTTACCCTTTACTCACCTCACCCCTCACTCTCCTTAGCTCTCACTTTTCTCACCCCTCCCTCCTGACTCTCCTCACCCCTCACTCTCCTCATCCCTTATTCTCCTCATCCCTTACTCTCCTCATCGCTCACTCTCCTCACCCCCCACTCTCCTTACCCTCCTCACCGCTCACTCTCCTCACCCTCCTCCCCCCTTCCTCCTTTGTCAGTGTGCAGTGGACTGAGCTCTCAGCTCTGATCTGTTCTGGCGTTTGAGGAGAAGCTTTTTTCTTCTCCATGGTACTGCTGGAATGTTCAGATATACGAACACACAAGAGAGGAGGTGAGGAGGAGGAGGTGAGGAGGAGAGGAGGAGGAGGATAAGAAATGAGCTTTAGGAGGAGTGGACAGGATGGGAGAGGAGGGACTGGCAGAGAAGGAAAAAGGGAGGAGAAGCTTGAGTTGGAGAGGACAGGAGAGGAAATAGGAGTGAAACAGAGGAAGAGAGGGAAGGGAGGAATGGAGGAGAGAAAATGACAAATGAACAGATGACAGGGGAAGAGAGAAGAGGAGAGGAAAGGAGAGGATAGAGTAGGAGAGGAGAGGACAAATGAACAGATGACAGGGAAAGATCTGAGAAGGAGAGAAGAGGAGAGGAAAGGAGAGAAGAGGAGAGGAGGACTCAAAATAAGGAGAGAGGATAAATCCAGTGGTCTGATGAGATGGTAGAGGAGGAGAGCAGCTTCAAGGCTGTAATTGAAATCTAATTATCACCTCAAGTCCCAGCTGACTCCACGTCAAGCAGTCGAGAGCACGCCAGCACGCACGCGCGGTCCAAGCGCCACATCTGTGCACATGCAAGTGTCTGCACGTGCGCACTTACGATCATCACATTATTACCCCCCCAACATCTGGCGTCTTCACACACCAATAATCCCCATGACCCGAGAGCAGAGCAGGACCTTCGTGTACTCTCACCCCTCACCCTTAAACACACACACACACACACACACACACACACACACACACACACACACACACACACACACGCACACACGGTGGTAGGTGTGTGTGAGAAGCATAATTACATTCTGATGACTCCTCTCACACGTGCAACGTCATCACTATCACACACCCAACGTCATAGCACAAACACACATGCATGCATAGGGGGGTACACACACACACACACACACACACACACACACATACATACAGTGCACCATGTAGGCTAAACGGCAGCACATCAGATCTGGCCTGCACTGTCCTGACCTGGTACTGTGTGTGTGTGTGTGTGTGTGTGTGTGTGTGTGTGTGTGTGTGTGTGTGTGTGTGGATGGATGGATGGATGGATGGACGGATGGATGGAGGGATACTGACTGGCTTTCCCCGGCCGAGGTCTCTGTAGAAGCCGCTGAGCTGTCAGCAGGTCCTCGGTCTTGACGGCCTGGAGCAGCTCCTGGTCCTTCCCCATGTCCTCCCCTCCTCTCCGTCCCGCCTCCCCGGTCCTCGGTCCCGGTCCGCCGCTTGGTCCGCCGCACGGTACCGCTCTCTCTCTCCTCTGAGCGCCCCTCTCTCCTCCGTTAATCCGCCGCTACATCCTGCCGCCTCTCCGGGCCTCCCGCTGGAGCTGAGGCGCGGAGGGACGGGTGCTGCTGCCGGGGGTGGGACGCTCCGGTTCGGCCAGGAGTCCAGCGGAAGTGTCGCTTTAACTTCCTTTCACGCACGGTCCACGAGACCCCGAACTGACCACCCTACCCGCCGACCGACCGGACCGGACCGGACCGGACCTCGCGCCCTGTCAGGATGCTCTCCGGCCGCGCAGAAACGCTCGCGACAGATTCCACAGATTCAATCCGCGTGACGATTTCACCGGGTCTACGTGCGTGCCGTGCGTGAAAAACGGTGGAGCTCGAGCGCCCTCCTGTCTGCTGGGTCAAATCCGAAACCGCCGAATCCTCACGAGGACCTCATCCCGCAGAACGAACACGCACGAGTCCCCGGTGGTTACCGTGTGACCGCTGTCTCCCCACCGCTGCGCCGCTGGACCAGCTCGCGCCAGCTCCCGCGCGCTTCAGCACATTCGCACTCACATATGGCATTACATAAACATGAGCTCCCTGCCTGCGCGCGACACTCCAGCGGTTGTAATCCCGGTCCGCCGCGAGTGTGTGTGTATGTGTGCGCGTGCGGGCGGACGAGTCAGGAGAGGTCGTTTGATTTCGTCATAATAATGAACTCAGTCGCGTGCGAGAGCGGGGCACCAGAGCGCGGGACAGTGAGAGTCCGGGATCGCGCGGACCCACGAGACCTTCATCAGATCAGATCAGATCAAATGATCGATGACAGTTTATAGGGGAGACCGGGGTCAGTTAAACCAAAGGGTAAGTTGAGTTGGTCAAAGAAATTGATCATGTGACCAAATATTTAGGAGATGGGCGTCAATTCATGGAGTCTGTGGAGGTTAGAAGCTCACGGGTGAAGGGGTTAGACATTTATTTACAAAAAACAAAACAAAATTTTACCCTTGAAAGTGAATTTAGTTTGTCAGAAGTTAGCATTGTGTTCAGACCAAAAAATATCATTTTAAATCAGTTTTATACATCAATTGTTGTATCTATAAGCTACAACATGCCCACCAAACATCGGACGTCGAAGAGACTAAGGATCAAGTCAGTATTGGGTCGATCCGTCAAAGACCACATCTAGACGTCAGTGCGACGTGCAAAATGGATTCAAGATTTAGACGTCATTATTGGACCTCTTTTAGACGTTGAAATGACGTCCACATTTGTACTTCATCGTGGAAAAAATACGTTAAATAGATGTCATTTCGACGTCACATTGCGCAGTGGGTGAGGTCAAAAACTGAGCATAAAAGTCCACCATTTTAGTTTAGAGGACTAATAAAGTCATCATAGTAGTTCTGGAGTAACTGAGAAAGTAAAGGAGTCTGATGAGAGGATCAGAGTTTCAGTTCAGATTGTTGAAATGTTTGACTTTTACAGATCTGTGAATATTCTGAATCACTTAAAGACATTTTCATGTTAAAAGTGTTTTTTTATAAAACAGCTTTCTAGCAGTTATATGCGATAATAATAATAATAATTATTGTATCAGTCGAATAGTGTATAATAGATAAAACAAGATACGTTTGGCGTGACATGTGAAAATGGCCAAAAGGGGGCGAAAACAGCGGAATAACTCTTTAACCGTGCATCTGAGAAAAAAGTCCAAGAGTGCGAAATCAAAGATCTTGTTAAGATACACATGCCTGTAAAAGTTCGGGCAGATCGGCCAAAGTTGACGTTTGTGGCGCTCTGTAGGGGGCGCTAGCGAGCCATTTTTCAATCGTCCCTTGGATTATAATAGCGCTCTCGGCTCGGCCCTAAATACACATAATTGTGAAGAAGTGACTGTTATTTAGGGAGAGAGAAGGTGAGGGAGGGCTAGGGGGGAGAGTGGGGAGGTAGTAGGGATAAGGCTCAACTTACCCCGCTCCTATGGTCAACTTACCAAATATACAGGGTAAGTTGACCATAGGAGACCACTGTTTTTGGCATGTTCTATTATTAAGATTACAGTTCTGTTTACACTCATTCTGTTGGTTTGCAGGGATGAACAACATCCTGAAATATCTGCAGATACACGAGTTAGAGACAAAACTAGGATTGACTTGATGTAGTGATCCTAAATATGAAAAATGGATCATCTTACCCCACTCTCCCCTATATGATCTTAGTTTCACCTTTCCTCAGAACTTTAACACATTTACCGCCAGACTTCCAGTCACCCACAGGAGACTCAGTGTGTGTCACTGAGGTGATGGAGTTACGTCAACATTCTTAAGGTTAATGAGACAGAGATAATTTGGGGGCAGCAGCAGCAGCAGCAGTAGCAGCAGTGTGTGTGTGTGTGTGTGTGTGTGTGTGTGTGTGTGTCCCTTGTGCAGGGCTAATTTAGACTAAAGGGGCCACTGCCTGTCAGATTTAGGACAGGAAGTGGAACACATGACAGACGACTGGTCCTTCATAAAAATCAACTGTGTGTGTGTGTGTGTGTGTGTGTGTGTGTGTGTGTGTGTGTGTGTGTGTGTGTGTGTGTGTGTGTGTGTGTGTGTGTGTGTGTGTGTGTGTGTATTTGCTCACTGACATTACTTGGTCCAAATGGCAGATAGATGTTCAGTTGGGAGTTTTTTATACAGGGCCAGGTTAAACTACTGCACAGACCTCCGGCTGAAAAAACTGTGGGCCCCCCATAATGGAGTTGGGTGCAGCTGCAGCCTCAGAGCCTCTCAGCTCATCATGTCCGAGTGTTACAACCATAGACTGTATCTAGAATGGACTCACTGGGTGAAGCCACCCTGAGAACAGCGCCCTCTGGTGACGGGCTGCAGTATAGATCATAAACCCGCCTCCGCCAGCAATCCTTATGGAGCTGTGGACAAACTTTATAAATTAATGACACAGAATATTAACGTTTCTCCTCCCTGCTTGTGATGTTGACATGTAGTTACTGTAAGACTGGTTTGTGCTCCAGTCCTCTTTTTTCTGTACAGCTCCATTTTTAAGTTCTTAAGGGGTTCATGTTTTCTATGATTGACACCTGATACAGCCTATGGGCGTACAAAGATTGTGTAACTCACCCGGGGGATACACTGTTTGAGCCGAGCGTCATCACAGCGACTCTTGGCGACTCTCCCACCGAATGCACAATGTTGGTTGGTGGTTTCGCGACTACATTCCTGAGGTGATGACAACCTGGTCGTCGTTGTAAACCTTTTAATTAACAAAAAGAAAAAGAAGAATCGAAGTGTCTGAGTACATCCAGTACGGACCTTACGACAGAAGATGGGGGAGCTCCACAAAACGATCCAGGGGCTCAAATTATATCTTGAGAAATTCTGACAATACTTCAGACAATTTCAAGAACTGCTTCATCAGCTGACTCAACGTTTGCAGAAGGAGACGACAAATCACAGAGAGCCGATTGATCCAGAGCAACGACTTGCATTTTGATAAGCCAGAGGTCTAAAGGTCCTTTTGCACCAGGACTGTTTTTTTTCGTGCGATTATTTCAGACGTCAATATTTTTTCTCGAACCTGTATCCTGTCAATACAAGTGGTCGCAAAAGTCTTCCCCGGGATGCGTCTTTTTCCCCCCGGAAAGTCGCAAAATCGCATCGGGCTTGATGTGTATAGTTAGGTGCATCAAAATTCTCCTCGGAGAATTATTATTATTATTCGTATTTCGTAATTTTGCGTTCTATATTCGCGTTGGCTCTGGTGTATAAGGACCTTAACAGTTCTTCTTCGAATGTTCGGAAAGTCCGCTACAGGGGCGAAAAAATTACAGTTGCTTTTTCGCTCTGCAGAGGTTCATAGCCTGTGTGTAACGACCTTTAGCTATGGTTAATGCTGATGTATCTTAAAACTGTGGAGTTATTGAGAGTTACTGCAACAAAAAAGTAAAGTACTTTAACTCAGAGGAAACAACACTAATTAAAAATCTACAAATGACACATGTGGCTAAAAATCACTCTTTCAGGAGTTTAAGTGTTTTTAAATGATAACTACACAAGTTTATTTATTTAACATTTATTCAACTAGGGCTGACAGTAAACATTCAAACACACTTACATTCATCACACCAGCAAAGAGGGAGCCTCAGTGAAAACCCCACAGAGAGAGAGAGAGTGGACTCTCCGAAGGTTACCAGAGTTTGGAGTTTACGCTCAGTCTGAAGATTGTTCAGTGAAAGAAAACCTAAAAGCTGTTTTTCTCAGTTCACATTGAGAATATGAAATTATAAGATGTCAGAGGGACAAAGGTCAAGTGTCCTGACCTTCTGGACCAGGAGAGAGGAAAAGTAGACCAGGACTTTGCTCAGAATGGCCTAATAGAATAAAATAAAATAAAACACTAACTTACTTTAGGTAATTCCTGACTTATTTAGTCTAAGGAAATCTTGTAAAAGATGACAGATTTTATTTTGAAAATGAGAAGCTCGGGATTCCTGAGAGAGAAAAGGGTTTCAGTTTTGCTCCTGTGTAAAAAACTTGTTTTGAGTAACTAATACCACAATGTGAAGTTTCTGTGCAAGTGTAAGGCTCTTTCTCCATTTTTTTTACTATCCTGTGAGGCTGTTCATCAGCTGAGCTCAGTCATGGTAGCGTCAGTGGTTGTGGAGTATGGACGGACCTCCTGCCTGTGAGAAATCTGCAAAGAGTTTTCATCATTTGAAATTCACGGCTGTTCCTCAGTCAACCGGACACAGAAATGAAGGAGGAACAAAAAATCACAAAAAGAAGATAACTGCACAAAAAACATGGAAAACTGTGGAGCTCCAGACCCACTGGCAACCTCTGATGCTGAGAAACTAAGCCAGAATGGAAATGCAAAAAACTGCAGTTCTTCAAGTCTCCACCAGAGGCAGTATTATGTATGCCTATGCATTTTCAGAGGCATGACTGAACAAAAGGGTGCTGTCATTGAAACCACATCCATGTTTTCAGCAGTCTGGAGCTGTGTCCTGGTCAAACTGAACTGAGACAGTCGACCTTTCAGAGGATTTCTAACACAATCACCAGCATATAGCGCCCACTGTATCCGATCCGCCGCAGCTATCTGAGGAGAAGCTCTTGCGATATTACTGATAGATCTCACGTGATCTTGCGTGTTTTCCCGTGAGACATTGAATGAGATCTGCCGATCGGTGTGTATAAACACCCACATCCCAACCCTGTCCTCTCCTATTATCAAACTAAGAACAGTTCAACGTTTTGACTTTATTTTATTTTGAAATCTAACCGGATATTTTACTCTGACGCCACATACAACTTCTGCTGCTGCTCGTGTTGCGCTGCACTGAATTGATGCGCCGTGCTGCGGCGTCCAGCAAAAATAGAAGCCTTGTGTATCTGATCTGGCCGCCGGCGCTTATCTGCAGCGGAGCCGGGCGGCAGACGGATTCTGTGGAATAACACACATCAATTACAATGCTTGTGTATTTGATCCACCTGCCATGCCGGAGCAAAGCTGTTCCGGATCCTGTGGGTTTTGCCCGTTTGAAACAGGAAAGCCTTCGACACATTGACGCTGTGATGTATTCAGTCTCCTGAACTGGGACACAGCTTATGCCCTCAAAAGTCAAAAAATTCCTCCATGTGTTGCATGAAGATTTCTGAAAACTGAATCCTTTCCTAGGTTAACGACAGCTGCTTGAAATGCTTATGAGAGATACAGACGATTGTGTTAAAACGAGGCAGGCCATCTCTGGCCTTTTGTTCTCCGGTCAGTGGCTAATATTTCAGCTTTAACTTCTTCTTTCTTATTTTGTTCATTGCCCCCTAGTGGTTGAATAGTCATTATAGCAGCTCTAAACAGCAGCAGACACTACCTTTGTGAGAATCAGACGGACGTGATGATGAGGGTAAAGGTCAAGCCGCTGTACACATGTACTTAAAACATAAATAGTTAATGTGTTAAAAATACAAAATGATCGGGGGCGCGCAGATGGCTGAGCAGGTTAGCTCGCATGTATGGGGACCACGGTCCCCACAGTAATCGCAGCTTTGAGTCCGGCCCCGACCATGTGCCGCATGTCCTCCTCTCTTCCTATCCCCCCATAGCTCACCCTATCCTATCAATAAAAGATATAAAAATAAAAATAAAATAATAATGATAATCTTGTACCATATGTACTCTGTAAAAAAAACAAACTTAAATCTGCATGATTCATGCAAATCATTTTAAAACCACAGAAACGTGACTTTTTCAGTCCACATGTTGATGCATTTAAAGTCTGCTCACAGGCTCCTAAATGCAGTGAGGGTACGAAAGAACAAAGTCTTTATCTTGACTGCTGAGTCCAGGTACGGCGCTCATATTTTCTGCTCCAAATGCACGGGAAAGAGCTCTCCTGCACATCTGCTTCAGGCGCTCCGGCCGCTGCTTACGATAGGGCGCCGTGAGCTTACAGGACGAGCCGGTGTAATAAGTGAGCAGAGCAAAGAGAGAGGGGAACGTCCTGTGGCTGCCGTACAGACTGAAGTGGAGACTGTTCAGCAGGACCCGCACGCTGGTCGGCCCGTCGCTGCTTTGGTAACTCAGAGTGAAGAAAACATCCGATTGGCCGCTGTCTCTGCAATAACAAAAAAACGAGTCAGTGTCTGTCCTGTCTGGTTTCTGATGCCTCCATTGAACATAATGAACAGTACGTTAAAGTCACAGTCATACCAGGTGTCACAACATTAAAGAAACAGAGAAAACCCTAATCTACCCTAACCCAACCCCTCATTCTCACCCCGCGATCTAAGCACAATAGAAACAGTATTAAAATGAATTAACTTAAAAAGGGCTTGATTTCATATAAACAGGAATGTGTGCACTGAGGAAACACTGGAGGTTTAAAATCTAAAAACAGTGACATAGAAGGAAATTTAAGAAATAATAAATAAAACAAAATAAAAAAAAACAGTAAAAGATACTAAAATAAGAGCACCAAAATAGCTCAATAAAAGATGATCCTGTCATTAAAACTAGAATAGATAAATGCAAAAACACTTAAACAGAGTTAATGATATAAAATTTAGTTAAAATCAAGACTAAAAAGGAATGTTTTCAGTTTGGTTTTATAATCATTAAGATTAGTTTCAGTCCTCAGGTCTTCAGGTAAGCTGTTCCATAGACGGGGCCATAGTAAAAAAAGATGTCTCCCCATATGTCTTGGTTTTAACTTCAGGTAATGTTAACAGAGAACTTCCTGAAGACCTGAGGGCTCTACCTGACCCAGAACGTAAAAGCAGATCAGATAGATAATAGATTCTAAAAGAGACGAGTAGCCAATGCAGAGACCTTAAAATCGGTGTAATGTGATCTCTCTCTCTGAAGCTGAATTTTGGAGTAATTGCAGGTGCGAAATGTTCTTTTTGGGGAGACCAGAGAGGAGGGCACTATTCTTCAAGTGATAAAAGCATGAATTCATGTCTCTGTATTGACTTGAGAGAGAAACGGTCACACTCGGGCTATGTTTTTAAGTGATAAAATGCCTTGTATGTGTGGTTCAAAACTCAGCTCTGAATCAAATAACACCTACATTTTTAGCCGGTTTTCCTGGACTATCGGATAATGCTTTGAGTTTGCTGACCAGTTTCTCTCTCTTGTCCCGTGTCCTGATGACTAAAACCTAAGTTCTGTCCTGGTTGAGCTGTAAAAAGTTCTCTGCCATCCAGGATTTAGTGTCTAAAATGCAGTTAAAAAGGGGCATCGAGTGGCCCTGGGTCATCAGGAGACACGGCAACATAAAGATGTTTCCTAAAGGACCTATGACGTCAATACATCCAACGCAAATGAATGAAGCTAATGTTATAGTGCAGTTGTTTGACAGTCATCCATAACTTATCTAACATTATTAGGGAGCAACTAAACCAAGAACAGACATCCAGGACTTGGTGAAAACTTTCAAAAAGTTCAATTAAGGTTAGATGAGTGATCTGCAAAAGGAGAGCACTGAGGTTAAAGGTCAAAGCTGCAGAAAAATCAGAGTTTTACCGGATGAGGAAGGTGCCCGGAGGAGCCTTTGAGAGAAGACTGTGAGCCTTCTCCATGGCCATCGCTCCCCAGTAGTATCCGCTGTGTTGAAGCTGCAGGTAAGTGTACTTTACCAGTTTATACTCTTCCACGCTGCTGAACGAACGGAAGTGTGTGGGCAGACTCGCAGCATCGGCGTCTGACAACGGCTGGAGAGGAGACGGAGAAAATCAGCCAAAGACAGGAATAAAAGAGTCGAACCTGATATGGAATAAGTGATAAACTTACTCTGAACTTAACTTTGATTTAACTTCTGTCTAACTTCTTCCTCTGCCTCTTGGTCTGTATAAACTATGTTCACCGTTTGGGACTCTGCCCCGGATTTTGCCTCACAGGCTGCAGGTTTGGCCTGTCGGTGTTGATCTGGTTTTCTGCCTGACAGCTCTTTCTGTTTCACTCTGGAGGCAGCTGTTAATGTCACACCAGACGAATGAAAAGTCAACCTTCACGCTCTCTATCGCCCCACTTTTCATCCACCTGATCAATCTGGAAACTACAGGAGACGACGACACAGAGCGTGGGCGCTCGGCTGCAGGATGTCCGTCTCTGAACTCCCTGAAAAAATCTTGTAAGTCTTCAGAGGAGATCTTGTTTTTACTAAAATAATCTATTGTTTTGACAGGGACCAGGACCAGGACCAGCAGTGTCCTGAAAGAGAGCCTTCTGGACCATTTTATCACTCTGTCTACAACAACACCTGAGGCCTTCCTGAGGGCTCTCAGGCAGAGAGGTCTGAATGCGAACCTCTCCAAAGACAGAATATAGGAGACCTGCAGGTACTTTCAGGTCTGAAGAACCACCGGGAGTTTATGAGTTACAGTTTTTATCGCCCGCTTCTGAACAAAGATTTATCGTTCAATCAGAAACTCTCCGACAAGCTTCCTGGATCTAATTTAACAGGCAGCTGCAGCTCAAGAGAAACAGCTTCAGGAACTTATTTCCATTTTCTCAACATTTAATTTATACCTTTAGGATGATTGATGATCAATAAAATGTCATCTTCTACCTATAAAATCTGATAACATTTTAAGTATTGATTAGAGATTATACAGTACAGTAATATTTGGTCATGAAAAGTCAGCCGGATGAGATTTTTTGCCATTAGAGATCTAAACACAAACAAGGCAAAATTAGCAAAGACTGCTTTGTCCACAGGGGGCGCCAGAATCAACATAAACTGAAAGTTACTAAGAAGAGCTTCAATATTGCTGTAGTTAAAGGTGAGGTAGGCAGGAATCCGTTAAAGAAGCATCTTTTTTTTGTGGTTTATATACAAAAAAGCTTTTAATATCAGTCAATTAGTTATTAGTTATTGATGACATTTGATTATATAATGATATCTCTGTGTTCTCTTATGTCTGTGTAGTCAACGTTTTAACATTTTTGAGCGGTCCGCTCTTTCTGACTGTAAACAAAGTCGTTCTCCACCTCCTCTAACCTGATTGGTTATGAGGCATGCTCCACGTCCTCGAATAACATTCAGGAGCCCAAACAAAGTTAGCGTGTTACAATATCAGACAGTAGAAACCAACCAGAAAGTTCGGAAAATTGTCTGAATCCTCCTTCGGCCACGACTGCCGACACAAGCAAGAAAACAAAGTAAATACCGGAGACTCTGGAGGAATAACGGGTGCTTAAAACGGAGGTAGACCGGACAAGAGCTAAAAAGCCGGGTCAACATAAACGATGGGGGACGCTTGGGGATCTTGGTGACCCTGTAACCTTTCTGCTGGACAGGTAAACCGCTTTAACAAAGTAAGACAAGTGTCTGTAACAGAAGTGCTTCTTGTCAAACGGACCTGCTGTAGCGTGTTGTAGCGCCATCGCTAAACTGTCCTCCCTCGGGTCCTGGACTATGTCACTTTATCCTGGTTGTAGAAGTCCTGCAAACATTGTGTTTGCTGGTAGTCTGTTGGCATCTACAGTAGCACCAATGCTTTTGACTTTCACCTTGACTGGGCCCCATTTGTAATGATCTGAAGTATTTATCTGCATTATATCTGAATTTAATTGGAACGATATGAGCGAGCAGGAGCGCCTGTTTGTGGGCGGGGCTTGATGGAGAAGGAGCTTAGGGGAAAACTGGTTGGGAGGGGTAGAGTTTACATTCAAGATTTCTCGTAAAAACTACAACTTCCTCAGATCCTGACTACTCCACCTTTAAATGAGGTTATTATCATTTCCACTCATTCACTCCACATAGATGATGGTTGGTTTTGTAAGATGCTGTTTAACTGGTTTTAGTCAATGAGTCTGTTCTCTCACATGTTTGGTTTTAATTCCAGAGCTCATTGTAAAACCTGCTGTTTGATGTTTTTATTACCATCTGTTAAATCCAGACTGTGAGTCACCCTGAGTAAACTTTGATTTCTTTACCTGGCGCCAGATGTCGGGTTCTTCGCCCAAGTAGAGTTTGTTCCAGCGCAGTAAATCAAACTGCTGCTCTCTCAGCTCTAGGCGGTCTGGTTTATTCTTCTCTGGACTCTGTCCTTGTTCAGATCCTGCAGGTCTTTCTGGTCCTTGATTTTGGCTCTCAGCTTCTTGGTTTGCTTCCTGGCTCTGAACTTCTGATTGAATAGGATTGTCTTTTACCATCCTACAAAAACGAGTCTTTTTCATGTCTGCCTGTTGCACCATGTCCTCCACTTTTCACCCACAGGTTCTCCATCTCTGAGCACCTTTAGGAAATCAGCAGCAGCAGCTCAGTCCTTTTCCAGAGTCCATGTTTGGGGATGTAGCGGCTGGGTCTGCTCGGACATCTGAGGGACTTTTCATCAGCTAAAAAACACAAAATCAGAATTTCCACTTATCTGCAGCGATTATTATTCTATTTACAAAAAACTTTTCTGGCCACTGGGGGGCAGCACAGAGGCATTTGATAATCTTGTCTGTTAGAATGACAGATTTCACATTTTGCTTTTTATTCCTCTTTTATGTTAAATATTAATATCTGTTTATCAACTGTATCTATAAATATGTAAGCCTGTTTGACAACTGTTTACCATGACCTCCATGTCATCCTAAATGAGGGAAACCTGCGTGATTATCTGGGCCTGACAAAAATTTAACAATTCTACTACTACTACTACTACTACTACTTCTACTACTACTACTACTACTACTACTACTAATAATAATAATAATAATAATAATAATAATAATAATAAAAATAAAATAAATAAATAGTAATGAAAATAATTATAATAAATATCAACAACAACAACAATAATGATAATTATAACAATGATAATAATAATAATAATAAAAATAATTAGAATAAATGTCAACCACAATTATAATAATAGTTATGACAATGGTAAAAAAAAGAAATATTTTTTTAAAATAATAATAACAATGAATAAATAATGGTAAAATAATTATTAATTAATTATTATTATTAATAATAAATATTAATAATAATAATGATAATAATAATAACAGTACTACCACCACCGTTGGTTGAACTCATCCAAAAATGACTTTAAGCCAAAATAGTCGTTGTTTCAAAAATGAGGTCTCACTGCAGATTTGTGCAAGCCTACTCGTTTTCAACCAAAAGGGCATCATTGTTCAATAAATACACGAATTATGGATTACAGCTGATCGATTAAAGCGTAATATCAATAAAATCACATCAGTTTCTGTCTCTATGAGGGCACAGATTTAACCTTTCCTTTTGAATATTTGTCAGTCACTGCTTTATGGCTTAAGTGCAGTGTTGTGATATCTTATCAAGTGTGTTTTCTCTGTGTGTGTGTGTGTGTGTTTCTGTAAAAGAGAATAAAAGGTCACGTGACTGACTCTAAAAGTGTATTACTGGGAAGAGCGGATGTTTGAACTGTAAGAGGAATCCTTTCACTTTCTCATTCACGCTGCACAGAAGAGGAAGAAAAAGAGAAAAATCTGGATTTTATCTCTGTGTTGATTATGAAAAAAATGTGAGTGTGCGTGTACAACAGCGTATAACTGTTGTTTCTGAAAATGCAGAAGTTCTGGGTAAAGACAGATGTGGTTGATAAAGATACTCTCCAATGCAAAGTGTTTGTAAAAAAAAAAAAGTAAAGTTTCACACTGACAAACAAAGAGGAATAAAGAGGCCTTGGCAGACTTTCTATGTTTTAGTTAAAAATCCTGTCAGGAGTTTTCTGACATCTGTGACTTAAACATTTATATTTATGCCTTTTCATGAAATATCGACACAAACAAACAGCTGATTTTACATTTATCACTACAAATATTCTCATTAAATGATCAATTTCACCGCTAAAGGTCAAAATAATGACATTTCTTTGGCTTCATCTATTTGACTTAAGTATTTCACCATGTTGGTAAAATCTCCTATTCAGTGCGTAAGTATCACATCACTGGGATCCTTATTAAATGTTAAATCTGATGTCTTAAAGCGCCCCGTGAAGGAAATGATCACTCCCATCATCAATATAAAAGCCATAAATCATGTCACTTCTGGGTTACATAAAGAAGCATCAGCTGGACTTTCAGTCTGATGTTGGAGAAGTCCTCACAGAAGCTTTAACCCTGTTTTATTCAGGACAACCAGGCTTCACTTTCATGAAGACAAAGGTCCGCTCTTCGTGTCCCGATAAACTTTAAACTTTTACTTTCTTGTTTTTATTAACACCTGTTTCCCTCTTGGGAAGTTTTCAGGTTTGTCGTCCTGTTTTCATATTTTTTTTCTGTGGCCTACATTCAGAGTGAAACCTCCAGTCCGAGCACACATACCTGGAAAATAAAGGCTTCTATTCTTCAGGGCTGCACATCCATTGTGGTACAACGGGGTCGATTTCACTCTCCGACATCGCAGAGCTAAAGGAGCAGGACAGGGCAGAAAATTAACTCAGAAATTTGACCTTATTGAAAAATAATTAAATACAAAGATTGTGATGTGAAGGAAACGAAGCAAAAAGGAGAAAAATCTAATATTTAAAAGGAAAACTAGAATCAGAATCAGCTATTTATCATATGCAGTATGGCAATTTTCATACCTCATTTATTCACCGACTTATCTTCCATTTCATACATTCACACTCATCACCTACTGCATCATTTGTTCACTTTGTATATATCTCTTTTTTACTTGCATTTTGTAAATATTTCTCTTATACTTTAATCCTCTTTAATATTCTTTTCTTGCATCCTTATTTTATGGTATTCCTCTCAGTACTTGTGTGTCTTTACTGGTCCTCTCATCCAGGACATTTCACAGCAGTGTTGACCTTGTTGAACCTCAACATGACAAATAAACTCATGTTAAATCTTGAAACTTAGCTATGTCACACAAACAGGGAATTAACTTTGTTCTGTATGTACAAACATGACACAATTATACTCTTCAGTTCAGGGTTAAACACGTTAAAAACGGGTCTACCCTTTAATTCATTACTTGTGTTAAAACTTCACATAAAAGTTGGATTTGTTTTCTACCTGTTGAGTGAGACCCGTTTGTCTGTTTTAAAGTCGCACAGAAACCTCCGTGATAGTTAATAATTGATGAATGAATGAATGAATGACTAATTAATGACTGAGCCCTTCATTCACTCACCAGAATCCTCCTGTCACAGTCAGTCCTGGTCCGGGTCTTGGCCCTGGTCCGCTCAGCTGAGGTTCCTCTTCAACTCTAATATTTTTTACTTTCAGTTCAAGTTGTGACCGTGGGGAGGAGGGAGGGGGCGGGGCCTGCGGTTCGATCACCCTCCTGATAATCGAACATTTTAACCCTCGCGCTGCTCTCCGCCAATCAGGGAGGAGGAGTTACAGAACACGGCTCGCGCACGTTGACACACTTTCATCGATATCAGTTATTGACTCAGGAGTTCACGAGTTGCTTTCGGTTTCGGTCTCACAGGTCTGCAGACCCGTGTCCGCAGACTCAGGTCCGCATGTCTGAGATCCTGGTCCTCTGTGATAGTCCTGGATCAGGTCTGCATTAGTGCTGATTTAAGTCATTTAAATCCAACAGAAACTTCAGACCTGCAGCAAAAACACGACCTGAGGGGAGACCCGGTCCCAGAGCTGCGGTCCTGAACCTGCAGGGTCGGTTCTGCAGACACTGAAGATCCCTGACTTACAGAAAATCACGTGATCTACTAGCAGAGCTTGTGTGTGTGCACGTCTGCAGGTGTTCACGGCGTTTTCACATCTGAGTGTTTTTTATTAAAAAAGACAAATCTAGTTCTCTTTAATGCAAAGAGCAAAAAAACTGTGAAAATGATTTTATCTTTGAAGTAAAATCACCTTTTAAAAAAAAGTTAAAATTAATAAAAAAATAAACAAATAAAAAATAAATAAATAAAAAAGTTAAGTTGAAATTAACAGTCAAAATGAATGTGAAACAACAGTATGGTCATTAAAATGTGATTATTATTATTATGTTGTCATAAGTTTGATGATGACCTGAAGTGACTGATGTTTATGAAAGAGGTTCTGCACATGCTCAGAACACTTCATTTGTTCAGCTGAACTCGTCCATAATTTTACTGTTGACAACAAGATAAAGTCATTCTGCATGTTGCTTCAGTATTTTGTTGGGCTAGCTTATGTAATAATTGGTTACTAATATTGAATAAGAATGACTTTATTGATCCCCGCAGGGAAATTTAATAAAGATAATTGAAATACTCAATAAATATTTCATGTATACATACATATATATATATATATATATATATATATATATGGCTGGAGAGGGCTGGACTGAAGGACGGCACAGAGGCACTCATCATGGTGGCACAAGAACAGGCCTTGAGCACCAGAGCAATAGAGGCCAAGATCTACCATAATAATACAAATAATAAATAAAACTCAATTTTCAAGAAAGGCAGAAAATAAATGACACAATTGTTAAAACAACAAGAACCCTGAATAATGTTTAAATAGTCGCAAAAGCTGAAGGACTGACCTGCTAATGCGGATTACCACAAAAAGGACGAGACAGAAACTTCAGGTAAAATAAAGATCGAAAACCGCTCTGCTGGATCCGTAAATGATTCAAAGTGAAAACCTGAAGACCCTCCGTTTCAGAGTCTTCCTCATCTTACCCGTCCGCTTTAACCCTCCAGTCTTTAATCATAAATGTACGTCCTTCTTAAATATCACAAACTGGAGGATTTTATGTTTTTACTCCAACAGAAAAAAAGGAAAATTGTGGTTCATGGACACCTAGTGGAGAAGTGATTTTACTGCACCCACATGAATACCCACAATCCCCCTCTCTGATATCACAGCAACCCAGTGAGACTCTGAATAACGACCACACAGTACAGTGAATTTAAACCGAGTTTATTAAGGTGGAGACAGTGGTGTCAGGTGGAGCTCGTGTTTGTTGTGTCTGAGTGTGAAGAAAGACCCCGTAAGAGACCAGGACACACTGAAAGACAGAGAGGAGAATCGTCTGTGTCTGAGAAAGGAAGAAAAACCTCAAAATTAACCTTCACATCCAGAGTCAGCATCATGGACATTTCGGCGGGCCGTAGTGTGCAGCTATTCAAGCATTTCCTCAAACCCGTCAGTTCCACAGAAGCCGAACAGCTGCTTCTGAAATACACAAGAAAAACCACAAACTAAACCAGACGCTGCAGAGAGAAAAGTTCATACTCTGTTATTAGATTATCAGGTGTTCATCTAAATACAGCATTTATTACAAAAACAGAAAGAAACAGAGTTGTTTACAAAGAGACAGCTCAGTGTGCAAAAAAGACACGTCCTGCAGGAAGAGAAACGGTCGAAAATAAAGTAAACCACGTGTGAAAGCGAAAGAAAAAACAAGGAACCACAAAACCAAGAGTGACAAACAAAGAGTTCTCAGTAACAGAGAAGGAGGGAGAGCCAGTTTTTCAGGATTTAGATATCCTTCATTCAGACCTTTACTAATTAACAACTGGATCCCTTTCTTTATTAAAGGGATATTCCGGCGTAAAATTAATTTAGAGTCAAACACACTGTAACACCACACAGGGGGTGTCTAACTCGGTGTTATTGTGTGTTTGACTCTAAATTAATTTTACGCCGGAATATCCCTTTAATAAAGAACCTTATAAAAAAAAAAACCTTTGAGGCCACACTCAAAGTCAGACTTTTAAAGCTACAATAAGGAGTTTTTGGGCGTTGATTAAAAGACTGAAATTCACAGTGAGCGTTTGGATCCAGACTGATGATTCCTCTGTGGAAACTGGTTATTGTGTAAATGTGGACATTCTGACGTTTGTTAGAGTGTTTGTTTCCTGCTGCAGTTAGGGGAAGATCTCCACATTATTATCAATGTCAGTTATTGTGCAATGAGGAAGTGAGCGGTCTCATTATAAAACAATCTGCCTTTGGCGTCACAGAGTGTCGCCGTTCACCCCGAGCTGTCTGCTGTCATAATGGAAGTGAAACGATAAACGTCAGGATCCTCCGCCTCCGCTCAGCCTGATTATTGCTGCTGCTGGGATCAAATGGAATAAAGTCTGATTTAATAAAGTCATCTACAGTATTTACAGGACACTGATCTGTAGGCTGAGGATTCTGGGTCTAATTAAAATAAATAATTGATTAATAAAAAAAACAACTAAAAAGGTTTGTTTTTTGGAGGGTCTTGAGGTTAACCTCTCAGTTTAACATGAATCATTACTATCTTATTATCACAAAATCAACATTTTCTTGCCTATCACTGATCACCGATCTTTAAAAAAGTTGACCTACCGATACTGATGTTTTCTAAAGATCAGCAGAGTACCTCCTAACCTTGAGACCAGGTTTTGGTTGGTCTGAGGCGCCTTTGAGTGCGACCACTACATCCACAGGCGCCCACTTGAGCGCGATTTCACCTGCTATTTACACAGAGTGTGAGATCTAGGTGTGAAACCAAACCGTTACGAGCAAAATAACAATTACACTTTCACTGTGCGCCAAAACGCTCTGTGACAGACGGACGGGCGGGTGCACACCAGGGTCAAACTCCTGTACACACTTCATCATAAACACAGCGGGTGAACAATCATTCATTCATTCATTCAGCCTAAAAACAAGAGATTATATTTTATATCATCCATATTTTAATATTTTTCAGACTTTAAAACACAGGGGCTTCTGAACACTTTATGAACAAGGTCCAGCTTTAACACAGGATCTTGGGAACGGTTCTGGATCAAACGAGTCCGCTAGAGTTCAGAATGACAGACCTTCAGGTGATGATCAGGTAGTATTTCATTAAGCCAGTAGGTGGCGCTGTCAGTTCATGAATGATGTTACATGTTTTAATCTGAGGACTAGTGATAAAAGCTGAGCTGATGTTCGGTTAGAGAAATAAAAGATGTCCAGGACAGTAAATGACTTTTTAATCTATTTATTCATTTATCGACTTTCTGTCCTTTTAGCCTTTGTTTTATTTATAATCTTTCTTATTTAACCTTTTAGGCCTTTAATTGATTTTATTGTTTTTTCCTGCTCATTTTTGTTATTCCATTTTATCATTACTATAACCATCTTAAGTATTTTGATATGATTTTATTATAATTATTTATATAATCTTTTTTTATATTTCCTGTCCTGTTTTCTGCTTTCTAACCCCTTTTTTATTACATTTCTTCTTCTTGCCTATTTTATGTTTTTATTTTGGTCCTCATGGTCTCATTTTACATTGTACGGTTCTTGTACTGTCTGGGTTCCTTATAACAAATTAAATTGTCCTTCAGTTCAGAGGTTTTTAGCTGAGCTTCTGTTTTTTTATTTTCATTTATTTGTGCTTTATGACTGTTTGTCAAAGCACTTTGTAAACTTCTGTTTTTAAAAGTGCTATAAAAATACAATTATAATTATAATCATTTTTTTTCCAACAAACATAACACTTTAAAAGTCCCTTGAAGACAATAATAAAAAACTAACAAGTTACCGTAATTATCTGTAAAGCTGCGGATGTTAAGTATCATTGCACATTTTCCACTGGGTTTGCGGTAGTTTTCGTATTTTCAACTGAGTTTACAGCAGGCGAAACACACACACACACACACACACACACACACACACACACACACACACACACACACACACACACACACACACACACACACACTCGCTTACCTTCACCTCTGTGATGACCAAAGCAGGTTAGAGGTCGGGATTTCTCCAGAGTCTGAATGAAAACGAAGCTTTACACACAAGACTGTTCTCTTTCTTTCACTTGTTTTTGCCGCTTCTTCTTCCTCCTCCTTCTTCTTCTTCTGATTTACAAGGCAGTTAGAAACCAGCATAAAGTTGCATTATCGCCGCCTACCGGACTGGAGGAGGGCATGTTAGCAGATTAATAATGCTAAAAATCAAAATCTGTCTGTTGCAACGTTGAAAAAACAATAAACTCTGAATTATATATGTGTATAAAAAAGCCAAATTTTCAATGTTATAAATAAGTGTAAGAGTAAAGACAAAAATAAGATTTAGATTTCCCCACAAGAATAAAGTCATAAGAAAAGGATTTTCTCACATGAACAAAGTGCTTAAATTGTGTTAAAAGCCAGTTTAGTCTGTTTGATTAGCAGAATAATTCTGTTTTGAAGGGGGACACCTCAGGTCTCAGTCTTTAAGAGTTCTGATTTAACAGACCTGAGAGTCCATCACTGACCTGACCTGTTCAATAAGACAGAGGATGTAATCAAGATGTTTTCACTCATCTCCTCGACACTTGGAGGCATTAACTAGACTTTCAGAGCGGAGGTTCATTCACTCCACCCTCATCAGGCAGCCCTCCTCCTCCTCCTCCTCCTTCTCCTGCAGCGCTCAGCGTCTCATGAATAATCAGGACTTTCTGACATCCCTCCCTTCTAGCAGCCGGTGGGGTTTCAGTCAGGGGGGAGGTGGACAGGTGGACCGTCTGTGACCGTGAGCCTCGTCTGATCTGGAAAACCGGGACTTAAGCGCCTCTTCCTCGGCGGCCCTGCGAGGACCATGGCTCTCTCCAGGATCTGTAGGGAGTCTCTGCTGGTGATTTTACTGCAAACTTTGCTGATTTGCTCAGCTCAGGTGAGACGGAGGCGCTCCTTACTTTCTATTCATCATCTCAAAGTGAAGAAGAAGCGTACATTTATTTGATTTTAAACCTAAAATCTATTTTTTTCTCACTTTAAGTTAAATTGCTGATAAATTCCTTTAATGTTTTTATCTCCTAATATGATTATCTTTATACTTTTAGCTGTTTTAGTGTCTTTTTTTAGTAAAAGAGAAGTTTTGTCACACTTTTGTAATGTTTTATGATTTTGACTCTTTAAAAATGGATGATTTTATTTCGACATAGAAGATGTTTTACCCAGATGCCTTGTATTGAATTCCAGTATGAGGCCTCAGATGTATTAGTGATGGGTTTTCTTGGACAGTCAGTCATTTCTACACAACTTTGAGTTAATAATATAAACACTGAGGATCTTTGGATGTTGATATTTGTTTAATAATGACCAGATTTTAAACCAACCGTATAAATACGCAGCTATAACAGGGTTACTGGTGAGAGATTGGAGTATTTGGGCTGTTTTGGGTCTAAACTGAGGTCCATTCATGCTCCTGTGCACAGCTGGTACCAATAAGATCAGGCAGCAGCAGTAATCTGAACACATGAAGTGACTTAGTCTGGAGAATGGGACTAAAACGGGAGACCAGGTTCAGTTTCATGACCTTTCCCCTCACATCCACCCAAACAAAGAGGCTCTGTGTGAGCGCCCTCACATTAAGAGATGATTCTCACTGAAAAATAAACGCATTTCTCTGTTTGCTTTACAGAGGGGCCCGGTCGGTCCCAGAGGCCCGGTGGGGCCGCCTGGAGCAGCCGGCGTGCCCGGAGTGGACGGCATCGATGTGAGTCACGGTTCTCAGTGAAAAACTTATTGACGGGGTGGAAATCAGCTGATCAGGTCCTTTCTGGGTTAATCGGCTCAGAGAGTTTATTCATGAGTGATATATCCTGATACGACCTTATTTCTGATGTTAAACTGTTTAAAATGAACAGAATCAGTTTTTTACGTCTGTTTCTAAAACACACTCAGAGGAACAGCTCAGTATTGATGTCTGTATCTGCAAAAATGAGCTTGAAAACATCAACTGAGGAAACGAGCAGACAGAGGAAATACAGCAGGATGTAGAAGGACGAGGTCAAACTCCAAATCAAATTTAATTTCAGCTCCAAAAAAAAGAGAAAAATGACAGAATACTCAGACGGAGAAACCTTTAAATGATTCGACCTCTCTTATTTATATTAACCAAGACTTTATAAAGACTACCTAATGAGATTATTGAGTTTTTTCATCCTGGTGAAATAATTTTTAATAAATAAATAAACCTCTGACATCAAACAGCAGCTTCTTTAGTGTGTTTTCATGACTTTTCCTCCCTGTACAACGGATGAAATTCAACAGACTTTTTAAATACGTCTTTAAAACGAACTTAAAACTGTCTGAGAGGAGAAACACACAAACAGAGACGAGCTGTTAGAGCTTTAAAAAGAGGATTTCCTGAATAAAGAGTCTGAATGTTTTAATTCTCATCATCTGAACGTTTCTTCACGCTGCTTCAGGGCGACAGAGGAGAGGACTCTGCGGTGAACGGAGGACCGGTGAGTACAGCGTTAAAGTTCAGAGTCCAGAATTCTGAGTCTGACGGTCAAATCTGTGCGGATCTGTAAACATGAGCGGTCCTGTTTTCAGGGTCCTGACGGTGACAACGGTAAAGATGGAGCTGCTGGAGCTGCAGGACTTCCAGGCGCAGATGTAAGTGAAACAGCATGTGGAGGATGTGGGGGGTCTAGGATGGAGCAGGTCCATCTTAAAGTCTCTATAACAACCTTTCTTTGTATATTCTGATGGTTTTGAGTCCCCGTCTGTCCTGCGTGTGTTCAGAGGATGTACTGAGTGTCTGTGAGACCTGAGCTGGAGGACCTGAGAGGTTCAGATCTGCTGCTGTGTGAACAGTTTGTCTTGGCTTCCTATGAGTGAAAAAAAAAACCCTCTTTGGATAAATCGACCTGGTTATTTTAGGGGGGAGTCTCCAGCCGCTTCCTGACAGAAACAGGGGTCTTTTGTGCGAGATGGAGGGCTGCAGAAAGGACTCAGTGTGTTAACCGTCGGCTGTGGAGGACAGAGCAGGAGATTCAGAGCTTCATGTGGGCTGGAACTGAGAAGTTTGAGATGGACAGAGACCGTTCTAGTTCAGATGAAGCTCAGCAGAAGACCTGAGGGAAGTTTATCATCTGCTGGAGAATCTAGACCTGGAAGGGGGGCGTTTTCTAACTCCTCGGGGGTCTCTTCTTCTTCTTCTTCTTCTTCTTCTTCTTCTTCTTCTTCTTCGGTTGTATGCACTTTGAAATCTCTCAGCTCCAGTAAGCAGTGATTTATGTACGGAGAGGGCAGGTAGTGGGAGGAGCCGAGTATGGAAAGGAGCTCACACCTTTTTTAAGTGTCTCAGAACCATAGACTGTATATACTATGGACAACTCGGTTCCTCCTTCTGCAGGTATATGGATTAGAAGCCAAAAAGTTCTCGGTATTTCCACGTTTTTTCTCCACTTCCTGTCACCAACATTGCGCAGTAGCGTTGTACGCATTCGGCGAGAGTGTCGCCAAGTCACTGTGATGACGCTCGGCTCAAACAGCGTACTTGAGCACAAATCAGTCTGACAGTAACTACATGTCAACATCACAACCAGGAAGGAGAAACATTTATATACTGTGTCATTTATTTATAAAGTTTGTCCACAGCTCCAGAAGCTCTGCTGGCACACTCTAAAACCCCTCAAATTAACGAAACACCAGGGTTGAAAAGGGACAGACTACTTATTGGTTTATTTTGACCCAGAATGTTGGGTTATTCAAATTAACCCAACACTGACTCAATAAGCCTTTTTAAGGGTCAAGTTAACCCAATCTTTGATTTAGTCTGACTCTTGATCTTGGGTTAAATTGATGCATTTGGGGAGCTTTGCTTTTACAACCTGTACCCTATTTACCCATGTACTTTTTTCTGATCGGTGAGAATCCGATTGGTAGGCCATAGCACTGAGGGTCTTGCCTTAGCACCCACACTGATAGATGTAGTTCACTCCTTAAAGATGTGTCTCATGCGGGATTCAAACCCCGACCCCCCTGGTTAGGAATTAGATGCTCTACCTGCTGAGCTACCCCAGCCACCCATTATAGATTGGGGCAGCTAACCTGAGCTACCCCAAAATATATATTTTATATATATACATATAATATATACAAGTGTATATCATATTGTAGATTAAATCAAGGTCAAAGTTCACAAGGTCACCAGGTCACTTTAATTGCCATTAGGCCTACAAACCACATAGAGTCGATCTAACCCAACATTCTGACCCAATTATTGGGTTACTCTCAGAAAAATAACCCATAATTATTAACCCGTTCAATTAACCCTCAAACTGGGTTACAACAGAATCCATCAGACCCAAGAAATGAGTTTGGATCTGAAAAATAACACTTAAATTTAACTCAACACAAATAACTCAGGAATTGGGTTCAAGAAATAACCCAAGAGTCTTTAGAGTGAAAAGGAGGATTTATGACCTGTACTGCAGCCCGTCACCAGAGGGCGCTGTTCTCCGAGTGGCTTCACCCAGCGAGGAGGCACATGGCGTCAATGCTCAGATGTAATGACAGCAAAGAGACACTGATCAGTGTGATCAAAACTACACCAGTATCACCTCATTATAATCCAGCCTGGGCCCCGTCAAAAACTCACTTCTGATTGGCTGCAGAGTGTCCGTTCACTGCAGGTGCAGGTGTCTGTTAGGGCTCCGCCTCCTGTTGACCCATGAAGGGTCTTTTTTGGACCCATGGATGTTGTTTTTGGGTTTTTATATTTAATATTTTGACTTTTTACTGTTTTCATTTGAACATCAGGTATGATTGATTTTTAGACCGTCGAAATCTGACTTGATTATTTCACCCTCTGGTGGGAATGTTATGGACTTCTCTGGTTCTGGCAATGTTCTGGACTTCTCTGGTTGTGTCTAAATCCTCACTGATAAAGAGAACGATGAGAGTCCAGGCCTCAGATGTTTCAGGATGTCCGTGTAACTCAGAGTCATGTTAGAGTGATGAACAGCGTCAGTGTTTGGACATCACTTTATCGATATTGTCACCATTTTTAAGTTCTTTTTAATAAGAGTTGTGTGTTACCATTGTAGGGCCCCGTTGGACCTCCTGGAGATCTTGGTGCAGAAGGCCCTCAGGGTCCAAAAGTAAGTATACATGCAGTCAAATGAATCTGGTTAGTTTTGGTGTCTGATTGAATAATCCTGCATCTGTTTTCAGGGAGATGCCGGTCTTCGTGGACCAGTTGGGGAGCCAGTAAGTACAAATATTTGAGTGAAGCGCCTCATTGGTGTCTCAGCTTTCAGTCAGAACTATGACGATAAATTCTGTCTGACATGATCGATTTCTCTCTGACAGGGAGTCGGACCTGACGGGCTCGATGTGAGTATCACTGATTGGTTCTTTGATTTACTCTCAAACTCAGTCGGCAGGATGACGATAACCATCACTACAGAATATCAGACACAGAACTGAACGCCGAGTCCTCAATCCAAAACTCCAACCACCAGAGGGCAGCAAACACAGGATAAGTCCACTCTTTCCTCTTACTGTATTTATCCATGTTGCAGAGCTGCCAAGTGTCATGTTTTGAGTGTGACAGTCACGCGATTTGACCCGTTCTCCCACCACACGCCACACTTGACATTTCTCACGCTTATTTTTCCCGGTTCAATTCTCTGTATTTATTTTTTTTCATGATAATAAACTTTAGTGGGTTTACCTGAAGACGTGAACATTTTAATTAATACATCTGGTTGTTGTAAGTGAGCTAGAAGCTAAATTTAAAATCTGTTTTTAAAAACCTGTTTTATTTCCGTAACAGAGGGAGTCCAGGTGTAGGTGAAGGTATCGTCAGCATAGAGGTGTATTTTGGTTTAAAGGTCTTTTTCTAGGTGGTTTACGAAATCAGAGAACCGAATGGACCGAGTCAATCTGTAAAATCATTTATAAATCAATTAACAGTCTTTATGAAATGAGTTTGATTAGCAGCAGCTAACGGCCAAACGCTTAGATAGATCTACAAGTACCAGAAGCACAAACCAGATCCTTTCACATGTGCGTCTATAGACAGGATGGTCTCAGAGACCCAGGAACCATGAGGAGAGGGGGAACAGAGATCAGAGCAACCAGGACTCCAGTCTTAACCCGGGGCACTAGCTTAAACTGCTACACCAACAACACCCGCTGTACAGGGGTTTAAGTGAAATAAGAAATCTGGATCAGACGTGGTTTCACAGATTAGTCAGATCGGTTTTCTGATCTTTGTGAACAGGGGATCCCCGGGACAGACGGGCTTCCAGGTGAACTGGGAAAAGTGGGAGCACCTGTGAGTATATTTCACATGTAAATTATTTATTGTGTTTACTACAAAGTAAGAAAGACATACTTCAAATATCAACAGTTCAGGTACGAACGAAGACATTTAAATGATCAGAAAGATTTTTTTTCCCAACAGGGAGCGAGAGGAAAGAGAGGTCCAGTGGGTCTGCCTGGAGTCGCAGGACCGAGGGTAAACACCTCTGCTTCAGTCTTTTCTGCTGAACTCTATCAGGATGGATTATTGTTGAAGTTTAACCCACGGTTTTTCTTTGTTAAGGGTCCTCCAGGCGTTTATCAGGGCGAGGACCTGGTAAGTTTGTTCATTTCCTCTCTGCTGTCTCTGTAACAGAACATCAAGTCTATAAGAAAACATGAGGTGGGCTGTGGAGAGTACTTTTATCTGCTTCATTTTCATTTATTTATTTAGAAAAATGCACAATAACCAACAATGAGCAGCATGCATCGGTGTAGATAACCTGGAATTAGTACAAAAGCTGAATGTCATTGTTAGTTTGGTGCTTTTATTTTGAAAATTTTAAATTCAGGGGTTGCAGCCATACAGAAACATCACCCCAAAGTTTCACCGCATCCTGAGGTCGTATTCTCCGATCGTAGCTGATCGTAACCATTCAAGTTAACGTGTCAATTTCCACTGACTTTTTTTCGTTCCTCTGCGGATCGCCGGACTCCACAGCTGATCGCAAGAGTTCTATTTTTTCTGAGTAACACAGATTAACCCGTGCTGGAAAGGAAGTCGGGCCCAGACACAAAATAAAACACCTGACTTCTCTTCAAAATAAAACACTCCGTGTTTCAGGAGGATCGTATTTCACACCGTGCAAACGGGCGGAGACGAACAAGTGAAAGATTTATAGACGTCATTTCACCCCGATGACACCATAGATGAGGAGATGCTGATTCTAGAAGTCTAGAAGTAGATTTCCTCCTCTGGAAGGACACAATCTACTGCTTATATGTCAATGTGTCTGTCTTTATAGAGACAACTCGTTATTGCGCGATTGAATGTGGATCCGCTGGGTTCTTGTGAGTTCTTGCGATTCCTGTTGTCCGTAATCCACCATGAAATTCGCCTCACAAAACGATCCGGTAGGAATTGGCGTAGGGCGAAAATTGCTGCCCTACTGAATCGGAGCCGTTCAGGATGCGGTGGAAATCGCGGGTCAGGGAGCTCATAATTTCTGCAGCCAATAAGGGTGTGACTTTAAATATAGTTAGCACAGAGGATTATGGGTAACTCTCCTTCTCCCCTCACTTTAGCGAAGCTACTTTCCTTTTCACGTAGAGGACATAAACAGCTCTTTAATGGTCGGTTCTCCAAGTTAGGAACATTCAGGACCAAAAAGTGTTCGGATGGACCCTCAGTCCAGACTCTTCCTGATTTTCAGACTGTTTTTACCGCCTGGATCGGTGGGCTGCTGTTAGTGGAGCCCCCTGCTGGCAGGGCTCTTCCATGACCTCAAATAGGCTGTTGTGTTTTTCAGTGTCCGAACGCCTGCCCCGCTGGTCTACACGGACATCCTGGTCTCCCCGGCATGAAAGTGGGTTCAGTATCTCTTCACGTGGACTTCAGCTTTAGTTCTGGTCTGTCTGTCTAAGAACTCTTTCACAGGAAGTCCTCTTTCTCACAGGGACACAAAGGGGTCAAAGGTGAATCTGGAGAGCCTGGACGACAAGGACACAAGGTAACACCGTCTCCTCCCACACTGAGGAGGATTTATTTGTTCTGACTGAACGTTTACCTTCTGGAAACGACCAAACAGTCAGTCAAGACCCATTTAATTACTGTTAATTGTCAGTTAATTTCTACATTAAAGAGTTTGTGGGTTTTCTTTTAGGGAGAGGAAGGCGACCAAGGACTGCCGGGGGATGTCGGATCCCAAGGACTACCAGTAAAATATTTCCCCTTTCTCTCTTCGATATTCTCCTCGTCACCTTTAAACCAGAGGAACCAGCTCCTCATCCAAACATGTTAACATGGAACATTTCTCCGTCTCTCCTCTACTCGCTGAGTAATTTTAGGGCCCAGGTGGACCAAGAGGCCTCCCAGGAATATTGGGCTCCAAAGGGGACAGGGTAAGAGGTCTCACACCCCCTGAGAAACCCAAAATTTGACCCCATGTTAAATAAATGAAACATCTCATGATCGTGATGTCTGTCGCTTCCCCTCAAACAGGGACCTCGTGGGAAATCTGGTGACCTCGGTCCTCAGGGGATTCAGGGAGGTCCAGTGAGTCCTTTGAGTCTTTGTATGAGGTTTATGAAATTTTCCTTCTTCATTCAGACAAATGAAAAATTACAGACATCGACATTTCTTTAGGGCGATGGAGGTCAAAGAGGAGCCATCGGTGAGCCTGGACCAGCAGGAGTCCAGGTGAGATGTTTCACATGTAGAAACACCAACAGGTTCAGGAGAAGACGCCGTCGTGAAGACGTTCCTTTAATAACATGATGGACAATTAATCTTCTGGATTCTTTGTTTGGTCTCCTAATCGTCACAGGGCGACGTGGGTCCACTTGGGATCAGAGGAGTACCTGGACCAAAAGGAGAACCTGTAAGTCGAATTTCATTTGATCCATCGATCCTTCATCCCTGAGCGACTGACTGGCCGCTCAAGATAACAGCTCTTTAAAGGAGTTTAATCTGAATACTGGATTCAGATTTGGAGTCAGAGTCAGAATCAGAAAACCAGATTCAGATTTAGATGAAGCGCCCCGTTTCATTGGACCAGAATTAACGTCTGTGGCTGGTCCACACTGCTGGTTTGTGGGTCGTCTTTTACTAAAACAGAAACTCTTCCTCAGGGTCTTCCAGGTCCAGATGGCCGTGAGGGGATACCAGGGTTACCGGCCACAAAGGTAAAAACCATGTGTTCCATATTTGATCTGGTTTCCTGCTATTTATGGAAATCCCTGGACTGAACACCGAGGACTTTGAGATCTTTAAAAGTCTGTTTGAAACCTTTTTTAGGGTCTTCCAGGTAAAAGCGGGGCTCCAGGTGATGCTGGTCTACAAGGGCTCCCAGTAAGTCCTACCCTCAGATAAGTTCTTCAGTACTGGTATCAAATCTCTGCTGAGACATGAGGACTAAATGGCGTTTTCTTCCTTCAGGGTTTGCCCGGAGCTTTTGGTCCAAAAGGTCACGCTGGTGTGACGGTACGGTCTGGATCTGACACACAGCTGCTTACAGATGTTTCTGCTGGTGCAGTCTCTGGTGTTTAAATATCTACATTCTCTGGACTTTTCTTTCTCTTGTCTCAGGGGGTCACAGGTGATCCAGGTGTTGTAGGTCTGATGGGATCTCCAGGGAAACAGGTACGTGCAGAACAACATTCGATGCACCATCTGAGTAAAAAAATTGAGTTCAAGCTCCTGTGAGGTCTTTCCTCTGGAGATAAAACCAAAGAAACCATCGAAGACCAGGTTCAGGATCTCTGTTTGGTTGATTTGTTTTGCCTGTTTTCCAGGGTGAGCGTGGCGAGCAGGGAGAGGTGGGACCAGATGGACCCAGAGGAGGACCTGTGAGTGATAGATCTGCCTTATTATCAGACCCATCATGTGGAGCTCCAGAGTCCGCTCTCAGTCCCTGGACTCTCTGCAGGACTAAAAACCTTTTGTTTTTGCTCGTTAGTGTTTTCCGTCCAGATCCAACTTTCACTTTCTTCCCTTTTAGGGCGAACGAGGCGAGCGAGGACATGACGGGCCATCAGGATTACCAGGAGCCAGGGTGAGTCCTCAGAGAGAGTCTGAAGATTCAGATCTTAGCCTCACCTCCACCACAGACAGCACATGAGTAAATGTGATCTGTTGTCAGGGGGGTTGTCGAGGGATTTCGACCAATGAGAATTAAGTCTTCATCATCACCAGGTGCTTAACGAAAAAGTTGGTTAATAAAGAGAAAGAACAGCTGACAGTCTTTGCTGAGAAGGTTGTGGTCCTAGTACAGACCCCTGTAGTACTCCAGACTTAAGGGTGGGGTAGTCAGGATCTGAGGAAGTTCCAGTTTACAAATGGGGCCCAGTCAAGGTGAAAGTCAAAAGCATTGGTGCTACTGTAGATGCCAACAGACTACCAGCAAACACAATGTTTGCAGGACTTCTACAACTAGGATAAAGTGACATAGTCCAGGACCCGAGGTCAACAGTTTAGCGATGGCGCTACAACACGCTACAGCAGGTCCGTTTGACAAGAAACACTTCTGTTACAGACACTTGTCTTACTTTGTTAAAGCGGTTTACCTGTCCAGCAGAAAGGTTACAGGGTCACCAAGATCCCCAAGCGTCCCCCATCGTTTATGTTGACCCGGCTTTTTAGCTCTTGTCCGGTCTACCTCCGTTTTACGTGCCCGTTATTCCCCCAGAGTCTGGGTGTTGGTACCTGAACTATAAAAGAGCCTGAAGACGGACACAGCGTTGTTTATTTTTAACCGTTAGCATGTTTAACGTTGCTCCAGTTAGCATGTGTCGTTAGATGATAGCTGATGGTTTCAGAGATTTGTTGTATCCCTCGCCTTTTATGGAATTCTGCGGGCGCTGGCGGGCAGACTCTGGCGGGCATGCTCACAAGCTAAAAGGGTTACTTCTGTTGGTAATGTGATGGAACAACAACAGGATTACAGTAATACTGTTCTGGGAAAAGGTTTGCATGAAAATCAGACCAAGGACTCGAGTCCCAGCTCCACCTCTCTGCTGTCTGACTGTGTTATTGAACAGGATCATTCACAAGATAAACCTGGTCCTGGACCTCCGAGCCGGGAGTCCTGCTTTTGTTAGAGCGACAGGTCTTTAATGAAGTCCTGTCCCTGCAGTTAAGCCTCTAATCTGGCGGTGAGCGAGCATGAATGGACTCTTGTTCGAGAAATCTGGAGGTCCGAGGGAGGGGGGGGGATTCAGGGCAGGAAAAGAACCTGAGAAGCCCTCAAAGAGCTCTCTGTTCACCAGGAATGCCTGACACCAGGACCAACACACACCCAGAACCATGCAAGGGCAGGCGGACGGGTCGGGGCTCGCCGCTCCCCCATGTGGTCGGGTCAGGTCCGGTTTTCTGAGCGTCACACAGTCCATCTTGTGTTTTAACTCCAAGTGTGTGTGTGTGTGTTTACAGGGAGGCAAAGGACATCCAGGACTTCCAGGACTTCCTGGTCCAGCTGGGTACCGGGGCCAGAAGGGTGACAGGGTAAGAGACAAAAAAATATGACCCAATGAATGAATGAATGAAGAAGTGAACCCATGATGGTCAAACTGCAAAAAAAACAGGACCCCGTTCACAGCTCTGATGAGGAACTCTCTGTGCACGTCAGTTTTGGCGCCCCCTGTGGACACAGCAGTCCTCTACATGTTTGAGGGGTGACTGTTAACAAAGCATCTCATCCTGCTGACCTCTAAAAGAAGCTCGCTTGCTTCTCTAGTTAAACCAACTTTAGTAACGACTGCAGGATAGCGATACACAGCGGTCTGAGGAGCCATAAACAAACCTCAACCAAAACGCCACTCTATAGCCACAAATAATGCTCAGAACAGCACCTAACTTCATCAACAGGACATATAGGGTCACAGACATAGTACTAGACACCAAACATCTTTTTAACTTTGACTGATTTCTTTAGCAAAGAGACTAAACACAACTCACCTACTCTCTTCCAGCAGCAACTTGTTTGTAGCGAGACCTCAGGCCAGTCCATTACAGACTACAGCGGGGTGACGCAGCTCGAGGAAGAACATTTGTGATCATTCCTATATCATTTCCTTGAAGTAATAATCACCATATTAATCATTTTGCACTGCAGACGCGGTAGTTCTTCTGCCTTAGCGTCTCGGTCTGATTGCATTTCTGTAAAATGATCATAAATAAAAATCACAGATGAAATAAAGCAACTTTCTTAGATAGTTCCTGAAAATCCCGAGAGTTTCCCAGAGTTTCTTGAACATACTCAACAGTTCTAGTTTGTAAAATATTCTTCTTGGTTCTGTTCTTCTCAGGGTGCAGTGGGTCTGGACGGTCCAAAAGGAGACCAGGTATGTTTCATATTGACACCTTCTAATCCAGAGGTGTTGAAGCAGAATTCATTTAATGACAACAATCGGACATGCACCTTTATTTCAGGGACCTGCAGGTGCTGAGGGAACACCAGGAGAGGTTGGAGACCTGGTGAGTGATCGTCCATGCTAACTCCTAGATTTTGATGATGAGGAGGATTTTGTGACGACTGTCCAGACCTGTCCCAATATTTACACATTTATACAATTGAAGACAAATCTACACAAACAGATTTACAGTCAACATCATTTCTGTCCTCCTCCAGGGAGACCAAGGAGAACCCGGAGAGAAGGGAGCGGTACGTTCACCCACGAATTAACTCGAGCCTCGTTTTCAGTCGACTCCGAGGTCACGCCTCTTTAATCTGAAACGATTATTTCTGCTGCTGTCGATTTCAGACAGGCCCACCAGGAGAGACCGGGAACAAAGGACCTGAGGGCGGCCGAGGACAGCAGGGGAAAGAGGGCAAAGCGGGCCAGCCGGGACCCCGAGGCATGCAGGGAGACATGGGAGTGCCGGGTCTGCCGGGGGGTCAGGGACCAGCGGTGAGAGGATTTAGAGATTGAATATTGTTATTGTGTTTGTTTTGTTTGTTTGTGCTGTTACAAAAACTAAACTTGTCCTCAGATATTCCCTCCTTTTGGACGGTTTCTAAGGAGTTAGATATTTTCGATTCATTCAGAGCCATCTTACATAAAATAACTGCTAACTCCGAACAAGACCTTAGTTCTTTTTCAAAGGAAACTGAATGATAGAGGGAATAAGATCAGAAATAACAGTGAGATTAGAACACAAAATGTAAATGGAAGATAAAAACAATTGTGTAACTAAATGCTGAGTCATCAACGTCTTTTGTTTGTTCAGGGAAAATCTCCAACAGACACGCACATCAAACAAGTCTGCATGAGGGTTATGCAAGGTAAGTCTTTGTCTCCTTTATCCTTTATTATAATACACGGCTTGACGCTAACTTTTTCACGTTTTCCTCAGTTAAAAAAGTAAGGAGCACACAAAGAACTTAAGGGGAACAATGAAATTTTTTTTAACATGTCCAACATGTCCTCCTGTGTCACAGAGCAGCTGGCCCAGTTAGCAGCCTCTCTGAGCAGACCTGAATCAGGCATTGCCGGACTTCCTGGTCCCCCCGGCCCGCCTGGACCTCCAGGATCCACCGGTGAGAACGGTTTCCCAGGACACACCGGATCAAGAGGACTGCCCGGTCTAAAGGGTCCGCCAGGGGTCATGGGTCGCAAAGGAATCAAAGGTGAGATGCAGATCGGAGGCTTTTACTTTGAAGGGATTGTTTTCTGTTTTGTACTTTAATTTAAGCTCCAACATGGAGTCTAGGCCGGGTCAGGGACTGGGTCAGGGGCTGGGGGTGTTTATGAGGGACTCTTCACTGACCCCCTCCTCTTCAGGGACCAGTCCGGTCCATCTCCATGTTACTGAAGGATCAGATGAAGTCTGATCTTGAACCTCAGCGCTGTCTGGTCCTCTTGGTGATCATCGTGGTGTCTTTTCCTTTCTGCAGGTGATCAGGGAGACAAAGGGGACAAAGGCCTTACAACCAGAGGACCCAAAGGTGCACCAGGGGCCCCCGGTCTACCAGGTAAATAACAAGTATGACACAAAGAGATCTCGGGCCTCATTTATCAGATGTGTTTTCGTACTGAGTGCGTACGAACATTCCCACGCAAAGTCTGGAATTAATTAATTTTGTTCTTACGCACATTCGACATTTCATTCCTACGCCAGAATTTAGAACCTTTCTACGCATGGTTGATAAATGTGGACCCTGGTCTTAGAACTTTCATTTCTGATGAATTTCCATCTTCTTCTAAACTCTGAATCGTTTTTTTCAGGTAACCCCGGTCACGCAGCTTATGGTCAAGACGGCCGTGACGGAGAACGAGGACCTCGCGGTGTTCCCGGAGCGGTTGGCGTCCCCGGGCCGCCTGGCTCTCCTGGTATGAACGGATACTGCGAGTCGTCACAGTGCGTCCTCCCCATGGTGGCATCACCGGTTTCTGCAAAGGACTCCGGCATGAAGGGCCCCTCTGACATGTGAGGAGGGTCCGGAGTGGTAAATTGAGAGACTGGAGGAGAAACCAGCCGAAGAGTCGTCCTTTTGGGTTTTTGGGTCACTTGGTTTGTATGATGATTGATTCTTGAAGGTCCTCTCATCTTTGTGGTCCTGAAGGTGGACTCTGAACAGCACACCTCGCCTCGTGAAGTCCTTCACATTCAATGTTTGTATTACCTCACATTTGCCCCCTCTGTACTGTAAAAACAGACACATGTAGAGCTCCCGGCCCCGCCTCTGTCCCAGTAACCATGAGACAAGTGTTTCCTGTAAATGTGTCAGTACCCGAATTATACCGCTGGATGATGTACGTCTGTGAGTATCTTTGTGGTTCATCCTCTTCGACCCCCTTTCCTCTACGTGTAGGATCTATGTTGGATGATGTTTTTGTGATGGGAGGGCGGCTGTCAGTTTTATATGACATCTTATTTATTATAGAAGGTTGAAGGTGACGTCTTCGAATTGTACAAAGGAGGAAATAAACACATTTTGATAACCTTTGGCATGTTTTGTATGGATGAGTGCAGCCAAAAACAAAACGGAGACTGCGCTGGTAAACATGGAACTGAAGCCGATAACATCCAGGATCAGAATTTAGCGCGCTCTGTAGAGCAGCATTGGGTGTCTCATACAGGATCAGCGTATTTGGAGCGTAGCAGCAGCATAGTGCAGCCCCGGTCAGCTGGGCTCAGTATAGAGAAAACAACATGCTCACAACAGGTTGTTTTTCCTTTCTGTGGTCGATTTGCTGATAATTTGGATATAATTCAGTGATCGCACATGGTGTTTTATTTTGAAATACCGGATGACATGTGCAGTTTTCGTGCTTGACTTCCTGTCTAAAACGATCTTCTATGTGTGGATTGACACACGTTGGAAGCGTAGAGCAGCAAAAACAGACTTGGCATGTATCTTCAGCTGTGCCGCACCAGACACACTTCTGGTACGGAGTTGATACGCATCCTTTACGCTTTGCTGCATTGATTAGAATGGAAACCTATTTGCTGTGTGATGCACGACGCTGCCGCCACGCTCCAATTACACATCCTATATGGTTTAGCCTTTAGAGGTCAGAGACGCAGATCCTGTTTTCACAGATTTCACTGCCCCCTGCTGGCCATGAGAAAGAACCCAGGTTTCATGTGCTAATGTTTTTCCATACATAAGACAATGAAAATCATGTTTTTCTTGTTTTTTATATGTTCATATGTTCATTTTTCTGATGCTACAGGACATATCAAGAGAAAACTAAATGCGAAATTGCGTTTCTGAGTATTTCTTCATTCAAATTGATGTAAATCTCTGGCATACCCAAGCAGCAGGTTCAGAGACAGTGAGAGTTCATACATAACCAATCCAAGCTCCGCCCCCAGACCGCCGCTAAACAGGCCACACTCTACATACAGCGGAGAAATAAAGAAGACGATAGCAGAACAAGCATGTGTGTTAGCGGATTGCAATGCTTGTAAGAAAGCTAATTATGATGTTAACTTTCATCATTTCTCCAAAGACATTAGTGTCTTAGAGTTGAAGAGCTCCCATGTTACCTGCCGCTTCTACTACGCCAGCAATGTTAGGCTTCAAACTAAGGTGAAGAGGAGTGTGCAGAGCAGCACTGTCTCTGCCCACAACTCAGAGTCAGTTCCAGTTAAATTCAGATATAATGCAGATAAATACTTCAGATAATTACAAATGGGGCCCAGTCGACGTGAAAGTACAAAGCATTGGTGCTACTGTAGATGCCAACAGACTACCAGCAAACACAATGTTTGCAGGACTTCTACAACTAGGATAAAGTGACATAGTCCAGGACCCGAGGTCAACAGTTTAGCGATGGCGCTACAACACGCTACAGCAGGTCCGTTTGACAAGAAACACTTCTGTTACAGACACTTGTCTTACTTTGTTAAAGCGGTTTACCTGTCCAGCAGAAAGGTTACAGGGTCACCAAGATCCCCAAGCGTCTCCTTCATAGCCAGTATACGGATTTGAAGCCGGAAGCTCTCGGTATTTCCGCGTTTTCTCTCCACTTCCTGAAACAGACATTGCGCAATAGCGATGTGCGCTTTCGGCAGGAGAGTCGCCGGTAGTCGCTATGATGACGCTCGGTACAAACAGCGTATCCCCCGGGTGGCCATTTAATTATTTATTTTTGTAGGCTGGTAGGGAAGGGTCCCGCCCTCCTTCACCTCTGATTGGCTAGAAAAGCTAAAATAACCAATCGGAGCCCACCACTTCTAGCCAATCAGAGGCGAAACTTTTCCCTACCATCCTACAAAAAATCTTCGTACACCCATTGGCTGTATCAAGTGTCAATCATAGTAAACATGAACCCCTTAATAACTTTTAAAAATGGAGCTGTACAGAAAAAAGAGGACTTGAGCACAAACCAGTCTGACTGTAACTACATGTCGACATCAGGGAGGTGGAGAACGGCTTTGTTTACAGTCAGAAAGAGTGGGCCGCTTAAAACATGTTAAAATGTTGACTACACAGACATAAGAGAACACAGAGATATTGTGATATTACCTGATATCATCGATTACTAATAACTATTGACTTATATTAACCCTAGAACACTATCACTCAAATCAGTAACACCAACACTATCGCCGGGTGATTTTAACCTGAAATAATAAACCCAAGAAAAAGTACTTGTCATCAAAATATATCATAATATGACAAAACATGACAAACTAAAGTAGTTTTCTTTTATTTTTAACTGTATAATGTCCAAAAGGAGGGAAAAAAGGGCCATGAGGGGACCTCAATAACAGCTGCAGGAGAGAGAACCAAAATATGGCAGATTTAGAGTGAGTAAAAATGAAAAATATTTCGTAACACCATATGAATTCCCTTGAAAATCACAACTTTGTGATAGTTATTCATAACCACTGTGCTAAATAAAGATAGCATGTAAATTCCAGGACCGCTCTTACTGACTTTATTCCCTACATGCAGCTATAAAATCCACCCAAACCTACTTTACCCTCTATCACTACTGCAGGTTTTAGATCAGGGAAACAAATATGTCTTCAAAGATGTCAAAGGAAATGCTGAAGATACTCAGGGACCCATGATACTCAGACAAACGCAACATCATGAAAATCACCCGTCGACAGTGTGTTCGAGGGTTTTTTTGTAAATACACCACAAAAAAGAGACGCTTCTTTAACAGAAACCCTTCCTACCCCACCTTTAAGGACAGATAGAAACTGAACTTATTTCAGGATGCTAGTATTTGTTGAAACTCCAGTGTTTTATTTAGTCGAAGAACAACTTTCAGCTTGTCGCCCTCATCTCGATCAGGTCTTCCTGGAGTGTCAAACTTTTCTTAGTCCCGGTTCACCTTGGAAGAAGGTGAAGTGGTGTCAAATTCTCCACTCTTCTTAACCGGAAACACTGAGGAGAGGCTGCTTTAGGAGGGTTACAGGTCAGAGGATGTATTCTCAGCTTTTACCACAAGAGGGCAGGCCATCCTTCAAATCATTCCGGTCAGGATACAGAGGTCTTGGTTTATCAAACCCTCCACAGTTGAGAAGGTTACTGAATAAATTCTGTTATTCGGGTTCAATCTTGGAAGTAAACACGGATGTGAGCCGTCAAAGGTGGTTTACTTTTAGCAGACGTGTCGTCAGTGTTTGTAGGATTCTGTAGATTCATATAAAACTGAATCTTTAATGATGAGACCTGCAGACTAAACCTGGACTTTGTTGATCATCTTAGGGAGTCACTTCCCGATGTTGTTGTCATAAAAACACTCAGTCACTCTTTTGTCGTGTTTTTTCAGTGTATCATTTAATGTACTCTCACAAGTTGGTGAACAGGTACAACTTTGTCGCTCACGGTACTAAATCACACATCCATTGATAGTATAAATAGCCAACCTAATAATAATAGTACACATTTTCAAATACATAAAATCATCAAGTATCCAAGTCTTAAGTTACAGACATCAAACAAAAAGGCATACAAAATATCGCAGACGTTGGAAGTCCAGTTTGAAGCGGAAAAAAAAAACAAAAACAGAAAATTAAAAATAAAAACAGAAAAATAAAATCACATCTTAGACATGGCAGTTAATCCGTAAACAGAAGGTTTGATAGAGAAAGGAAACAAGGTCCCAGACTTTCAATGGACAAATAAATATTGCAACAATTAAGCGTCTTATATTAAAAAAGAGTTAGTGAAAGGGCTTAAGTGAGTGTAAGACTTCCTGCACGAGACAAAGGCAACGATTTGTGGTTTTTTTTGTTCCGAGTAGAAAAATGAAACACCTTTTTCCGAATGCCGGCGGCGAGGGCGACCCGCCTCCAGTGCCTTTGTTCCACTTGGATTGTAAGGCATTTATGGATGAACCGTCTGATCTGAAGGAAGGCATACCTCGCTCTGGTTAACCCTTTCATTGAACTGGGAGCAGAAGAAATTAAAAACGTTTTCCTTTTTGTGTTTAGCACATTCTCAGGCGATGTCAACCGGCCAATCAGAATCTTTGGGATGCAAAAACAGTTAATCCAACATCTTACAACGATACACGACTCTGCTGCCCTGTCTACGCTTTTTATATTTTTTTTCTGGGCACATGAAGAGAAAACACGGTGACTTCGGTTCACACAGCTCGATTACTTTCTTTTTTATGACACTTGATTTGAACCGGGAGCAGAAAAGGGGGGGAGGGGGGGAGGTTTTTCAAAATAAAATACTTCAACACAATGACCAAAAAACAAGCCTGCAAGGTTCAATTGATCTTCTTTTATTGGGGGGTTGGCATGGCTCAGGGTTTGGCTCTACTGGATGCAGCAGTTATTGCGATGGCCGTTGGAATCTTTGAAGCGCAGGCGCATCTTTGGACGATATTTCTCCAGGTAGAACAGCTGTTTGCTGTTGAACGCTCCCCGACGCTTCCTGGAGAGAACACAGACGCACAAATCCACATCAGCGTGTGACGTTAGGTTGTTAGGTTACTGCTCTTTATTATGAGCCGACAGTTTCACAGCCACACTGCTCTCCCTCCAAGAACATAAAACACATTAAAAATGTCACATCAGGTACTAAAGCGCCGTGACCGAACTCAACAAGTCTGTGATGGTAAAATCACAACTGAGCACATCACAACTAATCTATTAATGTTGTTCCCGCTCCTGCCCACTCCTGTTGCTTCTTTTCCCGTCCCGATCACAGGATTAATCAAAAAATGATCACGTGACCCACGGGAATTCCCTAAAAATGTCATCCTCTAGTTTTTAATGAGGAAGAGAAACAGCTGAGCGACCACGACCAAAGACCGTCTGAGTGTCCAACATCCTCCAGAATCCAGGAGAGTCCGAGCGACACGTGAGAGCTGGAAACATGACTCTGATGCACGCACGCACACGCATGCACGCACGCACGCGCACACACACACACACACACACACACACACACACACACACACACACACGCACACTCTCCTATCTGACTACCTGATAGCTCAGCTATTTACAGCCATGACTCATCCCTGCTCCTTCTATGGAGCACGCCAACACTTACTTCCTGTTGGAAACATGTCCTACAGCTCATATCTGATGGACTACAGTGACCCCTGTCATGACGGGACTCAAAGAGCTTTTTCTGAACCATGTCGACAAAATAAAGAACTTTGGAGAAGATTTGTACCATGTAGGAGTGCACCGATTCTGGCCTATCGCCGATCTTTTGAAAGCTTGACCTGCCGATACCGAATTTACTTTTAGAACTGACAACATCCACCTTCGATGCTCCGATCTTATTTTAATGAAAAACACTGAACAGTATAAACCTTTTTGTGTTTGTCTTAACTACACATGAGGTCGATCTCTCAAATAAAACTGAAAAGTTTAGAGTATTTCTGTTCAAACTACTAAATTAAATCAGTTCCTTTAGTCTTTTATTTTCCACATTTTAAAAATTAACAATATTTGCCCAACAGGTCAGACTGCAGGCCTGTTTTGAGCCTCTTACCAAAATAAAGTTCACAGCAGTATTTCGCTTTTACAAATAAAGGAAATCACAAAGTTTGAGGAAGTTAGTAAAGTAATAATCTACAGGACAAACTAAACTGTCATTCTGGAAAAGCAAAAAGCTCCAGCGGCTGACTTTCACACCTCTGCTGAGGTTGGTAAGATCGGAGGATAAAATCGGTTTTACGTGTAAGGATCAGCCGATCAACGATCCCCACCCAAGATTCATCGGTGCATGATTAGGTCCATGTTCTTACAAACAAAACAGAGTTTAATAAAAACTTTTCTTCTTAATTATAATAATGATGATGATGCAGAAAATTACCCAGAGGCTCATATGAGCTTCTGCTTGTTTCTGCGCACACTTCTACCTGGAGGACATTGGACACAGTTGTCTTCAACACCGGAGGTCACACACACACGCACGCACACACACACGTGGCGGAGTGACTTACTGTCGAATGAACTGGACAGCATCTTCATATTTCATCCCACATTCGATCAAGGCCAGCGCCACCAGGACAGGAGCTCTGGAGGGACAAAAGAGGAGAGCCGACGTGTCAGCTTCCAGAAAGTTCTTCACTGAGATGATGAAAGCTGCAAAGAGGGGTCCAGTCCAGGTCAGAGCAGGACTGAAATGATCCCCCTGAATGTCGGTTTCATCCACAGTTCCCTTTTTTTACATGTTTTATAGTTTAATGAAGTTTCTTTCAGGGTCATTATGAATAAAATCATTTTGAATCGAAAATCGATTTTAAATCAAATCGTGGCTCCAAAAATCGGAATCGAATCGTGAGACAGTAAAAGATTCCCACCCCTAATATTTCAACAATCAACTCAACCAGATGGAGAACTAACCCCAGTCCCTGCTTTTACCTGGGAACAGACAAACTTTTGATTGTTGGGTGTTTTTGGACAACCAGACTTTGGACTGTGTGTTATTTTTGTTTATTCCTGATACTACGTTGGAACTGGTTACAATCATTTCTTTTTTTTCTCCCGGACAAAATCTGAATCCTTTAAAACTGAAATAATTGTTTTGTTTTCTTTTTGTTGTTCATTCTGTTACAATAATATCTGAATAAAAAATATTTTAAAAAAACATATCTGTGTAAAAGTGGTTATCTGTCGGTGAATTCTGCTAAAATAAGGTTTTATTTTTTCTAACCCAGAGCTTCAGAGCTCACGTGTCAAATATGATCCTGTGTGATAAGAACTTAAGACTTTAATCCTCCTCCTCCTCCTCCTCCTCCTCCTCCTCCACAGTAGTCAGTGCTCACCTCCCCAGTCCTGCCACACAGTGGACAGCGATGCAGCAGCCGGGCTCCTCCCTGAACTTCAGCTTCAGCAGGTTCAGCCAATCGTCCACAATCTGGTTAGAGGGAGGAGCTCCATCATCAAACGGCCAATCCTGGACGAGGAAAAGAGGAAGAAAGAGGGAAATGATGTCATCTGTGTGTGAGGGCTGAAAACAGCTGCAGGGAGAGGAGGTGTTGTTGTAGAGGGAGGGAGGGAGGCGCTGCTCCTGCTCCTCCTCCTCTATCTGTGTTTGCAGAGCTTTAGTGGGAACAGATGATGTTTGAAGACCATGACCCACTTCAGATCTACTCGAGCTCAGAGGCGTGTCCATGTGAAGTTAATGTTTAACGTTAGAGGACATGGAGACGTTCATGTTCATGTTCACAGACCCGTCCTCCTCCTCCTCCTCCTCCTCCTGATGTCGGCTGAGACTCGATCAAACTAACAGGATCAGTAGATATGAAACATCATCTCAGGCTGTTGTCGACACTTTAGCTGCTCATACTGTTTTGAAGGTTTGAGCTGTAAGACCATCAACATCAGAACATCTATGATTAACCCCAGAAAAACCACACTGACATCTAGACTCTCTAATCTCTACACACAAAGGATATCCTTCCTCATCACCGGCACTTAAGGGAAAATACGAGTCGAGATATTCTGGAGCAGCTGACGGTCTTCAGTCCTCCAGGATCAGTTTACATTTCACTGTGAGCTTGTTCTCAGAAAAATAAATATGATGGGAATATTTGGGAGAAGTAAACACCGTCCACTCTGCTTCCTCCTCCTCCTCCTCACTCATACACGAGTGCTGCACGGACACAGCTGGAGGTTTACCTTCCACTGGTCAGCAGTTATCTACTATGAGGAAGGAGGGACAGAGAAACTCTGCAGAAGTTTCAGGACTCTCATATGTGGAAGAAAAGCGTCTCTCTTCAGAGCAGAAGTGTGGGGCGCCTGAAAAATATATGAATAAACCAAGAAATAAACCCTTCAGCAAACGATCATTTCAACTCAGAACCAGCAGAGCGTCAAAGTCAAACACAACCAAAACTAGATTAGGAAAACCAACAACAACAACAATAATAATATACATTCAGTCCCACGACAACAGATCAGCGATAATTAACAGACATCATAAACTCACAACTCAAGAGAATCACAAGAAAACGTCTCCGTTACTTTAACCGAGGACACAAACAAATAAACCGAACTCTGGAAGTCGTCACGTCCTCACAGTACCGTCAGTTTGTCAAAGGAGAACTTTTCTCCAGAGGTCAGCTGAGCTCCAGCGCTACATCTTCATAATCTGATATTGAGTGTTTGGAAACATGATCAGAGGTCGTCCAAAAACTCACTAAACATGTGACTTCATTCATGTTCATGTTGGTGACCGTTAGAAGGATTTTGTTCTACCTTGAAAAAAGTCAGGAAAGTTAGAGCGGGGTTTGAGGGTTAGAGGAACTCACCAGAACTTGGATCCCCTCCTTCACCACCAAGGTGGCGTCATAGGTGGCCTCACAGACTCTCACAACGGTGGTGACTCCATACTTCTTCAGCTCCTGTCAGAAAAACCGAGATGAGAAAATCAAAGGAGGCGAGAGGAGATCGACAGACCTCCTTCAGGTCCAGGATCTGTCTGTTGTTAGTCTGAAAACTTCTCATCTAAATAACTGACAAAAGGACTCACCTCAATGAACTTGTTCAGGGTGGCGTTGGTGGGATTGTGGGTAATGAGGAATCTCATGTTCTTGTAGGTGATCTCCACAGGGGCGGGTCTGTTCATACGAGCCATCGTGACAACGTAAAAAAAACACAAAAGTCTTCCACAGAGTAAAAACACGAATGTAAACACGGAGTTAGAACTCGGAGGGAATGTCAAACTAAAACGCTCAGAAATCCGCCGCTCTTCCTTCCTTCCTTCGAGGTTGGCGAGGCTAAACAGAAAAGTATGAAGGCTTCGACGGGCAAAAACGGGGAAATTTGGGGAGTTGGCGGCCGATAAAAAGAGCGGACAGTCGGAAACAACTCAAAACCCTCTCCTCTGGATAAAACAAAAGAAAAGGAAAAAAACAAAGGCTGGTTCCACCCTGATTCTGGCGGAAGCCGACGAGGGCAGTGTGCAGCGGGTGAAGTTACCCCATCCAGGCCGAGTTGTCGCTGGTTCTGGGAGGCGTCCCGGTCCTGCCAACTTTCCGGGGTCCCTCCTGTGGCTCAAGTGCGTCGGATCGATGGCGAGTTTGGCCGTTCACTCGTCTGCATATGCAGCGTGCTGAGCCTGGCAGTAGTCCCCACTGCCCTTCAGAAACTCCATAAATGTGTGACCCAGAACACCACAGAACTGCTGCAGGACACACAGGGGGACAAAGAGGGAGACCACCGGGTCAGAACCAGAACAAATACACTAAACGGGTCCATCACAGAACTTAAGCAGAACTGACCAACAAAAAGAAAAAAACATGAGGACAGAGTCACAGATTAACATCCACAGAGATTAGCGAACACTCACTGGAACCATCCTGAATATTCTGAGATTTAGTCCAAGATTACCGTCATATTTGTAACTCCTGGAATATCATGAAGTGGCTTCAGATGAAGTATTCTAATATTCTAATATATTAAATATTTATATATTTTCTACTCATTAAAGATTCTCTTTGTATGAAAACTAAAACCAAACCAACACCAACACTCCTCTCTCTGTTTACACACGTATGACCACAATCATAATCACCATTTAAAGACCACTGATGACACTTTCAATTAAAATCAATGAATGATCAAAGTGGGACTTTGAATCAAAGATGATTGTTTGAAGAGCAGACCTTTAAAACCCTCGAACTGTTTATAACCACACAGGCTCTCTGTGATATTAGTCTCTGATTTGTTTGAATTTGGTCCCGTCTGTTTCGATATATAAATAATTATCATTATTATCATATTAATAAATTTTGTTGAATGGTCTTGAACCTCTCACTTGTTCCTTTTTTGTCCTCTCTCTGTATGGATGTTTTTGCATCTTGATATCGAAGTTTTGTTGATTTTTCAGCGGACAGCTCGACATCTTTCCTGACTTGAGTGTTTGGATATAGAAAACACAGGGTAGATTCACGGAGAGCTGCAGCCCTGCTCTTAAGACTGGGGGTAAAATAGATTTGTTGACACTCCTGGATTGTGGCACAGTTGCATCATACACATGAGTAACACCAGTGTAACCAGACACTGATACTACAACTCCAATCTGTGGGCTTCACCCTCAGAATGCAAACAGTCAAAATCCTCCTCTGGTTTTCTTTTCTTCTCCTGCCTTCAAATTAAAACTCGCTCCGACTGTTTTCTCAGGATAAACCTTTTCTGCTTTTTACTCCTGGTGTTACTGCACTAATCAGAATTTCAATATAACAGGTGAAAGAATGAGGACAAAACACAGAAACATACCTTTCATTTGGTTATATAAAGCCACACTGCAACACTGTGTAACATCCTACATAATGGCCGCTGGTATACAATAGGAGGGATGTGTCATTTCTGACATCTAGGTCATCATATCTGTGAGGGCTGAGCTCACCATGAGGCCTTCAACAGGGGCTTTAAACACTCACTCACGCACACTGTTATTATCGTCCTCATAAATCTGACTCACAAATGCTTTCACTGCCATTTAGTTCCTAATGTTTCTGCCCTTTACACTGTGAAGAAGGGTGTTAACACCTGAAGGCCTCATTAAGCCGCAGTATTTCCCCTCAGATACCAAACCACACTTCGATTTATCTTCTATTTTCCAGCCAACAAACACTGTTTGACAGAGAATACAGAGTAATGGGTGATTTAAGGCTTGATTACGTTTCCCCATCTTGTAAAAACATATATTTTTAAGACGTTTTCGCAGATATAACCCTACCATTATCTTTATCTAGCATATTACAGATGATCTCTAAAGGCCTGGATTTAAGGAAGGTCAAATGAGGCAACTCTGAGTCCGCCCGTATAAAGACAAAGCTCCAATTTTATCTCAGTGTCAGCGCATATTTGCAGCTTTATCCTTAAAAAACCTGTTATGATCAATTTTTCAGACAGGTCAAAATATTCCAGTTCTTCCATGCACAGCAGCTCCACATGCAACTAAAAAAATGAACAAGACACATAGACGCACATATATGAGAAGTACCACTAGATTACAAGCACAAAACACAGCATTCAAGCTTCTTCAGTGTACTGTTGCCCCTTCAAAAAGCCTCCTGAAGGGATTTAAGGACCGACTGATGCAGTGAAATGAATATTCACTGAACGGTTGGATTCAGACACAAAGATGTCCCCAGTCTTTGGATATGATACCGTAGGCTGGTTAGTCGACTTTCGAGTGTAAAGAAACCCTTACATTACATTAAACTGTTAAGGTCAGGCTGTTTAAGCAAAGGGGGTTTTACTAAATCAACATTATGTATTTAAACACACAGTTCGTTTAACCCTGGAACACTATCACCGGGTGATTTTCACCCGACCAAACATGTTTTTAGGTGATTTTCATGATGTTGTGTTTGTCTGAGTATCATGGGTCCCTCAGTAGCTTCAGCATTTCCTTTGACATCTTTGAAGACGTATTTGTTTCCCTGATCCAAAACCTGCAATAGTGATAGAGGCTAAAATAGGTTTGATGGATTTTATAGCTGCATGTAGGGAATAAAATCAATAAGAGTGGTCCTGGAATTTGCATGCTGTCTTTATTCAGCGCAGTGGTTATGAATAACTATCACAAAGCAGTGATTTTCAAGTGAATTCATATGGTGATAAGAAATACTTGACTCAGCTGGTCATTATTACTCACTCCAAATCTGTCATATATTGGATCTCTCTCCTGCAGCTGTTATTGTGCCAAGGAGATATATATATATATATATATATAATGTATTTATATTTGTATGTTTTCTCCCTACCTTTGGACATTACACAAAATAAAAGAAAACTACTTTAATTTGTCATATATTGTCCTATTTTAATATATATGGGTTTATTATTTCAGGTAAAAATCACCTGATAGCCATAGTGATGGTGTTACTAATTTTAATGATAGTGTTTTAGGGTTAATTAAAGTGGATTTTCAACAGTTAACCTCGTGTATTTTAACATCACAGTTCTCCTGTATGACTCTAAGAAAACCTGTCAGCTCTCTGTCGTGATGTAGATAGATGCCGGCTCTTGAAGGCCGTTGTTTTCCCGGTTTAAAGCCGTCCCTCCTGTAGAAATAAAGTCCTCTCACACACAGACAGGCCTGCTGCTGCTGCTGCTCTAAAGTGTCCTTTGTGTGAGGAGGAGGAGGAGGAGAGACTGGGCGCCATGATCATCATCATCTACCGTTAGAGGCCCTGACAGAGCTGGACTCAAACACGCTTCTTTAACCTGACAAAGACGACGCCTCGCTAAAACAGTTAAAGCCCTGTCAGGATTAGAACTGTACAAGAAAATGTCAGTGATATTTTTTAGTTGTTTCACATCATATTGACTCGATTTTAACCGAGAGAAACTTCGACTAACTAACCGGGAGCTGCGCATCCGACAGCCGCTTCCTTTACACGACGAAGATGCCCCCCTAGCCGTCAGCTAACCAATGATTTAACGGTACAAACGCGCCAACAGTCGACTGTAATAACCGCCAGTACGAAGATAAAACATTTGACAGCAAAGTGAAGGACATAATACATCATTTCTGTGTACGAGGCCGTGATTTCACCGAAGAAACGTGAAGGCCAGCTGGTTGGCGATAATAACGAACAGATTTAAGAGCAGACGAAGGAATAAAAAGCAGAAAACAAAATGGCAGCCGCACAGAACATGTAACTTACTGGGATATGCTTACTCATTGAAGATTGTAGCTTAATCATACAGCCGGTCTCCAGAAAAAAGGTAAAAAGACGGTAAAACGGTTCTCCACCATACAGTCCGGTGCTGTTTCTCCGAGCGGAGCCGAAGTCTCCCTGAACCGCCGAGACGACGACGACAGAAAGCCGAAGCGACTTCCTGCTCAGACTTTCAAAATAAAACACCAATGCCCCACGACTGCTCCAACTACTATAAAGGTTTTTTTGCTTATTAAACTTTGAGAAAAACAAATATAGTTATCGATGAATTTTGACACAATGTACAATAATAGTGCGCTTGTATTTGTACCATTTTTTCAAGTCTTTGAAAATTGCATACACCCAGACTAAATACTTAAATTTTTTTAAATATTGTATGCTTAGAATACTCATTTTGAAAAATGTTAAGTATTTAGTATAGAAGTATTTTGATCTGGGAAATCACTTACTGCCCCACAGCCGTCCACAGCCATTCTTACTGATGAAATGAGTGCAAGCGAGTGTCCACTGTTGGATACTCAAAATCTTGACCGATTTGAGTACGTCATCCGGGTACTTTTGCCTACTCAATTTTCGCATACTAGCCATACTTTTTTCCATTTTGCGTTGAGTATCCTCAAAATTTGAAGTATTTAGTACTGGAAGTATGCGATTTGGGACACACCATTTTGTACAAGTTTTTATGTCAGAGTTTCTGTGCTTTTGTACTTGCCTTTTTTCTCAGTCTGTGTTCATCAGGGTAATCCTATATTCACTGACATTTTACTCTTGTCAAAAAGCAATTGTAATAACTTAATTTCCCCCCTGGAAAAAAAAAGTATTTTTGATTATATTTCAGTTTCTGGGAATAATTAAAAAGTGTAATTTATATGGCATTTTTTATTTCATTTTACAAGTTACAATTTTAAGCAAGAAAAATGTTATTGCAGAAAAAAGGCTAACAGACATCAAAACATCTAAAATAAAAAACGACATATAAAAAAACTCAGTTTGGTTACAGGAATCAAATAATCTACTTTACATCTGAACAGGATATAATGAGCTATTTTAACTCTGCTGCAGTAGAAGTGAATTTCTCTTATTACTGAAACATTTACTCTGTAATGATCAACCAGAAGACAAACATAATCCATTTCTTCGTTTGCATGTCAGCCTTGCATGTTGAACCGGTTTTCCCCCCTCAGGTGAATTCTTCAAACCTACTGAGGTTCATGTGATCTTCTAAGTTAAGCTCAAACACCACAGATTCCTTTAACGAATCAGCATCATGTGACAAAAACAGAATCTGTGTTTGTTTGTTTTTTCTCAAAACTGTAAACTTTCGACTGTAATTTAGTCTCAGCTGCTGCTGGTTAAAACATTTCTATACTTCTTTTTCCGGGGTTCTTACACTTTAATTTAAAGCTGCCATAAACATCCTGTATTGTGGGTGAATCGAGGTTTTACGATGATCCTTTTTATGTTGAAGTACTAGCTCTAATGGTGATGACACCCTTATAAGTTTATTTTGAAGAAAGCAAATTAAAACTTCCGGTTGCACCAATGATGACCTCTCTGGAGCTTGACGCAGTTCTCTAAAACCCCACCCTGAAAAATGTGAGGTGTTCTGCCCAGACATCTCTCCATTGGAAGTCAGGTGGTGTGGGCCTCCTGGGACCACGTGCGGACAGAAGATACCAGAAACCATCGAGAAATAACTCCAAGACCACCTTTAAAGAGGTTTACGAGCTCATGTTGATAGAATAGTCTGGAAAAATAAAGAAAAAATAAATATTCTCGAGGCTGTTGTATTCTAGGTGTATGTCAATGGTCAGTAGAGGTTCCCAGATTCTCTGTATGTCAGATTGGTTTATTATGAGTGCATCTTTAAAGATCCCATAGTAGTTTCACAGTCTGTTGACATGCATTGAACAGTTACGTGTCACCCCTGACAAGACGAAAAGGCAATCGCAGTCCAGGGTTTTGGATGCAGTGGTGGGGGCGTCCCATAGACTGTATATACTATGGACAACTTGGCTCCGCCTCCCGCCTGTATACGGATTTGAAGCCAAAAAGCTCTTGGTATTTCCGGGGTTTTTCTTCATTTCCTGAAACCAACATTGCGCAGTAACGTTGTGTGCATTCGGCGGGAGAGTCGCAGAGAGTCGCTGGCTGTGTCTGAAATGAATCACTCAATCCCTAACCTCTAACCCCCATATGGGGTTTTACCATATAGTTGACTATGTAGTGAACTCAGTTACTGGAGGTTTCGGACACTACATGGCAAGACACAATGCATGACGGGATGCCCACCACCGGTGAGTGACCATCGGCCGGTCACTACATTTTGCAATGCTCTATGGGAAATTTTGAGTCGCCTATATAGGGCACTGGAATTGATTGCTGAGGTTTCGGACACCCCTCAAAAGGGCGCTAACCCCCATATAGTCGCCTCTAGAGGCGTTAGGGATCCATTTCGGACACAGCCGCTGTGATGACGCTCGGCTCAAACAGCATATCCTCCGGGTGAGCTATGCAATCCATGAACGCCAATAGTCTGTATCAGGTGTAAATCACAGAAAACATGAACCCCCTAATAACTTATAAAAATGGAGCTGCACAGAAAAAAGAGGACTAGGGATTGCTAGAGGAGGCGGGATTTATGACCTATACTGCAGCCCGTCACCAGAGGGTGCTGTTCTCGGAGTGGCTTCACCCAGCGAGGAGGGAGACGTGTCCATTCTATATAGAGTCTATGGGGCATCCCTCTGGATGGGCCCCTGGATATAGAAACCGTGTGTCTCTGTCTGTTTCATTAACCAGCCTGTTTAAGTCCACGCTAAGAAGTAGGACTGTCACTTTTTATTCAGTATTCAAACCTTCATTCTAAGTCTGGGGTCAAAGATCAGATTAAACTTCCGGCTGCCTAAAGAAGTTTGCGTTGTTGTCCAGCATCGTAACCTGACCACTGAATGGCACTCTAGACCTCAGTAGGCTAATACAATAATGTTATCGGACATTAATGGAGGTCGTGGTTAAGCAGGGTGGCACTGAGCTGACAATCACACCTGAGAAACATGGTGTCGAGGTATTTAGAGAAACCACAAAGCCTCAGCAGGCCCATGAAAAAGCCACCACTGAGAAGACTGCAACATCTGAACATATCTGAACATCTCGGTTGATATGTGGTCCAAGTAAATTTTTTAAACACCTGACAGCCTGAGGGGATATATCTAGACAAAAAGAGCGTCAAGTCTTCTCTCCTGTAAAAAGTCGATGGAATACAAACTGTTTTCATCGTGCTGCACCCAGCTTTTGTTTGCTCCTCTTGGTTTCCTGTGTTTACATCTCTCTCGAATAATAATTTTGCTCCACAAACCTTTCTGGAAGCTCAAACAGCTGCTGAGCTCTGCACTTTCACTCTGCGGCGACACAAAAGCCGCTCTGAATGGTCCTCCACGGGCAGCCAATGAGCTCAGAGCAGCAGCAGCGGCTCCGAGTCTAGCAGCGCCTGGACTCTGTCAGTTTCCAGCCGGACTCCCGTGGCCGCTGAAGAATCTTCTAATCCGTCAGCATTTACCAATTGTCTATAAAAATTAATGTGCAGGTGAAGCGTCCCCTCCACATGAGGGCTATCAAACTCCAAATTAAAACCCAAGAGTGCAAACTAAGAAATGAATGACCCTGAAGATTTCAAGGTAACATCTCCGCCTTCTGAAACTGGGCTGTTTTCTTATCTGACTGTTTGAACCTGAACCTGACTGTTTCATAGATCTGGACCATCTCTTACTGTACCTGTGACAGACTGGTTGTGTGTTTTCCAGGAGGGGGGGGCCAGCAGAAGTAAAGACCAAGTAGATGGAACAGGGATGAGCGTGAACAACAGGAAAGGAGTGAGGGTCTCTGGGAAATACGTGCCTCCTCTGGACTTGGGCAGCAGAGCAGGAGGTCCGTGCATCATCCATTCTCCACCCAGCACCCCTTTACCAACAGACGCCCCCACCGTGATCTCCATCGGCGCCCCGCCCCACAGAGCTCCAGAGCGGGTGGATAATCTGAGGATGGAGGAGCCTCCTGTCACAGACGATTGGACCGTTGAGATGCCCTCTAAAAGCAGGGTGTCTTATGGTGAGATGGGCCGCGTCCCCCGACAGACCATGGAGGAGCTGAAGACCATCCTGAAGGAGAGTCCTCTGCTCAGCCCCCGAGGTCGAGATGATGGAAAGCCAGGGAGTCCGTACACCTACCTCCATGGGAGCAGTCGCAGTAGCAGCAGCGGCGGGGGAGGTGGAAGTGGAAGGTCGGACGGACGTCAGGACGATGGAAACCCCAACAAGGCCTTCAGCACCTTCAAACCCCAATTTGAAGCTTCCAGAAAAGGGGGGCCCAGATCCTGTGATAGCACGGCTATTCAGCAGCCTCCCAGCATGGATTCATCCAGCTCGTTCAGGTCTGAGGCCAACACAAATAGGCAGCCTGGAGTTAAAACACACACATACACAATCAGCGGCTCCTGGGGGGAGAGTGGAGCTTCTCAACCAGGTAGGTGAAGCTCCGTTTATCGATAAAGAAGCTTCATTAATCAAATAGAAAGTGTTTGAAACAGACAGACCGTGAAAAGATGCTGGTTTGTAGAGCGGTTTCTTTACCTGAAGTCAAGTGTTGTTTGAAAAGCTCATCTTTTCAAGTTTCTGTTTCAGCTTCGATGGATTGTTCACATTTTTTAAGGAGTTATACTTTAATTTGATCAGGAAATTCAGTATTTTCTTTCAGTGGTTTCCTCTGAAAGGTCTGGTCAGTGTGTGTCTACAGCAGAAAGATCTACATCTCTTTTCAGTCGTTTGTTTTACAGGATGAACAATGATTTGCTGCCTGTTCTGAGTTTGTTGATGTGCTTTCTCTGACCTTAGTGGTGACCCCCGGACTGAAACCAGGTTTTTTCCACCAGTGAAGAGTTATCTGTAAATAAAACACAACTGAGCAGCGGAGACTGATAGCATGAAAACAAATTCACATTAACTATTTTTAATTGTGTTTGAGGCTCATCCAGAGAGTCTCTCTTTGCAGCTGAAAACTCCTCTTTAGTGCCCTCTGGTGGACACTAACCAATCTTTGTAAAAATCATCTCCACCTGCAGAGGAGTTGGACGTTTCTCCACCGACACAAAAAAAAGGACCTTCACTGTGCTCAGTCAGGTTCAGGATGAATAAAAGCGCCGGACTTCTGTGTTGTGTTTGGGAATAATGGTGCTGTGATAGAGGGATTCACTGGGTTCATTCTGGCACAGACACTAACAAACTGAACCTGTAAGTACGGCAGCCACAGAGGGACAATACAAAGGGCTGTGGCAATAATATGGTAACATCGTAAATGAAATTCAAAGTACAGTAGCCATACCTGGTACAAAGTTTCACAGCTTTAACTTCTTACTCAGATAACTTTGATTTTCTTTCAACTTTATTATCATGAGAAAATGAATTTAAACAAAACAACCCAATATTGCCGACCCTCACCTATGGTCATGAACTTTGGGTAATGACTGAAAGAACAAGGTCGCGGATACAAGCTGCAGGGTTTCCTTCGCAGGGTGTCCGGGCTCAGCCTTAGAGATAGAGTAAGGAGCTCGGACACTTCGCTCAGAGTAGAACTGCTGCTCCTCCACATCGAGAGGAGTCAGCTGAGGTGGCTCGGGCATCTGGTTAGGACGCCTTCTAGATGCCTCCCGTAAGAGGTGTTCCAGACATGTCCCACCGGGAGGAGACCTGGTGGCCAGCCCAGGACCAGGTGGAGGGATTATATCTCTTGCCTGGCCTGGGAGCGCCTGGGAATCCCCCCGGAGGAGCTGGTGGAAGTGACTGGGGTGAGGGCCGTCTGGGCTTCCCACCTGGACCTGGATGAAGTGGAAGAAAACAACGACAACGACAAACCAATATTGATATTTCAGTGTTTGTTTTTTTTCAAAGGTTAAGTAGTTCTCACACTGACTTATGTGATCTAGTCATATGCTGACGACTCCGTTCTTATCTTCTCCAGATAACGGGAGTGAGATCATTGGCATCTTTGGGAATCAGAGGTTCATCTCAGCCATGGAGCAGATCAAGCAGCAGATCGCCAGAGAAAACATCAACTTCGTTCGCTTCGAGGCCACCGACCTACACGGGGTGTCCAGGTCCAAGACAGTGCCTGTTCGCTTCTTCCATGTAATAACTCTACCTATCTATCTATCTATCTATCTATCTATCTATCTATCTATCTATCTATCTATCTATCTATCTATCTATCTATCTAAGTCATTGAAATAGGACATAACTGTTGGTTAAATGTTAGCGCTGCGTTCACAGGAGAAAGCGGTTTATGGGATACCGATGCCAAGGAGCTACTTGGAGCTGACCCTGAGTCCCAAGAGTAACGAAGTGGACCACGCTAACGCTGCCAACTTCAGCAGCGACGTCCTTCTCATACCCGATCTTTCCACCTTCAGAGTCCTACCCTGGGCCGAGCAGACAGCACGGGTCATCTGCGACCCTTGCACAGTGAGCGGGAACCCTCTTCGCACTTCCCCTCGCCTCATCGCCAAGCAGCTCCTGGGGCAGCTCCAGAGCCTGGGGTTCTCCCTGCACTCGTCCTTCACATATGAATGCTGTGTCCTCGGAGCACCGGATCGGATCGGCCCAAAGACTCTCCTGTTCCCGGCCACCACTCTCCTCAGCAACCATGACCTGCCGTTCTTCCAGCAGCTGGTGGACAGCATGTACTGTATGGGCGCAGACATAGACAGCATCGCCTCAGCGAGCGGCCCCGGTCAGATGGAGATCAACCTGAGGCCAGAGTTTGGGATTGCCGCTGCAGATAGCGCCTTCACTTTCCGCACAGGCATTAAAGAACTAGCTCGTAAATACAGCTACATCGCCAGCTTCTTCACCGATGACGGTCTGTACAACGCTGGCGTGCTCTCTCACAGCTTGTGGGATGCCAATGGCCGACGTAGCCTTTTCCAAAGCGGGGACAAAGCCGGGGAGCTGTCTGAGATTGGCAGGAAATGGCTCGCCGGGCTCCTCACCCACTCTGCTGCTCTGAGCTGCCTGATGTCACCTGGTCTTGGTTGTCGCAGCCACATCGCCAAGACCGTCAAAGACCCCAAACGAGTGCTGTGCGCCACCTGCGGCTGCAACGACAACAGCAGCTCCTTCAACATCAAGTGTCATGGCGGGAGGGAGATGCACATCGACAATAAGCTGGGCTCAGCCATGGCCAACCCTTACATCGTGCTGGCTGCGACCGTGGCGGCCGGACTGGACGGCATACGGCGAAACCTGAACGTCGACGGCAGTCTCAACAAAGCCCCCAGCCAGCAGAGGGAGTTCGCCATTCCCGTAAAGCTTGATGACGCTCTGGAGGCGTTGGGGGAAGATCACGTCATCCGCAGCACCCTGGGAGAGCCGTTCGTTCAGTATTTCATTGCAATGAAAAAGTTTGAGATTGAGACGCAAGAACTGGATGACGAGAGGAACAAGTGCTTTGAGTATTTCATCTAGTGACTTTGTTTTATAGTATGAGACACGCGCACACTCCCTCCACCAAAATAAAAGCATGAAAAACACCAGCTGGAACAAAAAAAAAAAAAGAGCCTTTTATTTTATATAACATGTGGATACCTTCTGTTATCATTCTGCAAATGGTTTATATTTTCACTTCAGAATAAAGTATTGATACGCCCTCGGTGTGCAGAGCAGCTGTGTTTTATTCCTTCAACTAACAACAGGAATATCAATTATCATCTTTAATGATCATAACTTTAAAGACAGGCTTTAGGCAAGTCCACCTTAGAGGAAAACCAACTCATGCTGGAGATGGGAGGATCTGCAGTGAGCATTTCATCCTCATGGGGGTGCTGGTGTAGCTGCTGATTTTCAGCTGAGTGATATCCTGACTTTAAAACCTCGACTGAATCTTTTCTAAACTTTGCAAAGAAAATTCAAGGAGGTTTACTTTTCAAATACAACTTCTTATTTGGTTGAGGAAGCACAGTCTGGACTTGTAATGGTGAATATTTTACATGCAGTGATTGTAACATCCCACTGAGCATTTTTTGGTCTTAAAGAGGTCTAATAGACGTCTAAATGTAGTCTAGACGACTGGTCTAAAATCAGGCTACCACAGGTCTAAAAATGAAAGTTTTCAGATGTCTAAATTTAGACGGAGTTTAGACTAGCCAGCTAACAGAGGTCTACCAGTATATTGCTCAACGGCTATCATAATTATTTTGGTTTAGTACTTGGAGATCAGTTATGCACCTCACAGTCGCTTTTTGATATAAATAGTTATCAAATAGCGGGTTAAAGTGCAACGTCTAAATTCTGTCTACAGATATAGAGAATCTAGACGGTTGAAATTAGGTCTAAAAAATAACTAGATGTCTAATAGCCGTCTATTTCTCAGTGGGATCTGTTACTGCAAGGTTTCTCAGTTTTATTTCTAACTATGTTCCTCATAAACTCTCTGAGACTAATTCGTGTAGGAATCAGAGACACAGTACAGTGAGAGGGTTTCTGATATTGCACAAGATAATAATCAAAATATATCCTGTATTTATACACACATCATGATTATTGTGGTTCATTATCAGCATCGCTCTCCAGTTTTCACAGAAAGTTTCAGTGAAACAAAACTGTGTGTTCTAGTTTTTATTTTATTAAACATTCGTATTTTCATCATGACAGCAGAAAAGGTGTTTTTGCAGATCAAGCCTTTTGTGATGAATAACAAGAAAACAGAAACTGTACAGCTGAAGGTAAGACTGTATTTACAGAAGGTCAAAGTTAGAGGCTCTAATCTCCACATGAATTGGTCTCTACTTACAATATGAAGAAAAAAAAAGGCATTTCTGTGCATTTGTCGGGGACTATTTTCAGCGGCGTATTAATCAGGTGCTCCTTTGAATATTTGGGGCGGGGGACAACAAACTCTCCTTTCACTTCATTGGTAAACAACACGACAAAGTTCACATGAATCCCTGTAACTCCTGAGGAACATAAAACCTTCACCTTCATTCCTGACCGTGCCAACCTTTTTACTAGAGATGTCACATTACAAAACCAAACAACCCAGTACAATAGAAAAGAAGAAAAAATGTGTTCAAAATCCAAAATACAGTTTTTTTTACAGGTTTTTGGGGAGAGTAAATAAATCAGTTTAAGCTACGGCTTTAGAAAAGAGATAACCTCATAAATTTATTATTAGTGGTGATTTATTTTATTTCATTTACTGCCCAGACATTGTTAGGGTTATTAACTGAAAACAGGCTTTTATTTTGAAAGGATTGTAAAGTTGTAAACGTGGTTATAAACAGCCTGATTGATTGTTTTGATCATCTATCAGAATCCGGATGGTTGATGGTCGTATCTTCGTCTCATGTTCTTTCATTTCTGTGTGGATATTGATGGTTTACTATAATCAGGCTGTCAGTATGTCTCACTGTAGACTGTGAAGCCTGATTTTTACTCCAGTGTCTGATCTGCGCCCTCGTTTCCTTTATACGGCTGGTCCTATAAGAGCTCTGACTTTTCACTATTTAATATCATCAGGTTACAGGATCATGTCTTGTTGTGTGATCTGAGACTGTGTGTAAATTAAGCACCTGTTTTTAATGTAAACATAATATTTTTCAAATAAGAACAACCCTGAAAGTCTATTTAACACACCCTAAAGCATCTCCAGTGTGAGAAAATATATAATGATATGTCACATATGATACACATACAAGTCTGTACACGTCTACTTTGGCACTCTGACTTAAATTAAGGACCCGTTTTCATGTAAACGAGATGATTTTAAACTTACGTCTTTTATGAACATTGTAAACAGCCTGTTGAGTGAATAATCAACATGTCTGAACACTGTTATCTACAGAGGGATAAACTGTCGACACGTCCTCAGGGAGTAAAAAGGCAGAAGTTTGTCTGAAGAGAGTTTTACCAAGTACACTTAAAGGGATATTCTGGCGTAAAATTAATTCTTTAAAAAAATATTCTTTATCATTAACTTGAAGTAATAATCACCATATTAATCATTTTGCACTGCAGACGCGGTAGTTCTTCTGCCTTAGCGTCTCGGTCTGATTGTATTTCCTTGAAGAAATGATCATAAATGTTCTTCCTTGAGCTGCGTCACCCCGCTGTAGTCCGTAGTCAAAGTTAATGCCGGAATAACCCTTTAAGTTAACCAGTAAGGGATCGTCTATGTGAAACACCTGCAGAACATCCTAAACTGAACAATCTTCTTCACCTGCTGCCGTCGTGTCTGCACACTTCGATTCATGCAGATGCAGGAAGGTACTGATGTCAAAGTGAAAAGTCAGGGTCCAATGATGCCCTCTGTTGGTAGAAACAGGTATGACGGTTCATTTTCTATCCCACTGATCTGAACCATTTCTACGAAGTACTGGCTTTGGGCTGTCCTGTGAGACACGCCTCCATCCTACTTGTTCTTGTTGATCAGATTTCCCACTCGCTGCATGAATTTTCCCAGTTTGTTTTCAGTCCCACTTTGATACCCCGGGTAACCGGAGTCATGTCTGCTCAGAGAGGAGCTTCTGTCTTTCTCTGAAGGGTGCATGCCTCCCATTTTCAGCGATTTTTCTCGGGGAATACTTTCAGTGCTTAGCAGGTACTCAAACCGGCTGTAGACCTTCTCTCTTTGGTAGACCGCCGGCCCCTCCTTGTCTGGGGTGCTCCTCTCGCTTCGATCCTGGTCTGCGGCGTGGGCTGTCTTTTTTTTGCTGGAGCGCTGAGGGGACAGCCGTGGGAATGGAGATTTGTGCTTCTCGGTCTCCGAGCTTTGTGACCTGGAGACGATTGGAGAGTGACCCTTCTTGGTGGATCTCTCTCCTGGTGACGCCTGTGGGGGATCTGCTCGGACTGAGTGGTGTGACCCTGAGGGATTCTGGGATTTCATGGAGGCCTTTCTCTGGCTGGACTTCTCCTCTTTTTTGGAGGCTTTCTTCTCATCTGGCGTGAGTAACGAATGCACCTTCATCCTCATTGAGTTTTTCCTCTGAAGCGGCTGCTCCTCAGGTTGCGTTGGTCCTTTTTCAGAAGGAGTACTCTTATCGTCCACTGTGAGCTGAGATCCTGAAGAAGTGCTCGAGTTTTTCGTGATAGATTGTGTCTCGTTAGATGCAGATTTCTTTCTTTCTTTGGGTGTACCTGGATTAGCGCTTTTTGGTCCCTTACCAATCGAATCACGACTTCCTCTGACTTGATCCTGGTTTTGTGATTCTGGAGGTACGCTTGATTTTACAGAGTTCTCCTTTAAGGAAGCTTTTTCCTCTTTGCTTTTCTCCTCATTTCCTTCTTTGAATGCAGAGTCTGAGCTGTTGACTCGAGAATTTGAACTCTCTTTCTCTTCTGGGATCTTGGTCAAAGACTCCATAATTCTCGGGTGTTGGAGACTGAGACCGCTGGACTGCAAATGAGAGAGCTTGAGAGACGGGTCATTCAGTTTCATATCCATGTCAGCAGCTGAGGTTGCCCTGGAGAGAGGCTCGTGCCAATCATACGCCTGCAACTGCCTTCGATCTGGGACCATCTTGACATCACCGTGGGAAGCAGAGCGGTGGTCTTCGGTGAGGATCTGCTCTCTTTTCTCTCCGTCTTTCTTCAGCTCCATGTCTCTTTGGTTGGTTGGTTCAAGGCTCCACCCATTTTGTGGGTTCGGCTCTAACTCTATCATACTCTGCCTCATGTCCAGACCTCTTAAAGAGGTCATCAGTTTATGTCTATCCAGAGCTGGATAACCCTGCCTTAAGCACTCTTGGCTCTGTCTGAGATTGGTGTAGTCCTGCAGGCTGAACCTCTTTTGCCTCATTTCCTCCATCCTGGACTTGATGTCCCTGGACCTGTTGTGAATCAGCTGTGACTGATACTCATTCAAGCCTGTGTGACTACTGTAAGGAGATCCCAGCGGAGATATCGCTTCACATGATGCATCCAGATCACTGTTGTTGAGGTATGTGTCCATCTTCCACCTGTGCAGGGAAGTTTCAGAGTTGAAGGGTATCAGATTCTGGTCGGCCCCATAGAGGGTCCGGTGCTTCAGATGCTGTTGGGACAACCTGTTTGACATCAGCAAGTCCCCGCCAACCCTCATATTAGGTCCAGTCCTTTCAGGAACCAGAGGGCCTCCAAAGTCTTTGGTCCCCATCCTTAGGCGAGACATGGGGTTTAACCTCTGGAGTTCTCCACCGTAACTGTGTCCTCGCACCAGGTTCCCCATCTCAAGGCAGTGGGATTGATGCAGTCTTTCCTGCACGCTCAGGCCCCTGGTCATCATGGCGGCATTGTTAAACCTGTCATCCTGAGCACCGCGCATGCCCTGCATCATTCTGGACCTCAAGTGAATCTGGTTGAGGGCAAACTGACTGGAGTTCGGGCTGTGCATGGCTGCCATGTCTCTGAAGTACTGCAACGATAACTTGCTCTTGGGCTGCAGCTCGGGGATCGTAGAGCGAGCGTACAGCCTTCGAAACTCCTCGTCAAAAGTGCAGACCAGCTGACCGGTGATCACCATGACCATGCTGAGGTTGATCTTCTCAAACGTCCAGGTGTAGCTGGAGAGAGAAACAAGTAAGATAAAAGTTAGTGACCCATAATGAACCACGGCAAGTTTGAGCAATGAGTGGATCGTTCATTTCCCTCAAACCTCTTACGAAGACTCAGATTTCCGATGTAACTGACAGCTCTATTGTTATTTCCCATGTGTCCAGGTCCTTCTCCTCGCTGCCTAGATCACCTTCTCAACATCCTCCAACTTTGGGTTAACAGTTGTGTGATTTGAGCATTGTAGGAAAGTTTACAAACACTTCCTTTTACCACATTTTCCTGGCAGAGGATGACTTGAGCTCGCTGCCAGATAAAACAATTACCTAACCTGAAAAAACATGCCTGAAAGGTTTCTCAAAAATGACTCTGGTTAACATCCATGTTTTAGACTCACTGTCCTCGCCCATTCGCTGATTCATCTTTCTGTAATTGCTCAACAGTTTCTGTTTGGGAAGGTGTGAGTATTTGGGTCCTTTCTTTTCTGCATAGATCACATACCTGACAAATTAATGCCAGTTTGGGTTCTGAGTCAACAGGAAAGCGGCTCGCAGGGTTAACAGTTTTGAAGTTTAAGACATAAGGTGCCAGCTGAGAGGAAGAGGTCGAGCTTATTCACCTGAAGGTCCCGTACACCACCGTCCTGCAGTCCACCAGTAAAAACTTTTCCTCCAGCGCGCCATGAAACTTCACCCCGGACTGACACTGATACTGCTGCCCCTGAACCGTCCGAACACGAATGTTCTGGAGAAGAAGAAACAAACACAAAGATTCACAACGTTAGAGAAACTTGAGCTGAAAATAGGAATAGATGTCTGTGAAGTTTCTGAGGGTTCCTTTCAAACAGAAGATTGACCATAAACCAGGGTTCCCCTCAGGCCTATCAGGAACCTCCACAGTCACTGAGCCTTTGAACCCTGAACCAGTGTGATACTGGTGACCCAGTGGGATAGTCGCTCTGCTCCTGGACTCTGGGACTCCCTCTCTCCGGACCAGGGGCGGCTGCTGGTCTTCAAGGAGGGGAAGCTAATTTTTTTCCCCAGCTTAATCATAAATGTGTTTATTTATATGTAAATTCGACCCTTCGTTCCTTTTTAAGAAAATGATCCGTGACCCTGTCGTGACAGAAGAGAGTTGCCAAACACAGAGCTAGTGGTTTTTAACAAAGACAAAGTCGCTGGGGATCGGTAAAGTCTCCAAACAAGCTCAGGACAACAGGATAAAAAACTTGCTCTGGTGGATGTTAATACTTTAAGATCACTGATTCGCTCATTTCACTGTCAATCAAAAAGGGATCCCACCTCAGACAGATCATCCAATCATCATGCAGGAGTCAGCCCACCAGGCCAGCCCACTGCCCCTTAGACCTGCAGAGATGCTGAGCGTCCGTGGGCGGGACAAAGCCCAGCAATTATCCAATGACCATCCAGTTTCTCGCAGTTGAACAACCCACTCTCCTCTTCCCCATTAAAGTCAGTAAACGCTCAGAGTCTGACTGTGTAAAACGCTGTGGCGGGGATGAATGAGAAGGAAGTCGTGTCGGTAACCCGGGATAAGGAGCTGATTCTGAACAAAAGATGAACGAGCTCTAGCACATATTTAGTCAATGAAATGTTCACACAACCACATATTTTTACATTTGCAGTCTTAGAGCAGTCGCCAACTCCTGCAGACATCCGTAATATCAACTCTCTCTCCATTTCAAATCCCGTCTTCAAACCCGTTTTTAGGTTAGCATATTCAGTCGTTTTAAGTGTCCATTGTTTTAACTGACTTTGTTGACGTTGTCTTGTTTTAACCCTCTATTGTAAGGCGACCTTCTGTGCTTGAAAGGTGCCTATAAATAAAACCTCTATTATTGCTATAACAACAGGAGCTGACCAACAAACTCATCATCTGAACTCTTCTGGTTTAGTAAACTCTAAGTGACGTCCTTTCAGAGGAAAACTCGGCTTCAGGGACAGGAATGTTGAAGTTCTGGTTCAACTGCACACTGAGAACTTGTGTCAGTATTATTCGATTGCGTCAGGCCGGACTGGTTTGTTTGCTCGAGTTAGCTTCCTAACAACTAGCAAAGGTTGTGAATATGACATTACTGATTTCAGAATCAGACGCTATCGCACAACATCTAACAGCATCAAATCAAACTTAGGAGAGGAACATCCAGATCTGTGGAGTCTCCTTTGTCAGCCTTAACACAGAGAAGAACCACGTTAAAACCTGGTACATGTCCCACAGTCCAGATCTTCTCACCGTCCAAGTCCAATAAAAGATCCAGACACACATCACTGAAGACCTGCATCGTTTTAAAGCTACAATGATCCTCGTCACGCTGACCGTGAACAGAGGAGGCAAAACTGTGAGACACCAGGTCATCGTTCATGAGTTCACCTTCAGTGTGGACAGTCCCACAAGTTCATCAGGATAAAATCTTGATTTAATCAACAATACAATGACGGACTGGACCTTTAAAGATGGAAATAAACATTCAAACAACAAAGAAAACAAACAAACTTGTTTTTATATTAAAGACGACACACACAGGGAAACATTAGTCGATATGAAAACTAGACTAGACTAGAAAATACGACTTTTCAGTTTTCACCTAGCCTGAATACACACATACACACACACACACACACACACACACACACCCTTTGTGATACTGACAAGATCGAACCCGCCGTACGTCATTATATCTGGGGATTGTGTTTTGATGTGGCTACTGGCTAAACTATTCGCTCTCTCTCAGCCGTCTCTGTTTGCTCTGATGACTTGTTGTTGTTTGAACTCAAACCTGATTGGATGCTGTTGGACAGGAAAATCCAGACACACACACACACACACACACAGATCTGTCCCGCGGCTGCAGCTCTTTCTCGTACCGCCGTAATGACAGGCAGAAACACAGCCAAGGGAATGCTGGTGAACACCGAGCTGACGAGGGCGTGGAGCTAAAGTCAGAGTTAATCCACTAAAGGCTTCTGCCAATAAAGGAAAGGTCGAGCCACAGGCGAAGTTTCCTGAGGCGCCATCCGAGTCCACGACAGGAAGAGCTAAAAGGAAGAAAAGGAGAGAGTCCTCCAGAGAAGAAGAGAACAGCTCAAAGTTTGAAGAAACCTGCGTCTGAGCCTTTCTTACAGTCTTTGAAAGCTTCTTAGTCCTGAGAAGACGAGAAGATCCTTGAAGGTATCTGAGGTTTGATGAAGCTCTCTGTCCTTCCTCGTCTTCTTCATTGTCTTTGTGTGTCATGTTTGATAATCTCTTTGGGATTATCTTCTCACAGAAGACGGATCCATTAACCCTCCAAACAGACCAAACCTTCTCAGAGAGGAAGACTCTGTTTATGAGCGTGTTTTTAGAGCAGCAGACTGACTAACTTTTGTGTTTTTACAGATTCATAATCAGAGTTTGATGTCAAGTGTCCTCAGGAACCATCAACCTTCACACGGACTCGCCTCCACAGCTACTCTCTCTCAGTGTTTTCACTAACGCTTGTTATGGTGTCACTGGACTACTGCCCTTTACTGAGTCTACAAGCACCGAGAAAAACATCAATTATTGATCGCCTCTGCGACAGAAAAGGTGGAGACCTCTCAGCTCGTAACTACGTCACCATCTCCAAGAACCAGAACCATCAACAAAACCTGTTAGAGAGAAGCGCCAAACACTATCTATCTATCTATCTATCTATCTATCTATCTATCTATCTATCTATCTATCTATCTATCTATCTATCTATCTATCTATCTTCTACGACGCGTCTCACCTTGAAGTCGTGGATGTTGACGCCCACTCTGTGCGACATGGTGAGGAAGCTCTTGAACTGGGAATCATCGAGGAGGATGTAGACCGCCACGCCCCTCAGCGTGGCGTTTATGATCTCTTTGAAGATATCCACGTCAGTGAAGACATCCATCGCTATGGCGATAACCTGGAGGCATAATCAACGATTAGTAAGAATCGGATCATGTTTGTACAGAAACGCCCAAAGAAATCGAATATTTGAAGGTCGGCGTTCAAAATCAGTTTGAGGAAGTTTGATTTTCCCTCCAGAACAAACAAACAAACAAACAAACAAACAACTCCTGTGGTATAAATGAATGAATGAATGAATGAATGAATGAGAGTCTGAAGAGGTGGAGGAAGTAAGAAAAACTCTCTCTTCAGCAGGAACTCTAATTCCTATAGACATGGACACGTTTTACAGAGCGGCATGATCGACTCTGACAAACTGAAGTTGTTATTCTACCTCTATCTTTTCCTAAAGACGCCGTGTTGAAAAAACAGGGATTTACCCAGCAGGCCACGGGGGTCGGTCCATTTGTTGATTTAATTTGTGACTTTTTTGTTACACAAAAGATCTGAAGGTAGACAACAACTCCCCAGTGATGTCTGAGGTCAAACTCTGTGCTCAGATTTATAATTCATTTATTTATAATATAATTTTTATTACATAATTTATTACATATTATATTTATTTGTTATGTAATATAATATAATTAAATATAAATGTAATTTTAATTTCAAACTCGTCTTTTTTCACACAAACCAAGTCACAGATAGAAACAGAGGAAGACTAAAAACTCCTCTAACTGTGGTCTGTTGTTGTAAATGTATAACTCAATAAATAAAGTTATTGTGTTGACCTTTGAACTTCTTTAAAGACTCAAACCTTAAACAGAAATTTCAAGTTTGACTCTCTGAGTTCAAGCAGAGGTAGACCGACAACTCCTGCAGATCTCCTTAGATGAGTATCTGCATGAACAAATCTGGTATTTATGAAACGAAGAAAATAAAGTGTTATCCAGTTTTTATAGCCGGGGTAGACCAAGAACTCCTGATCCAGGTCCAGATGAACTCAAAGTGTAACCCTCTTTAAATATCAGCTGGATATGAAGGTGTCTGGTTTGACTGATTACTCAGGTCTTTGTAGATTCATGACTGACTGTCGTCCCTGATATATGAGCCTTCAGAGAGTGTGTGCGTGTGTGTGTGTGTGTGTGTGTGTGTGTGTGTGTGTGTGTGTGGGGGGGGGTCCTCTGAGGGGGAGGGGGGCGGCCTGACTTTGATCGGACCTCCAGGCGTTCAGGATTTACAGCTGTTACCTCTGCAGTGAGCAGACCAGGTCTGAGTGTTTCAGGTACGACTCTAAGAAACATCGTGTTCAAACACACACACACACACACACACACACACACACACACACACACACACACACACACACACACACACACACACACACACACAGAGAGTGAATGATCAGCTCCTCGGCGAGTCTTGTAGCTGAACATGAAGAGGATTCAGGCTGAGACACGTCGGACGGTTCGTGTCATCGTCGTTGTCTGCAGTCAAAGCTGATGTTAATCCGAACCTCTAAACTAACTCAGAGTTAAACTCACCAACTGTTCCCTCTTCAGTAAACTTGGACTCTGGTAGAAACGGTCATGAGAAGAAGAAGTTCCCTCAGGTGGTTTGTTTTTCCGTCAGTAGGACAGGATCAGTCGCCTCACTTTCTTGTATTTCTGCTTCATTTTCTCACAGATTTCTCCTCACAGCTCAGGATCAGTTTGTTTTTTCACGCTGAGTAATCACGATGTAAATATTGACCGTTTGGGAACTTAGTCACGTACATATACAGAGAACTTTGGGGTCTTTTTAGCTCTCTTTAGTATTTACCCACGGCATCTGCTGCTGCTGCAGTTCAACCAGTCCTGTCTTGCTTATCTTATCTGATTTTACCGTATCTTACTGGTTATTACTACGGTCGGGTGACTGATATTTCATAAAATCACTGAAACACTTTCTCTTCAAAAGTTCCAGTGAAGCTTCAGTTACAGAAGAGTTTGTTAAATGTTGATAAAATCAGATTTTGATGGTTAATAAATCACTCCAGGCTGAAAGTACCTGATTAGAAAAAGAGTAGATCAGACGTCAGAGATGTAAATGATGAGATTATGAACTTTCTCTGCTGGTGTCGAGTTTAAAAAGATGAAATCTTTACAATAAAATATTCCTTGATTTTCTGTCTTTGCTTAAATTTGTGTTTTTAAAAATTAAACTTTTTGAAGGTTAAAAATCTGGTTTGTTGTTGTCGTATGAAAACGTGGTTAAAGCTCCAGTTGGGGTTTTTACTATCGGTTATTAAATGATGTTTTCTGTGATTCCATGACGTAGTTGTCTTCACTTGTTGTTGGTCATTTGTGTGTGTGTGTGTGTGTGTGTGTGTGTGTGTGTGTGTGTGTGTGTGTGTGTGTGTGTGTGTTAATTTTCAGTCAGTCAAAAGTCTGACTGAGTCTCTGGGTCTGTTCAGGTCTAGGGGGTCAGGGATCTGGAGCTCCGAGGATCCCTTTACTCTGATGAATGAGTCGTCGACACGTGTCTCCTGGGATCTGCTCCGACATGAAGACCGACTCAGAAGAAAGGTCTCTGCAGAGAGCGGATCTAGTTTTGCTTGATTTCAGCTGAAGTCAGCAAAGGTCCGATCATCAGGTGGTTTTAAGGATTACGGCGCCAGATGATCCCGTGGTGTGAGGGCGGTTCAGAGAGATTAAACATTAGGGACGGGAGAAAAAAAACGATCCAGCATAGTATTGCGATATTTTGTCTGGTGATATATCGTATCGTCTCATTTACCAAGTAACTATTTTTTCAAATTAATAAGATACTTGGGCCAAGATACGATATTACCTTGATACTTTGGTGACGATTCTTGGGCCACGATATGATATCATCACGATTCTTGAGCCACAATGCGATATAATTGCGATTTTTTAACATTTTACAATACAGTGAGTATTGCGATACAATATATTGCAATTTTTACAACTTTTTCAACTGTTTAGCTAATATAGCATTTGTCTTTCCTTTATGTTTGTCTTAGTTACACTGTGTTTTATTTTCATGTAGCACATCTTTCTAACCTTATACTTAAATATATATATATATATATATATATATACTTATATATATATATATATATATATATATATATATATATATATATATACTTATATATATATATATATATATATATAAAAATATATTTGTTGTACTAATTTTCTCCTGCTCTCTGATGTCTCCTCTGCCAACCTTACTGAACAAACAGTTGATTTTATTTTTCCATTATCAGTGATTTGACTTCATATTTAATATTGTATCGTGGCCCAAGTATCATGGGTATATCATATCCTGGCCAAAGTATCATGATAATATTGAATCATTGGGCCACTAGTGATTCTCACCACTATTAAACACGTCCAGTACAAATCCCAGAGGACGACCTCGTGATGACCTCCATCCATCGTCACGAGGAACAAACTGACAACAGTGAGTCTGAAGGTTTTGGTGAAAGTACGAACACTGAATCATGACCACGAGAGAAAACATGAGACTGAACATAAAACCTATTCAGGATTTTTATGTGAAACTTCGGTCGTTTTTAAATTTGAACTGAACAAACTCTGAAGACACAAGTGGTGTGGATAAGTGATGAACTTTGACCCTTTGACGACAGGCTCACAGGTCCAATCACAGCGGAGGAACTCTCAGTTCTCATGATGTCATTAACACAAATAAGAGTTTCCTGAGACAACGCCTCCCATTGTGTGATTTAACTGCTTTTGTTCTTAAGTGATGAACGTGCGTGTGTGTGTGTGTGCGTGTGCGTGTGCATGTGTGTGCGAGGTAGAGTCAGCCTCTCACCTGCCTGGCCTCCTGGATCTGTTTGCGCACCACCTCCTTTATACTCGGCGTGTTTTCTCTGGGCGGGTGGAACAGCAGGCTGATGCTGGTGTCCGTCCCCTCCAGTGACACCTCCGGCCAGCCCAGATCCAGGTCAGGTACCTCCTCATCTGACTCAGTGGGGAAGTATGTGGAGGTCCTGGCTCCGTTCTCTTCTGTGAGCCTCCTCACTGCTGACTCGTCCTCATCCTCCTCCTCCATGACCGGCAGCTCTCCATTCTCCAGAATGAACAGGATCTCCTCGTCGGACAGGAAGTGACTGATCTGCTCGGCCCTGAGGAACTCCTCGTAGGCCTCCTTACCTCCACAGAGCAGGGCATAGATGGCCAGCCGGTACGACTCCTTATAGTGAGGCTGCACATAAAGCGGGGTTACCTCTTCTTTCAGAGATGACAGGCCGGACAGATTGGACTCCATGAGTGTCAGATCTTCACCTTCAGAGGGAACATGAGGGACTGTTACCTTCAACCAACAACAACCACCAACGGCACTCCGAGCTGAGGTGGGAAACCAGTCCGTCAGGTGTGAGACACGCTGCTGACAGCAGCCTGAGTGTCAATCATCCAATTAAAAGGATTCAGCTTGAAAAGCTGTCTTTAATTTATGTTCATTATTATCTTTGTTTTCTTTACTTCATCGGTATGACTACAGTATAGTTCAGTGACCGATAAGTCAATTTAAAACTCTGTTCTGCTTGTTTTATTTTGTTCTGTGGTCTGAATGTTGCTCACTGATCGATTATTAGAAACTTAATAAAACAGACTCACCACTCTGTGAGAGACCACGTCAGCATCTAGTTCAACTATTAAACTAAAAAATTAAAATAAAAATAGTCCAGATGTTGAAACTGGGTCGTCATGGTTCTTAGGAACCTGCAGGCAGCCCCCCCACTGAGCATTTTTGGTCTGAAAGAGGTCAAATAGACGTCTAAATGTAGCCAAGACGTCTAAAATTGGGCTACCACAGGTCTAAAAATGAGATTTTTTTTAGACGTCTAAGTTTAGACGAAGTCTTAATTGGGGCTAAATCGATACTACACTGTATATTGCTCATCGGCTATCATAATTATTTTGGTTAAGTACTTGGAGATCAGTTATGCGACTCAAAGTTGCATTTTAAAGTAAATAGTTATCGGATAACGGGTTAAAGTGCAACGTCTAAATATCGTAGAAAAATATACAGAATCTAGACGGTTGAAATTAGGTCTAAAAAAGAAAAAACTGTCGTCTGAGAGCCGTCTATTGGTCAGTGGGACTGCCTTAAAAACAGACAGGACTCTGAATCTGACCTTCTTTGTTGTCGCCTTAGGAGAAACATCTCAACTAAGTCCAGATGTCCTTTCCAAAAGAAGAACTGGAAACCATAGATGCTGCATCCTCAGATTTAAACAATATCTCCAGGTTTAGGAGCAACATCTGCTTCCATCCAGACCTTCATCTGATCCCAAAACACATTCTGACAACAGGAGAAGAGTCCTGCTGAGGAACTGGACTGATGCGGTTCTGAGCAGGGATCTTCCTCTCAGTTGGCAGAAACACTGAGCAGAACCAGACTCAGTGACCATGACAAGAAAAAACAAAACAAAACAAAAAAACAACAACAGACTTCTCCCACATTTATGAATGATGCAAAGATATGACTCAACCTCTCTGGATGTCATTCTTCTCTGAACAGTTTCGGAGTTTCTTGAACTTGAATCATAAAAAATCATTTGAGGCGTTTTTTTGTCGTTAGTTTGAAGTCCAGGTCGGACCGGTTCTAGTGGTCAGGTTCAGACTTCAGGTGGATTCAAAGAAAACTGGATTTTCAGCTGAAGTTTGACAAACACTTGTCCACATTTTCAGGATATTTGAACTCTGAACTTGTGGAGTTTCGTGCAGACAGACGTCGTTTTGTCGTTCCCTCATCTCTGGTTTTTAAATTTGAGTTTTAAGAATGATCTCCAAATGTTGCTGATTTTAAAAACACTTTAAAACAGAAACTTGACTTTTATTTATACGTTTAAAGTTTATGTTCTCGTCATGTCTATGCTGCTGTAACATTATGAAACAGCTGTGAACTGTTTGTGTCTTTCAGCTTGTTGATTTAACTGTGAAGCAGTCTGAGTTTACTCCTGTTTGAAACTGAACCTATTTACTGACCTAGTTCACGTTTATTCACACGTATTCTGATGGTTAAATCTTGTTCTTAAAAAAACGGAGCAGCTTTTATTCTAACTCTGTTTTTAACTCTCACAGTCTGAAACATTCATGCTCCTCCACCAAACACACACCAGAAGACCCCGCTGTGCCCCCTTTTTAGAGTAAAACCACCTCAAACAGACTCACCTCATGACGTGGTTTCATCTGCAGACTCCTGAAACTCTTCAAAAACAACAAAGTCAAACCCGCAGTCGGCCTCTGTGAACCAGCAGCACTAAGGTGTGGATTTGAAACTGCCTGTGCAAACTAAGATCTTGTCTTACTTGCCCTGTTGGCTCCACTTACTGTAAGTGAAGCCCCGCCCACCTCGGCTCACCTGCGGTGCAGGCATGAGAGCAGGTTTGTTTACCTGTCTGAACCTGGAAACAACCAACCAGGAGAGGCAGAGAAACCCTCGACTGAAGTCAGAGTACAGAGAAGAAAAAAGGTCGAACTGCTCCTTTACAACCATAACTTAGAAATGGTAAGAAGATAGTTTATTAATTTTTAATCATCATTTATAAATAGCATATTTAAGCATTAATAAACTGTAAATTTTACAATTTCAAAACCCCAACCCTAACTTTACAAAAACCATCTAAATAATGTTTGTAATAATTATAAATAATAATAATTTATACTAATTAATGAAAATTATTGATCATAATTTCTATTTGCCATTTATAACTTATGGTTTTCGAGACTCTCACCTGAATCCTTGTATTTTTTCTCCAAAAAGACCTAAAGAAAAACCACAGAAGACCCTGATCCAGAACAACCCAAGCCCACATACCAAGTCAGCACCCGTGATGGTTCTGTTTGAGTATTTGTGTCGTTGGAGCTCCTGAAAACGTCCAGAAAAGGTCAGAAGTGAGAGTGTGAAGGAGAGCAGAGACGACAGGAGGAGGTTGATCGAGTTTATTGCCATCACAAAGCATGGAGGACACAGACAGACCAGAACCAGAACCAGGAATGGAGGTGAGTGATTTTATCTCCAATGATGAAGCTACAGGAGACATCAAGGAGAACCACTTCACCATCCCGGAGAAAACACACAAATAAACGGAGAGTCTGTGCTGTAGGACTCTCAGAGAACTCTGGAGGTGAACTCAGATTGATCGCAGCTTTGTCCGGTTTCCTCGGGTTTGTCTGAACCGGTTTGAAGGTCGGGAACATCTCGACTAACGTGAGCAGAAACACGAACAGGTCTGAAACGAACGCGGTTTCATCAGAACATAAAAACACGACAAACTGACGACTAGTTCAGTTCCAGATCTGCAGAAGGAGATCCTACAGGGACTGAGGACTCCGCTAAATGAAACATATGATATGGAGCTTATGAGACGATATATGTCACGATATCCTGTTATACTGTGAGTAAAGCTAAAGTCTGAACGGGAGTCCACCTTTATTACTGAGATCATCACGTATCATAGAACAGAAGTCAGGACACAACATATCGTGATATATCGTGATACTGTGAGCAAAGGCTCTTCATAGGCAGTCAGAGTGTTTCAGGTAAAATGTTTTTTTAACTTTATCAAACTACTGTCGTGATTGGACACTCCTTTGTGCTCATGATATAGAGGTTAAGAGACGACATATCGTGATATATCGTGATACTGTGAACAAAGGCTCTTCATAGGCAGTCAGAGTATTTCAGGTAAAATTTCGTTAACTGTCGTGATCGGACACTCCTTTGTGCTCATGATATAGAGGTTGAGAGACAACATATCATGATATATCGTGATACTCTGAGCAAAGGCACCTTACTGCAAACATAACGATTCAGGTAAAAATAGTGAGAGCTTGCATAAAACTGAAGTCATGACGATGTGAACTTCTGAAATCAAAGTGAGCTCAAACCGGACACTCCTTTGTGGTCATGATACGCTCCATATCACGATATAAAGGTCACACAAAGGGCGATACATCGATGCCGATGCTGAAAATGCTGATTATACGTAAACTCAAAGTAAAGACACAACCTTCAGAAACCAGGACCACAGCTGTGACGGATCTGGGTCACCCTCCAACATCTAAAAACACAGAAAACGGCGTTCCACAGGAGCGTGGAAGGTGCAGCTCTTATAACCATGAACAGAAACTCTCTTCGTGTTTCTGCGTTTCCCCCTCAGAGACCAGTGAAAGGAAATCTACTGACTGTTAGCGGTCGCTGTCAGCGTCTCTCCGACGCTCGCTTTTCCTTTATTCCCATCAGCCAGTTCGTAAAGAGGGGCGTCTCACAGCGACCGCGTCTACATCCACTATAAAGGTTTCACACTCATGCTAACAGCCAACCCCTCAGAGGTCACCACCACGCCACCGTTTACTTCCTGGGTGGGGTAGGTGACTTCATGAACCTGGGCGGGGTTGGTGACTTGACGCCACGAGATGGAGTCGGGGACTTGGGGGTCGGGGTCGGGGATTTAGGGATGGGAGTGGAAGCGGGGGTGGAGGCTGGAGTCGGGCTCTTCATGGACATCGGGGTCTGGGACTTTGAGGGGGTAGGGGTTGGGGTCTTGGAAGGAGGAGCGGGGGACTTGGGCGGCACAGGCGTGGCTGCAGGTGTGGCGACAGGTGTGGCGACAGGTGTTTTGGCCTGTCCCATTTTGGGCTCGGGTAACTGCTCGCCATGTCGGTACACACTGACTGTGATCTCCACGAACTCGCCGCCGTACTTGTTCCGCACGTTGATGCTGTACTTGCCGGAGTCGTCGGGGGTGACTTTGTTGATGACGAGGCTGGCGAACTTGCCGCCGTCAAACGTGACCTTGGTGTGCTCAGTGGAGGCGACTTCCTGGTCATTCTTGAACCAGGAGACCTCGGGTGTCGGCTCGCCCCACACGGTGCAGGTCAGGCTCAGAGACTGGAGAGGAGAGGAGAGAGAGCGAAGCGGGGTCAACGGAGACCTAACAGAGACCTTTACAGCTGATCTGAACCTCATGGATCCAGAATGTCTGGAGAGTTCCCCGTCGTTGTCCTTTCAGTTGTGAATAACCACGATGGCGGTTTGAGTCACGGAGACTTTAAACTACGAAGTTTGTTTATCTGTGAGACGGCGGTAAAGCTGTTAGGGATTAATATTTCCATGTTTGATCAGAAAGTCTCTCACCTTCTCCTCCATGATGGTGACAACATCAGGCAGACCACCGACCACTCTGCCGCGGTCTGAGGAGAGAAAAGACAAACGTTTGTTACCTCGACTCCTCCTTCATACAGGAACAAACACACGTTTACGCTCTGTCAGCGTTTCTATGAGATGGAGACGTTCAGGAGGAGGAATGTGAAGCTTCCAGTCTTTGAACTGTCAGACCTGAACCTCAGTTTGTACTTCAGAGAAAATAACTCGACCTCAAATCGACCTGCATTAAGCTGCCTGGTCTTTACTCAACGTTCAAACATCTCTGTGATGTTCGCACTCTGAAACCTGACGGACCTCTTTTCAGTGGAAACATCACAAACATGCAGAGTTCCTCACTGATGACACTTCCTCCTCTAGATCAGATTTTCAAATACTCACTCTTCTCAGCGAATGCAGCTGCCCTGAAAGGCGAGAAACAAACAAACAAAAACACAAATGTAAGTTTAAAATAATCTCAATATTCGTGTTGATGTTTAACGTTTGCGCCGTGAAATAACTCACTTCAGTCTCAGGTACTCTTCATAGGCGTCAGTGTAAGCTGAAAACGAGAAAAAACAACTTAAACACCAGGATAAAAATAAAAACTAACTTAAGAGAAAAAGTCGAAAATTTACAGGAAAAAAAGTGTTTAAAAAACCAAAGATGTACAGATTTTCTAAATGAGTTTTAAATTTTCAGGGTTTAAGATGCAAAAAAAAAAAAGGTAAAAAAAAATGTGAGTTTATAGAAACAAAATCAGAATCAATCAGAATTAACTTGTAAACCTGCGACAAAAAGAGGAAAATGATAAATAACATTTATGAGAATAAAGTCATGATAAAATAATTGTTTCATCTATTAAAAAAAAGTCAAAAAATTACAAAAGAAAGTTTTAAAATAAAGTTTTAAATTTATCAGGATCTAAATGTAAAGAAATGTAATGTAGGAAAAGACAAAGAATGAGAAACAGTCAGGTTTTTATGAGAAATGAATCTGAAGTTTTTGATTTAAAAAAGTTTTAAAACAAAAAAATCAGAATGTTATGAATAAAAGGTTGTGACAGAAGAATTTTACAAATAACATGAAAGAGGTAAAACAAAAGCAACAACTAAATTTTACCAAAAAGGTGATTAATGTAGATTTAAGTATTAAATTTTTAATAAATAAACATGTAAGTTATCAGGTACGTTTAGTTTTTACTCAGTAAAAAAATCTGAAATTAAAAGATTGAAGTTTGGATTTTTGAGAAAAGTCGTCAACTTGCAGCTTTGATCGTAAATTAAGAAGAAAAAGTCTTAATTCTTTTTATCGGCTTTATTCTTGTCTTCTTGTTTGTTCAAGATTTTAGAAACTTGATATAAATTCAAACTCCAGAACGACAACAGTTGAATCCAGAGATGGTTCTGAGTAAATGAGACTCTTTAACAGTTTTAACAGAGACCAGAACATACAGCAGGGTTTTTGGTTACCTTGTCCGGAGAGGTCAAAGGTCCTGGTGTGAGTCTTGACGCCATCAGAGATCTCGATGGCGTAGTGACCCTTCTCCTTGTCACTGGGGTCACAGATCTGCATCCAGGCCATCTCAGCTGTTCCTCCGATCCTCATCTTCTCCGAGGAGGCGATCTTACTGTCCCTGCGGAGTTTCACAGACACAGAGTTCAGACGTTCAGAGATGTTTGAGGAGCAGCTGAACTGGAGGAGGAGGAGCGCCGCTCTCTGAAGAGGAGCGCTCCTCATAAATCAGCGGGAGTGTTTTTATTGGACGACTAACACACAAACACTTCTCTGATCAGACTGAGGCTTCGTCTTGTCGGGGTTGTTTAGTCAATGTTCCGCCGCTGTCTGTTAACTTCAGCGACTTTAAAGGAGCAGTTCACCAAATACAGATCCAAACAGTGCTGCAGGTTTTTGTCTGTCTGCTCTTCTACTCTCACTCCTGAACCTGTGAGCTTCAATATTTTCATCTTTCTGAGTCAAACAGGAATCTACCAACAATCACCTTTTCTGTTACTCTCAGATCAGAAACAGAACTGAGCGGCTGAACCCGCCTCGGCTCATATTGGAGTTGTGTTGGCTTCACTTTTATGCAGCAGGAGTCAGTGTCCATCTTTACCTGCAGTCAGTGATTTGAAACCTTTTCACCTGACGAGCAGCAGGTGGAGTCAGGTGAGAAGGTTAGAGTCTGAACGTACTTGTGTTTCCAGACGGTCTTCATCTCCTCTGTGTAGTAGTTCATGTAGCACTGCAGCCTGATGCCCTCTGGGGTACACTGCAGGACCAGTTCTGAGGCGGACGCACCTGGAGAACAATGAAGGAAACAGTCAGATTACGGCTCCACGATGTTGGAAAAAACTAACACTGCAATTCTTTTAAACCCCGGTTTGTTTTAGATTTCAGATCATCTCTACGGTCCCTGAACCCAACACCAGTTACTTTTTACGTCTTTGTTCACAGAGCACCTCAGGCTCCTTTTTTTCGCTGGTTCAGCCATTTTTTTAAAGGTTAAGTCTGTGTTTTTTTTAGTTTCCTGCACACACAGTCAGACCTTCAGGCTGAGACATGTCGCAGCTGCAGGAGAACAAAGACGCTGATCCTGAGGACACACATTTATAAGACTCAGAGAGAAACACAAAGTGAGTCTTCTCATTCACAGCTGATCCAACTCACCGGCGACCTTGGCGAGTGCGTTGATGATGTCGTCAAACACTGAAATGAGAGATAGGAGAAGATGAGATACCTTCAAAGCGGTTCACTCGTAATAAAGAAGAACGAAGGTCAAAGTGAGTGAAGTCACCTTGGCCTGAGATGTCAAACACAGACGTGTCCTTTCCTCTGTCGTCACTGAGGGTGGCTTTAAAAATGCCCTGGTCCTTCCTTGAGAACTAAAGACACAAAGATCATCAACATTCAGACACAGCTGAAGAACTTCAGATGATGGAGTAGAAGATGGAGAAGTTACCAGGGGGATGGGCAGAGCGCAGGCTCCAGACATGACGTTTGGAGGAGTTTCTGGAATAATCTCATCGTCCTCTTTGTACCAGTGGAAAGACGACTCCTTCTTCACGTTCGCCACCTGAAACACAAACATGGCGAGTGTGAGGGGGGAGGAGCGTTTTCTGACAGGAAGTGACCCAGGAGAAAAGGGGAGACTTCATCTACCTTGCAGGCCAGCATGACGGTGCAGTCCTCAGTGACGGTGAAGTAGAGATACTCGGAGAAGTGAGGACCTGAGGCGACAAACAGGCGATATCAGCACCAATGCATTCTGGGTAAAAACAGAGATGGACCCCGAGTGTTTGCAGGTTCTGTTTACCTTGCTTCCTGATGTGCTCCTTCCTCTGAAACTCAGCTTCCTTCAGAGCAGCTTTGAACACTGCAACAGAACCAAAGTCTGGATTACTGAAACGTCCTTCAAACCGACAAAAGTTCTTCTGAGGAGGAACCACAGCTAAGCCTCTACTCTTTCCCACTCACCGTCTCCGACCAGAACCAGAGAGCTCTGGGTTTTGGCCTTCCCGTCAGTGACCTGGACGGTGTACGTTCCCTCGTTGGCTCTGGTGAAATGATCCACGGTCATCTGGATGACTCCTGTGGCCACGTCGTGACTGATCTTATGTCCCTGAGGAAAAATCACGATCGCGACAGACGAATCAGCGCAAATATGAAACTTCCAGATATTCAAGATTCATCACAAACAGAGTGAAAGATATGATGACTGATTTAGTTTGAATCTCCATGACGACAAGATCATCGACAAAACCAATCAAAGAACATCCAGTTCATTCTATCATTCATCCATCCATCATCCATCCATCCATCCATCCATCCATCATCAATCATCCGTCATCTATCATCCGTTCAGCCATCATCTATTAATCCATCCATCCATCCATCATCTATCCATCCATCAATCCATCCATCCATCAATCCATCCATCCATTATCCATCCATCTATCTTTCATCTATCCATCCATCCATCCATCAATCCATCTATCCATCGATCAATCCATCCATCCATTATCCATCCATCTATCTATCATCTATCCATCCACCCATCCATGCATCCATCCATCCATCATCTATCATCCGTCATCTATCATCCATTCAGCCATCATCTATCAATCCATCCATAATCTATCCATCTATCCATCCATCTATTATCCATCTATCCTTCTATCCATCTATCAATCATCCATCCATCCATCCATTTATCCATCCATCCATCCATCCATCCATCCATCATCTATCCATCCATCGTCTATCCTTCCATCACCTAGCCATCATCCATCCATCCATTCATTATCTATCCATCCATTCATCATCCATTAACCATCTATCATCCACCATCCTTCCATCCATCCATCCTGTGTTGTGTTATATGAACCTAATGACTGAGTGTTGTTGCCCACAGTAGGATTGTGGGTCTAGTTCTGAATCTCAAGAGGACTCACCTCTCCACTGGTGACCTCCTTGTCGTTCACGATGAACCTGTAGGACACGGAGGGCGACAGTTTGACGGCCTGCAGCCAGAAGCGTACGTGACCCTTCTCCAAGATCTCGTAGTTCAGCCCGTGTTTCAGAGGAACCACTGTAAGGACAGAAGGACGTGGTCAGGAGATGAACTTCATTAAATTGATGGAGGTCTGCAGGTGACGCGCAAACACTCACCGGGGTGTCTGATGGCGTAGCTGAGCTCCAGCATGGTGTTCAGAGCTGTAGAGAGAAGTACGCTAACATTAGAACCAATCAGAGCAGGACATCATAAACACCCTGCTGATCACATGACCCACCGTCCTCCGTCAGAGTGTGGCTGCCGGAGACTCCGTCTGTGTCCGTGACGACCACAGAGTATTTCCCCAAATCGTCTTTATCGGGGTTGGTGAAGGTCAGTCTGGATCTGAAAAACCAACACAGGAACTTTTCTGGACCGAGTCAGGATTTATTCTGTCGGTTACTTTAGAGGATTTTAGAGCGTTTCTGTCCCACTGACAAAGAAAAAAAACTATAACATGTGACGAGCCGGTCTGAGGCCTCTGCTCAGGACTGTGGAGATCACTCACGTTCGGCCTTTGGTTGTCATGGCGACCCTGGGGCAGTCTCCGATGGGTTTGTAGTTCTTGGACCAGATAAACTTGGACGTGTCGCAGAGCTCACAGGCCTCCAGAGACAGGAAGACGTCTCCGGTCTCCTCGTCCACGCCAGCAACGATCTCCTTGGTGCCTGAGGACAGAAACCACGTTAAGAACATCAGAGGAAACGACTTCAGCGTGTAATGGATAATCATGGACGACAGGGGGCGCCAGAATCAACACAAACCCTCTCAGGAGTTTTCAAGTAAGTTTGACTTTCTTCATGGAGATTTGAGGTGAAGAAGCGACTGCAGAGATTTGTTTGATTTTTGTTTCAAACATTTAATGAACAAAACGATTTTCTGCATTTAAGAGAAAATCCGTTTTTGTTTCTGTAGATTTCTTATGAACCAGAATTGGGTCCACAAGGAAACACCGGACTGCAGCGTTGAATTCATCATGCTGCTGAGGAACACTCAGTTTCAGAGTTTCAGAGTCTCACCTGGCAGAGCTCTGGCGCAGACCGGCTCAGACACCTGAGAAGGTTGACCCACACCCTTCGAATTAACGGCACGAACTCTGAACACGTAGCTTTCACCTTCAACCAGATCTTTCACCTGCAGGAAAAAGTAAAAACATCTTTAAAAATTCTCGCAGTTTCATCAGCTGGTCCATCTTCAGGTCTCAGAGAGTCCAGAGAGTCTCTTACGTTCAGGTACCGGTGGCTCACAGCCTCCTGGGTCAGAGTCACAAACTCAGACGAACCCTTCTTGGCCATGTCCACCAAATATCCAGTGACTGAACTTCCTCCGGTGTAGACGGGAGCTTTCCACAGCAGGACCAGAGAGTGACTCCTGACCTCACTGAAGCTCAGGTCGAAGGCTGGACCTGGAGGTTAGACCAGATAGAGATAAAAGGATCACTTATGGTCTCACCTAGAAGAAGTTCCCATGTTCCCTCAGTCCTGATCACTGAGTGTGAGGATGTGGACTTAGACCTGGACTGAGCTCCACAGTCAGCGATGAGGACTGAGCTCCATGTTTGGAGTTTATGAACTTCATGCTGAGGAGATAACCCCTCAGATGGTTGTCCTACCTGGCTCCTCCATGGTCCAAGCTTCACATTTCATGGGGTAACTGGGGTCTGAGGGTACGCCCACGCCGGCCATGTTGGCGGCCTGGATCTTGAACTCGTAGAAGTTTCCCGCCGTCAGGTTTTCAATCTAAAAATACAGAAAGTGTGAGTGAGGTCCTTCCATCTGAAGATCTTTGATAACAGACGTCGCCGTCCCCCTGATTGGATCTTCGTCTCACTCACGGTGCAGACTCTCTCCGTGACGGCCTGCAGGTTGACCTCCTTCCACGCCAAGGTGTCGGCGTTCCTCCTGTCGATGTAGTAAGCGTTGATTTGGGAGCCGCCGGTGTGTTTGGGTTTCTTCCAGGCAATGGTCATGGAGGCGCCGTCGCTGCTCAGCAGGGTGATGCCGTAGGGAGCGCTGGGAGTCGCTGCGTCACAGATAAGAGTTTGAGACGGTTATCTTGTTTATTTTATTTAAAATTCACTGTGACACAAATCTGAGGTGTCTAAACAAGAACACAGAGTTACAACGACATGCAGAAAATTTTCATCGAATCTAATCCTGAGATCAGGAAAACAACAGTTGGAGTTTTATCAGTGCGGTTCACTTCCACTGTGCCGTGACAAAAACACTGAAAGGTGACAGAGTGGGAGGAGCAGTGAGTGGGTCAGGTGGGAGGAGGTAAACACACCTTTTGGTACATACCGTACTCCACCCCTTTACCTGGATGAAATAATCACATTTACTAAACGTCACCGTTTTTAAACAGCTGATCAAAGTTTGAAACTTGAGTTTTTTTTCAGAGACCCTTCAGGCGCCGACGGTGTCTTTAAATTATTCAAATAAAGTTTTTTTTTTTTGTAAAGGGGGGTCCTTACCGAGAGCGGGCACCACAGAGATGGGGGTGGACTCCTGAGACTCGTCACTGAGGCCGAACACGTTGACGGCTTGGACACGGAAGACGTAAGTCTCTCCAGGGAGCAGACCGTGGACCACAAACCTGAGACACAGACCAGACCAGGAGAATCTTTGTGTATCAATATGTCCGGAAGAAAACACACAACAAAACCTGACACCGAAACCTCTTTACAGAGTCATTACAAAGTCATTACAGAGTCATTACAGAGTCTTTACAGAGTCTTTACAGAATCTTTAGATTTCTTACAGTCTTAAGAGTCTTAACAGAATCTTTAGAGTCTTTACAGAGTCTTTAAAGTCTAAACAGTCATTACAGAGTCTTTACGGAGTCTTTACAGTCTTTAGAGTCCTAACGGAGTCTTTAGAGTCTTTACAAAGTCTTTACAGAGTCTTCACAGAGTCATTGCAGAGTCTTTAGTCTTTACAAAGTCTTAAGAGTCTTTACAGAGTCTTTAGATCCATTACAGAGTCTTTACAGAGTCTTTGGAGTCTTTCCAGAGTCTTGGGGTCACAGAGACAGAACACATAGGAGTCCAGGAGTTGAAAAATCAAACAAACTCTGTAAAGTTCTGATTCTGCTCCTCGGTTTGTCGTCAGTTGGAGGTTTTGTGTTGTTCGTTTCAGTTTTTTGCAGACCTGCAGATCGAGAACTTACCTGGTGTGTTTGAAGGGTTTGTGGTTGCAGGGGAACCACTCCTTGGACCCGACGACACGCCCATCAATGTAGTACCCCATCAGGTTCTTCTGAGCTTTGGGAGCTTCCCAGTGAACGAAGACGGAGGACTTGGTGTTTCTGGAGGCCACAATGGTTCCTGGAGCAGAGGGCACACCTGTGCGGGAGAGAGCAGAAAGGTTCAGTTTGACCTCTGCCAGTCCAGAGGTCCAAGGAGATGCACGCTGTGGATCTAGAACCTGGATCTGAGGAGACGCTGGGTTCAGGAAGCAGCAGGAACTTCTGCAGATCAACACTCACTCTTGGGTCTCATTAAACATTCATGCATTCATAACAGGTGTGTCTGTGATGTTCTTCTGCATGCTCTGACCTCCAGTCACGGTGAGGACACACCAACCAACAGTGAGGAGGTGAATGAAGCTGTGAGGTCAAACAGAGCTTTAAAGGAACACTCAGACACCTGAACATACATACCAACCGGAACCTCGGTACCTGAAACAGACAGTGATTCACTTTTAATGACCCGTCAGCAGGAGTTTGTCTGTAACTCAGCTCTGATGTTTCATGAACCTTTGGAGGCTCCACAAACTTGGAGCTCTGCAGAAAAGTCTGAGTAAATGTTCAGTTTCTTACCGTCCTCGTCCACCTTTTGGACGGGCTCAGTCGGCACTGAGGCCTCGCTGGAGCCAAACCTGTTGACCGAGTAAACTCTGAACTGGTACTTTTCTCCGTCGTGTAAATCGTAAATCGGGTAACGAGGGGAGCAAAGTTTGACGGCTGTGTTGATCCGCTGCCACGCTCCCGTACCCGCTAAGCACTGACCACAAACAGAGAGAGGGACCTTCAGGGAGCGGTTCTGGTCGTCAACAAAGTGACAGTAAATACGTGAAGAGGATCTGATGTTTTGAGATAAAAGTCTGAACTATGTCAAATCTGGACTCATGGTGTCCTTTAAGATCAGCGTAAACTGAGGAACATATCTGAAGAAAGTGCCAGCAAACATCAGAAATGTCACGTTGATAATGACAGCGTTTAAATTTGGAACTGATTTTAGGTGAACAGAAATTTAAATTATTGTCTGAGGCCTTCTCTGAACTTTGGAAATGTTAATTTGGCATTTTCCTTTTTTAAATTAATATATTAAATTTAGAAATTTAACATTTTTTTTATTTTTATCATATTAAGACTTCTTAAAACTCATATTCTGGTTTCCTCTTTTATTCACAGTCATAATTTTATGTTTTTTTTTCCATTTTTCTTTTCTTTTTTTTTTTAGATATGGATTTTTTTTTTTTTGTTAATTACAGTAAATTTAATTTAAAATTCAAACTGTTTTATTGAGGTCATGTTTGAATTACAAGAATATTAAATCTTTAAACTTTAAATGTTAAATTTTATTTTATTTCCTCTTTTAGATTATTTGAAATTTCTTTTATTTTTTTTTACTTTTATTTTTTATTTTTATCACTATCATTGTGGGATTATATTCATTAATATATTTTATTAGGCTATATTTAGATTTATGTATTTATATTCATATTTGTATGTATGTATTTATATTTATACTGATGTATTTATATATTTATATTGATGCATTTATGTTGTGAAGTGGTTTCCCTGATGACAGTCTGTTTTATTTAAAATGACTTATTCAGATTCAGACTGAGTTCAGTTCATAAGATGGTTTCTTGCTGAAGTTAAGAGGTTGTTTTATTTTTATTTTTTGTATCTTTGACTGAATAAAGTTTTCTCGTTCGGCTCCGTTGATGTAAATAGAAACTAAAGGTGAAAGGTCACACACCTTCTCGATGATGTACCACAGCGGAGCAGGTCCACGGGGGCTGGGGGGCGTCCAGCTCAGCACCACAAATGATTTGTAAATTTCGGACACGTAAACGTTGGTGGGCTCTCCCGGGAGAGTCACGTATCCTGGATCAGGAGTGAAGGGGTGAAGCTCAGAGGAAACACAAGTCCCACATTATGGAGCTGTCTCTGGAACACTTTATGGTATAATTTTTGAATTTATGATTTAATTTAATGATTTATTAATTTAATTCTAATTTAGAGACAGCTGTGATAATGCTGGACTTCCACAGCAGCTCATGTGGACACAGATCATGTTGGCGTGTTTAAGTCTCTGTGGTTTGGTGGGTCAGCAGGAACTCTAGATGTGGCTTAATTGGAGGGGAAACTACGGTGGATTAAGGACTACAAGAGGAGGTGGAGTTAGACCAGAGACTTCAGGGAGGGGGAGGAGTTCACGACAAAGAGGTTCATTCATATTTTTGTTTATCAGTATTGTCATGGTTGTTTTTTTTGTGGTGGGTGAGGATTATTATCTCTCTTTTTCTCTTAAACCTAGTATCAGGTTTAGTCAGGAGTTGATGGTGGATCAGCTATGATGGGACTAAGAAGGGTTTAAAGGTGTGAGTTAAGTTTTTGGATTAAAAGTGAATCACTGGACCCGGATCAGTCTTTGTGAAGCGACCCTACCTTCCAGGTCATCGTCTCTGATCACTATGTCGTATTTTCCTTCGATCTGGATCACTGTTTCAGGAAAACCACAGACCTGTTAGGAAACAGTCACACCCCGCTGGGACAGATCTTGGATTTACCTTCCTCGCTACCTTGCAGCTTCTCGCTCTCTGCTTCGTCCAGGGCGGTCACCTTGTCAGACATACGGGATGGCCTGCTGGTGCCGGCGCTGTTCACAGCCCTGACCCGGAAGTGGTAGGAGTGTCCCTTGCTGAGGCCGTGCACCGGGTATTTACACACCTTCACTGGGGAATCATTGCACTGGACCCAGGTGTCTTTGCCAAATTCACACCTGTGCAGCAGACCCAGAGAAAAAACAGCGTCAGTCACAGGAAACCACCTCGAGAAACACCGACACAATTGACTGTAACAGTGGAGAACCACAGGGATCGATCCCGGGACCAGTGTTGTTCACTTTGTGTATTAAAGGCATGTTTGACGATTGTAGAGATTGGTTATTATTATGAACCTCGTTTCTATGGCGATCATGGTCCTATAGTGCGAGCTCCGCAAATTGAAGAGAAAAAAGAACGGAAAAAATCTGTTCACCCTATCAGGTGCAGGGCTGCAAAAACATTGACCAATGGGAGCTATCCGTTCCGTACAGCTCCTATTGGCCAATCTCCTGCTCCGCCTCTCCATCCAATCACCTCACTATATTCGACACACCCCTCTTCCGTAGTTTGGACTCGTCCCCTCCCACTCTCCCAGCCCTCCGTGGAGCTCTGAGCGGCTAAAAGTTGCGTAGCAGCTTAGCTACAGGAGCTGTGTTGGAAAAGGACGCAAAAAAACCCACTTCTGCTCGCCCCACCGCCAAAAGTGGGAAGAAAACGCAAGAAAGGGCGGAGACAAAGAGGAAATGTGACAAAGCGAGGAATCTAACTCGAATAAACATCGGGTCATCCTTGGAGCTGTGAAGAAAGCTCCTCCAGGATTTGGTCCTGAAAACAGACGCCAAGACCGCAGAGTTTTTGTCGTGGCACATGTTACATTAATAACTCTTATTAGTCTCTGCAATGTCAACACGGTAGCTGTCCAGGCAACAACTTGTTTTTTTCAACTGCTTCTCAGATCATCAACCACGCTTTAAAAACACGGTAATCCCCTCCCACCCCACAGGTGCAGCGTCTGTGTTTGTGTCGGTGCGTCAGCTTGGAGCTAAAAAAAGGAAACCTGAAGAGTTCTCCAGGAGCGCACTGACCGGTCCACAAAGTATCCGGTGATGGGCGGCTCGTTGACGGTGTTTGGGGGTTTCCAGGCGACCAGGACATATTCTGCGTTGATGTCATAGGCCTTCACGCTCATCGGTGCTCCAGGGGCTCCGGGCTTAGAGGGGGCGGCATCTAGGGAGTGAGGAAACAAGGACATGAGGCACTGAGGGAGGAAGCAAGGATCCTAAACACAAATAAGGATGAACAGGCAGAGTTTGAGTTTTAGACTAAAGTTTTTCGCAGTTTAACCCAGTTTAAGATTAACATCCTAAGAACCAGAACCAGAACCATGCAGGATCCTGTGCTCAAAGGGGGCAGGAACCTTCAGCAGACTCTATGAACCTTTTACATGCTGAGGGGACATTCGCCCCAGGTCCAGGTTTAAGTTCAGTCCTACAAGTCTGACTGGTAATGATCCAGACTGACATCATGTCTCATTAGATAAATTTGACACTTTATTTGACGATATATGTCATGATATATTCTATGATATTTGACGATATTTTTGTCCTGCAGAGCGGTCGTACCTGAAACAAAGAGGTAGGCGCTGTGCTCAGCGGTGCCGTCCTTGGTGAAGACGCGGAGGGTGTAGAGGCCTTCATCGTCTTTGGCCAGCTGAGGGAGAGTCAGACGGGCGGAGCCTCCACCCACAGACATCTGCACCAGCTTACTGGGTTTGAGCAGCTTATCTGATGGAGGGACGGGAACACAAAGAAACCAGAGTTTAACCAGAGTCTGAAAAAGTGGGAGGAGCCAACAAGAACTAACATGATTGGACGTCTTACCGTCTCTGTACCACTGGGCCATTGGGGGGACGTTGGGGAGGTCGGGGACCACCACCATACCGCACACCAAGCTGATAGAACCGTCCTCCACGCCAAAGGACACGTGGAAATGGTCCAGCAGGGTCACCTCCAGCTTACTGGCGTGGATCTCAGTCAGGTGGGGCACTAGACAGGAAGTAAAGTATCTTCATTATGGAGGATGTTTCCTGTGACAGGTGAAGGTTCTGCTTTTGTTTTGGTGGTTCCTCTTTGTCAGTCTTTTGTCCGGTGTTGGACTCAAACTGGAAAAGGAGAACAGCTGAAGAAGAAGAAGAAGCTGATTCTTCTTCATTGATAACTTTTTTGATTGATAAGAGAGGAGACTCTGAGTTAGTTTGGGACAGACATTGATGAGGACACATGTTCCTGTTCCTGTTGTTGTTGTTGACCTGGTTTCTGTGCTGGCAGCAGACATGGAGGACAACAGCTCCTCCTCCTCCTTCTCCTCACAATAGTTTCCACGTCTTATCAGACCCTCACATGCTCGGCTAATTTTAGCTAACAGATCCCATGAACTCTTGGTGTCTGGGCCTGAATCCAACCAGAATTTAACACATCCTAACCCCCGTCTCTCCTCACCTAGTCCAAGATGACAGAGGTCCCCGGCCCCCGCTGGTCCTGAGGAGAGAAGAACCTCGGGATTAGTAAAAGAACAATAATCTAGAGAGATGTGAGAATAACTTTAGAGAAAGAAAGTCCTACTCTTCACAATGACCATGGCTTTGCTGGTTGCCGTGCCATGAGGGTTGGTGGCCACGGCGCTGTACTCGGCGGTATCACTTACAACACACCTGCAGGACCAGACAGCATGGAATCATGGGAAGTCATTGGTTAGATGCACACACAGTAATCAGGTCACATGACCCGTTCTCGCAGGTACAAAGGTTTCAAACTTGACCTCTGCCGTCAGAGGTCAGCGCTCGATCTCTGAGATGTGACTTAATGTTCACTGGGATTCGGACCGGTGTTCTGTAGATCCATCCGACCCGTCGAGATGTCCTACCATGCCTCACTGCACATGTGCACAAGTCCGAAATGTAATTTTGTGTGCTTTGTCATAGATTCATCCTACCGATCAGCTGTTCATTGAGAAAAGCGGTAAGATTTTAGCGTTTTCTCTTAGAATATAACCCGATACAGATTTCTAGCCTTTGATTAAGTCCTGATTGAGTGTCAGGTTGTTTTGAAAAGTAAAACTGTCTGTATGAGCTGTTTAAGCGTGGTGTTATTGTATGAACTATGTCTGTCACGCAGTATATGTGCAGCTAAATGAACAAATTTAACCACCTATTGACTACTGTACACTACTGAATCGCCCTGTTCAAGTAAGCGCTTTGACATGTGGCGCAGACATGAGCATTAATATACAGGTAGGACGTTTCAGGAGGTAGAAAAAACATAAAATTATGCTTCCACATAGAGCTGGTATCTATGTGGAAGAATAATCTGACTTCCTGCACAAATGTACATTTTATTTCAATCCACGAAGTCAGTCTGTGTTTTAGTGCTCTATTTGCATGAACAAAGCCGTTGAAATAAAAAAATAAAAAAAGAGAAAATAAACAAAACGGGAAGCAGTTGGATTTTCTGACAAGGTAGCACAGATCGGCAGACAAGTCTGTCATTTCATCCTAAGGTAGGACAACTGGGCAGAACACTGGCCCAGTTTACTGGTATTAATGATAACTGTTCGTTATGATCTCACACAGGTGGACAGAAGTGGTTCACAGGCTGGTGACAAGAACCAAACAGGAACCAAACAGAAGTCTGAGGTCGAGAATAGAAGTAAGAAATGTGACCTTCACCCCGGACCAAACTATTTTAAAGAGCACAGATGAAGGACCAGAGCTGGGACTGTGGTCCTCTTTTCACTGAGACCTTCTCAGAACAATCCAAGATTTTAACCTCAAACAGACGCCGCAATAACGCCGTAATGTCACGAAGGAAGGCTAAAGAAATTCAACACCTCAGGGAGAGAGAGAAAGAGAGAGAGAGAGAGAGAGAGAGAGAGAGAGAGAGAGAGAGAGAGAGAGAGAGAGAGAGAGAGAGAGAGAGAGAGAGAGAGAGAGAGAGAGAGAGAGAGAGAGAGAGAGAGAGAGTGAGAGAGGGGAATTCATGGCTCGAATGACGCAAAGGTCAGCACTTCCACACCAACAGCTGAGGAGTCTTGAAGATGACGAATGGACCAGCCGGTTCAGACCTAACCCTCAAACTCACAGCCGTCCTTCCTTCCTTCTTCCCTTCCTTCTTCCCTTCCTCTCTCCTCTTAAACTCTACTTTTATTATCTGTCATAAACCGTATAGATAGAGAGCTGAACATGTCATAATTACAGGTTCTGTTGTCTCTGCTGCCGGGGGCGTCACATTTCAGAGCTCTTTGACTGACTGTTTCCCCTTCAGCCTGAACGTTGGCAGGATGACTCCAAAACTTCTGGCTGGTTTCCATCAAACTTGGTCCAAGAGTGAAGAAGCGATAAATAACAGAGACCGCTGTGATCTGAACCAGGTCCCCCTCCTCTTCTACACTTCTTCAACACTCTAATTAAAATTCACGCTTTCTCTGATCCTCCTTTACTTCGATATTAACAAAGGTTCAAAGTTCCTGAAAATCATAGATAATAAAACACCAGAGCTGCTATACTGAACACTGAAAATCATAGACAATAAAACACCAGATCTGTTATACCTCAGTGCTACTTTCTCACCTGCTAATAATCAGACTGTGGACGCCATACTTGTTTTCTATCTTGTACTTTCCTGGAGCGTTCACAGGGTTGACTGGAACGCCTCCTTTATACCTGAAACAGACGGTAAACAGACGGTCAGTTAACAGACAGTCAACACTCAGTCAACAGACAGTCAACAGACAGTCAAGAGTCAGGCAAAAGTCAACAGACGGTCAACACTCAGTCAAAAGTCGACAGACAGTCAACGGTCAACATTCAGTCAACAGACAGTCAAGAGTCAGTCAGTCAGACAATCAACAGGCAGTCAACAGTCGACAGACAGTCAACAGTCAGTCAACAGTCAGTCAGTCAGTCAACAGACAGTCAACAGTCAGTCAACAGACAGTCAGCAGACAGTCAAGAGTCAGTCAACATTCAGTCAACAGTCAACAGATGCTTAACACTCAGTCAAAATTCAACAGACAGTCAACAGACAGTCAACAGATGCTTAACACTCAGTCAAAATTCAACAGACAGTCAACAGACAGTCCACAGACAGTCAAGAGTCAGTCAACAGATGGTCAACACTCAGTCAAGATTCAACAGACAGTCAGTCAACAGTCAACAGACAGTCAACAGTCAACAGACATACAAGAGTCAGTAAAGAGTCAGTCAATAGTCAACACACAGTCGGACAGATGGTCAACAGTCAGTCAGTTTAGTCAGGTGTTCATGTTTTTTGGTTTCAGCCCCGACTGTGTCGGCGGGGGGTCCTGACCATTGGACGATGGGTCGTGGGTTCCCCTGGACGGTGCAGAACAGTTTCACGGGGGTCTTCTCCCACACGGTGTGAGGACGCAGAGCCACCAGGAAGTCCGGCAGCTTGGGGAGATCGTCCAAAAAGTCGGGTCTCTTCACCATCATGGACTTCACCTTCAGATGGAGAGAAACAGCGATTATTAACCCCTCCAACGCCAGCATGTTTTCACAGTAAGAAGGACTGAAGAGCTGGACGAGCAGAAGCTCCTCCACAGAAGGTCACAGAGAACTTTGACCTCACCATCAGTCTGAGCAAGAACGTAAAACCTGTGGTTGTCTCCTCACCTGTCTCTGGATCTCCAGACTGTCCACGGTGGCCTTGGTAGCCACCCTCATCCTCTTCAGCTCCTCCTGAATAACAATCAGTCCTCTCTCCACATTGGTGCTCACCCGCTGGTACTCCTCTGTCCCCTCCTCAGTCCTACAAACACACAAACGTCACTGTGAAGAGGATCTCTGTGAAAAATGCATTTAGCATTACAGAGTTCATTAAAATGAGGAATAAAGACCGAGTCTCCCACGGTAACCAGCCCAGTTCACAGTTCACATCACAGTCTCTGAAAAATGGAGTAACATTGTCTGGATCGGGCTGAGCTCATGGGGTCTGTAGTTCAGTATTACCTCACACATGACGGCAGCCAATGGGAACTCACCTCTTCCGGAACGCCGGTATGGTGTACGCTGGTTCCGCCATAGCCTCTGTGGCCTGGGCCTGCACCTTGCTCACCGATTTAGAGCTTGATTTCCTGTTGGGAGGAAGTTCTCTGTTATCAAACATGCTTTAGAAAAAGTCCAGATCTCCAAAAAACAGTTTTCACCCAGAACCCCGAATGACCCGTGTCTGTAAACCTGATCAGCAGAGACCACCTGGAGGTCCTTCAGACTAGAAACTCAGGACGGATCCAGTCATTCGGACATAATCCTTGACCTTCTCCCACGGACGCCTCATCAGATAATTAGACTTCCACTTCCCAGAGAGAGAGATCACAAACCAGTCTGGGTCCAAGACTTGGTAGAAACCCTCCTAGGACTCGACAGTGCGACTGTTTCACTCGCATTTGTGACTAAAAATAGATGTGTGCGAATTGTAAAATGTATTAGGGGTCACATGTGCACATGAAAAAAAAACAACAAATGTTTTTTCATGTAAATACGGCAGTGAAGTTAGTTTGAGGTTGGATATTCGACGGACATTCACTGAGGGTCTACTGGTGTCTTCTCACTCTCCACAACCGGGAGTAACAACAGCAGCGCGTTAAATCTACTCGGGGTCCTCGCTGTCAACGTCAGGTGTTAGATAAGGGACCATCAATAAATGACCGGTTGATGTTCTCAGAAAGGCTGTTTTCCTTCAGTAGCTTCCATGTCATGTGACCAAAAGACCTAAAATTTATTTCAAATAATAGTACTAAGGTCGGACAATAAGACAAACATTATTAAATGAATTTTCATTGTTCCTCTAAAGTTCTTTGTGTGCTCCTTTCTTATTTAACTCAGGAGAACATGTGAACAAAGTTAGTGACAAGCCCTGCCTTATAACATGTACGAGTTATAACTAATCCCAGTTCGTCTTTAATAACACATCTTCACTCCTGCAGTTTTATCTTAAAGGTTCACCAGGAAGTTCTTCAGGTGAAATAAGAATTTATTATTTCTGTGATTCTCAAATGAAAACAGTCTCATTAACTCGTACAGTTTACTAAAACACAACTACATTTTTTAAGAGAAGGGAAATATAAACGAATATAAAATATACGATCATGAAGTCAGCGCAGGGTTTTATAACAGCCATGCTGATTGGATAAAAACAAACGTGAGGTAAAAGACTCATTCATTCATATGTGATGATGTCAGAGTGAAAAACAGCTGTGGGTTTGAGTATGGAATGATGGTTATAATAAAAACCTAAACACTGAAGTTCATCCTGGACTCAGTTGTCTTGTCTTTCCCCGTTCCCAGAGTCGTACTCATGAATCTATTTTTAGAGAGTCTCAGTTTCACTGTAACAGTTACACCAGAGCTTCACTCCTACTTCAGAGACCTGGACTACATTTCCTGACCCAGCCGCCCCCCCTCTCTGTATTTTTGATGGACTTAGGCCAAGTCCGACATCTAGGATCCAGGATATGACAGAAGACAACAGAACCAGACTGAAACTGGATCCATGAGGATACGGGTCGATCTGACGTTCAAAGACAGTCGGGTCTCTGGGTTTGACTTTTCCAGTCACTCTCATGGAGAACTTCACTGGAACCTTGTTCAGGACCAGTATCAGTATCATCAGCTGGCCTCAGATGTGGGTCAGGGTCAAAGGAGCGGCATGTGGCCTCTGACGTAAGACAGGAGCCTCCTGACCACATCTCTCTGTCCACGGTGGCTCAGGTCTCGGACTTGAGACTGCTTCCTGTTTTGTTCAGACCACCGTTGACGACAGATCTACTGCAGCCTCGAACTTCTACATCCATCTCAGCAGGACGACTTTAAACAGCAGAGCCAAGTCTACCGGTGCTTTCTATGAAGCGTGTAGCAGCAATCTAGTCAAATACAAGCGTGGTCCTGAAGACCCAAGTCACAAAACCAGCCAAGAACCTTCAGCAGAAGCTGTTTGCCAGGAGACTAAAAGCCCACCCCAGGGTCTGAGTCAGCATTCCCAATATGGCGTCCACCACCACAGAGCTTCAGGACTATGTCCGTGTTTCATGCAGTACCAGGAACCTACAAGAGTTTGGTCCACAGCCTCTCTGTCTAACTGAATTTCCCTTCAGGGTTCAATAAAGTTCTTCTTCTAACTCCCCTTCCTCCTTTTCTGTCAAATCCAATGGCCTGTAAATTTTTACGATTACGGATCTGTTTCTAAACTGAAACCGAACAGAAAAGTGATGAAAATATCACTCACTGTGAATTTTTCAACACTAAAGAAAGAACGTATGGAAACTTAAACTGTTTCTGTGGGAACTGACCCACTTTTGGAACCAACCCCCAGTGGACACTTGAGGAACTGCAGCGTTTGCACACCATTGGCTGAATTTTGGACACCAGAGGTCTCCACTTGTTTGTAACCTGAAAAACTGTCTCTGACACCCTTTAGAGGTCTGAAGTTCTTCTGTACGGGTGTCAGATCACTTCCCTTTTAGGTTCTTCAGGTTCCTGGATCAACAGCTGGAAAAACGGTTGCCTAGAAATTGCAGATTTGTGATTTTTCTACAGACTGTTTCATCAACCAAACTCAGGCCTTGCATAGTTTCAACCTTCGACAGCCAGCTCTGAAGCATGTGTAGCAGGACGGAGAGGAACCTCCGGCAGCAGCAGCTCGAAGCTCTATAGATGTCCGACGCTCTACCTGGCAAAGCAGGCCAATAAGAGCTGCGCTGTGCAAAGCAGCAGGAGGAGAGCGCCACCTTCATACCTTTCTGTCTGCTGCTTGACAACACACTGAGTGTGACAGCAAGCATAATCAGTTTTGACTTGGTCCGTACGCTTCCTCCTATACCAAGGTTTGACTTTGGATTCCATGACTGGGACACTTGGAGGAGACCTGGCCAAGAGCACCAGGAGGGGGGGGAGGAGGAGACCAAACATGTGTTAGAGTCATGAGGACAATGTGAAGACATGTCTGTCCTACAACATGTGCTGTCCTCTCTGTGTGGAGTATTTACAGTCCCAGGTTCTGACAGCTGGGACGGGACAAAGAACCAACTCTGTCAATATAAAATCTGAGAAACACGTCATTTAAACCACAAAGGTCTGAACTTTTTTAACCCTTTAGTTTTAAACTGGATTATAAATTCAGGTTAAATGGGCTGGAGTGCGCGATTGATTTCTTTTAACCTTAAGGTAAAAAAAGACAAGTTAAGATAAAGAAAAAAAAGAGTTATAATAGGATAAGATAAGTTAAGATGAGTTAAGATAGGATCAGAATCAGAAATACTTTAATAATCGCCTGGGGGAAATTGCTTAAATGCTTGCTTAAAGATGAGTTAAGATAAGTTAAGATTAAGTTAAGATAAGATAAAGTATGATAATTTGAGACAAGATATGTTAAGATAAGAAAAAAAAATAGAATTAGTTAAGATAAGTTAAGATAAGATAAAGCAAAATTAGTTAAGATTAAGTTAAGTTAAATACGGTGAGATAAGTCAGTTAAATTAAGATAAGATACAGTAAAATGAGATAATTTAAGATTAAGTTAAGATAAGGTTAGTTAAAATAGGATAAGATAAGACATCTAAAAGATAAGATAAACTAAGATAAGATAAAATAAAGTAAGATACGTTATAATAAATTAAGCTAAGATAAGTTAAGATTAGTTAAAATAAGTTAAGGTAAGTTAAAATAGGACAAGATAAGATAAGATCAAGTCAACTAAGTTACAATAAATTAGAATAAAGTAATATAAAATAAGTTAAGTTAAGAGTAAGTTAAGGTTAGATAAATTAAGATTAGTTAAGATAAGATAAGACAAGGTAAGATAAGTTAAGGTGGGATAAGCTAAACTAAGCTAAACTAAGCTAAGCTAAGATAAATTAAGTTAAGATAAGACAAGGTAAGAGAAGTTGAAATAGAATAAGATAAGTTAAGTTTAGTTAAGATAAGATAAGTTAAGATTAGATAAGATAAGGTAAGTTAAGTTAAGACAGACACTGAGACAGATTTCAGCCTAAGCAGAGGTTCAATAACATAGAGAGGTTGTGTCACTTTAAGGCGGAGCAGCAGTTCATCACAAACTTCCTCCAGACGTGATTCTTTAGTTTCCATGAACCTCATTGTTTCAGTTATCAACCATACAGGTGATCATTTTCTCACAGGTGTGCTTATACCACACATGTTGGACTTTAAATAATGTCAAACTCCTAAAGAAAGTTTCCCTGCAGAGACATGAAAAAACTCTTTAACTGCGAAGAGTCAGTTTCTCAGAGACTGCAGCAGAATGAACCCAGAGATGAAATAGATGTACTTGTGATTTGATCATGATTTAAAGGTCTGAAGTTTGATGAAATCTAAATTTACTGAGGTTGTTTGGTTATCTCTGAGGTATTAGAAGGAGTTAGGAAATCTAAACCTGATTCACTTTAACAGAAGATCAGCTGCATGTACATAAAGACTTCTGTTTAAAGATGAATTTATGTGGTTGTCTGATTATTTACAGCTGGGATGGTGGACTGTGATCCGCCTGTTTTTGCTCTCCTTTACAGACCGCGTACACCAAAGGCTACACTTCTCAGACCTGAATCTTTCAGAGCCTGAACTCAGTCACATAAAGAAGTGGATGACTTTTTTTTTAAATCTCTACTTCCACTTCAGTCACTAACATGCACACTTTCCTCAGATTTCATGACCTGTCAAACACAAACATTTTTAAAAGAACAGAAAAATATCACAGTCACATGTTTGTTTCAGGAACATTCGAGTTAAAATCCAGTTTTTTAAGGAGGCACCAGGACTGTTGGAACATAAACCAGAGCTCAGCACTTGAAATGTTTCAGCTTACAACCTCACACAGCTCAGCTATGAATAGCTTAAAGCACTGGGTCTACTCCATGATTGGAGAAATGAAGGAAATAACCCTGAGGAGCAAAAAAAGTCCTCACTCTCTTTGATGAAAACCTTCATGAGAAGAATAAGACTCCTCTGATTTAAAACAGCTGTCAAACAAAATCACTGAGTGTCTCTGATTTATTACGAGTTCTTTCTGTATAATCAATATTTCAACACTAAATTAACTCTGTGCTGGATTAGCAGATGAAGACGGAGGATCAGCAGCCTCCTAATGTCCCGGTTAAGTGAAGAAGAAGAAGAAGAAGCGCTCAGGGAGATTACAGCAGCAGACACACAGGAGGCAGATTATCTAAAGCCCGTCATTATACGAACACATGTCTCACACCTCCACCTCCACCTCCTCTTCCTCTAATACTAACACAAAAATCTAATACTCCACTTTCACGATTTTACCGCCAAAGAAATACACAGAAAAGTCACTTACCCCGAGAGATTAAAACAGCGCAAAGCGGTGGCAGACCAGCCTGATGCCGCTTGGGAAGCACTTGCTGATGGTAACAAAAATATTACCCTGTCACCGGAGGAATGCTGTTCCCCTTCCACCCCATGTATGGACGCACTTAAGACTATATATAGCATTTAGCCCCAAATTTTCTCCTCATTCTGCACTTTGGAGAAGGAGAGTGTGCATCTGTGTCTGCTTTTTTATTGAATTTAAAGGAGGTATGTTTGACCTTAATGGGCATTTGTTAGATTTGAGGACAAGATTGGAACTCCTGGTTAAAGTCTGGTTAGTTCTTCCCTCAAACTGCTGTTTCCCAATGATACTAACTGATAATAAATCATTTTAGACGCTCTGAGTTTGATCTTTGAGAGGATTCTTCTCTTCTTCATGGGCCGAGCTCCACAAAGATCATTTTAAGATCATTTTCTGGTCAACCTGGACACTGACTGCCTTGTGAGACCTTTTTAGGTTCCTGGAGACAGCCTGTCCTCCTTGGCTCCACACTTGTGGGCAGCAGTCAGACTATTTTTAACCCCCAGTCCTCAGATAGACTGATACCCCCCAGTTCTTACTGTAGCTACAAGAGTCCTGGCAGCTATTCTTATTCGGAGAAGTGAAAGGACTGCAGACAGACACACAGGAGGACTCTCTCATGAAGCAGAAAACACTGATCTTAGAGGGACTTTATGGTCCTGCAGTCGTCCCCATGAGTCCTGTTAGTGTCAGAGACCCGGCCTGCAGGTTCATTCACCCCTCAGCTACGTGTGAACATGTCACTCTCTAAAACATATTAATGACATGTCCTCTCCTGCAGCTCTAAGGTTAAGATACTGTATGGTGCCCCCCAGTGGTCACATTCAGAAGGACAGGGCAAAAATCTGGACTCAGGGCGTCCCTGGAGTTTACCTTCACCGTGTTTGCAGAAAGACCCCCACTGAGATGAAGGTTGGGTTTATATGAAGGTGGAGACTCACAGCGAGGGTCCTGATGATGTGGATCCTCCCCTCCAACCTCCAGCCCACTCCTCCTACACAAAACACAAGAAATTTACAGTCAACTTCAACCTAAAAACTCTGCTGCTCCAATCATCACCAAAACTACCTCATTGAACCACATGATCCCCATCCTTCAGCGGCTCCCAGTTAAATTAAGAATCCTCCTGCCCTGCTCCCCATCTCTAGAACTCGCTCCCACCTGACATCCGGAATATCGACTCTCTCCCTCCCTTCAAAACCCGCCAGTTCAGATTAGTACACTCCTTATAATTCACCTTGTCATGTTCTTGTTTGTTTTATTTATACACATACATACAGATATACTTTTTGTTTTCTCTTTTGCTTTTATCCTGCTGTTTTTACTCTGTAAAGTGTCCTTAAGTGTCAAGAAAGGCGTTTATAAATAAAATGTATTATTATCCTCATTAACACATCCACATATGAAGTATAACAAAAAGACCAACTCACTGACTGGAGCTTTAACTTTAAATTCAGTGGAGTGTTCCTTTAAATCCACATCTCAGTAAAATGCTGCCACCTAGTGCCCATTTAGTCAAACTAATAATCAGCTGATCTGAGATCTTCAGATTTTTGGTAAATATGGCGCAGAGGTTTCATCAGGACTCAGCCTTTATAACTTTTTAATAATAATGATTTAATAATAATTATTCCTACAGAACACTGAGTTTATTACAAACATGATTATTTTAGAAATGTTCAGTTACACACGTCGCTGTTTTCTGAAGTTTGAGTGAAACACAAACAAAACTCAAACAAATGTGGATCAGCTGGTTTAGACCGGACTTAAACTCATTAAAGTTCATTTCTTATTGACCCTGTCTTTGTGTGTGTGTGTGTGTGTGTGTGGATTCCATCCTCTCCCCGGCCCCATGCAGCACCCAGCATGTTTGGAGTGGGACTAAAGGAGATTATTGGAGCATGATAATATGAGGAGCAGGAAGTTCAGCGCTCTGAGGGGCCTCCTCACTCCTCGCTGAACAGAAACTCAGTTTTCAAACTTTTCTCACTTTGGTTTTCGACATGCACGCTCACTTTAGCTCTCCTGTTATTTTAGTGACACAGCTACTGAGGAAGATAATCGGACCTGTTGGCCCCTGAAAGAATGACTGACATAGCTCGGATGACCCCTGACCTTTCCTTTCACACACTGTCAAACTAAAACTTGAACCAAGCCTCACGAACGATCAGACCAGAATCAACAAAAGGAGAAAATCGGAGAGTTTGTTTCCCCACCGCTGACTTTGGATCAGCACCATCAGAATCATTAAAACCCGACCTGAACCCGGATCACCCAGAGACACGAATGTTGAACTTCAGCAAGTCGGTAAACAAACAACAAATGTAGACGAGAGACAGAGTGAAGATTAAATCTGAGAGGAACAGACGCAAAATTTCAACCACAACCAACCAAACAGCAGGACAGGATATGATCACATGACTATTACAAACAACAAACTGCACTGTGTTATGAGAGGATACAATATAAAACAAGATACTACAAAATCATACGATACAATACAAAACACTACAAAATAATACGATACAATACGTAATAACGCTCATAGATTTATCTGTTTTGTACAGTGGGCGAGAACTGCCAATGCTACAAATAAAAAAAGAATCCCCCCCCAAAAAAAACAAGTCATAACGGAAGTTACCAATGCAAAAAAAAGAAACCGAAGGCCACTGCAAATAAAAAAAAAAAAGGTCGGATTAAAAAAAAGCAACAATGGAAGTTAACAACGCAAAAAAAAGGGGCAATCATTTTTTATTTGCATCCTTTTATTTTTGCAGTAAGTAACTTTTCTCTTTTTTGCACTTTTCTGCCACTTTTTTTTTGGCGTTGTTTGCATTTCTTTTTTCATTTGCAGCAGGCTTCGGTTTCTTTATTTTTTTGGATCGCTAACTTCCCTTGTGACTTTTTTTTGCATTATCTTTTATTTGCAGCAGTGGCAGCTCTCGGCCACCGTAGTTTTGGGATGTGTTCATATCCAATAACCTGACAGCCTAAAACACAAACCTACATGTTGTCATATGATACGATTTAGAACAATACAATATTAATATGATTTTTATAGAATATAATAATAAAGCTCTATAATCAACAATAATTTAATTCTTCACTTTGACAGGTTTAGTATGAAAAGACACTGAAGGATAAACTCTGAGTTACTATGATGTGATTGGATAATAAATCGGCGTTTTGGTGACATCATCACGCCACCATCCTGGACTCAACCTAACTTTAGGTGTACTATCCAGAGGTGGGTCTCTGCCTATCAGTCAAATCAGCGGTGCCTCTGATTGGCCGTATATCTAAGCCAGGGAGTAAATGTGTCGGTTTAAGTCTTAAAAACAGACTTTTTAGGTTTATGTGGTTTTTAGTGTTTCTGCAGACTGCCTCCAGTGGTCACTCAAGGGACTGCAGTTTTTATCACTTTCACATCCTCCCCAAAGACCAGAGGGTGCAGCTGGGATACGACACACTAGAGTTCAGTATATGATAGGTTAGGTTAGTTACAGGGGTGTCAGGACTCATAGACACTTTAATCCAAGAGTTTGACAGCACCGCTTTTTGAACGATTTGACTTTATTCAGGATTTTATTGAAGTTTTGACTTCACTCATGATTTTATTTGAACGTTCTCTTTAAAGTTTTGACTTTATTCTCGTCGATTTAACCTTTTTCTCACTTCTCATCCCCAAAAATCTTCCACAAATTACACCTGTATTACAGATTAGATTTTAGCTTTTGTCAAATCTCATTATTTGAGCAGCTAGATCCTTTTTTCTCCCTTGAATCCTCCTTCAATAATCCCTTTCTATGCCAAACATGATTCAGTCTGCTGCAGGGATCTGAGTATCAGTAAAAATCCTGTATTCACATATGAAGGTTGCTGCAGAAGGTCACCCTGAAGCAGCCATGACACCAGGCGGGATATTCAGCCTGAGAGGATGAAGGCTGCGCTCTCCCTCCCTCCCTCCCTCCTCTCTGACTCTCTCTGGAGTGGCTCTAATGAGGCACAGAGGGGGAAAAATGCTCCTCATTCATGCACTCTCGAACTCGTGGTTGTAGATGGGACAGCTGAGTACAGAGAGAGGAGGAGGGACAGAGGGAAGTCCTAAACCAGAGCCGTTCACAGAGGGGACAAAAGAGGCACGTCAGAATCTCTGCACGTCACGGAGTCAGCAGACGCGGGTCGTTTTACGCTGCGTGGTGACGTAACTGAGCTGCATGGGGGGAGAGAGGAGGCGCGGCCCATCACCCTGTAATGAAACGCTGAGATTTGTTGCATCAGGTTTTATCAACGAGTCCCAGAGAGGCTTTGATCACGTGCTGAGAGGAAATAAGGACGATTAAATCTGAGAGAGACGGACGCTTTTGGACAGATCTCCTCTCAGCTGGTTCAGTACAGGGACAGAGGAGGACAAACTAAAGTCAATATTGATCGGATTTAGTGCATTAAACTTCCTTCATCTTTAAAACGATGCATACTCTTAAAATACTGATTATTATGTGTCGTCACAAGTACAATCAGTCCTTTCTTCTCTGGTATGGATCTGCACTAACCCCGTCATGACCCTCCTAATAAGTCACTGATTCACACTAGGAAATAATGAACTACATGACAGCTCTGCACTGAGCTCAGCGGCCCTAAAACAGACCTCTAAAACTGAATAAAGAGGACTTTCAGAGAGTCAGTGTGAAGGAAAGATGGAAGAGGTTCAGGACTCTGTGAGAGACCGCGAGAGCGAACAGTTCAACAGTTTCAGAATAAAGTTCCTGAGTGGATTTTATCATCTACAGAAGAACATACTGGAACTTTTTCTGAGTCAGACTAACAAGGAGATGGGAACCAGTCAGAAGCTGGACCTGATGGAGCTGATGGAGCTGATGGAGCAGACATACCTGATATAGTGTTCCAGTTAAAGAGAGGGCGCAATGACGAGATAACAGGATAAAAATAAAAACCTCTTTGTTGGATCTGCATTTCTCCGCTCAGTCAGAACATTTCAGTGGAATAAGATACAACAGGTCAAACCTGAGAGCTAGTTCAGGCAGGCAGCTGAAGCTGTACTGGTTTATTTTGTATTCTTATTTTTAGAAATTTAGATTGAGTCGGATCTTTTAAATTCTCCCTTCACTTCTCATCTTGAATGTTTTAATGTTCCTGATTGTCTGTCTGAAGGTTTTTTTTTTTGTCTGAATGACTGATTTTCTGATCAGGGATCAATAAACTTTAGTCCTCACAATCCTATCAAAGTGTCGTCTCCATTGAAGCTGGGAGAGTTCCAGTTCCTGCCTCTGCTCTCTGCCCTGCAGTCCAGCTCCTGAGGGGTTCAAAGTTCCTGTCATGTCTCAGGTGAAGTTCACCTGGACAGACGTTCAGAGTTAGACACCAAACACAGACACTGTTCTGAGTCTGGATCAATACTGTGTATGATGTAGATGTATAAGAACTAGATCCTCAGAGTTTTTAATGACATCTGCTCTCTGTAAATCTGGATCTATTAAAACGATCATCTTTGAAAGGTCCAAAGGTCAAACCTCAGCAGGTTAAGGTCACGGATGTGTTGGTGAAAAACACGTCCAGCGGGCCTCTTATCGGAGCGCCTCACTGGAGTGACTGTGACACCAGCTGCTGAGGAGGAGATAAGAAACCGTCACTAACCAGCCTGATATATGTGGGTGTGTGGGTGTGGAGCGGGGGGGTGTTACTGCAGCTGATGCTGATTATTATGATGCAGCAGGAAGAGGGACAATGACATCATCTTGTGGTGGCCCTGCCCCTCCGCACGTATACTCTGGGTGCCGTGGTAACGTGCTGGACGTGCCGGCCGGCTGACGGGAAGTCTGTGCTGGGAGGAGAGCGGCAGGTTATCATGCAGATGCAGCCTCTCTCTCTCTCTCTTTCTCTCGCCCCCTCCTCTGCTGCTGTAGGAGAAGCCCCCTCCTCTTCCTCTCACCCTCCCCTCCCCTCCTTCCTCTCCTTCACGCTCCCAGCTCAGCCAATCACAGCCCTCGGTGGGGGCAGGGCGAGCAGGAACCACCATTCCAGTGCTGAGCTGCTGCATCTCCCCAGAGCGAACAGGGAGCGAGCAGCAGAGAGGGAGGAGACACGCTCAGACCCAGCCTCTGTGTGTGCTCGAGTGTGTAAGAGCGTGTGAGTGTGTGTGAGTGTGTGTGAGTGTGTGTGCCTGTCGCAGACGAGCAGGCAGGAACACTGCTGCACTCTTGTTTCACCACACTTTTTCCCTCTAACCTTGCCTTGCCTCGTTTGCTGAGCTCCAGCTTTGCCTCCTCCTTCAGTCCAGGATCAGGAGGGATCAGCATAGGGGGGACAGTAGACGACACAGGACGCCTTTTCCTTTCCTTTCCTTCCTTCTTCACTCTCTGACCACCTCGTAAACCGCTGACAGCCCCCGGCAGGCGGACGTGCAGGCTGGCAGGATGATAGCGGCTCAGCTCTTGGCCTACTACTTCACTGAGTTGAAGGATGATCAACTCAAGAAGGTGAGTGAGCGCAGCTTTAACCTGCAGCAGGAGACTTGTGTAATGTGACAGCAGACATGGACGCCGGGTAACTGCATGTCAGCGTGAGCCTGCAGCGGGGCGTTCCAGGCTGAGAGGAGGATGCAGAGGAAGAGGAGGCCATGATGAAATCTAATTTGTGTTTCTATTTTCGTTGACTCAGGGGGCAGACAGGTTTGTAATGGATGTCCTTGAGAGGGGCTGTGGTCACTGTGGTGGGGATGGGCTGCAGACAGACAGAGAGAGAGAAAGAGAGAGACAGGCAGACAGACAGAGACCCTGGTTACTGAGTGTTTCTGGAGCGCTGTTTCCAGGGCGTCTGAAGCAGACAGGTGTCTGTGAGGAGCAGTTGGAAAAGTCGTGAGCTCGCCAGTCTCCTCCTCCCTCTCTTAGCTTCCTCCACGTTTACCATCCCGATAATCTGTTGCTTCCATATAAAACAGGCGAGAGACATGCTGCTGCTCCTCCAAAGAGAAAGACGACCGTTTGCCCCGACAGAACAGACTCAAGTATCATTTTCAGGAGAGCAAAGTTTGAAACACTAACACCTTAAAAAGTGCAGCAGTGCAGAAATACGTGCAAACATATTAAAACAAACTCTTAGTTTGTCGTTACCCTCCGGGTTTGTTTTTCGCTCATTTCCTGTGTCCTTCTAACAAACTGGAGAAACTGATGAGCTGAAAGAAAAACACTAATGCAGATGGAGGGACATCGAACCGGCGACATTCCCCAGGGACAGAGGGAGGAGGGGGGTCAAACACGCCGCTTTGAGGGGGGTGGGAGATTCGTGACGACATGTGTGATGTCATGTGTGATGTCATGGCGCAGCAGCAGATGCACGTGCCTCAGCTGAAGTAGGTTAGTGAAGTTTACAACCGTCTCTAACGAGGGAGAAAAAAAACCTTGAATGAACGAGTTTTTATCTGAATGTGTGTGAGTTTGATATGAATGAGAGGGAAGATGGCTGCCCACACAATGACCTCTCACGGTGATAAAGGATGAGGAAGTCTGATAATCAGGACTAACCTTTTCTAAATCAAGATATTATAATCAGGACTAACCTTTTCTAAGCCAAGATTTCATTCTTTGTGAACTTGCGTTTTTAACCAGAAGAGCTTTAAATTTCCCTGGAAATACAGTAACTTGGGGAGAAATTCAGGGATCCGACTGTGTAACTCACAATACAGATACGATTCAGTATAAAACAAAATGATACAATACGATACAAAACATTTCTATACGATACAAAATGATACGGTTTGCTGTAATACAAAACAATACAACACGCTATGATATGGTTCAATACAATATGATGTAATACGAATTGATACAATGCTATATGATACAAAACAATATATGATATAGTACAATTCGATACAATGCAGTATGATACGAAACTACACGAAATGATATGATACGATACAATGTGATATGATACGATTCAATACGTACAAAACAATACGATATGCTGCAATACGATTCAACACGATATGATATAATATGAAACTATTTGATTAAAATGATATGATATAATATGAAACAATACAAAATGATAAAAAATAATATGATTCCATGCTATATAATACAATATGATGCAATACAATATATGATATGGTACGATTCGATATGATGATTCGATAAGATACTGAGCAGTTAGAAACCCTGCATGGCCCGGGTTCCCGACTCCTGGCCCCCCTAATTATGAACTCTAGATGAACTCTATGAGCTGTGATTTTGTCCATTTAAAGGAACCGGGACATCTTAAAAAAAAAAAAAAAGGTCGGACTGTTTTAATATTCAGCTCTTAAAGTCTGACAGCTGAGGACAGGAACAGAAGAGGCAGCCATTGTTGGAAGATCACACCTCACTGTTCACATTCGGCTCGGGCTGCTAAAATCTGAGTGAGGTGTTAATAATAATAATAATGATAATAGTGAAGTCACATGATGAGACACAGATGTGAGGAACCTTTCTGATGGCACAGAATAGTTCTGTGAGCTGAGCTGAGCCTCATAACGAGCACCGAGGGATTATGTAAGAACAACAACAGGAGTTCTGGGTCAATCTCCTCTGAACAGCATTGGTTTTAATTAGATGCATTAAAGGATAATTAAAGGATTTTAAAAAATGGGATCATATTTAAATATTTTTGTTCATAATTACTAATTTGGACCTCCATTAACCAAAACCAGAATTTGACCTTTCAGAAAACAAGAGCTGCTTTTTTCCACCGCTGCCTCAATCCGACCTTTAGCCTTGGCTGAGGACTTAACAGCTTTAAGTTTTTCATTAATTTCAATCTAGAACTAACAAATGTAAAATGCTGCTTTGTTTGTTTTTGTGTTAATTCATTGAAAATGTTAGGTTTAACCTCATTATAATAGTTTTAATTGAGTTTTTAGTAGTTTAATTATTATAGTTTTTAATTATTGTGACATAGGGTACTTCTCAGGGGTGAGACCAAGCAGAGACTTGTTAAAATATGAAGTCAGAACACAAGTGCAAAAAACTGCAGTTCCCTGAGTGTCCACTTGAGGCCAGCTCCAAAAGACAAGAAATCCCCATTAGGTCCCATGACGACATTTCTATTTAAAAAAATGCTTTCAAAAGTGTTTTTTGTTTGTTTGAAGTTCACAAATTAAAAATCAAATTTCATTCAGAGTTTTATCACCTTCACTGCTCTGCTGACATGGGGAAGCCTGGCTTCTGTTTCTGTAAGGGTCTGCTGATCATGAACACAACCTCCGATTGGTCAACACACCATAACAAAGATTAGCATAGTAAGCTAACCACAGAAATCCCCCTAAATTGTTACAATGTAAACCTAAAGCTGCCGGTCTCACTTAGTGGGTGGATTTTGGTATCTTGGTATTGTGCTGTTGTTGTCACAGCTAATATTGTAATCATCGTATTTAATTCAATCTGACCGTGGTCACTTTCTTTGTCGCTGTCGGATCGATGAGGACGTTCTTTAACAGGGAGAAGGATTGTGGCACAGACTAGTTAGAATTGGTTCTGATCCAGAACCAGTTCCACTCACACAGCTGAGTTGACTGACGGGTGGTTTTGTTGTAGCGGTTTACCAGGACGCTAAAGGCCTGGCCAATCAAATATCAGCAATCCAGTACCGCCACCAGCATGGCGGCGCTTTAAATGACCCTTTCAGAGACTGACAGGCGACATCACTGAAACCACATCCACGCCTGAAACAGTCGGCTGAAGGAATGAAACGTAAAAGCGTCGGGTTTTTAAACATGTTTGAAGTGCTGCCATCTGCTGGTGGAAAGCAGCTACAACACTGGAGGATTTATGGAATATCAAACTGAAGGACGGCGTGTGTTTAACATGAAGCAGCAAAGACAGCAGCTGCTTTTCTCTATGATTCTATTCAAATCCACAAATACACGTTGGCTTACATAAGTATTATTTTTAATCTGATCAAACAGCTTCAACCTTTCACAAAGATCCATCAGGAGTCTCTTCAGCTCCTGTTAAACTGCAGTATTTTGACCTTCCTCATGGACTTCAATAACAGTCTTTTGGTTCAGAGGGTTCAGCTGTCCTGGTTCAGGCTCCAGTTCTCCCAGTATGCGTGACTTAGTGTGAAGTGAATCAATCTATCGACTTTTTAACTACCGCTCTGCGTCAGCATCCGATCCCACTGCATGTCTCTTTTTCAATTAGTTTAATGAGCAGGAACACAATCTGAGGTGTCTCTGCATTAGAACATATGGGAGGAGGAGAGCAGACAGCAAAAAGAGTAAAGTCCACTGTCGTATCTGTCACTGTTAGACCCGTTAGAGTCTCAGGGAGTGAGATTTGACTTCCACCATGTTGACAAAGCAAAGGAGCGTCAGGAGCGTCAGGATTTTATCGTCCTTTTTAGGTCATTTTTCACTCAAGTCTGTGTTCAGTTTGCTCACGGCTGCAGACTTAGTTATTTTTGTTTCACAATTAAACCCATCGAGGTCGCCATGGTAACCAACTGTAACATCCACAATGATAACTTAAGAAGTCAGATTATAATTATGAGAAAATAATTGTAACCGTTGACACATGAAGTTTAAATAAAAGGTCAAACATATGTGATGAGGTTAATATTATCTCATTATGTTGCACATATTTCTCATAATTATGATTTTTGTCTCATAATTTTACGACTATGATCATCTCAGAGTTTTTACTTTTTATCCCAGAGTTGTCATTTTATCACATTTTTCTTTAAGTTTTTACAAAATAAAAATTATGTTCACATTTTCTGGACCTTCTTTATAATGATTTGGACTTCATCTCATCATTCTGAAATTTGATCTCGTACTAATAATTCAAATGTATTTGGATTATGGATTTTCATTCCTCTTTTTCCTATTTCTCACAAGGACATCTACCAACACCATACTTTTCCTGACGTTGCTTGAAATTTAATGAGTTTTTGAAAAATAAATAAATCTTTTTAAATATCATTGAAGAGATTTTGACCTCTCTAAAATATTCTTGCTCTTAATTCTGAAGTGCTCTTGATTTCATTACCGGCCTGTTTTATTTCACCTCCCTTTGTAACCAAAACATACAGACTTTGGTGTTGAGTTGTGTTTCATAAATGTGTTTATGATTTTTGTCACCTTGTCTGACACACCTGGTGACATCTGTTTAGATCCTCAGGTGTGTGTTTTGTCTGACGCCCTGTCTTTGTGTCTCCTGGTCATCTAGATCGATAAGTACCTGTACTCCATGCGTTTCTCTGACGAGACGCTGAGGGACATCATGAACCGGTTCCGCAGGGAGATGGAGAGCGGGCTCAGCCGGGACACCAACCCCACCGCCACCGTCAAGATGCTGCCCACCTTCGTCAGGTCCATCCCTGACGGATCAGGTACAGTCTGCATGAGGACGATAACAGCAGGAATAGAAAAGTGTCAGAGTTAAACTTTTCTTGTTGACTAAAGCTCCTCAAAACAACTAGTACATGGAAATGAACCCAATCCTTCACTGCAGGAAACACGACCCTGCTTACTTTTTGTGTCATATGCTCAAAGATGAACAAAACAAAGAAGAAAATGAACACAAACCTGCAAATCTACATGTTTCATCGCCCCCTGTCATTATGTATTCCTTACAGGTATATGATGCATAATAAGAGGTGGTTCACTTTGGCTTAACTCCTCTTAGTTTGTAACTTTAGTTCAGGACTTTAAAGGTGGTGTAGGCAGGATCTGAGTTAGTTCCAGTTTTTGGGCGAAATCAATTTTCCGAACTTTCTAATTGGTTTCTACTGTCCGATATTGTAGCACGCTAACTTTGTTTGGGCTCCTGAATGACATGAGGGAGCAGCGTCTGCCTCATAACCAATCAGGTTGGGGAGGTGGAGAATGGCTTTGTTTACAGTCAGAAAGAGCGGACCGCTCAAAAATCTTAAAATGTTGACTACACAGACATAAGAGAACACAGCGATATTGTTAAATCCCCAAATATAATCAATGACTAATAGATATTGACTGATATTAAAAGCTTTCCTGTTTATACACCACAAAAAAAGATGCTTCTTTAACAGATTCCTGCCTACCCCACTTTTCAGGTTTACTTCAGGTGTCCGTTTAATTCCCGCCACTTTAAGACTCTATCTCTGCACTTTATTCCAGTTTTACAAGTCTCCTCTGTTGCATTATACCCACTGGATCTGTAGGGGTGACAGACGTACATGCAGTGCATCTATACTGTAAGCGTGTTCGAGCCCCACCTGATGTATCTGTCTGTTTGTATCAGTCTGTTTGGAACAATGTGCTGATGTGGTTGAATCGTCCGGCCCGCTCTGTGACATAAGCCTCTGTGTGTTGTGCTCTGGATTTGGCCTCAGGAGATCCAAATTGTTTTAGCTCTGGGCCAAACGGTTCAGTGTGTGTTCACCTCTGGACCTGCAGCAAACAGCGTGAGGAGGAAAAATAATCAGTTTTATTGATCAGACTTTAATGAGGAACAGTTGAATAAGCAGCAGCCTCAGAGTTGGTCTGAAAGGCTTCATCAAATATTCATGATCGGCAGTTTGAGAGACTCTCCTGTTACTGCTCGGCAGCAGAAACCTGTGAAGTTAACAGATCCAAACCTGAGATATCATGAGGAAGGATTACAGGAGAACGGAATTAAGTAACTCTGAAAGACTGAAGGAAGTTGGGAATGGAGTTAATAGAGTGATACTTCCAGATCAGAGTTAAAAAAAAAATTAACTCCAATAAAGCTTTACAGCAGTATTAACATAAACGAATTATAATTATCAAGCATTTCAAGGAACTCGGTGATTCTTTATGTTAAAAATGTCAAATTTCAGAGCTTCTCACCGGCGTTACTGTTGCTAGGTTACAGTGTTTTTCTGCTTGACCTTTAAGCCTTTACAGCGCTTTATTGGCCTCATATATTTGTTTTAATTTAACAGCTTTTTACGAAGAAAAGCTACAACTGTTAATAGAAACCGTGTCAAAGCACTGTTAGCCGCTCCATTCCTGAAAACTGGACCTCGATGAACTGAGTATGAAAACTTACTCAGCTTGGAATCCAATCTCCCGCTTGGACGTCCGCCATTGTTGTTGACGGAAGTCTATCAGAAGCCCCGCCCCTTCTGCATTCTGATTGGTTGGTGATAAAGAAGCGACATTGATGGCCGCGGGAGTGTTCCGGAAGTAGAACAATTTTCAACTGAAAGCACAACGAAGAATAACAGCTGAGGGCGATTTTACAACACAATAAAATAAAATAAAATAAAAACGATTACTTCTTAAAACAGTAGTAATATAACAACAATAACAATAATAATAATAGATTAATAATAATAATTATTATATATTTAAAAAATAATAATAATAATACATTTTAATCCTGTAGCAAAATTACAAAGTATAAGAACAGAGCAAAAAGACAAAACCCCAACAACAAGAAACCCAGAATAATTCACCCAAACATTGAACCCCAGAGGACACAGCAAGAAACCAAGAGCATCGTATGAAGCTAAGAAAACTCAGAATAATTTAGAGGACCCTGAATGAAAACAGATACTATCAATGCAAAAAATAAATAATAATTAAAAAAATAAATAAATAAAAAAATTTGTTGTTTTGTTTTTCATTTTTTAAAGAAATATTTGGTGTTTTCAAATGTAATAATCTTTTATCGTATGTTTTACCTAGTGTTTGTAATAGGCATATGTTTGCATATGTAAGTCAAAGACAACGCAGACAAACTTATCTTTATCAGTGCAAGAATAAATACAGTGGAGGATACATATAGAAGTAAATGAGAGGTGTCCCTTTTTATTTGGATATAATTTTTTTTAAACATGGACCAGAAATAAAAGCTAATTGTTGGATAAAAGAACAGACGTGTTGCACCCGAAAAGGCCTGGCCACCTTTGGATAATTTGATGTGCGTATGTCCTTAGAGGAAGCCGACCAATCATCCCTCAGACCAGCTCATCTGCACAGCTCTCACATTCAAGTCAGCCAAAGTCAAGAGGCTCTGTGGACCTGATTTCTGCAGAGCACGGCCTGTTCGTGTTGGTAAACAGCGCCTGCACACAGAAATAACATCAAATGCCTGTCAGACATGCTGCCATGCTGCCCCTCTTCTCTCACATTATAAATAGCCTCAGGTTGAAACAACTACAGGAGGCCACAGGGGTCAGAAAAGGGCAAAGTTCAAGCCGACAGCAACATGTTGGGAAGGATTGCTGTACTAAGAAGAACAGAAATATTTTGTGTCATTATAACATAGAGTTTTAGTAAAAGTAAATCATAGATAAAACACCAGAGCAGACCGTCTTTTTGTCTGGAAGTGAAATTGAGGGTATGATATCACAGATCAGCTCTTATTCTGACGGTTTCTTGTCACCTTAATGACCTTTGATAATCAGACTAAAGAGAAACAAGCTGACAGATAAGATGAGGAAATGTTCCCTTCAGCTTAAATCCAATAAGACTAAAATAATTATTCAGACGTTTTCATACTCAGCATCTCTACTCTACATCCCATCATGCATCTGGATAAGTGTGGTGTCTGTGACAGCATACACCGAGGAGCTGGAAAAGGTTTCATGCACTATAATATTCATTAAAAGTGCCAAGAACAGGGCTATAAAATTTGATTATACTAACCATTAGCACACTTTTCCCAGGACTACTTGGTGATTATTACAGGTGAGCAGTTTGTCTTGTTGTCATGGAGACGCCTCAGTAATCACTTGTTAATATAATGTCAACAGTGACAGATGCTGTTAAAGGCCGTATTAATCTGAGCAGAGCTGTCTGTCAGGATCTCCAGGGTCGAGCTAAATTTGTTTCTTACATTCAAAAGTTTATATTCATGATCATCAAAGTTTTAGAGTTCAGTTCATTTAACCAAATACAGGATAGATGTACATACATTAAAGCTACAATGGGGAGTTTTCAGAAGTGTAAATGATGGTTGATGCAAACATGATGATAAGAACAGGAGCTTTAATTCAGCAGGTCTGAGTAATTATATATGAAGTATATCTGACAGCTTTTAAAAGGCACAGTGAGCGATTTTCATGACCGACACAGTCAGAACGTTTACAAGCACAGTTACGGTAAACTATGTTAAGAGTTCAGTTAGGCGGTTTAACTGGACCTCTGTCCTGGTCCCAGTTTATATGCACTGGGCAAGAATCGCATTATTGATGGGAGACTGTCTACCTCCGCTACGATCAGTGGCGACATGACCATCAGTTCATTACTATCAGCTTGACTTATAACGCCTCAAAACAATCAACAAAACCTGTTAGCAAGAGGCTAACAGGATAAACATAAACAGTGTCACTTTAAATATCTGTACCGTAGGTTTGTTTGAAGGGAAAGTTTCGTCTTTTTTTACCGTTACTTTATCTGTTGAGGTTTCACAGATGTCTGTGGCAGAGCAGACAAGTGCGAACGTTCACAAAACTGCACCAAACAAGTGGAAACTATGAGAGTTTCAGGTTTACCAGAGTAGTCATGGATACTTCAGGAGCTGCACGTACAGACAGATTTATTTTTAATTCCACCAAAGCTATAAATCTGGATTCATGTCACAGATAAAACCCAGAGTCACCGAGGTTATAGAGGGGCAGGGGCGTTATAACGGACACTCACATCAGAAACACGTCTATATGTCAGAGCTGGTCACTTCTCATTCCTCACAGGTCAGGGGGATAAACACGGCGATGCAGCACACACTGCTGTCATGGTGACACTAAAAGAGGAACATTGTCCTGTAAGGCCACTGAAACTAAAGGTCACAGGTTCAACTCCTACCATGGGAAATGCTCGTCCGTAAACTACTATGTGTTCTGGTGAAGAGTCTGTGAAAACTCTTCATCCTTTTTTTCCTTTAGAGTCGGATAAAGGTCTTGGAGCTGCACATGATTAGAGCTCCATAGTTAATGAACAAATTAGACATGCTTATAACCCATGTTTCAAATATTTTACAAGAGTAAATGTTTCTGTTTGCTGCAGGAAGGTTAAACCAACTCTGCGGTTAGTTTTACACTTTGGCTCTCTGCCTGGAGTGACACTCAGGACCTGCACCGCTGTGAGCCCTGTTCACATTAGAGGTTCATGGAGACAGGAGTAGCTAAAGTGCATCTAAAAATCCAATTTTTAAGGGTTTACTGGGGGGGAAGGGTTCGGTGCAAAGAGTATCTCATAGTATGTTAGTACAGTCTCCCAGTCTCTGAAGGGGTCATCCTGGGGTCATTTCCATCAACAGCAATGATCAGTGAAGTTTTTAGTTGTTTCACATATCTGTTTTCTATACATCTGTACATCCGGAACATCTACTTCAAGGTCGTATCCGCCGATCGTTACCATTCAAGTTAATGTGTCGATTTCCACTGGCTTCTTTCTGTTCCTCTGCGGATCGCCGGACTCCGCAGCTGATCGCAAAAGTTCTATTTTTTCCAGACGCCGGAGCACGGTTTATAGATGTCAGGGTTAGGCTGCTCAGTTTAAAGACATGAGCTCTGTGCAGACATGAATATGGTTTGCCTTCTTAAATATGACATTATGCTCTCTCTATAAACAGGGATGATGCTGCAGGTACCTCACATTATTCTGCAGGTCAGCGTAGGAGTAGATGCCCCCCCTCACATGACATGATGTTTTAAGGAAGTGATTAAACCCCCACATGAGAACAGACTTCAGCTTTTTAGCGACCCAAAGGAAACTGGATTAAAAAATAAGGAGCTTAAAAGGTGAAAGCATTTTGTTTGTGTTGGTTCTGGCGCCCCCTGTGGACAAAGAGATTTTCTGCTACAGAAATCTTAAAGGACGGTGATACTGAAGGATCAATCATGTGTTTGACTATCAGTCATAGGAAAGTTCAGGTCTGAGAAAACCAGCAGCAGCCCTAGATCTTGATTGCTGTGATGGCGTACTGTCACTAAAGAAATCCAAACAGCTCCATTTTGTCTGTTTATCGTTAAATTACTTCATTATCGACTCTGTTTCTTGTTTTTCCGTCTCCCACGATAATTAAAGGTTTCCCTCGTCTTTTTTTCCTCTCATTTTGACAGAAAAGGGCGACTTCATTGCTCTGGACCTCGGAGGGTCAAACTTTCGGATTTTAAGGGTGAAAGTGACTCAGGACAAAAGGCAGCCAGTCCAGATGGAGAGCCAGGTCTACGAGACACCTGATGACATCATTCACGGCAGCGGATCACGGGTAAACAGCTGGTTATTGTCTGATCTATGAAAAGCTGAAATTCATCCCAGAGAAACGTTGAAACTTAAAAATGAGACTCTATCCAAACTGCCCTCATGGTGGTATTAAATAAACACTAAACAAATACAGCAGCACATGATGAAGACGTCCAGACTGTTTTTACCCCAAACACCCGCTGAGTTTGTCCTCCACATAACAAAGAACAGTCATCTGTTAAAGGTCAACGCCATGTAAAATGACCTCCTCAATAACAGCGAGAATAATGAGAGCAAAGTCAGGAGCTACTCTGACCTTTAGTGAACTTGAGGAGAACAGCTGGCAGTCGTATCGTAACATGATAACCCAAACATGAGCGACTGTCTGAGGCCGTGTGATTGGATCAGAGCGTGACCTACGCAGACGGAGAAAAGACAGATGCTGTTTAATAAAACGTCAGCTGGTCAGAAATGTAACGTGTATGAGTTTGTTAACAAGGAGGGGAAAGAGACAGTCACTGTTTAAGTGGATTCAACTTTGTTCAAACAGAAAATATATGTTTTCTTTAACTGGGTAAACTTTTAAATGTTCTTATTTAGTGGTTTTTTATTCCCACAGCAGCTACAAAACTACAACATGGTCAAATATTGGATTTCTAATTCTGGATTTTCTCCTCAGAGAGAGTCAGTGTGTTGTGTTTTTTTTCATGCTCGGGGTCGTTATTGTGCTGTTAGGATTAAAAATTTGAATTTAAATCTCAGTGACTTTGAGGGTCTAACGGAGAAGAACAAACTAAAACTGTAAGGCTCCTGAGGTCCCTAATGGGGATAATTTTATCACTTAAAATCTATACTGAGAGTACATTTTTTTATCTTGTGGACTAACGTTAACTTCTTGTGTTTACATGTTAGAAATGATCACTTAATAAGTTTTGTGACTTTCTGGATTAAAGGTACAGTGTGTAAAAATATAGAAACATTAGATTCTGGATGGAGACGCTCCCTCGCTCACCCCTCCTGTTGATGAAACTATGGTGGCCTTTGAGGACAAGAAGCTCCTGTTTTACACAATAACTTGTCAAGTTTTTACCAACAAAAACATCTATTGATACACATTATCTGTGCACAACAACTATAAAGTGTTACTAACGAAAAACAAAATTATTCATAACATGGCTGTGAAGATGGAAAAGGTTTAGTCTGAGCTAAAATATAAATATATCCTGGTGATTAATTCAAACATCTGTTTACATTTCTACCAAATAAAGACTTGGCTTAGTACTTTTTAAAGTTCAGAGGTCATCAATCGTGGACAGAAACATCTTTAAAGATAGTATAAATACTCTTTATTAAACACGGTGGAAGAGAAACCTTTAACATCTTCAGTTCTGTCTTTTTGAATTACTTTAACTAATAACTTCATGAGCAATTAGAGCTAACGTTGTCTCTGAATTAAACTCTGCTTTAGTCGATCCGCTTTCTTTTGATCTGAGTTTTCACAGCGCCTGTTTTTAGATTTAAGTTTTAAAGTATCCAGTCTTTTCTATTTTACTGTTTTTATCTGTAAAGTGACCCCAAGTGTCCAGAAAGGCGCTTATATTGATTGCAGTTTGGGGATGACGGGATATTTTAAACATCTCTGATTTAATGTCACTTCAAGAACCAACACTGAGTATCATAATCTTTATGAATATGTGATTTAAGACGATTTAGTTTAATCTAACAGCATAAACTTTAGCTGTATTCGCCAAGTTCAACAGCAGCCCGGTGGTTAAGAGGAAAGTCACGATTGAACAAACAAAATAAAACCCTGGCTGCCCTTTTTGTGTGGAGAGAGAAATCTTTCTGAATGACTCGTGAGCTCCTCCTCATGTAGACAAACCTGAACAGTCTGTGTGTTTGTCGTGTTATTCTGGAGTCCAACTTTCCCTTTTTTGTTCACAGCTTTTCGACCACGTTGCAGATTGCCTGGGCGACTTCATGGAGAAGCAAAAAATCAAGGATAAAAAGCTTCCAGTGGGATTTACGTTCTCCTTCCCTTGTGCCCAGACCAAACTAGACGAGGTAAATCTGTCCAAGTTTAAAGACTGTTGATGAAATTCCAGAAAAACTTTGCTGGTTTTCAGAGAAGATTCATGTTGTTGTTTTAAAGAGTCTCTCTGTATCATTAGGGGGAAATGTTTAGTTTTGTCCGTCTGTTTTAGCCTGTCTGACTTTAAATGAAGGTTTTGTTAAACATCCTGTTTTCTAGGCCGTCTTAGTGACATGGACAAAGAAGTTTAAGGCCAGCGGTGTCGAGGGGATGGATGTCGTGAAACTGCTGAACAAGGCGATCAAGAAACGAGGGGTGAGTCTGTTTCTCATTGGACTGGACTGACTGCAGATATATTCTACACATAATGAGTGTTACAGACAACACCTGTGATCTGTCTGAGATTGTTAGTTTAGAGTCATAACATAAATAATCGAATCTTTCAGGATTATGAGGCAGACATCATGGCCGTGGTGAACGACACAGTTGGCACGATGATGACCTGTGGATTTGACGACCAGCGCTGTGAAGTCGGTATCATTATTGGTAAAGACAGACGTTTCTGGTTCATGTAATTATTGAATGGTCTGTTTTTGAAATGAAAGCTAAATGGGATGTCTGACAGTCTGACAGTCGTGCCCTTCCAGGTGAATCATTTCTGAGTTTACTGCACATGATATAATGACAGGAAAGACGGTCTACTCTTCTTTATCCTGCATACAAGAGGAGGCCACCCTCACGCCATTCTCACAGTTTGACATGTGGGGGCGCCAAAGTCATATCCGCCCTAACCCAGAGCACTCAGACTCCAGAGTCCCACAGACTCCCAGTCACGCCTCTCTGCATCCTCACAGGTACAGGAACAAACGCCTGCTACATGGAGGAGCTGCGTCACATCGACCAGGTGGAAGGAGACGAAGGCCGGATGTGCATCAACACCGAGTGGGGGGCCTTTGGCGATGACGGGTCCCTGGAGGACATCCGCACAGAGTTTGACCGAGAGATTGACAGAGGCTCCATCAACCCAGGAAAGCAGCTGTAAGATTTCTTTGAACCTTCTTAAACAAACTCCTGCTGAAGACATAGGGACGCCATGAACCCCAGACTTTTAAAGCCCCAGTAGGCCTGAGACTTTATTTTTGAAGATTCAAGATTTGAAAGCAGTCATGTTTTATGCAAACATTTGATGAGAGCTTTGAACACACCTGCAGTGTAATAGAGCATTTAGAGGTCACCAGACAAACCTGGAAACTTCTGACACTTTTCTGGGGTAGTAATCGCAGCTCTGTACCATCCAGGGTCCAAACCTGTGTCCTACTGATTTCAAATGTGTTCATGTTTAAGGAGACGCTGCTGCTGTGTTTGGATTTCAGGTTTGAGAAGATGGCCAGCGGGATGTACATGGGTGAGCTGGTCCGACTGATTCTGGTGAAGATGGCCAAAGAGGGACTGCTGTTTGAGGGGCGGATAACCCCGGAGCTCCTGACCAAAGGAAAGATCGAGACGAAACATGTTTCTGCCATCGAAAAGTGAGTCAGGGGGAGGGAGCTGGGCCATCACATGAGGGCATACACTTATGGATGGATGATCCAGAAGAAGGTGTTTGTGATTCATGGTTATCAGAGCTGTGATGGCAGGAAACATTTGTCTTTTTAGGACAAAAGAAGGCCTGAAGAAGTGTATGGAGATCCTGACCAGGCTTGGGGTGGAGCCTTCAGAGGAGGACTGCTTGGCCGTGCAGCACGTGTGCACCATTGTATCGTTCAGATCGGCTAATCTCATCGCCTCTACTCTGGGAGGGATCCTCGGCCGCCTCAAGGAAAACAAGGGACACGCACGCCTTCGCACCACCGTGGGCATCGATGGATCTCTGTACAAGATGCATCCTCAGTAAGTAATCCTTAAACAAGATAAGGGAGACCAAGATCAAACTTTAGACTCAACGTTAGATGTTCAGAGAAACACAAACAGTTGATGCTCCAAACGATGAAGAGGAATCAACCAATCAGAATCACTCCTGAAAATGCAGTAATACCCTCATTTTTGCAAGTTTAAAGATGAGTTATGTTCATCACGAATACTAAGTAAAGGATTTTAAGTGAAACCTTTTGTGTTAAACCAGAATATCTTTTTTAAGAAATCTATTCAGGTGTTTTTTTTTTTTTTTTAGGAAATATTGCTAAACAGAAAACCTGCATTTGTTCTGGAGGTTTAATATAAATGGAAGATTGATCATTAATCAGATTTGGCAATCAGGATAAATACATGTTGAATATGTGAAAATATGCTGATTGATCCCTCTGTCACTGTGAGCTGCAGCTCAGGTTTATGATAACTGGACTGAATGCATTAAATCATCATTATTATTATTATTATTATTATTATTATTATTATTATTATTATTATGGCATAGTGTTAAAAAAAGATATGAAATCCTGTTTTATTTCATTTTTAAGGATTTAGAGCTGAATAAACTGCAAAGATGAACACACTCTCTCTCATCAGATATGCCCGTCGGCTTCACAAGACAGTGCGCCGCTTGGTCCCAGACTCAGATGTCCGCTTCCTGCTGTCAGAGAGTGGGAGTGCGAAAGGCGCTGCCATGGTGACAGCAGTGGCGTACCGTTTGACGGAGCAGGCTCGCCAGATTCAGCAGACTTTGGCCGAGTTCCGGCTGAGCAAAGCGCAGCTGTTAGAAGTGAAGAAACGGATGAGGGTGGAGATTGAGAGGGGCCTGAAGAAGGACTCTCACAAGGAAGCAACCGTCAAAATGCTGCCCACCTTCGTCAGGAGTACGCCGGACGGCACAGGTGACCGAAGCAGACACCTGATGAGGGATGGGGTGGGGGTCTTTTCACAGTTTTATAAAATGGAGACATCTTGTATTTTCAGTTCAGTATCTACTGTGTCCAAAATGTCAACTCCTAAAACTGAACCAATCACGTACAGACGGATCGTCAAATCCACTTGCTTCGTGAGACCGACAGCTGTTCGATAATTCACAGAGTTTCTGTGACATTCATGTTCCTCCATCTCAACAAATTCAACCCGTTAAAAACGTACATAATCCCAGATGATTTAGGTTTTTGTTGTTTGCTGATGGCCAATCAGAGGCTGTGTCTGTGATCAGCTGACCCCTGAACACAACAAAACCATCTATGTCTGTATATTTAAGGGGAACAAGCAGTTAAAGCTGCAGAATTGATGATAGGCGTGGACTAATCTTCATTGTCAGAAAACTAAAGAGAACTGGAGATGTTTGTTCCTAAATGTTTATTTTCAGGTGAATAAATCAATGGTAAAAAAATCAAACTCCTGAACATGTTTGATCGTCCTGTTCGTCTGAATGATCGTATTACTTCGATCAAACATCTAAATGATCTTCAAACAGCTGAAGCTCTCACTTTGAAGCAGCCATCATCTGCTGCCGTGTTGACAGTCAAGCTGATGTCTGCAGGTGTTTCACCAGGTCATCTAAACAATGTTGCGCAATCGTCGGCGCCGTCACCCGTCCTCTTAGGCGTGGTGCGTGTTTGTCACCAACCTCAAAGTTCAGTCAAGGTCCTCCAGTCTACTCTTCAAATAAAACAGAGTTTGTCGTGTTGGCGCCGCAGACATGCGGTGAGCGCTCTGAATCAGGTTCTCCCACATTGTTTTGAGTTAATCGCCGTGGTTATTATGTCAAACCTCCAGGGTTTATCTCTCCATCTTTATTAACCTCACAGATCCTGTCTACATCAGCAGAAATAAAAAACAACCTTCTTCATAAACACGTAGAAGATCTGCAGTTTTCAAAGATGAACCCCCAAGTCGTCTCTTATGGTCGTAGCACTTCCTTCCTGACTTTCTGTTGGCGTTTGTGTTTCAGAGAATGGAGATTTCCTGGCTCTGGACCTTGGTGGGACGAATTTCCGAGTGCTTCTGGTGAAGATTCGCAGTGGGAAGAGGCGATCAGTGGAGATGCATAATAAAATCTACGCCATCCCCATAGAGGTCATGCAGGGCACGGGAGAAGAGGTGAGGGGGACCTTTATTCCCTCTAAACTGAAGTTGATGTTCACCTGAACTTTCCCATGTCTTACAGCAGCGCAGCACAAAATTTAGACTAAGCATCTTCAAGCCAAAGCCATCGTAAACATGTGTCTCTCTTTTGCAGCTCTTTGACCACATCGTACACTGCATCTCTGACTTCCTGGACTACATGGGAATGAAAAGTGCTCGACTGCCGCTGGGTTTCACCTTTTCCTTCCCCTGCCATCAGACCAGCTTGGATGCAGTAGGTTCTCTAAAAATAAGAACGTTATGTGTAGGATAGGAGGCTAAAAAAAACAACACACTTGGGTCTCTGCCATGTACGCAGAAAAACACCAACATGAGCCAAAAAGAGCAAAATGCTACACTAGTTTTTTTTTTTTTCTTTTGGAAAAAAGGGCCAGAGTATATCCAGGATTTCATGAGGATGAGTATTCACCAGTGTGAGACTAGTGAGAATCACATTTTATGACATTGAGAAGAAAACAGCACAAAATGATCCTCTCTAAACTCAGCTGGAGGCCGGGTTATCACAAACACTAACGATGGCCTCGCCCTGCACCTCTGGGTGTCTTTTATCATCAAAACACAATGAACACTGTCACGACAAACAGCAGGGTCTAAAGAGAGGAGGTCCTATCGACTTGTCCTGTGTCGATCCTAACCACCAATTTTTACCACATCTGGAACAGCTCCGATCCGGAATACACATGTTTGTGTATTCTGGCTTATGTTTGTTTCCACAACCGAGTGAAAAGCAGAGTCCTGTTCAGGAATGAATAAAGTTTTTTGCTTCTTCATCTGGAGGTCTAAAGGAAGTTGAAATAGTCAGAAGAGTTATCCAAAAAGGATCATAACAGAAGAGTGTGTTGTGTTTCCTTTAGGGGATCCTCGTCACCTGGACCAAAGGCTTCAAGGCCACAGACTGTGAGGGGGAGGATGTGGTTGAGCTTCTCCGGGATGCGATCAAGAGGAAAGAGGTAAGAGAGAGTAGAGACTACATCCAAACCTCATCAGAGTGTAGACGTGCAGTGATGCGAGTCCTGGAACACCTGGACTCTGTGACCAAGTCCTGACATTTTCAGGACTTGAACTTGACGGCAGGAGAGATCTTTGTCAAACACCTCAGAGACCAATAAGGAAAAGTCTGCAGAAAGACGAGTGGAGGAGAGAGTAATCACAGAGTGTCACGATCATATAGGTGTTACCCTCATCCATAGATCTGCTGCTTTTGGCTTCGACTAGTCTGGAATGAATCGAAGCTTTCTGCAGAGAACTGCATCTTGTTTAGTTTGTGTAGTAGAGTTGATCTTGTTTAGTTTGTGTAGTAGAGTTTGTCTCGTTTAGTTTGTGTAGTAGAGTTTGTCTCGTTTAGTTTGTGTAGTACAGTTTGTCTTGTTTAGTTTGTGTAGTAGAGTTGATCTTGTTTAGTTTGTGTAGAAGAGTTTGTCTTGTTTAGTTTATGTAGTAGAGCTGATCTTGTTTACAGCTCAGACTGTTGTTTCATGTTGCTTCTCAAAGCTCAGATCTTGAAGGTCTGACTGAGCTCTGCTGTAAACATGGTAAATGTGATCTCAGATCTGAAGAACGTTAGCATGACGTGTTTGTTTCGTGGAGCTTCTGTCTGTTTTCTTTGTTCAGAACATCATTTGATCAAAACACAAAGTTTGATGAAAAGGACGGAAACAGAAACGAGATTTCAAACACCCACCTTCAGTCAGAAAACAGACGTGTGTTGGAGCGGACCACTTCACCACCGTTCATACTGACACCTTTAAACCGACCTTTATTTCACAGTTCAACGTAAAGCGGAATAATGCTGTGAAAACCTGCAAACATGTACATGATTGTGTTTTCAGAAAGTGTCTCATGTTTGTCTCGTGTTTGTCACCTTTGAGTCTCTTGCATTGGTTTCACTCTTTTAGATGGAGAACCCAGTAAGTATGATGAGACTGTAAATCTTAACCTGGCAGGTAAAGCGGTTCAGGTGATTGTTGATGTTGGAGCATGTCCTCCTAACACCTGGAAGTGTTTGTCTGTGTCTGCGGTGTGGGATCCATGCTCGGTGATGATGACAGAGATCAAACCCTGGGTTTGATGTGTTTGGCAGAGCTCCTGAATTTCACAGCTCGATTATCTTACTGTGTATCCTGCCTAAGTTTGTGAGTGAACTGCATTGTGTTCAGTCTGTGTGTGTGTTTGTAAAGCTGCCATGACCAACATTAATCCCCCATCATCACACCCATTCACCACAAAGTCGTCGGGTATAAGACCTGGACCTGTAGGTCAACCCTGGTCCTTTGAGTGACACTTTGTTTTGTGATCTGTATCGATAAAAATTTGGAAACAAAATTCTACAAACGAGAAAAGCCTTTCTATCCCAGACTGAACGAAAAACAGTGACTTCACATCAGAGGACAAAGGAACAACTGTTAGACCGCTGCTGCCCTCATCTGTTCCTGTGTTTTTATGTCTATTTTATTTATACTTTTGTTTTTCAGAGCAGACAAAATATTTTTGTAATTCATGATAGAAGTAAACCCAGAATTCAGATCGTCTCCTCAGAATTCTGGATCTGATGACGCAAAAGGAGAGGAAATTCAAAGTTTTAGGAAAAATGTCAAAATTTAACATAGTCCGGATTCTGAGATCGTCATTCATATCGAAAAAAATTCATGTTTAAATCAATGATCAAAGTTTTTCATTCTTTTTTTTAAATCAAGAATTTCAAGATCAAAGTCAGAACTCTAAAATCAAAGTTAAAATTCTTGATCAGTCAGACCTCTAAAATCAATCGGAAACAAGAAGCCAGGAAGACCTGTAGAAATCATCGATTACAACCCGTGATTTAAACAAATAAAAGAAGAAACAAAGAATACTGGACGCCATTAAAACTTGAGTAGCTAAAAATATTCTCAGTTTAGGTATCAAGAAAAAAATATTTAAAAACTTTGAAAATCATTTTTGTTTTGTTTTATCATTCTAATATTTTTGGGGAACTGAAAATCTAATTTCCATTTTAACACAAAGCATGAATCTTGACTTCCTGTAACTCTCCGTCACTTAATTTATTCCTCTGATTAATTAATTGAACATTTGTTCTGACAGGAATTTGAGCTGGACGTGGTCGCCATAGTGAACGACACCGTGGGTACGATGATGACCTGTGCGTATGAGGAGCCCAGCTGTGAGGTCGGACTTATCGCAGGTGAGTGAACCGGCAGAGTTCTGAAGACGGAAGTGTTCTCGGTTCGGTCTGAACTCTTCCTGACTTTTTCTCATTGTTTCTTTAAACTGGAAAGAGCTTTTAAGACTTTGAGTCTTTTCAGGGACGGGCAGCAACGCCTGCTACATGGAGGAGACGAAAAACATCGAGATCGTGGGAGGAAGTGAGGGCCGCATGTGCGTTAACATGGAGTGGGGGGCGTTTGGAGACAATGGTTGCCTGGATGACATCAGGACGATTTATGACCAGGCGGTGGATGAGAACTCGCTCAACGAAGGCAAACAAAGGTCAGAAGAACGAGTATCAAACTTTATCAATCAGACTGACGAAGACAACGTGCTAACGAGAGTTTCCTACCTCCACCTGTCAGGTATGAGAAGATGTGCAGCGGGATGTACCTGGGGGAGATCGTCAGGCAGATTCTCATCGATCTGACCAAGCGCGGTTTCCTCTTCCGGGGACAAATCTCTGAGACCCTGAAGACCAGGGGCATCTTTGAGACCAAGTTCCTGTCACAGATAGAGAGGTGAGTGAGTTTTTTTTCAACACACTGAACCTCTGCGGACCAGCAGTTTGAAATAAAAACAGTCGTATTTAAAAAGTAAAACACACAGAGATAGGTTATAGGAGGTTTTTAATTTCAGTTGAGGATTTCAGATTTATAACGTTCAGAGATAACACCTGAAACTACCAGGAAGTAGATCTTGACATGAGCTTGACCTCACTCGATTCAGTAAAGCTGTTGGGTTAGGTGGCAGAAACTTTTAAAAGTAGACCACTTAAACAATAATATTTAAATATCACAGATTATCAAACTTTACCCCCTTTCACAAACACACTCCTTCAAATTTACTCAAGAAATAAGTTCCAGAGCCCTCAAGTATGTGAGATAAACTTAAAGCTCCTGTGAGGAACTTTCAGTTTAGGTCCATTTTGGCGCCCCCCTGTGGACAAAAACGTTTTTCCCTTTCATGTTCTTCACATGCTCAAATAGGGACATGAGCAAAAGTCTCATCCTGACTACTTTTGACAGTCAAATCACATGTGAATATTTTACACGGAAACAGTTTCTTCTCGCTGGTTTTAGGACACTAAAATTGTCTGTCTAGTTTCTGACGGTTTTGTTTGATCGTTGAAATCATGAACTCATTAACTTCCAAAACTCCTGTCTGGGATTTTAAATTCAATTGTGGTAAACCAGACAGAAAAGATTGTAGGATAAACACAGTGAAGTTTGAACACATATTTATGAGTGTGTGACGGGGGGTGCAGAGCTGCGACAGGAGTGTGTACGCTGTTTAAGCCCACCTCAGCCTCTGGGAACAGCTGTGGGGGATCCGGTGACTCTCCTGCTGACCTCTGACACGCTCTCCCTCCCTCTCCACAGCGATCGTCTGGCGCTGCTGCAGGTCAGGGCGATCCTGCAGCAGCTGGGGCTCGACAGCACCTGTGATGACAGTATTATCGTCAAGGAGGTGTGCGGCACGGTGTCCCGCCGCGCGGCTCAGATCTGCGGAGCCGGGATGGCTGCTGTGGTGGACAAGATCCGTGAGAACAGAGGATTAGACCACCTGGATGTCACAGTGGGCGTGGACGGCACGCTCTACAAGCTGCACCCACAGTAAGACCTGGGATGGGGGCTGGTTAGAGGGCGTGTTTGTTGGGGAAGGTGGGGTTCAACCTTTTAAAGCTCTACAGTGAATCTGACATTTAAAAGGCGGTAAAGGTTGTTTCAGACCGTTTCCAGTTAGACCGAAGCTCGAGGTTGGATTCTGGCCTGTCTCTCAAGTGCCGATATCTTCAAACTGAATTTGGCCAGTTCGGATGTCGACACTGAAACATGCAGAGTGTCTGTTTCAGAGTTATTCTGTGACTCTTACTGTGATTGTCTATTTGTTTTGAAACCCAAACCTCGAGCTACGAACAGCATTCAATTCCCCCGTAGACGATAAACACGATTGTTTTTTAAAAATAGACATTCAGCAGTTCACCTGCTGTCTGTTTCCAACTCTTCCAATCACATCTGCAGACACTAACAAATGTAAGCCTGCACATGCGATCCGCAGCGGAACGGAAAGAAGCAGGTGGAAATTTACACGTTAAGTTGAATGGTTACGATCAACTACAATCGGTGGATACGGCCTTTTCGTAGCTGTTCAGGATGCGGTGGAAACTGGGATTCAGTCAGTGTCGCCTGGCCCCAAACTTTAATTCAAGTTTAACCCTCGCACCGCTGTCACGATTAAAGACATGAGACTGACACTGCTTTGGCGTAATCATCAGTGATTTGGCCCTCACCAGCTCCTGTTGTCCTCTTTCCTCAGCTTTTCTCGGATCTTCCAGCTGACGGTTAAGGAACTCGCCCCCAAATGTGACGTGAACTTCCTGCTCTCGGAGGACGGCAGCGGGAAGGGGGCCGCCCTGATCACTGCGGTGGGCTGCCGTCAGAGGGAGCTGGAGGCGCAGCAGCATTAAGGAGCTCCATCCCATCTGTCCTGGAGAACGACCTGCTGCTCCACGTGTCCTTCACTCACCGCACTGCCCGACTCCACTTCACCTCTTGGCAGCCGTGACTCCCCTTCTGTTCCACCTGGCCCCCCCGCCCCGCCCTGTACACAGTCAGAGAGACATACTGCATGCATGAAGAATTAACACTGAATATTTATTTATACTGCACCAGAGGGTTTATTTCCATGTTTGTACATTTCTGCAATAGCTTGTCGATAATCTGATTAAACTAAACTCCTTAGCTGTGCAATATTTGTGTATTGCTAATTTTATTTTTATATGGAGGCAAATATATTATTGTATTTATATAACAGAGGCCACTTTGAACCCCTGCGATAATCATTAGGATTTTGCACCACAGAAACAGCATGAATAGGCACTTTTTATATGAGGGTTACAACTACAGCATTTAAATGTAACTTCCAAACGAAGGACCTGAATCGTTTTTACGTTTGACGCCGCTGGTTTAGAACAACCAGCTCCAAAAGGGCTCGCTGCACAGGGTCGAATGCAAGAGTCACGGCTGTTCAAATCACCCTCATTTTCACACTCTGTGCTTGGCTACTAACCTTTCTGTGTAACTATCAGTGTAACTCAAGTGTTTCAGCTGCACCATCCCATTTAAGAGCGGACAGATAGAAAAGGCCCCAAGTGGAAGTGTTAGCGCCGTATCCAGTTACTATTTGTGAACTACTATACTTTTGGTGTTGTGATGAATCCCACTTCTACTCATTGTGTATGTGCAAAGAATAAATGTTTATTGGGCCCCAGAAAGGAGTGGACACGACGAGCGCTTCTGTTTGTGTGTATTTGTGGCTGAGTGTCAGTGTGTCTACTGTGTCGACCTGTAGCTTTCAATGTCCAACGCTCTGTGGAGACTGCATGCCTTACATTAAGACAACGGAGAGCACTGGATCTTTCCCTTCTTTCTGTTTCCTCTTTCTCTTTTTTTTTACATCAGTATAGATTTGTGATCCACACAGTGAAAAGTGAATTCATTAAATTATATTTTGTTGTGGAGCATATTCTGGTGTCTCTTTCTTAAACTATCGAACGATGACGGCATGCTCAAACTTTTGAAAACTAGACGTCACATAAAGAACGGGGCGTTTCCTTCTCCTGGAGCTCAGTCAGAGCTAATTTTTATACCAGTCTATGAACTCCATGGAGACTTTATGATGGGGAAACAGCCTTGGGAAGCAATGGCCAGCTCTCCAGACTCCTGTTGGAGTCATGGGCGAGTGGTAAAAGACTTTTGGCTAAGACTGAGTGTTTACTTTGTGTAGAGAAGCAGAGTCTTAGAGCAGATTGTAATCTCCACTAGCTGCATACATGTTTGAATACTTATTCATTACTGTTAAATCGGTATTACATGACAGCAAATGGGTGTAAGGATTGCATCAAACCTGAGTCTTGCCTTTTCGCTCTTTTCATGGACTTTTTAAACAGTCGACATGCTCCTGGACATCACCCATCGGTTTTTGTAGAGGCATCACGAAGCTCAAAGACGCATGTCGCCATGTTGGAGAATTCTTACTCCAACTGTCACGTTTTCTTCAAATCAAGTCCAAGCAGATATCGAACATAACGTGCTGATGATTTATCATGACTACCATGCAGTGGTCAGGTCACGGTGAGAGCACCCTCTGCTGGACAAACACGGTGGAGTGCGCTGATAAACATTTTTGTATTGGAACAGAAGTTTGGACACACTGTAAGACACAAGGCTTATTTATGCTCAACGTTCTTTTCATCCGTATTTCTGCACCTATCCTTGAAGTTTACAGACACAGGCCAGACTGTGCAGTACCACTGGAAACCGTGGGGGCAGTGTTGCTGCTGTCACGTCCCGATACGCATCTTTAGAGAGAAACGAAGAAGACAATGGCGGCAGACATCCTGAATTACTGAAAATGACGGTCATCGTCAATTTCTCTCATGGGTATGACTAGAGAAAAGAATTCCCCATCCTCCAACCTCCAGGCATTTAATGGCCTGACTGACCTCCAACGCCGCCTCCGTTCCTGTCTCCCCAAAATATACATTATCACTAGCTCTTCCACTGTCGCCATGTTTCTTTTTGTTTGTTGTTGTCAGAAACTTTTGACTCCGGCCTGCCCCCTGGTGGATGTAATGGTTAACATCCATGCCAACGTAAAGGATGCATGGAAGAATGCTTGCAGTGACGGAGCCTTCGTTTGAAGCAGATGCGTACATTTTCATACGTATGGCGAGCATCAATGAGCCTTAAGTCTAAGGACTAAATCTGAGTCTAGAACTAAATTTTGGATTAGTGACTACTCCCTACTCCCAGTTAGTACAGAAATTGTCAGTGCGGAGGTGAGGCCGTAGCACAGGCGCCTACAACACACCCACTTTTTTGTCAATAATCAGCCATGCCCCTAATTAAGCCCAATTACACATAATTTCTGGCCTTATTAGAATCAAATCAGAGGAGCTTTTTGCACTAGGCAGTAATCAAGTTTTCTTCAGCTGTAAAAATGGATGTTAATCTCTAGTTTGAACCAAATACGCCCATGCAACTAGCAGTCTCCAAAAGTGAGGATATCCCCATTCGAGCCCAAATATTCAGACTCATTTTTAAAGCAGAATCAAACATGTTTCAAATCGCAGTTTCGGTCTCTATGGCTTATTTTGTGTTTTTGCACAGTTTTTTTTTTATTTTGATTAAATTAAGACTATGAATTATGCATTATCGTAATAAGCATGTCACTGACTCTGTGTCCATGTTTTAATTTAAAGGACTACACTTACTACCTAAAAATCCTCAAATGAAATAAATTCTTATTTGTAACTGACATCCTGAGGTCGGTATTCAGTGTGGTGCAATAATAAGAAAGGCTTACTTTGTATTTGCATTCACTGACAACGCTGAGGAGCAGCACCACATCCACCAAGGCTCACAGGGCAGCATCACACACGACAGTCTGCTGGAACTTCATAAAAAGATGATGCCCACATGGTAAACTACTTTAAAGACACACATTAATACGATGTAAGTCTGTGCTCTTTTTCAGTTCTTAAATAAATGATTGTCTTAATGCACTCATGTGATCAGTGCAACAAAGGCAGTGAACTCATTTCCAAGACAGTAAATATTCCTCACTGCAGTTGCTCCCAAACTTTTCAGACATTTGACCTCCAGCCATGTACCTCCTACTCTCTCACACTTATAGCAGCTAGAAAAAAAATGTGTCTGTAAGCCTGCCGCCACCCCCACCTCCCACATTTAGCCTACCATACAAATAAAATCTCTAAAATTAAATTATTCTCACTAAATAGATTTTGTGGCTAATTTTTTAAAGGAGCATGTTTTGTTTCTTAATGTCTGTCATCATAAAACAGTGAAGGTTTTATGGAGTTCTGAGGCAGTACCTACAGCCGGGTCTCCTGATGGGTTTCAGTCTGTGTTGAATTTACATCTGGGCAGAAGAAACTGGATTACAGACAGGAACCAGAACAAATTCTGCACTTTCTAACCTTCCTTCAGACAATGCTGTATTTCTAATTGTTGCAAACAGAAGTGTATCTATCTCCGATAAAACGCTGAGTTTATACAGATCTCAATCAAATGTATAGATATCAGTTAAATAACAACAACCTTAACTTGTCTGTGTCCTTATCTTCTCTTCATGGTATGTTTTCTTGTGTGTGGTTGAGTGTTCACAGGTGTGTTGTTTGCATGCATTTGTATCTATTTGTGTTAGGTGTCTGCTGTGTGTTATTTGAGCTTATGTGCAGGTATTTGCCCTACATTTCGCAGGGTGTGAGCCCATAAGTATCTAAGTGAGAAGTACTGTATGTAGTCACAGCTGCTGAGGGTTTAGCTGGAATTAAGCTGGTGAAACGCCACATCCTCCCTTTTTTCTTTTTTTTTACCTATTCCTACAGGCGTGCATGTGTGTGTCTGCAGGGGCGTGTCTAGACTTTTCTGACCAGGGTGGCCCTACATAGGAACAGTAGCCTAATGTAGCTACAGTTACAGCTAGATTATGCGACTTGACTTGTGTTAGCCTCTGCTACAGTAGATAGCAAATTATGAGCTCAAGGTCCATTCACACCGTTTTTGGAGCGTTTTTGTTGTGCAATTATTACGACGTCAATATTTTTTGAAGAAAATGTCGAACAGATCAAAGTTAGCACAGATCAAAGTTAAAACAAAGACGTTTATCAAACTGTTAAAGCACACAAACCATCGTCATATGAGAAATCCGACGCTATGACTCTCCACAAGTTGTCCTTCAGGTCGTTATCGTTGTAATGTTTGTGTAAACGATCATAAACAATCAGTCGGTCGGCCATGTTGGATATAACAGTGAATCAGACGTCGCAACAACACGCAATCTGATTGGTCAGAGGTGGACACACTGTATGCAAAACTTTAGAAAAATCTATGGTGATCCAAAAAAATAAATGCCGCAATATCGCAGAACGGGAAAACGTCGCTGATGTGAACGCTTGTATTGACAGGATACAGGTTCGAAAAAAAAAAAAGATGTCCGAAATAATCTCACGATAAAAAACGGTCCCGGTGTGAAAGGACTGTTTTTCTTTCCGTCCTGACAGAAATGGACGTTTTAAAGTATATGGACGGTTGCAAAACAAGGAACGGAGACATCTTTAAAAATGGTGCAGCTGAAAAGACCCAAATCGCTTGCTAGTTTTGGGGAGGAGGACACGTTCACATCAATAACACAATTTTCTCAGCTACATGTATACGCAGACAAGGGGAGAAGTTTGATTTGGCGAAAAAAACAAACAAATTATGAGCTTAGTCCAAGTAAACTGTGCATGTTAACACACTGAGTGTTTCATCTGTTACAGTTCTGCTCTGTGGGTTAAAATGAGGAAGCAAACGCAATAAGGACTAAAAGGCTTGTACACTTTCCCAGCCTGCCCGCCCCCCTGGCCACCCCCCTGGACACGCCCCTGTGTGTGTTTCTGTGTGTGTGTGTTTCTCAGTCGTAGTGTGTGTTTGTTTGCAGCTCTCACCGGGTTGGTCTGTTAATATCACTGAGGAGGGCTGACTGCTGCTGCTTCATCCATCTGCCTGAAGATCCAGAGGAGCTGAGCTGACACCGCTCACTGCAGGTATGTAACTCACCTTTTTACCACACGCCGTGACAATAACCACACACCGCGTGGATGTCACGTATTGTACGTTGTGTACAGAAAAAAAGAGGGAGGCAGTAGCCTGTTAGCTGACAGGCTAACTTTACTAGTTGTGTCTGGGGGAATTGGCGCTAGCCCGTTAGCCGCGTAGCTAGGTTAGCATCGCATTGGAGCGTGGGAGCGAGCTCTCATAGCTGCTTTTGTGTCACGCCAGACACGTCGCCAGTTTCCACTCGATGTTTAACAATGTCCGCTTTAGTCTAGTGGACACCGATGCTCGTGTTTGCACGGTCAAAGGTGAGCATTTCGTGCAGATTTCCGTGCGGGAGTCGAGCGGCTAATGTCAACAGCTAACGCCAGCTAACATTAGCCTGCCCCCGTTAACCTGTCGCTGGAGCTAACGTCGGCTGGTCAGTCACCTTTTTACCGGAACTGTCAGGTAGATTCCGTTATTGTCACAGGTGTTTTTTTCTTAAACGTCATATTACCTTTCTGTTAGACACAGCTAACACTCAGATTTCCTCTGATTCACCGTTACCGGACACCTACGGGGCAGAACAGCCGAATAAACTGACCCGAGGAGCGGCTGGACTCGCGCGCGGCACGTGCTGTCAGTTGTCCAAAACAGGTGTTTGAGACGGTGCACGCGACGTGTTTGATGATTAGGCGGGCTCCTTTTACCTGTCACCTGTGTCGTCTTCAACCACGACTGTGTTTCTGTTCAGAAAATGAACATTTTAGACAACAAAGAGGAGCACTGCGCGGTGATAACGGTATTGTTCCTTTTAGTTATTATAAATAACAGAATTAAATGAAGAACATTTGCCAAATTTCCTTATAAAATCCCCCATTGCGTTGTCAGTATTCAACAACCAAGATATGTTTAATTCATAGTCAGTCTCCACGAAGGAAAAGCACATAGTCTGACACGTAAGAAGCACAAAAACGGGTGTTAGCCATAATGCAAATCAATAATAACACAAGCCGACCATAAATTCTGCTCTCAGCTTCTCCATTTGCGTTGACAATGATAAATGCCCTTTAGACTCAATGCTGAAGTTCACATGGTTTTCTAGTTTAATATTAAAAAGGTGTTCCTAAAATTTTGTAATAATAAGGAATACCTTTTAACAGAGCACACTGCAGCAGCCTTTAAATAATGAATGTTTAAGGGATATTCTGGCGTAAAATTAATTTAGGGTCAAACGCAGCGTAACACAGAGTTAGACACCCCCTCCAACTTTAGTAACGACCGCAGGATAGCAATACAGAGAGCCACGCGTTTTGGTTGAGGTTTGTTGATGGCTCCTCAGACCGCTGTGTATTGCTATCCTGCGGTTGTTACTAAAGTTGGTATAACTAGAGAAGCAAGCGGTTAACAACATCCCTTCGGAGGGGGTGTCTAACTCGGTGTTATTGTTAATTTTACGCCGGAATATCCCTTTAAGTACAGCTATCCCCATGTCTGATCATGTATGAAAACCCAGAACATCTTGAGCTCATTGAGAGTGTAACTTTTTTGTTTAGCTGTCATGATTGTGTTGGATTCGGTTGCTAATTCCTAATATTTTGCCCCGCCTCATGCTTGTGAATGAAGTGGACAAAATAATAAGGAATACCTTTTAACGGAGCACAATGCAGTAGCCTTTAAATAATGAATGTTAAGTACAGCTATCCCGCGTCTGATCATGTATGAAAACCCTGAACATTTTGAGCACGTTGAGAGTAAAACACTTGCTTAGCTGTCATGATTGTGTTGGATTCAAGGATTTAAGGAACTTTATTTGTCATACCTCACATCTTTGACAGTACGAAATTAGTACCCAGGTCCGTTTCCAAGCCAAGAGTAAAATACAATACAATAAATAAAATATGATATAAACAGATGACATACAAAACAATAACAAAGAGCAAAATGTAAACAAATTTAAGTAGACTGAAATTAGCACTAAAAGTTCCGTGTGAAAGCAGCACCTTGGTTTTGTAAAGTGATGAATTGCAGGTTTGGTCAATGGGTGGGAAGTGGGGAGGGTATAGAGGGAAAGGGTTTTTACAGAGAACTTCATGTTTATCATTCATTTGTTGTTTTCTTAACAGTTTTTCTGCAGAGGCAGTGAAGCCGGTGAACGTCCCTCCCTCTCAGGACAACAAAGGAGCCTCTCGCACACTTGAACCTCAGCAGCGCCGCACGTAGAACGCTTCCATCAGACTCATGACTGTTTGAAGGGACGCGGACCCACCGTGGCCCATGCTCTGTACCCGTTTCCCTCCCTGTCCTCCTTATCCCTCAAGCTGACGCAAAACCCCAGACACCTACCCCCCCTCCCCCACCCCCACTCCCATCCCATCCCCAGCGACTCGCCTCCTCCGCCCATGCCGCCTGGCACTGAGACCGTGCACTACATCCACCTGCACAACTCCAGCCAGTCAGTGCTGGAAGCTCTGCGCACCCAGCGGCGCGAGGGCCTCTTCTGCGATGTGACCGTGCGGATACACGATTCCTCACTGCGCGCCCACGCTTGCGTCCTGGCAGCCGGCAGTCCCTTCTTTCAGGATAAGCTGCTGCTGGGTCACTCTGAGATCTCCGTGCCGCCGCTGGTGCCAGCCGAAACCGTGAAGCAGCTTGTGGATTTCATGTACAGCGGCTCTCTGGTGGTGCTGCAGTCTCAGGCCCTCTGTATCCTCACCGCCGCCAGCATCCTGCAGATCAAGACGGTCATCGACGAGTGTACCCAGATCATCTCTCAGAGAAAGGCGGCAGCAGGAGCGGCGGCCGCGGCGGCGGCTGCAGCGGCAGGAGGCGCGATGCTCGGAGGAGTCCTCCCTAAACAAGAAGAGCGCGGCGGGGGGAAAGGGGCGGAGAGAGGAGGGAGCGGGAGCTGCTCTGTCAGCGCTGCAGGTGGAGGATATGCAAACTTCTCTAACTTCATGGCTGAGTGTGGGGCGAGTAACATGGGTGGCGGGATGGGGGGCGCGAGTGTCAACATTAACGAGGGAGGCCCAGGCCCGATGGAACAGCCCAACACCGTGAGTCTGATGGAGCTGGGCAGCATGGGCCCCGGCTCCATGTGCGGGGGCGACGGGATGGGCCCCGGGAGCGGCACAATCCTCATGAAGCAGAGTCCCAGCTGCACTCAGGACGTCAGGTACAAGCTCCGAGACCTGTTGGCGCAGACGGCCAACGGAGCCAGCACTAGTAGCACAGGGAACCTCTCGGCGGGCTGCAGCTCCGGTGTGGGCAGCGTGGACAGCATCGGCAGGGACAGCCTCCGCGGCAACACAACCGACCTCTCTGATGACCTGGTGGGGATGGACCGCTACAGCGAGGAGGAGGACCTGGACGGGAGGGAGCGGGGAAGAGACGGAGACAGAGACAGGGGGGCGAGCCACAGCCGCAAGCAGAGGCAGCCGCTCAGACTCCAGGTAGAGGGATAAGGGAAAGGGTTGCCATGGTTACAGCTTTCAGGCATGCAGAGCTGCAACGGTTTTCTTTTCTTTCCTTTTCTGCTTTTCCCTCTTCTCGCACTGCATTGGCGTATATCGCTGAGATGTTTCTGCACTTTGCACAATTGGGGAGAAGCTCTCGGGTGAACTTCTGCAGTAATTGCCTTGTTGATGTTCTATGGACTTCTGCATGTTTACTGTAGGTCATTCAACTTCTATTAGCACCTGCCTGGAGGGGCTGCAGCCGCTCAATGCTCTGATTTACTTGTAGACAATCTGCTGTCTTTAAGCTGCTGCCACTGATTTATTTTTGCACGACTTCAAACTGAACTGGAGCTTTTTCTCTGTAGGTGCTGGGAGGAGAGGGAGTGGTGGTGAAAGACGAGGGGGTCCAGGACCCAGATGGGACCGTCTATGCTTTGGAGGACGGGAGAAGAGATGGAGAGCAGGAGGGCTCCCAGGAATCTATGGCAGGCTTTGGACAGGTGGGTTAAACTCAGGGGTGAAGAAAAACAGCCAAAGTAGATCATGAGGGGAATGTTTTAAAGCATCTAAGAGCTGCGAGGCTCATTTTCATTGGACGGTTTAATAATTCATCACGCCCTGCTTGCAGAAGGAGCATTCAGTGCATGACACATCTTGCGTATTTTAAGTGGTTTTAAAGAATATCTCGGTTACAGTTTGCTCAGGCTGGAGAAGTTAAAAAAAAAAAGGTTTTATCTCAAAGTCGTTCTCAGCGTTTCCGTCACAAGTCTTGAAGTAAGAGGGAAGAACATGGTGGAGCGGATTTATGCCGCAGCCTGCTGTACCCTGCAGACTACACAAGGAACATCTGCCACACAGTCAAAAGGATTCAGCTCCTCTGCCTGTCAGTATTTCTCTCAAAAGTGCTGCAGAGAAGGAGAAAGTCCATCCAGAAAGGGTTTCATCTGCTCACATGAGGAGGTTAGGATGTTGTGTTTTTCATGAAGAGCGAAGCATGTGATCATCAGATTTGGCAGCAGTGCTCAGAATAATCAGATCCTCTGTTTTTGAGGAGGTTTCCTCTCAGTTCACATGACACACTCAATCACACTGGAATGTCACCGTGGGTTTTTTTTGGATGAACAGTGCAGAAATGTCCCTAAACTTTGTGTGGAGTATTGAATCCTATTTTTAAACGTGTTTAACGCTCTGATTTTTATTATTTACAGCGTGTTTCATAAACACGTAAACCGAACGATAGCTTTGCAGATCTAGACTCTGACGTAGTATAAACTCTGTAAACCGAACTATATTCTACATGGTTTTGGAAAAAACAATATTTACCGTAAATTTTAGAATATAGGTGGCTCTGGTGTTTCATGCTGCCTATTTTTTCTGCCTAGTTTTAAATGTCTGACTGTATTCAGCTCTTTCTGGTACCATGAGGAGTTTGCAGCCCTGCTAGTGACCATTAAGCCAAAAACATCCAGGATCCGTATTGAGCGCGTTGTTCTGTATTTGCTCCGTAGAGCAGTGTGGGGTATCTCATACAGGATCAGCGTATTTGGAGTGTAGCAGCAGCGTAGTGCAGCCCCCCTTTCGGTCAGCTGGGCTTAGTATAGAGGAAACAACAGGCTCACAACAGGTTGTTTTTCCTTTCTGTGGTCGATTTCCTAATAATTTGGATATAATTCAGTGACCGTTGAGCCTCTACTGTATGTGAAAAAGCCTGAAGTGGTTTTACAGTTTGTGTTTTTGCAGGTTTACTCGTGTTTAATAAAGTAAACTCTGGTCCTGTATGCTGTGCTGTTCCCTTCAGACAGAGTTAGCAGTTCAAAGTCCTGTTGGGGTCCACATGGATCAGGGATCGACCATCGGATTGTTCTGTGTTACTGATAAATCCAGAGCCAGGAAGGATTCCTCATCTACTCGAACTGATACACAGTCGAGAGTTCATATATGCTGTTTTATTTTGAAATACTGGATGACATGCGCGGTTTTCCTGTTTGACTTCCTGTCTAGAACGATCTTCTCTGTGTAGATTGACGCACGTTGGAAGCGTACAGCAGCAAAAATAGACTCGCCGCGTATCTTTAGCAGAGCTGCTCTCGATACGATGCTGTGATGGAGCTGATACGCGTCCTGTATGCTTTGCTGCATTGATTCGAATGGAAACCTATTTGCTGCATCCTGTAGGTTTTAGCCTTTACGGTAGTTGAGCTCAGTCTGCAGTGATACCTGTGAGGTACAGACCCGCTCCCCGTGACGGTTCCTCCAAGAGTCCAAGTACCACCCACCTCTGCAGGCGTCTTGTTGTCTAAGCTGAGGAGTCTTTCACAGCGTTGAGTGTGTTTATTTGACTTCACTCCATGCATCATATTGACTTAATGAGGGAGTGAACTTGTTCAGGAGTGCTGTCTGTCACCAGGATGGTATGCTTTGTTTTGTATACCTGCGTGCTCTGTGAAAATGACAAAAGTATGATAGCGTGCTGCTGCGTCCAGAACTTTTTATTTTACACCTCCATCGTTAAGGTTTCGGTGCTGTTCTAAGGTTGTTTTTGGACCCCTCTGTTTGCCCACCAAGAGAACTGGTCCAACCCTGAACTCTGAATGAGTGACACATGTGTGACGATCACATTTTCTGTCAGTTCATAATCTTATCAGTGAAATATCCTGTTGGTTTCTGGTTCCAAGAGAGGAGAATCATGAGAAACAAGATGTTTCCTCATGACCTCGTGTTATTTCATGATGATCAGGAGCCAATCAGGAGACCTGCAGGTGACTTCTTCTTCCACCAAACAGCTGACCTGGAGGTGATATAATTTTACACAGGATGGCCTTCGCCTCTGATTGGCTGTGAAACGTCATCACACGCTCAAGCCGAGCGCGGCCTGTCGGCTCTGTACATCGAACAGAACATTATCGCAATTCTGAATCTCCTGACCCTAACCCGACAGACAATGACATTTCACAGCTACAAGGAATAACCAATCAGAGGCGAAGGAGTGCGGGACCTTTCCCTACCATCCTACAGAAAAATCCTGCGGCCTGGAGACAACTTCAAAATAAAAGCTTTTTGTGTGAAGAAAACAGGTCATGCTTTTGTTATGAAAAGAATCCTGAGGTACAGCCGTCATGTATTATAAATCTCACTAACACAGATTATCACAATTAATCACATTAATTTCCCTCGATATCAATATAAAACACTGTCAATATGCTTTTTCAATAGTCGGCATTAAAAAGGAGAAAAGTTCGTTCTCCAGGATTTAGCTGGTTTAGAGCGGTAATGTGTTTGGTGTGTGTCCTGATGTCCAGTTTAGTGGTGGATTTATTTGACTGAATATATCTGAATATAAAGGACAGTATTCAGTAATCAATCATGTGATGTATGACTCATATATATTAAACAAATTATCTCACATGAGGCTCACGGCAGCCACGGTAACAATTCGCTTATTAGCATAAGATAGCTTTAGCCATATTCACGGTAAACAATACATTAACACGGTATAGCATCCGACTTTGACAGTGAAACATCATCAAACTCACTTCTGACATTTACACACAATAATCCCGGATGTGAAGGTGAATATTGGGTTAAAACAGGTAAGAGGAAATTTACCAACTATCCTCTGCTGCATGAGGAGGAAAACTAAACTTTAACAGAACAGAACGCCTATGGTGCGTTCACCAGCATAGGACAAATGAAAACTTACCATAAAACACAATATACCTGAACAATATTTACTTAAAAACACAGAAACGACACAGGCTTTCTAACAGGCACTCTGACATGTTGTGGTCGACTATACAAATAGCCAATGAAAAGGGGAGTTGCTCTGGGTCCACTTGAACTGAACCAATCATGTACTGAATTAGAACTAAGTAGCAAAGACCTCACAGATGCAGGAGCATATTGTATTGCAAAAGACATGCTAACAATAAACACTGTTAAATTTCATTTTTTATATCGTGATATGTGTCGATATCTACTGATATGAAAAAAATATATCCTGATAAACTCTTCACCGTATTGCCCAGCCCTATTTAGCACACAGGATAGACAGGCAAAGAATATAGAGTGAACAGAATCGCTGTCTTGCTGTCTATGATATTAATTAACAGAAAGGCATCATTCATCCGATATCTGATCATGTTAATTGGTCAATATCGGAGCTAATATCCAATCCAAATATCTAATCGGTGCATCCCTAAATCAACAATAAAAACTAGATTTTTTCACTAACAGTAAACCAGGACAGCCGGATCTTCACAGGCCTGCCGACCTGCTCAGTGGGACAGTCCGGATTATCTCCTATTTTATCGACCCATTTGTCTGATCTGATGTTACAGGATGATACTCGAGTCGTCTCTGAAGGGTTTTCATTGAATTATTCTGCAGTGAAGCTTCTCTTTGGGGGTCAGCTCCTCCTCTTATAAGTGTCAAACAAAGAGACGAAGTAACCAGACGCTGTTCTGACATTCTGTGCACGGCGGTGAAGACGACGGCGGTCTCGTTCTGTAGTCTTGTGGTTTTTTTAGCGGTCCTGTGCAGCGGGGGTTTGATTACAGCCGAGTCTAAATGACACGAATGCAGTGGAACTAAAAAAAAAAAAACCTCGAGACGATCCTGCAGGAAAACAGTCGAACCTCTAACCGTGCAGCAGCACTCATTATGGAGGAGGCGTGACAGCGGCGTGCCAGACAAAGGCTAAAAGCAGAGCTAACAAGTTTCCCCCACTGGCTCTGATTGGCTTCTTTCAGCATCAGTAACGTTAGCCTAATTAGCCGTCGTACCAACAAAGCAGCTCTCTTCTTCTCCTGTCTGAGTCTTCACATGAGAGCCGCTGCAGCTCCTTGAAGACATGCCAGAGTTTTGATTGCGAGTATTTAAAGGCTCTGGCGTCCTCACGCGCCGCTTTACGGCCGCCTCGTTTGATTTTGGCTGCAAAATGAGAAAGTAGAAAAAGAGGGAAGTGTCTGTTGTTGTTGTTGATTGGATAACGAAGGCGTAAGAAAATGTGAGAGTGTTTTCGGTCAGGGGATCAGATTCCCTCATCTGGATCGTCCTTTGAGGCGGTGTGTGACTTTGAGGTGAAAACACGGCGTCAGTATTTTGTCTGCGTATTATCCTGTGAGTGTAAACACCTGTGAGTGTGTCGCTCCACCTTGTTGTTGTAGATTTCTCCCTCCGGTTATTTTTCCTCCTGTTCATTAAGCGTCAGACGAGCTCCACCCATGCCAGTATCTCTCCTCAGATTATCTCCTCAGCCATACATCCAACCACGCCGCTGTTGTGACAGTAATGTGGCTCGACTGGTCGGACCACAGCGTGCTGCAGGTCGATCCTTCATTCGCTCTTGCATGTAAAGACAGAATTGGAGAATTGAATCAGACAGATGAAGTATTTGTAAGAGGGCATGTCCCACTTTAACCACCGCGCTCACTGTTGGAGGTGGAACAAAAATTGTCAAAGTTAGTCCGAATAAAATTTTCTTCAGGCTGTGATGAATCCAGGCAGGGCTTGACACTAACTTTTTTCACATGTTCTTCTAAATTAAAAAAGTAAGGAGCACACAAAGAACTTTAGGAGCACAATGAAAATTGATCAAATAATGTTTGTCTTATCGTCCGACCTTAGTACGATTATTGGAAATCAATTTTAGGTCAATTGGTCACATGACATGGAAGCTATTAAAGGAAAACAGCCTTTCTGAGAACATCAACCAGTAATTTATTGACGGTCCCTTATTCAACACCCGACGTTGACAGTGAGGGTGTCGAGTAGATTTAATCACGCCGCTGTTGTTATTCCCGGATATGGAGAGTGAGAAGACACCGGTAGATCCTCAGTGAATGTCTGTCAGATATCCAACCTCAAACTAACTTCACTGCCGTATTTACAGGAAAAAACATTTGTTGATATTTTTTTATGTGCACATGTAAATACATTTTACAATTCACACACATCTATTTTTAGTCGCAAATGCAGGTGAAACAGTCGCACTGTCGAGTCCTGCCAGGTCTCATCACAGAGGTTTTCAGGTTACTGAAAAAAGAGAGAAAATAAAAACGGCTTTTTAAAGGTTTGAGTCCAAAATTAAAAATGACAGTTTGTGTTGAATGAATTTCTCTGGATTTAAAGAGGAGGAACAGCTAATTTAAGATAATTCTGAAGAAACTCTCAGATTTTCCCTTTTAATGACGTTTTTACATCAGCCTGAAGATTTAAAGGAGTTTAAGATTTTTAAACGTTCGCGTCAACAAAACATCCAATCCTGAAGATTTAATATTAACTCCTCCTCTTGCACTCTCTCTCTTCCTCCTGCTCCTCCTCTCCCTGCTCTCCCTCTCTCCTCCTCCTGTCCCTCCTGCTCTCTCTCTCCTCCTCTCTCTTCTTTCTCCTTTCCTTTCCTATCCTTTCCTCTCCCCTGCTCCTCTTCTTTCTCTCTCCTCTCCTCTCCCTGCTCTCCTCTCTCCTCCTCCTGTCCCTCTTGCTCTCTCTCCTCTCTCTCTCCCCTTCTCCTCCTGCTCCTCTGTCTCTCCTCTCTCTCCTCCTCCTCCTCTCTTCTCTTTCTCCTTTCCTTTCCTTTCTTTTCGTCTCCCCTGCTCCTCTTCTCTCTCTCCTCTCCTTTCCCTGCTCTCCTCTCTCCTCCTCCTCCTTCTCCTCTGTCCTCCTCCTCCTCTCTCCTCTTTCTCTTTTCCTTTCCTATCCTTTCCTCTCCCCTGTTCCTCCTTTCTCTCTCGCCTCTCCTCTTCCTGCTCCCTTTCCTCTCTTCTCTCTCTCTCCTCTTCCTGCTCCTCTTCTCTCTCCTCTCTCCTCCTCCTGCTTCTCCTTTTTCCTCCTCTTCTCTCTCCTCTCTCCTCCTCCTGCTCCTCCTCTCCCTGCTCTATCTCTTCTCTCTCCTCTCTCCTGCTCTATCTCTTCAGTGGTCCACAGTTAGTCTCCAGGTTAGAAGACAGAACACCCCCCAGCTCTTCAATCATTCAGTCTCTATTTGACGTTTTTCTGAGGAGGTTCCATCTGAAAGTGGATCAGTGGTCCAGTTCTGGTCCTGGGGTCAGGTTTGGGTTAGTGGACCAGCTGTGAAGTATCAAGACTTCAGTAATCTTGCAGTCAGTCAAAGACAGGAGAAGAAGAAGAAGTTCTTCTGTTGGACTGAAGATCGTAAAGATGATCCTGAATCAGTTTGTGTTTCTGAAGCTGCTGCAGGATCTGAAGTCTCTAACATAAAGTTCAGATGATTAAAATAATAATCATCGTGATCATGTGGTCGACTCTCTGAGGAGACGTGAACGGACTTGTTTCTGCGCTCCGAACAGACATGTAGAGTCTCCTGTAAAGAGTCGCCCTGCTCACCTGAGAGATCAGGCGTGTTGAAAATGTTGAAACCACCGAACTTGTGTGTTATTCCTCTGACATGTGTGTGTCTGTGTGTGTCTGTGTGTGTCTGTGTGTGTGTGTCTGTGTGTGTGTGTGTGTGTGTGTTTCTGTTCCAGGATTTCTATGATGAGCAGGGCGTGTTTTCAGAGAGTTTCTGGCCCCAGAGCGAGCCTCCTCAGGCGATGGCGTTCAACCCCAGAGGACGGGTCAACAAGCCTCTGACTCCGCCCCCTACCACACAGTCCATCAACAACCAGGTCAGTGTCTCAGCGTCTCACACCTGAGCCGGCGTGTTTGTACCCGCTGTTGTCGAGTCAAAAGGGAGCTGGGCTACGGTTACAGAGTGTGTTACAGTTAGAAAACACACACACACTTACACACACACACTCTACAACCCTCGCTGCAGACTATTCTAAATAATTCACGTCTTTTCCACACACTACATTATCAAAACACTAAATATTTCATTTTTGCTTTCTTTCTCTCGTGCATTGGCCAACATGGACGTTAAATAAAAAAAATGATGTCACGTGGCGTTGGAGGCTCTTCGCCGTTCGAGAACATCTTGTCCAAATTTCCTCGGGTGTATTTTTCTCACGCTAACTCCGTGAAGACGGATCATCGATTCAAAACTGAATCAGATTTGTTAAAAACTGAAGAACACACAGAGACGGATGAAATGTTGAGATCATAGAAACTCGGGGGATCAGGGGGGCGAGCGGGTCGGGTATCAAACCGAAAAATCTGCATCAGTTCAACAGAAAGATACTGAACATTAAAACCTGCGAGAGTGTGAGAAACAAATAATGAATATTAACAGAATAATAACAAAATAAAATACGGAATTTAATCTATGAATAAAATTGAATTAAGACAAAATAGAAAAAAAGATTTTTTAAAACATTTAATTTAAAATTTCAATCCAAGTGTTTTTTAATTTATTTACAGTTTCTGTTGATGAGACCATAACGCATTTATCAGTCATTATTTGATCAAAGTCTAATTTATATTTTTAATAATCCCTCTCTTTATTCAGGAATTAATTAATGAATTTTTAAACCAACTTCTTTTAATCGTTCAGGTTTGTTTTTAATGAGAGAAACCTTCGTCTCCATCTTTCAGACAGGAAACGGTTTTAATCTGAAGGTTTGCTCAAGAGCGAAGATGTTTTAGTGGCGTGAGTGAAACACACTGTGACCGACTGTTTTCTCAGTTCAAGTCTCCGCCCACACCGTTTGACGGACAGGTGTGTTGACTCTGACCGTAAAAACTCAGCAAGGTTTGGAGACTAACGACGGAAAGAGTCAGATGGGCCTCTTTTCTTAAAATGGTGATATCGAAGGGTGAGTTTGTGACACTGTTTAGAAATTAATAAAGGTGATATTTATTTTACTGACTTGACTGGAAACACTCGTTTAAAGACTTTTCAATAAAAATGCAATTTTAATAGAAAGTGGAGAGCTGCTTCAGAGACGGCTCTCGATAAAAGATAAACTGGAGCAGAGCAAGAACACGTTTGTGCCGTGATGCTTGTCGTCAGTGTTGTGCCCAAATGCGTCCAATGAAAGATCATTCATGAACTCGTTCATATTTCGGGCGAACTTGATCATGTCGTTCTTTATTTGCGTATGAACACGTTGGTGTTGAACGCGCTCATTCTGGGGTCTGCAAGTATGCCAGATGTCCAGAGCCTACTAGGTGAAACCCCAGAAAAACAGCGATTTTGTTTCAAAGTTCGTATAAATCCATCCAATCACCCGCTAACAGCCGTCACTCTGTCCTCTGCAGCTTCTTTTCCAGTATCCAGTGAGCCAATCACAGCCCGCTCCCTACTACGTGGGCGGGCCCATGGGTGGGATTGACAGCATGACGGGGACCGAGTCCGGTCAGCAGGCTCCGCCCCCAGCACCGATGACCCCGGCTCCGCCTCCCTCCACCTCCTCCTGCTCTGCGGGCCCCTCCCCTTCCTCCCAGGGATCTGAGACCTCGTTTGACTGCACGCACTGTGGCAAATCTTTACGTTCCAGGAAGAACTACAGCAAGCACATGTTCATCCACTCCGGTGAGACGCGCTGCCTCGTCCCCGCCCCCATCATTCTCTTTAACTGGAACTTATTCTTGACTTGATTCAGGAACTGAGGAGTGATGAGACCAGATCTTTAACCCCGTAATCGCAGCCTGCAGGTGGATGCTGGGGTGGGGAGGCTGAAAATGTGGGCGCAGTTCTTTAGCAGGGCAGTGGAGGCAAAAACAGGAAATCCTGCCGCTGAAATAGAGCGCCAAACCGGAGTGTGTTTGTCATGTGATTGTGAGAAGTGTAAAATCAGTGCAGCTGGAGTTGACTGCCTGAACTAGCTCTCAGGCTTTGCTCTGTCTATGGCACAACAGCAGAGCTTTAATACAGAAAATTTACAGATACCGAAATTTTCAACAACAAGCAACGAATTTGGTGTCAAAAAAATAGATTAATAAAAGTGGGTTTTGGATGTGTGTAGGAAGGCTATGGTCTCATGTCCCTTTAACCCCCAATTTCCACCACATCCTGAACGGCTATGAAAAGGTCGTATCCGCCGATCGTAGCTGATCGTAACCATTCAAGTTAACGTGTCAATTGTCTTTTCGTTCTGCTGCGGATCGCCGGACTCCACAGCTGATCACAAGAGTTCTATTTTTTCCAGACGAGCATGCTGAATAAATTCAGCACAGATTAACCCGTGCCGGAAAGGAAGTTGGGCACAGACACAAAATAAAACATCTGACTTCTTTTCAAAATGAAACACTCCGTGCTTCAGGCGGATTGTATTTCACACCATGCAAACGGAAAAACAAAAGGTTTTTAGACGTCATTTCACCCTGATGACACCATGGATGAGGAGATGCTGATTCTAGAAGTCTAGAAGTAGATTCCCCCTTAGGAAGGACATAATCTACTGCTTATATGTCTATGTGTCTGTCTTAATAGAGACAACTTGTTATCGCGCAATTGCACGTGAATCCGTGGGTTCTTGTGAGTTCTCGCAATTTATCCGTAATCCGCCATGAAATTCGCCTCATAAAAAAATATGAATATGGAAAGGCGGACAGCGAAAATCGGATTCTGCAAAAATTGGGAGTAAAACACTGTCCTACGTCAGAGATGTGACTCCACCCCATCCAGTCCATAAGAGAGGGAAAGACAGGTGAGGAGATGGAGGACAGTTCAAAAGTGTCTTGAGATGATGACTGTTGTGAATTGGCGCTATATAAATAAAATTTGATTGATTGATTGAAAAGTTGGAGCAGCTGAAGTAGATGAAGTTAATGTGGGAGGGTGTGAGCAGCTTGTGGAGTAGTTGTCCTTCATTTATTGTCATCAAGGTGAACTCATCAATATATTGTGATATTGATTTGAGGCCATATCGCCCAGCCCTAGTTTAGAAACATCCAAGAGTTGACTCTGCTTTGAGCGGAGAACCGCTGCAGGAAACGCAAACAAATTTTTCTTCAGACTTGTCCAGAAACGACTTCGATGTTTTGACTCGTTGTCTTTGTCTTGTGCACGCGTGTCCCTCCAGGTCAAAAACCTCATCAGTGCTCCATCTGCTGGCGCTCCTTCTCCCTGCGTGACTACCTCCTCAAACACATGGTGGTGCACACTGGAGTCAGGGCTTTCCAGTGCTCCATGTGCGGCAAGCGCTTCACCCAGAAAAGCTCGCTCAACGTGCACATGCGCACCCACCGTGCCGAGCGCACCTTCCAGTGCAACGTGTGCCACCGGGCCTTCACCCATCGCACCTTGCTGGAGCGCCACGCCCTGCAGCACGCCCACCACGCCCCCCAGGCCCAGGGCCAGGGGCGTGGGCCCGACATGACCTCACCAACCAAGCACAGTCCTCCGGCTCTGGGGGGACCCTCAGGTATGGCTGGCGCGGCTGGCATGGTCAGCAACATGGCCAACATGCCCAGCCACGGCGCTTCCTCCACCTAGAATGAGAAAGAAAAGAAGAAACGGGGGAGGGGTTAGAGGTTAGCGAGCCCATTCCTCGAACCGGCACTTATTTGGTCCTAACAGCCTTGCTGATTTTTCGTTCTGGTGGGAACATGCTTACCGGTTTCCATTGTTTTTAGCTTAACGTCACCTTCAGTCAGGGTTCCTACACAAGGCTTCTAAGGTTTTGAAAATTACAAAGATTTTAAAGAGGTTTTTAAATTGCACAAAAATCCAGGAGAAGTTTGTAAAAATTTTGCTACCTTTCTGAAAAACCACCTTAGAGGAAGTTAGTGTCCTAATGTCGTTTCCTGTGTTGTTGCCATGGCACTAATCATAAGCTACATCACTAACGAACACAAACCTTGAGAAAAGCCTTTAATTACCCTATCAGACCTTATTTTTCAGAGGGCAAGGAAGTCTGGATTTTGCGGCAGGAACGTGTAGGAGCCCTGTTTCACGGACACCAGAGAGTCACCAAAGAGGTTAGGAATTCAGAACGGGTCTGGGATTGGGCGGGGGAGACGGGAGAGGGGGTTCGTGGGGTATCTAGGTGGAGGTGAGGGTGGGGAGGGAGGGAGGGAGGTTGGGCTTTTTGGAGATGCAAGTTGGAATACGGGCAGGGGAGGGTCTACGGGGTTACGGGGTTTTATTCACCCTCAATTCAATTGATTCAAGTTAGAAAAAAGGAATTTGCTGAGTTCTGTTTCGCATGTTTAAGGTTTCAAAAACACGCAAACAAAACTGAGTTCAACGATCCAGCCGACGATCTTTTTTGTTTTTGTTTTGCTTTCTGCCACAGAGACGACTGCTAAACACGATCCGCTAAACGTCATTTCTGCTTTTTCCTTTCTGACGATATCGCAAACGCTGCGTGAAACTGAAGGCTCCAGATTTTTCGCAACTCGTGAGCCAAGTAGTTAGCTAGTGTTTACCAATTGTCATCTTCAAAAATCAGGATTTACAGATGCAAAGGTTTAATATACCTCGTGTTTTTTTATTATCCATCTTATTTTTCCTGAACATCCTTCCCAGCTAGCAGTTATACGTCTTGTTAGCTTTCTTGATAGCAAAGTCCTTTCTAGTTCCTTGCCATCGTCTGTGCCGTCGCTCTGTAGACCTTTTACAGACGTCCAAACCTAACCTTGGTCATTTTTCCTCCTTTGAGCGCTCGTACATTTCCCCACATATTACAAAATAAAAGCACTTAACCGGCTTTCTAACTAACTACCAAGTAGCTAGCTGGATCCGCCTCTGTGTTGAGCCAGGGCGTTAGCGCTTTAGCGTATTTTGGAATATTGAGTATCTGTTATTTTCCATTTATGACTTTGAACAATTTTAACTCTACTCATCACGTATATACCTCATTAGCATGACTTAATGTTAGCTAAGTGGCTAGCTAGATTCATTTTCTAGCATTGCGCTAACATTCATGTGGACATTAGCTTCTTAGTTTGGATTAAAAAACATGATAGCTTGTTTTACCCCCAGACACGCTTTTTCCTTTTGACCTTCACGAACTTGCAACACGGCATTAGCTTGTTAGCATTTTGAACTGAAACATTCCAGCTAAGCTAACCTTGACTGAACCGTAGCGCATTAGCATGTGCTAACAGAATAATGAACTCTCTCAATCATAGCTGATCGACCCACAGTTAAATTTTCTTACTTAGCGTTTTTTTTTTCAACATGACGAAGTTACCTGCAAAATGGCGCCTGGTTACAGCAGCGTATTGATTAGCAATCTGAGTAACTCGGTAGTTTCCTGCTAAATAGAATCATCTGATAAATGACGAACTTCTTCAATAGTAGCTTTTTTGATCATATTTGAATTGTAATTTCCAGTTGTAATGATCTCTCTGTCAATAGTTTCATTGTTCTTATTCAAAAAGTGACAATTCTTTACCCTGTTAGCTAGCTAACTAGCTCGCTCAGTAGCTAGCTACTTGACACAAATGTGTGTGAGTGCTGACCTGACTTTACTCACTGACGATTCCTGACCTTATTTTGTTTTCCTCCTTCTTATTTGTGTTTACTCGTGAACCAAATATAAACGCAACACCTCGTGAGCTCGATCAAAACTGTTAGCCTCTCGGCATGTTCTAGTGAAAGTTCTCCAAATTGAATCTTGAAAAGATTCGACCACTTGATTTATCCTCAAGTGTGTGTTATTTTATTCTTATTTTCTTCTTAACCTCGTAAACTTGCCCAAAGTATCAGGACACCTCATTAGTTAGCTGTCCTGTCTCGGCCTCTTTGTTAAACTCGTGTTAAAAACACGGTTAACCGAAAACTTTCAAGAAGTAATAAGTATGATTCGTCTGAAACTCCATGTTGAGTAAAAGGCTTAAAGAATGACTGAATTTGTGTGTAGCATTGCCAATGGTGCGTTAGATTTGATCAAGGAAGTCGGAAATATTGAAAATTCCACTTCAGAGCGATTTCAGGAATCCGAGATGTCTGCGCCTCGGACCAGGAGTGACTACTGACCTTCGATTTCAACACGCACCTCTGATATGACGTCCGACTTTCAGGGGAAATGAGACGCACTATGAAACAAAGATGTTGAATTAAAGTCGATGTTGACGATCTGAGAAGCAGTTGGGGAAAAAAAACTAAGCCGTTGAGGCAGATTTGAAAAAAGCGCAAACCTCTCCCCTCTGTGCTCCAGGATACCTCCCTGGAGCGCACAACACACCCCCTCTGGCAGAGCAAGAAGCCGGCCAGCAGAAGATCCTACGCTAGCTTCAATTAGGATTCATCATGTCGGATTGTTATCGACTTGCGGCAGTAAACGCCAGCTCTGCGAGCAGGCAGCGTCTGCAGCTGCCTGGACAGCTACTGTGTTGACATTGCAGAGACTAATAAGAGTTATTTATGTAACAGGTGCCACGGTAAAAAGCGATAAAAATGACCTGTTCAACAAAAACTCTGCTGTCTCGGCGTCTGTTTTCATGCCCAAAAGTGATTTTTTTGCGTCCTTCTCCATCACAGCTCCTGTAGCTAAGCTGCTACGCTACTTTTAGCCGCGAAAAAGCTCCGAGGAGTACCGGGAGAGTGGGAGGGGACGAGTTGGAGCGACGCGAGAGGGGTGTGTCAAATACAGCGAGGTGATTAGATGGAGAAGCAGAGAAGGAGATTGACCAATAGGAGCTGTCCGGGATGGATGGCTCCCATTGGTCGATGTTTTTGCAGACCTGCACCTGCTAAGGTGAACAGATTTTTTCCGTTCTTTTTTCTCTTCACTTTGTGGAGATCACACTATAGGACCATGATCGCCATAGAAACAAGGTTCATAAAAATGACCAATCTCTACAATCATCAACCATGACTTAAAGTTTTTTCTGGAAAAAAAAGATAAACTGGAGAAATTCAAAGATGGAGGCATGAATTAGATATTTTTAACCCTCTTCCCAGTATTTGGATGGATGTGGTCGTCTGTCTGAGGACACTGACGTTCCTGTCACATTTGATGTGTTCATACGGCCAATAACACCAAAGTGTTAAAAAGGGAAACTTTCATTTCCCGCTTGCTTTAATGCACCTTAAAAATTATTCCCCCATTTATGTTTAACCGCCTTTTGCCACCTCGAAGCGTGGAAATTAGACTTTCTGCAAATATAGAGAAGGTCGTTAAAAATGTTGTTAGTCACTAAGATTGAGGCCAAAACTCGACCCCAACATGTGCACTTATCCCAGAGCTCTGCTTGGAATTAAGGGACGAACTAAAACACGATTATTGAGTCGGTGTGTGTGTGTGTCAGATTTATCCCCACGACAGCTAAATAAAGCCAGCGACGTCACTCTAGATTTCTGTTGTTCGCTCTTTTATGCACCTTAAAGCCCTTTTTGTAATTTTCTCCTGACGTTTTGATATAAAAAGACAAAAGAAAAGCCCGTCTTGATTCAACTGAATTGACTGTGAATGAAACCCCGGGGTTATTCAGGAGTAAACCAGGGTGATTCAGAGGGTTGATGAATGATTTCAGGAGGAGAGGGGGGGTAGTCTGATCAGAGTGAGACTACAGCAGGGAGGAAGAGGAGGAGGAGGAGGAGGAGGAGGCGGCGTGATGCACAGCAGTGTGAATGAAATTCACCATCATCCATTAGACAGCTTTGTAACACTTTCCACAGGCGCCACTGGTCGGCCCCAGGATCATATACCTCGAACCAGGACGAGCCTCCGGCGGCGGTGGCTCGGAGGAACACTATTCTCTCATTGAAATGTTGGGAAACATTTCGGCATGTTTTACACACCCACACACCTGCAATTACCTCGGTGGTCCAAAGACAGGCATTATGCTTCATCTTTTAAGCTACATCAGACGAAGAAACCGTGAAAACTAAAGCTAAGATAGATCCGTTTACTTTTTGAGAGCTTACTAAAGTACTTCTGTGTAAAATTCCTGTACATCGCTATAACGCTCGGTTTGTTCTTTGTTGCTCACGTGATTCTTGGATGCAGAAATAAGGCAGACGTTTAAAAAGAAAAAACTTTGACAGTGAAAAGAGCCATTCGGAGGAAGTTAAACTTGGTTGAATAACTATGACAAATCAATGATTTTTATTGGGATTTTTATTGAGTGTTTGGTTGTGTTTGTCTTTTGGGGCTCTGGTTAATAATACATGGGAAGTGTTTGTTGCTTAAAAAAAAAAAAACAAATAAAAGCTTTTCTCTCAGCACTATAAAAAAAAACATTTTTAACGTTTTAGTAAAACTAAATTAATCATGAAAATGTACAATCACCCCTACAAGTTTTGACAAAGTCAAACTCGTGATAATCCGAATTATCACATTAATATTTATTACAATTTGATCTCTATGCACAGTTCAGTTTGCACATCAGTATACTTAGACCTAGATGTTGTGGTCCCCTTAAGTATTTGGCCGAAGATTGTTTTTTTTTTGTTTTTTTGTTTTTTTTCCTCTTTTTATTTTTTATATACCTGAAAGGTGATCTTAAAAAGACATTATGTGTCCCTGCTTTTTGCTCCTTTTCCTTAACGTGTGTCGGTCGCAGCATTATATGATACTCAGTAGTTTACTTAAGCTTTGTAAGAGCCTTCTTATTGACATGATTTCCCTAACAAGTGAAATATTTTTGAGCTGGAGAGCTTTGAAAGTGATGAGTTAATTTGACGAACAGAAATGGAGAGTATTTTCGTTTTGTAAAAAAGAGTGAATCCAGCAGAGAGCCGATCTTCTCTTCTTCCTGGATCTCACTATAAACTAAATATTGACATTTGATGTCCCATTTCAATGTGGAAAAACTGCTTATTTACAGGGAGCAGGCTTGGCAGCGTGTGTTCATTGGCCTCTGAACAGTGCAAATTAATTTGCAGACTCAGTAAGTTTGTTTCAGCCGGCGCTGTGGATGAAAAAAAAAAAACGAAACAAAAAAAGAGTTTACAGGAAGCTGGACTGAAACGCCTCCAACTCACTGTCGCTTATAAGCTATATAAAAATGTTTTAACGCCAAACCGGTGGTGCTTCTTTGGACATATTTACCTCATTTGCCAGTTGCCAACACCATGCTGCGGTCTGGGTTTGGTAAATAAGCAGTGTTGAGCTGTTTCAGAGGTTTGATCTATCCTCAGCAGTAGACGTGGTTTTGGTGCATCTTGTCTGAGGCGGACCCTTGTACAGTACTGTAATATGTGTGCTTTGAAGCCATGTCAGCGCATTGTATCGTACTGTGTTATGCCTTTTCTTGTCTTCTGTTTCTTTGTTTTATCGGGAGGGAGGGAGGGAAGTTGATAATTGTTTTTCTACATTAATATTTCTTTAACAGAGGTTCAAAATGTCAGAAGAAGAAGAAGAAACAGTCATTTTATAAAAAAAGAAAATCACTTCAAGTCATCGTAAAACCACATCTTTTATGTATAAAAAAGACTAAAGGCATGATTTTAACTTTTCTGAGAACTTAGATGTTGTACTCAATGAATTAATTGAATTTTAAAATGAGTGATTTCAAAGATTTCTTTCTCCAAATAAAAAGTCTTCTATGGCTCTCAGGCCAGCTGTGTGTCGCCGGTTTTTATTTCTGAAAGGTTTTGTGCGTCTCACAGTTCCACTCGTTTCATTGTCGTGTTTGACTACGTACAGACGGTTCGAGGCAACTTTTGCGATACAAACCGAATACACTTCATGTCCGAACTTAAAGTGAGAGTTAGTTATTTGGATCCTTTTTCCTAGTCAGGTGGTAATGAGTTTTTCAAATTTTTGATTTCACTAAAGGTGAAAATATCTTTACTCTCTTTAATGGTCATTAGATTTGTGTGTGTGTGTGTGTGTGTTCATTTTTGACACAAAGGTCCTCTGACGTTTTTCTTTTCTCCTTCATTTTTCTAACAAATTTATCAGAGTGACAGAGCTGTACTTTCCTTTTTTTCTTATTTCCTTCTTTCCTCTCTGTTCTTTCCTTTTTCTTTCTTTTCCTTTCTCTCTATCCTCGCTGTCTTTTCTTCACTTGAAGGCTCATAGATGTTTTCTTTTTTCCTTTCTGCCCCTTCTTTCATTTTTTCCTTTCTTTTCTTTCCTTGCTGTGCCTTCTTTTCTTCTCTCAAAGGGACATAGATATCTTTCTTTCTTTCTTTCTTTCCTTCCTTCTTTACCTTTCTTTTCTCTTCTCTCTGTCCTTTCTTTTCTTTCCTTTAATTTTTTCTCCCAAAGGCTCATGGATATCTTTCTTTTTGTCTTTCTTTTTATCTTTCTTTATATTTATTTTTCTTTCTTTTTTCTTTCTTTCCTTTCTTTATGCCTTTCTTCTTTCTTTCTTTCTTTCTTTCTTTCTTGTTGTCATTCTTTCTTTCTGTCTTTTTCTTTCCTTTTTCTTTCTTTCTTCCTGTGTCTTCTTTTCTTTGTATCTTTCTGTCTCTGTCCTTCTTTCTATCTTTCTGTCTTCTTTCTTTCTCACTGTTTTTCTTTTTCTTTTCTTTCTTTTCTTCTCTCTTTTCTTTCTTTCTCTCTTCTCTTTTCTTTCTTTCTTATTTTCTCTCTTTTATTTCTTCCTTTCCTTCTCTCTCTCTTTTCTTTCTTTCTTTCTTTCTTTCTTTCCTTCTCTCTCTTCTTTTCTTTCTTTCTCTTTTCTTTCTTTCTTTCCTTCTTTCTCTCTTTTCTTTCCTTCCCTTTCTTTCCCATCTTTCTTTCTTCCCTTGTTTTCTTCGGCCCCCGGGTCTTTGAAGGTCTGGCTGGTCGCGGCTGAACTCTGCCCAGAAGGCATCTGTTACTCAACAACATCTGTTCCTGTTACTCTTTTTCTCCCAGCATGCCGAGGGACACGCAGCCTCTCCCAAGGGTGGCCTTTTGTGTGTCCCATTGTCAATTCCATCATTGTCTGCTGAAGTCTGTTCCCATAATGCCACGGGGTTATAAACCCCCTCTGGAGGCCACCTCTACTGGGCTGATGATTTACAGTTATTTGTGTCTAAATACAATCAGCGTCTTTGTGGAGCAATTACCAAGAGAGGAATTTAAAGAAGGGGGGACGCCCGAAATCTACATGTTGACTGGAAAAGGAGAGGGTTTCTGATCGCCGTTTTTAAGGAAGTGAAAGAGGAGCAGAAAAAACCTGAGAGAGGGTCGTGAAAGTAGAAGTTTCGGAACTGAAAAACTTTGGAGAAGTGGAAAAAAGGAAGCGACACTTTCACTTAAATTTGGTGGAAAAGCCAAAGTTTCGGACGTCCATGAGGCGTTTCTCTCCATCGACGTGAGTTTTGGAGCCATGAATTACCTGCCTCTCTTCAGGAGGAGAAACAGGAGTGGTAAATCTAGTGTGGGGACATTGTTTTTTATGAATAGGACCCCTCTCCGGTCTCCAGGGAGACACTTTCAACTTCTGGCAGTAGCCAACAGTGTGGGCATAGAAAAGCCCACTATGGGGTCGCTGGGGGAAGACAACAGATGTTACTGATTAACTTTGCTCTCAGAGCCCCAAAGAAGAGTTCTTCACGGCGCTCGCAGATGGACAAAACAAAAGTTGGACGCCATTAAAATTTCACGTTTAGCAATATTTATTTGGAAAAATAGTCTTGGCTAATTCCTTCATTCAAAACTGGTAAAGGAGACAGTAACATAACAATTTGTACAGTACAATCCCTCTTAAATAACATTTTCTTAAAAAAAAAAGTCCCATTGACCTGAAGTGCCTTTGCAAATGTCATCATTAAAAAAAGCAACTTAAATAATCATAACACAAACATCACAAATATACAATACAAAATAAAAATAACAAATCCTTAAATTAACTTAAATTAAATCATAATTTTAAAGTTTTTTCTTGATTTTTTCTTTCTTTATTTTACAAAAAGGACAATCTGTATCAAAAAGCAACATTAAATTTTAATTAAGTCCCGAAAAGAAAGGAGAAAATGAACAATACTATGTCATAATAAACGGTTTGGAGGGCTCAGGGAAGAAAACGCACTTCAGTTTACACAGTGATCAAGAATACATACAGTCTTCACAGGTGCAGAGATGGGTGCTCAGCCCATGAAGAACAGGCCAGTATGGCCAAACATCCACCGTTTGATGCAATTCCTGCGCTCAGCAACGGCGTGTGGGTTAGAGAAAAGGCCTGGGTGCAAATGTTGCAAAAACAAAACAATCGTAGCATCGCGCTCTATCGCCACGAGACAGTGTCCGCTTATATTTTCTCATTATTACCCCCGATTAAAGGCAGAACAGAAAGCTAAGTGGCAGTTTACTTCCAACCGTACATTTGTTTTCCCCCCGCCAGTTCTTATCCCACAGGCCGCCGCTGCCTGCGCTTAGTTTCCAGTAGAGAACCAGCTCACTCTGAATATCAGTTAAACGTCTCAGTATCAGCAGCAGTCTCAAGGCGGGACACCTCCCCCTAGGGTTTAGAGCAGCATCTGGAGGAGCATAAAAACTCTCCCATAGAGCAAATGAGTAACGGGCAGCCCATCGGTGGCTCGTTACACCTGGAGACACAAGGAGACGCAAACGTCAGTGTTTGTTCACAGAGTCTTTACACAGATAAATGGACAGAAAAGGACGTTGAACTCACCTCAGTTGCAATTATACATTCGTCCTTTTCTTCTGACATCACAAACACAGATTTGTACTTGGTGTCCGCACATGCAGACATTTCTGGGGCTTTCTTTTCTGATGCATCGCTGCAAGAAAGAGAGAGAGAGAGAGGAAAGGCTTGTTAGCGTCATTGTCTGAAACCCTCGCCGTTACACATGGAAAAACGTCAATCTTCCATATTTACCATTTTAAACGTTTGCTGCATTTCTCCTCGAACTCAAACGAGTCCAGAGATTGGCACTTGTCCTCGCAGGCCGCCTCCAGCATGGCCTCTTTCGCCGCCTGCTCGTAGTTGACCTCGTGTACGAGGTTGTAGTCTGCGGGCGGATGCCGGCTCTTGTAGCTGCTCCTCCCCGGTGAGGACCCTTCATCTGGGTCGGCGCTGCAGAAGTCCATCTTCTTGTTGATATTTTTGACACCTGGCGTCGGCATGACGCTGACCGCCAGGTCCCTGTCGCCACGGTGACAGTTGTTGGTTAAGTTGTTTATTGTCTCTCCGTCGCCGACGGTGTCCACTGGACTGCCTCGCTGGGCTTTTGATCTGAAAAATCCGACCAGTACTGCGCAGCCTGCCAGCAGCAGCAGCACCAGGGCCACGCCAGACCCCACCGCCATCCAAGGCACCTCTGACCCTCGGATGGCAGCGTGTTCAGGAAGCAAGAACTGACAGTTTCTGCCTCCGTAACCAGGAACGCAGGCGCAGACATAGCGGTTGTTCCTCTCGTGGCAGGTGGCGCCATTGTGGCACGGGTTGTGCTCACAGCGGCTGATAGGTGAGCTGCAGTTGCGGCCGGTGTATCCTGGCGGGCAGGTGCAGGTGTACCCGTCTGGACCTTCTTGGCACGTCCCTCCGTTTTGGCAAGGATACATGGAACACTCGTCCCCGGTGTGGTCACAGTTCATGCCGGTAAAACCATCGGGACACTGACACAGGTAGGAGTTGACAAGGTCCACACAGCGAGCACCTGAGGACAGGAAAAGGAGTTGCATTTGTGTTTGGTCCGGATGTTTGGGTTTCAGTAAAGCTCGGTCCTGTGGGACCAGAACCTCGGCTCTAGCCCGTCTCTCTTACCGTTGGAACAGGGGCTGGAGGTGCAGTGGTCGATCTTCTTCTCACAGTTGAACCCTGCGTACCCGGTGGGGCACTGGCAGAAGTATCCTCCATCTGGGTTGTCGGCACAGCGGCCGCCGTTGGAGCAGGGCCCGTCGGCGCACGTCATGGCACTCAGCTCGCAGTTGTTGCCATAGAAACCATGAGGGCAAGTGCAGGTATATGTGTTTTCTAAATCCTGTCAGAAGAAAAAATAGAACAGCATCAAGATCCGTCTGGCTGCTGCAGCTGCTCCCGGCTCTGCTGAACCTCTGCGTGCCGGATCAGAGCAACCGTTGTGAGGATGATTTAAGTCCCATTTCATTGGCTGAGACCACACATTACTTACCGTGCAGCTTCCTCCGTTGCGACAGGGGTTTCCAGCACATTCGTTGACCTGGATCTCACAGCTGGCCCCAGTGAAGCCCGGCTTGCAGGAACAGGTGTAGCTGCCCTGGCCAGTGTTGCTACAAGTGGCTCCATTCATGCAGGGTTTGTGGTGAGTGCAGTAGTTGAGATCTGGAGAGACACAGCAGCACATGTGGATTAGCCACAGCACAACACATGGTGGGACAGCAGCGGCGGCGGCTGCAGACAGAAAGTCTTTTTGTACTCGGGCACACTTGACTCTTTCTCTCTGCTTCCAGGGTTTTTTGTTTCCTGCGCCTGCACGGCCTCCCGTCCTTATCCCTGACAACTGCTGCTCTGTTGTTGTTGTTGCTTTCCTTTCAGTCTTTCATGTCAGTGTTTGTTACTCTCTGACCATCTCTGTTTCCACTTCAAACCTCACAGACCAAACCCGGCAAAAAGATCCTGCTCTCAACTTTGCAAAACAAGACTTTTGAAACTTTTGAACTGTTTTTAAAGTGAAGGACTTTACTAAGGAAACTTTCTGAAACTTCACACCAAGAATGCACTTTTCCTTTACTCTATTTTCTTTCCTTGACAGTTAGCGTGGATTAGCGTGGAGAATCTCTGATTTGGTGAAATACCTGACAAAACTTCAGCCCACTGCTCCTGTTTCTTTATCTCAACAGTTAATATTAATTTTTCCAAAACAAACTTTACTGCCACAGACGTTCGAGGAGAAAATGGTGGACATCAATAAAATATACATCTATTGATCAACCGCTTTTGTTGAGACTTTTTAAAAAGCTCCTCCTGCATCTGTTTTGAACCCTGTCCTGTTGTTTCATACAGTGTCTGATTGTTCTCTATTGTGTTGTATTTTAACACATTCCCACTGAGCAATAGATGGCTAATAGACAACTAGTGTCAAATGTGAGCATAACTGATCTCCAAGTATTTAACCAAAATAATTATGATAGCTGTTGAGCAATATACAGTGTAGTATAGATGTAGATTTAGTCTAAACTTGGTGTGGGTGTGTCCTGTGTCTTCTTCTGTGCCTCTCTCTGGTAGGTTCCTCCAGATATAAGTAGGCACAGCTGCCCTGACTTTCTCTCCCTCAGCCCTCATGACCATCACCCATGCCGCAGACCTCCCGCTTGTAGACTGTGTTTCAATTTTGTGTGTTTTGGTGTTCTTTAAGACCGGGTTTCCCGGTGGCAGGAGCCTGTTGTGTTTCTTTTGTTCGATTAATTAGTTGGCAGTGGACTTTTGTTTTTGAGGAACATTATTGATAATCTGCCTCGTGCTCGCCTTTAGTTTTTGATCTTTTTATTATTTTTGATTGTAAATAAATCACTCGCTTATTCTGATTTCCTGTTTCCTACACTTCATTACTCCCATCTTCTCCTAACCATTCCTCCGGGTCGTAACACTTGGTCTAAATTTAGACGTCTAAAAAACTTAAATTTTTAGACCTGTGGTAGTCTGATTTTAGACCAGTCATCTAGGCTACATTAAGACATCTATTCGACCTCTTTTAGACCAAAAATGGCTCAGTGGGTTAGGAAGAAATCTATCCTGACATGTTTGATGGTTTAATTATTTCAGTATTATCACATAATCTTATACTTCTCGGTAAAACTCAGTGTCCTTTTGTGTCGCACTGTAATCTGCCTATTGGATTATCAGACGTGTGAATCACTGACCCACAGATTTTACCTGTTAATCTGACTCACTCCAGGTAACACCTTGACATCTTTTTAAACAAGCCCCTCCCTTAATTGGTGCTCTCTGCTGTCCTGTCCTATCGTATGGTATCGTGTATCTTAATGACCCACAAACTCGAACCCGAGCGCCCCCTCACCTTGGTTGCAGAAGAGCCCCCCCCAGCCCTCCTGACAGTTGCACTGCCAGGGCTGCTGGCAGGTCCCATGCAGGCAGCCTGGGTAACGGATGCACTCGTCACAGTAGCGGCCCTTGAATCCCACTCTGCACCTGTTGTTGTTGTCCAATTAGGAGGGAAACATCGGTCAGTCCACTCACGTTACCACATGTGTCCCACTCATTAAGTAATTAATTGATTAGTTGATTAATGCCCCAGTTGAAAAAAAACTCACTTGCACTCTCCGGGTTTCTCACAGAAGCCGTGTTCTTCATCACAGCCTGGCAGACAGATCGCTGCAGAGGAAAGAGGAAAACACTTTTTAGTAAAGACACTAAAACAACGTAAACAGTTGATTTTTTTATTTTTTCACTTCAATCCCCAAGAGTCTTTAAAATAAGGGAGAGGAGCTTCTCCTAAACCCATGAGCTGTTACCTTCAACTCAATCTCCTGATCACCGTGGAAGAATTTTCTGCTTAACATCATCCTGAGACAAAGGAGGGAGTGTGTGAATGTGAGTGTACACACACACACACTCACACACACACACAGAGAGAGACCCCCTCAGCCCGCCCCACCACCCTCTTTTTTTCTTCTTCTCTGCGGGTCAAAACTCTTTTATTCACTCTGTGCGCACACACTCACACACTCACTCACACACACACACACACACTCCCCTTAATGTCTCGGATTGGGGCAGATAAGAGTGGACAGCTGGCGAGTGTGTTGCCAGTGCGCGACAGCTGCTCCATTGTCTCCTCTCTGCCGGCAGCTGCCCACTTCAAACAATACCTCCCCCGCCTCAGCCAATCAGCGCCCAGCCCACTCCCACAGTAACCAATCGGAAGGTAGCATGTAAATTTATGGCACGCGTGAGATTATTCCCCAAAACTTTCCTTAGAATAAATCAAGTGGTCGTGTGTGTGTGTGTGTGTGTGTGTGTGTGTGTGTGTGTTGTTTACGCACAAGTTTCCTTCTAACGGCACTCAGAGGGTCTGATTACAGACCCGGTACCGAAAAATAACAACTTTTCCGACTTTGACAGAAAATAAAGATCGGCATGAACTTTTTCCGATCGATTCAAACAGACTTTTTTCTGTTTTTTATCTCAGACCAAAGTGAACACATTTCTGTGTCTCAGAACTCTTTTGGGTTCTCGTAACGCCAAGTCGCCAGAACCTTCACCCAGTTTCCTCCAAACTCTCCAGTCATAAACAGAAAAACGTTGTTGTTGTTGTTGGACTCACGCTCAGTGCAGTATTGCCCCTTCCAGCCGGCGTCGCACACGATCTCCCCGCGCTCTCCGCAGGTGAAGTGCCCGAAGGCGTCGTCTCTTGGCCGGCAGAACACCGAGCAGCCGTCCCCGTAGTAGTGCTCATCGCACACGAACCGGTACGAGTACTTGAGCTCCGTCCTACCGCTGGTGTGCAGGTCCTGGGACCAGTCTTCCCCCACCGTCAGATGCCTCTGTGTGGTCATGGTGCTGATGACCCGGTCTGGGTTTTCTAAAGCGCACATGTGGAGGAGGGAGAAGAAACGGGGTCAGATGGTGGAAAGTGAGAGAAGGAGGTCAGAGAATGAAAAGGAGAGGTGTTGGTTTCCTACCTGTGGAGAGGTCGTCTTTGGAGTCGGTGTGTAATGCCTCAATGATCAGCGAGAAGGTCCCCTGGGAACACAAATGGCTTCATGAGACAGGTGGTCGGCGGAGTGTGTGCGCCGATAACATCGAGCTGAGGCCCGGGGCGACCAAGCCACAAACTGTCTGCCTAACCTGATCCCTGAAACTCAACACCTGGACGCCGTGTGTGTGTTTGTGCGCGCTCTAAAAGCTGCGCTCTGTGCCATTAGCGCGTTTTTACGCACGGCTTTACAGAAAAGGCGCGATTCCGCTTCCCTCACATCCACCCCAGTGATCCACGGCGACACTTACCGGCCACGTGAAGCCGAAGTTAATCCGGACCGGGTTGGTGAAGGAGCTCTCCGGGATGACATCGGGGACCTGGAAGGAGTTGGAGCCAAGCACGGGCGTCACTGCGCCGCCGTAGTTGCAGGGGGGCTCCGGGGAGACGTTGGGCTGGTAGTGCTTGAGACAGATCCTGAAGAAGGTTTGGCACTCACACTGCTGCTGGTAAGACGAAGTCAGGCCCCCCTTACAGCAGTTCTTGTTGCCCTGAACCCCCTTCTTGTTTAGGAACTCCTGCAGCTTCAGCTCAAAAACTCCTGAACAAAACCCCTGAGAAGGAGGAGGAGAAGGAACTGATCAGAGGAGGAGAGGAGGAGGAGGTGAAGGGTCATTGTTAGGCAGAAACACAGCTTCAGGATCTTACCTGGCACAGCAACATGGACATGACGGTGAGGGTCAGCAGGATGGCGTGCTCCATATTAAATAAATACATAATAAATAAAGAATAAATAAAAGAAAAGGTGTCGGGGCTCGGAGTGTCCTCAGGGTGCCTCCTCCTCTTCACTCCCTCTCAGGATGAAGATGCATTGAGCACGTTTCTGTTTCCGCTCAGCTGCTGTCAGCCCCGCTCCTCTCACTCATGTCCCGAGACACAAAAAAGGATAAATCCCAAAACCTTCAAGAGAAAAAACCACAAAAACAACAACAAGGCGTGTGAACTTCTGATAGTTCTCTTTGTGGAGTTGAAAAATAAACCGGGAGGTCCTCCAGTGGGGTTATAATCCAGTGCGTAAAGAGAGGAGAGAAGGTTCCTGCTTCTTTGTTTCTTCTGGGAGTAAAAGTGACAAATTTCAGGAAGGAGTTTGTTTGTTTTTCTGTGAAGGTCTTGGTCGAACCCAAGGACGGGTTTGTCACTGGTCCAACATGCTTCCCTCTCTCTTCCTCCTCCTTCTGTCTTTCCTCACTCTGAACTCTGCGTCTGTCTCCAGGAAAGGCGGCCTGCAGCCCGTTATATACGGACGGACACATGCCATGGTAATAACATGCAAATAACCCCCCCACCCCACACACACACCCACAATCTGGTCCTGCTCTCCACAATGGGAGCCCAGCAGCAGCAGCAGCAGCCTCTCTCTCTCTCTCTCTCTCTCTCTCTCTCTCTCTCTCTCTCTCTCTCTCTCTCTCTCTCTCTCTCTGCGTTAATATCTGAGGCCAAAATGGAGACGTGTGTGAAAGTATTTCCACGAAAGAAGAAGTGAGAAAAGAGAGAAAGTCTGAGAGGCTGTAGAGGAGGACAGGAGTTCAGACTTTCTGTTTCTGTCTTTTAGACTCAAACAGTGTTTTTTCTCAGTTTCTGGAGAAGTTTCTGTAAAATGTTTTTTTTTAAAACCAAATTTCTCTTCTATCAGGATGACAGGGTTGAATTTATCCTTCAGACTTTTTCTCCTGTTCAGGACAAACTTTTCTGTTTTGGGAAAATCAGCTTCAAGTTTGTCTTTAAAGTTCTTAAAGGAGAGAGAAAATGTTTGGGTGTCAAACTCTGACTCAGTTAATTGTTTACTCCCCTCCTCCTCTTCCTCCTCACACTCTTCTACATTTCGGTATTTCTGGTTGTGGGAAGAATTTGATGTTTTGAATGAAACTCTGAAGACCAAAGAAGAAAAAACATTCCTTGGCAGAGCAGAGAGGAGAGCTGGACTCCTCCTCTTCTCCTCTCCTCCTCTCCTCCTCCTCCTCTTCTTCTTCTTCTTCTTCTTCTTCTTCTTCTTCTTCTTCTTCTTCTTCTTTGGCTCAGATTAAAAGAAAGGGGGAAAATGTGCATGTGCAAATGTGTGCGCATAAGAGAGGCGCGCGCACACTGGAGTCGCTCGCGTGGCCAACATGAGGGGGAACTTTTGTTATTGTGTGTGTGTGTGTGTGTGTGTTTGTGTTTGTGTGTGTGTGTGTGTGTGTGTGTGTGTGTGTGTGTGTGTGTGTGTGCTGCAGAAGTAAGTTTGCCCCCCCCCCCCCCCTCCTCAGCTGTATGGTAATTTGGCCCGCACCTGCTCTCCCCTCAATAACAGTGTGCGCGCGCACACGTCCCGCAGCCTGCACAATACTCTCTCTCTCTCTCTCTCTCTCTCTCTCTCTCTCTCTCTCTCTCTCTCTCTCCTCTTCACACACTTTTACACTTTTTCTTCTTCTTTTCTCGCACGCGGAGGGAAAACGATTGTTTTTATAGTGGTGTGTAGATTTTCTTTTTGCGTCCATGTACGTGCACGCGCGTGTAACCATGGATCAGGGGTTGGGGGGGGGGGGGGTTGTCCTTTGGCTGGGGGGACTTCATTAGGGGCCAAATGCAAGCTGCACGCGCGCACGTGCATTGCGTCACTGTGCGCAGATACGCGCGTCGTGTCCGCGGGGTTGTTTCGCGTCTCCTCTCGGTACCCTCGAGGATAGACGCCATGCTTTCCCTTTCTTTTCCCGCGTCACGTGACCCGTTTGTAGTTACTGATTAGCTCCACAAACAAAGTCCTCCTCCTCCTCCTCCTCCTGCTCCTTCATTCACAAACCTGTCCATCCCTCCTTTCTTCATCACTCCATTTTTCAAACAGCTGAACTGTGACCAAAACTATTAACCTCCAATAGACACCGATCACTGATCAATACCTCCTCTCACAAACAGCTTTAGTCTTTGGTTTGGGATGAATTCAAGCTTCAACAAAGTCCAACGAGAACTAATCTTCATTCAAATGTTCTCCGCAGGACTCTTCTCCTGTTGTCAGAATGTGGTTTGGGATCATCTGAAGGTCTTCCCTGAAAAACTCTTTGTCTGGATGGACACAGATGTTGCTCCTAAACCTGCAGATGTTGTCTAGAACTGAGGATGCAGCATCTATGATTTCCAGGTCTTCATTAAAAGGACAACAAAAGGACAAGAGGCGAAACGTCTCAAGTAAGTCCAGTTGTCCTTTCATATGAAGATCAGATTCTGATCCATCAAACCATGAGACAGTTCTCCTCGTCCCCTCACCCCCAAGATTCACCATGTCCTGAATGCTGGCGATTTTTGCTGTCCGCCAAGTCCAGAACTGGATCTGGACAGTGGTAATAGCGAGAACTCATAAGAACCCGCGGATTCACGCGCAATCACGCGATAACGGGTTGTCTCTATAAAGACAGACACATAGACATATAAGCAGTAGATTGTGTCTACCTCTAGACTTCTAGAATCAGCATCTCCTCATCCATCGGGATGAAATGGTGTCTGGAAACCTTTCACTTGTTCGTCTCCGCCTGTTTGCATGGTGTGAAATACAATCCGCCTGAAACACGAAGTGTTTTATTTTGAAAAGAAGCCGGATGTTTTATTTTGTATCTGTGACCGACTTCCTTTCCGGCACGGGTTAATCTGTGCTGAATTTATCCGGCATGCTCTGGCGTCTGGCAAAAATGGAACTCTTGCGATCAGCTTTGGAGTCAGGCGATCCGCAGAGGAACGGAAAGAAGTCGGTGGAAATTGACACGTTAACTTGAATGGTTACGATCAGCTACGATCGGAGGATACGACCTTTTCGTGGCCGTTCAGGATGTGGTGGAAATTGGCGGTTAAAGGGACTTGAGACCTTAGCCTACCTACTCACATCCAAAACCAAAAGTGACACCAAATACGTCGCTTGTTGTTGTAAATTTCGGTATCGGTAAATTTTTGGTTTATCACCTAGCCCTCATGTGAACTGTATTAAAGCACTGCTGCTGTGCCATAGACAGAGCAAAGCCTGAGAGCTAGTTCAGGCAGTCAACTCCAGCTGCACTGATTTTACACTTCTCACAATCACATGACGAACACACTCCCGGTTTGGCGCTCTATTTCAGCGGCAGGATTTCCTGTTTTTGCCTCCACTGCCCTGCTAAAATACTGCACCTCCCCACCCCAGCATCCACCTGCAGGCTGTGATTACGGGGGTTAAAGATCTGGTCTCATCACTCCTCAGTTCCTGACTCGGGTCAAAAATAAGTTCCAGTAAAACAGAATGATGGGGGCGGCGACGAGGCGGCGCATCTTACCGGAGTGGATGAACATGTACTTGCTGTAGTTCAGATCCCTGGGAGGAAGGGGAGGGGCCCGCAGAGCAGGAGGAGGTGGAGGAACGGAAAGAAGCCGGTGGAAATTGGCACGTTAACTTGAATGGTTACGATCAGCTACGACCAGAGGATACGACCTTTTCGTAGACGTTCTGGATGCGATGGAAATCGGGGGTCAGGTTCTGGTTCTATCTGGTCTCCCCTTTCGTGGTTCAGTTTGAACCTCATTAGTCGACGCTGTGATGAACTGTGTTCACAGTCAATGGTTTTTAACGTGATTCTGAGTCCATGCAGTGATTCCCACTCCAGAGTCCTGTCTGTATCTGTTAATAAAGTCCCTCCTCACTCTTGAGCTTCTCTGTGGACTTCAGGTCTAAAAGGCGAAATATTCGAAGAACATTTTCTGGATTTTCAGGTAGACGGTTTCAGCGGATTGAAGGCAGTTCAAGTGATAAAGAAATAATCATAAATGTTCTTCCTTGAGCTGTGTCACCCCACTGTAGTCCGTAATGGACTGGCCCAAGGTCTCGCTACAAACAAGCGGCTGCTGGAAGAGAGTAGGTGAGTTGTGTTTAGTCTCTTTCTAAAGTTAAAAAGATGTTTGGTGTCTAGTACTATGGCTGTGACCCTAAATGTCCTGTTGATGAAGTTAGGTGCTGTTCTGAACATTATTTGTGGCTATAGAGTGGCGTTTTGGTAGAGCGCGTGGCTCTCTGTATTGCTATCGTGCGGTCGTTACTAAAGTTGGTATAACTACAGAAGCAAGCGGTCGGCAACATTCATCTCTGGAGGGCGTGTCTAACTCTGTGTTATTGTGTGTTTGACCCTAAATTAATTTTATGCCGGAATATCCCTTTAAATACCTTTAAATATATATTTCTGTTTATATTTATAGATATGTGAACCTGTTATTCTGGCCTGTCTTTCTTTATACCCTGTTCTAGTAGTTGAGCTTCTGCAGGAAATGATCTGTGCTAAACTGGGAATCAAACTCCATCAGAGGATGAACTGGAGCAGTTGAAGCTCTGCCCAGTTTGGAGCTCACACTGGTCTCCACAGCCTCTTCTTCTGTGCCTGTTTAACTCCAGTGCTACTGTAGGGGGCTGCTGTAGTTTAACTCCTGCCCACCAGTAGCTGCGCCAAACAAAAAAGGGGTGACTCGGGGTCTGACTATTCATCCATTCTGTGCGCTTTAATTTCCATTGATTGTGAATGCAGGAGGGAGGGAGGAAGGGGGTCTTCAGTGAAGGACCACGACACGCCTTCAGACGCGGACAGACCCTTACAAGCCATCTGCCACTAACCCCCCCTCCACATCCAGAAAACGACGTTTATTTCCCTCCCTCCTCCCTCCCTCCCTCCCTCCTCCGGCCTGAAGCGCACGTCTCTATGTCCACCGGCTCCGTCTACACTCCACTGGAAGCATGTTAAAGGACCTGTAACGGTATGGGCCCTCCGGGACCATATGGCGAGGGGGAAGCCAAGAGGATTTTTTTTTCCTTTTTTTGGTCCCAGAAGAGGAGACACCACATGGTCACTCGTGGGAACGTAAACACGGCGCGCATCACACGATATCGATCATATGAAGCGGCGATTGGGGAGAGGGAGGAGGGAGGGAGGGGGCTGCCCTGTGATCATCAATTGATTTTTTTACACTGATACCTCATCAGGGCAGCAAATATCGACGCATGTCCACCCGCAGTGAAAGCTTCCACAGCCGGGTGTGAGGAGCCAGGGTGGTGGTGGTGCCAGGGTTGGAGGCTCCAATTCCTGAATGATGCGCAGGAGGAGCAAGGCACCAGACCAAGAAGAGTGCCAGGGTTGGATGGAGATGAAGAGGGGAGGGTGGGGGTGTGGGGAAGGGAGGAGGGAGGGGGTCTCAGAGAGGCCACTCGTGCTCACATGTAGGATGTGAAACCCTGAAAGAATCGTGGGGTTTTGAATCAGCACTTTCTCAGCACCGGGTTTTACGCACGCCCTCTCCCCAGACTCCAGTGGGTTTCACTCTCATTAAACCCACTTTCATAATCACGAGACAGAGTCAAACTACTCCGAGTTACAAAGTCAAACATTTCCCACATGGGTTTCATTCATCCTTCACCCACGCAGCGCGAACAGTTCTGTCTTTATCGGTTTTTATGAGACCGGTTTCAGAGACCCGGGACTCTGTTTCTGAGTCTGGTCCGCCTGTTGTACCTGCTCAGAGATCAACAGGCTCCTTTGTGCTCAGATCAGATTACTGTGGCCAGCTGCTGGCAGAGGGGGCCACACAGGCCAGATCCGCGGATCCCCAGGGCTCTTCACGGCTTCACGAGGCTCCCCACGGCTTCCCACGGCTCGTGGTCCGGGCTGCTGTCTCATTTGCATACGGAGCTGTTAGTGGAGACGTGCTGCGCTGAGGTTGATGGGAAGAGTGGCGCAGTAATTATGTGGGGGGCCCAGAGACGCGCCTCCTGGACGAGTGTGTGTGCGTAATAAGTGTGTGTGGAAGACGGGAGGGGTTTGGTGTGTGTGTGTGTGTGTGTATGTGCGCGCAGAGACTCCGGGGAGGGGGGGTCTGTACGTAGCCGGTCGCGTGCCAGTGTTTATGAAAACACATCTGCCTCGCGCACCACAACATGTGGGTCTCTATGAACCAAATCAATAATTCAACAACTGATACTGTGTTTACCCACAACAAACAGTCATGTCAGCAGTGAAGGGGTTAACCTCTGAGGGTTAAACAAACAGAAAAGTCCATTTTAATAATGCAGGAGTGAAGTCTGCTCAAAGACTCAGAGGTTCACTTCACATTAAAGATCCTGTAGGGAGTTTTTTGTGTGTTTTCAGTGACTGAAATTCACAGTAAAACTTTTTATGATGAATGTTTTGATGTGAGCCGATCTGCTCTCACTGATATCAAATATTCACAAAAAACAAAAAAAAAATGTTTTCAAAAGACACAACCAAAGCTTCTAGAGGAGAAGATACAAGCAGAGACTGTCCACAGGGGGCGCCATAACTGATACAACTACGATGGAGTATTAGGGCCACATTAAAGAAAAAATTAAGACTTTGAGATTAAAGTCATTAAAAACGAGAATAAAGTCGTAATAAAATCATTATGTATGGGGATAAAGTCGTTAAGTAATGTAAGTCTTAAAGCTGCTTTTGTGGAGGTGGACTGTGGACTTTATTCTTGTAAGAAATTACGAAGTCTTGAATTTTTAATACTCCGTCATATGAAACTGAAAAAATTTAGAGTTAATGAAAAGTAAATGTTCATGTCGGCGAGACTTTTCACAGAAGTTCGGACTAAAAGAGTCTCGAAACAAACAGCTGGAGGAACATCTCCCACCCCGATCAGGTCCAGCTCTAAAGTCCTTCTGGTCTTCATCATGAACCTGGACTTGAAATCCGGTTTTACTCTCATTTGTTTCCATGTTGATGAGATTCCCGAGCAGCTGAACGATGACAGAAAATAAAACAGCTTTGACCTTTGCTCCTCTAATCATTGAAAGTGAACGGTGGCAAAAGTCAAACGTTTTATTGCGGCGCAGAAAAACAAATTAAATCATCAAATCATCAACGGAGGGCGCTGCCAGAACCAGCAGCTGACTTTAGACCTGCAGTCACAAACACGACCAGACCTGATGACCACCAGATTATGAGACCGCCGTCTCTGGTTTCAGGTTTCCTCAAACTTGGCTGCAGGGGTTAACTGAGTCATGAGTCCAACTCCTACCCCCAATTTCCACCGCAGCCGGAACAGCTCTGATCCTGAACCGTGGCGATTTTTGCCGTCAGCCAATTCCTTCCAGATCCGTTTGTGAGGCGGATTTCGTGGCGGGTTACAGACAGCGGGAATCGCGAGAACTCAAAAGAACCCTCTTTGTCTGGATGGACACAGATGTTGCTCCTAAACCTGCAGATATTGTCTAAAACTGAGGATGCAGCATCTATGATTTCCAGGTCTTCGTTAAAAGGACAACTGGACTTAGGTCAGATTCTGATCCATCAAACCATGAGACAGTTCTCCTCGTCCCCTCACCCCCAAGTTTCACCACATCCGGCGATTTTCGCGTGATAACGAGTTGTCTCTATAAAGACAAACACATAGACATATAAGCAGTAGATCGTGTCCTTCCTAAGGAGGAAATCTACTTTCAGACTTCTAGAATCAGCATCTCCTAATCCACAGTGTCATCGGGGTGAAATGACGTCTAAAAACCTTTCACTTGTTCGTCTCCGCCTGTTTGCATGGAGTGAAATACGAAAAAAATAGAACTCTTGTGATCAGCTGTGGAGTCCGTTGATCCGCAGCGGAATGGAAAGAAGCCGATGGAAATTGACACCTTAACTTGAATGGTTACTATCAGCTACGATCAGCGGATACGACCTTTTCGTAGCCGTTCAGGATGTGGTGGAAATCGGGCGTCACTGTCCTCACTTGGACTCCTGTATTTTAACGCTGCAGTGTCGGTATCTGTACTCAACCTCAGCAAAGTTCTCCAACATGAGGCCCGGACATGTTTTAGAGAGTTTACTGGACTCTAGTGACTCTGAGAGTCCACCCTGTTATTGTCTGTCTTTTTACTTAAAGGGACATTTCGGTGTTTTTGTTTTTAGTTATATGTCACCTGTAAGTGTCTAATGTCGGTCAGCTCTGCGCCTTTAAGGAAGAACTCCTGGGGCAAACATGAGACCAAAGTCCATACCTCGGTTTAGGTGCACGCTCAGCGCTGCAGAAAGATCCGGTTCTAACGCTAGGCTTCAGCTTTCAGCAGACTCTGGTTGTTAATTAAACAAATTAAGCTAATCTGAAGAGACTCTGACCCGTGTACACTCACTTTGTTGTTGTTGTTGCTCCTGCAGAGACAAAAATGAAAGCGAAGTGACGAGACGTGATCGACTGCAGACGCACACAGACGACTGTTAATGTGAGTTTATGGAAACTCTGAGAGATCCCAGGTTACCTGCTGGTTCAGGTGTGTTCAGGAGTTAAAGCTGAAATAACAAACTCGACACACACGGCTGATCTCAGGAAAAACTGCAGCCTAGCATTCGTACCGGATCTTTCTGCAGGTCCTGGTTAAAAGGGGGCGGGGCTGATTGTAGGAGCCATAATGTCGCTTTGCTGATCGGTTATCCTGTGTTCAGTTACTTTAGGTTACTGTAGGTCATATAAGGGGCGTCTCACCTACACTGGGGTGGAGAGGTGAGCCTAGGTAGCTGTGATTTTTGTTGACCACGGTTTATGTGATACATGACACAAAGTCTAAACATATTCTATCTGATGCGGCGTGTGAATCACTGGCGACTGTAGAAGCGTTTTTTCTGCTATTAAAGCTTTTAAAACTTTGCTGAACTGTGGGTGTCACATAAATATCCAGGACCTATCCTCTGCCTCAAACGGCTTTTTTAAAGGTACTGGGAAAACCGCGATAATCCTTTCTGATCTGAAGTTTTTCTGAGTTGTTGTCCGAGTCGGTCGTAGTCGCTCTGACTTCGCTGCACTAACTCTCTCGTTCTCTCGGCGGGACGAGTGTCTCTGTTGGCTCCAGAAAAAGTGCAGCTCTCCATTTGTGGTTCTCAACTCCAGTCCAGTTTTGCCCCCCCCAATCCCAGTCTTAATCACCAGTATGAATGATGAGGCTAAATGGAGGAAGCCCACCCCCCTCGCCTCCCCTCCTCTCTCTCTAACTCTCCCTCTCTCTCTCTCTCTCTCTCTATCTCCTCCACCACGAGCATCTGCCCAGAACTGAACAGATGTAGGCACCTGCGTTGTGGGCTCACATATGCGCACATGTCCCCCCCCTCCACCTCCCCAAACCCCCTTTCAACCTTCCCAGGGACCCGGAGCCCACCACAATGGGGGGAGATCAGGGATGCAGTAACCAAATACTGCCGATCCCCCCAGGACCCCCGCTCTGTTCCTGCCATTGTCAGCAGTTATATCAAGTGGCTGCTCCAAACAATCTGCAGTATGACTGCTCATTTCAGACACGACATCATTCAGGGGGACCGGGGGACCGGGGGACCGGGGGGGGGTGTAGTGGGGGGGTACAGAGGTGGCGGCCTGGATCGTTCCTACGCCCCTGATATGAAGTGGAGACCATTTTAAACAAGTGGACTCAGGTTCTCCTGTCCGACTGAATCAGACTTTGGGTAAGTGGTTTTGGGGTGTTCTCGGGGGTCTGGAGGGCCCGGGGCCGGCAGGTGCGAGCTGGGAGGAGGGGGATGAAAGAGAGGCTTGTCTGATGGAGCGGGGCGGGTCCAGGACCAGGTTACTCTTGTTTTTGTTCCAGCGGAGCCCACGGTTAGAGGAGCGCTGGATAATGGCGCCATAATGGCCCCCGTCCCTATCTCTCAGCTGCCGCCGGACGACAGAGGATCCACACGCACCTGTTGGCGTCCCCCTATTGTGCACAGCGGCGGCTAGCATTAGCGTGCTACACCTCAGGAATGCTCTCTGTCCAGAGGCCGAGCTGCTCGTCCCGTGGGGGGGGTGTCAGGAGTGTGCTGTGGGGTGGGGGGGCCACGGGAACCAGCAGGGAAGCTTTAGAGGACAAGACAAGGAGGGAGGGAGGGGAGGAGGAGGTTGGAGGAGGTGGAGGGTGCGTTCCTCCAAAGCCAGTGTCCTCTCTCTCTCTCTCTCTCTCTCTCTCTCTCTCTCTCTCTCTCTCTCTCTCCAGGGGCCGGTCCAGAGAGCCCTGTCCTAAATCACTGGCCCCAGGGGGAAGGCTCTCCTTTGTGAGGGGATGGCCCCTGCAAGCTGGGCCGCCAGCTGCCACTGCTGCAGCGTCATGCCCCCCCTACACACACACACACACACACACACACACACACACACACGCCTCCTCCCTGGATCCCCTCCACCTTCAGCTCCCTGTGACCGGGGCCCGGGGCCACAGGCCAGCAGAGCATTAAAAAGGACTTGGAGGATCCTCTTGAGAAAGGTCGCAGGTTTTTATCTCCAACATTAATGAAGATAAACTCTGATCAGGGCGATGGTCCACGACACGCTAACCTGGACGCCTCTGAATCATCCGCTGTTTTCTAAGTGGCCTACTGCGTTCTCCAGCCAACCAGTATTCAGTAGATACTTCATACTGAGTACTGTGTTTGATAGTAGTATGCAGTATGACAGTAAAGGTCCTCTCACAGTGGGATTGTTTATTTCATGTGATTATTTCAGATGTCATTTTTTTTTCAAACCCGTATCCTGTCAATACAAGCGTTCACATCAGCGACGTTTTCCCGTCCTGCAATATTGCGGCATTAATTTTTTTGCATCACGGTCAATTTTTCTAAAGTTTCTCATACCATGTGTCCACTTCTGACCAATCAGATTTCGTGTTGTTGCGACATCAGATTCACCAGTATATCCAACATGGCCGACTGGCTGATTGTTTACGTGTTGGAGAACAGAGTGATTTTTGATAAAAGACACAAACATTACAAAGATAACGACCTGAAGGACGACTTTTGGAGAGTCATAGCGTTGGATTTCTCATATGACGATGGTTTGTGAGCTTTAACAGTTTGATAAACGTCTTTGTTTTAACTTTCATCTGTGCTAAGTAACTTTAGCTCGTAAGCTAACCTGTTCAGATACAACATATCATATGTATTTTCACTGTAAACTCAAACTCAATCACAGCGTTGCTGTCACAGCACCATTAGGTCTCGGTTGTTACTTTACGTTTATGGATTATAGTTTAATGTTCTTCTCTGGTTCTGGCCCCGACTCAGTACATGCTATCATGACAGACAGACAGACATCTCAACACTAGAGTCTAATCAGAACTGAGAAAAAGTCAGTCTGCTGTTGGGTCAGTCTTCTCACTTCCACCCGAGACACGTCTTTTTCTTCCGGAGAGTCGAAAATCGCATCATGCTTGATATGTATAGTCAGGTGTGTCAAAATTCGCCTCCGAATATTTAGTAATTTGGCATCATATATTTGCATCGTTCCCTGGTGTGTAAGGACCTTAAGTCGGCTGTTATTCTGTAGTATGGTTGGCCTGGTTTAGTGGGTTTCCAGTATGGAACAGTCCATCATACTCTGGTAAACTACAACAACACTACAGTGTTGCCCGTTCATTTACACACTGAAAAAATCTTTTCTGTGATTTAATTGGATTTTTTCCAGATTTTTTAGCCCAATACCATCAAAACATGTTCTGTCTCTGCAACGACTCATCGATGATCTGTCGTCATTTGATTCTCATCACAGCGCTTTAAATACAGCAAAGTTATGTTGTCGGTTATGTTGTCCTCATTTACTTACCCGGACTCCAAGTCCAGTTCCCCCTCTGCTCCTCTGTGCACAAGACAGTCTGAAACTTTAAGAGTACACCCTGTCGATCCTGGACTCAGAGATCCACGCTGGTCTCCTTCATCTCAGTCAAGACTGTCAAACCAGCATTTAAAGGTTTTTCTGAGGACACACCGGCCGCACTCAGGAGAGATTTCCAGTTTATAAACCAAACTTTAGACTTTAACCTTCAGACCCACAGCGTAGAAGAAGAAGCAAAGGTCATGGTGGGGCACGATGTTTTTATGACACCTGTGTTAAGATAACGGACGATAATAGACATAAACGGATTTCTCTAAAGAGGGACACTTCTGGCCGCTGTGTATTACTATCCTGCGGTCGATCTCTGGAGGGAGTGTCTAAGTCAGGGTTACAGTGTGTTTGACCCTAAATTAATTTTACACCGGAATATCCCTTTAAAAATGATGGAAGACAAACCTGCTAAAACTGCAGAGATTGATCAAACAGGCAAAAAACCCCAAAGAAAGAAAAAGCAGCAAATCTTTTATGAGTGGGGGGGTTTGGGAATTTCCTGATCTCTGGATTTATTTCCTCTTTCTCGTAACTGGAGTCTACATAGACGGTCGGGGTTTAAAGTCGGCAGATAAGTTCACTTTCTCTTTTGGGGAAACATTCGGTGCAGTTGGACCAGGTTTAGATTCATGTGGTTTGGGATCATATGAAGGTCTTCTCTAAAAAAAGTCTTTGTCTGAATAGACACAGATGTTGCTCCTAAACCTGGAGATCTTTTACACTAAGTCCAGTTGTCCTTTTATAAGAAGATCAGATTCTGATCCATCAGACCTCAGGACAGTTCTCCTCGTCAGGTCCAGAGAAGTCTCTGGTGGTTCTGGTTCTATCTGGTCTCCTCTCTCCTGGTTCAGTTTGAACCTCATTAGTAGACTCAGTGATGATCTGTGTTCACAGTCGATGATTTATAAAGTGATTCTGGGTCCATGTGGTGATTCCCACTCCAGAGTCTTGTCTGCTTTTAATACCCTGAAGATCAGGACCATCCAGTCCTGGTTTTGGTCCTTGTCCCCTTTAGTATAGAGATTTCTCTGAATGATCTGAATCTTATATGATCTGATGTTCTGTAGACGATGAAATCCACTCAGGAACTTTATTCTGAAACTGTTGAACTGTTAGCTCACACAGTCTCACCTTATATCTCATCTCAAATCTCATCTCATTCCATATATTATCTCATATCTCATATCATCTCATGTCTCATATCTTCTATCTCATATATCATCTCATATCTCATACCTCAGATCTCGGTCTCTCACAGAGTGCTGAACCTCTTCCGTCTTTCCTTCCTACAGACTCTCTGAATGTCCTTTTTTGTGTTTTGATTGATGCTGAAATCGTGACAGCTGATTGGCCGATCCTCCTCACCAGACGACACTGTTGCAGCCTCACTAAGTAGACACCTTCAGACTTTTGTGCCTTTTTTTTCGACATCATCCTCCACCGTCCCTCCCTGCTGGTGGAGGAATTTTCCCATCATCCGTAGCTGAGGGAGGCGTGCTCCTTTGTGCAGCTTCTAATGATGATTGTAATGATGGCTTGTCCATCTTTGATAAGAAACAGCACGCCCCTCATTAAAGGGCCCGGGGCCCCGGTTCTCATGGCCGCCGCTCGGTCCCCGCAGTCGGACAGCAGGCGAGGGAGGCGAGACAACACCCGCGGCACACGCCTGTTGACCGAACCACAAAGCAAAAGCGTGTGACACTCGCCCCACCCCCGCCGCTCCCATTGTCCTCCTGGTGGGTCGCACAGACACGACCAATCCTGTTACCCCCCCCACCCCAACCCCCCCTGAGCCTCAAAAACCACGACACGCTCGCTCAGCTTCTCCTCCTCACCTCCTCTCCTTCTCTTCTTCACAGTTTTACCAATCAGCTGATCTCTCCCTTTCTCATCCATTGCCCCCCCCATCCTTCTCTATCCTCCCCCCTTCCTCCTGCATCACCCCCCCCACCATCACCCCCTTCAGCTGCTACATAAGGTGGAAATCCATCATTGTGTGTAAAGAAGGTGCTCATGCATGCTGCACACACACACACACACACACACACACACACACACACTTAGGGTGGGGGTGTTTGGTCCAGGAGGTTTATTTTTGGGGGGGGGGCTCTAATTCAGTGATTCTCATGCAGACAGTATTTCTCAGAGGAGGGTGTGGCAGGTGGGTGCGGTCTGGCTTTTTTATTTTCTGGATGCTGGATGGTGGCGGTGATGGTCGTGGGATGGAGGAGAGAAGAGGAGGAGGAGGGGGGAAGCACAGGGTGATGGGGAAGGAGGAGGTGGAGGTGGAGGGGGGTTGCCGCGGCTGCCGGGGTCAGGCCTGTGTGTCCTGGGAAAGTTGGGTTCTCCATTTAAATCTGCACATGTTGCGGCCTTCTGGTGGCTGCGTGAATGCACACGGTGACAGATGGCCCCGGCCCATAACTATAGAGTCCGAGGAGCCCGGTCCCCTGAGGGAGGGAGAGAGAGAGAGAGAGAGGGAGGAGAGGAGGAGAGGAGGAAGAGAGAGGAAGAGAAAGAGAGGCTACAGGGGAGGAAGAGGAGAATGTAGCGCTCAGCTGATCCCATCAAAACCAGAGAAGAGAGAAGGAGAAAGGAGGAGGAGAGGAGAAGGAGAGGAGTGGAGGAGAAGAGAAGAGAGAAGGAAGAAAGGCAGAGGAGGAGAGGAGAGGACAGGGGAGGAGAAGAGGAGCGGAGAGGAGAAGAGGAGAGGAGGAGAGGAGAGGAGAGAGAAGGAAGAAAGGGAGAAGAAGAAGAGAAGGAGGAGGAGATAAGGAGAGGAGAAAGAAAGAGAGAAGATGAGGAGGAGGAGGGTTGTTGATGTATGATTTTTGTGTGTGTGTGTGTGTGTGTGTGTGTGTGTGTGTGTGTGTGTGTGTGTGTGTGTTATGATGGGGGAAGGGGTGGTGTGGGTCTTAATCCCAAACCCTAAATTGAGTTAATGTATTTGCCTGGTCTGTAAACTCCAATAGGAGGCCCGGGGTCCCCAAAGATCCTGATTAGGTGTCTAGTTTATCAGATGGGGGTGGGGGTTTATGAGAGAATGGCAGCTTTGTATGTTCTGTGTGTGTGTGTGTGTGTGTGTGTGTGTGTGTGTGTGTGTGTGTGTGTGTGTGTGTTTTCCATCATCCAAAAGTTGATAAATAACCCGAACAGCTGACCCCTCGTCTGCTGGTCCGACCCGGTTCTGGTCTCGTTTTCTGTGATCATGATTCTTTGTTCTTATCAGGAGAGACTTCAGAGCGTCACTCACGGTCAGAGATATTAAAAAAACAGACTCGGCTGAGGAGAAGGGGCGCAGAGACGGCTGCAAAGAGAGACAGAGACCACGAAAGATGAAAGATGACCGCAGACCTGTGTGATACTGATGGAGACCTCTAGAGGGCGCTCAGGATGTGTCGGCCAGGTTTGATAACTGAACTCACAAAACTGAGGATGCAGCGTCTATGATCTCCAGTTCTGCATTGGAAAGAGAGTCAGATTTTCATCTAGAGGAGCTAGATTCAGTTTATTTAGTGTGAAGGGTCAGTTTTAGTAGAGCTAGAGGAGTTAGATTCAGTTTATTTGGAGATTTTTAGAAAATTTTAGATGAACTCTGTGATTTTACATTTAGACTACATAAAATTCCTCTTTGCCGTCTCTCTGTTGATTTTATATCTAATTTTTGTCTCATGTATTCTCACTTTGCATCCCACTGTTGTTTTTCTAAGTCCTCTCAAACTAAACCTCTGACTAAAATGACGTCTCAGTTTATGATGAGGCAGAAAACGAGTTTTCCATGAAGAGATTTAAATCAGACGGTGACGAAGACTGCTCAAGTCTTCGTCATATCTGCTCCTAAAGTTCACTGAAAACTCTGAACTTTGTCGTCTTTAATCGTTGAATCAGGCTGAACACACCAAGGTGATGATGATGATGATTCATGCTGCATCACTTCACTCAGTCAGAGCTGACGTTTACTACCACTAGGGGGCCTCAGTCTCCTCCACCACATGAAAATAAAGACTTCCTCTTTTGACTCTCAGAGATTCTCACAAACAGACTGGAGTGTTTTGTGCCTTTTTCAGTCTCAGACTCTTTCGCTGTTTCATTAAAAAAGATACTTTTAATGAGGAATTAGTTTGGACCCTGAAGGGACCCCGGACCAGCCTTTGAGAACCACAGTGATCCAGAGTCTGTCATTAGAAATTAAAGAATCCTAAAAGTATTTTCTAACATTTAAAAACATTTATTCTCTGATTTTCTGTTTCATGTATTCATGTATGCCAAAGTACAAACCTGTGTTTTATAATTATTATTATTATTTGTCATTTTTTCTCTAGTTTTGATCTTTATTTCATTTTTAGGATTGTTTTATGATGAACCTCTCCTGTGACCTGCTCTGAGCAGCTCTGTGATAAAAACCTAAAATAAGGTTTATTAGAGACGAGCTGTGCGTAAAACAACAACGAAAACTCAACGTTCATGTTTATTAATCCTTTACTGATCTTAGTTTTCCTTTAATTTCAATATCTTGATCAGAAAGTAACATTTGGAAGAGTTTGAAATATGATTTTAAATGTTTTTGAAGCAGACATCTTTAATATAAATATGATCGTTTCTGTGGCATCATTGAAAAAATCTCCACTGTCAGTCTGAGGTTTTGAGGTTTTGTTCTGTCTTCTAATTGGCCGAGGATGGAGCCAGACTGTATGTCAGACTGGACAGGATCAAGGTTGCCAGTAAGCTGAGTTGATTTCACTCGGAAAGCTGCGGAGCTTCATCTGTTGCTCTCTCTCTCTCCCTCTGCTCGGTAAGCCTCTTAGGAATCACGACCACAGCAGATGTAGCGAGAATGCCAATCAGGAGCTCCTGCTGAGCGGAGAAACCTGCCGCCGGCTGTCAAACCACTGCGCGGCTCGAACCTCGGCCACTGCTCCGAAGAAGCTCTCCCAAAGGTCTCAATCAACCTGAACCTTCTGCAGACGCGTCACAGCTCCAAGAGGAGAGGATGTAGCGCGCAGTGAGTTTCCAAACAATCTGAACCCTCAAATCCAACAAATCCTCGAAGACGCAGAACCATGCTACCGCAGGATGTCGGGAAGCAGAAGCCACGCCGTGTGTCAGAGCCCATGTGCGGGGTGGACAGCACCCCGGTGCCGCCGCCTCGGCTGCTGAAGAACCGGGACTTTCCTCTGAACGTGAAGCGCAGGAGGTCCGGCTCCGCACCTGAGCGCAAGGTGAACTGCGTCCTGGTCGGAGACGGAGCTGTGGGCAAGACGAGCCTGATCGTGAGCTACACCACGAACGGATACCCGACTGAATATGTCCCCACGGCATTTGACAACTTTACAGGTAACCCTCGATTGGAACACCTACCTGTGTTTTAGCTTTACGCTCCGGTTTTACGCACAGCTGAGCGACATTTCGGAGCTTCTTTCTGTTCGTAGATACATTTCTCCAGGTCAGGTGTGCGTGTGTGTGTGTGTGTGTGTGTGTGTGTGTGTGTGTGTGTGTGTGTGTATGTGTGTGTGTATCTTTCCAAACATACAGTCAGTGTTTCTTCTCCCTCCTCAGTGATGGTCGTGGTCGACGGGAAGCCCGTGAAGCTGCAGCTGTGTGACATGGCGGGACAGGTGAGCCGCTCTTCTCTTTGTTGTTCAGATGTGATCTCACCTGAACATGCAGCTGCAGTACACTCAGCTTTTCTCTCTTTGCATGTTTTCATGGTTTCGCATTGATAGAAATGGGGTCTCGTTGACGGACCGATCAATGTAAGTGATCAGTGTCTGTCATCAGTTCTCGCTGTGTTTGTTGCCCCCTGCTGTCCGCACTGAACCCTGACCTGAAGTCTTGTAAGACCCCCACAGTTTTAACCACCCCACTGTGTAAAGTGGTCCCGCAGCTCCACAGTTTACAGCGCCCCCTGCAGGAATGAACTGAGACAGTGATTAGAGGAATGTAGAAGCCCCCTCCGCCATCCTGTGCTCCAGCGCCCCCCTTTGGTTGTTTAAATGTTCCCTTTGGAAAGAATGCTGCCACTGTCTGACTGCATGAGTTTTTAGAAACAAATGATAATAACATAAATTATGAAATGATAATGAGAAAAATAATAAAATGATAATGATAAAAAAGATAAAATGATTATAGTAAATTATAAAATGATAACAATAATGATAATGATAAAAAAGATAAAATGATCATGATAAAATAATAATGATATAAATGATTAAACAATAATAAAAATAATAAAATGATCACAATAAAATGACAATGATAGAGATGAAAAAATGAATACAATAAAATGACAACGACAAAATGATAAAATGATAAAATGATCATATAAAATAATAAAATTGAAATGATTCAAATGATTAAAAATGCCAATGATAAAAATAATGAAATGCTAATGATAAAAATGATAATGATAAAATAATAAAGATAAAGTGATAATGATAAAGTGATAATGATAAATGAAAACGATAAAATGCTAATGATAATTTGCTAATGATAAAATGATAAAAATGAGTAACGATAATGATAAAATGATTAAATGAGAAAATGATAATGATAAAATGACAAAATGATAATAATGAAATGATAAATCATCATAAAATGATAAAATAAAAATGATTAAAATAATTAAGGATAATGATAAAAATGCTAATGATAAAATTATAAAGATAAAATGATAAAGATAAAATGATAATGAGAAATGAGAAAAGTGAGGCCTCCTATCTGTGCAGCCTCTGGAGGATTTAGTACAGGTCAGGTGAGGCACGGTCCGATAACACTGTTTCACCAGGATTATCACCCTGAGTGTCACTTGGACGCCTTTGAGGGGATTAACCCTCCTCAGCTGATGTTCAAAATCACTGTAGTGAGAGCAAACAACACCTTCATGAAGCTCCTGTAGGCCTGCCGGGATCTCTCTTTTTGTCCGTCTGAATCTAGAAATGATCAAAGAAATATAAAAAACCAGAAAGAGTTTTTGTTGGTTAATTAAAAGACAAATTAAAGTTCATAATTATAATGTGTCACAGAAGCTTCTTGTCCTCAAAGGCCACTGTAGCTTCATGGAGGTGAGGGGTGAGCAAGGGAGCATTCATCCAAAACCCGAGTGTTACGTATCCCCAAACAATCCCGAGTCCACACTCAGCACCCTGATGGGAAGAACCGTTCTTTTGACTGTACTGAATCTTTAGAATCTGTCCATTAAAATGATTCGTTCAAAAGATTCATTCACTGAATCAGTCAGTGCTTCAGAGCCCCATCCTGCCAACGCAGTACACCAGTGAGTGACACAGCGGCGAGTTCGTTCATTGACCGAGCCCCTTCCCTCCCCTGCTGCTGAAGTCACAGCGTCGTTCACTGGGTGACACATGTCATTCATTCGCCAAGTCGTGAAGAAAGAATCACTCCCCTGCCCTGAAAAACTCACTTCTCTGTGTGTCGCTGTTGGCGGAAACAACACAGCGGCGAGCAGCATGCCCGCTAAACAAGCGCGAGTTCGTGAATGACGGTACAGCCCTTCCTCCTCTGCCTGCATCATGTCATTCATAAGTCGTTTGTATTGTTCACAGTCTGACTGATACATGTTGTTCATTCGCTGTGAGCAAATCACGAGACTCCGCCCACCTGCTCGGTTGCTAACTGGCTGTGTAAAGAGTCAAAGGCGGCATTTCCGCTCCCGACCGGCACGCCAGGCTCGCGGCTGAGCTCAACTGAACTGAGAAAGGAACGAATCAGGTCTCGGAGTGATTCCATTCACGACGTTCACTCAGCAGATCTGTTCTTTTGAACGAATCGTTCATGAACGACACAACACTACCCTGAACAAAGATGACGAATAATCACATCTGCCTCTTTGTTTCAGGACGAGCTGGAGCGTCTCCGCCCGCTCTGCTACAAGAACGCCGACGTCTTCCTCCTCTGCTACAGCGTGGTCAGCCCCTGCTCTTTCCGAAACCTGATCCACAGGTGGGTCCCTGAAATCCAGCAGCAGTGTCCCGGCGTGCCGCTGGTCCTCGTGGGCACGCAACTGGACCTGAGGGAGGACGTCCAGGTGCTGATCCACCTGGCAGAGAACCAGGAGCAGCCGGTGGGCACGGAGGAGGGTCTGCGGCTTGCCCAGGAGCTCGGCGCGGTGAGCTTTGCAGAGTGTTCGGCACTGACCCAGAAGAACCTGAAGGACACGTTTGATTCGGCCATCTTGGCCAGCATCGAGCAGACGGACAGCTGCAGCGTCCAGCAGCAGAGGATGACCCTGAGGAGGAAGACGCCTGATAAGATCAAGAGCCTGTCGGAGACCTGGTTGAAGAAGATCAACTGTCTGATGGGAGAGCAGAGCTGTGACTTCAAGTGAACAGCTGCTCAGAATCATCGGATCATGTGGTCAGTTCCAGTAAAGAAGAGTAAAACTGTAATCGGACTCAGGTTTGGTCTAAATTACTCTGACTGTCCAACAGACTGAAGGAGATCTAGACTTTGTTTTGGTCCCATCGCTGTAATTTCTCACTTTAAACCCTGAAACAAATAGTTCTCTGTAAGTTTTACTGCTTATTTATTTATTTATGTATTTATACAGGCTGATTTTTATCGCCATTGCTGAACATGTAACATGCTCAGAAGCCTTGATTAAAGTTTATTATACCTGAATACTGTTTATGATCATTCATCTCAAGGCTGAAAATCTTCTATTGGAGGATCGGCAGAGTGTTTCAGAGTTAAAGTCTGACCGCGCTGCGTCTTCACGAACCTCTGCTCTCGATCCCTGAGAAGATGAAACACGACATGCTGCCGGCTTAATGGGATCAAGTGTTGTTGATTGTCTCATCACCTCCCTGATCCTCTTGACCCAGGCTGACCAGACCTTGATGGCCGAGCATGTTTGATATGAAACCCGATAGAATAATGAAAACAGGCTGTAAGACTTCGGAGTGATTCCTGAGCTGTATCGGATCTCTGCGTGGCGTTCCCCGCGGATTTAAAGACAGCCTGGTGGGGGTGCGTCAGGTCACACCCTCCTCTAATAGGAGCAGACGGGACCACCTGGACTGGATTAGACCAGCATATGGAGCCTGATTCTCTGACCACATACACCTTAAACAGGCTGAAGCAGCTGATTCCTCCACAGTGAAATAGTCCACTTAACATCCTTGACGTGGTATAAAGTTAGGGCTCTTTATGAACCACGATTACAAACAAATTTATGGACAAACTTTATTCCCCAGAGACTTAACCTGATCATAACTACCAACACCTCAATTCAAGTCTTGGCCTCAAAGTTCAAATATGTGAGTTTAAACATGGATCCCCGTTAGGCGACTGTAAATAGAGTCCCCACATGGACTGCTAAACAAGTGAACAAAACAACAAACAAAAAGGTGCTAATAAAACACCTGTGACATTTTCTAAAGTCGTCTATATAATCCGCTCTATGGTTTGAATCTCTAATTTTCTTAAGTGTTTTTAAAGGGATCTCGAGATGAAAAGGGGACAGCTTTAGTTTTAGCAGGTGAGCTAGTTTTAGCAGCTGTCTGAGGAATTGAAAACTGGACAATAATGTTAGCGTCTGTGTTTTTAGGTTATCACTAATTCAAACATTCATATTTAATTTTCCCAGAGACTTTACAAAACCTTAACCATCACCTAATCTCTTATCCCAACGACCCTCTGGATCAATTCAAACTGAGTCACCATGTCAAAATTCAATTATTTACCATCAGGACCCCAAAATGAAGAAAGGTCCCCACTCAGAGACCCTGTAAACAGAATATCCAAATAGATGGGCTAGACAAATTCACCAAACATTAAGTAACTCCCTGGCGTTCACTTAAAACCACGTCTCAACTTCTTTATTTGGCGTTTAAATATTCACATTTACAAAGTAGAGACACACACACACACACACACACACACACACACACACACACAGTATAAACGTAAACATCATTAAAAACTCAGAAAATATTGACTCATCCATGAACTTCTTTAACTTGACTTTTCAATCTCTTTTATTAGTCTTACATCTTCATGTACCAGAAGAAGAGCGTTAAAGAGCAACTGAAAATAACAAGAAAGTTTCACTGTGAGTAAAGAGGTGACAGGAGGAACCTCCTGAAATACGGCTGAGTTTTTCTCAAGACAGAGGTGTGAAAGAAAGTACAGAGATGAGAGGTGGGCTGTTAATATGAACTTCAACTTATTTATTATCATACTAATAATGTTTGTCACATATCAAGACAGCTGCCCAAATATAGGATTATTATTATTGTTTATTATTATAACCTTTATTTAACCAGGTTTGTCCCGTTGAGATCGCGGATCTCTTTTGCAGGAGAGACCTGACCAAGAATGTCAGCACATATAGTTTCAATACATAATCTCATTAATCATATAGAATACAAATAATAATTGAATTTTCAAAATTAGTTTGAAGAATTTACAAGATGAGTCAAACATTTGCACTCAAATAAAACATTTTCACTCCTGAAGCCTGGATGTGATGGAATTGATCATGGATTTGAAAACATTCAGAGATACCAGACTTGGGAGTTTCAGGTCTGATTTTTACTCGGAGCAGAAAATCGACAAGTTTTCTTTACCATTCCTGTTCTGACCTTAGGAACAGTAAAATGATCAAAAGTCCTGGGAGACTGTAGGCCCTATTATTCAAGAATCAAAGGGAAGATAAATAAGATGGAGTCATCTGAAGAATAGCCTTATAAATCTACACGCACTAATGTAAAGATGGCCGATTGACTTTACTGTATAAGACACAATGATGAGTTAGGGCTCAACCTCAGAGCACCATGATACACACTATCCAGCATGTGGAGGCATTGAACAAAAGCATTCATGTATAACACATCAGTAATCAATAACAGAAGAAAGGTTCAGGACTCCACAAGTTCCTGCTTCAAGACTTAGCAAGACTTATTTCTAAAATAAAATCCAAGTAAAATCTTCCTCTTCTTTACAGTAAAGTGAATATGTGCCTCAAAAGACAAGTGGTCATCAATCAAGAACCGCAGATTTTTAAAAGGAGATCAGGAGGAGTTCAATTTGTTGACCATTACTGGAGACAATGACAGACTGACTTGATCAAATTAAAAAATAAGGGCGTCGTTGGAATTTTCAAAGCTGAAAGAAAACCAATGGGAGGCACAGTGGTGTAGTGGTTAGCACTGTCGCCGTCGTCTCACAACCAGAAGGTCCTGGGTTCGAATTCCGGTCAGGGTATTTCTTGTTTTAGGAACAGTGAACATACCAGTTTAAACACAAATAAACGTTAATAAAAGACACGTAACAGTAAAAGATTTGGTTTTCCGAGTGCTTTTCTAGTTTTTATATACTCCAGGTTTAAACCTGACTGACCTTCACTCAGGGGGCTCCTGATCCTCCTGCCTGGGCTGCAGGGTCTTCAAGGTTGAGGTGATGATGTTGTCCAACTATGAGAATCAGAAGTCATCATAAATGGACATTAAGATCCACTGTATTTGTAATAACATGTACCCATGAAGTGTGTGAGTGTGCTCCAGCGTCTGTTTCACCTCGATGGTCTCCTCAGGTTCAGTGTCAGAGCTCAGACACATCTTTGTCCTGAAGAAACGCAGATAACAGTTGAACTCAAATCCCAAAACCATCAAGTCAAATGATTGAAGCTTGTTTAAGTTTTACCTCATCTTCAGACAAATGAGAAGACTGACGGTCAGGATGACAGCGGCCAGAGTCAGCCTTATGGCGCTGATGATCAGAGATGATTGGTCTACAACAGGAAGAGAAGGTCAGCAGATCAACTCCTCAGAGCCTGATAGACTCATAAAGGAGGTCTGTCACACCTACCTGCCACCATAATCAGGAGGAAGGTGGAGTTATGGCGCCCCCTTGTGTTTCCAGCTTCACAGAAATAATTCCCGCTGTGTTCTGTGCTGACGTTGGTGATGATGAAGGTCTGTCCTGAAGCTTTTGGTGAGTCCTCACTCTCCTTGAACCAGCTGAAGTTAGCCGCAGGGTTAGCATCACTGCTGCAGGTCAGAGTCACTGAGCTGCCCTCCACGATTTTAGCAGAAGGACTCACTGACACCGAGGGAAGCTTCGGAGCATCTGGAGAAGATGTGTTAGTCATGAGTTGGATCAGTAAAGTCAGAACAAACTCAGATTTATCATCGTCTCCTACTCACATTTCACTGAGACGCTGAAGAGCTCCGATCTCCTCTTTCCCAGCTGGTTCTCAGCTTCACAGTAAAACTCTCCAGAGTCAGAGGGCTGGATGGAGCTGAAGACCAGCTGAGCTTCTTCACCGAAAGGCTCGAAGTCTGAATCTTGGTTCTTCTTGTACCAGCTGAAGTTAGCAGCTGGGTTAGCATCACTGCTGCAGGTCAGAGTCACTGAACTCTGCTCCACTATCTCAGCGCAGGAGCTGGAGGACACTGAGGGATCCTTTGGAGCATCTGAGGAAGATCTCAACATGTGTTATCTTTATCGATCCCAGAAGTGTGTCAGTCGACTTGTGTGTTTGTGATGAAACTCACAGACTGGAGGAGAGGACAATCCTTCATGTCCTTTTACAGCACAGCAGATTTCCTCTCCCAGAGAAAAGCAGCCTGTGTAAGAAGACGTCTCCTCCTCTGGGATTTTCTGTCCATTCTTCAACCAGACGTAAGACAGACCAGCGGCTGGACTGCAGCTGCTGAGACACCTCAGCTCTACCTGAGTGTCAGAGCCTCCAGCTGTGATCTTAGTCACCTGAACCTGTAAAGCTGCACAAGGAGACGAGAAACACGGTCACCATCTCTGCTTTCAAACAAGTCACACAACAGGTACACCTCCTGGAGGCACATGAAGGGCCTGTGTACTCCTCCTGACAGTAGCCAGGGGGCAGTATTGAGGCACTTGTGTGTGATGGAAAAAAGACCCTCCTACTTTTGTGTCCATGAGTACCTGTGACAGTCAGAGTTGTTCCAGGTAACCTGCTCCTCCATCCAAAACTTCCTGAAGTGAATCTGAACCCGTACTCTGCTGAGTCGCTCTCTCTCAGGTCAGAGATCCTCAGAGTGGAGCGTCCTCTCTCTGTTTCCAAGACCTGAGCACGACTTGAATACTGGGGGTCTTCTTTTAGGTCCTCAGGTTGGTCACTGAGTCCAGGCCTGAACCAGAACTTTGACGTGATCGGTTTTTGACTGGTGTAAGTACAAGGAATGTCCACGGACGATCCTTCGAGCGCACAGATCCTTCTCTTAGAGTACGTCACCCTGTTACACCAACGTCCAAAAACACCTGGAGGAAAGAGAGATCGTGTCTGTTTGATAAACCGAGTTGTTTCAAGGTCTCTAACCCCCAATTTCCACCTTCATCCTGAACGGTTACGAAAAGGCCGTATCCACCGATCGCCAGACTCCTCAGCTGATCACAAGAATTCTATTTTTTCCGAACGGAGCATGCCGAATAAAATCAGCACAGATTAACCTGCTGGAAAGGAAGTCGGGCACAGATGCAAAATAAAACATCCGGCTTCTTTTCAAAATAAAACACTTTGTGTTGCAAACGGGCGGATATGAACAAGTGAAAGGTTTTTAGACGTCATTTCACCCTGTTGACACCGTGGATGAGGAGATGCTGATTCTAGAAGTAGATTTTCTCCTCTGGAAGGACACAATCTACTGCTTATATGTCTATGTGTCCGTCTTTATAGAGACAACTCTTTATCGTGTGATTGAACGTGAATCCGCGGGTTCTTGTGAGTTCTTGCGATTACTGCTGTCTGTATTCCGCCACAGATTTCACCTCACAAAAGGATGCGGTAGGAATTGGTGGATGGCGAAAATCACCGCCATTCCGGATGTGGTGGAAATTCGGGGTAGGTCTCCATCACCAGAGGCTGTTAAATCAGCAGTGGATCTATAAGTGAACTCACAGACTGGAGGAGAGGGGAATTCCTTGTGTCCTTTCACAGCGCAGGAATAACTGTCTGCAGAGTTAAAGTAGTCTGAGTACGAGGATGAGTTCTCAGCCTGATTATCATCTCCGTTTTTGTACCAGATGTAGGAGGAACGAGGAGGCAGAGGACAACTGTTGTGACACTTCAGATGTGCCCACTCAGACAAAGTATATCTGCTCACCTTTACCTGCAGACCTGGATCCATCAGCGCTTTAAAACACATAAAAACAAATTAAAAACATTTCAGCTGTTGTTATTTTAGATGGAGATGATCTGAGATGTAAACAAAATCTTACCTTTGACAGACAAACTGACTCCAGGATAACCAATATATCTCCCACCAGGTTGGTTCGTGATGAACCTGAACTTGTACTCAGCTGAGTCGCTCTCTCTCAGGTCTGTGATCATCAGACTGCAGTTCGTCTCTTTACATGAGTACATCACCCGACCTCTGTACGCAGAGTCTGCAGTCAGATCTACAGCTTCTCCACCCTTCACCTTGGTAAACCAGAATGATTTCTGGACTGTATACTGTTGTCCATTTCCTGTGGATGGGTGTGTGTAGGAGCAGCTTAGTACCACTGTAGATCCTTCTTGAGCACAGGCGTTAGTGAAGGTGTAAGTCACTCCCCAGCCGTTCTGACCCTGAACCACTGAAACACAGAGCGCATCAGAAACTAAAACCAGGATCACTACAGCATCAGTAGACTGACTTCACTGAAGGAAAGGTTCCTTTAGAGTCTGAAACTTCGTATTTGTTTCCTGCTTACACCCTCCAAGTCTTCTGTTCTTAATCCTCCCTCTTCTCTCACTCACGACTGACTTATAATTCACAATCATGGCGAGAACAGCCTCTAAACTAAACTAAATACATACAAACAAGAAAACATATATTGTTATTCAACTATTAAAACTCTCTCAGCTAATCCTCAACTTTCTATTCTTTATTGAAGAATCTACAGCTTCTAATCTAAGCAGCTTAATATTTTTCTGTTATTCAATGATGCTCAGTACTTCACTTATTCAAGATAATAACAGAGGACGGTCTGCCTCACAGTCAACTCTACCTGCAGAGAGAAGAAGGACAATAAATCCAGAAACTGCTGCAGTTAAACTCATAGCTGCTGCTGCTGCGGCTGGGGTCCCTGTTGATCAGCAGGAAGGGCAAATGCTAACGTTAATGCTGGTCTGGTTTCTTTTCACGACTTTTCTTTATGTACAAATGTCACAGGGTGGTGGTGTAGAGTGTGTGTATGTGTGTCTGTGTGTGTGTTAAAGTGTGAGATTGATGGTCTGGTGGCAGCGGAGGACAACTAAGCAGTAAGGCAGAGGCAAAACTACCATGGACCAATACATATGGATGTCATTAAAATTTACTAAAACAAACACAATTCTTGACTAGTGAAAGCCTATCTGCTGTTATTTATATATTTATGTTTTTCTTTCTTCATTTTTTCTTTATTTTTTCCTTGATTGTTGAAATGTTCTTGTGTGGAAAAGGTTTTTTTTGCACTGAAGTTATCTGTTGTCTGCATACTTTTATTAGAAATCTAACTATAGACGATAACGAAATTGAGGTAGTAACTGAGAACAAATTCCTTGGGGTCATAGTAGATAACAAACTTAGTTTGAAATCACACATAAATCAGATTAAATCGAAAACGTCAAAATCTATTGCTATCCTGTACAAAGCCAAAGGTTCACTTTCACAAAAAGGGTTAGTCACTCTATACTATTCCCTTATAACTCTGTACATGACTTAGTATTGCATTGAGATTTGGGGAAACACCTTTCTTAATATTGTAGAGAAAATGTCTGGATATGAATGTAAATATATAATGTAAGTCCATCTTTTGAACGGCTCTTTGAAAGATCCGGCTCCTCACTATCCGGCTCCCTTCAATGTTCATAAATCTCTAATTTTTACACACAGATGTTGTTTTACTCTTAACCCAGCCGGTGAATTCAAACCGACCAATCACAGTCAGCGCCATGCAAATCACAGCTCTTTGTGTCACGCCCACTGGGGAAAAAAACACCAACGGCTGGGGACGTGGGCGGAGCCTAAGGGGTAACAGCGGAACATTCAAACGGACATGGCAGCTGGTAAAGATGTCGATGAAAACACCAAAAATACACGGTAAGAATAAGTTTTTATAAAGTATATAAGATTTAAACCGTGTTTAAGTGGTGATAGTGGTAGTTTGATGCATGGCTATGGTTAATTTTTTCACGTTTAAACTGGTTGAATTCGTAATGTGAAAGAGACTGTCACTAACGTTAGCGCCTTTAACGGAAGCAGCCTGACTTTTCTAGAAATTAGTGAGTGTCTCGATATTGTTGCTTTCTTTCTAATCTTTTATTCAGTCTGTTAGTAATACAGAGTTGACGGGAATCCTTGGCATAATTCGGCCAACATTAGCATTGGTTCTTGAGTCATATACCCCATCTCCAAGCGTTAACATATATAATCCCATTTGCCCTGTCTTTGTCTGTTTCAGCTTTGTGTTAACACATGAGGCTGTCTGTTAGGACTATTTTACCAAAAGCTGCTTTAAACAGGGAGAAGAATACAGTTCATATGGGCACAATATCATGTTTTCATTTCTAGTGTAGACCTGTGAAATGTGTTCAATAATCTAAGCTATGTCTGTAAATAAAGATAGTGATAGTTTTTGACTAAAGCTGCTCATCTGGACTCAGATATGACAGATATGATTACAGCATCAGGTATATATACATGTACCAGAGCATGTTATGACCACTGACATCCAGGTGAGATCCTCTCATCATGTTAGCAGGTTTGACAAGGACCAAACTGTGATGGTTCAGATCTGGGTCTGAAGTGGTCCTGGTCTGCAAAAGTGGTCCATTAAGGAAAAACTGTTGAGCCTGTGACAGGGTCAGGAGTTTCCCGGGACAGAGCTGCTTGATTATGGCAAAACTCATAGTCCCAATTAGGGCAGGGTGATATGGGAAAAGGTTTATCCCAATATATTTTTTTATATCAGTCAATATCGATATATATCAGAATATAAAAACTGAAATTTAACAGTGTTTATTGGTAGCATGTCTTTTCCAATACAGTAATCTCCTTCATCTGTGAGGTCTTGGTGTCTCTTTGACGTTTCGTCGTAAGGCATTGCTCTAGAGAAAGCGGACTGAATGATTGTCTGTTTCGGCTGCACAGGCGCATGGGCTCCTTACTCCACTCGGGATTCAGATCAGACACATGAGGCTGAAGTTACTGAATCATACAAACCACAGAGAAAACATTTGACATCTTTCTCCATCCCTCTCTCCGTCCTTCCTTTCTCAGGTTTTCCTCAAACTCACAGTTTTTTAAAACTCTCTCTGCAAACATGAAATCAAACTTTCTTTACACAGTCTGATCTGTTTTTTACTCCGTGACTCCAGAAAACCCGAGAGCAGTATGGTGACCAATCATGAGGAATCACCAGGAGGCTCCCACGCTGCAGGTCGACCTCCCGTCGCCATCTTCAACCCGGACTTTTTTGTGGAGAAGCTCCGCCACGAGAACCCCGATGTCTTCCTGGAGCTGGTTTTGAGTAACATCACTCGTCTCATTGACCTTCCTGGTACAGAGTTTGCTCAGCTCATTGGTGAGGAGAGTCCAAAGACGCCGACTGGTGGAAACGGAGGCTTCTTTCGCTCTTTCAACTTCCTCAAACGCAAAGGTCAGAGGTCATCCGTGTCACATTAAAAACTGCAGTTAGCAATGTCATCACCTTCCTGTCTCTCACAGATAAAGGCTTTGTGTTTGGGACTCCGCTTACTGAGAGCTGCATCGCTCAGATCTACCAGCTCATCGAGTACCTCAGCAAAAGTAAGTCCTCTAGAAGATCTGAAGGTTCCTGAAGCTCACCTGTCCTTCCTGACCTCTCAGACTCTGAAGTCTCATCAAACACGTCCAGTTTCTTCCCCCCCTGCACATGCTCAGTATTTAGTCTGGTGGTGCCCGTCTGCTCCTCTGCTCTCAGATCTCCATGTGGAGGGTTTATTCCGGGTTCCCGGTAACAGTGTCCGGCAGCAAACCCTGAAGGAGCTCCTCAACAGTGGAGCCGATGTGGACCTGGACTCTGGAGACTTTCACCCCAACGATGTCGCCACGCTGCTCAAGACCTTCCTGGGAGAGCTGCCCGAGCCCCTGCTCACACACCGCCACTTCCACGCTCACCTGAAGATAGCTGGTGATGCAGAAGAACACACACAACTTTAGTCGTCCTTAAATTGAGGTTTGAGTAAATCTGCTAATTTCTGTGACCTCCACCCAGATATCACCCTGTTTGACGAACACGGCAACAAGACCGCCATCCCCAACAAGGAGCGTCAGATCGAGGCCCTGCAGCTTCTCTTCCTGCTCTTACCTCAGGCCAACCGCTCTCTGCTCAAACTGCTGCTGGACCTGCTCTACCACACGGCCAAGCAGCAGGACAAGAACAAGATGTCCTCCTACAACCTGGCGCTCATGTTCGCCCCGCATGTGCTCTGGCCCAGACATGTAAGATTTGTTCTTTTCAGACTCAGTAGCTGCTCAGTTTTTCTGTCCTGAGGTGATAAATCGTTCTCAGATTGATGTAGTTGATTTTCCTGACCTCTGCTCTGCTTCAGATGACAGCTGGAGATCTGAAAGACAACCTGAAGAAGCTGAATAACAGCATGGCCTTCCTCATCAAACACTCGCAGAAACTCTTCAGGGTGATTATCGACCACACGCCGCACCGTTAAAAATGGAGTTCATGTGTAACAGATATGGATGACTGACATGTTTGTATCTACCGTGTGCTCAGGCTCCAGTCTATCTGCGGGATTACGCCAAAGCTCACTTCACTGGGACCAAGGCGCTGCAGACCAGGGTACGAAGAGGAGACTTCTATGTTATCTTTGTTTTTAATGTTTGAGACCCTCTTGACTCTTGGCTCTTTAAATGTGATCGTGCTCGGTCTCTAAAGAGTGGAGCTGTGAGGTGTCCATGAAATCAGTCCTAAACATCTGTAGATATGAAGTCAGCTGACTCTCCTCTCCTCTCTCAGGATGATCTGGACCTGCTGGCGGCGAGCAGCTCTCCTGCTCAGCGCAGAGTTTTACCGATGAAGAGGACAGCTGTTCTTGGACCCGGGTCTCAGGACCAGTACCAATCACCGGCTCAACAATACACAGAGGAGGCTCTGAAGGAGCTTTTCAGACACGTCCACCACAACATGCCCGACTCTGCCAAGAAGAAGAAGCTCGTCAGACAGGTTCACTTCCTGCTTCTGTTTTCACTGTCCTGAGGCCCTTTGGGTCAAACTTTTATGAATTATTGTTATTATTATTATTGTAATTATTATTATTATTATTATTATTATTATTATTATTATTGTTAGTAGTAGTAGTAGTAGTATTAGTATCATTATTGTCATTATTAGTATTATAACGAATTTTATTGTCAATAGTATCATCATTATTGTTATTATTTCAATGTATTTATTGTAATTATTATTATTTTATTATCATTATTATAATTGTCATTATTAGTATTATTATTTTATTATCATGAGTATTATTATTATTATTAATTTTTACTATAATAACTATTATTTTATTATTATTATTATGATTATTATCTTAATTATTACTGTTGTTATTAATGTTGTCACTATTTTTTCATTTGTTTATTATTATTCTCATTTATTATTATAATTATTTAATTACTTTTTTAATTGTCATGATTATTATTTTATTAACATTATTTTAATCATTATTATTATTATTATTATTATCGTTACTATAATAATAATAATAATTGTAATAATAATAATAATAATAATAACACACATGATGATGATCATGATAAAATTATTATTAATATTACTTTTGCACTGACAAAAGTTGCTGCTGTGTAACTTTATGACTGAGTTCCCCTGTTGTGATTTTAACTGCTTTTATTGTTTTTTCTCGTGTGCAGTTAGTCAAACAGACAACCTCAGTGACGCCCACCAATGAGCACCATCAGGGTCCCCCCGCTCCCAGCAAGAAACATCCGCGCTCTCGCTCGTTTGGGGGACTAATCAAGGTACCAGACATCCTGGAGACAAGAACAATCAATGAAGAAGAGAAACGACTCAAAGAGTTTCCACAGTTTTTGGCTGGTCTTCCTGCAGATATCTGTTCATAGAGTTCCATCAAAGTTTGACAGTAGTCTGATTAAAACCACATGACCTTACTGTGAATACATCCCTGTTGAAGGTCACTCAGACCTCAGCCTGTCAGTGGTCAGTGTAGTGAAGGTTTCATGTTGTACTTCACTGAACTAAAACAGCCTTCTCTAACTTTGTCTGGGTGCAGCGTAAAGCCCGTGGCGAGCAGCTGACAGCGGAGCGGCAGGTCAGACACATCTCCCCGGACACCGTCACCAGAACAGGAAGAAAAGCCGGCAAAGAGAACGTCATCCTGCGAGCTGTGAGCCTTTTACACCTTCACCACAGTCCTGTCTGAGTCCTGATGGACTTTCTGGAGACTAAACACTGAAGATGATGTTTTAATGATCGGAACTCCAAATACAGCCTCCAGTCTGAAATAACTTTGTGTGTGTGTGTGTGTGTGTTTTCAGGTGAACAGCCCTCTTAACGGTCCCGTGTTGGGGAAAGCCGGACTGGTTGTGAAAAACCCGGATTTTACTTTCCACCATGACACACCGCTGAAGGTTTCTAAGGTACGACACACTCAAGAAAAAACTGTCCTGATGGTTTCAGAGAGGAAAAGTTTACTGACCGATCGACCTGCAGAGACAGAGAGTTTTTACAAATAAAAACGAAGAAAACAAAAATCTAAAAGACACTAAAGCAGGAGTGACAGGATTCAGCAGAAACACTGAACAAAGTTTTCATCCAAAATCTTATTTTGTTTTTTTTTCATGATGATTCAGGAGTCTGTTCAGGTTTTTCAAACACCTCGGACTGATGTTTTGTTCTCCATCAGTTCACATGAACATGCAGTCAAGTCTTTTTCTTCTCCTCTCTCTCATCCATCCATCCATCCACCTCTGTCTCTCAGCAGGACTCTTCCTCCACCACCAAGAGGAACTTCTCTCCAGCTTAAAAGACCTCCTCCTCCTCCTCCTCCTGTTGAGCAGGACTTGGGCAGTATTATTGTTTTTAATATTATTATTATTATAATTATTATTATTCCTCATGTTTATCATGGTGCTGTCATGGTAGGGAGTTTATTTGAACTGTGACTAATATACAGCAGCTTTAGTCGGAGCCAGAGCAGCCGAACCGAAGCCAAGAGCTCCTCCCTTCCTCGTTTCACACACCAACACCTGAGTGAGCATCCAAACCAGACCCTCCTCTGCTCCCTCTAGGTCCTGGTCTAGAGCTTCCTGCTTCTTTCACGCCGAGGTACTTGTCTGCAGCTCCACTCTTCTTTGGTTCTGTGGCTTTAGAAAATGAAGATAAGCACTCAAAGATAGAAAATCAAAATTCTAGATTATTTTTGGCAGATAGAAACAGGAAACAGTTTCATTGTGAAGAATTCATATTTCACCTTTAAAGCCTCTGATCTTCCCCTTTAATTGAGTCATCACACCACATAAGGACCAGGGATCGGGGTTATTCTGAAATCCTGCTCTTTTAAAATCTCTCAAACGTTTGTTTTTATGATTCGACTCACTCTGAGGACAAAAAAAAAAACGGTGAAAATACTTTTATAAGATCCTGGACAATCACATGCTGGGCTTTAAGATCCTGTTTTGGACGTGTTCATTTTAGATGAACACAGTTTTGACACGATATGATGCTACACGGTCAGGTGTAAAACTCGTGTCCATTAGAACGGCGGCGGCGGGATTGCTGCAGCATCAGTTTGTCCTGCAGAGGGCGCTCTGTAGCCGTGACAAAGATCTATTTCTACACTCGCCTTTAAGGAGCGATGATGCTCATCATGTTGGTGTGTGTGTGTGAGAGGACACAACCACAATCCGTCTGAGTGTTTTAATCGGACCGGACCGTCTTAAGGACCTGCGGGCTTCGGTTCGGCTCTGCTGGACTCACTTTTATTTTTCTAATAACTTAAATTTGTTTTTATTTTAGTTCTGGACTTTTTCAGAAACAATGACCACTAACATGAGCTGTGATAGCGTGTAGATATACACTGTGTGTGTGTGTGTGTGTGTGTGTGTGTGTGTGTGTGTGTTTGGTACGACCTGAGTTAACTCTTTGTTTACTGGATGATGATGATGATGACGATGTCTTTGTGTTGTACAGAATCAGTGAGAAGGTCACTTTATTCGAAGGTGTCAGAAATGTTTTTGTTACTTTTTTACCCAGAATTCATTGGGGCCGGGGTCCCTGGTTCTGACTGCGGGATATGAACCAGGTCTCCAGTAGAACTCTGAAGGTTTGAAACCCTGAGTCTTGATTTGAAGGTGGATGATGGACGTGTGTTTGGAGGTTTTACAGAAGAGTGTTGTCGAGGGTTGGAGGCCACAGAGAGGGTCTGAGTGAAGAAAGGAAGGAGAAGCTGAAGCCTGTTTCATTCAGCCATGTTGGTTTTCATGTGTTCATTCAGTCTGTTCACCTCACACTGTGACCATGACAACGATAAACAGGATAATGATCTTAAAACGACGAGATCTCCAGCCTGAGTCGAGAACTTTAAAGCTGCAGTGAGGAACTGGAGCTTTGTGTCTGTTTTGGCGCCCCCCTGTGGACAAAACAGTCTTCATCTGAATATTTGAGGAACCAAACCTAAAAACAGATCTGTTTTTTTTTTATGTTCGGCCGACACACCTCTGTCATAGGCAGTAAAAGTCACGATGTTTATAACTTATCATTCCTGTCGCTGACGGTGTTTCATAAAACGTTGTCAGTATGAATCTCCGACGATTTCATCACTGCTAAAGAAAACTGGTCAGATGATCTTTGAAGGTTTGAGGAGTTTGGCTGGTGTAGGTTCAACCTCAGAGAAACGGTTTGGATGGTTTTTAAAGGTCGGATGTTCAGGACTGTGTGGTCTGTTTTCTTCTCTCTCCTTTTTCTGAAGCTGTAATCTGACTCTCAGTGACTGGACTGGACAGACCTCTGCTCTGACTGGACAGACCTCTGCTCTGATTGGACAGACCTCTGCTCTGATTGGACAGACTTCTGCTCTGATTTCACAGACTTCTGCTCCGTTAAGTTTTGGAGAAGGTGAAGACGCATCGTCAGCAGCTCTAAACATCCCTGAAACGTTGCTGAGCGTCCCTTTAACTGTGAGGCTCCGTTAAGTACCATCAGGTCTGAGTGAAGTCTGGCTCTGCAGGTGTGAGCTTTGATGAGGAGCTCCTGCGTGGTGTGCACGCCCTCAGACACGGTGTGTATTTGTCTCCCTCTGGTGTTTGGAGTGTGTGGATGGTGTGTTTTGTTGGTTTTGAAGGTGTTGTGGATGTTATAATGAAAGGTTTTATTGAAAGTGATTGAGATGTTGACTCTGGGGCATTTTTAGACCTTACCTCTTTTTGGTTCAGCAGAACGCTGATCATAATAATGTCGTTTTATTTTGGATGGATCTGATTGGATTCGTGTTAAGAAGTGAAATAAGCTTTCAAACTCTGGTTGGGTCATCTCCAGGCAGCTTTGAACAAACATGGAGAGAAAATGAGAAGCTGTAGGGGAACAAAACCGACTGTTTCTTTTTGTCCCTGTAACTTCAGCGGTCTTTCAGTCTTCTATGTGAAACACTAACAGGCCTGTCTCAGTCTGTCACTGTTACAGACGTGTGTTTTTTTTTCCCCCTGACATTAATGTGAACTCTTGGTTACTGATCTCTTCTCCTACACGGTCACAGATGAGTCCTTCCTCGCACTGTCACAGCTCTTGGTTTACAGTCAAACCTGAGACCAGGTCGTATTTCCTCTGAATGAGTCTGTGCTCCTGTTGGAGGGCAGAGAAATAATCTCAAACTCTGATTTGACTTTGGAGACTTTTGCACAGATTTTCAGTCTGATGATGAACTCATCTGTGAACGGTGGAGCCTGTGTGTTTGTTTTTGTGCTTTGGTGTAAAATAAGTGAACCCTGTACAGGTGATTGCATTCTCCACTTTGGATTAAAACTTCTTCATGTTTTCCCATTTCAAGTCTGCTGTGGTCTTTGAATACGTTTCTTTTATTCTGTCAGAGTTTTTCTTTAGTTTTCACTGACAGAAACATAAGAAAACATTTGAGATGGTCCTTTTATTTTATTCAAGACGATTAAAAAGGGCAGATTTTTGTTTATCTTTCTATGTAACGAACAAAAATCTGTTTTGAAGACCGTGTGTCTGAGATAAACGTTCAATATTGTTGAATTAATTAGTTCCCAGTTTTCTTTGCAGACAGCTGAGGTATGTCAGACAAACTCAAAAGTAGGAGTGAGTTTTAGTCCGTCAATAGAATAGAGAGAGAGACAGATCTGTGCAGTGTCCCTGGACTGCCTCATATACCAGAGAGATGAACCACAGTGGGCTCCTTTGGTTCCCACTTCCTTTAACATTCACACCTGCTCCAGAGCAGTCTCACTAGGTTTAAAGTTTTAGGAAATTACACCCCCAAACCAGAACTTGGGTCTCAGGGTCCTAAAGCAAATCCAGTTAGAGATGACTGAACGCTTGCTGACGAGATGACTGATGAAAATACTACTGCGCACGGTCCGCCATCTTTCGCCGTGCCGCCGGCGGGCACGAAAATAGAGCCCTATATGTATGTCCTGTTGCATGTCCTGCGCATTTTGTCCGTCTACTGTTATACGTGTGATTCAGTGCAAACAAAATTTACCTGATGGTACAAATAAAGTACCTTTGACCTTTGACCTTTATATTATCTGTATCGTTCTGTTTTTCCTAAACTTTTATCATTATCTCTCAGAAAAAAAAAGATAATAAGCCTCTTGTGATCACAGAATAATAAAAAAAGGCCGCACTTATAATACATGGTGGTCCAGTATGCTCTCAGATTGTGCAGAAGCATATTCTCCTAACCGTATTAGCAGCAGCATTAATGGCTTACCTGGATTTGACTGCACCTGGATATTTTTGCAGCCGTTTTGGACAGTGTTGCACTTTCTCAGCTCACTTCAATCATGGCCAAGTAGGACAAGCAGAAACAAGCCAAAACATAAGGGCCTCATTGAGTTCAAGTTCAGGTTCAGGTTACTGTACTTGTACCTTTGGGTACGTTTGTTTATCAGCAAGCTAATTATGTTCAGTTTGACATTTAATGCAATGCCAACGCTGCACGCGAACTGTTCTTGATGAGTTTGTGGGAACAGTCGGTTAGTATTTTTTTCAAAGGACTCAAACAGATTAATGCTTAAAATGTCTTAAAATAAGATTTATACTTGGACCGGTCAGGGCAGTGAGGCTGGAAATAAGTGTAATGAGATATTTTATGAAAGAAAGAGACAGTATTGAAATTAGAAATTGGTTTTCATCTGTTTTTTTTTTTCGATTCAGAAACTGATATTATAAAATGTATTCAAGTAAATTATTTTTTTCATAGATTTCTAACTTTAATCATTATTCGTTTATTCCAAAGAGAAAAAACAAAATAAATCTGAATTTAACAACATTTGTACCCCAATAAAAAAGAGCAATTTAATTTAAGGAAAATAACCAGCTTTTAATTTGAAATTTTGGTTGAAGGTCAAACGTTTCGAGGAAAATCCACCTGTTTTCTAATTTTTTTTCTCCTTATTTTACTTTTCCTGTTGTCTGCAGACCTGTTTTTAACACAGATTATTGTTGCAGGTCTGAGCTACTGCAAACAATAAGAAAGCAATCTGGGGATTTATCTCTGAACCCTCTGGGAAACTGGCTTAAATGATGGATACTGAATACATGTTTAACAAAAGAGTTGGGATTTTAGAAAAGCAGCTCGCCAGAGTTGATAAAAACTGAACCAAGTCTTCTCATGATGTTTTTTAGACTGTTTGTCACGGCTGTGTGTGTTTGTGTGTGTAGAGGGAAGGGGTTAAAGTTTGAGGGGCAAGTTAAAACAAATGCTGAAATGTTTAGATTATGTTCCTCACTTAAGCTGTAATTATGAAACGCCTTTTATTTGAAGTGGAGAAAGAACATGTTATTCCTATCCCCAAGAGAACATGGTGTGACCTCCATAGAAGATCATCACCTCAGGGTGCAGTCTGCCTTCTACCTGTTCAACCTGCTCATCTCATCTCCACTAATTGAAGTAAAATAAAAATAAAAACACGGCTCAGCTGACATTTTCAGATGACAGGTGACAGGTTAAAGTCCTTAAAAGACTCTGTTGACCTTATAAACTGTCTTCACTCAAGTCGTGACAGAAATTCTTTAGTGAAGCCGGGAAGTTTCTTTGATAAAAAAGATCATTAACAACAGATATCTGGACAAGAACGAACAGAATGACAAAATACGATGTTGAAGTTATCACCAACAGTCCTCAACCTCTTGAACCAGTTTAAAGATTGTGTCTATTTCAAGATGCTGCTCCTAAAGAAAACATCGTCTGTCTGTGTTTGTTTGCGCCCAGGCAGAGATGTGACGTTCACGAACGAGTCAGTCTTTTGAACGACTCTTTTAAGTGAACGATGAGCGCCGCTGCCTTTACGTGTCACCTGTTTTTATCATGTCTTATTTTATATCACTTATCTATAGGCTGCGTAGTTTTTATTGTGCCACAAAGTTTTTTAAGATGAGGGAATATATCAGGATATATTGCGCAATATCGCAGGACGGGAAAATATTGACGTCCGAAATAATCGCACGACAAAAACATTACCGGTGTGAAAGGGCCTTAAAATGATGGAAAGAAAATAGAATTGAATGGTTGAAGTCATTGAAGGACTGTAGTTTGTTGAAATGACTGCAGAAGCATCTGAACAAATGTTAAAACTGAAAACTTTACAGTTCTGTTTATGCTCATCCCCCGGGGCCGGTTAACAGCGACAGTGAATAATAGACTGGGGAGGGGTGCGAGCAGTCTTGTCAGTATTTGAGTGGCGTTTCACAAGGCTGTCCAGTTCTCCCACAGACACACAGTGGGCTGCATTGAGTAAGGACGAGAGGCGTGGAGGTATTTCTCTGAAATATTCAAAGTTTTGTTCACCCGCCGGCTCATATTTGGATTGACACACGAGTGAAGCTGCGGCTCTTCAAATCCTATTCTGCTCATAATTTGCTGCAGACAGTGAAGAAAAATACAATTTAAGACGTTAAAGAAAAGCATCTCTTTTAGATAATTTAGATGGATCTAGATGATCGTTATTGGATTATAGTGATGGCAGGGAGGGAGAGGGAATGTTGACGGGAGATCCACTTTGAGTTCATGCAGACAGAGCAGTGCTTCAGCCGGGGGGTGGTATGAAGTATGTGAGCAAACACACCAGTAAACAACGTTTACGATTGCAACGGTTGTGTTGTAAAATCAGCTGTAGTTAATTTCAACGCAAGTCTTAACTCTGACTCTATGTTCGAGTTTTTCCACATAGTGTTAAATTTTGTTGGTGTAGTCCATCTGACAAAAAAAGAGAAACCTGAAGTAAAAACACTAAAATTAAGCAGAAAAAGACGATACATGTGATGCTATATACCCTCCTCTAGGCCGTTCACACGACTGAGTCACCTTCTGAGCTGTCTGGAGGAAATTCACAAAAGTTTCTACTTTGATTTTAAGTGAAATTCTGAATCCAGTCCTCATGATTTTGGTTTCCATGAACCGTTAAAGACCCACTCCAGTGAAAATCATGTTTTTTTTTATGCTAGAGGACATATCATGAGAAAACTAAGTGGTAAATTTCATTTCTGAGTACTTCTGCACTCAGATCTCCGTGAACCTCTGGCAGACCCAAACGGCCACAAGTCCAAGCTCTGCTCCTAGGGCCCCGATATGCAGGCCAGACCCCGAGAAGTAGAGAGGATGATGGCGGACCAAACTAACTATGATAGATTCAGATTCAGATACAAGTACATAGCAACGACATTGCCTTCCAGTTCAACCCTTCCAAGAAAACATAAAAAGACAGACACATACAGGGGGGACAGGAGCGGGAGGCACTGACGAATCCCCACAAGGGTGCTCCAAAAAAAATGAGGACAGGAGGGAAAAAGGCCCCTCCGAACTCTGCTCCTTAGTGTAGATCAGTTAAAAGAAAAAACTAGCAAAAAAAAAAATATATATATAATAATAATCATTAGGCTTTCATCGTGCCTCCAAAGACACTAGTGTCTGTAAGCTGAACAGAGTTTATTTAAGGTGGACTGAAGTTGTCAAATTTGTCAAACAAACTTTTTTTTTTTTTAGTTTATTTGAAGAAAACATGTGAGATGTTGACTTTTAATACTGTATAACGCTCTTCAACTATCTTCTTTGAAATTGGAGATACCCTCTTATCTTGTGTGCAAAAGCAAAACCTTAAGGATTAGGGTCCTGAACTTGAAAGGAAGCTGAATTTTGCCTGAACTTGAACCTTTCCCCCCTTTTTTTCAGTCGAAGCCAACAGGAATGTCCTGTTTAAGGTGTTGCGCTGCTCTTAGGTAACTTGGCCCCTTTCTCTCTTTTTTTCTGCTGTAAAGGGTAAAATATCAGGTTACCGCTTGTATAGTTTGTAGAGAAACATCCTTTGCTGACAGTAATAGCCTGAGGGGGTTTGCAGGGGTTATAAAGGAACTGAAGCTCCTCCTTTTCTGCACAAATTCTCTCTCTGGCTGTTGAGGTAAGTTTTCGCTCTTTAAATGTCATCAGTTTGACTCTCACTTTTATAAAAAATGGTTTTAGTTTAAGTCAGCTTTGATTTGCATAATCAACATTGCAATAATAATAATCTTTAATAATCTTGCAGTGATCATGATTGACAGCACAAATACGAGTGTGTGTGATAATTGGTCAGTTGTGCTCGTCAAGCTCAGACTATAACACATCCCTTAATCATGCAGGTCAGAGAGAACAGGTCGTAAACAGGAACGAATCTTAAGTGGTGGCTGTATGAATATGTTTTTTTATGCATTAATAATTTCTCTGCAAAAACACAGAAATGATTTACAAATGTATTGAAACTGGTGCAGGCCGGATCTTTACTGTGTGTTGCAGTTTAATTCTTTATACTTTAAATTTAAGAGAAGTTACTACCTGGGTACAGATTTTAACTAGGAGTGCATCCGAAGAGTCTCACTGGTTGATTACAATTGGACATCCCAGGTTACACGCCAAAACGCCACACTGTGATTGGCTGTTTCCCTCGTCAGAGTTGGCGTTTGTGTTGCAGCAGGGTTTTGGAGACGTTCCTTGCCTTTAAATGTGGGTTAGTGTGACTGTGTTCATGCAGCAGCCTCCAGTGTTTAAAAAATGAGGTCAACGTTAAAATGCAAACATTTCTCTCCAGGATTCAGGAAGACTCTTTTTGAATCACATCATGAAAAACCCGTTTTTACCCAGAATCAGACGAGTTCACTGCCCGGAACAATAACAACAACAAACCTCGCTCTATATAGAAATTTGCATAACTGGGGCTGAGCTGACAGAGAGGCTGCTCCTTTTTTCTGGCTGTGTGCCGAGAGACCTGAAGCTTGTCTCTGCTTCACCTCTTCGCTGACTCTGGATCAGTTGAAAAAGTTGAGTCAGCATTTCCAATATTGCAACCTTGCACTCTTAACCCCCAATTTCCACCGCATCTGGAACGGCAGCGAAAAGGCTGTATGTGCCGATCGCAGCGGATCGTGTCTATTCAAGCTAACGTGTCAATTTCCACCGGCTTCTTTCTGTCCCAAATTGTCTGCAAATTGCCAGATTTCAATTTTTTCTGGACGCCCCACAGAGTAGCCCATGCTGGAAAGGAAGTCGGGCACAGACACAAAATAAAATTGTCTTTATCGAGACAACTGGTTATTGCGCCACTGGGTTACATGCTGCCACTCCGACATCTCACCATTCCGACGCAGCTTTCCATATAAGGGGGAAGGGGTGGGGGGGCGCATTCACATCTGGAGTCATTTAATCCTGAGCGTAGCTGGGTGCGCTCTGCGCCAAACCCGCGCAGAGGGCTTTGCGGCCGACCATAGCAGACGAGAGCTGTCGAAATGACGGGACGTTTGATAGCATGGCAACATACCGCCACTCCAACAATTAGAGACCAATGTCGGAATGGCGGGATGTTGGAATAGCGGTTGCCCCCCCCTGCCATTGCATGTGAATCCACAGGTTTTTGTGAGTTCTCGCGATTCCCACTGTCCAAAATCTGCCACGAAATTCACGTCACAGACGCAGAATCGAGAATCGCAGAATCGCAGAATTGCAGAACAGGAATTGGCGGATGGTGAAAATCATGGTGCGGTGGAAATCAGGGGTAAAACACCTTTTTCACATCCTTTAAGGTCTCATTCTTTATATAGTCTCATTTTTTATATGGTCTCATTTAAAAAAATAAATTATAACTGTTACTATGGAAACCCGGCTCCTTTTTGAGTCTTTGAATAGTGAAGCAAACGTTGTCATTCCCTTGTTATCTTTTAAAAAGTTGATAAAATCCCACAGGAACGTAACATCTATAAATGTTCTAGATATCTGTACATACACGACTCAATAACTGCGTTAAGTCCTTATATGGGCATGTGTCTGTACTCCAGTTGGCCCAATCCCATCAAAGCTCTGGAAACCCCTCCTTGGTTTCTCAACAGTACTGCTGTTGTTTGGTCCTATATGTGAAGATTTGGCTCTTTGGCTCATGGTAACATATCTGAGCAGTATAGAGAGTTTATGTACCAGCTTGTCCAGGCAGGCTTCATGATCTCCCTATATAACACCTGTGCTGTCACGCAGACCAACTTAAAGGGTAAGTGAGCTTCCCCCCCCCCCCCCCCGGGGTAGAACATAATGATGGCACTGAACTTTTACATGAAATTCCTCAAATGGCCAATTATGGTCCTTTTAAGGGTGTGTGTAGGGGTTGGAGTTATGTGGCTGTCGGCTGAAAGATATTTGATAAAGACCTTTAAATAAACAACATTTTAAACAATTTTCAGTTGCTGTAAGAATCAAATGTTTGCGAGTGTGAGCATGCACTTTTAAAGCAATTATTGTCACCAAACGTTTAACGTCAAGATCTGTTTTAAACAGAACTCTAAAAGTGCAACCATGCCTGCACCGGGTGTGTGTATGAACATCATCAACGCTCGCCGCAAGAAGGATGGTTACGGGACCCCTACCAATCCTGAAAAGTTCCTCAACCAAGACTTCATGCAGCTGAAGCAGTACTGTCTGGCCCGGCACGTACGATTCATCGATGACATGTTCCCCCCTGATAGAAGGTCCATCGGAGACGGGATCCTGAGCCCCTCTGACTTGGCCAGAGTTCAGTGGTTGAGACCATGGGTGAGTGCGTTAAGCAGTCAAACTTGATCCGTTTTCTTGCATCACTGTTATTTATACAATTTATCCATACCTTGTAATATTTTGCATTTTGCTGCAACACTATTATCTGAGCAAAAAGCTGTAACCCGAACCCGGCCGCTCCAAACAAAACACATTGAATTTTTCTTGGAAGTGGGCTCATAGTAAACTGATACATCCTACTGCCCCAAAGGAGGGATTATGCACAGAAACTCTAAGCGGTTTACTCTGTGTTTTTATTATAATGAGTTTTTTCAACTCTGTGTTAGATGACCAAAATTTACAGTATTTTCCCAGAGTCGTTATCCTAGGGAAGATCTTTTGTAACCCGTCTCCTGTGTTAGGGTCCGACCCATTTTTGGTTTGACTTTGTCAGGAACCTCTATTTCAACTAAATGAAAATACTACTACTACTACTGATATTATTATTATTATTATTATCATTATTATTTTTTAATGACAATAATAATAATAATAATAATAATAATAATAATAATAATAATAACAACAACAATAATATTAATAATAATTGTAATAATAATAATAATAATAATAATAATAATAATAATAATAATAATAATGACAACAATAACAGCCATAATAACAACAACAACAATATAAATAAAAAATATAATAATAATAATAATAATAATAATAATAATAATAATAATAATTATTATTATTATTATTATTATTATTATTCCCACAGGGGGAAATTAGAGTTGCTGTTGACCCGGTTAGATTATAAAGCAATAATCAGAGCCAAAACTTAAATCATAAGTTCACTATCAGGCAACGCACTGATAGCCAGATCCTCTTCCAATCAATTCAATTTCAACTTTATTTATATGGCACTTTTCGTACAAAAGGAAATGCAATTCAAAGTGCCTCACAGAGGCTAAAAACAACAACAATGACAAAAACCTTTCAACACACACACACACACACACACACACACACACACACACACACACACACACACACACACACACACACACACACACACACCCATGGACCCACACGCACACAAAGACACACACCCATCCTCACTCACCCACACACACACACACACACACACACACACACACACACACAAACGCACACAGTGTGAGAATTTAAGATATATTGTTAAAGAGACGTGGCCTGACAACGAGACATTACATGAGGAAAGAGCTACCTTTAGGAAACACTGGAGATAAAAATGGTGAAAAAAAGAGTAAAACCTGATGGACTAAAACAAGAAAATGATCATATTAAATGAACAAATAAGTAAAAAGGGGTAAAAGAAGTAAAAACCTGTGACGGGAAATTAGGAAAAAGACTAAGAACAGAGATAATCAATAGAATGACATAAAATAAACATTAAGAACTTTGATTAAAATGAACATTTGCAATAAGAGAAATCTAAAATGGCAATAAGTAAAACGCCTGGTTAAAAAAAGTGAGTCATTGCAGGAGTGATGGAGGGAGATAGGGGTGTGTTGTGTTCAACTGAACCTCGAGGAAAACTCGGTTGTGATTCAGTGAAGGAATCTTTTGAACGAATCTTTCCAGTGAACTGATTTAAGTGATTCAGTACATCTAAAAGAACTGCCTTCCCGTCACTAGTAAGGTATAACAGTCTCATCTTTGTTAGACTTGAGTGTAGGGACCGTCTACAAAGTGCAAAACAGAAAAAAAAGATGAAATATTCAATGACTTCACCCACAACAGGTGCACTTCATCGTGCTGATTCTCAGGTACATAAACAGAAATGGAAATATTTTTATGTCTGTCGCCTCAGGGAAGGTGTCAGAGTGATTCACTACGTGATGCTGAAACAGCTTGTTGTACATTTGTACATTCCCCTCTGGCAAAGATTCACAATGACTGACGCATTCGAGTGTAAAAAAGCAGCTGAATGAGACAAAGGCGCCATTTACACATGCGCTTGAAGAAAATAACACAGATTAGAGTCGCTGGATTATTCATGGGGGTCAGTAAAAACTGAGATTTCTTCACAGGAACTCTAAAAACTCTAAAAACTCTAGAGAACTCTTAATGAGCTAAAACTTTGTCAATTCCTGTTTGTTATTCACTGTTTCAGAAACTCGTCCCCAATCCGTCCTTCACCGTTGATGGAGTGTCCAGGTTCGACTTTGGTCAAGGTTTAGTAGGTAAGAAATAAGTTTTTAACAACTATTTTACAAATAGTTGATATTTGCCACCTGTTAAGACTGTGACCTGCACACATATGTACGATTATGTTATCAAAAGCATCAACCCTCTAGATCAGCAGGTCATCCACATAAACTAATCCATCATCATTTAATCTGCACAGCCATTTTTATTCGACCATGTCTTCTTTATTCATGTTAATCTGATTTTCTAATTCAAGTATGACTGTTTTATTCTTTGTCTATTTTGACCCAGCCTTCTCTCAACACTATGACTTTATTCTCAGCCTCTGTCTTTAATTTGTACTTTCTTGTATTTCGTCTTCACTACACAACCATCTCTGGGTTAAACAGGAGACTGCTGGTTCCTCGCATCTATCGGGGCGCTGACGTTCCAGCCGGCTATTTTCGAGCGAGTTGTTCCTCTAGAGCAAAGTTTTGAGGAGGACTACTGCGGGCTCTTCCACTTTAAGGTAACCCGACCATAGACTGTATATACTATGGACAACTTGGTTCCGCCTCCCGCCCGTATGCAGATTTGATGTGACGTCATTACGCTGTATATACGCCTCGTTATGTTATCAGAGGAGCAGACACGACACCTACAGTTGTGTTTTATGCCAGAGTGTTAATAATGAAACCTCCTGTACTGGCATCAATAAATAAGCCAAAGTCTAAAGAGTGAAGACCGAGTCAGGTCAGAGAGTCACGATTGGAATAAGTGTTTACATGGACGCGCTTCAGAATAATGATCGGCATAAACCACCCCTCTTGATCGGAATACAATTTCTTTTTTCTGATTGAGCCGAATTGGATCAGAATCTTTCGACTGACGTGTTTAGCTGACACTTTTTTATTTTGAACGGGTGTTTATTCAGATTATTTGTGCCCATGTAAAAGAAACAGTACACACAGGATCTCGTTTTGCTGTAAAATATCTCTTAGTCTCCTCTCTTCTGATGAACTTCAGTTCTGGAGGTTTGGAAGATGGGTGGATGTCATCATCGATGACAAGCTACCAACGATTGATGGCAGACTCATCTTCGTTCACTCCAAAGACCCGACTGAGTTCTGGCCCGCTCTGCTCGAGAAAGCTTACGCAAAGTACGAAACACAAATAACACTAAATACTTAAAGATCCGATCTGTCTGATTTTTTATTATCCATTGTTAATTTTACGATCGCTCCTGACAGAGTGTGCGGATCCTACGACGACATGAACGCTGGAACTCCTGCTGAGGCGATGGTGGACTTCACTGGTGGTGTCCACGTATGTGTCCAGCTGACGGAGCCCCCCCAAAATCTGTGGGATCTGATGTGCAGAGCCGGGAAATCAAAGTCTCTGATGGGTTGTGGTACACCACAGGGGGTGAGTACAAAGTACATGCACACAGTACATGGGACTTTTTAGTTCTTATTGTTAAGGCTGAAGTTCCTCACAGCTCTTTTTGACAGATACCGTACATTCATCATCATCAATTACTCCAACATCCTTTTAATTAACAAAGTGATTTTAAAACTCTATGATCCAAAAACATCTGAAGTTTAAAATCTGCTTAATTTCATTTTGTTTTCTGTAATTCAGCCTGAATCGTCCCTCTAATCCAGAGGTTATCGATCTCTCTCAGTCCTGGAGGTTTAATCTGGATTCATTACTCGTCACAGAGATAATTTCTACTGTATCTAAATCTTGTAGGAGACACCTGAAAACACTGTGCTCCCAAATGGACTGGTCCAAGGTCATGCCTACAGTGTCACCGGTGTCAAACAGGTGAGGGATCGTTTCAAAAGCTGCGTAACGCGTATTTAAGATAAAGTTATGAGTTATATTCTCTGATACGTGTTGGTTAGGTGATAAGCAGACAGAAACCTGTGAACCTGGTCCGCCTGTGGAACCCTTGGGGTCAAGGAGAGTGGAAAGGAGACTGGAGTGATCGGTAAGAGCCAGAATTAAATGCCGTTTCAATAAAAACTCAGAATTGGATATCATCTAGAGATTATTCACTACAGCGAACTAAACCAGAACAATTACAACATTCATATGTCTTTAATAAAAATGATGACACTGACCTTTTAGAAGCGTTTAGAAACAGATAAAACAGAAAACAAAAAAGACAAAAATCTGTTTTTTCTTTAGTTTTGCATATTACTGAAAACAGGACTCTACATGTTTTACTCGAACCCCTGAAAAGACCCTTTTGTTGTCGCTCGGTCTAAACCGGTTTTGGTTTTTCTCAGTATTGTAGGTTGTTGGCATTTTGCCAGTAGATAGTCTCTTACCTTTTACCCCGAAGCCACAACACTGTGCAACAATTTGTACTTTTTATTGAGCTCAAGCAACCTGCAACATCTACCTGCAAAAGATACCTTTACTTTTATATATAAGATAATAAAGATAGAATGAAGAGGAAAACAACACATGGATAATAAATTTGCCCTTTTCTCTTTTCTTGGCTGATTATTAAATAATGAAGATCCCCTCTGTGGCAAACCGTCAGTCTTGAGGATCGTGAGCTGTGCCTCTCTGTGGCTGACGATGGAGAGTTTTGGTAAGCATGTTACAATTACATTTAAACGATCTGTAAAACTGGACTCCAGACATTTTTTTTTCAGTATTCCTGTGAGAATGGACAACAGCAGCTGAAAACCACATTTATAGATTGAGCTTAATTGTAAAGATAGTTATGGCTCAAAGTTTTAGTTACACCTAAATACAAGTAAATGGTTTTAATCTCAACAGGATGACCCTGGAGGACTTCAAAACGTTTTACTCTGACCTGGACATCTGCTGCATGTGTCCGGACTTCCTGGACAGTACCTCTTCATGTCACTGGAAGACGTCCATCTACGAAGGACGATGGGTTGCAGGAACCACTGCAGGAGGATGCATGAATAACCTCGGTACTTTCCACTTAGCACAAAAAATTGTCATGTCATGTGCAGAGTAATAGGTGAACATTTAAAATATGCATCCATCCATGTTGACAAAGGTTTCAGTCTTAAACTTTGTGATTTTTGCGTGCCATCGCGTGCCATCCCTCGTCTCTGCGAAAACAAGAACAATCAAATCACACTGATGTCTATGGAGGACGAGGACGACCATGGATTTTTCTTTTTTTTATGCACTGTATCTTGTTATAACAACTTATTATCTCGTTATGTTGACTTAACAAAGATCTGGGAACCTCCACACCGTGTCCCAAACAGCCGCTGCAGAACTGAAACTAAAACACAGAAACCTCCGAAAACGAAATCATGAAAAATCTGCTGTACACCTCTTCCCTGTCGTCCTTTTCATGCACATCTCTCCATCGTCCATTCCTCTTCAAATAAGAGCCCAAAAACTATTATTTCAAAGGGATATTACAGCATAAATTTAAGTTATAGTCAAACACACCGTAACACCGAGTTAGACACTCCCCTCAAGAGATAACTTCTCTAGTTATACCAACTTCAACAATGACCGCATGATACCAATTCACAGCGGTCTATGTCTCCACTCACCAACTTTCCTCCAGCAGCCACTTGTTTGTGGGGGAGCCCTGATGAGTCGATCACAGATTGCAGTGGAGTTTCACAGCTCAAGGAAGAACATGTTTGATGGCTAGTACTGCAGCTGTGACCCTATATGTCCTGTTGATGAAGTTAGGTGCTGTTCTGAGCATTATTTGTGGCTATAGAGTGGCGTTTTGGTTGAGGTTTGTTTACGGCTCCTCAGACCGCTGTGTATTGCTATCCTGCGGTCGTTACTAAAGTTGGTATAACTAGAGAAGCATCAATCGGCAAAATTCATCTCTTGAAGGGTGTCTAACTCAGTGTTACGGTGTGTTTGACCCTAACTTAAATTTACGCCGGAATATTCCGTGAATATTTTAGTTTTTGGATGGAATAGATCACTTTATTGTAGAGATCCTCTCACGAGCGTTTCTCTTTTCACCCCTCAGAGAGCTTCTGGACTAATCCTCAGTACCGGGTCAAGATTGATAAGTTGTCCAGTGATTGTGCGACGGTGCAGGGTGAGAAAAACATGCTGGTGTCTCTCATGCAAAAGCCCGACAAGAGGAACAGACGTCTTGTTGAAAATCTCCACATTGGATTCTCTATTTTTGAGGTAAAAAAGTGAAAATTAAAGTTGTTTTCATACTATTCTCATCAGGTTCTTGAAGAAAGAAATATAACAGATTTTTTCTCCTTTTGTTTTTATGTGATCCACCTCTCCCTTCATTTCTTCAAAGGTGACCAAAGAGGTAAGTATCATCTCCACTTTTCATTGTTGTGCACAGGAAATGAGCAGCTACAGAGTTACCTATCAGACGCATGGATGTGCGTTTTCTATTTTTACTCTTTAACAGAATGAAGAACACGGGGGAAAGTTTCCAGCCTCGTTCTTCAAAAGAAACCAACCTGTCGCGGGGTCGAAAAAATACATGAACGCTCGTGAGGTGATGGAAATGGTGTCGCTGAAGCCTGGCGAATACCTGATCGTGCCGTCCACCTTCAGTCCCAACGAAACAGCATCCTTCATTGTTACGATCATCTCTAAAGCCGAGACGCACGTCCAGTAAGTTATTCATTATTGATCTATGCATCAGTTTTATTTTATAGCTAGTTAGATGCAGAAGATCCCTGACAGCGCCTCTAAATGGTAACAAAGTTAACCAAAAAAGTTCTCAAACAAAAAAAAAAGAAAATCAAAATTTCTCATTTTCACCTGATTATGTGAATTAACAACCTTGCTGAAAGAAAAATCAAATGTCATCAGTATGGGCTCTATTTTCATGCCCGCCGGTGGTGCGGTGGAGGGTGGCGGACCCTGCGCAGTGGTATTTTCGTCGGGCGGACCCCGGTGCACAGCCAGTTTAGTATTTTCATAGCCTGAGGCGCAGCAAAGATCCACCAAGCTGGGTGTGGTGGTGCAGTAGGGGGAGGTGTCGACAGAATCAGCTGGCACAGTGACATTTTTGTGCTCGCCGGCGGCGTGGAAAGTGGCGGCGTATCGGCATACCTCACTGATCCCTCATCGGCAGGTTTCCACTGTGTCAGGCACATTTCAGTGCAATAAATAATCAACAACAACTAATACTCTGGCGTGCCGAATCTGACTTACGCCGCGCCTACGCCATGCTGCCGGCGAGGAACGAAAATAGAGCCCTATGAGTTTAAAAAGTCGCAAATATGAGAAAAAAGTTATACTATGATAAAAAGTGGAAAATTGTGGAATATGCAGCAAGAACAATCAAGCCTAATAAGAATGAGCAAAAAATGAGTTGTAAAAATAAGAGAGCTACAAGCGTGAGAAAGTAGGTCATCATTGATAAACAAAGCCATTACCGTGGAATAAAAAATTCAAGTACGGGATGTTAGCTGTAGATATTTGATGAAAATTTAACATAGCAGTCAAAATTATGAGAAAAGAAGTCTTAGCTAAGTTGATCTGAAAGGAAAAATAAATTAATATAATGTTATGATTTGAAGAGTTGACTGAATAAAATGATTCACCAGCTTAAACTGTGTGTATCTGAATGGCAGTATATCATGAGTTTACTGACTTAATCTGCATTGATAACTCACTCCACTTGTGTTTCTATACAAAGACTCAAATTTACAGAAAAGAAGTTTTCAGTCAATTTTCATCAAACGGGTTGAGATTTAACCAGACGATCAGACTCCCTCACTCACTTTCCACTCGGAGAGTTACTGTCTTATAATTTCAAAAACCTCATACTTCAGACTTTTGTAGACAACTTTGACAGTCTAATCTTATCTAAACTACCTCTTCATTATCCTGAATTATTATTCTCATTATCATTTCACTAGCACCACAGTTTGCTGATCACCTGATGTAATAATTTGTTTTTCTTCCTGTTAGTGAAAATTCAGGAGGCCACAACCACGGACAAATGGAAAGAATTAATGTAGAAGAGGTAAGACTTAACAGCGTTTTATTGTTGCTCATATTACGAACATTACCTGTCTTTTATTATCATTACTATACAGAAGATGAGAACGGTCATGGATTCTAAATTTTTTAATGCACTGTTATCTCGTGATAACGACTTATCTCAAAATCTCGACTTAATGACTGTTACACTTTCAACGTGGGAACATTTTATTGCCATTACTGTTGTTATTTGATTCGCGCATGAACATAACGTGCATGCGCGTTACAGCGTGCCACAATCGAGCGCTTTTAATCGAAAACCTCGACTTGTATGGTAGATTTTATTGATGCAAAGGTGCAAAAATGAACTCCTCAAAGACAGAGTCAAGTTGGCAGCCTTCTCGCGAGATTTTATTGTAGTTGCAGCATCAACCACGACCATCATCTCATGACAAATCAGACGGACCCCCACGCCAAATAATCCCAAACAATTTACAGTCCAACAACATCAGTAGTTGTTATCTTCCCGTAAGTGTACTTCACATTGGTGTCTGATAGCCAACAATGTGACTTTTTCTGTAAACATGTTTTGCTCGCTGACGTTTGACAAGTTCAGGTCATGGCTTCATACATCATTGACAGTTTCAGTGCGTCAGCTAATCTGTGTCAATCCTTCGCAGAACGCTCCGGCCAAAAATGGAGAAGACACGGAAAAGAAGAGAACCTTGTTCCGCCAGTTTTCTGACAAGGTGAGCTCTCTGTTTACTCTTGCTTCCTGTCTTTCTGCAAACAGTCAGATTGGTGTAGGTTTACCAAAATAAGAGTGGTATCAGTCCTGTTATCTAACTCGAATAAGTCTTTCCTCGCTCATATTTCCTGGACAGTATGAAGAGGTCGATGCTGAGCAGCTCCAAGTGCTTCTGAATCAAAAGATCCTGACAGGTTTGGACTGTAAACACCTGCAGTTTATAGCTCTATGGTTTCACAACATCCTCGAGCCTCTGTGTTTTCAGATTAAGTACAAACAGAGCGTCACTTTCCTTTTTTCTGTTTTATTTAGGAGACTTGAAGAATGGAGGCTTTAGCAGCGAGTCCTGCCGCAGCATGGTCGCTCTGTTCGATGTATCCTTTGACTCCATATCGAAGAGTCTGACTCTCCTCTCCGACTCTAGAGGAATCTTTCTAGGTCCAGTATTTCATGGTGTGTCATGTGATGCTTTATAACCTTAATGACGGGTTAAAAAGACGTCAATCACTGGAAGACTGAATGGTGAGGAGTTTGTCCGTTTGTGGAACAAGATCATCCTGTACAAGGTAGAGAAGACGAACAAACGAGTAAAGGTTTAAAGATTTGAGTTGGCCTGTTGAGTAAGAGTGCATCATGATATGAGGCTTTAATCGTGTTTTATCTGTATTTCTTTTGAACCAGGATGTTTTCTTTCGGATGGATGTCTCACAAACAGGAACACTCTCCCTCAGCGAGCTTCGTAATGCACTCATGGCTTCAGGTAGGTGAACAATCCTTTATTTTTGTCGATTATCAACAGAACTACATATTCACAGTCACCATAGTCAGGCTACTCCTCTATTTTTCTCCTCTGATGACATCTTTGACATCAGAAATGTCCCTGGTCCGAGGGATCATGAGTTGAATACATTGTGTGTTGAGGTCATGGACATTGGCTTTGACTCTCATTCCTGGGTGTCTGACTTTCTAACTGAGCAGAGAGAAGGCCTTTAAACTCACAGAAAATAACAGAGTACAGACTCACTGAAGCTTTAGGCCACATTCCTGGTTTTGTAAAAATTCTTGCCATAGTTAGGGGCAGGTGTTTTCTCACCACTTCCAACGATTAGTCTACAATGTCAATCATTCAGAGGTGAACGGATTTTATGAACTTTTCTGACACTCCAAGCCTCGAGTGATGCCGCTGCCAGAGCCTCAGGAGGAGGAGGTCAGACGAGAAAATTATACAATGGAGGTGAAGATATTTGCACCAAAGTCATTACAGTCTTTAGTTCTTGACAAACAACTCCACAGAGTCTAGCGAGCCATCCAGCCAGAAACCAGATACCACTCATCTTTCTTGATATCAAAAACTTCGCTGATGTCTCGACAGACGAATCACTTCTCGTCTTGTCTTTTTTCCAACAGGAAAGAGAATCAGCGATGATATGCTGAACTTGATGGCTCTGCGTTACGGCTCCTCCTCTGGACAGATGTCACTGGAGAATTTCATCAGTCTGATCCTTCGATTTGACTGCATGTACCGTAAGTGAAGTTTGTTTATATTACTGCCGTTAGAAGTACAGATGAGGATTAGGAACAACAGTGAATAAAAATATATATGTTATTACATGTTATGGTACCAGACAGGGATGTCATCTTTGTTTTCTGTGAAAGAAAAAAGATACAAAATAAAACGAGATTTTAAGAGAATAAAGGGAAAGTTTTGTGAGAGTATGTCGTAACTGTTTGAGAATAAAGCAGTAATATTTACAGTCTTGACATTTAAAAGTAAATTTGTAACATTATAAAAATATAATTTACAAGAAAAAACTGCTTTTGTTTCGTCAATGCGGCCCTACTGTAAGATGTCACTCTTGTTGTGGCGTGTCTACGGGGACCGGGTTAGGTCAGTTTGTAGCCAAATATAGCTAACTAGGGTGCATCTAGTTTGTGTAGACCAATGATAAAGCCGATATTATAGAGTCATTTATTAACTGAACATACCTGAGATCCTGCGCTTGAAGCATTCAGCCATGAACCACCGCTGCTCTTTGTGAGACTGTACAGTTTCAGAAAACTTCTATAATTTTATTTACATTTTGTAAATGCAGACAAATATTGTAAAAGCAAAAAAGTTTTTTAAATGCAAAGAAAAGTTTTGTAAAGGCAAAAAAAATACCTCATTTTCTGTATATTTTACATTTATGATTAAATTTGTTTGTTTCTGTTTACAACACCTCACTTAAGTTATAAGCTGTGCTCTTTAGCAGACTAGCATCACGTAAATTTAAGTTAGCTGACACAGCAAACATATCATCAGAGTTTACAGGCTACTGCCTTCAAAATCACCCGTGAACTGGGGTAATAAAATGTTTTTATTGTATAAAAACTTCGTAGAACTAAGTTTTAACATTTTCTGTAAGATTACAAACTTCAATTTTCTCAACAGTGTTTAACTTTGACATTTCTGAGCTGATTAAATAAAGACGCCCTCTTGTGTTTTTGCCATGATAACACGTTGTGTCCCTCTTCGTAGAAATCTTCGGCCAGTTGTCAGACAGGATGGTTCTGACTCTTCGTGAAAAAGAGGTAAAGACATTTTTTCTTACTTTGTATTAATTTTCTAGAATTTTGTAAAAATCTACAGTTTAATTTTTACTCTCTGCACACCTGTAGATGTGAATCATCTCTCATTTGCTTTGATTAAAGGATCTTTATCATCTCCTTCTCTCTACTTTCAGTGGCTGTACCTGTCCATGTACACCTAATCTGTCGGAGAGGATGAACAAACATATATTCTTCTACACTGAAGCTGTAACGCTGCTTGACACATTCAAACATTTAGTGGGGTTCAGGGTTTATTTTAAGGGTGTAGTGAAACCTCTCTGTCTGTAGTCCTCGCAGAGAGAGTTGTTCCAATGAGACGAATATTTAGGGTGCAGCGGTCGGTGTAAATTTGTAAAATCTTGTAAACACAACACAGTCCAGTATCATCATCCGATCACTAAAGCCACTAAAGCTCTGGACACGACTGAGGACTGTCCGCTCAGGTGATTCACTCTGTATTAACTATTTTTGTGCACAAGTGATAAACGAGTAAGATTCAAAGACGATGTTTCGGACTGAAAACTTACAGAAACCTCCTGTAGAGTTTTGAGTTTCAGAGATTATCTCACTCTGTTCATTTTTGTAAAGCAGCATTAGGAAAAGAAGAGTTTGTCCTCGTGTCCCCAGTGAGGCACTGACAGAGCAAGACTGCCACCTGTTGGTGAAAACAAGTCTTTGCTGGAGATGCGGGTAAATGAAAGGTGCTAATACTCCAAACTTTTGCTCTGATTACTAAAACTTCATCAGGTGTAGGGGTGCTCTTATGTTTCATTATTTTATGTGAGTTACAGGATTTATGTTCGGAGTTTATCACTTTAGGATAAAACTAAATATTTTAATAATTATTGGATGGGTCTTTATGAATATGGGATTATTTAGATATCTGTATCAACATTTATATATCTCCACATTAATCTCTGTTTTATATCATTGATTAGTTATTTCTTCTTGCTCGGCTCAGAATAAACTTTTTTCTCAGGATTTCTTTGTCACAGAAAATCAAGTTTTGTTATCTTGAGGTAAATAAGAGATAAATAAATCAGTCAAGATCTCAAGTAAACAGCTGGTATGAAGATAACTCTTCGGCACGCTGTGATTTTCTTCTTGAAAACTTTTAGGTCAGTTGCCTGTAAACTGTTTTGACCCTTCGGTGAACAAAATGTGATCACTTTGGTGAACTTGTGATGTAACTGTCTTTACACAAACTTTTGACAGGGTTTAAAAACAGACAAGAGACTGAATAGATTGAACTTTGAAATATACGTAACTGTCCTTTTTTATTGTGAATCTGTCTTGGAAAAATACATTTCACATGACTCCTTATGCGTGTATTTCATTCATACTCTGTGCTCTTTTAATAAAATTTGATGTGTAAAGCATTCGCAGGATTTAAACATTTTTAATCAAAATATTCAAATCTAATCATGTGAGATCGCTGTTCTGTCTTTTGTTTATGTTTCTGTTTTTATAATTTGTGTTAGTCATTATATATTTCAAATGTGACCAAACAGAAGCAACTTGAAACTTATTGTTTCTACTAACTTGCAAATTGCACCAATGGAGAGATGATGGAGAAGAGTTCAAACTAACGCAAAGTTTTTAAGGAGAGAAACACGACAACAGAGGATCAGCTTTGTGTCCTCAAAAATCTAAAATTTCTCCAATGGGAGGGAAATTCGTCTTCGTTGCACTGTTGACATGTGGGGTCGTCACATGAAAATGAACACGAGCAAAAGTTTTAGGGGTTTGCAAAAAAGTGAAGACCAAAGAGGAATAAACATAGACTGTATATACAACTTGGTTCTGCCTTCCCTCATTTTGCGAATTTTTGAGTACAAATTGCTCTCTGTATTTCGGGGATTTTCTCCATTTCCTGAAACCACCACTTGCGCAGTAGCGTGGTACGCATTCAGCAGGAGAGTCGCTGAGAGCTATGATAGATAGATAGATAGATAGATAGATAGATAGATAGATAGATAGATAGAGGGGAAATTCCTTTTCACAGACACTGGCATGGACACATAGACTGAAGGACAACAAGGCACATGATAAGAGACAGAGCGGCACACGGGACAGTAGTAGAGAAGTATGGGTTGAATGATGCTGGTGTATGACAGTAGGAGAAGTTTTGGTTTGACAGACAGGGAACGGAGCTTGCGGAGGATGTGGAGTCTTTGCTGGGAACGTTTATGGATATCAGTGACATGTTGTTCGAAAGTGAGTTAATGTCAATTGTGAGTCCAAGATATTTGAAGTGATCAACACGTTCGACTGCTTTGTTGTGTATGGTAGTGAGTCCCAGGTCCGAGGTGTGTGATTGTGTGTGTATGAGTAGTTGTTTTGTCTTGTCCACATTCAGCTCCAGAAAGTTGTCAGAGCACCAGTTGGTGAAGTGGATGACAGACTGGTGGTAAGAAGTTATGGAGTTATTGTCCTTGAGGAGAGCAAGAATGGCAGTGTCATCTGAATATTGACGTTGCTTGGCTCAAACAGCGTATGAGCTACACAATCTTCGTACATCATAGGCTGTATCAGGTGTCAATCATAGAAAACATGAACCTCCTAATAACTTTTAAAAATGAAGCTGAGCACAAAAATGAGCACAAACCAGTCTGACAGTAACTACATGTCAACATCACAACCAGGGAGTAGAGAAAAATTTATATTCTGTTAAATTAACTTATAAAGTTTGTCCTCAGCTCCATAGGGATTTCTGTAGGAGGCTGGATTTATGACCTATACTGCAGCCCGCCACCAGAGGGTGCTGTTCTCCTGTTGGCTTCACCTAGCAAGGAGGCAGACGGCGCCCATTTTATATAGAGTCTATGGGAATAACTCATGAAAATAGCAGCCTGTAAGGATGTGACCTAGATTCACAAAATCAGCACCGAAGATAAAATAAAATAAAATAAAACGTAGATTGTCATGATATTTTTCAACAATCACACTTGAAGAATACAGTGCAGATCTGCAGACAAGAAAGTAAAGGAAAAGAGAAACAGTATGGTAAGTTTTCTGTTCTTTTCTAACCTCAAGTTACAAAGTAATTAGGATAAATCATAGCAAATAAAAAAGGTAAATTTATTAGAAATAAAGCTTTAACTTTCCATTCTCATTTCCATGATTGTTTGTATTCTTATTTATTATTTAAAGACAACAGTTAAGACCAACATCATGAGAGATTATCCAACCTTTAAAGTGTCTGAAACAAACTAGCAGAGGGATTAACATCGAAATTCTCATTGCCAATGTGAAGATCAGTGACCTGAGATCATGAGGGCACTGAGTTCATTCTGACCTGATTTCTGCATTTTAATTTTGAAGTGAAAGATAACCGGAGTGTCCTGTTTTCGAAGGGTCCTGGTTCAGCATTTCATAATTCATTCCTCTGGCATGCCAACACCAGTAGCCTGAGGGGTTTTGTAGGCGCTTAAAAAGACCTGGAGCTCCACCTCCAGAGACACATTCACCTAGTGCCTGGTAAGGTAAGATGTAGCTCTTTATCTTTCACATTGTGATGCACCTTTTTTGTAAATTATGTTATAATTAAAACTGTCAGCCAAGTTTCTAATGATGTTTCTAATGACCTGCTTAATGATGCTGGTCTAAACCACTAACAATCTAATAGCCTCCGCATTAACATTCAAAGATACTGTCTGGATCTAACCTTCGGTACATACTGAAGCCCCATGAGGGATTTTTTTTATGTTGTGCACACAAGATAACTACTCTGTTGGAAACTCTTGTCTTTCACGGGTAGGTCGAGAATCAAAGTCGGTCATAAAGTCGTTTCAGATCTTCAAATTTAAGCTCTTTTCACGTCCCAGATTTGATAAATACTTTCACTTCATCAAAATCTCACCTGCAGAATGACTGTCACTGAGGTATGATGGTAGGATAAACTTGCCCTACTTTTGTGCATGATTGTTTACCTTTAGCATTTGACGCAACACAAAGGTGTGTTAAGAGTGCTGCTGCAAACTTGCGCCATGCAAAGAGCTCGTATTCGCAAAGCCCTGCACAAATGTGTATAATGAATCAGTTATTTTATGCATGGAAGTACTGGCTGTATGCAGCAGGGAAAGGATGAAACTTAAGTTTGTTTGAACATCTCACTGAGCTCTTCCGAATGACAGTATGAAACATAAGCATTCAAGCGGCCTCTCCCGCCGCAACCTTTTCATTTCATTTCACCCTTTTAAGCTCCTCCCATCAAATAATGCATTAAATACTCACACACATACATTGTGCCAAGTTTAAGCTGGAAAGTCAAGTTCGTCAGCCAAGGCCAAAACAAACAATGGGTTTTATTCATCGGCCTGTTTTGAGTTAGAGGAGATAAAATAGGTGAGTTGTTGATGTGAAAACAACTTAATTGCTCGATGTTGAAACTTGTGAAGTACCACTTCACACACGTACCCCTGAGGTTTAATAATGAATGCATCACCTTAAAAAAACACCTGAGGGGTGCGTCTAGGAAGGCAGGACATGACATTAAATGCAGAGACAGGGACTTGCTCAATCTCCTGTCCTGTCCACTCAAAACAATGATAACAACAACAACAACAACAACAACAGGATTAATCATAATAATGATAATAATAATAATAACAATAACAACAATAATCACAATAATAATAATAATTGTAATAATAACAACAACAACTATACTACTGCTAATACTATTACTACTACTAATAATAATAACTATTATTATTATTATTACTTCAACAATTTTAAATAATAATAACAAATAATAACAATAATAATAATAATAACTATTATTATCATTATTTTTATAATTATTATTACAACAATTTTAAATGATAAAAAAATTATAGTAATAACAACAACAACAATAGTAGTAGTAATAACAATAATAATAATAGTTATTATTGTTATTATTATTATTACAAATTAAATAATAATAATAATTGTATAAAAATAATAATAATTATAGTTATTATTATTATTATTATTATTATTATTATTATCACAACAAAAATTCAAAATAATCTAAGGAATAAGAATAATAAAAAATGTAAATAAATAAATAAATGCATTTATTAGAAATGTCTTTTAAGCTTGTTTGTAGTTTTGTAATAGCTGAGTGGAACTTGTTGGTAGCTAATAATAGTAGCTTATTGTACAGCTTTCGATTGAGTTAATAAAGAGCCTGTAGAAAAAACTTGAGTGTCTGGTTAATCAAGAATGTGGCACCTTTTTTAAATGTCAATTATTTGTTCGTTACATGGTTTGTAAACAGATTGAATTAAACTTTTTCCTTTCACTAGATGTTTTTTTTTTCTTTTCTGTGCAGATCTTGAACAGCATAATGCCTCCACCTGGTGCAAATATTATTGATACGCGTCGCCAGAAAGCCGGCTATGGAACTGTTGCCAACCCAGAAAAGTTCCTCGATCAGGACTACGTGCAGCTGAAAAAATTCTGTCGCACCAGGTGCCGCAGATTCGTTGATGACATGTTCCCCCCAGATAAGACATCCCTCGGTGAAGAGATTACGAGCGTGCGGACCGGACAAATTAAGTGGATGAGACCATGGGTGAGTGTTGCATAAAACAACCAAACTCAATGTTATATCGTATCACTCTCAAAGTTTATGGTTTTGTGGTTTATATACAAAAAACCTTTTAATATCAGTCAATAGCTATTAGCTATTGATGGCATTTGGGAAAATCACCACGTCGCTTTGTTTTGTTATGTCTGTGTAGTCAACATTTTAACATTTCAACAAACGAAGCCATTCTCTGGTCCACATCCTTGAATAATGTGCATGAGCCTAAACAAAAGTTAGCGTGCTACAATAACAGACTGTAGAAACGAACCAGAAAGTATGGAAAATTGTCTGAATCCTCCTTTTGCCACGACTGCCGACACAAGCAAGAGAACCAAGTAAATACCGGAGACTCTGGCAAAAACAACAAGCACCACTGTGATCCAGAACACACAAAAATAAAGGTGTTGTTGGAATTTTCAATGCTGAAAGATAACCAATGGGTGGCACAGTGGTGAAGATGGGTGGTACAGTGGTGTAGTGGTTAGCACTGTCACCTCACAGCAAGAAGGTCCTGGGTTTGAATCCAGGTCAGGGCATTTCTTGTTTGAGGAACATTATGAACAGTGAACATACCAGTTTAAACACAAATAAAAGTTAATAAAAGACACGTAACAGTAAAAGTTTTGGTGTGAATCACAATATAAGGGGGGACATGAGCTGCTTGGCGGAGGTCTGCGCTCTCCGGGTGCTTTTCTAGTTACATTTTGAAGATGAACTTCTCAAAAGGACTCAAGTTTAATTGAAAAAGTGAGAGCCTAAACGCACGCACTGCTGAATCTTCCAGTGTTGCTACAGTGTTATTTTGAATTTCCGACATCCATTATCTTTGTAGTTGTTTGTGAGACATGATGTGGTCGGTTTTGGCTCTCATCTCAAAGATGAACACAGCTACAAAACAGATGGGTGTAACATCAATATTATTGAATTTCATATTGAATTTGCATTTGGGGATCAATAAAATTCTTCTCATCGTATCTTTTGACCAAAAATTGGAATTTCATCAATTGCTGTTTGTCTGTTGTTCCCTTTTTTTTCAGGAAATGACTTCTAAGCCATTATTTAATGAGGTTGAGGGGGTCTCCAGGTCTAACTTTGTCCAAGGCCAACTTGGTAAGAAATATTCTTCATAATGCAGAAACTGGTTTTAAAAGAACAATCTATATGAGGGTTAGCTGGTATTACCCTGTATTTTGTAATACACAATCTGGACATGATGGCGATGTTTTACATATTTTTTTCAACTTTTAATAGTGTATCGTTCTTTAGTCTAAACAGTTCAAGTTTCTGAAAAAAAGGGTTGGTGCTACCTTTATTTTTTCTCCAGGAGACATCTGGCTCCTGGCACCGATTGGAGCGATGACATTCAACCAATATTTCTTCGAGCAAGTCGTCTATCCTGACCAGAGTTTTGTTGAGGATTACTGCGGGCTCTTCCACTTCAGGGTAAATCAACAATTGTAATTTAAATGTAAAAATTGTTCACGCAGCATCTCAACATGCTTTTGTTTCTCTCTTTACCTCAGTTCTGGAGATTTGGAAAATGGGTGGAAGTCGTCATTGATGACATGCTCCCAACGGTTGATGGCAAACTTATCTTTGCAAGCTCCAAGAACCCAAATGAGTTCTGGCCTGCTTTACTTGAGAAAGCCTATGCCAAGTATGAAACACAGTGTTTAATTTACATCATCTGGAAATGAGATGTGCCTTTCACTTTTTGGTTTGAATATTTATTGGTAAACTGAAATTGCTCCTGACAGGGTCTGCAATTCCTACAGTGGCTTGAATGGTGGATATCCTGCTGATGCTTTGGTGGACTTCACTGGTGGTGTTTACATTCAGATCCCATTGGCAGAACCACCATCTGATCTGTGGGAACTGATGAGCAGAGTGGGACAATCCAAGTCAATGATGGTTTGCAGTTTACAGTTCGTAAGTTCCAGCTGATAATAAAACAGTAAAACACAAAACATGCTCAGTGGTTCTGAGCTACTCCCCCTAAAGTCAGACTTAGTATTAAATGTCCTGAAGATTGAAGAACTTTTTCCTGTATTTTTCAGGTTCTTCTTTTGTCAGTTTCTACATTTCAAGACCTTTTTTTTGTTTCTGGTAGTTTTGGTGCTGTGGGCAGGCACCAGGTCCTGCCAGCCCCTCCGTAAAGCTTCTCAGTAGAGAGTGCTCTAAAATCTCCTGGTAGACTTTAGGCTGCGTTGACTCTGGGCTGGATTAAACTCAACACAGTAGACCAGCAGCAGCATATAACATGACATCCCAAATCATCACAGACTGTGGAAACTACGATCCGGACTCTTAGCATTTGGTTTCTGTGGTTTGACTCTGGGACCTTGATTTACAAATAAGATGAAAAATTGACTTTCATCTGAGCAGACCAATAGACTGCTCTTTTTCTTCTTAGCCCAGGTGAGATGCTTCTGGCATCGTCTCTAGTTTATTTTCCCTTTCCAGTCAACTTTCCATGAATCTGTTCTGAGAGCACACCTTGTCCTGAAACTAGACATCGCCCTCAAAGACCTGAGACCATCCATCCATTTATCTTCAACCGCTTGTCTGGGGTCGGGTCGCGGGGACAGCAGCCTGAGCAGAGAAGCCCAGACTACCCTCTCCTCAGCCACCTCAACCAGCTCTTCCCGGGGAACCCCAAGGTGTTCCCAGGCCAGCTGAGAGACATAGGGCTCTATTTTTGTGCCTCGCCGGAGACGTGCCGCAGGCGCACCGCAAGTCAGGTCTGCCACCCTGACAAGGCGTTCCCAAGCACAATTTGGTATTTTGGTGAGCGGTGCAGCCCGGCGTAAGTATCCCCCCTCCCTAACTCAGCTCCTCCCAGCGGCGTAAGTCGTAGCAAGGGAGGAGAGAGGGCGTGGAGTGGGTTTAACACAGCCGAGACCTGTTTTCACCAATTACATAAGCTCCTCTCCTTGCCTTTAAATCCGCCACCGGCGAGGCGTATTACTATTTTCATGAAGTAGTCAAAGAGATTGAGAGATGTCTGAAGATAGTAATGCCACACGATGGCGACAGAGGGCAGCTCCTCAACAAGTGTCACTTTAAGCGCTGCATTGGGCGTCCTCCACACTCTCTCATATGAGCACCGATGGATGTGGTGTGTGTAACGTTGGACCCACTGGTAAGACAAACACCCTTTTCCACAAATAAAGACACTCAAATAAAGTTGCATATATTCAAACCTCACGTGACAAAGGTGGGTTGAGCGCACAGATCACAACATTAACTCCAAAAATGGCATAAAAATCGGAACCATCTGTGCGTAAATGACGCATCGCGCTCCGTGGCCTGGCTCTTTCTTTCATAGATGTTGGCTTATAAAGTAAATTTGACTCACAAAACTGAATATTATAATATCCATATGTCGGCTTAAAGTAAACAACTCATCTGATCACTGAAACAAATCATCTGATCAGCCGCTGCAGCGGGACGGAGAGAGGACATGGAGACATGTCCAGGTCCAGCTGCACCAGAAATAAGAGGAAGAGGAAGAAAGAAAAGGAGGGAGACGAATTACATATCTTATTGACTTCATCATGTGTGTATATTTACTAGATATTTAATTCAATTTAATGTGGTTTCAGCTGTGTTGATTCGGTCAGGTTGTGTGTCCAAACGCGTGCCAAACGCGCTCATCAGATCAGATATAGATCAGAATATATCTATATAGATCTAAATATATGTGCTGACTCAGATTAATAGTTGTTGATGATTATTTATTGCACTGAAATGTTCCTGACACTGTGGAAACCTGCCGGTGAGGCATCAGATACGCCCCCGGTCTACCAAAATACCACTAGACCAGCTGCGCTCCGCCATGCGCTGAAAGCTGACCAGGTTTGAATCGGCGAGCTTTCAGCGCACTTTACTGGTGGCGAGCACGAAAATGTCACTGCGCCCGCTGATTCTGTCGACACCTCCCCCCTGCCACGCCACCATGCCCAGCTTGGCGGATCTTGGTTCGCCTCTGTCCATGAAAATACCAAACTGGCTGTACCCCGAGCTCCGCCAGACGAAAATACAACTGCGCGGGGCTCGCCGCCCTCCGTCGCCTCACCGGCATGCACGAAAATAGAGCCCATAGTCTCTCCAGTGTGTCCTAGGTCTACCCTGCGGTCTCCTACCAGTGGGACGTGCCCTCAACACCTCACCAGGTGTCCAGGAGGCATCCTGATTAGATGCCCAAGCCACCTCATCTGACTCCTAAACCCTAACCCTATCTTTAAGGGAGAGCCCAGCCACCCTGCGGAGGAAACTCATTTCGGCCACTTATACTCACGGTCTTGTTCTTTCAGTCACAATCCACAGCTCTTGACCATAGGTGGGGGTAGTAAAATAGATCGACTGTATGTCGAGAGCATTGCCTTTCAGCTCAGATCTCTCTTTACCATGGCGGATCTGAGCAGCATCTACATCACTGCTGAGACTTTGATTTTGTCCTTCACAGACCAGGACTTGTAAAAAAGTTGCTTTTGCCCATTTCTGACAGTAGAGCCAAAGTCTAACCCATCACATTGGGGGTTAGGGTGTCAAGCTCACACCCATACAAACAAAAGTTTTTTTTCTGTTAACTCTATTTATTATTTAGTGGGAAACAAGTACTTTTCTGAATAGTGACTGTATCTTTGTGTCGTAGGGTGGATCTAATGACCCAATTCTACCAAATGGATTGGTGCAAAGTCACGCCTACACAGTCATTGCTGTGTTTCAGGTGAATTTTCTATTTGTTTTCAAAGTTTTACATCAAACACTTAACAACAATGTAGTTGGTATTAATGGTTATGTTCACTGATAACTGTTGGTCAGGTGACCAGCAAGGGGAAACCTGTAAACCTGGTGCGCTTATGGAACCCGTGGGGTCAAGGAGAGTGGAAAGAAGACTGGAGTGATCGGTGAGGAACCAAAACAAGCTTTGACCAAAAATAACATACAAATTATCATACATATAAACGAGTGACACAGCTGTGAGTTTGTTCATTGTCCTGAAGGAAGAATCACTCCCCTGCCCTGAAAAACTCACCTCTCTGTGTGTTGCCGTCGGCAGAAACACCACAGCAGCGAGCAGCACGCCCGCTGAACGAGTGCGAGTCGTCATTCTTTTATATTGCGGAAAGTGGAGAAATTAAAAATAAATAACCATGGCAGCTGTCGCAGGGATTCTGATACTTTTAAAGATATCAAATAGCATATTGCTTTAAATCGGCTGAAATTAAATCCTTCTTGCAGGAAAGTTTGTTCATGTGTATTAATGTAGAGGCGCCATAATGACCTGTTTAATCTTAGCCTCAGTGAACGAACCGCTGCTCTACTCTACACCCCTCTCTCCTCGGCCTGCCTCGAGTCATTCGGAAGTCGTTCGTTTCGTTCACAGTCTGACTGATACATATCATTCATTCACTGTGAGCAAATCCCGAGACTCCGCCCAGTGGCAGTTCCACTTCCGACCAGCAGGTCAGGCTCGTGACTAAGCTCAACTGAACTGAGAAAGGAATGAATCAGGTCTTGGAGTGATTCCATTCATGTTATTCACTCAGCAGCTCCGTTCTTTTGAGTGATACGTTTATGAACGACACAACACTAGAATTGACCAATACCGATATTGAGCCGATATTGGCACAAAATTGTGCATGGCAATTTTTGCACTCAGCTGCATTTTCTTTTTCGGACTTCAACAAAAAATACTTCCACACAGCCGACATCACTCCTACTCCTTGCTACCTTGTTAGTATGTTAGTACACACAGTTGTTGTGATCACGAGGGCTCTGCATGCTGGATCTGGGCGCTGCTAGCTTGAAGTGCCGGAGTGGAGTCTGGAATGGACTACTTGTATTGGAATGCTGATATCAGAGATTTTAGATGCAGGCCGATATAATCCAATATTCACTCTTTGCTGATATCGGACCGGTATCTGATATCAATATGGGGTCGGGACATCCCTAATAACTAGTATTTTGTTATGAATGATGCATGAACTTGGGTCAAGTGGGTTCTTGGGGGTGGATCAGAAAAGCTAGGTTCTCCTCCCTCAGAGAACCCCGGAGCCAACAAAAACCCTGAAACATTTTTGGGTTTTTTTGCCTTGTCAATAACTTCTATCCATCCAAACCAACTCTTGGATATGTGGCAACAGACTGATTAGAGGTCCTTTAGTATCAAGACTGAAATGTGTCTTTTGGTGAATACATTTGCCTTTTATGTTCAGTAAAAAATCAGGCATTGCTGGTATTGCGCTATACTACTGTATAGTGTTCAAGTGTTCAGCATTGGGGTGCTGCTGGCCTGGGGGCCTAAGGTATGGAGGTTATCCCTCAAGAAGCCCTCATAAGTTTGTCTCCAGTTTATGATTCCTTTTCTCCAGTGTCCTGTCTTCTCTTCAAAACTAGCTTTAATACAACTTTTCAGTTTTAGAGTTAAATGTCATCTTTGCATTATTTTTAATTGAATAAGGATTTTTAATGATTTGCAAAGCACCCAAACCCTTTTTTAATTCACTTTTTCACCTTGTCCCAACAGTGTGTATCTGACAATACAGGAAAAGGAATATATTAATCATAATAAAACCACCTTTTCTCTTTCCTCTGGTTCCTTGCCTTAAAGGTCACCTTTGTGGGACACCGTCAGTCCTGAGGATCGTGTCAAATGTCTGTCTGTGGCTGATAATGGGGAGTTTTGGTAAGCACACATAAACAATAACTTTAAAAATATGAGGCATGTTGCAAATGTTATGTACCAAATTCATTCTAAAAGATGGCTGCAAGCCTTCAAAGAGCCTAGATTATGTGCTAAAGTACTTTTTAAAAACAATATAATACAGAATCTACATGAATAGTTTTTGTGTTGAAATATAAATACCAGGGGCCTGTTCTACGCAGCAAGTTCAACCTAGCGAGGTAGCTCGAAGGCTACCTCGCGCAACTTAGCGCTCGGTGAGTTCAATCTGGAACCTACGTTGCCATGGAGACTTGCCTCGCTAAGAAGTGAACCCGCATCGTAGAACAGGAAACCTTGAAGTTACCTCACTAAGCTGTAATCCTGCTTCGTAGAACAGGCCCCTGGGTTACTTCAGTGACACCTGTTGAATGTATTGCTTGATTTTATATAAAACAAAATTACATTGTTAAAAGTTTATAACCTATCCCTGATCTAAACAGCATGAGCTTTGAGGACTTCCATAAGAATTTCACATATCTTGACATCTGCTCTGAGTGTCCTCGATTCCTGGATAGAAGCTCCGAATGCCGTTGGACGGCATCTTCGTATGAAGGACGCTGGGTTGCAGGAAGCACATGTGGGGGAGCCACTCCCCGATTTGGTACTTCAAAAAGTTTAAAACTTACACAAGAATTTTTGGTAACAAGATTTAGTTCGTTTGATCTCACTGTGACCGCGCTCATGCTGATGAACTCCCCCCTCCTCTGCAAATGGAACTTTTGTTAAATGTGGGATTACCGTTTAATCTTCACTGTCTCTTTCTGATTAAGATTTACAGCCAGGGTGGCTCCAGCGCGCTTCCACAAAACAAACAAACAACCAAAAAAAAAAAAAAAAAACAATACAAAAACGGTGTCTGTCTGTCTCTCCCTTTGAGGACAGACCTGACAAAGATTGCATACTTTTATGAGCTCTTACAAACCTGCAGTGTGGGGGTGTTTTTCATCATGCTTTACCTCCAAAAAGTCAGTAAATCATAAAAAAATATGTTTATGCCATTAAACAGGTTGAAAAGACAATAACTGGTTGCCCCCCTTTTCACCTCTCAGATACTTACTGGACCAATCCACAGTACCGGGTCAAGATTAAGAAGTTTTCCAGCAAACCTTCTGCGTCTGAGGGTGACAAAAATGTGCTGGTGGCTCTCATGCAAAAGCCTGACGAGAAATACAGATGTTTGGTCAAGAACCTCCCTATCGGGTTCTTCATTTTTAAGGTAAAACATCTTTGGATATTTTTCTACAATTCCACAATTTTGTTCACATTATCTGCATGTTTTCATATCGACATATATAATCCAAACAGATTTTTCTCTCCGTCTTCACAGGTGACCAAAGAGGTAAGTTACATTTAAACACAATCCTGTTGACTGTATGACAAACTACATTGTGCAACTAGATATACAGAGAGTGGTATCATCTGCATAGACGTATTCTCTTTATGTTTTTATAGTACGAAACACAGAGAGGGAAATTACCAGCCGCTTTCTTCCGTGAAAATAGACCTGTTGCTGGACCAGAACACATAATAAACCTCCGTGAGGTGACGATGTTGGTGGCCCTGCAGCCAGGTGAATACGTGATCGTGCCGTCGACCTACCTTCCCAATGAGACAGCGTCCTTCATGCTGAAAATCGTCTCCAAGGCTGAGATCCAGATCTTGTAAGATCCTCACAAATTTCCATTGAAGTGAAAATTTCAGGAGTACTTCATTGAAGACATGACAAGACATTGTGAAATTAAAACATATTAACACACCAAAAGTGCAAAAGTCAGTTAGTCAAAGGAAACAAAGTTCCCGTTCATCGTTCAAATGAGGCCATAAACCAGGGGTGGGCAATCATGTGCCATGGAGGGCCGAGAGGCTGCAGGTTTTCTTTCCAACCCAAAACTCCACCAGGTGATTTCACTGATCAGTCCCTGCTCTCTGCTTGGAGGTAATCAGTGAAATCACCTGGTGGAGTTTTGGGTTGGAAAGAAAACCTGCAGCCTCTCGGCCCTCCATGGCACATGATTGCCCACCCCTGCCATAAACTGTCTTAAACTGACTGAAACTTGACTGACTTGCTAAAGGTATTCAGTTTGAAGTTTGTACATTGAAGGCTCATTGCCGCAACAGACGATAGACATAATCTAAATTCTTAAGGTCCTTACACACCAGGCGCGAATTCGCCGGACAAATTAGTAGGCGAATATCTGGACCTGCTAGACCTCTGGCCAATCAAAAGTCATGTTGCTGATGACGTCACAGACCCATGCGGCTGCAGTTCACACGACACACACCACCACTGGCACCAAGAGCAACGATGGGAGAGAGTGTGTACCACAGAGTGGTCGCCCGGTGTGTATAAGCGAAAGCGATTTTTCGGACTGGCAAATATTTTCCCATTTTCGTCTTGCTTTTTCGCTTCGCTCTGCGAATTCGCCAGTGTGTAAGGACCTTTAGGCTGTATAATTGCTTTGTTGCGCTTGCGGACCGTTAGCCAACCCTAGAAGATCGAACGCCGCTTTTCTCACCTTTAGAGTAGCGAGATTCGCCGCCCAAGCCTTCATTTTAATTCATCCAATGAATCCAGCAGAATCCGATCACAGTCATTCTCAGCCCAGAAACATGCTAACGGTGTTTCTGCGAAGCTTCTTGGATGTTGATCCAACATTAAAACCCTTTTACAACTCATGCTTAGATTAAACATTTTGCTCACTTTTAACAGTGAGATGTATGAGTATATAAATTCGTAACACAATACGTTTTATCCATAATCTTTTAACATGAGTATCCTCTATTTTAAATTATTTTTTACCTTTTTCGACTTTAGTCAGCGCTGAACTTCAACTTGATCCTGAAGGCGTAATAAATCATGCTGATGTGGTTTTTCTTTCCTCGCAGTGAGGATGACGGCGGGTTCTACGAACATGTGGGAGATGGCGAGGTGATTCATTTATTCATTATTCTATTCATTTATATGTTTATTTACTTATCTATCTATTTATGTATTTGTTTATTTAGTCAGTTAATAAAGGTACAGTGTATTTTGTTTGACACGGGTATGAAAATGTAAATGTGCCAGGTTGCATGTTGTTGATACAGATGTAAATGTACATCAAGTTTGCACACAAAAATCAGACAACTTTCGTCACCTCATCTAACAAAAACCCAATTACAATAATATGGAAGGTGGCTGCACAACTTTACCCAAGATAAACCAGGAATTAAGTCGGTCAGGGGTATTGCACATGAATGCAAAGGCGCTCTGCAACCACACCAGCGTAAGTGTTAGTGCAGCTGCACAAAGCTCCACTGCACACAATTTGCAGGACCAGAAATGTTGATGTGTTTACTTTTGCACAGGGTTTGAACACAATGATGTGCTTTTGTACATTTTACGGCATAATAGTGTCATGCATACTGCAGACAGGTGTGTGTATGCACATTAGACGTGGACTTAAATCTGATTTGTTTTCGATCTTAAGAAGCCTGCCTCAGACAAAAAAGGAGCTGGGAAGGAGGACAAGGGAAACCTGGACCGTCAACTCTCTCAAAAGGTGATTTAAATTAACCTCATGTAAAATAAGACACATGATACCAGGTCCGCAAAATGATTTGTCATGTTTTGGTTTGTTTTATTTTAAGGGTAAATGAGCAGATTTGAACATCTTTGAAATCCATTTGCATAACTTCAATACAAGGATAAATATGATTATCATTACCAACATGGCAGCCAGATAAGTCTTTACTTATTCTCTTTTTTCAACAGTATGAGGACGTCGATGCTGAGCAGCTCCAAATGATCCTGAACGACAAAATCCTGAAAGGTTTGAACTGTAAATACCTGCAGCTTTTATGAACCATATGGGCCTAAAATATATCCAGTACATCTAAACGTGTGTCTGTTTCTGTTATTTAGGAGACACCAAAGACGGGGGTTTCAAACTTGAAGCTTGCCGCAGCATGGTCGCTCTGCATGATGTATCCTTCGATTAAATCATGAATTTGTGCAAAAATATAAGCACCTCTTTTCTTTCCCTCGACTCTTATTTGCCAGAAGAGGAATCTCTGTCAGTAAATGCAGAGAAATGAAGCATGAAACTTATTTTAGTTGTGTTTAAATTCCTTAATGTTGGGTCGAATAGGTGTCAATAACCGGGAAACTAAGCCATGAGGAGTTTCTCTCTTTTTGGGGCAAGATCGTCAGCTACAATGTGAGAAAATAAAATGAACGGGAGACCTCTAAAAGTGACGGATTTTATTTGGTGCTGTTTTTTTATGGCAAAGTTTGACATAACTTTACTTCTGTTTTCTTTTAAACCAGGACGTCTTCACACAAAAAAGTGTCTCACAGACAAGAAAACTCTCGCTCAGTGAGCTCAAGGCTGCGCTCGCGGCCCTAGGTAGATGAACAATCAGCAACAACATACAAACCAAAAATAGTTGGGGTGTTGGGGGACCACATACTGAATCAAAAAGGTGCCATCGTGCTAAAAGTGCTAAATGCTAAAGTGCGCAGTGCTCGCTGACAGAAATAATCGTCTCATAAATCCTGTTGCAGGAATACGGATGCGTGGAAACCTGCTGGACTTGATGGCTCTGCGTTACGGTTTCTCCTCCGGACAGGTGACTCTGCAGAACTTCATCGAGATGGTCCTTCGACTGGAACGCATGGACTGTGAGTGAATTCACACGACTGACCGCTGTAACTCTCTTACACCTTCATTTCTTCAGATTTGATTTCCGACAGGGCTCAAACAACCCTCTCTGTCGAATGTTGATTTGTTTTTTTCTTTTTTTTTCCTAACAGGGTACTTCAACCAGTTGTCAAAGGGGACGACTTTGACTCTTCATGAAGAGGATGTAATAAAGCTTCTTAGTTTGTGATCATTTTAACTGTTTTATTGATCTCAATGCCGCAAATATATTAATTTTTTTTTAACCTTTTCAGTGGCTGTCCGTCTCCATGTACACCTGAGCTGACAGAAGACGATCAGCAGATGATGTGGAAGCAAAACCAGATGATCTACAAATGAGGTCTTCCTCTGAATGAATCAACAGGATTTTTATTTGAGCTTAATATTAAGGAGTGCAGTTAAAAAATGTCCGTCTCTTGTTTTCTGTCTTGTATTTCCTTCCTCTTGTGATGCATAGTTGAACAAAGAGTGTTGCACACTAAGTTTAAATGTATAAAATCTGCAATGTCATTTTATAATTATTCAGTTATAATCAAAATGTATGTTTGGAATTAAATCCTTGTCAATCCTGGAGCATATCAGGGAAAATGTATCAAATTACTGATGTATGTTGTTGATTATGTTTTTGATAGCGTTGGTTTTTTCGGTAGCGTTGGTTTGTCTTTGAACAACTTTACGGAGAAAGTTACAGACGGATTGACCTGAAATTTTCACCAGAGGTGCGTCTCAGCCCCAGGAGGATCCCGTTACATTTTGGTGTTGATCCGGATCTTTTTCTGGATCCAGGAATTTTTTGAAGTATTCTTTATCATTGTGAGATAGGGCAAATTTTGGAATTTTTGCATTTAACTCTATAAAAATGTCCAGAGTCTTTAGTAAAAAATGACATCTTACCAAGATCTTAATGAGTTTTATGAGGTGTCAAAGGTTGATCCTGATCCAGACAAAATTCTGGATACTGTGATCCAGAACACACAAAAATAAGGGTGTTGTTGGAATTTTCAATGCTGAAAGATAACCAATGGGCGGCACAGTGGTGTAGATGGGCGGTACAGTGGTGTAGATGGTTAGCACTTTTCTAGTTGTATTTTTGATTCACTCATTAACTCATTTACTCTCTGAAATTGTTGTTTAATCTGCTCTTTCATATCAACAAAAGTTGGATACTTGAAAAAACCAGGATACTTGTCAACATGCTCACAGTGTCTTAAATGTAATATGTTTTTTATCAATAATCTGACAATAACACTGTAAAGTTTGAGATTTTGCAGCTCAGGCTATGAAATATTTTCCAAAAGTTATTGTTAACATTAAAGTGAACATGCTGGAAGTATTTCAATAGTTTTGTTAAGATAAGATAAGAAGAACTTAGCGATATTTGGTGACTTTTGAATGAGAAGACATCTTGTGCCAATTAGTCTACACAGGGACACAGCACTGTAGCTGTAAAAAAGCAGCCGCTTGTTTGTGGGGGGAGCCTTGACGAGTCGATCACAGAGTACAGCGGATCATTTCCTTGAAGTAATAATCATCATATTAATCATTTTTGCTCTGCAGACGCGGTAGTTCTTCTGCCTTAGCGGCTCGGTCTGATTGTATTTCCATGAAGAAATGATCATAAATGTTCTTCCTTGAGCTGCGAAACTCCGCTGCACTCTGTGATCGACTCGTCAGGGCCTCCCTACAAACAAGCGGCTGCTGGAGGAGAGTGGGTGAGTTGTGTTTGGTCTCTTTGCTAAAGAAACCCGGCAAAGCTAAAAAGATGTTTGGTGTCTAGTACTATGTCTGTGACCCTATATGTCCTGTTGATGAAGTTAGGTGCTGTTCTGAGCATTATTTGTGGCTATAGAGTGGCGTTTTGGTTGAGGTTTGTGCATGGAGACTTCGACAGCAGTGTATTGCTCTTGTGCGGTTGTTATTTAAGTTGGTATAACTAGAGAAGCAAGCGGTCAGCAACATTCATCTCTGGAGGGGGTGTTATGGCATGTTTGACCACAACATAAATTTACGCCGGAATATCCCTTTAAGTCACCAGCTATTAAGTGCACTCCTTCAAGATTACTGTTTAGTGACGGTAAGATGAAGACATGACTTCAGTAAATCAATGAAAACTAGCATGTTGTTTTATCATGATGGGTCAGATTGTGTTACATTAGCATAGTGTAACCAATAGATACTACTATTACATATAATAATAATAATGATATGAGGCTTTACCCATACAACACCTTTAATAACAGGGGTCACTTCACATACAAGTAATATGTAATACAAAAGAATATCAACATCATCATAACAGGAGTAAATTTCAGTGACATGGAAACTGAACACTCCCACATACAATCCCAATACAGATCATTAATTTTGACACGCAAAATTTCATTATGAGACATGGTTAGGAACTTGTCAGGAGAATGGTGCTTTGAGTAAGCCCAGTAAGAAACACATCTTTATAAGAAAAAAAGACAAAAAAAAAAAAACTTCTCAGATTTGAGTTTCAGCGGTGAGGGGAAGCTAGCAGCTTAAAGCCTGAACAATACGCCTCCGATTTTAGGGAAGGTCACGATAACCATCAGCTGTCGCAAAACCCACTTCTATTAAAACCCATCACATTTAACACAGTACACACCGTTATTAATAATTCACCTGACAACATGCTCATTTGAAGCAAACTGGGAAAAAACATGGTCAGTAAATGATTTGCTAAAATGAAAAGAGACACATAAAGAGAGCAAGATATGGACACAGGATTTGTCCCCATAAGACAGGTAAAGTAGAGATAGTTTAACAGCTCCTGCTGAAAGTCCTGCTGATCGTCTCCTCTGCACCTCAGCTGTACATGGAAAGGTACAGCCACTGAAAAGAAAAGAGGAATCGATTATAAACATGTCTTGATGGTCGGACATTTTACGTCAAACTGCAACTCTAAATAAGGACTTAAAGGTAAAGTTCTCATGTGGCTAACAAAATCATAGACATGAAATCAAGCTCAGTTTATTACGTCTCTTTTACGAAGAGTCAGAGTCATCCCTTTTCTCAGTTGGCGGAAGACCTCTGTTAAAAACAAGAAAAATAAAGAAGGTACTTAGTGAAGGTCATCTCCATCCATGTCCATGAGTTATGTCAAGTATAATAGCTCTTTTTTTTCAATATATATATACAGTTTTATTATCCTTATATCATGATCAAATTCTTACATTAAAGTCATGGTTGGCGATTGGAGGGGCGGGTTGAAAAAAACTGAGCTGTTGAGGCAGATTTGAAAAAAGCATCCCACCCCCCACACACACACCTCTCTTCTCTCCGAGTCGCAACTACGGGAGAAGGGTGTGTCGAATACAGCGAGTTGATTGGATAGAGAGGCGGAGCAGGAGATTGACCAATAGGAGCTGTCTGGGACGGATGGCTCCCATTGGTCAATGTTTTTGCAGCCCAGCACCTGCTAGGGTGAACGGATTTTTTCCGATCTTTTATCTCTTAACTTTGTGGAGATCACACTACAGGACCATGATCGCCATAGAAACGAGGTTCATAATAGTTACCAATCTCTCTGATCGTCAACCATGACTTTAATGCAACGTTATTCTGATTGTCTATTTTTGATAAAAACAACATTTTTTTCTCAGGTAATAAGACTGAGTTGATCAATATTCTTAAACTAACTTCACTTACGGATCATGTAGTCGAGTCTGAGGGCCATACAGATAAAAGTCTCCAGCGTCATCTGTCCCGAGGAGGAGACGTAACGCAGAGCCAGTATGTTAAAAATATCATCGCTGATCTTCTTTCCTGTGGATGGACGAAAGACAACTTTTATCCCACCTACCTACCTGAAAAGATAACCCTGTCAAACTATTCATTACCGGGTTTAAGAGATTACCACATGAGAAAAACATTCAGATTTGACTTCTTCCATAAAATATGATCACGCTCTCTCTAAAATATAAAAATGAGAGGCTGGTCGTGAACCTGAAGCCTGGAGTGCACTCTGGAGCTCCTTCAGTGAGAGCGTTCCTTTTTGTGAAACATCAGCCTGTGAGAAAACGTCCTGAAAAAAACGGATAATGGAAATCTTTTATCTGGAGTCTTTTATCATAGAGCCAATTAAAATAAAAAAATAATAATTTTACGATGGAGTATGAGGGCCACAGTGAGATTTTTTTTTAAGACTTTTACAAGAAAAAAGTTGTATTTTATTACTTAAATCTTGTAATATCATGATATTATCCTAATAAATCTATGACTTTCATCTCAAAGTTTTTTTTCTGAATGTGACCCTAAAACTCTGTCGTAATATTTCAAATATTTACTTTTTTTACACGTTTTTTTTTCTTTACCTGGAACATGCTGACTTTGTTCCACAGACAAGCAAATTCCTCATTGGTCAGTTTTCCAGTTTGTTTTGTCTTTTTTTAACGATTATCAAGGCGTTTAAACAGAACCTCATGAAAAATTTCACGACCTTAAAAAAAACAGTCCTGAAATTTAAAGTCCTGAAATGAGAAGCATTGGCGATAACACAGTATTTGTGTTATCTTCTGCATCCTTGAACGTTGGAGATTATAAGATAAAAACAATGTTAAAGTGATTCAAAGAGAAGAGGATACATCCAGCAGCGCGACCATGCTGCGACAGGCTTCAATGCTGAATCCTCCTGTTTTCAAGTTTCCTAAAAAGCAACAACAAAAAAATATGAGATGCTAAATTTGGCCTTCAGATTTCAACATTGTAGCTCTGGTTAAGGTTCAACTTGTTTATATTTTAGCTTATAAAACTTATTCAACTTGCAGGTATTTCATAACGCAAACCTTTCAGCAGTTTGCCATTCAGGATCCCCTGGAGCAGATCAGCGTCGGTCGCCTCGTACTGTTATAGAAATAAGAACGAGGAGAGACGTAAGAATCATACACCCAACCTAACGAGTTTGAAAGAAACAACTTTTAATTTTGACCTTTTCAGTCCTGCATCTATAAGAGATGAAACCCCAAAGAATTAAGGGGTGGCATCTGCATTCAGTAGAAATAATAAAGAGAGAAATAAAGAAAGATAAATTACCTGGCCAGACAGTTGGTGCACCAAGGTCTTCTTGTTCTCCTGATCTTCTTCCTCTTTGTCTGGAGTTGGCTGCAAAGGATTGAGGGTTTTCAGATCCACAGTTTAATTATTACACTGACACGCTGAAGGTGCAGTGAGGTGTCGATGTTCAGTAAAGAGCATTCAACATTTAATCAGCACCAGTAAGTAATCTTTTCACACCTCTTCTCCTTCGATGCGTTCATAGTTGTCGTCGCATGAATCTTCACTGTGAGGAAAGACAAACAACAACAGCAACAGGAGTGTAATTTGTTTTTAAGCTGAATTTCAGAAAATACACAACAAACCTTCAAAAACCGAGTTAAGACTGGGGGCTCTATTTTCCTGCCCGCCGGCGGTGAGGCGGAGGGTGGTGGACCCCACACAGTGGTATTTTCGTCTGGTGCAATCCCACTGTGTCTAAGCCAAAGACTGTATATACTATGGACAACTGGGTTCTGCCTTCCGCCAGTATACGGATTTGAAGCCAAAAAGCTCACGTTAATTCTGTGGTTTTTTTTTTACCATTTTGTGAAACCAACATTGCACAGTAGCATTGTACACATTCAGCGGGAGAGTTTTAAAAACAGAGTTGTACAGAAAAAAGAGGACTTGAGCACAAACCAGTCTTACAGTAACTACATGTCAACATCACAACCAGGGGGGAGAAACATTTATATCCTGTGTCATTAATTTATAAAGTTTGTCCACAGCTCCATAGGGATTGCTGGAGGAGGCGGGATTTATGACCTATACTGCAGCCCGTCACCAGAGGGTGCTGTCTGCGTCCATTCAATATTCATTCTATGGTCTGAACCTGCCGTTTGGGTTTGCCAGAGATTTGCAGAGATTTGAATGCAGAAATACTCAGAAATACAATCTCATGTTTATATGTCTCATGGTATGTCCTGTAGCATCAGATAAATCCCATATGAACACGTAAACAACAAGAAAAACATACATTTTCATCGGAGTGGGTCTATAAAGACAACTTACAAAGTATTTCGACAGGTCTTTGGATCACACTTTTATTCATTCTCCACCATCTCTAACACATGCTCTAAAATCGTACTGCTAACTCCTCACCTTAACCTTACCGCCTTTCAAATTTTTAGCTCCATTTTCTATGCAAGCAACTGAAAATAAAATGAAAGCAGGAAACTGGGATCCAAACGGAGAGAAATTGAGAGGAACTTACTCGACGTGGGTCTCGACCTTGGAGACGATGATCAGGATGAAGGAAGCTGTCTCATCGGGCTCGCTGGTGCACGGCACGATCACGTATTCACCTGGCTTCAGCGCGACACGAGCCATCACTTCACGTTTGTTTCTGTATTTGTCCACTGCTGCGATATATCGTCTCTTGAAGAAAGAGGCTGGTAACTTCTTTCCTTGGTACTGTAAAAACATAAAGAGATCATTTACACCTGTGTGCAAAATATACTGTAGATGTAGGGGAGATTACTTCAGATGTTACTTACTTCTTTGGGCACCTTTGAAGAACGTGGAGGAAAATTGGATCCCAAAGGAAACAAAATAAATGTTCCTTTGGTTAGATGTGTTGACAATGATAATGTAATATAATAATAATAATGTAAATAATAATATATATGTGTCGAGGTCCTGTTTAAAAAGATTATCGCAGAATTAAAGCCAAAAGAACAGAAAAAGCAGCATATCGTTTTACCTCATAAATGACGAACCCGAGGAAGAGATTTTTCACCATACGTCTGTTCCTCTTGTCAGGTTTTTGCATAAGACACACCAGCATGTTATATTCACCTTGCGTCGCAGAACAATCATCAGATAACTTCTCGACCTTTACCCGATACTGAGGATTGGTCCAGAAAGTAGCTGAGAAGAGAGTAAAGGCATTAAAGGCAAAAGACCAAATTCACATCAAAATGAAACCAGACTTTTGTCCGATAACTTAGGGTTTTGTTTTGAACAATTAACTGCCGCAGGACATTATTTGTATTTGGCATTGACAACTTTATCTCTACTGAAGAGTTTTACTTTTACATGCCTAAATTCAGGAGGAATGAGACACTATATTAACGTTGATGTATACATGACTTTTTGTTTGACGGAGAGAGGACACAGAGACATGTCCAGGTCGAGCTGCGCGAGAAGTAAGAGGAAGAGGAAGAAAGAAAAGGAGGGAGACGAATTACATATCTTGTTAACTTCATCACGTGTGTTTATTTACTAGATATTTAATTTAATTTAGTGTGGTTTCAGCTGTGTTGATTCGGTCAGGTTGTGTGTCCAAACGCGTGCCAAACGCGCTCATCAGATCAGATATAGATCAGAATATATCTATATAGATCTAAATGTATGTGCTGACTTGTTATTGATTATTTATTATAGTGAAATGTGCCTGACACTGTGGAAACCTGCCAGTGAGGCATCGGTGACGTATGCGCACTACGCCGTCGGTCTTCCAAAATACCACTAGACCAGCTGTGCTCCACCTGCACTGAAAGCTGACCATCTTTGAATCGGCGAGCTTTCAGCGCACTTTCTACGCCACCGACGGGCACGAAAATGTCACCGCGCCAGCTGATTCTGTCGACAACCCCCCCTACCGCGCCCCCCGCCCAGCTTGGCGGACCTTGGTGCGCCTCAGTCTATGAAAATACCAAACTGGCTGTGCTCCAGGCTCCACCAGACGAAAACACCACTGCCCGGGTCCGTCACCATCCGCTGCACTGCTGGCAGACACGAAAATTGAGCCCAATTTGTAGTAAGGTACTAACAAAGTAGCAAGGAGTAGGAGAGATGTCAGCCCTTGTTGCAAAACTGGTCATGCATAAGTTTGCACCAATATCAGATCAATATTGGTATCAGTTAATACTAAAGAAGGCTACAATATCAGTATCGTATCAAACCCCTAGTGAAAATATCAACATTAGAAAGTTTTGTGTTGATCCAAAAATCCTGAAAGTACCGCTGTTTTGGGCTCCTCCCGCGGTGGATCCTGTGACCCATCGTCCTTCATGGATAGATGTCTTCCAGTGACATTCAGAGCTCCCATCGAGGAAGCTAGGACACTGGCAGCAGATGTCAACTCTGCTGTAAAGCCTACAGAGGTCTTCCAGGGCCATCCTGTTGAAGTCAGTTACAAATTCAGACCATGATTACGTATGACTGTACTTGATCCAACTGGGAATAAAAGTTAAATTATCTGAGTTACTTGAATAAGGCATACAATGCAATACATGAACATCTGGTTTTGAAGGAATAACAACTAAAGTACATAATACAACCCTAATTTTAAACATGATCATATTTTAATTCAAGTCTGATTTCAATGAGCATACATACCAGAACTCCCCATTTTCAGCCACACAGAGGCACTTCTCACGGTCCTGAGGACTGACGGTTTGCCAGCAAGGGGACCTTTCAAAGTTCAATGACAAATTAAAAAAAAAGCAGAAGAAAAGGATGGAAAATATTGGTTTTTTTTAACATTTAAAGGGAAAAGTTGTAGTAAGTTTGAAGACTGACAAGCATTAGTCAATGTAAAAGTTGTGAAAATTAGATTGATATTTCAGATAGCGTATGTTGACGAGCATCAAGAGCATTACAGTAGTCGAGCCTGCTGGGTATAAAAGCGTGCATTAGTCTCTCTGTCTGGCTCAGAGAGAGAAACGGGCGTACTTTTGCAATGTTTTTAAGATGGTAAAAGGCTGTTTTAGTGACCCCCCCTAGCATGAGTTTTAAAGTTAAAATCAGCATCAAAGACCACCCTGAGATTTCATGCTTCTTGGCTGGGGTTACGACCTATTTTGAGGAGTTTTGGGGGTCAGTTTCTCTCTCTGAGCCTCAGTTTTGTCCTGGTTGAGCTGCGGAAAATTCTGTGACATCCAGGCTGTTACATCTAAAAGGCAATTTAAAAGTGACCCCAACTGGCTGTTGTCATCAGGAGACACGGCCACATAGAGCTGAATGTCATCTGCATAACTGTGAAAAGAGATGCCGTGTCTCCTGATGACACCACCCAGAGGTAACATGTACAAATTAAAAAGTAACTAAAATGGATCCTTGTGGCACCCCACTGGAAACCTCTTGGTGTGTAGAAGAGTGGAACATTTCCTGTGAGGCCCACATGTTCATTTAATCGATGTAAAAGAAACTGGTGGTCAACAGTGTCAAAGTCAGTGTTTACCCTTTCCTTGATCGTTGTTGCTCTGAGTGGCAATTTCAGCTTTGAGATGCTATTTAAGATTAGCGGGTCTGAATCTACTAACACTTGGAGCAATGACTGAGGAGCAACAATAATCCCATTTAACAGCAAACTTGATATTAAAGTAATGTGAAACAGTTATTCGATGCTGGTTCTTACTTATCACTCCAGTCTCCTTTCCACTCTCCTTCTCCCCAGGGGTTCAACATGCGCACCAGCCTCACAGTTCCCACTTGGCTTATCAGCTGACCAACAAAGAGCCGTGGACATCATTTATGATACTGAATTACCGCACAATGTTTATTGCAAAGCGTGTAAAATAAATGCAGTTCTGACCTGATCCACTGAAGTTATACCGTAGGCATGACCTGTGACCACTCCGCATGGTAGTTCGGCGTTTCCAGCTGTCTTCTACAAGATTAAGATACAAATTGAAATCTTATGGTTAAAAAAAGAAACTGTGAGTCTGAAAAAAATGCACAATATCCCCCTTTTAATTAGTTTTAGCATAAACCCTACAAACCAAACCAGGCAAACACAGTCTATGATAGCATTTACACATGTAAGTGACAAATGATCTGATGTGGGGATCTGTGACATAAAAAAATGAACTCAACATAGAACCAGCTAGTTTGGATTTGTGTGATAACTCTGTACTCACCCCTGGTTTTGAACTACAGCACATCATTGAGTTGGACTTGGCTGCCTTGAACATCAGCTCCCACAGATCTGGTGGGGGTTTTGGGGACAGCCTGGCACTCATGAAAATGCCACCAGTGAAGTCCATCAGAGCCTCAGTAGGACTTCCACCTTGCATGTCAAAGTAGGAACCGCACAGTCTGTTTCATGAGATTTTAAGAATTACTGAAACATATCCAAACAAAAAGACAACTCTCATTCTTAGGTTGTGATTGTGAATTTCATGTGTGCTCCATACTTTGCATAGGCTTTCTCGAACAGAGCAGCCCAGAACTCATTTGGGTTTTTAGATTGCGCAAAGATGAGTTTCCCATTGATGGTTGGTAGCTTGTCATCGATGACAACATCCACCCATCTGCCAAATCTCCAGAACTGAATTCAATAAACAGAGGAAGATAAGATGTGTAATTAATCAAAATAAGATACCGTGTGTACATTTTTAACTCTGTGGTTTTTTGGGGGGATTACCCTAAAGTGAAACAGCCCGCAGTAGCCGTCACCAAAACCTTGATCAAGTGGAACAACTTGCTTAAAAATAGCCGGCTGGAGGGTCAGTGTCGCAATAGCTGCGAGAAACCAGCAGTCTCCAACTAAATTCAGAAAACATTGTGATCAGACATATGTAATAAGCGGGTAAAGGATAAGTACACAGTTTGAAGTTTACAAATCAATCAAATCACTAACACGGCCATGCCAAACCACCGGTGTAATACATCCTGATGACTTTATGCAGAAACTGGATATCACCAACTACATTTCTTACCATAATTACTTTGCTTAAAGTCCAACCTGGAAACTCCTTCGTTAACAAAGCATGGGTTGGAAACAATTTTCTGGAACAAAAAGAATAATATACAATACAGAAACTGATGACTGTAACCAATCCAAGTTATTACACTGATGCACTACTCTGCTGGCTTTAAAAAGAGGTTTAATGCTGTCACATATTTCATACATTTTCAGAGTAATATGGGACAACAGATAATGTTTGGTTGCCAAAAAACTCACCGATGGTCTCAGCCAAACAATCTGGATCATCTTGTTCCGAAAGGGTTCTGGTACCTGACCAATGGATCTCCTTTCAGGGGGGAACATGCCGTCAATGAATCTCTCATTATGGCTGAGAAGGTGATGTTTCAGCTGATCTGGATTTTGGTTGAAGGCATCCTCTGGGTTAGCAACGGTCCCATAGCTGTCTTTCTTGCTACGTGAGTTGATGATGTTGGTACACGCACCCAGTGAAGGCATTGCTGCACTGTCTGAGGTTCGGAATAGAAACAGACAATGAAATATTTCTTGATAAAAATTGTGGTATGAAAAAACCTGAGGAATTACAGATATTTTGCCTTTGTAGAAGTTGCGGTCTTTTGTTGAAGGTCCGATATAACTGAGTTTTTAGCAGCTGTCTTTTAAGCAAGCTTTTTAATTCATTTCTCCTCGGTGGAGGATCTGCAGCTTCTCCAGTACAGTGAACAGAGTGTTTTCTAAGTCCTCAAGTCCTTGGGATTGAATTTTGATACTTGTTTTGCAACTAACGTCAAAGTAGTTGGCATGTTCAGTCAACATAAGATCTAAAAGTCGTCCATTGCCAGAAGGGATGGGTATTGACAAATGGTTCCTGCTGGGAATGGATTAGAAATGGTTCAACCCTTTGTCATCAGTACATTTGTGCAATGCTGTACTATCAGAGAAGGGTGGCAACTCCACCAACTGATGAGGTTAGTTTTGTTTCTTTTCTGTCCTGTTAATATTAGCACAGCTCTTTCAATGACAAAGTCTGTAATGTTATTTGACACATATGGAACAAATGCTGTACAAACACTAACCCATTTTAGACAATATTAGCAGTGGACGAAGTACCCTTACCACCTAGTCTTGCTCTCAACATTTTCGGCTACCTATTTGTGTGTCCAAGCATCTTTAACCCCGTCTGAAAAATCAAGGATCTTTCCCGTGTTTGTATTTTTAAACAAGAACTGTTGAGTATGTACTGATATATTTATTCACATCCAGAGATATCCAGAGGTATCCAGATCCAGTGACCAATTTTTATGTTTATTCACATATAAACTCAATAAAATGTTGTACACAAAATTCACAGGAAGAATCCATAATGGCATTGGTATCAGTAAAATCTTATCAATACCCATCCCTAATGTAGTATTATAGTGTCTTTGATAGCTTATTATCTTTCTTGAAGAAGTCATCCACGACGAAACGACTGAGGATTATTCTACAGATAACCAGCCGATCAGAAACAGCTCTGTGCAAACACGCATCAAGGTCTTGCAAACAAGGCGTCTACACCAGGAACCGTAGCTTTTAACAACTTGCACTATCTTGCACCATGACAGTCAAATTATCACATTGAGCATTGATATTTCTGACCTAATTTAGACCTTGAATTTAAAGAGTAAATAAGCGTTGATTCTCACCTCCGAGTACGACACAACCAGCAAAGTGGAACAGATGACTTCTTCTGACTGCAGCAGGCAACTTATTGTGACCTGGCTGGCAAACTTGACTATCCAGCTCAGGCAGAACAAAATGTGTGCGTGATATGGTTGAGCTATCATATGGTGCTGAAAGAGCCCAATGAAGTGAGATGTGGGAGAGGCAACCCACAAGAATGTTTATGTTGCACTTTGAAAGAACAAACTGACACCATTGGCAGAGCTTCAAGAAAAACAAACCCACAGCCCAGGTGTGTTAATCATGACAACATTTTCTCGACTTGAGAGACAAACAGCGTTATGAGCTGTCATTGAGTGTTTTAATTTTCAGGGTCAAAGCAGTTAAGGTATCTAGGACATGTGAAAAGAGCTTAGGTATGAAAACAAAAGAGAGATAAGTTGTTCCTTTGTTAGCCCACAGGGGGAAATTACAAATTACAAAGAAGAAGAAACTTGAAGGTTAAAAAAGATATATGTAAATATATATGAGTGTCATTTACAGCTGTTATGTACATGTTTGAAATGTTACAGTTGAACAATTGGAGATATTTATATGCATGACTTTATACGCAGAATAAGCAAATGTGTGTACAAAAAAAAGGTACGGTGGTGCTCAATAATAATAATGATAATGCATCAGATTTTATAGTGCTTTACCAGAGACCCTCAAAGCGCTTAACACTGGATACATCATTCACACTTTGGTGGTGGTAAACTACCTCAGTAGTCACAGCTGCCCTGGGGCAGACTGACAGAAATGTGGCTGCCAGTTTACACCTATGGCCTCTCTTAACAACCATCCAACAACACTCACAATCACACACCAGTGGAGGACACACACTGGGAGCAAGGTGGATTAAGTATCTTGCCCAAGGACTCAACAGAGAGACTTGGGATACGGGGGAATCAAACCGCCAACCTTCCAGTCATTGGACGATCGCTCTACCTCCTGAGCTACTGTCGCCCAAGTAGTCTAACCTCCATAGTCACCACCAGATTTTGATGACAATCACACATCAGAGATCTTTCAAAGCAGGTAACCACTAACTTTAAGGCGCGTTATTGCCCTCCACTCAGTTGAAGTCAATGACTCCGACGTTGCTGGGAACATGTCCTGAAACGAACCTGCAGCAGAGACTTTTTTTCAAGGTCTACTTGTTGGTTCCTGATTTGACACATATCTGGCACTGGCTTCGTGACATACTTTTGGGACCCAACCCACCACTTAATGCCAAGAAAGTATGTGGGAGAGTTATTTTTGGCAGACAAGATGAAGTAAGCATATATCTTTGAAGGCTGGCAGAATTCAAGACTTCAGTATCTGTAAAATTCAAATGAGGTTAAGCAACACCAACAACACCCATTTGAGCACCCACAGTTGGGTTTCTTTGGGGTTTTTTAGCTCCACAGCGCTGACTCGGGGTGTTGAATAGTTAAGTCAAGCTAACACATAGCTTGTCAAGGTGGTTTAACGTAATTTATTCCAGTCTGCAAATACTGGGAAAAACTCAGTTTACTGGCAAAAGTATATTATTCCCTGCTCCCTTTGGCTCATATGCACTAGGCTGTCTTCACACACCCAAACAATCAATAAGGTTTGGTAAGGCTTAGCTGAGCAGAGAGAAGGATAAAAAAAAGTAGACCAACTTGTAAAAGAGCAAATATTTCCTGTAACCTGATATTACTTCGTGATCAGGGATTTGTCACAGCTACATGAACAAATAAATGAATAAAAAAATCATCATTTAACTTTATCAAATGTACAAATAGGGCAGACTGTGTCCTGTAATAGCATATGACACTGTCAAGTTTTTCAATAGCAGAAATTTATCAATCCGATTAAACAGGATGACACAAAAGCAGCAGTGGCAAAGTCCCATCCAATCTTAATCCTGCTTCGCCAAGTTTACACTGACGCTTTTATTTATTCTGGTATGTTATCCTGATCCAGGACAACTCTGTAATCTATCTGGAAAGGGTTTTTTCATGAAACAGCCATTCTTAGTTATTATTATTAACTGGGGCAGCAGAAGCTTCAGAGTTAGAGCAGTCTAAACAACTGGAAGGTTGACGGTTTGATAGGTATTACATGTGCATTGTCGGTGGAACTTCAGTGTCTTTTAATCCCCACAAACCCTTAAGGCTGTTACAGTAAGCTTGCCAGAATGTCAATCCATCAGACTATAACCTAAGAACAATGCGTTATTATAAACAGGACAATCCAGTAAGCACAGACAGGAATTATAGTTTGTAACTTTTTGAACAGATAAAAGTTTCTGTGTATCTGAAAAATGATGGACCCAGACAATACGAACCCACCTTTCAATGTCGAACAGCGTTGTCTTAATTTTGAACATTGCTTTCAGAAGTATAAAGTTGATCAAGGGCCTCTGTGTGCTCATTTCATTGGGATTCGTCGTTGTTTTCTTCTGCTTCATCTGGGTCCGGGTCGCAGGGGCAGCAGCTTCAGGAGGGAAGTCCAGACGGCCCTCACCCCGGCCACTTCCACTAGCTCCTCCGGGGGGATTCCCTGGCGCTCCCAGGCCATGCGAGAGATATAATCCCTCCACCTGGTCCTGGGCCGGCCACGAGGTCTCCTCCCGGTGGGACATGTCCTGAACACCTCTAATGGGAGGCGTCCAGAAGGCGTCCTAACCAGAGGAGCAGCGGTTCTACTCTGAGCGTCTCCTGAGTGTCCGAGCTCCTTACCCTATCTCTAAGGCTGAGCCCGGCCACCCTGCGAAGGAAACCCATTTCGGCCGCTTGTATCCGCGATCTTGTTCTTTCGGTCATTACCCAGAGTTCATGGCCATAGGTGAGGATCGGCACGTAGATCGAACGGTAAATCGAGAGTCTGGCCTTACAGCTCAGCTCTTTCTTCACCACGACTGATCGATGATCATTGGGATTCATGTTTTATATTTTTGGTTGTAACGTGATCTCTAACATCTGTAACTTCATTCGTTTCAGTGGTTCTTTACTCGTTATCAGGTGGACAGGAAACCTGACTTTGGCTGCTGATTATCAGTGTAGAGATGTATTTGTACTGCATTGTGTTAAACAGTTATTCATTCATTTATTCAGACAATCAATAAATCTTTATGTAGCAACAACAAAGCAGCTTTATGTTTATTTTAATCTGTGTTTCAACGTGCTTAAAGTTACTGAGGACAAAAATAGTCTATACATAATTGCTCAGCTCAGCAGTGGATAGTTTCATTTCTGACACTGCCATCTAGTGGTCAAAGGCCACTCTTCATCTGTACATGTATCCAGTTCATAAAAGTTTCATTTTAAGAGGAACCACTTTTACCTTTGTTGGATCTTTGTTGGGTCTTTTTTCTTCTTCCAAGGTTTGGTAACCTGTGTTTCAACAAACAAACAAACAAACAAACAAACAAACAAACAAACAAACAAACAAACAAACAAACAAACAAACAAACAAACAAACAAACTCTTGACAGCTTCAGCATGAGGCAGGCTCTTTTAACCACCTGTGATCTGTTGGGTAAAAGTTACAGTTCAGGCATATACCAACTGGCCAGTACAGCAACAACAACAACAACAACAACAACAACAACAATAATAATAATAATAATAATAATAATAATAATAATAAATAAATAAATAAAAAACTTAAAATGGTTTTCAACATCCAAAAAGTCTATCTTCGTCCTTTCTTCAACTTGTGTGACAATATTTCACAAGATTTCATTTCACAATCTTTCATAATGACCCTGACTGCAGGCTCGAAAGCAAGTCAGTGTGCTGCGTGACTTCCAGCTGCTCTGCCTGATTTCTGTGCAGCTTACAAACTCATGACAAGACAATGAGGGACAATTTCTGCAAATACAAAAGGAACTGAATTGGTCCAGATTATGAGTTAGTGAGTCACAACCATAGAGTCATTACGAAGAGGTAGAAAGTCGCAACTGTGAGATAAAAGTCGAAATATGAGATGGTTGAGAGAAGTATTGTCACACTACTTGCAAAATTCTGGAACTGGAAAGTTGGAATAACACTCAAATAAAGACATGAAAGAAATCTGATCAAAAACAGGACATTTATGTGATCAAATTTTGTAATCAAAAGAATAAGTAATCCCAATTTTTTGACCAAAAACACTGAAAATATAAAAATTATTAATTATAATTTTAATCCTTGAATTTGGTTCGTTTAGAGGCCGGGGGAACGGCTGGAATTTGCGCACGCGCAGTTGCAGTTGGCCGTGGAGCGCACGAGCACGCTCTTGGCACGAGCTGTGCAGTCGTATCAAGCGTAAAAAAATGAACGGTTTAATGTTCAGTGACACCTTTCAAAATAAAGCAAGCAATTGGAGGTCCCCATAGACTGTATGTAGAATGGACACCGTCTGCCTCCTCAGTGAGTGAAGCCATCCCGAGAACAGCGCCCTCTGGGGACGGGCTGCAGTATAGGTCATAAATCCCACCTCCTCCAGCAATCCCTATATAGATATAATCCCTCCACCTGGTCCTGGGCCGGCCACGAGGTTTCCTCACGGTGGGACATGTCCAGAACACCTCTAACGGGAGGCGTCCAGAAGGCGTCCTAACCAGATGCCTGAGCCACCTTTTTCTGACTGAGGACCATGACCTCGGACTTGGAGGTGGAGGTGCTGAGCCACTCCAGCTGAAGGTCACTGCTCAACGAAGCTAGAAGTACCACATCATCCGCAAAAAGCAGCAACCCGATCCTCTGCCTGCCGAACTGGACACCCTCCACCCCCCAGCTGCGCCTAGAAATTCTGTCCATAAAGGTGAAAAAGGGCAGCCCTGGCAGAGTCCAACTCCCACTGGAAACTAGTCTGACTTCCAGCCGGCCACACGGACCAATCTCGTGCTCCTTTGGTAAAGGGATTGGACGGCCCTTAATAAGGAACCGTCCTACCCGTACTACGGAGCACCCCCCACAGGAATCCCTTAGGGACACTGTCATAGGCCTTCTCCAAGTCCACAAAACACACTTTATTTATTTAGCCTTTTTAAGAACAAGAGCTCACAAAGAGCCTATGATACCAAGCCAACACAGGAACCACGTTTACAAAAACCTGAGACCAAGGGGACTGTTATAAAACATGAATAAGAAGAGTAAAAGGCTTTAAAGAATACAAAAAAGTCTATAAAAATGAGTTTTAAGACGTGATTTAAACGCAGACTGTCCGTGCAGTTAATGCAAAACACGATTTTATTTTGAAAGACTTGACCGGATGTTGTCGCTACTGTTTACGTACGCTATACGGCGGTGTAGTACGCAGTAACGCAGCTGTTATCAGCGTCACTGTCTAACGGAGACAGGGACAGAGGAAGCCCGGGTACCGCTAACAACGGGCAGGGGAGGCGTAGGATCCTTTTCTCCCACTTTGACCTAACCGACCCCCGGTACAGAGAGACGAAAATCATGGGAGATGTTCTAGGACTGATGTGGAGCAGCAGCCGCAGAGAAAACAACCCAATTACTGTCGGAGAAAAGGAAATATAATCGCTAACATTTACAAACCACCAAACACGTCGGGCTCCTCTTTCTCCATCTCCTCCATTTTGGTTGTCAGTGATGGAGCACATCCGGACGCCCAAGGTAACGACTCCCAAGCTCTTCATTTAACCCCAGGGAAATATATGTTCCTTTGTACCATCGCTGTTTCTCTTCTGTTGGTTTGCCTTTGCGTTTTTTAATCATTTATTTATTTTGTCTGTGTATCATCTCTCCACCTCACCCCTCTCTGCTCCGTTAGATGGTTTAATGTTGATACACGAGGGTCAGGAACCTAAAACTGACACCTGACTGTCATTAACAGGGGCACGCCTAAAAGGTGTTGTGGGGTGGTTTGAGCCCCTTAGTAATCTAATTGGCCACCCCAGGTGATCCCTATAAAATCATCAAAGTTGATTGGCTATTTTCTTCATTAGAGGCGGGGCTTGTTGTAAATTAAATAGAAGGTGGGTTTACATGAGCACTATATGCTATTCTGATTAAAATCTTGATTGAAAATCTAGTGTCATCTGGAGTCTGGTCAGGTCCAATCTGGTGATAACGAAGGCACAGCAAACTTAAAGGGATAGTCCATTACAGACTACAGCGGGGTGACGCAGCTCAAGGAAGAACATTTATGATTTTATAATTTATGATCATTACTTAATGGAAATACAATCAGCCCAAGATGCTAAGGCAGAAGAACTACCGCGTCTGCAGTGTAAAACAATTAATATGATGGTTATTACCTCAAGGAAATGATAAAGAAATGATCATAAATGTTCTTCCTTGAGCTGCGTCACCCCGCTGTGGTCCGTAATGGACTGGCCTGAGGTCTTGTTACAAACAAGCGGCTGCTGGAAGAGAGCTCGTTATCAAGCTCTAAAATGGCTTCATAACGAGCCGATCATTTGAATCAGGTGTGTTGGAGCAGGGAAACATCCAAAACATGCAGGACAGGGGGGCTCCAGGACTGGACTTGAGAACCACTGCCGTAGGCGGAGATAAAAAGCCATTTTTCCCGGTGTTTTTCAGTCAGTTTCTTATATCTCTCTCCTTTATGTAACACTACTTTGGGCACACGATAAAAGCTCTTGTTTTTTTCCCTGTTCGATCGATTCATGCAGCCGTAAACAGAGCAAAACATCGGCATGTTGCTGGTCTCCATAGCAGCACCTCACTTCCTGCCCTCCATCTGTGTTTCGCGCGTGCCGCATTACATGGAAGTGACGTCAAGTGAAAACCTCCTATTGGTCATCTGTCTATTGTTGGGACTGTTTGTTGTAGTTATTTGTAATACAGAGAACATGATTGTTTTATATGTTAACTGAAAATTACAAATAAAGTGTTCAAAATAATAATAATAATTCTGGTATTGGTCAGGCTGTAGAGAAAAAGGAGTATTTGCCATTCAGTTTAAACACAAGGTCTGTAGAAAAACCCTGAGTCAGTGAATGACTTTCATACACAGTTTCAGTGCTGAGTCATGGCAAGCCGAAACTTCCTTTCTGATCCAACATGCTCATATTTCTGTCTCTGATTTTTCACCTGTTTTCTCCCCGTCAGGTGGAAAATGTGCGTCTCCTGGACCGCTCGACGGGCCAGAGGAAAGTCAGCGTTGGGACTCTCTACCTTTCCGCCACTCACACCATCTTCGTCGAGAACAACCCTGAAACACGCAAGGAGACTTGGGTAAGGTGGAAGCAAGGAGCTGTTTCTGAAAGCCAGAGGCGATGAAGTATTTTTATAACCCGGGTCCTATTTTTACATGTAATGAGTTCTAACCGAGTCAGTGGTCCAGAGAGTTTGCAAAACACACTCCTGAGACAGGCTGTGACGGCTGCACTGTAAAATCCAACAACTCATTTAACTGATCAGAAATGTTTAAAAATTTAGTGTTTTTAGTGTTAATTTGTCAGTCATGATCTTTCCTTTACAACAAACAAAACACAGAGCAGCTCATGGTTATAGTCAGCTGAGTACATATTCTTACTTAAGTGTCCTTGAAGCTCCTGTGAAGAGTTCTGTTGTCTCTTTATGAGCTACAGAGGTAAATGAGAACATAAAGAAGTGTTTTCAAAGGGATATTCCAGCGTTAAGTTAAGTTAAGGTCAAACACACTGTAACACCGAGTTAGACACCCCCTCCAGAGATAATACACAGCGGTCTTAGGAGCCATTAACAAACCTCAACCAAAACACCACTCTATAGCCACAAATAATGCTCAGAACAGCACCTAACTTCATCACCAGGACATATAGGGTCACAGACATAGTACTAGACACCAAACATCTTTTTAACTTTGACTCATTTCTTTAGCAAAGAGACTAAACACAACTCACCTACTCTCTTCCAGTAGCTGCTTGTTTGTAGCGAGACCTCAGGCCAGTCCATCACGGACTACAGCGGGGTGACGCAGCTCAAGGAAGAACATTTATGATAATTTCTTAATCCCTGACGAGTCGATCACCGAGTGCAGCGGATCATTTCCATGAAGTAATAATCATCATAATAATCATTTTGCTCTGCAGACGCGGTCGTTCTTCTGCCTTAGCGTCTCGGTCTGATTGTGTATCCATGAAGTAATGATCATAAATGTTCTTCCTTGAGCTGCGATACTCCGCTGCACTCTGTGATCGACTCATCAGGGCTCTGTGTGTTGCTATCCTGCGGTTGATGCTAAAGTTGGTATAACTAGAAAAGCAAGCAGTCGGCAACAGTCATCTCTAGGGGGGGGATGTCTAACTCTTTGTTCTGGTGAGTTTGACCATAACTTTATTTTAAGCTGGAATATCCCTTTAATGCCTGAACTTGCTGCTCAGAGGAGAGTTTAGGCATGATGGTTTACAGCACGCTAAAGATACAGCCGTTTTTTTACATTTTTCATGGCAAGAATTGTCAGATACAGAGTTTCTCGAGTTTATAAAAGAAAGATGGATGCGAGAATAGTCAGAAAAGAGGATGTTTTTATGTAAAGAGTAAACAAAAGGGACTGTTTTGTCCACAGGGGCGCCTAAAGTGATATCTGGAGCATTAAACTCGTCCGGTTACAGAAACAGCTTTCTATTTGAGTTTGCGTCATCACGATTTCATTAAACGACCCTTGTAGATAAACTGTTTGATTGTGTTTCTTCTCTGTCAGATAGACAGCTGATTGTGTCGTCAGTGAATCGGTCCTCCTCTTTTGTACGTATTTTAAAAATGCGTAGCAGCCAGAGCGACAGAATCAAACGTGCGTCATCGAGTTGGTCATGTTCATGCTTCATTATGATCTTATCCAAGCAGAGAAAAACCCTTATTCTGGGTGATATTCCTTATCTCCTAAACCCTCGCTCCAGCTCATCACTGTGAAAATAATGTGACTTTGCAGTCAGTAAGGAGAGATACCAAACCCCACCGCTCCCCACCCCCTTTCACATCTCCAGGAGGAGGTGTAGGGGGATGCTGCCCACTCCCTCTGGACCTGACGAGATAAAACAGACATCCAGGGGGTTTCAGATTTCACCCGACAGACTCTGACCGTGTCCGCTGGATTAGCAGGAACAAAGAAGAATGAAACCAATTAGACTGTGTTAAAGAAAAACCAGGATACTAGAGAGAAAATCCACTTCCTCTTCACCACTGCATGCGGAACAGACCCTGAAGCTTCCCCATAAACGGATGAGGACGATCCTTCCTGATTTTTTGAAGATCACAAGACAGATTACACAACGAAGCGGCACGAGTTTGTTGGTTTCTGTGTTATATCGCTGACAGGAATCTGACCTCTGGACTTTCAGCAACACTTTTTAAACTATTCAAGAAGTGGATCATTGTGTGTGTTTTTGTGTGTTTTTGTGTGTGTCAGGTTTTGCACAGTATGGTGAGCAGCGTGGAGAGACCGCCCACAATCCCAGCGGGGAGTCAGCTGATCCTGCGTTGTAAAGACTTTAGAGTCTACCAGATCCTGATTCCACAGGAGAGAGACTGTATGGACGTCCACGCCTCTTTGGTCCGGTTGTCACGACCAGGTGTGTGAAACGGTGATTAAACGTGTGAGAGATAGAAGAACACACACAACTCTTTCTGAGGGTGTCAGGAGCAGGTGTGTCTATTTTACAGGATGTAAAGCCTGTAAAAATACTTTTCTCTCCTCTCCTTTCCTCTCCTCTTATTTCTTCCCTCTTTCCTCACCTCTCCTCCTCTCCTATCCTCTCCTGTCCCCTCCTTTCCTCTCTTCTCTACTCCCCTCCTCTCATCTCCTTTCCTTTCCTTTCCCCTTCCTCCCCCCTCCTCACCTCACCTCACCTCTCCTCCTCTCCTATCCTCTCTTGTCCTCTCCCTATCTCTCTTCTACTCTCCCCTCCTCTCCTCTTCTCTTATCCCCTTTCCTTTCCCCTTTGTCCATTCCCTTCTCCTCTCCTTTCCTCTCCTTTTTTCCTCTCCTTTCCCCTCTCCTCTCCTCTCTTTCTCCTCTCATCTCCTTTCCTTTCCCCTTCCTCCTCTCTCCTCTCCTTTCCTATCATATCTTCTCCTTTTCTTTTCTCTCTTCTCCTCTCCTCTCTTTCTTCTCTCTTACCCCTTCTCTCTCTTTTGCTCCCCTCTCATCTCCTCTCTCTCTCCTCTCCTCTGCTCTGCTCTCCTCTTTTCTCCTTTTCCCTCCTGTTCTCTCTTCTCCTCCCCTCTCCTTTTCCCGTCTTTCCTTTCCTTTCCTCATTTCTCCTTTTCCTCTCCTCTCACCTCCTTCTCTCCTCTCCTCATTTCTCCTCTCCTCTCCTTTCCTTTCCTCTCCTCTCCTCTTCTCTTCTCTTCTCTCCTTTCCTTTCCTCTGCTCTTCTCTTCCTCTTCCTCTCCTCTGCTCTCCTCTCCTCTCCTCTCCTCAGAGAAGTACAGTGAGCTCTACTGCATGTCCTTTAACCCCAACGTGAACAAAGAGGAGAGGGAGGACTCATGGAAGCTCATAGATCTCATGGCCGACTACAAGAGGATGGGGGTTCCTAATAACCTCTGGGTCTCCACAGCAGCTAACAGTGAATACAGGGTGAGTCTCTTTGTGACAAAGTGCAAATCTTTCATATAAATATACGACTAATAGAAGAACACAGACACAAAAATCAACGTTCACTGGTTTGCAAATCATTAAAACCCATGAATATCAGAAAAGAGCCGAAATAAAACATGAAAAATAAAACTTTTCACATGTTGAAACTGAAAAAAATTGTTGTTTTGAGTAAAAATAAGATTGGATAGAACGTTATTGATCCTTTTGGGAAGGTTCTGTCAGGGATTTTATGATTTTAGGACTTCATGACTGGTATCTCGACTGTCCTCTCTCAGGTGTGCGACACTTACCCGTCAGAGCTGTTTGTTCCAAAGTCAGCCACGCCGGCCATCATCGTAGGCAGCTCGCGGTTCAGGAGTCGAGGACGGTTTCCTGCTCTGTCCTACTTTCACCAGGACACACTGGTCAGTGGGACACACAAAAAGACGGCCAATCACAAAATTATAAACACACACGACAGAAGATCTGCTAACTTTCCCCTCTAGTCATCGTACAGCTGATGATCTCGTCCCCGAAAAGCAGAAACAGTAATAACAGAGATGTTTATCCATCACTCAGGCCGCAGTGTGTCGGTGCAGTCAGCCGCTGTCGGGCTTCAGCGGACGCTGTCAGGAGGACGAGATGATGCTGCAGGCTGTGATGAAGTCGAACCCGGGCAGTGAATACATCTACGTGGTGGACACCAGGCCCAAGGTAACACACACACACACACACACACACACACACACACACACTCTTTTCTGCAACCAACGAATACGAGCATGAAAAATATTACAGACAAATGAATACTCGGCTTAAAATAGTCTCATACATAACTGTGTGTGTGTGCGCGCGTGTGTGTGTGTGTGTGTGTGTGTGTGTGTGTGTGTGTGTGTGTCCAGCTGAATGCCATGGCAAACCGAGCAGCAGGTAAAGGCTACGAGAACGAGGACCACTACACCAACATCAAGCTTCAGTTCATCGGCATCGAAAACATTCATGTGATGAGGAGCAGCCAGCAGAAAATCATTGATGGTGAGAAGAGTGTGTGAAAGTGTGTGTGTGTGTGTGTGTATTGGAAAAGTGTAGTCAGACCTCAGGGTATATCACGCTTTGTAAGAAGTGAACAAACAAACTGATTTGACTTCACCTGTTTGTAAGAGGTTTGGATTAAGGGTCAAAAGTACAGCAACCTGCAGGGGTCTGAATGATTTTCAGAAAGGGAAACTGCAAATACTCAAACTGTGCAAATTTATAAACTAATGTCAAAGTCCACAACAGCTGCAGCATTCATTCATACTTGGCGGTGTGTTCAAATCAAGAAATCAGATTTGTCCTCTTTTTTGGGGGGGCTGTCCGGCTTTGTCTGAGGGAGTTTATGAAATCCTTCAAATGTCTGGGTTTTGTAAGGAAGTTTGGAGTTTGTGTCGAGTGGACTTACCGAGTTAGACACGTGTAAAAAACACTCAAAGCCGTAAAACTCTCAAAATTAACTACGCACGACTTTGTGACTCCGCCCCCGTGTAGTCGTGTCGTCTCTTTTTGGGGATTCAGAATATGGTGACCTTAGCCTGAAAACCAAAACAGTTTTCTAAATCAGGCTGAATTGTTTTTATTTCCTCAGGTTTGTTTTTTTGTCTTTGGAGCCTCAAGAGGACAGTGTAGGAACTGCAGTTTCTTTGTACTTCCTCTTTACATCATACTTAAACATCAGAGTTTGCTGCCCGCTTGAAACTCGTATTTTTTTAAGCTATCTTATAACAGTTAAACAGTTTTGTTTCCTGTTAGTGTCTTTTGTAAACCCTCTCTTTCTTTATCTCTCTCTTTCTCTCTCTCTTTTTCTTCCTCTCTGTTCAGTGGGCGAGATGAGAGCTCCGTCTATGACTGACTTCCTGTGGGGTTTGGAAAACTCCGGCTGGTTGAAACACATTAAAGCCGTTTTGGATGCCGGAGTCTTTATCGCCAGGGTGTGTACACATGATGAAGCATGAAGCACGCTGGTAGATAAACTACGTTAAAAACTTCACAGTATTATATTTACATAATTTCTGTTCGTCTCTCTCTCTCTCTCTCTCTCTCTCTCTCTCTCTCTCTCTCTCTCTTTCAGGCAGTTGCAGATGAAGGTGTCAGCGTGTTGGTCCACTGTTCGGACGGCTGGGACAGGACAGCTCAGGCCTGCTCTGTGGCCAGTATCCTGTTAGACCCCTTCTACAGAACCCTGAAAGGCCTCATGGTAACACACACAGACGCACACACACACACACACACACACACACACACACACACACACACATGCACAGACTCTTACTCTGTAATCAGTTACAGTTTTTATTTCCTCCTCCTTTTCCCCTCTTCGTTCTCTAAACTTCATGTTTCCTGTTTTTCTCTCCCGCCTCTTCCAGGTGCTGATAGAAAGGGACTGGGTTTCTTTTGGACACAAGTTCTCCCACAGGTCAGTAATGTGGAGAAAAAAAAATACTGAATGATAGTTATTTTTTTGAGTTTTAATTTGTTGAAGAGGAAAGGAAAATTCAGTCTCCAAATGTCTTTGATTGAGATATTAGTCGTCTTATAATCAGGGTTGTCTGATATATAGATCAGGCAGTTCCAAACAGTGAGACAAAGCGGTGTCCCTGCAGGTATGCTCACCTGGACGGAGATCCCAAAGAGGTCTCCCCGGTCATCGATCAGTTCCTGGAGTGTGTGTGGCAGCTGTCCGAGCAGTTCCCGTGTGCCTTTGAGTTCAACGAGCGCTTCCTCATCGCCATCCACACGCAGGTCTACTCCTGTCAGTACGGGACCTTCCTCTGCAACTGTCAGAAGGAGCGCAGAGACATCAGGTAGGACACACACACACACACACACACACACACACACACACACACGTTTATCAGAGATCTTAAAGAGATATTCCGGTATAAATTTATGTTAGACTCCCCCTCCAGAGATGAATGTTGCCGACCGCTTGCTTCTCTAGTTATACCAACTTTAGTAACGACCGCAGGATAGCAATACACGGTGGTCTACATCTCCACATGCAAACCTCAACCAAAACGCCACTCTATAACCACAAATAATGCTCAGAACAGCACCTAACTTCATCAACAGAACATATAGGGTCACAGACATAGTACTAGACACCAAACATCTTTTTAACTTTGACTGATTTCTTTAGACTAAACCCTGACGAGTCGATCACAGAGTGCAGCGGAGTTTCGCAGCTCAAGGAAGAACATTTATGATCATTTCTATATGGAAATGCAATCAGACCAAGACGTTAAGGCAGAAGAACTACGGCATCTTTAGTGCAAAAATGATTAATGTGGTGATAATTACTTCATGGAAATGATCCGCTGTACTCGGTGATCAACTCGTCAAGGCTCCCCCCACAAACAAGCGGCTGCTGGAGGAGAGTGGGTGAATGTTAGATAAAGAAAATCAAAGATTTAGAGTTTGATTTAACTGTAATTACAAAAGTACAGTTACAGTCTATAATAAAATGACTTTCATGTGTTAAACTCCTCCCATTAATACTAGAAATAAGACAGTATTAAGATGCCGACTTATTGTGAGTTCATAATCAATTACAAGAATCCGGATGGGGGGGTTTGGCACATGAGGGACTTGGGGCTCCAGGGCTGTAGAGGCTTTTATTGTCTGTGAATCAATATAAAAAATCATGACTTTTAAGTGTTCGTGCCAAACTCTGATGACCATCCAGAGAAGAATTATCAATAAACACATTTCCCCATTTCACTCCTGAACCTCTGACTGTATTTCTTCTTCTTCTTCTTTTTTTGTTGCGTTGTCGTCGATGTGTTCACCACAGGCTTCATGAACGGAGTCACTCTGTGTGGCCTCAGCTGTGGAAGGACCGAGCCGAGTACACCAACCCTCTGTACAAGGCCGAGCAGAGCCAGAGTCAGGGCATCCTGAGGCCCAACACCACCCCCTACTGCTTCAAGTGAGTCACTGCAGCAGCCACACGCACACCCCGAGGACCCTGAAGATCAACTTCAAACTGATGCCATTGGAAGAAGATACAATACTGATTTAAAGTACCATTTTAAAAACTCTGATGCTACTCTAGAAGGCGTTAAACAGCATTTATCGTCCTGCAATGACTTAAAAATGTACAGTTTTAAAGATCTCAGTCATCGGTTTATTGTTTATCTCTCCTCGTTCCCAGGATGTGGAAAGGCCTCTACAACCACATGGAGAAATCTACGCCTCCTCGCCAGTCGCCTTCAGACTACCTGTCTACAGTGAAGGAGGAGACCCAGCAGCTGGAGGAGGAGCTGATTAATCACCAGGAGGTACCGCCAGGAGGAACCGCTCACCACCACCACCACCCGGGCTCCAGACAAGGCATACAACACACAGAGACACTCCCTGATACCACACCGACACGACTCCAATACAACATCCACTGAGAACCTACGTGTTCGTAGGTTTTTGAGGGTTCGCAGTTTAATCCAGACCTGCCAGCACTCCCGTTTTTCCCAGGACTCTCCCGTATCTCAGACCTGTCTCCCGCCCACCTCCCGTATTATCATTTCTCCCAGGAATCTCCCGTAGTTTGATGGTCCCAACATACTTTTACTTTACAATTTGGGATGATTCAGGTCAGTTTAAGATGTAAACTGTATTTAAGTGGTGTTTGTTGTGAAATGAACACTTCAATGAAATAGAAACAAACACGAGATATAATATTTACGTTGATAGCTAATATTAGTGGACTAATTAAGTTCAAGTTATATCGTAGCTATTATTTTTTTATTACCGTTTGTTATTGTTAAAACAAAAAAGTGTGCAGCTTCACTTAGACTTACTTGGCTGAGCAATTTAATCATAAATACTCTCATAATTAGCTCATACCCACCGTACAAGGTAACCCCAAAACTACCCGCCGGCACGCGCCGCAAACATCTCCCAGATTTTATAACCCGAATGTTGGCAGGTCTGGTTTACTCAGACGATTTAAAATGAGTCCATGTCTAAAAAATTGATAATCGTGGCTGTTTTGGCTCCATTTTTCACAACTGAAGAGGAACTGGAGAAACATATCAATATATAGACAATCCTCACTGCAGGTCAACTTTTAAGAATAACAGGACACAAGACAAGCAACCATCATTGGAAAGTACACACTGTAACATATAATAAGTATAAGAGGTCATCTAGAGAGGTAACTAAAAGAGAACACTGTAGACACTCCTGTGAATCTTTGCTGTGGAAATCTGTAAAAAGTCGCTCTTGGGTCGCTTTCACACTCGCCTCGTTTAGTCCGGACTTTAGGACTTTTAGGTTTGATCCGAACCAAAATTTCATGTCTGAACTGCCATTTCCTCCCTCTGAACCGGACTGTGGTTTGAACTTTCAGGTGTGAAAGCGACCTTAATTTCTTCTATAGTACGAACTCTGTGGCTGCAGCTACAAGAACTACATGCATAGATAAACTTTGATATAGAAGTCACAGGCGATCTGTCCGCTCCTGAAGGTCCGCTAATGGCCTCGATGTAGATTAGTCTGTTCATCACACAGGAGCTCTGACTAACACATGCATGACTGAGATCTGTTAAATGACTCACAAAGAGATACCACTTGTAGATCTCCATAGTAACCGATCAGAGTAGGAGTGTCTTATTTTGAGATTTTTCTTGTTTGAGTTTTTACTTGTTTCGACTCCGCAGAGGATCGCAGCTCTGATGGGGAAACCAATCACGTGGGAGAAGATCGAGGTTCCGAGGAGGAGGACTAGCCACCTGGGGCAGAGACACTGCGGGCCGGACCCGCCCTCCACTTACACCCACCCAATCACCAGCCCTACACAGGACAATGGCCACGCCCTCTCTTCTGAGCCTGTCAATCAGGAGGCTCAGACCAAGGACCCCGCCCTCTCTCTGCCTCTCGGGCTGCACACACACCTGAAGAGTCAAGATCCCGATGATCTCTCCGCCTGCAGCGACCTGGAGTCCGGAGTGGCCGACCTCAGCAGCCGCTCGTCCAGCGGTGTCGACGAAGGGAAGGACCCAAACGAGACCGCTTCACCTCCGCCTGACTGGAAATCAAAAGGGAACCACTAAAAACTGTACGACACACCCCTCAAATATATATTCACGCACCTGGAGGGGAGTGAAGGTGGACCGGACAGGTAAAGATGGCCGCTGACAGACTGAGAGGCAGGTGGATTTTTCTCTTCTTTTGAAAGTCTAAAGGGAGTTCCAGTAAACGAGGGAAACACCCTGCTGTCTGTTTTAAGTTCAGCTGATCAACAAAGGCACTGACGCCACTTAAGTGTTTCGATTTAACTTTTTTATTTCCTGTTTATGTTGCTGAAAGGCTTTTTAAATATCCGTCAGTGCTGTTTTTAGCACAATTACTGTTATTTGTACTACTGTTATACTGTGAGAAGGATGAATGTTACATGAAACCAGCCTGAAAATGTGCGCGGATCTTCCCTGTCTGTATTCAAGAGTGTGAGAGCCGAACTATTAGCTGTACTTTTCCTTTAAAACCCCGCTTCTGCGTGATAACAGTCCTCGCTTTAGCTGCGATTTCGACTTGCACAGAAAGTTTTAACGCAGAAAAGAAGAGTGCAAGAAAGTAGGGCCCGACCGATATGGATTTTTTAGGGCCGATGCCGATACTGATTATTAGGGGGGAAAAAATCTGATTACTGATTAATCGGCCGATTTTTAAAAAATATATAGTATACTGTAGATATCTACATTTACTGTAGGCTACTGCTCTTCACGCCAACAGGAAGACCGACTGATCAAACTCGGACCAGAAAACCGCTTTCAACTTAGGTAGTAGCTAGGTAGGTAGCTAACTCTAACGTTAGCTTGCATATTACATGGTGTTTCACCGTTAACCCGGCGTGACCGAGACCAGCACAGCGGGGAACATGGTGAAGTGGGTTGAACTGAAACTTGTTGACTTATTGTGTATTTCACAAACTGTTTTTTTTCCCGTTGAGGTGGACCACTCTCCTCCGTGCGTCCCTGAGCTGCCTGCTTCAGATCCATTGCTCTGCTGTGCTGTGAGGTAGCTAGTGGATGAAGATTGTCATGAGGTCGCTGCGCCATCTACAGGATAAGTCGGGGGATCTTTTTAAATGGCGGAAAATTTCAAAGTGAAACCGAATCGTATTCTCCTGATTTTATTTCTGAAAATATCAGCGAAAATCTGCGAGTTTTGGCCGATTACCGGTTGGTAAATCAGTCGGGCCCTACAAGAGAGTGTAGGAAACCTCTCAAAGCAGAGTCATAATACGTGGAGGCGGGGGATGTTTGAGTGTGTGAGCAGGGTTTTGATAAATGTTTCACAAAGTCCAAAAATAAAGTTGTCAAAGATCTCCGATTTAAAAGAAAACACTGCGATGAAGAAAACATACATTGGTTAAACTCTGATGTTCAGATTTAAAACCACTCCTACTAGACAAACCTAACAGGGTCTTTATTTCTATTTAGAGTAAAATAAAATCATTTACTAGTACCTCTATCATTTCCTTTGGGGTACTTTTAAGTTTTGTTTTAAGCAGATGTTTTCATTTCCGTTACTTTTAATTTCAAAGGAAGCTAATATGTCGTCACAAAACTGCTGATTTTCACTTTTTTATTTTTTTTTAAATGAGCAGAGTCATCAGTTCTCATTTGTACCATGAGAAACCACAAGCTAATTTCTGTTAACAATAATGTGAAATCTTCTGTAAACACTGCGAGGTCGAAGAGCTGCTCGTCTTTCAACAAGGAAACTCTAACTGGCATAAAAGCTTTTCTTTCTAAATGTTTCTCCATTCAAACTGTCCCTCATTATCTAAGAAGGCTCTGCCACTAGAGGGCAGTATTTACACTTTTAGAGATTTTGTGAGATAAAATCAAAGACAAGAATCTAAAAACGCATACTCTCATAAATCAGCTCACATCAGATCTAAAATTTAGTAATGACATTGTGATTCCTCTGTTCTGGGCTCTGATTGGCTGCTTCCCCCTTTTTCTGAAGCTGGTGAACAAAATGATCATATTTGTTTAAACTGCAGTCTGATGCTGTATAGATATATGATTTTCTCTCTGCATGATACAGATTTAACCTTAATTTAACAAACTGTGTTCACAGACAGTCAGTGATTTTAAGGCCATGCTATTACCTCCACTACAGAGTTATTTCTGATTTTAGTGCAGTGCTCCTTAAGGAGAAGCACACACCAGTTTAGTATTTGTTGTGATAGATGGGAAACATACACTGAGAAACATTTTTTGAAATACTTTGAAATTCGTCATATTGTGCTTTTAATTACATTTTTAGTCACCGTCCCATCTTTTCGAGGAAACAGGGTCGTACCGCTGCCCTTCAAACAATGATGCAGTGATACGTTTTCATTTGGACACCATGGTTAAACTCCTGACTTCGTGTTTTAACTCCAATCTTAAATGTTTTTACCTGATTGGGTCATTTTGGCATTTATTCCATGTGAAGAAATCATATTCATCCCAGAGTGACTGAACTTGACTTTTAAACATGCCAGTATTTCTCATGTTATCGTTCACTGCACAATACTGTGAGACTGTCCTCATGTTTAATGAAATAACACTAGATTTGCAGTCTGAATGCAGAATTTATATCCCACTTAAAATTTTTTAAACTAGAGAAAAGGACAGAGACGAAGAAAATGTGAAAAGATTTAAACGTTTACAAGCCAGTGCTGAAACACAGTCTTTTATTTTTGTCTTTTTGAGTGCAATATGTTATTTAAAAGTTGTTTTTTTATGTTTTTTGTTTTATTTTGACTGTACATCAGTGTTTATATCTACAGATAAACACGACTTAACCTCAGAGGAACCAAATCACTCAGAATTTTAAGTTACCATCCAGGAACTCGTAAAGTTTCTCTTAATTTCGTACACTATGATAGACTGATATGTGTTCTAAGAAGTTAAGAACTGTTTTCTTTCAGGGTTATTTTTTTCTACTTCATACGTTCCTGCTCAAGCTGCAAAGTGTTTGAAAAAAGACCAAAACATGTTAGTTAAAGACTCTGCGTAGGGATCTATTAGAATCGACCACATTACCGACATATTTAGAGAAAAAAAAGTGTTACGATGGTGAACGTAAACCTGAAAGTAAAGGGGGGCTCAGGCTTCATGTACTTCTTTAAAGACTGATTGTTTTAAAACACACGCTGGTTTAGTTATGAAGTTTTTCTCTCCACTGTTGAGCAGTGAGAAGTCCAGTTTTAAAGCCTGAACTTGTTGTGTACACTTCATGTCAATTTGGCCAAATTAAGAGAAAAAACAAAAGATTTGCTCTCGATTGTTTAGATTTAAAAAAGGTGGTTAAACAAACTTGTTTAAGGCTGAGAAAAAAACAAGTGTGATGGCAACCGAGGGCTGAAGGTCTTATCTCTTTAACTTGTAAATTTCACTGTAGCCTGTGGTGTGTTTGTGTGTATGTTCTGTAGTCACTGATGTAAATGATCTATCAATAAATGCACCGTTAAAGGGACAAAAACAGCAAGATGCCTCGTCTGGTGTGTTCTTTAACATCTTAATTAAGAGAAAAATCACATTTTTATTGGTCTTTTGAACAGTTGTGGCTTTTTTGGTTACGCCTTTTTATGGTTAGTTCAAGGAGCAATACTTTAAGATGTTACTTTGTCCCCTGGAGGGTGTATTATTGGATTTTCTTTTTTTATTGAGCTCGTAAAAGTGCAAAAATCAAGATTTCACAAATTCTTTAAAATCATTCAGAGAGCAGTGGTGGCATTGTGAGTCTAATATGCATGTACAGAGTCCTGGGAGTTCTCCAGTGTCAGCGTTTTGTGTCCCTGATGTAGAAAAGAATAGGCGGAAATTGTGTACAAGTGTTTATCACTGACTGCTTTAGGAGCCAAAGTTACCTCTGTTTGTCAGAGTGATTCACAAATAAGCTTAAATAAAAGCCAAAAGGTTCTCCTTTGAAATGATACCAAACCCAGCGTTGTAAAACACTGAAAGAGGATATCCCAAACCAGGATATACACCGGCGTCTGAGCTGCAGTTTTTATCAGAGGGTGGTTTACTTCATGAGCTGACAGCTGTGAAATATCAGCGACAGACACGGACCTTTTCAGAAACTATTTTAGGGTTTGAACTTTCAGATGTACCACCTTCTCTTTTTTCAAGCAGGGGACTGGGTTCTGATGTAGTTGCTACGGAGAAGGATTAGGGCCACTGGAAAAAAGGAGGGGAAAAAAGTATTATTATTTTTTTTTATCATTCTGAGGAACAAAAGTCAGAATTCTGATGGTTTTCTTTTCTCTCTCAGAATTCTCCATTTAATCTCAGAATAATAATAATAATTAAAAAAATTATGTTGGACCAATTTTTCCCCCAGTGGCCCTAATCCTCTCCCGTAAATTTCCCTTTTTGAAAACAGCTGTTTTATAAGTTTTTTTTGTAACAGAATGACTTAAATTTGTAACATATGCAATACTGTAATGTAGCCCCAATGTTATGTTGTACATTTTCTTTTATGTTTCTGTTTACTCTGAAATTCCTTTTGCAACCACATGAGTCACCCCCTGCTGGCCGTAATAAAAAGTGCAGGTCAAAGGCACTTCTCTTTGAATAATCTGCGGCTGTATCTTCCTCCTTTATGAGGCTTATTGTGATAGTTATCAAAAAAGTGGGACGACAAACATAAAATCAGAATTTCACTGACAATCTCCCAATCTGGAAAAAGTGCATTAGGCCGATTTTGATGCACTAACAGTAACATGTGACCGCCTCGTTCACAAAGTCCTCTGTGTGTGTTTGTGAGACTATTTGAGAGGCACCGTGGATCACATGAGACGAGAGGGTTTTGGTTATAAGGTTCAGAATCAGGCGATGTGAAGTGAGCGACCGGACGAACAGCTGAATGTTGTTCTCTTAAAAACATGATTGAGTGTGATTAAATGTGGATAAAAATGCTTCAGTCTCTGCTTGTTGTTGATAACAGACAGTGATCCCATTTGAACCCATGGCACCTCCTTTACAACCCTTAAAATAAAACACCCAAAATCCCTTCCTCTCACTGTGAAAGTCGCTCTTCTTTCCTTCGTCACAGTAAAATCTCTCTCGTCCACATCTCATCAGACGTCTTTCATTCTTACTTTGTTCGAGTTTCAGTTCAAATCAGCAGCTAAATGTTCATTTCTGTCTCTCAGGAGAAGAAAAGTTGTTCACAGAGACGTTGCGTGTCCTCGGGACTGGAGACTTCATGTCCGATGGTACGAGGGTCGCTGTAGATCTCATAGTCGTTTCCTCCCTATTGCAAAACACATGAACACACACACACACACATAAGAAAGGACGTGTAGAGCCTGAAAAAAATGCATGTAACCCCCCCTCTTTAAAGCTCTTCTGAGACACATTGATATGGCGCCCCCTGTGGACAAAGTGATACCGCTTCTCAATGGGCACAGTACAGCTCCACTACTTCCTTTATTTCCTGTCTTACATTATTGGACCAATATATTAATCCAGGTGTGACTGATCACACCTTTATGGAAATGTAATTAGACCGAGACGCTAAGGCAGAAGAACTGCCGCGTCTGCAAAATGATTAATATGGTGATTATTACTTCAAGGAAATGATAAAGAAATGCGTCACCCCGCTGTAGTCCGTAATGGACGGGCCTGAGGTCTCGCTACAAACAAGTGGCTGCTGGAAGAGAGTAGGTGAGTTGTGTTTAGTCTCTTTGCAAAGTTAAAAAGATGTTTGGTGTCTAGTACTATGTCTGTGACCCTATATGTCCTGTTGATGAAGTTAGGTGCTGTTCTGAGCATTATTTGTGTCTATAGAGTGGCATTTTGGTTGAGGTTTGTTTATGGCTCCTCAGACCGCTGTGTATTGCTATCCTGCGGTTGTTACTAAAGTTGGTATAACTAGAGAAGCAAGCAGTCGGCAACATTCATCTCTGGAGGGGGTGTCTAACTTGGTGTTACGGTGTATTTGACTCTAAATTAATTTTATGCCGTAATATCCCTTTAAGCAGCTTGTCCAATAATGTAAGACAGGACATAAAGGAGCTGTTTTAAGTTCAGGAAGTAGTGGTGTTGTGCATAGAGCCCATTGTCTGAAATTTGTGAAGGTGGTGTCTTCAGACAAAAACTAATCCTGTTCGTCTGTAACAAAAATATAAACACACAACTCACTGAGAGGATTTGCTGGTCAGGAAGTAAAAAATTTGTTTTTTCAGCCCGCTGCCAATCATTTAGTCTAACCTCTCGATGAGCTTTTAAGCGTTAAAAATAACTGAAGTGAAGTTTTTTAACTCATTGCTAATGGTCTTGTTAAAAACTCCTGAAAGAGGTTGTTGTTTTCTCCCTCAGTCAGCTCGATAGTGGTTTCTGTTCAAACAGGTCTGTCTCTGAGGGGACTCTTCTCATGGTTGAGGTAAAAAACAGGATTCATTGCATTTGCCCTGAGGGACTACTTTGCATCACTTACAGCTCCTTTAACAGCTGCTTGCCCCACTCATCTATTGTCTCCCTGCTTGTTCTGCTGGTTTTCTACCCTGTAAAGAATCTGATCTCTCCACAGCCACCTCCCCCCTGACTGTGCTGCAGTAGGTTCAAACTCACAGGTTTGGTTTTGTCTCCAAAGAAGTGAATGGTCGAGTAGTTGTCCTTCTCAACGATCCCCAGACAGAATCTTTTATCCCAGCCATCAGGAAACACATCGAAGCTGATCTGCCCTCCTGTGGAGAGAGAAAGAGGCGAGGGTAAGGAGGATTTACATCACACTGGCACGAAAGAGACATGTCTCCCGATACAGCTTTATGTCCAAGGTGTTAAAAGCACAGGAGTAAGACGCTGTTCCTGATGCTTAGGTGCTTTAAAGATTGACTGTGAAAGTTAACCCCTTCACTCACCGATTGAAAACGTCAGTCCTCTCCCTTTGAACTCCTCCCTCAACACGGACACAAACGTCTCTCTGATCTTCTCTTTCTGCAACATACGAGACAATAATGCGTCAAATCAACTGTTGTCATGATCTTTAAATCCAACCTTAAAGAAAGTCAACAAATACAGGGAAAGAGTTGAGTCCGTTCATGGAAATATTCTTTAAATTCAGAGTCAAGTCTTCGTGGTGAAAATGATTTTGCGTAAACATCATAAAACTATCTTGTTATCTTTTGTTTAAAAAGTTAAGTAAGAACAGGAAATTACAGCTACAGAAATACAATGTTTTGCCACCAGGGGGTAGAAAGATTTTTTGAAGTGTTTTCACAACTCCTCAACACTCACAACCGGATGTCAGTATCTATGGGTGTTTGTGTTACCTGGTCAAGCTCGTAAAACTCTTTCCTCTCTTCCTGCGTGCAGCTCCGTCCGATTGGTGAGACGTTCAACATGCCGTTACGAAATTCAATAAATGTGCCCCTGTTAAAGATCACGGAATACAGCTTATTATCAATCTACAGGTAAAAACAAACTGACTGTCAACCAATAAGGGATTACAATGACATCTGTACCTTTTTTTAGGCAGTTTGATCTTGGCCATGTAGTTGAGACAGAAGTTGATGAAATCCTGCAGCAGCTCTTCTCCCATATGAGCCTGAATGGACTGATAGAGTAAATGCTCGAGGTTACTTCATCACATTCAGAGTTTCTTTTTTTCTTTTTAAAACCAAGACAGAGAGCATGAACCGTCTTAATCTGCTAACCTTCAAATATAACAGTTAAGGTGATTTTGGGGGGAAAACAAAGGAAATATCACCTGAACAGAGAGGAACTTTCCATCCTTATATGCCTCGAGTCCATTCTCAGCAAACACATAGTCAACTGTCTGAATCACTGCCAGTTCAAAACAAACGTGCAGGGTTAAACTTATCACGCACAGAAAGGATAGAAATAAGAATGTGTTACTTTAAAAGGTACACAACTGTGTGCGTCTCACCATCGTCTCCAAGCTGCTCTTTGATTTTAGTGAGATCTGATCCTCCGACCACCCCGACTCGAACCCGAGTCCTCAGTTTCTGAAGGAACTCGGCAATTTCAGGAGTTGCACGCTGGAAACACACAGACATACAAGTCACATCTAAAGACAAAACAGTTTGAAAGAAGAATAACAGAATAGTAGCCAACTTTATCGTCTTTAGAGAGCGTATAACTATGTGTTTGTCACAGATTTATTGCTCTTTTGTTTATTTCTTCTTGCAGAGATTGTAAATCTGTGGTGTTTTTTCTGTCACACATCTTTCCTGTTTTTCTGTGCCCCCTTTTCTATAAAACATCAATCACTCTTTTGATGTTATTCATGCTCAGTCTAAGATAAATATTCTATAACTTTCTTTTATGATAAATAAGTGCCTTGTTTGTTTGTTTATAATTCAACAACAACAATATAATAATAATAATAATAATAATAATAATAATAATAATAATAATAATAATAATAATAATAATAATAATAATAATAATAATAAAAGTCTATGGTATATGTTCGTACAAACGACCATTGATGGTTCCAGGTGGAACGACTATCACTTAAGTTCCAGCGGAGACATTACCGTTCGGAAGAACTACAACAATGACGTGGAGCCGGAAGCAGCACTGACATTCTCTGCTGTCATGTCTGTTTGAATGGAGTCAGCTGTAGTTTTTCTCTCTTTCACCCTCGCAAACACACAGAATTATTACCTGTCTCGCCGCAGTTAACGTGCCGTCCACGTCAAAGAGGCAGAGCGTGCTGGTGTCCACTTGACTCATCTTCTCTTTCTGTTCCCAGTCTGTAAAAAAACTGATTTCTCTGTTCTCCACTGCAGACACCCTACAGGTCCTCCACTTCTGAGCTGTGTTTCTCTGTTTTCCTGAGTACGAGTAGAGTCTCTGTTTGCTTGTACTGCAGTACCCTGATCTGACAACTCCTGAAACTGTAAACCAGAACCAGCACTGCAACCAAAATCAGGGAGACCGGCTTCTTATTCAGCTGTAGTCACCCAACAAATCTGAGAAGGTAAGGTTTGTGCTGCCATCTGCTGCTCCGGAGTATGAACAGCTTCTCCAAGGCCAATGAATGTTCTTTTCTCTCCACTTTAAACAAGAATGCCTGAGGTAACCAACAACATTTGTGATGGAGGGTGATTTTATTTTATTGTGATTGACTTTCTCTGTCAGATCTCATCTGTTTGTGTTGATTTTGTGAATAAAGGGGGACAATCCTTTGACAGGACAACCGATTTACTGTCATCCAAAGTTAATAGTAAATAATATGAGCAATGATATAAGAGCTGCATGATATGCTTACAATTTGTGTGTATGCACAGATACCGCAGCCACCCTGCCTGTATTAGTGTCGTAGTTTGGCCCTCGGTAAAGAATTTGTTGATGCACCCTTGCCAACATGGTACAAATACAGTAACCTAACCTAACCTAACTTAACCTAACCGTAATTTAACTCAATCTAACCTAATTGAACCTAAACTGACCTAATCACAAAATAATCTAAATTATAATGTAGCCCAAATTAATATTTAAATCATCAGGAGCTTAAATAATTTCCACGTTTTAATAATTAGACATGATTTTCACAACATAAGTGATAAAGCTTAGATTTGGTTGTGATGAAGGGTGATTTTATTTCATTTTCATGGACTTTCTCTGTTAAATCTCATCTGTTTGTGTTGATTTAGCCTAAGTCAACCACTGGGGCAAGTAGTTTAAAATAAACTCACACACAATCATTCAATTAATGCAGGGGTGTCAAACTCAACCACAGCAAGGGCCATAATCTGGATTTAGGTCTAACCTGAGGGCCAAACAGGGTCAACATTTCACCAAAACTGTCAACCTCCTTTTCAAAAAATATGTAATAAAAATAGCAATAATTCAAAAAAGATAAAAAATATTTATTCTACTTTTATTTATTAGTTCAAAAGATCAGAGCATGATATTAAAAATAGAAAAATAATGGATTAAAAAAGCAAATACATGAGAAGAACGTTGAAATCTGGTTTAAAAGGTCAAAATATGATTTAAAATTTAAAATTGGAATCTAAAGTATAAAAATGACACAAGTCTAAAAACTGAGTTGAACAAAATCAAAGCATGAAATAAAAAATTTAATCATTGACCTGCAATCTTGAAATGCAAAATTGAAAACATGAAATAAAACACTTAATATTTTTTTCCTCACATTCTTGACTATTTATTGAATCTTCCTTACTCTTTAGTTTCCCAGATTTTCGTGGCTTATTCAGGACATTAAAAAAAAAAATGGTGCTCAAGTTTACATGATTATACTGGAGGAAATCTGAAGACTTCATACTGGTGGGCCAATAATGATACAAATATGATATGATCTTGTGGCCCCCGGGCCTTGAGTTTGACACCTGTGAATTAATGCAATCCAATCAGCTTTATTTATATAGCACATTAAAAAAAAAACATTTAGGTTTACCAAAGTGCTGCACAATAATCTTAAAAGAACAGACAATGCAGAAAACATCAAGATGAAATAAATAAAAGCAGGAAGAAAACATTTTAAATGAAAGAAAAACACAAAAACATAAAAGCAATATAAGTCATAAAGGGACAGAGATTACACAACTCTCATGCTGAGCCAAAAGCAAAGGAATAATAATGAGTTTTAAGTCATTTAAGTACATTATGTGGGAATGTGTTTATTCAGCCATGTCCAAAGCAATGTAATATGCCATTTGCAGTGGAGTTTCTGACTTTAAAAAGCAGGAAATGATTGGGCTGTTTGTCTGCTTCGCTTCTTTTAAAGAGGGACTTCTTTAAGTTAATTCCGTCTCTGTTAGAGCGAGGAAATAAACGGTTCAACTGCGTACACCCAACAACAACAACAACTACGAGCAGGACGACAACAGATGAAAACAGTTTGACTCACTACGAACAAAGAACTTTTCGCGCCCTGCGTTTAAAACCCCGGATAAACCAATCAGCGTACACAGACGGCAGACAAACATGATGTTTGCTCTAAGCCAATCACACCGCCGCATTTTCCTTGAGGCCCGACTTTCGAATTTAAACCCTTTAGTCTGGCGAATCCGCTGAATGCGGGGCGGAGTTATAAAACTAGTTTAGGGCAAGTTAGTTCGGCCTCACAAGCGGTGACAAAACAGTTGCTTCGTCTTCCTCATCCAGTCGATCTCAACTGTTCGCACTGAGAAGAGGTAAGTCTTCACTTTAAAACTTCTTTATTTCACTAAGTCAGTCGAGGTTGTTGTTGGGCTAGTCTGCTATCCCTTCTTTTCCTGTTGCAGCAAATGCTGACCTGTTTTTTCTACTTTGGTAACTATATATGTCGATTAAAGCCTATTCGTGAATAAAGCTGTTTGTTCGTGTAAACTAGAGCAATGTCTTCGTTAAGCCTACTTTAGTAAAGGTGGATATTTTAAAGTTTTTAAGGAGTTTTGACGGCTAAAAGTTGAACCCGTGTAATCTGTGTCACAGTCACGTAAGTTGGTCTAAGGCTGTGTGCGCAACATGCAGTTCAAACGCCATTTGGTTTGGTAGCTCGGCTGCTACACGATGATAACTCCCCTATCTGAAGTTGTATTTTAAGAGATAGTGTTGCATAACTCGGTCGGGTTTAAGCTTAATGCTTCACGAGAGCGTCGGAGTTGATTAAAAGCGAAGACGCGGTTTTCGGGGAAGTTTGTTGGGCGAGGTTTTGGCGCTGTTAAAGTTTAGGCGGGAAGATACAAAATGGAGTCTGGTCTTTTTGTCAGAGTGAAGCAGAAATCCGATTAGAGCCTGAAAAACAGCTTCAGACCTGTTTTTCGGACATAAAACCTCATTTATCGAACCATTTTACTCAAAACGCTTAAATCACTCTGTGGCTAGAAAATAGTTTGACGTTTTATACAGCCAAGGCGCATAATTTATGATTAAAAACGGGGCGATTTTGTCCTTAGATGACCTGTGGGAAACATAAAGTGGCGCTTTAATCACTTTAAAGAATGACTCAGGAAATAACAGAGTGTTGCTTGAGACAGGATGTTAATCAGTCATTTAAGGAAGTACAGGTTAGTTTTACCCAAGATTTCTTTCCTCTTCACCTTGAGGTTGCCCAAAGTCAAACTTCTTACATGCTTATATATCTCTGAAAGCTGTCTAAACTGCAGTTACTGCTCACACATGTTGAGTCCTTCACTGTTTCATAGTCTGAAGAAAACCAGGGGTATTGTTTAGAATTATTACAGCTAGAAGTAGAAAAAGGTTGTCTCTTGCAGTTTGTGATTTTAGCAAGATTTTTACAGTTTACTGAAGGCTACATATATGCGGTGGGTTTTATGCTCACTCATGGTTTGGTTATATTTGCATATAGTTTCAGACTTGCCCAAGGAAGTGTGGTAAATTTGCAATTAACCCACAAACCCCATCTGCTGTTCATGTTTGCAATTATACCCGAAAATGTACTACAAATGTAAATCACAATGCGTGAAACAGTTTTATTGAACGTAGTTGTCAATCCAAGGCAAACTTTATAATTTATTATAATTGTTATTAATTATTACAATTATAATAGTCATACCTAATGAGCAAGAATGTTTTGGGCACCAGAAGCATTTCAACCATACACATGATTGGTAGACAAATGACTATGACAAGTGGATTGAAACAGTGGTTTTCATCTGTGTATTTTGAAATGTATTAAAGTCAACTTTTAGGATGGACTGTTTGAGATGTTTTCTCAGTAGCTCATAAATGTCTTCTTTTTTTTTTTCTATAGCAGAATGGCGGCCGCGAGAAAGGACCCGAATAAGCCCAGAGGAAAGTCTTCTTCCTATGCTTTCTTTGTTGCAACCTGCCGTGAAGAGCACAAAAAGAAACACCCAGGGACTAGTGTGAACTTCTCAGAGTTCTCAAAAAAATGCTCTGAAAGATGGAAGGTGAGTTGAAAAGTTTGTTGCCTTGATTTTTAATTTTACTGTTTTTAATTAAAGGTATCAAAAGTTTAATCCAAGAAGTAATCATAACCTGAAAATAACAATGTTTCCAGTCATTACTTGAGAGTAACCATTTCATTGACAAAAAAGTAGTTTCCACCACAGTAGGTCAAACATTTTATCATATAAATGTTGTTTAAGTAACTAAGAACAACAGTGCCGTACCCCAAATAAAGGGGAAAAACTTAAATACGAAATAGAAAAATCAAAAGAGAGTAACAAAGGATGTCAGCATTTCTCTAGAATATACATTTAATACACAGTAACTGAATTAAAGTAAGCATTTTCACATTATCTAGACCATGTCAAGCAAGGAAAAGCTGAAGTTTGAGGAGATGGCCAAGACTGATAAAATCCGCTACGACCGTGAAATGAAGTCCTACGTCCCTCCTAAAGGCGTCAAAGGCAAGAAGAAGAAGGACCCCAACGCACCAAAAAGGCCACCGTAAGTCTAGCTACAACGCCCTCTTTCAAAGTAGCAAGATGTAATCTCAAATCAGCTCCTGCAATAATTTTTCTTTTCCCCCCATAGATCTGCATTCTTCGTGTTCTGCTCTGATCACCGTCCCAAGATCAAGGAGGACAACCCTGGTATTGCCATTGGTGACATTGCCAAGAAGCTTGGAGAGCTGTGGAGTAAACAAAGCGACAAGGATAAGGCCCCGTATGCTGCCAAGGCTGCCAAACTGAAAGAGAAATATGACAAGGTATGTGTGTCTCCATTGCAATAGTATTTATTCATTGTTTGAATCCTGTTAGTTTTAAAGATCTAGTAAGACATGTTCAAGACATTTTGATAATTTCATCATCAGGAGCTCGCCGCCTACCGTTCCAAGTCAGCCCCAGGAAAGGCTGACGCTGGCAAGAAGAGCGGTCCAGGCAGACCAGCTGGCAAGAAGGCGGAACCAATGGACGATGACGATGATGACGACGAGGACGAAGATGATGATGACGATGATGACGACGATGATGAGGATGATGACTAAGCTTGGTGTGTGTTGGATGTGAATTTGCGATGCATCGTTCAGTTTAACTCCTGTTCATTTTTGTGTGGATGTTTCAACAGTATTTGTCTGCACTGTTGCTCTGCCTCTGTAGGACAAAAGACATGTTTTCCTCCTTCAATTCAGGGATTGTGTTTTTATGTTGTCACTTATTTCCCTTTATGATGGTTTTAAGTTTCCTTTCTGCTTGGTGTGTTTTCATCTATTCCCATTGATTTCCAAACTGCCAGCCATTTCCTGCTCTGACATGATTTAACTGATTTGTCTACACAGGCATCAGACTGCAGCAAATCATCCTTTTAAACTGTTTGTTTTTGGAAGCACTGCTCCTGTTTTTGTAATGCAGTGCTGTTTCTTCACTGTTTTATTACAAGGGGTTATCTGTAGTTGGATTATTAAAGATGTTTGCAGCCATTTTTAATGTGGAACTTTGGAAACTTTCGTGTAGAACAGATTTTCTTTTTTGTAATAAAAATTTGTGTATTGATCAAAACTGTGTGGACTTGAACTTTTTTTTTTGGTTATTGTTCAGTTAAGTAAATCTCAAATAATGAAGTTCTCCTAAAAGACACTTATTTTAAAAAAAAAGAAGTATAATCAACACTTAAGCACTAAGTTGAAATTTAAATGATGCTGCTCCATTTTGCTTTCTTACCCATTACGGGGGATTTAAAAGAATAGTTGGGCAATAAAGTAACACTGAGTTAGAAATGATCATTTCATCATGGTAATGCAATCAGACCGAGACGCCAAGGCAGAACTACCGTGTCTGCAGTGCAAAATACTATGATTATTACTTAAAGGAAATTATAACGTAATGATCATAAATGTTCTTTCTTGAGCTGCGTCACCTCACTGCAGTCAATGGACTCACCAGGAGGTCACGTTCAAACAAGCAGCTGCTGGAGGAGAGTGGGTGAGTTGTGTTTTGTTTCTTTGCTTAAAATCAGGCAAATCTAAAAAATGTTTGATGGTTAGGACATATATGTACTGTTGATGAAGTTAGTGCTGTTCTGAACATTATTTGTGGCTATAGAGTGGCGTTTTGGTTGAGTGCCCGGCTTTCTGTATTGCTTATTTGCGGTTGTTTCTAAAATTGGTATAACTAGAGAAGCAGGCGGTCAGCAACATTCATCTCTCGAGGGGCTGTCTAACTCTGTGATATGGTGTGTCTGACCCTAAATTAATTTAAGCCCCAAATATCCCTTTTATAAGTTTTCAGTCAGCTCCATTAACCTGTACACTTTTGCATTGTGGAATTAAAAATTAACCTCTGTGTACAATTCTTTGTAGAGCAACTGTCAATTGTGATCCACCTGTTTATAACTTGTTATACGGAGCGAAGAATCCTTAATTTTTCAGTTCCTTGTGGACAAGATAGTAATCTCTTTTTTTGGCCCCTAAGGCAAATGGATGATGCTTAGAAAAAATAAATAAAATTTAAAAATACAAGATTTCACTTTCTGACCAGTTTTATGGAAATGATCTGCATTTCTGCTTGGATTTGTTTGCAGAAGGTCAGAATAGCCCTCCAAAGCTGCTGTTAGGATGTGAACTGCCTCCCACCTTCATAGATCTCTTGCTTGAGGACGCTCCAAAGGTTCTCAGTAGAGTTGAGGTCAGGGGATGATGGGGGCCACACCATGAGTTTCTCTCCTTTTATGCTCATAGCAGCCAATGATGCAGAGGTATATCTTGCAGCATGACATGGTTCACTGTCATGCATGAAGATGATTAAAGAAGATTTTGTTAGGGAAAGCATTGTTCTTCTATTTGAACCATGGAAGAAGGTGTTCAGTCAGAAACTCCACATACTTTTCAGAGGTCCCTTTCACACCTTCAAGGACCCTAAAAGGGCCGACCAGCTCTCTCCCCATGACTCCGGCCCAAAACATGACTCCGCCACCTCCTTGCTGATGTTGCAGCCTTGTTGGGACACGGTGGCCATCCACTACTCCATCCATCTGGACCATCTAGGGCTGCACGGCACTCACCATTGAACAAGACTGTTTGAGAATTAGTCTTCATCAGTGGCGATTGCTCAAAGACTGCAAGGGAAGCTCGGCTTCCCTTAAAATGTCACCCCCCAAAAAAGAGGTACATTTCATTAACTAGAAAGCCTTCATCTTTTGTTCAGACACTGTGATAAGAAGCTGATAATCACAGGTAACCGGCATAACTTCGTTCTCATTCATCCTCGCAGCGCCTCAGCGCTTTAAACAGCCGGACGCTGGGCTTCTGCTGACTTCAATGTGGAAGCTCAAAGTGGGTTGTTCCAGCAGCGAAACTAGACGCTCATTGGATAAATGCTGGGCTTTCTCCCGCCCATCGGAAGCTCAGCTTCACTGGAGTTCTATGGCGAGAGGGCGGTCCCAACTTTCTCCCGGACTCCGAGCTTCTGCATCCATGATTGGATGAGCTGTCTGAGGCGAAATCCTTTTTTGATTGACAGCTAAACAAGCGAATCAGCGATCTTGAAGAATAAAACATCTACCAGAGCATTTTCCAAGTTATTCATTCCGTTGTTCTTAACTGCTCCAGAGACTTTACCGATCCTCAGCGACTTTTGTCTTTGTTAAAAACGACTGCCGTTGTGTTTGGGGACTCTGTTCTGTTACATACTAATAAACAAATACAATTATGATGTAGGCCAGAAAAATGAGCTTCCCCTCCTTGACAGACCAGCAGCCGCCACTGGTCTTCATGTATTTCTGGACCCACTGCAACCATTTCTGCTTGTGAGCATTGTTTACGGGTGGTTGAATTGAAGGTTTATGCACAACTGCAAGCCTCTGGAGGATCCTACAGCTTGATGTTCGGGGGACTCCTGGGGCATCAGCAGCTTCAAATATCTGTTTGCTGCTTTGTAATGGCATGTTAGCAGCTGTTCTCTTAATCCGACGTATTTGTCTGACAGAAACCTTCCCCATTGTGCCTTTATCTGCATGAACCGTGTGTGCTCTGAATCAGCCACAAATCTCTTAACCCTTGTGTAACGCTGTGGTCAAAATCAGCCACTAGGGGCAAAATTTAGCCACTAATTTCTACGTAACTTTTTTTTTACTGCTGCAAATGGGCTGATTTTTTGTGCAGATGCTTATATTGATGGACACTTTGAGAATATGACTTCAAATTTGTCACCAGGTCAAAAATACGCAAATTTCCATCCGTTCTTAACGCTCAGTGGCTAAAAAAAGCCACTAACTGACTGCTTAATTAACTTCTGCTTTGATCAAAACTAGTAAATGTTTCATCTAAAAACATTTTTTAAGCCTTTGAGGGTCCATTCAGAACATAATGTCACTGATATGGTAGAAAATGAATCTAATAAAAATCAGTCATTTTCCTCCCATTTTTTCCCCAATATTAGTGACTTTATGTTTTAAATGGGTCCTTAAAGGGTTAAAATTTCGATTCTTAATGAAACATTTACTAGTTTTGAATAGAGCAGAAGTTAATTAAGAGATATATGACAAAAAATCTGGAAAAAATATGAATCCAATATGTTTTTACAGCAGTCAATGTCAGTGGCTGTTTTTAACTACTGAGCGTTAAGAAAGGATGTAAATCTAAGGTACGATGATGAGGCTTAGGTTTTCATGAAGTATCCAAGGTTTTCATATCTTGTTCGAGGCTAAACTATTTCATGCTTTTCAGCAGCAGAGAGATCCTTTTTCTTTCCCATATTGCTTGAAAAAGTTGGTCTGCTTAAAATGTGGAGTGCCCTTCTTTAGTAGTTTTTTCCTTTACCTGGGCTCACCTGACAAACTAATTATCACAGGTGTCTGAGATTGATTTCAGTGATCCAAAGAGCCCTGAGACACAGTACCATCCACGAGTTTAATTAAAAAACAAACAAAAAAAAGAACCTGTATGACACTTGAAGACAACTTGCATAATCTGTTCAACATTAACTCCTAGGTGTTTTATAGAACAAACTCACTATTAAAAGGCTTCTTGTAATTGATGTGCAATTAACGACCACAGACTTGACGCAGAACCCAAAATGTAACGTGAATCAAGGCCAAATTCTCACTAATATAATCAGACATCATTATGGACGGAGTCAAGACAACAGATTCACACACCTCTGGATTTACACAGGAACCGTTTGAGTGACACCGACGACAACCAATCAGTGATCGGGACGAGGACTCCAACGGGCCAATCAAGAACGCCGTCTCCTCCCACCTCACGCGGAGGACGGTGAGCTGAGAGCATTTCAGTACCTGGGAGCTGTCCGTTGTGGTCCAAAGCCTGCTGACAACTAACGGTAAGACGAAAACACACACACACAGACACAGACACACACCGACACACACATTTAATAGCACGCTAGCACTGCAATACGAGCCTACAGACTAAACGAATCATGTAAAACCCGGTTCAGTTCACGTTAGATATCACAAACCTGCGATGTTTGTGCTCAGACAGACTACAGCTGCGACGTTCGGGTGTCTCAAAAACAGACAGTTTTTACACCGATTAGTTTCTCTTTTTCTCACTGAAACCTGTTGATTCAATCATCATAATTCTGAAAACACCCAAGGAGATGAAACTGAGCCTCAAAAAGGCGTCCTCTTGGGTAAACGGTGGCATTTTGGTTAAAAATTAGTCGGTTACTCGCGAAGAGACAGGGCCAGCCAATCCATTTAAGGGTGTCTCAGACGAGCTTCCTATTCTGTGCTAATTGATCTTTAGTAGAATATCTCAATCAATCAGCTTAAATTAGTTGACATTTGTATGATGCCAGTGCACCAAAAAGCAGATCTTCACTGTACTCTTTATCATGTTATGTGATGAGGTCTCTATATCATTAACAGAGACTAAACATACATTCACCATCTGCAAATGACAACATTTGGAAAAGACAAACTTGTCTTAACAGGTAGAAACCCTGAGCAGAACTAGAGTCATGGTGACAGCCATCAGCTGAGAGTGTGTTTAGGGAGAAACTGTGAAAACAACAACAAAAATCACAGTCTGTAGATTTATTAACATGTTTGATATTAGCAGGAAATGGCTGATTGGTCTTATGTCAACATCAACAGCTGTAATGAAGATATTAGTAAGTGGCAGAAGTTGGAGTCAAGCAGCTACAGTATAAGATAAACATTCACCTCTACAATAACAATGATGGTTAAAGTACAGACCAATATCATTTGCTAGACCAGGGTTTATGTTTTAAGAGTATGTCTCCATTGTTGTTTGAAAAATCTGCAGTATGACAATATCAAACACACTGTAAGGGTCCACACACATTCATTTAATATGATCGAGCCTTGTAGGAGAGCCTACTGACAGATTAACAGAATGTACTAGATTGGAGTAAATCTCCAAAATTAAAGTCTTTGTTGACAACAATCACACCAGTTATTCAGATATTACTGTACTAGCTTTCAATTTACTTTAACAGCAGGTCTCATTCCTCTGACTGCACCAATTTTTACAGCATCTACTATAAATTAGACTGGGTTCACTTAACTCCTGTTAAAAAATACTCTGGGTATAATAAATACTACAGAAACATAACCCCCTAAAAGACTCCTGGGAACAAGTTTAGTCGCTGTTTGTGGCAGCTTGGCTCACAACGCCTCTGTACATTCTGTGTCTGGTTAAGAACACTGATAAAAGAAAAAAAAAAACACTTCTTACGTAAAACTGTTTTATCCAATCACAACGACAAGCCTGTATGTATTAGACTGTTCATTTTAAAGTGGAGGAGACCTTCCTGAAATCAAGCTGAGCATGATGTAAACCACAGCTTGGCTCATCTCCTCATGAACACGCTGTTTCTGCCTATATTTCAAGAAACTTATAACATGAAGTTGCTTTAATCAGTGATAATAATCTGTTACTACTTCTACTACTTCTGTTGATCACAGAGTTAAAAATAAACAATTTTGAACAACAATTGTCATATTGTCCTGTCCCATGAGAGACTAAATCCATGCAGCTAATAATGAAGCCTGTTTTTTTTTTTCCTGGCTGCTGTGACTGAAGACGGTCCATTAAAACTAAACATCCTCCCTGGAGACTAATCAAGACTGCTCATCTTGAAAGAGGGTCTATGAAGAAGACGAGTTAACACCCAGACACGGAGCTCGACTGTTAAATTATTATTTGAGCCAAAATCTGTCAGAAATTGTGCAGAGTTCGAATGACCAGTTAATTGTATGACTAACAGGTGTTTGTTGAATTACAAATATGCAGGAGGGCAGGAAAATGAGTCAAGATCCATGCTCCTCTAAAATAAAAAACAAATATGCAATCCCAGGTATACAAATACAGCAAAAATACAACCTGTGGATGCACACCTGCTTTGGGCTTCTGCGTCTGGGTACTACACTGAGAAAACTCAAATCTTAGCTTCCCAAAAATATCCTGAGAGGGTCAGGGTTGATCCTACAACCATGCAAAAATGACTAACGCTTGTGCGATTGATGATGAGGAGCAACCAAAACAGAACTTTTTATAAATAAGAACAAAGCTTTAAAGTATCACATTTGTTATTTTGTTTATATTCTTTGCACATATATTTAGTGGCTGCTCTGTACCGCAGCTCCCAAGGCTCCAATTAGGATCTACAGTATTTGTAGTTCAGGGTTTTTAAATAGGAACAGTTAGTCAGTGCTAATTGTAATGCAAGTGTCACTGCTGCGGTTTAAGGTGTTTTTTTTGGCAGCATGCAGACTGAAGCAGAGCAGGGGAGGAAGTCTTCATTGATACTTTCAAGAAGAGGCTAAAAGACATAGAAACTGAAACCAGGCTGGTAGCATTTGAGAAAAACAAATCCTAAAAACAAAGTAAACGTCAATCTTGTTTTTAACTAGTTGTTTAATACAAGCAAAATATATGTTTGTGATGGCCAGAGAGGTCCACTTGTATTACGTGATGTTGCAGATGTTAATGTGTAAAGTACACATCATTACTCTTTAGCACCATTATCTATTAAAAAGAAAAGGGTCGGGGAGATTTACATGCAAATTAGCTGATTTGCATCTAACAGGAAGAGGTTACAGTTGAACTGGTCGACAGTTTTTTTGAAGATAACCTTTGATTACAAGTATCTCTGCTGCCTTTTTTGTTCTTTTCTTTGATTCGACGGATGATTTATCCAAAGATAAATCCCTTCCTGCAATAACTCGGGCTTTTAATGCTGCAAGTCTTACATTAGGGTAGAGGAAATTCATCTCTTATAGCACAGCAAACCTTCTTAGATCTACAGATTTAGTATTATATGAATTCCATAAATTTTATATTGAAGGCACACAGCTTTTCTTTTTATTTAGCATCAGTAACTTCCGTTGTAGCTGTTTTTTTTTTTTCTGCATTCTTTTTTATCTGCAGTAGTGGCATTTTTTTGTTTGTTTGTTTTGTCTTTTTTTTGCGTCATTAACTTTGTGGGATTTTTATTTTTTCTTTATTTGCATGTTTCTTTTTTTATTTGCAGCGGGCTTCGGTTTCGTTTTTCTTTTGCATCAGTTACTTCAGTTGTGGCTTTTTTTTTTGCATTCTTTTTAAAAAAGAAAGTTTTATTTGCAGCAGTGGCGGTTCTCGGCCACCGTATATTTGTAATGCTGGAAGCTGCACAGGAAAAGGTCCATTTCACCAGCAAACACCGCTCACACTCTTTTTGTCCCAAACTCCAAGAAATTGTTGTCTTCTAACAACATCTCAATAATCCTTTCAGCTGCAGAAACCAAATATAACATTCTATCTTTATTCTTTATATATTATGTACATTTAATCGATCTTTTTTTTTCTGTAAATATAACGCTGGAATGTCAATTTCCTTGAAGGCACCTTCCCAAAAGGATAATTAAAGTTGTATCTAATCTAATCTAATCTAATCCATATAGACTAATGGTTAAAACTGGTACACTATGCTAATTTTTGCTTGAATATGGGGTGTCCAGGGTGCTGTCCTCTGAAACAGGGTGGATAACATCATGTCTGGGGTCCTTTAAGGACTCCTGGTGTAACTGTTGCGGCTATAATAAGTACATGACCACCATTCAGACGCGCTGTAGGCTGAGTCAGTTCCACACAGTGTCTGAATTCAGTCTGTAGTTAAGCAGCGGTCTTAACCAATCAGAGCAGAGATTTATTCAATCCTCTCTACATGTCGCTGTCACTTTAATCATCTTATCTCCTCTAACCTGTGGCTCTGCGTACTACCCAAGTTTACTGTCTAACTGTGGTTGTATCTCACAGAAGTTTGATCTATAATCCATAAGAATTATCGCTCAAGATGAGAAGACAACAACTAACCCTTCAGAGCGATAAAAAGCACAACAGCGTTTAATCTTACATCGATACTACAGTTTCAAAGAGAATTAAAGCTTCAGTGTGCAATTGATTTATAAACAATTTATGTTTTATTGTAGAAAAATGTTGCACATCTTAATAGAAATAATGCTTTGAATAAAAGTCTAAATTACTTACCAAGTTTTAATAAGTCTCTATGATTTTTCCATCTGTCTGAATTTTAATTGAAGTTGCTCTGAGAAATCCAGCTGACTGTTGGTATTTTCTTCATCAGAGCTTTTAACTCCTGGCTTCAGTAGACAAAAACAGAATAACATGTGACTGAAATGTGTGTTAAAAGTGTGAGTTGTACTGAATAAACTGACATTTCTTTACGTCTGTCTACATGTGTCTCTGTAGGCGAGGATGGCCAAAGTGAAGCAGGTGGGCTTGCTGGCAGCAGGCTGTCAGCCCTGGAATAAAGATGTTTGTGCTGCCAGTGGAGATCGCTTCGCCTACTGTGCCACCTTGGCAATATACATCTACCAGGTGACGTATGAGTGTGTGCTCTGGTTAGGGCTGGGCAATAGGGGAAAAAAAATTATCACAATGTATTTTTTTCATATCAGTCGATATAGTTATGTATCAGGATATTAAAAAATCACCTGTTGAAGTTAAATGTTCCCTGTTATGCTGAAATGAAAGTAACATGTACTCAACATAATTTGCAGTAACTTTACTCTGCTTCATGTCAGACTTTAAAAAAACAAAATACCTCCACACCACTGACGTCTTCGTGCCAGTGTTGGCGACGATATCGTCATCTGTTGAGCCTTCATCGTCATTTCTGTCGGGGGTTCTGCTCAGCTTCACGTGTTAAAGTGCTAGCTGCAGCCTGCTACTACACAGTTGTTCTCTACTTGGTTCTAATTCAGCACATGATTGGTTCAGCACGGCGCGACCCACAGCAACTCCCCTTTTCATTGGCTATTCGTGAAGTCTACCGAAACATGGCAGAATGCCGAAAAGAATATCGACCTTGTTTATATCGATATTGAGGGAAATTTATTTTTGATATATTTGTCCAGGGCTCGACGGTGCGACCGTTTCACTAGCATTTGTGACTAAAAATAGATTTGTGCGAATTGTTAAATGTATTTAGGGTCACATGTGCGCATAAAATAATCAGCCAAGGCAACAAATGTTTTTTCATGTAAATACAGCGGTGAAGTTAGTTTTAGGTTGGATATCCGACAGACTTTCACCGAGGATCTACCGATGTCTTCTCACTCTCCATAACCGGGAATAACAACAGCAGCACGGTTAAATCTACTCGGCACCCTCGCTGTCAACGTCAGATGTTGATTAAGGGACCGTCAATAAATTACCGGTCGATGTTCTCTAAAAGGCTGTTTTCCATCAATAGCTTCTGTGTCACGTGACCAATTGACCTAAAATTGATTTCAAATAATGGTACTTATGTCGGCCAATAAGACACATCTCTTTATTTCACTAATTTGTCCTCTAGAAATTTTTTGTGTTAAATCTAGAGGCACATTTTGAACGTTTTCTTCAATAGATTCCATGTCATGTGACCAAAAGACCTAAAATTGATTTCAAATAATAGTACTTATGTCGACGAATAAGACAAACATTATTTGATCAATTTTCATTGTGCCCCTAAAGTTCTTTGTGTGCTCCTTACTTTTTCAACTTTGGAGAACATGTGAAAAAAGTTAGTGTTAAGCCCTGATATCATTATCCTTTTATCGCCCAGCCCTAGATCTGGTTAACGTGTAAATGAGGATGAGTCCTTTTAATTTAATTTAATCAATTTCAAGTACTCAACATAAACTCGTAGCTATAACAAAAATTATGTTTATGAATCAGTTTCTATGAAGCTCACTTTAAATTAAATCCTCCTTTTTCAAGTCAACTACTCAGAGTTTACGTGACAGTATTTTTTGCAGCTCATTCAGAAGCAGTCAGCTAAAGAACCTAGTGCAGAGTTTTATGAAACTTTTCAAAACATGTAAAAACAAACAATTTAATTAATTTTATAGATAGACAAAATGTTAAAAGGACAAAAACACGAATCTGTTTTCTCCTGAGTCCAAAAAACATTAAACAGGTTATAATAATGATTACAGGCCTTCAGGGACTCAACCCATTAGTACAATCAAAATTAATAATAATGTCTTTTCTCGTTTTCAAAATGTGATTTGTTGGGTTTCCACTCTCTCTCTCTCTATCTCTCTCTCTTTCTGCCGCTTTTTGCAGTTGGATCAGCAGTACAACGAATTCAAGCTGCGCTCCATCATGTCCGAACACAAAAAGACCATCACCGCCATCAGCTGGTGTCCTGACAACCCGGACCTGTTCGCGTCGGCGTCTGCTGATAACCTCCTCATCGTGTGGAACGTAGCCGAACAAAAAGCCGTGGCTCGACTTGACAACACTAAAGGTGAATGAGTAATTTACACCTGAGTTTATCTGCACACTGGAGGTCAAAGGTCAAATGATTGTTTTGTCACCTGCTATAATTAAGCGCCACTGCACCCCCCTCCATCTAGGAGTCCCTACGTCAGTCAGCTGGTGCTGGAACTCGGCTGATGGAGTGGCCTTTGTCTCCCAGCGTGGACCGCTCTACATCTGGGCGTATGGAGGTCCTGACCCCGGGGTCACCGTGCACAAAGAAGCCCACTCCTTCCTGTCGGATATCTGCCTCTTTAGATGGCATCCCACCAAGAAAGGCAAACTGGTGTTTGGACACACAGACGGGAGTTTGTCAATTTTTCAGCCAGGTAGGTCGATGATGTCTCTACGCTCCAGAACTTCAGGATTACACTCAATGAACTCATTGAATAGAGTCATGTTAAATGACAATAAATAGATGAATAAAGAGACTGACTTTGTTTACAACTCTGACACAAACACTCTTGTGTGGTCATCTTTAGTTTAGGGATGCTCCGTCATTAGCCGCTGAACTGATTGGACAGTCTAGTGTGCTGCATGAGACAATTTTAGAATAAGAATAACTTTATTCATCCCTGAAGGGAAATCCATGATAATTATGATTAAAATTATTATTATGATGAGGGCGGCACAGTGGTGTAATGGTTAGCACCGTCACCTGACAGAAAGAAGGTCCTGGGTTTGAATCTGGGGGTCAAGGCTTTCTGTGTGGAGTTTGTTCTCCCCGTGTCTGTGTAGCCTGGCTGGGCCATCCAGTTGCGTGAATCACTTGCCGTTCCTTCCCACAACAGTCTGGACTTCGGCCAATTGGGAGCCCTAAAAGTGGGCGGGAGTACTTTCCTTGATAGACAGACTACTGTAACCAATCACCGTAACCAAACATCTGACGTCATCACAGTGCGCAACTGTGTTCCCTGCTGGGCTCTCAAGCATCAAGTAAAGGTTTGGTAATATTTCAACGTGTGCGAGCAAACAATGTCTTTTACGTCTTCTTCTGCGGATATAAACGATTTCTGCCGACTTTGCAGAGTCAACTGCAGAATTAACGGCGTTCTGAATGGACGGCACTTTGAAAAGTCCCGCAGCATGTGTTAGACGTCACCATCTACACATGGACCAATCAGGGGCTGCCTTTCCCTGTTGTCCGGGGAACAGTGGAAACAAAGTCACTGATTGGTCAGGTTATTTTCTGATTTCTAATACACGCTCCCAATTGGCCGAAGTCCAGACTGTTGTGGGAAGGAACGGCAAGTGAGTCACGCAACTGGAGGCCCAGCCAGGCTAGTGTCTGTGTGGATTCACTCTGGGTACTCTGGTTTCCTCCTACATCCCAAAAACAAGCACAAGTGTCACAGTGTCACTTCAAAATTGCCCGTAGGTGTGAAAGTGATCATCAGTTAATGATTTAAAATTTAGTTTAAAGCGAAGCTAAAAAGGTACATTTTAAGTTATTTTCTGAACTTTACTGTGATTTCTTTATCCGTAGCTACAAAAACACCTGAGTGCAGGGAAAACCATTTTAAACCAACACAGCCTGACATACACAGGATTTCATTTATGAACTGAGAGTTTGAACAACAAGTCTTTAAATCTTCTCTACCTACAGAGCATTTTAAGATTTTTGTGACTGTATTACACAAAGCTGATCCTGACTCACATTAAATTCTAAATCGAACTAAAATGAAAAAGTACTGTAAGTAAACCTGCTCCTCTTTTACAGCCTTAAACAGATAAATCTTCATTAATCCGTGTGTCTTCTCTTGTTCAGGGAGTAAAAGCCAAAAGCACGTGCTGCGTCCAGAGTCTTTAGAGGGGACGGATGAAGAGGACCCCGTCAGCGCACTGGAGTGGGACCTTCTATCAACGGACTATTTACTAGGTTGGTCAAGATATTCCCAGCATTACCTGGAGTGTTTAAGCTTGAAGTGATCGAACTAAAAAATGTTTAAAGACAGAGAGACTCATCTCCTTCTGTTTCAATTACAGTGTCAAATCTCCATAATGGTATCCGGCTGGTGGACAGCGAGGCGCTGGCTTGTATCACGTCCTTCTGTTTCCCCTCAGCTGCCGCTTCAGTTCAGTGTCTGGCCTGGGTTCCCTCTGCACCGGGCATGTTCATCACTGGAGGTGACGAGTGTTTGTGTATATCTGTTTGGGACGTGTCTATGACCTGGGTTGGCCTCTGCCTTTGTGTGTTCACTGCTACAGGTTGAACTTGCTTTACAGCCTCCCACACACCGAGCAGCTGGTATGTGGGATATGTTGTTTTCACAGGCCCATCTGTCTATGCAGAGACGCACTCTAACTGGAATATTAATGAGCATGCTTGGTTCCTTCAAAACAGAATAATCCTGTTTGTACTGAAGGACTGAGATAACGGATGGAGTGTAATTGATTTATAATCTCTCTGTACAGATTCTTCATAAGAATGTAAAATCTATACAAACAGGGCTGAACTCTTGTCCTGTCTTAGTGCGTAACTTGGGCAGATGTAACCGATCCTATATCAGCAACTAGATCAAAACTTTGACATGAGAGTTTCCTGGTATCCTGATTCGCCTCACTTATACAGTATGTTCCAGGTGAGGCTGAGGCGAAAATACAAAGTGATTTTATTTCATGTTTAACTTGCTGCACCCAATCCACAGTCCCTTATCAGATTTTTTAAATGCACTTGTATATTTGCAGATACATTAATCATGAGACATTAATTCATAAGGTATTCAAAGCAGATGCCATGCATGCATGTTTTTTACCATGGCTAATTTGCAACCCCTGCCCCTCGACAGACATCTATAATTAAAAACAGAAATAACAGAGCGCTGAGTGTAAACACTTGAATCATTAAAAACAGGTAACAGGATCAGCGTGTGCAATAAAATGTACTACATCTACAAAGATGGAGACCAGCAAAGAGACAGAAAACAGCTGAGTCATGAGAACATTTTTAATAAACATGTTTGAATCTGATCTACACTTAGAAAAATAAATCATGGCATAGTTTATTTTTAAGTATTTACATCAAGTTGATTTTATTTTCATGTTTATTTTTTCACAATTTATTTATTCAAGTTTCATAAATTCAGAAAAAATCTGTTATGTGTGAAAACAATTCAATCAAATTAGTTAAAGCATATGAATATAGTTATATATACTTTTATATATACTTATATATTTCATGTTTTTATTTTGGTCTCATTTTATGTTGCATAGTTCTTGTATCGTCTTGTTTTCCATATGAAAGTGTCCTTCAGTTCTGAGGTTTTAACTGAGCTTTTTGTTTTTTATTTCCGTGTTCTGATGTTCTGTGCTTTATGACCATTTGTCGAAGCACCTCGTAAACCTCTAAAAATGCTATAAAAACAACTTTATTATTAAATAGATATGAGGAGCTGTGGATCAACCAAGACTCATTTAGTTAAGATTTATGAGACAAAACAAATTGGATTTATCAATGATGAATTCATAAATCTTAATTCTTTCTTTAAAACACATTAGGTTTATTGGTATTATAACATAAATCTAATTCTTAATTGTTTTATTTCCATTTGAATGACAAATATGCAGCACATAAAGTTTATTAGCCTGTTTAAGTTAAATCCAAGTAATTCAAATGGACGTAAATTTTATATGCGTTTGGCCTGAATATTTCTGTGAGTGTATGAATTTGAACTGTTTTGAGTGTTCACTGAATTGCTTCTGTATCTAAATGTGGATAGAAAACCTTTAGGTCTGTCAGTGTCTTTGAATACAGGTGGTAATGTACTCCATAATTCTGTACTTCTGACCGTGAAGGATGATTGACTGAATGAAGGTTACTCTTCACTTTGCAGCCAAACGGTTTCCTTTCTCTTTACCTTCAGTTCACATTTCACTGCTTTGTTTTTTTAACTGTCTACTTTAAGTTGGTGACCATAGACTGTATATACTATGGACAACTTGGTTCCGCCTTCCGCTAGTTTACGGATTTAAGGCCAAAAAGCTCTCTGTATTTCTGGGTTTTTCTCCACTTCCTGGAAACAACATTGCACAGCAGCGTTGTACGCATTCGGCGGGAGAGTCGCTGTGATGACGCTCGGCTCAAACAGCGAATTCCTCAGTTGAGCTACACAATCTTCGTACACCAATAGGCTGTATCAAGTATTAATTTCTCAAGTTTGTCCACAGCTCTATAAGCTTTGCTGGAGGAGGTGGGATTTATGACCTATACTGCAGCCCGTCACCAGAGGGTGCTGTTCTCATGGTGGCTTCACCCAGCGAGGAGGCAGGCAGCGTCCATTTTATATACAGTCTATGGTTTCCAACACTTGAAATCACATCAGTGCAGCTAACACGTGTAATCTGTCATTGTGTGTCCATATTAATATTTACATTTGCACTGTTTGATTGAATCGTCTCTGATTCTTCTGATCAGACTCACAGGTTGGAGTGTTGAGGGTCTGGAACGTGTCTCGCTCGACTCCCCTGGACAGTTTTAAACTGAAAAAGACCGGATTTCACGCTTTGCATGTCCTCAACTCTCCTCCAGCCAAGAAAGGTAAAGATTTTCATCAAACACAACAGCTAAATACATCTCAAGGACACCTGAGTGTGCGGAGTGTGTGTGTGTCTCAACCACAAACCCACACAGACGAGAATTAAAAGGATCACTTGAGTGACTTTGCTGCAAACAAAGAAACAATAATAGACAGAAAAAGATTCACTCTTGAATTAAGCAGCTTCAAAGGTCACAGTGCAGTATCAGACTAGTCATGTTGTATTAATCCTTTAGTCTATGAAAAATGTGATATAAGTGTATAAAATTATGTTGAATTAATGCAAATTCAAAGCATGTCCACCACTAGACAAGAAATAAAGGCAAAGAAAAGGAGAATTAGGTGCATCAGTAATAACAGTTTCATGTCATTTAGAAGTTTGAACAAAAACTGGGTTACTGACACCTTTGAAGACGTGTTCGCATTATGTTTGTAGTATTTGTTTCTAATACTGTGAATCTTATCCTGCTGCAATGACAGGATGCTGCGGGGTTAATGCACTACTTGTTACATGCTGTGTCCTATTGTATGCAAGTTGTTGTGTTGGCAATTTAGCAGTGAAAAAAAGGGGTAGTTTTGTCCGACAAAAATGATTCCAGAGAGTGTAGTTCAACGCGTGATTCGTTCACCAAGTGATTCAGAAGTCGGTGCATGTGGTCCTTCGTTCGCCGACTGCTCGCCTGGTAATGCTGTTTCTCACTTCTGCTTAACTGAACGAATCACTCGAGGAAGTGATTCGGTTCAGTATGTTCACTGAAAAGATTTGGTTCTTGTGAACGAATCGTTCGCCAATGACACAGAACTAGTTACATTGGAGTCTTTAGTTTGTGTAGCTTAGCTGTTCCCAAAATAAACCTCGCTCATTCTGACGGTTGAGAACTGTGAGATCGATCTTTTTTCAAGATTTTTTGAATAACTCACCTGCTACTTTCTCCTTTTTTTCCTCTTCGCAGCTCAGAGTTCCTGTTCTCCAAGTAAAAGTCAGCACACCAGTTCCACCAGTGAAGCTGTTCCTCCCCCGACCCTTTCACAGAACCGGTCCTTCTCTCTGCCTCCGGGCCACGCCGTGTGCTGTTTCATGGATGGAGGGGTTGGACTCTATGACATGGGGGCCAAGAAGTGGGACTTCTTGCGAGATTTGGTATTTTGTCACATCTTTGTTTAAATCAGAAGCATAGACGCACTAACCCCTGACTGAATCAACATGTTCTCACTCTTTTTAAAATATTTTTTCAGGGTCACGTTGAGACGATTTTTGATTGCAAATTCAAACCCGATGATCCCAACCTGCTGGCCACTGCAAGTTTTGATGGAACCATCAAAATCTGGGATACAAACACACTGACAGCTGTTTACACCTCCCCTGGCAATGAGGGCGTGGTCTACTCTCTGTCTTGGGCTCCAGGTAAATTGTTTCCCCCTCGACACATCTGAACATGCACAGTATAAGCACGCACACATCCTTACAACCCTATCAGGCTTCTCAGTTTTCTTTTGCACAGTGAGTCATTTTTGGTTCAGTGTTTGGTGAATACTTTAAGGGCTTTCAGACCTACAGTACACTGTTTTGTCTGGACTTTCAGACTTTTCTGCTTGATCAGAACCAGAATGATCGATGAGATAAGATTTTTAATAAGATATTTTACTCGGTCCATCATGTGAGGTACTTGATCAGTAATAAAGACAGAGGAGAAATCCAGCTTCTGATCGTTTTTGACATGCACAATTGTTTTCACTCGCGTTTAACCATTTACCTGATATCATGCTGCACCATAACGAGAGCGAATTCAGTTGTTTTGTTGAAAAGAATAAATAAATTATCTTATGTTTTCGGTAGCGTTGGTTGGTTTGTTTGTCTGTTAGCAACTTTACGGAGAAAGTTACAGACGGATTGACCTGAAATTTTCACCAGAGGTGCGTCTCAGCCCCAGGAGGATCCCATTACATTTTGGTGGTGATCCAGATCCCCTTCTGGATCCAGGAATTTTTGGAAGGATTCTTTATCATTGTGAGATAGGGCACATTTTGGAACTTTTGCATTTAACTCTATAAAAATGTCCAGAGTCTGTAGTAAAAAAAATTACACAAAAGGATTTTAATGAGTTTTATGAGGTGTCAAAGGTTGATCCTGATCCAGACAAAATTCTGGATACTGTGATCCAGAACACACAAAAATAAGGGTGTCGTTGGAATTTTCAATACTGAAAGATAACCAATGGGCGGCACAGTGGTGTAGATTGGTGGTACAGTGGTGTAGTGGTTAGCACTGTCACCTCACAGCCACAAGGTCCTGGGTTTGAATCCGGGTCAGGGCATTTCTTGTTTTAGGAACATTATGAACAGTGAACGTACCAGTTTAAACACAAATAAAAGTTCATAAAAGACACGAAACAGTAAAAGTTTTGGTGTGAATCACAATATAAGGGGGGACATGAGCTGCTTGGCAGAGGTCTGCGCTCTCCGAGTGCTTTTCTAGTTGGTAGTGTTATTGGGTCTGCATTTTGGTCAGGGGCTCAATAAATGTCCTCAAATGTTGGATGATACTATTAAAAAAATAAAGGTTGCTTTAACAGATTTATTGAAGTTTGAGGATGAGTGGTCTTCATTTTGTTTTTGTTGTGTATGTTTGTTTATTCTTGTTTTTGGATCATATGTGTTCTGTGTAATTACCACCTGTTCACTATAAACTCTGTTTCTAAAACAAACTGAGGGGTTTAAGGAAAAGTTTCCCAATATTAGAAAGGTTTCTTTCCGAGCCATCACTGGATTCAGAAAAAAAAGACTCATTTTATTATGTCATACAAAACTCTAAATCCACTGTAGTTGATTAAATGTACTGAAACATACATGAACATCTGTAAAGACAATTTTAATGTCATGTTAAAAGACGTAAAATCCTTCTACTTCTATTCCAGTATAAACCTCTAACACAAGGATAATAAGTTTATCTTTAAAAAGTTGTTACTGTGTTTTGAAGGAGACCTGAACTGCATCGCCGGGGCAACATCTCGAAACGGAGCGTTCATCTGGGACGTCAGGAAAGGAAAGATCATCACCCGCTTTAATGAGGTGACTTTTACTTTTTTGCATTAAAACTGAGGCGTCAGTAATGCATCAGTAATAACCGTGACGGTCCATTCATTTTCTTTGTTGAAAATCATCACTGTATTAACTCACTGAGGTCGAGAGTGCAGTTCAGTGATCAGGTAACAACCACTGAATGGAGAGCCCCCTGCTGGTGTGCTTAGTTATATTTTAGATTTGACACCCCCTAGCCCCTGATGGAATACCAAGTGACTGTTCGTTAGCATCAAGCCTCAGCGTAAACTCTAACCATAACCAGTTTGGTAACAGTCATGTCTACTTTGTTATTCTCCAGCATGGTAAGAACGGAATATTTTGCATATCATGGAGCCATAAGGACTCAAAGAGGATTGCAACGTGTAGTGGAGATGGATTCTGGTGAGTTTGCATCTTCCTTGTTGCTCTCTATGTGAAAGATAAAAACAGGTTTCTAAACGCTTTCCTCTCTGAACACAGTATCATCCGGACCATCGACGGGAAAATCCTCCACAAATACAAACATCCTGCTGCTGTGTTTGGATGTGACTGGAGCCAGAACAACAAGTGAGACCTCTAATATCAGACACTCATCCTCAGCTGCCATGTTAATCTTTGAGTTAAAGATGCTTTTTGGGATGTACTGATTAGAAAGTCACTGTTCTTGTTAAAGATAAAAAAGCAGATTTGAGGCGGAAAATCAAGAGTAAGGAAAGTTCAATGATTTGGTGTTAGTATACTGTGAATCCTCAAATGAAGACCTGGGACTGGGATCACATCCTTTCCAAGAGAATATTTAGAGTTTTCGTTTTTGGTTGAGATGCTTTTATAATCCTGTCATTGAGAACAACTTTTCAAGTAAGTTCACACCAATCATAAAACATCCATAATGACCAGAAAGACATTTGTCTTAGCCCCGTAACGGAGACTAGTTTCATAAATACTTTATCTGTGAGTAGATTTTGGTGGATTGGGTGTTTTCAGAACATGTCTTAGTTGGTCATTTGCACATTTTGTTTGTCTCTTATTTGTCGTTTTTACTTGTAAATTGTCTTTTTTGTGAATCAGGTCCTCACTTTGTCCTGAAAAATGAACAAGTTTTCAGATGAAGAGTTTGAAATAAAAGCCTGTTTCATATAACAGCTTGGTTCCTCCTGCGGTAAAAACATTTATAGAATCAGATTTATATTTGATGATTTATGGTTTATTACGTTTTTTATTTAGTCTTTTCTTCTTTAGTCTTCTCTGCAGGAGCCTCATTTGTCAATAAAACGGTCGACCAGGATGTTATAACTTCCTTGTCAGCACTAAATGACCAGTTCAATCTAAACCTCTCAGAACATAAATGATAAACTGCAACCAATCTTCTCCGGAAGCTTCAGATGTTTTGGTTTCACTTTCTGACAGGCGTCTGTGTCGTCTTACAGTCTTTGATTGTCGTCTTACACACTTTCTCTCTTGGTGTCTGTCTTTGCAGAGACATGATAGCGACAGGCTGTGAGGATAAAAACGTCCGTGTTTACTACCTGGCCACCAGCTCCGATCAGCCTTTGAAGGTCTTCACGGGACATTTAGCCAAAGTTTTCCACGTCCGCTGGTCTCCGCTCAGAGAGGGAATACTGTGCTCCGGATCAGATGATGGGTAAGTAGAGCACTAAAATCATTATTAAAGTTTTTCTCACAGGGGCTTTAAAAGATTTTAAGACCGGAAATATTTGGTAAAATTAGATATCACACATGTTGTAGTCGTATAAGTGAAGATTTCGCATCATACACTACGTGGTGATGCTGAAGGTTTTGACATATAAAGAAACTAAACGTCTCGTTTGTTTGTGTCCATGCAGCACCGTTCGTATTTGGGACTACACACAGGACGCCTGTATCAACGTGCTGAGTGGACACACCGCTCCGGTCAGAGGGCTGATGTGGAACACAGAGGTTCCTTACCTTCTCATTTCAGGTATTTCAGGACAAAAAAAAAAAGATCAAACCTTTTTTTTACTCTTACTGTTTGGATCATAATGTCCTTGTGTGTTTGTGCTCAAAACATTTGATCAACAAAAAGAAAATAAAGACTTCTCCGTAAAATTTTTGTCAAGGAAATCCAAAATAATCCAAATCCAAAATAAAGTTACTCTTTTTTAATGACCTGTATTTCCACTGTCAGCTTAATATCGGTCTTTAGAGACATCTGGTGGAGACTCAAAGAAACTATGTCTCTAAGTTTTCATGACACCCTGCATATGTGTAGAGGCAGTAATTGAACTGAATATATGTTTTGCCAGACGAGATAGTGATTACTTTAATGTCTTCCGATTGCCGTGTTGTTGAAATGTGCTGCCTAAATAAACTTGCCTTGAATAGCCTGGAAACGTGCGATGCACTGCTCTGAAGGTCGTATTTGAACTGTTTGTGTTGTGATCTTGCAGGTTCTTGGGATTATACAATCAGAGTGTGGGACACAAGAGACGGCACATGTCTGGACTCCGTCTACGACCACGGAGCCGACGTCTACGGTGAGACTGAAACCACCGGACGATCAGCCTACAAAAGAAATTCAGATTGTTTTCAATATGAGCCTAAATTAGACATTTTTAGCTTCAAAGTAGAAAGTGTACAAGAGTAGATTAGGTAAATATAAGAGAGGTTTGTTTTTAACTCCTCACTCATGCTGTAGCTACAACAAAAAACAAGAACATACAGCGATATGATACAATAAAATAAAGATCAACATGAAACACCTTTTTAAAATCTTTTACCTGCCCTTATTTTAAAGTTTTATAAACACAGGAATAAATGAATATTTTACTCTGTTATATTTGTATTGGAGAACTTTAAACCTGCTACCAGGGAGCAGCAGCTCATACTCGCAGGGATGTGGATCTTATTATCCTATATGGCCATGCTGCATGCAAAATCAGTTGTGTTAGAGAGCAGTTATCTATGCAGAGTATTTACTCAGGGCCTCCAGTGAAAGACTGCAGTGACCAGTAATAGTACTTTAAACAGACAAGCTAAATTCAAACTTTTTCACATTTGTGCAGCAGACACAGACGTACTCCACTGTTCCTTCAAAACATGCGTTTACTAACCGTGTTTGCGTGCACACAGGGTTAACGTGTCATCAGAGCCGTCCGTTCACCATGGCCAGCTGCAGCAGAGACAGCACCGTCAGGCTGTGGTCGTTAACGCCGCTCATCTCTCCGCTGCTGCTCAACATCCTTACAGACCAGCCATGGGAAAAAATCATCGGAAACACAGGTTAGAGTCCTCGTCTGTTTTGTTGTGTGAGGTATTTGATATAGAGCTACCAAACCTCTTTAACATGCTGCTTGTGTCTCCGCAGACACAGCGATGGTTCCCGGCTCGCCTCCTCTGCTCTGCGGTAAAGTTTCCCGAGACATCAAGCAGGAGTTGGATAAACTGAGCGTGGACATCAGGGCCAAGAAGCTGCGCTGGTTCTCTGAATGTTTCTCGGTAAAGATACTCAGAGTCTGATTCACGAAAACATTGTGTGTTAAATCTGAGGTAAACTGGTCAGACGTGTCACCATTCCTCTCTGCTCATAATCTGCATGTGTGCGGATTTGACCTCTATCAGGATGTGAGTGCACAGCTCAGCTCTGTGCTGCAGAATGAAGGTGCTGACAGATACTATAGATACTATGAAGATACTATATTCATTCTGCCTGTAACTATAACAGTTTAGTGTTTAAATAAATGTTGTAGATTTAAGTTTCACCTCCTAACAGACTCCACTTAGGGAATTAAAAGCACATAAGGTTCAACAGGCTACGGCAGCATGCAAAAAAGAGCATTAAGTGCAGAGTTCTTTTTTTTTTTCTGTCATAAAGTTGTTTTCAAATGTTGGTTTTGTTGGACATGTTTGCATGCTCTCTGTCCTCTCCAGCCTCCAGGGGGCAGCAGTAACTTGTGGGACCTGGTGTCAGTTGTGAACGGACAGGACGACTCTCTGCTACCTTCCAGCTACAGCAAAGGAGTGATGCACATGAAACACCTGCTCAAGTTCAAAACAGTGAGTCACGTCAGACACTCAAACAGAACACACTGCAAAAGACGATTTCATTAAACTCATTTCTGATTGTTCACTGTTATATTTGCCTGTCATTTCTCTTCAGTCTGAAGCCCAGGAGCTCACTATAGTGAAGATGTCCAAGTTTGGAGGAGGAATCGGCGCCCCGAGTAAAGAGGAGAGGCTGAAGGAAGCCGCAGACATCCACCTGAGGCTGGGACAGATTCAGAGATACTGTGAACTAATGGTGGAGCTGGGACAGGTACTACAGACAGTGTATGCATTTATTACAGTGGATTTTAAAGAGTTTAATTTCACTTTTCCTCTTCAGTATTTGAAATTTAAAAACCTTTCTCTGTCTGAAACTTTGGGGGGAAACACTTCAGCATGTTTTCAAGTCCTGAATAAGTTATGTAGTTTAGTAGTTAAGTTTCAGCTTTTGGATTTCTCTTTCTATCTCCTGGCGGTGTTAGAACAGCAGACAGCAGAAATACATCATAAAAAGACAGAAAATTTACAATAACTGTGTTTACACGGGCACAAATAATCGGAATAAATGCCCGATCGGGATAAAAATGCGTCATGTAAACATGTCGATCGGAAGATTCTGATCCAATTCGGCTCAATTGGAAAGAAATTGCTGTCTGATCGAAAGGGGTGGTTTATTTCGATCGTTATTCCGAAATGCGTCCATGTAAACACTTATTCTGAGTGATTATTCTGACTCTCTAACCTGACTCGGTCTTCACTCTTTAGCTTTTCGCTCATTTATTGAGATCAATTCAGGAGGTTTCATCATGAACACAGACATAAAACACAACCGCTGGAGCCGTGTCTGCTCCTCCAGTAACAGAAGAAGGCGTACATACAGCGTAGTGATGTCAAATCTACACGCTCGGTGCAACCTTTGACAGAACAGTAAAATGAGTACACAAGGGCGCCATCTAGTGACAACATTTAACAGAGAGAAAAACTCCTGAATTGGATGAAGTGAACCACCACCGTGTTTGTTGGTTTGTTGACAGCACAGGCGTAAATATAACTCTTCTTCTTCAGTTGTTTTAGCAAAATTCATTTAGCAAATGCTTCTAATCTGAATGAAGTTCGGTGCATGTTTACACACGTCATGGATCAAGAAATTTTGCCCATGGAAATGTTGGTAATGTGACTGAGTCTGATGCAGAGTGAACATTAATTTTGCTCTTTTGCAGTGGGAGAAAGCTTTATCCGTCGCACCAGGAGTCTCTATGAAATACTGGAGGAAGCTCATGCAAAGGTACGCCATCGCTGACTTTGTTGTTGTAATTTTTATAAAACACTTAAAGAAATATGTAAATTTGACTGTCAGTAGTCAGAGGACAAGATGAGCAACGATTTTCTGGGGAAACAGTAGATTTCTACTCTAAACTCCAACATTCAGATCATGTCAAAACTAACCAGGAAAGTGTCGAGGGTGAGCTGTAGCACCAGCAGCTCAATATCAGTCAATGAAACACTGAAAAGATGTCCTCATCCATTCGTTCATCTGCATTTTGCAGTTTTATATGTTGCACGTTTGCAGCCCTGCTAACTGAAATAAAACTGAACACTTGGAAAGCCGACATCTTCTGTGAAGGAGCTCTCAAAAGACATCTCCTTCAGAATATTTCAAGTGTTTAATTCAAATGTTCCCTTTTTTGCAGGAGAGCTGACCAGCTGATGGCTGAAGACAACGATGACGCTATCCCATACTGCATCGCTACAGGAGATATCAAAAAACTTGTAACCTTCTTCACGGGCAGAGGACAGCTGCTGGAGGCCTTAATAGTAGCACAGGTAAACAAAGGACAGGTGACAGGAGTTCTAATGTTAAAGGTTAAAGAGAAGGAAACATTTGAGGCTCAGAAACGATTGACAGTGATCTGTCTTTTCAGGGAGCCTGTGAGGGGAACATCCGAGCACCTCAGAGCTCTGCGGTCAACCACACAACGAACGATATGGATAACAGACAGCAGTACCAAAGGTGAAGCACAAACACGCACACACCAATCGGAGGAAACTTGAAAAATGTCTTCATAGCTGATTTTGTCTCTGCTGTTTTCTGTCCAGCCTCCTTCATAAGGTTTGTAAGGAGCTGGCAGAGTGGTACTTTCAGGACGGATGCTCGGTCCTGGCTGCGTGCTGCCATCTAGCTGTGGACAACGTGAAGGTACATCAAACATGCTGCCTCATGTTTAATGTGATTTTTAGGAATAGTCACATCAGCAGTCTGTGAATTATCATGTTTGGGATGATGTTTGGAAGGCAGGTAGATCCGACTAAGACCCTGACTAACTCCAGCTTTGTGTTGATTTTTATGTGCATCATTTAGTCCTGATCGTTTACACAAACACAACAAAAACCCGTGAAGATGTGGCTGAAATGTGTGCTGTGTTTTCAGTTAGCCATGTCCAGTCTTATCAGAGGAAACGAGCTGGAGATGGCTGCATGTGTGGGCCTCGTCCTGGGAGAACCAGCCAATCAGAGCACAGCTTACTGCCTTGAACTTTTGGCGAGGAAATACATGAGCCCACCTACATGGTATGTTCACATTCGTCTATGTCCAATTAAAGTCTAACTTATCATGCTTCTGTAAACCTAAAATGTAAATGCTTCAAATCTGACCTTTCTTTGCTTTTTTAGTAAAGTGAAATGCAAACGAAGCTGTAGTCAGAGACGGCCATTACTTCTTTGCCTTTTTTACATCCAGGGAGATCTCAGTTGAACTTCTGCAAATGATTCCTGAAAACCACATTTTATTAGCCAAACTCTGTGCATTTTACCCCGGAAGTGCTGCTGAAATCACCCAGTTACACGAAAAGGTGAGTGAAAAAAAAAACAATGACAGATGAAATAAGAAGAAGGCTCTGTGTCTGATGTTGTTAAAGGGATATTCTGCCGTAAATTTAACACCATGTCTAACTCGGTGTTATGGTGTGTTTGGCCATAACTTAGATTTTACGCCACAGTATCCCTTTAACATAAAGATTACGTTGTGCTTTATTTTCTTGTCAGTGCGGCCTGCCGTCACCAGAGGAGTGTAAGTCCTTGGCGGAAGAAGCGAATCTGGAAGGAGATTTATTCTCAGCGGTTAAATTCCACCTGCTGAGCTCTGAACCTGAAAACGCCCTGCAGATAGGAATAAATGATGTTAAAGGTATTCACTACTCAGCATCACAGTGTGTCTGAGGTTAACTGCTCAACATAAACCTGCAGTTTTGATACGACAACATGACTTCATCCACACATCTGAGTTTTTTCTTTTGTTTTTACGAATTTTTTTTTACAGCAAAGTGATAAAGATGATCAGTTTGTGTGTTCCTCTCAGTTGCTGGTTGTTCTCGCTGATGTATTGTTCCATAAAAAGGGACAAGACGACCACACAGGCCTTGACTTTTTTACCCTTTTTTAAGTGTCAGACAGAGATTCAGAGACAAACGTTTGTCTAAGTTGGATATGATGTATTTTCTAAACCAGGAACAATTTCATGTCACTCTCTTTGAATTCACCAGACTCCACCTGGAAAAATATCAGTATTTAAACTTACAGAACAAAGGAGCTGATGGTCTCCTCGTCTTCTTTTGTTTTGCTTTTAGTTTCCAGCTGCAGAGATTAACTCTGCACTAAATTTTCAACGAGTTGAGTCGGAGAGCAAAGTTTTAGGTTAAAATAAAATAAACTTTTAGGCTAAACTGCAAAAACTGTAATCTTAGCTTAAATTTTTTCTTTTTTTCTTGGAAAGAAAAGTCTTATTAAACTTGATTTAAGCTAAAGTCAAACAACAATTTGTTATTTTGAAGTATTACAAATATAAGATCTTAGGAAAGAGGATAAGGGACACAAAAACGAAAAAGAAAAAATTATTACAGGAGGGAGATTTTTTTAATTTTCATTTCAAGATTAAAGTTGAAATTTTAAAAAGTTGAAATTTCGCCTTTAACCTCAAAATTTTAATTTTTAATCTTGAAATTTCTACATTATTCATGACTTTTTGTAATCTTGAAATTTCGACTTTAATTTCCTTCCTGTAATTATTTCCTTTTCTCTTCCTGTGGCCTTAATCCTCTTTCGTAAAATCTAAACTGCTCAACACGAGTTAAAAAATTCTGTAAATGGACTTTTTCCTGAATTTAACCGTCTCTTTTAAAGTCTTGAAGGAAATTTTCCCTCCACTCTGAGCCGATGTCTTTAGATCTTTATTTTTGGTGTGTGAAATTTTCTTGTCTGCCGAGTGAATGTGGGGTTCACTGCCTAATGGGACGTTTTTCTAGAAATAAGACAAAAACACCTCCCAGCACTCATTTGTGAAACGATCTTCCCCACCAGAGCAGCTGACTGGTTCTGATTGGACGGTGGACAGCGTTCTGCCGATCCTGGACCTGATGAGTTACATCAGAACAGACCGCCTCATCACGTCCAAGTTCACAGAGTGAGAAAATACTTAAATGTTTTCTATTCTTCCATCGAGACTTTGCCAAACTTTGTTGACGTGTGTGTATTCTTGTGTTTGTCTGTCAGAACCCGCAGTGAGCTGCTGATCCTGTGTGGTTATGTTGGAGCTCTACTGGCCATTAGGAGACAGTACTGCAGCATCGTACCGGCTCTCTACGAGTACACCAGGTAGACACACAACCAGGCAAACGTGCAGGTTTTATTATTTATACTCTTTTCTTCAGGCTGTCCGTAGTATATACAGTCTATGGCTCAGACACAGTGAGATTTTCTATGTAGCAAATCAAGCTCCGCCCCCAGACCAGACTTGGAAAGTAGAGAGGACAATCATGGAACAAGCGTGTGCGTTAGTGGATTGCAATGCTCGTAAGAAAGCTAATTATGACATTAATCGAGGTGAAGACACTCCAACTCCCTTGCATACTACCTGTGAGCAGTTTGCTCATTTACTCCATTCTAGTAGCCTCCACAATACTTATATTTAATATTTTATCCCAGATTAAGACGAGTATCATCACATGAAACAACTTGTCCTTAAATATTTTCCTGTTCCTGTTAGAGAGCTCCTTTATTTTTAGAAAGAGGCTCAGGGTCGAGTAGATGATTTGGTTGAAATATTCCTGTAAAGCGCAGCAGCGTTGTATCACCATCCCGAGGTTTAGAGGGTTAAACGGATAATGAATCTGCAAAAACATGATGAGCAGAGCCGAATATAATGGAGCGGTTAAAGGCAGAGAATTGGGGTATGCGGCAGTAATTCACTCTGTGATAATTCGATGTCATGCCGCTCATTCGGTGTTTCTTTTCTCAGATAATTGTCGTAATGAGGCTGAGATTGAATCAGTCCGGCTCCTGTGATTTTCTCTGTGTTTCTCAGTCAGCTGTTGAAGAGGAGGGAGGTGTGTGTCCCTCTGAAGATCGAGCAGCTGTCTGTGGAGCTCGACGCCTGGAGGGCCTGCACACAGAGTAACAGCAAGTAGGTTACGCACACACACACACACACACACACACACACACACACACACACAGACACATGCGAAAAGCACAGAGAAACAACAGAGTGATGTAAGATGTGGCGAAAAATCATCCTCGAAATGTGAGGAAGGCTGACATTCATCTTCCTCCTCTTCTATCGGCGGTTCATAAGTCAGATGGTGACGAGTGGGCTCGCTGAGGAGGTCTTAAACTCTCCGTGTTCTGATCATCGTGCCTCAGTGGCTAAGTAGAGCTATAAGCTAGGGCCGTGATGAGGCCAGTCACCGTGGCAACAGAGAGAGGAGAGCTGAGCTGAGAAACATGGAGAGCAGCTGAATCACCTCCAGGGAAACGGACACGTTGTCCTGAGAGATGACGGACTGAGTGACAGGTCAGGAGACTGCAGATAAAAACCCGTTTCTGGGATTTCACGAACACACGATGGACCGAGCGTCAGCCGTCCTTTCAGGTCTATCTATGAAGGGTCGGGGATCAGACTTACACAGAAGATCACAGAGGACCCCTCACACATCTACACTACCTTCAGACTGGCCTTATAGAGCCTGTAAACTGCAGAGGAGCAGATTTAATCACAAAGTCCCTCAATCAAACAGCTACAAAAACAACCAGCTAACCCTGACCCTGATGAAACTGTCAGAATCTTGGTTTGTGTGTCGCTTACTTTGTGTTAAATAAAGTTGAGCTGAGCTGAATGTTACTTACAAACTATCGCTCGACACGATAAAGTATAAATAAAGTAAACCCTGTTTCATATTTAGATATTTAAAACGTGATGACATGAAACTTCATTTCGAGCAGAAAAAGCTCAGAGTGTCAGGATGTAGTTTGTCCAGCAGAGGGCAGTCAGACTCCATGGTTACTGAAAGATACTAAATGTTTGCCACACATGCAGCCAGGGGCACGCCCAGAGCGGCGGCTGGGGGTGGCACAGCCCCGCCTTTCGGCCACCCTTAAAAACCTAAACTGTCTCCTTGTTTTGTCAAAGATGGTGATTATTAAAGTGGGAAATAGGTCCTTTTAAAGTGACATGTTTTCTTTAGTCTGTATTTTAAACAAAAAAAGAAAAAACTTCACTCATCTGTTTCCTGGGTGCATCAAGTAGATGCATTCATTCATTCATTAGAAATTGTAATTTTGGACGTACATTGTTTTAGGTCCTTGAAAAGTAAGCTTTAATAAAAAAAATCACATTTGTTGTCTTACTTTTTTATTTTTATTTTATTTTATTTTATTCTCCCCTTTTTCCTTTATCTAAATTTTTCTTAATTATTACATTTATTTAAGTTCTTAATATTAACATCTTTATTTTTATAACTGCATTTTGCACGACCTTTGTCTGTGATGCTGCTGTGGCAAAAAAAATAATAATAATAACACTCTTTGAACACTCTGCAAAATAATAATAAAACACTCTTTGTCAGAAGTTAAAACTCATTTTAAGTGTTTTCTTCTGAGCGAGGGATGATTTTCAAAAATAATAAAATATTTGATGCGATTCGGATCAGAACAAATTAATTTAAATCAATGATTGAATTATTATTTTTTAAAAAGCACATATTTTCCTTTTTTTTCTTTTTCCTGTTTTCATTGTGCAGATGTCCTCGTCTTAGACAAAAACAAAAGTGCAGAGTTTCATTTTTCGTTTTTAGTCCACTCTTGATTTAATTAAATTTGTAAGTCGTCAGTCTGTGTCTGTGGAAACTCATATAACACTGAAACAGGAGTTTGGTGTGAAACTGAAAGAAAAAGACACACAGATGCAGCTTTATGACAAAAGTCCACCCTGATTCGACAAACTATCTTCTTACAGTCTTCATACATCCACACAACTTTCAGTGTCAGTGGTTGAGTCATTCTTTTCCTTTTACATGCTGGTTCTCCCTGATCACCACATTAAAGCGTCTCTGTGTCTTTGTTTTTGTCAGTCCTCCTTCAGAGAGTCAAAGAGAAGAGTTCAGCAGCCTGGAGAGGAGAGTCCAGCCCACAGACTCAGGTAAACATAACATTTCTCCACTTAATAACGAAACTTAGGGACTTAGAAACTTATTGCACTTCGAATAGATTCATGTAAATAAGTTCATATGTATTTTTTCTTTTTCTTCTGATGTTTTTTTTGGAAAATTAAAAATCTTAAAGAGCATGAGAGGAAAACTTTACTCCATAAATAATAGTCTTATCAGTCGACAGAGAGTCTAACACAAACACAGAAATCTGTTTAGTGTAATTATTAACCTCTGACATGTTTTCTTTCTCCCTTTCGTAGATGCTTTAGTTTTATGCGGCGCTGATTACGTGACGGGCTCTAATCTGCCGAGTCACTCTGACGTACAGCTGTCCTGTTTCACCGGACACAGAATACAGGTGTGTGTGTGTGTATGTTTATACTCAGATCAGTTTACAGGAGTGGAGATCTACTACTCATATTTACTCTTGTTCCTGTAATTTTTTTAAACCAGTTCTTTTACTGATTGGCTGCAGAAAACTCCAGTCTAACCCCATGAATTTGTCTCATTTTAGTCTGAATATCTCAGTACAGGTCAGTTAAACTACATTAACTTAACAGCTCCTATTATTGATCTAATTTTAGGATATATCTTGTTTAATCTCAACACCCAGACTAGATGAGTAGATGAATCCAGAGGAGAGGGGCCTGATCAGTGAAAGGTCTACCACCCAGACCACTTTTAGAGACTTTGGTTGTGGTTGGGACCAGAATGTTCTGAACTATGAGCTCTTTAATTCATCCTCACTTTTTTAAAAAGCATACATACCAACTTTTTTAAAGTGTTAACTCTTTTGTAAGTGTAGACAATTACACAATTAGTTAATAAACGGACACAGATCACAGCGATTAAGAGGAAAACTGAAATATAAAGATTAAAGTTTGTGAAAGAACGAGGATGTTGAAAGAACAGATGTTTGTGGAAACCATTCAGGAGAAAGACACCAGACAACCTGTCAACTGGAAAAAAAGGTCAACAACCTGCTCTGACCATTTTTTACAGCCATAGAAACAGCAAAAAGAACAGCCAAACAACAGCCAGAAAACAGACAAGATACAGAAAAAAACAGCCAGAAAACAGACAAAGTACAGTCAAACAACAACAGCCAGAAATAAGCCAAAATCAGACAAACAACAGCCAGAAAGCAGACAAGATACAGTAGAACAACAGCCAGAAAAGAGACAAGATAAAGTCAAACAGCCAAAAAAACAGCCAAAAACACAAACAACAGCCAGTAAGCAGCCAAAATACAGAAAACAGCCATAAAAACAATCAGAAAACAGCCAAAAACAGCCTGACAAAAGCTATTAAGCAGCCAAAATACAGACATCAACAGCCAGAAAACAGCTTTAATACAGTCGAACATCTTTCTGAAAGAATGGTTTTTATCTTTAATCAGATTGTAAAACATGACACTGTGACTCTGAGCGTCTGTTTGATGTCACGATCAGCCTAATGAAAAGCACAACACCCACTGTTTGGTCTGGGTCAGAGATCCTGAAATATTTGGGAAAATTAACCAAAAATGTTTTTTTCTTTAATGTTTAAATATTCTGGTTTCACTTTTGGAAAGCTGTCATGACCCCTATTTTTCTCCATATATATATATTATGATATTTCCCTTTCCAACTCTAACCTTGGTATTTTCTTGTCTTTTTTTTTGTACTTGCAGGGTCCTGTGTTTTTACTGGAGGACAGTAAATCTGCAATCTCTCTAAACGACGCTCTGATGTGGGCCAAAGTCAACCCCTTCTCTCCTCTGGGAACGGGGATCCGCATCAACCCTTTTTAGCACAGACCCAAAGAGAGGGTTTAAACACCGGGGGGGACGTTTTCATGGGAGAGTGAACCGTTCGGAAATGTTGTAATGGAAAAACAGAAATGGAAACCAGACTGTGAATAACATTTTTGTGCTTCAGCCAAACGGCCAACTGCATTTTATAATTTCCAGAGCCGACAGATTTGGTGACATCCACAAACATCATTTGTGATTCAGTTTCAGACGAGCTCGCGGTTAGCTTATAGCTGTAACGTGGTGAGAGAGAGTGTAGCTAACGAAATCGTCATGCTTTGACTGAAGAGTTTGTTCATATGATCCTAATTTATTCTACTGTTGTAAGTAAAACAAGAAGATAATGGAATAAAGCTACCACTGCATATTTATTACAGACTCGAGCTTATTTTGACGAACGACAACAACATAAAGAAACCGACAGAGTGTGAAGCACATGGAGAATCCACAGACAGATGTTTGATACACATGTGTCCTCGATAGATACTCCGCAGCCTGAAGGCAACAGACAGTAGATCATAAAAAACTCTGAAAAAGAAATAACTCATGCATGAAATGTAGAAAGATGAGGAGAATTTCATGCATGTCTGAATGTGCAAACCATCCATTAATCAGCGCGGGGATTGTTAAACACAGTTGGTTGTCACAGCTGGAGCTAATATGAGTAAATATTGTTCGTACGAAGGAGAACGGACAGTTACTTTGGATTTCAAGCTTCATAATCGAACAAAAAGCGGAATTAACTTCATAAATTTCAGCTGAAGGAGAGAATTAGCTGTGTGTGCTCTTTAAACCAGTCTGGTGAGAAACTTTAAACCACTACCATGTCTTTAAATCAACAGAGGATCAACTTTGCTTGAAGACTGTAAACAGAGGAGAAGCGGCCACCCTGTCTCTACTGTGCGGCGGTTAAAGGGGTATTTCACTATTTTTAGAGGAAGGTTGTTTGACTTCATGGTATTAGTAAGAGTTTTAGCTACTAGGTCGATTTATTGGTCACTGAGTTGATTGGTCAACTCGATTTTCTTTCCATGTCAGTTTACAGTCTATGGTTAATTTCATCTGGAGGAATGTACCAAGTGTTAATGGGGGTGTTTTCAGAGCACCCCCGTTTCACAGGTAACATTCCGTCTCAGAACACCCCCCTCGAACCATTTTGGGTACGCCCAACCCACTGGAGACCGTCTGGAGACAGGAAGATTGAAGAGCGTCCAGCTAATCGACGTCTGGTGGTTTGCTGTATTTATGTTTAATTGCCTTCTTGTGCTGATATTAGTATATTTTCACCCTGTGTCGTCCCTTGCCGCAGAGGGGTTTGCCGTCAGAACCCCCCCTGATTCGTCAATTTTTGGTGTTTTAGTCAACCAAGAATTTCTTTGGTTAATTACAGCCCTATTAGCGGCAGTGGATGTTGCTTGGCTCGGAGAAACTGCCTGAAGAATCTGCACACAAGCTAGGCTACAGTTTTCCACAGATGGGGTCCACCATGTAAGCACTTCTATCAGGAAGTTTATTTATTTTTGCACGATTTATGAACATAAGACAGTAGCTCAGGAGGTAGAGCGGTCGGCCGATAACTGGAAGGTTGGTAGTTCGATGCCCCCCCTATCTCGAGTCAGTCCGTTTTGTCCTTGGGCAAGACACTTAACCCACCTTGCTCCCGGTGTGTGTCCTCCACTGGTGTATGATTGATTTTGGCGCCCCCTGTGGACGAGGCAGTCTGTGCTTACCTGGTAGTCTACTTGCCTTAATCATGTCTTCTGACAAAAAGTTTAATCTGCTGAGACTTACCAGTAAAAAGCACCAATTATTGTGAATATAACGTGAAAATTGTTATAAAGTTGTTAGCCTGACACCAACCCACTCGTATCAATTTCAGGCATTAAATCCCCAGTATGGAAATCGTCATGATAAGAGTCAAAAAACTCCTCAGAGGAGCTTTAATGTAATGGTAGATTAACAAACTACATTTTAAAAGCAGCTTGCCTTACTTGGGATTCCAACTTTAACTTAGAAATAAAAAATAGTTTTTTCAGGGTGACATTATCCTCAAGTTTAAAATCTCAACAATACTGCAAACCACAAAAACTACATTATAGTGTTGTTGCAAAGTTTCTATAAGTGTTGGATTAAAAACATCTGTCTCCAAAAGAGAAATTCAGACACACTCAAATATCTCCAGTTTGGTTTATTTCAAAACTTCATCCTCTATAACTAAGAGAGCGAGTTCATACGTCCTCTTCCTCGAGAGTGATGTTTGGAGAGAGGCCAGCGAGTTCAACTCTGTGGAAAGATCCAGTCTGTGCATGAGTTAAGAGGAATGTCAACACTGACTGAACGCTGAGTGACTCTGAATCCCGGTTCAAAGTTCAGCTGGTTTTGAGTGAAGTGTTTTTATCTTGAATGTTGCTTAAACAAAACGCCCAGTCGTGAGAGGGGAATTTGATTTTTCTACTGCGATGTTTAACCGAGAGGAAACATTGGAGGTGCAATATTTGTGCTCTGTTCAGTCTGTTCCGTCTAAATCTATGCAACTTTATGTGAGTGTCTATTTGTGGAAAAGGGTGTTTGTCTTACCAGTAGGTCCAACATTACACACACCAAATCCATCTGTGCTTATATGAGACAGTGTGGAGGACGCCCAGCGACACTTGTTGAGGGTCATTGCTGTCTGCAGCCATCTGTTGATCTCTTCGACTACTTCATGAAAATTGTACTGTGCATCGCTGGCGGCGGATTGGCGAAAACAGGTCTCGGCTGTGTTAATTCCACTCTACGCCTTCTCTCCTCCCTCTCTATGACTTACGCCACTGGGAGGAGCTGAGTTAGGGAGGAGGGATACTTATGCCGCCTACCAAAATACCAAAATGTGCTTGGGCACGCCTTGTCGGTGCGGCGGACCTGACTTACACCATGTCTGTGCCACACCACCGGCGGGCACCAAAATAGAGCCCAATGACTATTTCAGGACATACCTTCATATTTTAGCGAGACGATGACAAACCACATTCTGCAGGGATCACAACAGCTTGGCTCTGTAGTAGAAGAGTCCTGCTGAGAAACTGAAAACATCTGGAGCATCATGAAACAAAAATAAGACAAAAGAGACCCTGAACCTGGTCCTCTGGGTTCACAAACATCATAAAAACACACCCAACTTTTTTGAAATATATCTTAACCCTTTAATGCCTTTTGTATCATATGTGATACATACTTTATATACTTCTATCAAATCAATATGATCAACAAATTACTAAAAAATGATAAAAATGTCCCCTTGTAGTTTATGAGTTTTCAAAAACATCTCATGTATCAAACAGGATAAATATATTTAGTAAATTAAAGGAAATTTAGATTTTTTTGGTTTTCAGTATTAAGTGAAATAAACATTTCAGCTCCAAAATGAAAAATAATTGAATTTTCGAGCCATAATTTGTGGTTTTGGGCATTAAAGGGCTACCAGCATTTTAGATTTTCAAACGAGTCCAAGACTTTCACACTAAATGTTTTTATTTTAGACAAATCATTAAAAAAAAAAAAAACAGCTGTTAAATAATGCCTGTGACAGTCTCTACTGTAACACTGTTCAATCAGAGAAGCTGCATGTTGAATCAGTCGGGTCTGAAATGGAGGATTATGTTGTTGTTGTTTTTTTCCTGTAAGAAAAACAAACTTTAGAGAAAGACAACCATCAAAACTGTGATTTTCCATCAAACTTTATCTTTCAAAGTTGATATCAGACCGTGACAGTCTCAGGTGCACAGGTGTATTTACATGAAGAGTCATTTTTCAGCTCAGTTTTTCTCCGTTTTTATCTCCTTTGAAAACTCCTGCAGCAGCAGACAGATGTCGTCCTGATCCTGTTTCTGCTGTTTTCAGTCAGAGGGAAGATTTTCACCCTTCGTCGTGCTCCTCAGCAGCGTGCGCGTCCGCTCTCAGGCTGACATGGGCTCATACGTGTGGAAGTGGATTCCCTTCGAGCAGGTGATCTTCATCACCGCCCCGTTCAGAGAGGAGTCCCGGATCAGCCTCATCATGCCCTCTGCTATCAACGACGGCCTGCGCACAAACACAGAGGAAGTCAGCGTCACATTAAACACACACACACTCAGAATAGAGATGTATTTCCTCAACAGACTCCAACCCTTAAAATAAAACAACTAACCGAGTTCAACTAAGTTTGTGTCAGTGTGTAAATAGAGCCACCTGACCTAAACTTCCTGTGACACTAAAAGCTTTCCTCCCTCCTCTGCAGCGGCACCACTTCAGCCTGTAACGTCGACTCCTCTCGAGCGATAAATAAACAGTTAGAGGACTTTACTACGAGTTTGATCTCCAGTCTCTGTGAGATATTTTTTTACTCTAGTTCAGTGTCACTCAGAGAGACTCTGAACCAACAGCTGTCATGTTCCCTGAGAGAAAAGACAAAACTCGAGCCTCATGTTATATCTGTGTACGTCTGTTTTTGAAGTGTAACAGCAGGACAGAACAACAGCTACAAAGACACAGCGTTCAGCTCTAGTTTGTAAATGGTAACTCCAGCCTGGTGGCTTTTTGCACGACTCATAAACTCGAAAGATTTCCGAATTCATAGACTTACTGTCAAAGCCGGCCCAAGCCTCAATGGGGCCCTAAGTAAAATGTGATTTTGGGGCCCTCTATTTCTGCCAATAATATTGATTGTTGATCATTCGAACACCTTCACAAATCTCTTTGTCTTTCTTTAAGATTCCATGACCTGCAAACCAGTGTTCTTTTCGTTGACGATAACGTTAAGGAAATCATCGTCAATGAAAACAACACTGACGCACACACACACACACACACACACACACACACACACACACACACACACACACACACACACACACACTCTCTCTCTCTCTCTCTCTCTCTCTCTCTCTCTCTCTCTCTCTCTCTCTCTCTCTCTCTCCCTCCTGTTGTTCTTCCTTCAGGCTAAATTCAGACTAAACTCTCAGATTGTTGAATATCAAATCTGACTGAATTCTCTCGGAGCTCATTGTTTTGTGTCTGCGAGAATATATGTTTAGCGTTTAAATGATTTTGCAACTCTGTTCGTCGTCCACCACTAACGTTTTCGTCTCGTCTCGTCGACGTAAACGCACATTCGTCTCATCACATTTTAGTCATCTAACACTTATGTTTAGCTCGTCAACATCACGTCTTCGTCGTGGAAAAAAAGGGGTGTCAACGAAATATTTTCGTCAATGTAAACAACACTGCTGTAAACATACCAGTATCTTAGGGTTTTTTCTCATCTTCCTCTTTCTTTTCTCGGCTCCTGAAGGATTTGTCCTTTTTTGCGACATTGTTTTGCCCCACAACTTCCTGCGCTTTAGATGCTCAGTGCACATTTCACAGCAGGAGGAACATGACGGTAGCGAAGCTTTGGTCTACATCAGCAGCAGGATTTAAACGTTTTTATTTGATTTTATTTTTACAATAATATATATTTGATCGTACAGAAAGCATCACTCATACATGCAAAAAATAAAAAAATATTAAATTTTTTTGTTTATTGCTCTTTGGGGGGCCCCTAATGGCGCTCAGTCTGCTTATGCCTCGGGCTGGTTCTGTTTACTGTGTTTGTGACGTTTCTTAGCAGTGAAAATTGAGCACAAAGTGGCTCCTGGTATCATCTGCTTTTAAAGACTGTCCCAGAGTTGTCTCAAAAAAACAACTTTGACCCTCTTGAAGTGTATGTGAACTGTCTCAAAGTCAAGATTACACAGAATGAGACACATATATGGTCATTTATAAATGTGTGTGGGTGCTGTGGGAGTTCTGAGCTATTCAGACCAAAACTATTTTTTGATCCAGATTGTAAACATCTTTATTTTCGCTCTTAAAACAGACTTTTTTTGGCTCAGTGTGTACACAGACAGCCTAAAGTGGACACTCTGGGAGCTTTTAGCACTTCAGCATCAGCTGAGTTTCTCAAGACCTGGGGTCGCTGCTTGGATGGGACAGAGTCTGGCACCGTCAGACAACAACAAACATGGTGGCGATGCAGTAGATATGACTGCAGAGGAAGATTTAAAGACCCACTCCGATGAAAATCTTGTTTTTTTTGTTGTCTACATGTTCATTTGGCATTTCTGAGAAAAATAAGTGTGAATTTGGATTTCTGAGTGTTTCTGTGTTCAAATTGCTCTGGCAGACCCAAACGGCAGGTTCAGGTACAGTGAGATTTTCTATGTCATAAATCCAAGCTCCACCCCCTGAGCCCCGCTATGCAGGCCAGACTCAGAGAAGTAGAGAGGATGATCGCGGCGCATACGTGTGCGTTAGAGGACTGCATTATGACATTAACTCTTATCATGTCCCTAAAGACATTAGTGTCTCAGACCTGAGTAGCTCCGATGTTACCTGCTATTTCTACTACACTGACGATATTCGGCGACAAGCGAACACGAAGAGGAGTGTGCAAAGCAGCGATGTCTCCTCCTTAGAGGAGAATCGCTAATGAGTCACTAAAACTCTGCAGAAGAAAATCCCTTAAATAACAGAGAAAACATCAATTTACTTTTTGTTATTGTTTGATTTTAAGACTATTTTACTCAATTTACTCTTAACGCTTCATCACCTGAGTGTGTGAGTGCTGTATGTGTTGAATGGAGGTTGGAAGGCTGGGTGGGTTTGGTATTTGTATTTGTATTTTTTTTATTTCACTGTTTTTTAATATCCTGCATGAACGGACAGCACTTTGTGCTACATTATATGTATGAAAAGTGCTTTAGAAATAAAGTTTGATTGATTTATTGAACATTAAAAACTTCATAATCACAATTTTAAAACCACTGAGACACTTTAAGTGGTAAAACGATCAGAGTGGGACTTTAAGGATGCTGACAGTGGTGGTCTGTGAAGTCATAAAAACCCCCTGACATGTGGACAAAGACTCCAAGTTTTCAAAGTATCATGGCTCTTAATCACAGAGCTAACAGTTTAGTTACCCTGCTGGTTGTTGTTGGTACTGCAAAGTATGGTCCACATCCATAGACTTGCAGAAGTATAATGTTGATATAATTGATATAATGTCGAGCATTAATGAGTCTTGAGGGTAAAAAAATCAGTCCTGTGATTGCATTTGCTGATATGACCCTCTACATATCCACCTCGGTAAAATCAGTGTGGTTGTTCTTTATAAACTGCTTTAGTCTGCCCACACATCCTGCTGCCTCTGTAACCCACTGTGCAGCCTCTCACCACCCCAGCTCCTCTTTTGCAGATTATATCAGTCTCATATGTGCGGTCACTGTCGCCTGCTCTCTTCTGCACCATTAATGACTTCGCTGATGCTCCCCCTGCCTTTAGAGTTCATTTGTGAACATGAGACATGAGGGGAGGTGTTTTTTTTTTCCCCACATACATGCAGATCAAACTTCTCTTAGACTGAACTGGTCTGTAATAAAATTGATCTCTTTGGCCAGCTTTCCAGCGGCCCCTTGTTGGTGTAGAAATGATTCCTGCAGAAAGCTGTCGTGTTTTTATCTTTCTTACTAATAATATCCAGCTGATAAAGAAACCATTCTCATCGATCATGTTTTGAAGAGGACTTACTGTAAAACTCCAAACTTGGTCATGCTGCGTTTGAAATCGTCCTTAAACTTGACAAACTTTCCCATGTTGTCCTCATGTTCCACCGAGTGCAGCAGAGGAGTGTCCACGAATGCCGGGCACAGGACGTTGATACGGACACCGTAGTCGCCCTGAGACGATGCATCCTGCAGGAGCATGAATGTTAAACTCACTGTAGAATATCCTGTAATATCCTTAAAGTTACATCATTGTATTGTCTTACCGCCATCGCCCTGGTGAATCCGATGACTCCGTGTTTGGTTGCAGTGTAGACGGGCTGATGTGGAGAGTGCAGGAAGGCTGAAACATAAAGAGTGAAGAGAAACGAAAAGAGAAATGTGACAACAGAAATCAGAAACTCTGGTAAATTAAAGAAACATGATTGATTTCAGTGCTTTTCATGCTCTTATTTTGAAAAAAAAATAGATAGTGCATTTCTTACTCTTATTTTTAAAGATAAATAATTGGTTTTCAGTGCATTTCTTGCTCTTATTTTGAAAGAAACACAATTGATGTCAGTGTTTTTCTTGCATCTATAAAAAAAAAAACATAAATGATTTCAGGTTTTTATGCCCTTATTTTGAAAGAAATATAATTGATTTCAGTGCTTTTCTCACTCTTATTTTGAAAAAAAAAATTGATTTTAGTGCTTTTCATGCTCTTGTTTTGAAAGAAACATAATTAATATCAGTGCGTCAATTGCTCTTATTTTGAAAAAAAAACAATTGATTTCAGTGCATTTCTTGCTCTTATTTTGAAAAAGACAATTGATTGCAGTGCTTTTTTGTCCTTATTTTGAAAGAAACACAATTAATGTGTTTTTCTTGCTTCTATTAAAAAAAAAGAAAAAAAAAGAAAAAACATACATGATTTCAGGTTTTTTTGCCCTTATTTTGAAATAAACATTTGATTTTAGTTTTTTTTCTTGTTCTTATTTTGAAAGAAACATAATTAATGTCAGTGCTTCACTTGCTCTTATTTTGAAAGAAACATAATTAATGTCAGCGCTTCACTTGCTCTTATTTTGAAAGAAACATAATTGATTTTAGTTTTTTTCTCACTCTTATTTTGAAAGAAACATAATTAATGTCAGCGCTTTTCTTGCTCCCATTATGAAAAAATTATAATTGATTTCACAGTTTTTCTTGCTCTTATTTTGAAAGAAACATAATTAATGTCAGTGCTTCACTTGCTCTTATTTTGAAACAAACATAATTGATTTCTGTTATTCAAACTATAATTATTTTCCAGGAAAACTCTAATGGCAGATCTCCGGATTTGAACCGTGCTTTAAGAACAAATTATCCTCTGATTGGGCTCATTTGACCTCCAGTCATCTTCTCCCTTTGCTCTTTTCTCTTCCAGCTGCTTTCAATCATCATCACGGCGGAGCAAAACCCAAACTCACAGCACGCCGTTTATGGCAAACACATGATCGGTGATGAAACGGCCAATTTGGCCTCTAAGACGAGTCTTTTTGGGAACAGTTAAATTTCACTTGGACTAAAAAGTTTCTTCAGGACAAAAGTTTCTGCAGAGAGAGTGACAGCTGTGTTTAATTCTTCACACCCGCTTTAAGGATATATGGGAACACTTTTAACTGAAACTTTAAACACAAAGACAAGACGGTTGTTACCATAGTTTCATGTGCTTATCTTACCGCCTCTGATTGGCTACAAGTGATGACCGTTTGGCTTAAGCGTGTGATGATGTTTCTAGCTTTTCTAGCCAATCAGAGGCAAAGGAGGCGGGACTTTTTCACTTTTTCACTCTACGTAAATTCGTAGCTGGTGTGGAAGCTTGCATTGACTTTATGAGGTTTTTTAAAAAAGCAAATTATTCGCTTCACTAATTCACCGGTGTGTAATGATCTTGAGGCTACTTTGCTTTGGCAGCTTTGGTTTTATTTTTAGACATTTGTGTCACACTGATTATTCAGTAGTTTATTCCTGCATTGTGGCCAAATTGTATTCAGTGATTTTACTTTGACCTTTGACTCCAGAACCCCAATCAGTTCTGTCTGAATCAGTACCCCACATCTTATCCAACAGTTTCAGCCTCATGAAGAGTGTGAAATATCTGATTAACACTCAAGACTGGAGAAAAGAGCCAGAGAAGCAGAAAGAGAGGTAAAGGGTAACATATTTAACCTTTGTTGACAGAGTATTTAAGAAAAGTAGCTCCCTGATTATGAACAACGCAACGACAAATGACTCTGACATTTGCAGCACGCCGCTCACATCCTTTATTGGCCTGATATTTGAAAGATGACGCAATGAGAGCAGAAATAAAAACTTAGTTAGCAACATGTGGTCTGAATTTAACTTCAAAAGATCTCTGAAACACACACACACACCACACACACCACACACACACACACACACACACACACACACACACACACAAACACACACACACACACATGTTCCTTCCATAACAAAACAATATGCCCAGCCGTGTTTGGACAAGTCTCTTTTTTGTTATGGGAATGGGAAACACACACACAAACACACACACACACACACACACACACACACACACACACACACACACACACACACACACACACACACACACACACACACACACACACACACACTAATGTTATCTCCATTGTGATAACTCTATAATGATCTCCATATGTCACGTGTTTCTAGGCTGAACTGCTCAAGATCTACAAGACGATGTGTCTGAACTTCCTCTGTAATCTACAAACAAAACCATGCAGCCCTGCAAAACACACACACACACACACACACACACACACTAATGCACGTGTGCAATAAGAACTTGCATTTTACAAAAACTCCATGTCTCACAACCGCTGTGAAACTCCTGCAAACTTTTAATTTAATTTAATCTATCAGAAATCAGCTAAAAATGACGGCACACAGGTTATTTTGGCGCCTCATACAGTCCTATTCTGCACAAAGTTCACACCAGGTGCATGTCCTGACGAACCACATTGTAGTAAAAGTGTTGTAAATAGTTTTTTTTTCTCAGGTAAAGAGGTGAAATCTGGAGCACAGCCCCACCTGAGGCGCTGTTGCTTTAAGTGAGTTACTGACAGGTCATTAATCTGCAGGGGGAGAGTTCAGAGAGCGGCTTCTGAGACGGAGCACAAATTACAAACTGTAGACTCCCGTGGAGCGAAAATCAGAAAAAAGGAGTTTCAGCGGTGAGATGGGGAAGTCATGAGCGCATTAACATGGACGGAGTTTGACCCTCAAGAAAGAGAAAACTAATACAGATGAGAGGAAAGTCCTCGTCACATAAGAATTTTTTTTTTCTTTTTTTTCTTTACTATTTTTCTGTTTTTATTTTTTCTTTCTTTTTCTATTTTTTTCCTATTTTTTTCTATTCTCTTTCCCTTATTTTTATTTGACTTTTTTAATTTCTTTTTTCTATTTCTTTTTCTTTTCTTTTTTCTATTGTATTTGCTATTTCTTTTTCTTTTTTCTGTTTCTTTTTTCTTTCTTTTTTCTCTCCTTTTCCTTTATTTCTTTTTTCTATTTCTTTTTCTTCTTTTTTCTTTCTTTTTTCAATTTCTTTTTTTCTATTCCTTTTTTCCTTCTTTTTACTTTACTTTTTTCTTTTCTTTTTTTTCTATTTTTTTGCTATTTCCTTTTTCTTTTCTTTTTCATTTTTATTTCTTTTCTTTCATCTTTCTATTTATTTTTTCCTTCTTTTTGTTTTACTTTTTTCTTTCTTTTTTTCTATTTCTTTTTCTTCTTTTTCTTTCTTTTTTCTATTTCTTTCTTTCAATTTTTTTGGCTTTTTTCCTTTTCTTTCTTTTTTCTTTCCTTTTCTTTCTTCTTCTTTTTTTCCCCTTTTCCTTCTTTTTTTTCCTCTACATGTGTTAAGCACTTTATGTTGTATGTTCATGCATGAAAACTGCTTTATAAATAAAGTTTGATTTGATTTGATAATTAGAGGACAATTAGCACCAATAATCCATCTATTGTAACCTGTAACCTGTCTCACCGAGCATAAACAGCAGTATGAAAACACCCTGAGACCATTGGAGTGAAAATAAATATTCAATTGTGTCCAACAGAAGTGAGAAAGAAATTTAAAGGTGAAAGAAAACTGGATCAGTCTCTGTAACAGAAACCTCCTGACCTGTAGGGGGTGCTCTGTGAAGATTTAAAACTCCCTAAAGTTGCTTCCCTCACTTGGAAAGATGCAAGAAAGGAAAGAGACACGAGAGGTCCTTTGCTCCAGACGATCATGTAAAGCGATGATAGCATCACTAGATCGGCTTTCAGCTTTGAACAGTTTGTGTTTGCACCCACAGTCCACTATGATAACTAATATGGGCCATGAGACGCCTGCAGCATGAGAGACCGAGGAACTAAGACGCAGTGTTTGAAACTCAATCAAAGCTTTAAAAATCACAAGGTAAGTCTTTAAAAAACAGAAATTCAGATCAATTTTTCATGTTCACTAAAATTCGATGACTTTTCTTGTTGTATTTCACTTAGAAAATAAAAGAATCTATATTGAGGAGTTTTATGTTACCTGCCATTGAGGATACATTGATGATTGTCCCTCCTTCCTTGCCGTACTCTCTGCTCATGTGCTCCAGAGCCAGATATGTCCCTTTAATCACGGAGGTCTGAAAGACAAAGAAACAGCACGGTCACTGACGGTATACCTGAAACTGAAAGTGACAAACGTGCAGCCCTGTGATGTGCAGATCACAGGTTAGTGTCAACAGCTACAATTCTGACAAGACAGCAAAGTTACAGAAATATAAAACATGTTTGTGAATTTTACATAACGCTATTGTGAAGAATTTTGTTTACTTCTTAAGCAAAGATCTTGAGAGACGGCTGGACTAATCATGGTTTCACCGAGAGGGAGCATGAGTAAGCAAAGAAAAAAAAAAAAAGAGATGACAGCCTGAGATAGAGCCCTGAGGGACTCCAGCTGATAACGTCTTTTGATGAAGAGGAATTTCCTTCACAAACGAGACAAAAACAAAAAAACAAATGTTCAAGACACGTAAACGGTGCATCCAGTACCAAACCGGACTGAGAAGTGCGGCCGCAGCTGAAGCTCTGAGTAAATTACGGTGAACGATCCCGCCAGGATACGAGTGCAGATCAGGAGACGGGACATGTTTTCACTGCTGGAGGTTTCTACTGCCTGCTGGGATTTTCCTCAGCAGGAATGTTGTAGTAAAAGCCCGGGGCTTGGTGTGGTGTCACTGCAGAGGCTGAGGGGGAGGTCAGAGGATGTGATGAGGGAGTCTAAACAGCTCGGAGGGAGCGGAGGGGAGGGGAGGAGGAGGGTCTGCACTGTGAGACGCATGAGCTGAGGGTCTTTCAGGGACAGAGACGCCTCTAATTTGACAGAAGAAGCTTGAAAGGTTTTCAGCTCCTCATGCAGCTCTGAACGCAGACAGCCGTGCAGATAGAAGTGATTAAAAGATGAATTAATGTACATTGTGCAGGAATTTTGACGAATAAATACATTAATTTAATTAGAAAAAAGTCTTTCAATTCACTTATTTAACCTTCCTCCTGTGTCAGCTTTTACTACACACCCACCATGTTAAGGGTCGGTTTGACCCGTGTTTTAAATCAGCTGTAAATTAGACTAAAAACAATTCTCTATCCTCCATTTTGGTTCTCATCTCGAGGTTAACTTGTTAGGCTTCATTATCCATGAAAATATTGATTATAATATTTTTTGTTGTGGTCCTCTGGACCTTTCTTTGTCAGTAAACCCCTCACACAAACATCTATACTGAACTGATCTCTGGACATGCCGACGTTGTTTTTTGTGCGAAAAACATGGAAAAATGAGAATTTCCTAAATCTCACATAATAGGAAGAGGATAGGCAGGTAGATAGACTTTATTGATCCAAACTAGGAAATTCTCATGTTACAGCAGCAAAAAAATACAAAAGAAAATTAAATATAAGACATATGTACAATGCAGACTAAAAAAACTAAAAATACTAAATATATACAATAAATACAGACTAAATATAATAAACATCCGAAGAGGAAAAAGTGAGATATGAAAAACGTGGGCTATTGAAATGAGTAATAAATCTGACTGTCAGTGCACTTATGATTTTAGTTTTTGCTCTTATCATTAGATATTGATTTAATTGGGTCAACAGCGACCCTAACACGACAAGTGCCATAATTTTAATAAGAGCATTTTATAATTGAGTCCTGACAAAGTCAAAAAGTCTTGATGTAAATAAACTAATTTAAGTGGTTCTTTTAAGTATTTAAAAACAAAAACAGGTCAGTGCAGACGCTGACACAGGAGGAGGGATAAAGTATTTTTGTTCACCAACATGTCTGCATAAAGAGAAAAAAAAAGGTAATTTCATTTTTATAAACCTACTCTTTAAACCAAAAACTGTTCGAAAGGATCATTTTTTTGCATGATAAGTTCTATATCAGATTCTTCATAGGACTTGGCTTTGGTATCTGCAGAATTGAACGTCTGCCGGAAAAACACCAAAACCACATCTCGGCTTCTATCAGTATTAATCTGGTGATGATTCATTTCTCTCTATGAACAGATATTTGTGAGCGTTTTCAACTAACAGTCTGTCTTCGATCAAACATTTACACTCCGGCTGAAGATCTGGTTGATCCTGTGCTGCAGAACTAATTCACAAACACATTTTCTGACTTCCTTGAAAACATCAGGAATGACCAAACAACTTTTCAAAGTTGTTTTTTTACTCCTCTTGGGCATACACCTGACAAAACTTGACTTTTTACTCATCTGTATTTTAGATTATTGACGTCACCAAACCCAGGAAATGGAGGCTTCATGTAACGTAGTATCGACAGAGACACTGTGACTCTGGGACAGAGTTGTAATGAACCAAGAAATGTCAGCATCTATATTTTACAGATCTATTTTGTGAGGGCTGATTCGGTTTGTGAGTTTGCTCTAAAAAAAAAGTGTAGCTGGTAGTTATTCAAGTGCGTATCTTTGCCTGATAAGTATTTACCGTCATCCTCTGGGGCACACCGCCGCCGCTGCTGCTGCTTCTAGAAGATCGGTGATGTGATAGCTTGTCTGCTAACTTTCCTGAACGTGTTTGATCAGGATGTCTTGCCAAAGGGCTGCGGTTAAAAAAAAGCATCTTGGCTTAATCTGATTTTCTGTTTTATGTGCCTGTAGATGAATAAATATGTCTGGTGATAGCACACACTTACACGCATACACACATCCAGCAGCAGCTGATTCGACTTTTCTGCGTGACACAAATACCTGCATTGCACGCTTCTGTTTGCTACCTGCGATCCCGTCCTGATTACATTCCAGCTGTTTTCCTCTGACAATGTTTTGACTACCTGTCTGCTCAGATAGTGTGTCCTTTTCCTCCTCCTGTCAAAGACATGGCATCTAACTCTGTTACATAAAGACGCACGTTTGATAAGGAGTGCCACATGGCGCCGATCTGGGCACACGCTTCTTTTCAACATGATCAGATGGATTTTAGTTAGCCATGCTCTGATTCATTATTGGCTGTGCTTCGGATGACAATGACAGCTCAGATTTTTATTATTTTTATTTGCTTTTTTTTGTACCAATTTATTACTGATTTGCTGATTGGCTGGCAGCCGCATGCTTGATTTCAGCGATTGGACGGTCAGATCAGGCTGAAGAGAGAAACTAAAAACTTTTAAAGATGTGAAAAGCTCGGTGAAAAGTGAAAGCTCCCTGATTCCTGATTTTTATCTCACCAAATTGACTTGGATGGTCTTCTCCCAGTTTTTCTCGTTGTTGATGCCGGCGTTGTTGATAACGACGTCCAGACGACCAAACATGTCCACTGTTGCCTGGAATGCATCTGTTCAATGAAAACACAAAGTCATCATTTAACCGTATCGACTATCGCTCCCTGATCCAACAACAGGAAAGTTCAAACTGTATGATGATCTCTACAGACAGGAAGAGGAAGAAGTCAGCGAGTTTTCACATGTAGAGGATACTGATTATAGTGAACCCTGGTCAGCTTTCAGCGGAGTGCAGCTGGTCTAGTGGTATTTTGGTAGACCGGTGACGTAGTGCGCATATATCAACGATGTCTCACTGGCAGGTTTCCACAGAGTCAGACACATTTCAGTGCAAAAAATAATCAACAACAACCAATATTCTGAGTCAGCAAATACTTTTAGATCTATAGATATATTCAGATCTATATCTGATCTGATGAGCGCATTTGGCACACTTTGGACACTCAACCTGACCAAATCCACACAGCTAAAACTGCATTAAATTAAATATCCAGTGCTGATATGATTGGCGAAAACAGGTCTCGGCTGAGTTAAACCCACTCCACGCCATATCCCCTCCCTCTCTACAACTTACGTCGCTGGGAGGAGCTAAGTTAGGGAGGGGGGATACTTACGCCGGGCTGCGCCACTCACCAAAATACTACAATGTGCTTGGGCAAGCCTTGTTGGTACGGCGGACCTGACTTACCCCGTGCCTACGCCACGCCGCTGGTGAGGAACGAAAATAGAGCCCTTTGTCTTGTCTCCATTGTCTGTTTGCACTGAAAATATGTTGTCAACCACCTGTCATGATTTGTCCTGCATCACCTAATAGAAATAAACAAATAAATACATAAAAAAAGTTTTGGTCTTCTTGAAAGCCCTTTCTTTTTCTGTAACAATTATGTAGGACAGTTATGCTGGTCAGCTTCCAGACGTATAAACTATTGAGCATGCACAGATTGCTTAAGTGCGTTTGACTCTGATTTGGACTCAAATAAAAGAGAAAATGATTAAAAATGACTTTACATTATCAACAGTCCGTGTAACTTTCATTCGTTCTATTTTCTATTAAGAAACGCAAGTCAGATCTTTTTTTTAATATATTCGGGAGGTTTAAAAACCCCAACAAGAGTCGTTTTCTACAGCCATAAAATTGGATTTTGTGTTGCTGTTACGGATTTCTTTAAATTCATAGATAAAAATGAAGAATTCAATCTATGTTAATCAAAAATGCAAAATTACAGGGATTTTTTTAGGCATTATTACAAGATGAACCAGAGGCAGAATACCTGGGCGCAGTGTGGTCCTTCAATCAGTTGACCGATGTCTGTTTTTTGTTTTCTGACATGCGTTTCAAAATTGAAAATAGAATGAACGGTAGAAACACGGACCATCATTATTTCTGTCTGCTTGGATTTTTTCCTGCACTTTTATATCAAAAATAGCTGCAAAGACATTTTTGTTCCTTTTGCGGCATTTTTGGGAAACTTGTTGATGAGTTTCAAAAGTGCTGTGCGTGCGTGAAAGGTGAAAAAGTACAGTGGATTTTCAGGTTTGGGACTTAAAACCACGTGTATTTGGAGAAAAAATCTCACTGTTCCCCAAACAATGAGGAAGATTTGAGTCTGAGCCCTCGTGTTTGCTTTCTTTGTGTACGTTGCCAAACTGACTTCAGACGTGTTGACAGTTCGGATTCAGTGCGGTGGACGGTGTGAGTGAAGGGACAAACTTTGCGCTCCCGCAGGTTGTTGTGCAAACAGAGGCGTTGGAATAAACAGCTGAAGGGAGAAAACAGGACGGGGAGAAACCTGCGTGTGTCATCAGCTGCTGCATTCCTCACCTGGACACCCAACAATTACAAACACACATACCTGCTTCCCACATCAGCGTGAAATACACACACCAGCGCAGAGACGCATGAACACGTACACGCAGAGTTAATCCACGACCACACAGACGCACATGCACGCTTTCATTGGCTCCGTTCAGGCTAACAGTGTGCGTCCACATCAACAGCAGCTTCATCACACCGTTAGCAACAACAGCAAACAGCATTCCTCAGCAGTTAGCCTGCAGGGATTCACTTTCCAGTGTCAGACAATGAGACCTTGTTCGTCTCTCTCACTCTAACACACACACACACACACACACACACACACACACACACTCTTTAATTCTTCCTCACCTGACACGCCCACTTTCACACACTCGCACAAACACAGCAGCTCCGACAGGTGAGAAGAAAAGCTGAAGGTAAGTGAAGAGACTGACTCCTAGTGAAGGGTCGACATCAAAGTTATTTTGGTGTTTGACATTTTTATAGACATCGAGGAGCAGAGAGGCTGATCTGCAGGTTTAACACTGACAAAAAACATTTAAAAAACGTATTATTTTACATTATGATCCTTTCACTTTGCACATCTTGGTTGTTTATATCTGTTTCCTAATTAAATGATGGGTTTAATTATTTAAAAAAAAGAAAGGAAGAGCTTAGGTAGGATGACCATACCTCCTCTTTTACGCTAACATGTCCTCTTTTTGGGGGTCTTTCCGGCCTTGTCCGGGTAGTTTACAAAATCCTTCAAATGTCGGGGTTGTTTTGTTTGTTTGGAATTTTTGAAGTTATGACGTCTGGACTAACTGAGTTAGAAGCAAGTCAAAAACACTCGACCTGAAAACTCTCAAAATTTACTATGCGTGACTAACGACTCTGTGACTCCACCCCTGCGTAGTCAAGGCCTTTTTTTGTGGGGATTCAGAATATGGTCACCCTAGCTCAGGTCCATTTTTCAGGTCACGGTCCATTTTTCTAAAGTTTCTCATTCTGTGTGTCCACTTCTGACCAATCAGATTGCGTGTTGTTGTGACATCATATTCACCGGTATATCCAATATGGCCGACCGATGATTGTTTACGTGTCGGAGAACAGAGTGATTTTTGATAAAAGACACAAATATTACAAAGATAACGACTTGAAGGACGACTTGTGGAGAGTCATAGCGACGAAAGTGTGTTTTAACTTTCATCTGTGCTAACGTAAGCTAACAGTTGTTACCATAGTTTCATGTGCTTATCTTATCGCCTCTGATTGGCTATAAGTGCTGACCGTTTGGCTTAAGCGTGTGATGACGTTTCGAGCTTTTCTAGCCAATCAGAGGGGAAGGAGGCGGGACAATCCCCAGGAAAAGTCTTCCCCGATGCGTCTTTTCCCCCCCGAAAAGTCGTAAAAACCCCAACGGGCTTGATGAGTATAGTCCAGCGCGTCAAAAATCGGCTCTGAATATTTCATAATTTTGCGTTCTATATTTGCGTTGGCCTCGGTGTGTAAGGGCCTTAAGTTTCATTTTTTGAATTAGATGATGGGAAAAAATGAACTTTTTTCAGGACTTTCTAATGATGATAGCCAATCAGGTTAGAGAGAAAGCAGAGGGAAAAGGGAAAAAACAAACACAGCCGTGGCACCAAGAATAAACATGACGTATAAATTTACTTAGAAACAGCGGAGCGACTTGTTGATATGTGGAAACAACAGACTTACACAGAAATTGTGATCGTAATCGATGCAAAAAGCAACATTTAGCTTCATTTAACATTTAGCTTCGCTGTATTTGTTGTCCGCTGTGTTTTTACTACTGAGTCACATCTGAGTGTGAGAGTTTGGTCGATTTCCAGTTTGGAGAGAGAGCACACTCTGGTTGTTGCTGAGTCATAAATCTAATATTCGTCAGGCTTCATCTGTGTTGTTTTTTTCACTCTGCTTTGAGTGGTTCATCTGTTTGTTTTGGAGAGACGGTGACCTCTGCAGATAAACTCTAAAAACTAAAAACTAAACCAAAACTAGTGGTGCCAGTTTGGCCTGCAGCCACATCCTGTAGAAGAACTGCTTACCACAGTGTTTTCACAGCTTCGAATCATCCTCGCAGTCTACAGTACATGACAGATAAATATACAGATTACTACTTTCAGTGTGTAAATGCAAAAGAAGTGGAAGTGGAGTAAAATTAACAACCCTGAGACTGTAAATCAAGAAGAAACACCTGCTGAGGAATGATTTGAGATCTGTCGTCCTGAACTCAGAGAGCGCTCGCCAGGAAAGCTTTCTAATGTGTGAAAAAAGCCGTCTCCGTGTTTCCGACCTTTTTTTTTTTTCTTTCTGAAAGTCACTTCCTCAATCATTTCCAGGAAGTACGCGATGAGTGAGCGTTTTTCTGCGTGCCGCTCAGTGTGTCATCGTAGGAGTTCCACAGCAAACTGAGCGTGTTTATCAAATCTGTGTTTCTTCTAAATGAGTTTGACTTTGTTCGACAGACGGTTTTACCTCTCAGAGCGTCACCGTTGGACACGTCACAGGGGATGAATGCACAGTTTCCTTCTCCAAACTCGGCGTCCAGCTGAGCTTTGCATTGTTCCCCGCAGGTCTTGTTCAGGTCGACCACGGCCACCTGGGACACAGAGCGAGTTTCAGATGAACACAGAGACACAAAAAGTGGACGGATTTAGAGCTGCAGAAGTTTTTCTTTAACACATTTCAGTTTCTGAGCTGCTCTCACTTCCTCTTTCTGGGGGTTTGTGAGGTTTTTTTGTTTTGACTTCGTTGGTGAGCAGCTGCATTCAGACCACAAGCTGCTGCAGTTTCACAAGGTGTGAAACAAGATCTCAGAGACTTATTTACATGTTTCTTCACCTTTCAAATGTCTGTTCCCTTTTTTTTAAAGTTTGTGCTTTTATGCAGTACAGGTCATTAAAAAGATAAGAGCATGTTTTTTTAAACTGGGGCCTCACATGAGCACAATTAGTCTGAATGATTTACAGTCCAGACAGGAAATGCTTCAGCAGCTGATTTTGGCTGGCTGCAAAGAAACAGGTTGTTGAAGCTGCCGTGCACCCCGCCGTTATTCAAAGTCAGGATTCACATGAAGGAAATCTTTTTGTTTTAGAGAGAGATGCTTTCTTTTTTAATCAGTTTTCACTCTGATTTCCTCAAAGCTGTTGAACTCTGTGGGTAAAATTTGTTTGCAGCCGAGTAAAAACTGAGAAGCTGATTCTGCAGAATTTGTTGCTTCTACTACAACGAGATGCAGGTTTTGACTCCACTGTTAGTTTGCACGCTCTACTCTTTCGAAGATTTCTGTTTTGCACAGGCGTGTGGGTGTCTCCGGCGTGCACACTCCTGTGTTTTCAATTGCCTTTGCAGATTTGTGTGCATGCAATGTTTTTAATGTTTTTTTTTTAAGTTATTTTTGAAAATGTTTGTCCTCATCTGAAGATGTTAGGAAAGAGATGCTCCCACACATCAAGCATACGTCTAGACCCACAGAGTGCTGCTGTTGTGCCCGGCTATTTTTATAAACTGACATTTCACCCTCTCGGTTTACAAAAAAAACTGAGTGCACACATAGACTGTATATACTTTGGACAACTTGGTTCCGCCTCCCGCCTGTAAACGGATGTGAAGCCGAATAGCTCGCGGTATTTCTGCGATTTTTCTTCATTTCCTGAAACCAGCGCTGAGCAGTAGCGTTGTGCGCATTTGGTGGGAGAGTCACTGTGATGACGTTCGGCTCAAACAGCGTATCTCTCAGGTGAGCTACGTAATCTTCGTACGCCCATAGGCTGTATCAGGTGTCAATCATAGAAAACATGAACCCTCTAATAACTTTTTAAAATGGAGCTGCACAGAAAAAAGAGGACTTGAGCACAAACCAGTCTGACAGTAACTACACGTCAACATCACAATCAGGGGGGAGAAACATTTATATTCTGTGTGATAAATTTCTAAAATTTGTCCACAGCTCCATACGGATTAATGGAGGAGGCGGGATTTATGACCTATACTGCAGCCCGTCACCAGAGGGTGCTGTTCTCGCAGTGGCTTCACCCAGCAAGGAGGCAGACGGCGTCCATTCTAAATCCAGTCTACAGCAGATGTCTTTGTGTTTAATATGTAGGTATTTATACAGATCTTTGTAATTTATACAACTAGAATTTTTTTTTTTTAATCCCTTATTTGCAAGGAAGAGGCGGGACTAGATAAGGTTTTTGCTTCATTCTGTTCCTTCTCAAACTGTTTATTTTGACATGTACATATGTTAGTGTAAATTTATCTTTGACACGTACAGTTGTTTGGTTTACATGTGTATTATTTTATTTGGTGTTTTTGTTTCTGGTTGTTTTTGTTGTTGTTCTTAAAGTTTGAGATAAATAAAGAAGAAAGAAAAAGAAAGAAAGAAAGAAAGGGATTGCACCAGCATAAATGCGTCTGGTATTCTTCATGCATCCATGATCACCATAGATAGATGTAAACATAGACTGCAGATTGGAAACAACGTCACATTTAATCCAGTTTCTTTTCATGCAAATGTGCAAACGGAGTTTTCCAAAATCTTCACCCCGGCTGGAGTTTTTAAAAACCATCATTTTTAGGGACCAGTTCTTATTTTCCGTCTAAACGAAGGGTGCAAACGATGGTTAATGTCTCCGTTTTTAAAAATAACGCGGCTTGAATGGAGCTGCTCTCAGTTAAACAAAGTCCCTCAAAACAACAACCTGAGCCTGTCTGACATCGCACTTACATTTTACACTTTTACACTTCTACACTTTTAAAATTCATGTAAATACGTTACACTGACTGAAATCGCTCTTAATCGAACTTCTGATCGCTGGACTGAACTCGATAAAGCATTTATTGATCCGTTTTCTCTTACATGTACACGCTTCAATCAGACTCAAAGTGTTGTGTGCATGCTCTACAGTTTGCAATGGCACAAGTGTGTCGCAGATAGCAAACAAAAAACGACAGAAGAAGAGTGGACATAAAATGGTGTTTTCAAAGTACAACCCATAAGCCTCTTGCTAACAGATTTGTCGATTGTTTTGGTACATGACATAATAGGTCAACCAGGAAACAGCCCAGTTTACCCAGAATGCAGTTTTAGATGTTGAAAATGCCAAATTAGAAGTTGTCAGCCTCATTGCTGATAACCTTTTTTGCTTTTCTAGGTCATTTCAGGGCATGAGTATCAATTTCAGTCTGTTTTACAGCTTGTCTAAAACTCCTTACTGTGGCTTTAAATTCAGACGTTTGCTGAAGGGGATTTATTTGCAGCTCTGCCTTTGGTTTCACGTGTCTCTATCTCACAAGATATTCTGTAACAGAGATAAAATCAAACAATCGTCCTTGTATCTAGATCCTGTTTTGACCTTAAAACATTTGAAACCAGCAGAGTGATCATCGAGATCAAATAACCATAGAAATAAATGAGACAAAACCGCCAAAAAATGAGTTTCCCAGGTTATTAAAGAAGTTCAGATTTTGAGCTCAGTTGTAGAAAAGTAAGTCAACAGTTTCTGAATGAGACACACCACAGCTGATTGTTGCAGCCCTCTGAGGTCAAAACAGGTCGTGTTTCAGGTGAGACGACAGCCGAGCCGGTCATACAAGAGTTTGGAAAAGTTATTCTGTAACTCACAGAGAGAGCAGAGAAGTTGAAGAGTTTACAGCAGAGGGATAAAGAGGTCGTAAAAGCGGGAAAAAGTTGAATTTGAGGCGAACTGCACAACACTGACCTTCGCTGAGCTCTGCAGGAGCGACTGCACGGCGGCTCTCCCGATGCCCTGAGCCCCCCCGGTCACCAGAGCCACCTTCCCACTCAGAGACATGATCCAAACACAGCAGCTGAACCCCCGCACACTTCCTCCTCTCTCTCTCACACACATATAAACACACTCTCTCTCTCTCTCTCTCTCTCTCTCTCTCTCTCTCTCTCTCTCTCTCTTTTTTCTGTCTGTCTCTCAGCTTTCTCTTCTTCTCTGTTTTCATGCACCTATCTGCTCTCTGAAACCCAATCACAGGCTTTCTTTCTCACCCCTCTGTGTGTTTTTCACTCTTATAGCTGAGCTGTCTTCCCTCCCTTCTTCCCTCCCCCTCCTTCTGTCTCAGCTTATCAGTCTATACAAACAGAGAGAGAGAGAGAGAGAGAGAGAGAGAGAGAGCTAAGTAAACTCAGCAGGGTAATAATTACAGGTTTTCTGCAGCTTGTTGTACCTGCCCTCCTGCCTTCTCTTACACCTCCCCCTCCTCCTCCGTCTCCTCCTCCTCCTCCTTCATCTTCACCTCTGAGCTCTTCACACATGTCTCAAGTTGCATGAATACCTTCACGTCTCACAGCCTTTCTAAAGTCTTGTAACCGTCAGTCTCTCTTTTCTTCTGCGTCCCCTCGTCCATGTTGCTCATATGTCTTCTGTGTAATTGCTCTTACACAACCTGCAGCAGCTCCGCTCAGTGATATGATTCTGCCCCGGTCAGGTCTCTGCATGTTCACGCTCGGCTGAAATGAACGGCAACCAATAGCTGCAAACCGCGAGAGCAAGCATGTGAGAATACCTGTACGCGGCTTTAAGTAAACTCAAACCACAGAGACTTCCACTGAGTCTCCCCTCTGAGGAGGCGTCTCTCAAAGTTTGTGTTTATAAATAAACGACTATCTTTACTTTGCAGAATTCAGGGACATCCAACACTTCCTTCCTCATCCTCCTTATCGGGCATCCTTCCTCCTGTCTTTGATAAGAAGATGGACATTTTTAAAATAACCATGGAAACACTGTGATGGTCTCACACTCATCTCCTTTGACACATGGTGTACCACAGGGCTCAGTCCTAGGACTACTATAAACCATATTTGATTAAATGCAAATAAATCCGGATCTTGGTGACCCTGTAACCTTTCTGCTGGACAGGTAAACCGCTTTAACAAAGTAAGACAAGTGTCTGTAACAGAAGTGTTTCTTGTCAAACGGACCTGCCGTAGCGTGTTGTAGCGCCATCGCTAAACTGTCCTCCCTCGGGTCCTGGACTATGTCACTTTATCCTCGTTGTAGAAGTCCTGCAAACATTGTGTTTGCTGGTAGTCTGTTGGCATCTACAGTAGCATCAATGCTGTTTACTTTCACCTTGACTGGGCCCCATTTGTAATGATCTGAAGTATTTATCTGCATTATATCTGAATTTAATTGGAACGATACGAGCGAGCGAGAGCGTCTGTTTGTGGGCGGGGCTTGAGGGGAGAGGAGGAGCTGAGGGGGAAACTGGTTAGGAGGGGTAGAGTTTACATTCAAGATTTCTCCTAAAAACTGGAACTTCCTCAGATCCTGACTACCCCACCTATAACTTAACCTGTAAACGTTTATCTGAGTTTATATAGGGTGACCATATTCTGAATCCCGAAAAAGAGGAGGCGACTACGCGGGGGCGGAGTCACAGAGTCACGTGTAGTAAATTTTGAGAGTTTGAGAGTTCCACAGGATGCGGAACGGCTCCGCTCCGTTCAGGCAAGGCAGGCGGATCAAATACGCAAGCATTATAATCAGTGTGTGTCAGTGTGTGTCATTCCACAGATCAGATATGCAAGGCTTCTATTTTTGCCAGACGCCGCAGCACGGCGCATCAATTCAGTTCAGCGCAGCGGGTGCAGCAGCGGAAGTTGTATGCGGCTACGGAGTAAAATATTCGGTTTATAATAAAGTCAATACATCGAACTGTTCGTAACCTGATGATAGGAGAGGCCGGGGTTGTGGGATGAGGGTGTTTATCGGTTATATATACACCGATCGGCGGATGTCATAGAATGTCTCACAGGGAAACACGTCCAGTCTCGGCAGATCGGATCGAGTGGGTGCTATATGCTTGCGTATTTGATCTGCCTGCTGGTCCGCAGTGGAACAGAGCTGTTCTGGATCTGGTGGAATTCCCGGGTAACTCAATAAGTGCACACGACACAAACTCAAAACTTCCATACAAAACTCCGGACATTCGAAGGAATTTATAAACTTCCCTGGACAGGCCCCCAAAAGAGGACATGTCCGGGTAAAAGAGGAGGTATGGTCACCCTAGTTTACAGAAAAGAAACATCTGTAAACACACATTCAACACGATGCAACAGATGTTTGCATTATTTTTTCGTGGCTCTCTGCCGCTCTTTTTGTCCTCGACACTTTCACTGTTTTGACTGTTTTCTATAAAAAGTGCTGTATAATTAAATTTAAGCTAAATATTTACCGTCTTGCTAACTTTGTCAGGCTGGTGGTCACGTCCCACCCTCAGCCGGCCTTACGGAGCTGTCAGCTATCAGGACCAGCTGTCCCAAATGGTTCACAAGTGATTTCATCAGGATAAACACAAAAAGGAGAAGGGACAAACAAACGGCGTATGAAACAACCTAACACTTGTCTCAGGAGAGGGAACATAATGACAGTTTATGAGCACAGATGTGAAGAAGATACTCCGACCATCTCTGATGGAGAAAAGTGGAGCAACATCCTGTCTGCCATCAGGACAGGATGTATCCAGCTCTGGTGGAAACACGTCTAGGTTTCTGATCTCCATGAAGTCACTTAAACCATAAGCAGTAGTGATAATAACAACATTGAAATTATTATTATTATTATCATTTTTCTAATAACTATTTGTATCTTATTTTCTTTTGTGTTCAATTGCTAATTAGTTTTTATCTTCTTTATTATTATTTTACATCACAAGATAGGAAACGTCGCTGATGTGAACGCTTGACAGGATACGGGTTCAAAAAAAAAAATTTATGTCTGAAATAATCACATGACAAAAACAGTCCCGGTGTGAAAGGACCTTTAAGGAGAACAACGTTCACTAGTATCAGAGCTAGCATATAGCTAACATTAGCATAGAGCTCAGATCCGAGTTCAGATATATGTGTTTAATAGAATCAATAAGAAAAAATGACAAAAAAAGTTTTATATAAATTTATATTAATGTGAGTTTACATGTTAACAAAGAGTGGAAATAAAAGAAGAGTCCCACAGAAATCTTAAAGAAGTGGCAACCAAGTTTATTTTCATACAATATAATTTAATTTCAACAATGTAAAATATGCACATCTTATTTTACAAAAACAAACAAAAAAACCAGTGCTCTCTCCCGACTCCACAGACGTGTGAGGGGTTTAGTTCTTGTTCCACCTTTAAACCAGAATTATTCAGTAAAGACATGATCGCAGTGAAAACAAGAAATAAGATTCCTGACGGAGAAATTAAAACAAGAGTTCAAGTGTTGGTTTGTCTGCAGTCTGACTTTTTTTTTAATAAATAAAAATAAATAGAAAAAAATCTCCACAAAAATAAAAAGTATTGACTGTCCATGCATTGAATTTTCTTCAGCTACAACTCGTCTTCATTTGCTTCTTCCAGTTTTCCCACAAAAGATTTTCTGCTTTTTTTTCTTCTTTTTTTACAATAAAGAGAACCAAGACTTTAATAAGATATCTCCACAAACTCACGCACTTTTACCACATCTGAACCACAGTTAAAGTAAAAATACAAGGCCAACAGAACAGCTTTAAACTCCACAGCTCCCAGAAATTATTTTAAAGTTTTCGATTTAGTCGGACCAGCATTTGTTGGCTGTTTCAGATTAAAACTAATAAAGTCTATAATCTTAAAATCTGCACTTTTTAAACATATTAAATTATGATAGGACTATTTTTTAAGAAACTTGCATGTCAGTGGAAATATTCCAGGCAGAATACAGTTTTAAAATTTCTTACAGGTGCTAAAAAACAAAACAAAACAAACGTTCCTGACCATTTTTAAGGTTGTTAACTCCTTCAGTGCCAGGTTCATTTATGATATTCTCACCTAGTGCCACCATCGACCGCAATGGAAATTGAAATATTTCAAAATAAAGGAGTGATTCTCTTCTTTCACCAAAAAAAAAAGTTGGTCTCTAGCCCACTCTTGTGTTTGGTTATTACCTGCTCAATGCAGCGTGGTCATATCATCTTTGCCGATCTGGAAAAAAGGAACCTGAGAAAAACGAAGGAGAGACTTTCAAGCAGAACTTTGATCGTCTATTTCGTTTCACTTCAAACTACTTTACCGGTGGCATCAAGGTCCTCCCTCCTCAGACATCACTCCTCATCTAATTGTGATAGGTCACTTTGTAACAGCTGGGTGCCGAAGCCTAAACCACACGGACTGCTCGCATCCTCCTCGACGGGATTGACGCTGAATTCCGGCTCAGTCTCCCTCACCAGTACCGACACCAGCGGCACAACGACACGCCGGAAAATTGTTTCTGTGATTGTCAGCTGATGATGTGAGGATCCGGTACCAGGATCCCCTCGCTATCCAGAGACAGAAGCAGCACGCCCATGGGAGCCGATGCGCCAAGACCGTTAGCTCTTGGCTAATGACTTCGGCATTTTCTTACCCTCCGCATAGAGAAAAAAAAAAAACACTCCAGAACTCGACTAATGGGCACACTTGATTAGCCTGGCTGGGCCATCCAGTTGCGTGAATCACTTGCCGTTCCTTCCCACAACAGTCTGGACTTCGGCCAATTGGGAGCCCTAAAAGTGGGCGGGAGTACTTTCCTTGATAGACAGACTACTGTAACCAATCACCGTAACATCTGACGTCATCACAGTGCGCGACTGTGTTCCCTGCTGGGCTCTCAAACATCAAGTAAAGGTTTGGTAATATTTTAACGTGTGCGAGCGAACAATGTCTTTCACGTCTTTTTCTGCGGATATAAACGATTTCTGCCGACTTTGCAAAGTCAACTGCAGAATTAACGGCGTTCTGAATGAACGGCGCTTTGGAAAGTCCCGCAGCATGTGTTAGACGTCACCATCTACACATGGACCAATCAGGGGCTGCCTTTCCCTGTTGTCCGGGGAACAGTGGAAACAAAGTCACGGATTGGCCCGGTTATTTTCTGATTTCTAATACACGCTCCCGATTGGCCAAAGTCCAGACTGTTGTGTGAAGGAACGGCAAGTGATTCACGCAACTGGATGGTCCAGCCAGGCTAACACTTGATGACACACCCCTAACTGGCGAGTACTTGTTCTTGTTATTGTATCATTGTTGTGACATATTTGTTGGCTTTTAGGCGCTCAGAACGACCCCAAACTTCATCGCATGTTGGGAAGGAGCGCCCTCTGGTGGAAAAAAACCCCTAAACAATCAGTCAAAATCTGTCAGTGGCACTGAATGAGTTAATAGCTTCCACTTTAACCTATACCTATGCGTGTTTGGCGACAAAATGCTGAGTTTTGTTGAAAATACTAACACTCTTGATTTGGACTGTGATATTTGCTGCAAAGATTCAGAGATGATAATTTCAAAACCACAGAGCTCAGTCATCAACAGGAGGTTGACAGTGGACACAGAAATGTCCTCAGAAATGAAAATAGCAGGAGTTTGTTTTGATTTGACCCTGCGGATATTTCTGGGGGGGGAAACACTGGTGTAAATAACACACAACTACTGCAGGGAAAGGCTTCATGTTAACAAGCTGACCCGACATCCTCCCAGGAAACCGCAGAAACTGAGGGCAGTGCGGACCTCTGGACGGGGGAGGTGACCCGTTGAGTATTTACAGAGCCACACCTGTGTTTGTCGAGTCCTTTCAGGAGAGGCTGCAGTGGAAATTTTAAAAAACTCAAGCGACCTTTGTGAACTCGCTGCAGCAAACGAGTGAAACCTGATTTGTTGGATAATTCATTCGACAAACAAAGCTGCAAGCCCGTGGTTTAATGCCGCGTGGAAATTATTCTTTCTTCCATCAGAAAGCTGAGGGAGGAGACGGGTTACTGATCAATCCCCCAATTTCAGTTCTTACACCATCACTCTGGTCCAGGCTGCATATGAGACGTGAACAATTAAGGTCTTCAAAGTGAAGACACTACCCACCACCTTTCACTTATCAGGACTCTCTTCTCAGGAACCTTCTACCAGTTGAGGTCTGGGAGTCAGACATCCTCTCTACTCTTTAAAGTGGACTCAAGACCTTCCTCTCGTAGTTGGAGCTGGTTCAGGTCTGGACCAGCTCTTAGTTACACTGCTAAAGGCTAACCCCCAATTTCCACTGCATCTGGAACAGCTGCCAAAAAGCCGCATGCGCTGATCGCAGCTGATCGTTTCCCTTCAAGTTAATGCGTCAATTCCACCGTCTTTTTTCTGTTTGCTGCGGTTCAGCGTACTTCGTAGCCGATCGCCAGGGTTCTATTTTTTCCAGACGCCACAGCATGCCGCATAAATTCAGCACAGATTAACCCGTGCTGAAAAGGAAGTCAGGCACAGACACAAAATAAAAACATCCGGCTTCTTCTCAAAATAAAACACCACGCAAACGTGAGCAGAGACGAACAAGTCAGAGGTTTTCAGATGTCATTTCACCCCGTTGACATCGTGGATGAGGAGATGCTGATTTTAGAAGTCTAGAAGTAGGTTTTCTCCTCTGTAAGGACGCAATCTTTTTCTTATGTGGTTATATGGCTGTCTTTATCGAGACAACTCCTTAACGTGTGACTGCATGTGAATCTGTGGGTTCTTGTGAGGTCTCGTGATTCCCGCTGTCTGAAATCCACTCACAAACACATCCGGTAGGAATTAGCGAATTACAAAAATCACTGCTGTTCTGTAGTGGATGTGGTGAAAATTGGGGGTTAGACCGCAACGGGTACCGGCACATTGAGAACCTGATCACAGTCTTCTCTCTGGGAGTCTCTGAACTCCATCATCCTGTAGTTTCTTCTGGATCGCTGCTAAAGACGTCCTGCCTGAATGTCCAGCTTCTTCAGATGTTAACATCTCACCATCTTCATCAATGTTACAAAGTGAATGTTAATTATAGAACTTCGTGTTTCAACCGATCCAATTCCAACTCCCATTATTAACCTCCAATCTGCTCTACTACTGTAGACCTGTTGAGTTTAGTGGCTTTAAATCAAACTAAGATCAGTCTTTGCTGTTCTTGTAAATCGTACTCCTGCTTGTTTCCATTGTCTCTGGCACCGGTCTGCATGTACTATTGTTATAGTCCATCTTTCTCTTTCTGCATCTCCCTCTGTCCTCTCTCTAAACTCCACGGATGAGTGTCCTACATGAGTCTGGTTCTGCTCGAGTTTTCTGCCTGTTACAGGATGTTTTTTTTCTTGGTCTGTTGGTCTGATCTTGACATGTAGTTACAGTCAGACTGGTTTGTGCTCAAGTCCTCTTTTTTTCTGTGCAGCTCTGTTTTTAAAGTTATTAGGGGGTTCATGTTTTCTTTGATTGACACTTGATACAGCCTATAGGAGTATGAAGATTGCGTAGCTCACCTGTGGGATACGCTGTTTGAGCTGAGCGTCATCACAGCAACTCTCCTGCTGAATGCGTACAATGCTACTGCGCAATGTTGGTTTTAGGAAGTGGAGAAAAATACTGGCTTCAAATCTGTATACTGGTGGACGGTGGACCCAAGTTGTCCACAGTATATATACAGGCTATGGTTGGTACTCAGCCTTTGTGAATAGTGTAATAAAGAGTATGGATCAGCTGTTTCTGTGAAGCTGCTAAAGTACAATTGTTGTAAACAAAAGATCAACTGAGAGCAAAAAACCATGAAAGACTTCGGTGATGCAGCGGGTAACCAGCAAGGGTTTGGACATTGGGGATCCTGGGCTTTCCTCTGAGTTTCTAGGTGATGGGCATCCCAGGATTTCCAACCAGCAATTGGAGCTTGGAAAAAAAAGGAAAACTAGCATCTTACTCTTCAACCCAAACGTCCGTCCCTGTGGAAATCCTTTCTTCAATGTTTGTAGAAACTCTAACGACACCCTGAGCCTGTCATGTTTTAGCAGAAATATTTCACTAAAGGAGAATGATTTTTAGTCAGCGCAGTCAGGAGGAGGTTCAACTTTGCAGCCTTTCACACAATAACACATTTGTAAAAAGCAGAAAGTCTGAAAACACCAGCTGTCAACGACCTTTCAGTGAAAAGGTTTTAAAGTTTGGGGGTTCCCAGCCGGACAGGAAACAGTAAATAATTTAGTTATGTGTCAGTCGGGACTTTGACTTTAGGCTCAAAATGAAAGTGACTCAATAACTCAGTGAGAATAAATGACTGAAGGGGCGAGCAGGAAAGTACCGGAGGAGCTGTGGCGTTAGTCAGAGTGTGAGCGGGGACAAACAGAACAGTGGTGTTACTTCATGATAGAAACGAGTCGTTACAGAGCGTGGACTGGTGCCAACGGCTCAACGTGTTAGGGAAAAAAAACACACAACATTGGCAGCTGAGCTGTAAGACACGAGTGGGCGAAACAGTGTGTAATCCGTGTGTGTGTTTCTGTGGTTCCCACATTTCTTGAGGAAGTCTCTTCGGTCTCCAGTTTGTCACAGAAAATCATCGGCTGCTCCTCAGAGCCGTGATCAGAGCCTGTTATCGTGGTGGGATTTCGTAGATAAACTCTGAACTTGGCGTCTTCACATTTCTGAGGTTCATCAGTTTTCTCACTGTCTGTAAATGAAGGAGATGATTCATCCCGTCCTCTCTGCTCCTCAGGATTGTCTTGGTTTCTGTCACAGTGCTAAAGTTTCAAGGAGTCCCAGATTAGAGCCAACGTCTCTCGGAGAGGGAGAACACAGTGCAAGGACTAACTTTCATCTACGAGGACAGCCATCCGATTAAAGAAAAAAAACACACTAACTAACCTGGATCTGGTTGGTGTCTTTAGCTCACACGCTTGCTGGTGCTCTTGAAGGGATATCGTGAGTTTTGAGTTAAAATAACGCAGATCGTTGTTTATAAAAAGTGAATGTAGCCTTCATCAGAGAAAAGTAAAGCTGGTGCTACATCTTTATCTGACGACCGACTCACACTTGGGATTCGTTGTTGGTGTTGAAACTGTTGAATCAGGAGAGATCTTGGCGGCTACATCCACTTTTTATAAACACTTTCAGCGACTCAACGCTTTCCACTTTGAAAAATCTTTTCTTTTTCATTTTTTTAAAAAGATCTCTTAAAGGGATATTCCAGCGTAAATTTAAGTTATGGTCAAACACACCATAACACAAAGTCAGACACCCCCTCCAGAGATGAATGTTGCCGGCCGCTTGCTTCTCTAGTTATACCAACTTTAGTAACGACCGCATGATAGCAATACACAGCGGTCTGAGGAGCCATAAACAAACCTCAACCAAAACGCCACTCTATAGCCACAAATAATGCTCAGAACAGCACCTAACTTCATCAACAGGACATATAGGGTCACAGCCATAGTACTAGACACCAAACATTTTTTTAACTTTGACTAATTTCTTTAGCAAAGAGACTAAACACAACTCACCTACTCTCTTCCAGCAGCCGCTTGTATGTGGGGAAGCCCTGTTGAGTCGATCACCGAGTGCAGCAAATCATTTCCTTGAAGTAATAATCATCATATTAATCATTATGATGATTAAGTAATGATCATAAATGTTCTTCCTTGAGCTGCGAAACTCCACTGCACTCTGTGATTGACTCGTCAGGGCTCCCCCAGAAACAAGTAGCTGCTGGAGGAGAGTGGGTGAGTTGTGTTTGGTCTCTTTGCTAAAGAAATGAGTCAAAGTTAAAAAGATGTTTGGTGTCTAGTACTATGTCTGTGACCCTATATGTCCTGTTGATGAAGTTAGGTGCTGTTCTGAGCATTATTTGTGGCTATAGAGTGGCGTTTGGGTTGAGGTTTGCGCGTGGAGACATAGACCATTGCTTCATTGCTGAAGTTGATATATCTAGAGAAGCAAGCAGTCAACAACATTCATCTCTCGGGGAGAGGGGGGCTGTCCAACTCAGTGTTCCTGACTTTACGCCGGATTATCCCTTTAAACGGTGACGGTCACATTTTCGATCTTTCTGAGTGTTTCTATACATAGTTTTTGAGAATCAGTGTGACTTTTATTCTTCCAGAACAGGATATTTTTGTAAAGTGAAGGTTTCCTTTATGAAGCGGTCAGGGTCGAGGAAGTGCCCTCGTATAAAAATCCGACCGAGAACGTTTTGGCGTGGAGATGCTGAGTAAATGATCCTCTACTGCTTATGTACATCTTCATGTCGGAGGATCTTATAGAGGACCCAGTAGAATATGTTGAAGAAGAGGAAGGCCAGAGGGAAGCCGGCCCTCGACACAGTGTCAATCTTTTTGGCTCTGTCGATAAATAACTTCCTCATCTCCTCTGTGCTTTTACCCCCTCCACCTGTCGTGGGCCCCGGTGGATTCTGGGTAGTGTTCGCTGTGGCTCCAGGCGTGTTCACCACAGCCACGGTGTTGTTGGTGCTCGCCTTCGACTCCTTGCTGTTGCTGGGAGTGGAGGTCACGGCAGCTGCAGAGGTCGGTCTGCTCTCGTGAACTTCCCCTTCCTATCGGGGAGAAAAGGAGGAAGAGAAGGAGGAAGAAGAGGAGGAGGAGGAGGCGGAGGAGGTCAAATGATATTGCTCATTTATTTTTCTCCTCATAAACTACATGTGTCGCCGGCTGAACCTTGAGCACTAAAGTAAGTCTGACTGATTTATTGACTTTACACACAATTTAGAGTAACGATCAGAGTTAAAGAGTCAAATAACATTAGAGCCACAAGTTAAAAGATTAAGATTTAGGTCTTATATTCATGTTTTTATGGGAATAGAAGAACAAAATTATGGAAATAAAGTCGTAAACGTACAATTTTGTCTCTTTGGATTATATTCACAGTCTTAGTTTTACAATATTCTGTCTTTTTTCTGCTTAAAAACTCTTCAAATCTAAACATGTCCTGATCCTTCTTTGTATAAAACACCACAACCCTCTGGAGAAGTCCATGTTAAAGTAGTCTTAATCATTACGGTTAGACACATTTTCTTTGCATCTGCTATTTGTTCATCATTGCAAATTTTTAATTCTGTTAATGAGCAACAACTAATTTAAGATTGTAATAAAAAAAAAAAACTAATCATAATGAAAATTAATAGAAAATAAGGAACACTTTTATAAAGATCCTCCAAATAAGCATCAACTCATCGACCTTATAGGACGCTAATATATGTTAATAAAGCATAATTAACAACATTCATTATCGTTACTGTTTGACACTTTGAGGCTTAATTCTCATCAATGGGATTTTATGAACATTATCTTACTGTACAATGTTAATTTAATATTAATGAAGGTATTATTGTTCGCTTGTGACACATTTGCAAGAAATTTATACTAATTATGGTAAAAATACAGTGCTGTACTGTATATACATTGAAATAAATGTACCAGACTTTATTAAATCATGACTAATATACAATATTATAAACATTTACTGAATTCTTAACAGTTAAAATATTACTCATTAACTTTAGTGAGATGTTAATTAATCTTCGATCAAGTGTGATGAAGATTGACAAGTTTCTAATAGAGCCTTTACGAGTTTTATAATCAATTTTACTTTTATTTACACCTGATAACAATTATAAAAGTTTATATTCACTATTTAAGGTCTTATAATTAGCTTATTAACTATTTATTAACACTTATTACAAAGTTCTTCATATAAAGAGTTACTGGATACAGACTGGTTTAATCTTTAATGACCATTTTCTTCAGTAAAGTTTATTTAATGTAAACTCTTGTTTTGATGCCATTACGTGTTTTTTTATGGTAATGTTTCAGAGGTAGTTTTTCTTTTTCGGTCTCAGAGGTTGTCTGAGAGTCGTCGGTGTTGCTCCATAAACAATATTCCGCTCAGATAATCCTCCAAAACAGCTCAGACACCGACACAAAGATCTGATCCTGAAAGATAAACCACGGATGACTAATTTATGACACAAATCTGGGAGGGACTGACCGAGTGAAAACAAAACAGTTGAGTTTCTTCAGTTTATACTTCAGTGATGGTCTTTTTAATCATTTCAACACCGACTCCTTCCTTTACAGTTCTTGTTTTTCCTCTCCAACACTATAAATTGTGGGTTTATATAAAGAAATCTGAAGGAAACAAATCCAGGCTGCAGTAGATCAGTAACTTCTCTGTTTGTGAGGTAAAAATTTTAATTTGGTGATGAAGTCTAGTTGATTTGGTGTGAACGATTTAACGGCTTCTCATTGTTTGAGCTGATAACCAAGTCATGAAAGCTCCTCTTTATCGAAAGGGATCCTTTCTGACACTTAAAGAAGAATATTTAATGAATGTTTTCTGGATGATACTCTAAATCTGCAACAGTGTTATGCTGTATTGTGCACAGTCAGGAGGACCTCAACATTTGTTACTCCAGGACCAATCTTTCCCCCCACTTTAAACATGGTCTCTTCTTTAATTTGAGTAAAACGCCGAGAAGTTTCGTAAAAGAAAGTACGACAAATCCCACATTAACAGTTTCAATGTAAACTTATAATTTTCCAATCCTTGAAGAGATTTTAAAAGAAGGAAATTGGTTCTTAACAATAATTTTGTAATGGTTAAGATTGTTTTTTGGAGCACTTTAAGTTTTGCACATGTCCTTTATCATGTCGTCTGAAAAAACAGCTGCATTAAGAACATGAACCGATGAAGGAGAACCCACAAAAACAAGTCAGCTCATGCAGGTGACACATGCACAAACGAGAGTAAACGTGCACAAACACAAACACACACAAACACACACACACAGACTGTATGTGCACAGTGTGGTTACCCTGTGGTTGTCGGTGTAGATGTTGCTCATTGATCCATACAGAGGGTCTGATGGTTTGAGGCCGATGTCAATGTTAACACGACGGAGGGAGTCAGCCAGCTCTTCTGGATCAACTGCACCTCCACTGTTCTACCGATCGACAGCATGCACACCAGTGATCAACACACAGAAACCAAAAGAAGACAAAAAAACCCAAACAGCACCCGAGAGAACGGGTTGGGACACCCAGACATTCAGTCAACTCACACGTTTAATGATATCGGTCACTGAAACTCTGGTTGAAGATGCCCACGGGACATCTGGGGAGAGCGCGGTTTGAGCAGAGCGCCATCGAGGGCTGGGCGGTTATATGATCGTGATTATATGATTGTGATAAATTTCAGTTTGATCACGGTGATCAGCTGTGAGCATATTTACTTTGAGTCAGTTATGGTGGTGGTGGTTCGGGTATCTCATTAAAGGCATGGTTGGCGATTGGAAAAAGAGGTTGAAAAAAACGGAGCCGTTGAGGCAGGTTTGAAAAAAGCGTCCCAAACCCCACACACAAACCTCTCCCCTCTGAGCTCCACGGTGATGAGTGATGAGTTGGAACTATGGAAGAGGGGTGTGTCGAATACAGCAAGGTGATTGGATGGAGAGGCGGAGCAGGAGATTAACCAATAGGAGCTGTCCGGGATGGATGGCTCCCATTGGTCAACGTTTTTGCAGCCCTGCACCTGATAGGGTGAACAGATTATTTCCGTTCTTTTTTCTCTTCACTTTGTGGAGATCGCACTATAGGACCATGATCGCCATAGAAACGAGGTTCATAATAACTTCCAATTTCTCCAATTGTCAACCATGACTTTAAGCCGATACATAAGGTATGTCGGCGGTCGGTGCCTCAAAAACCAGCAACACAACAGATCTGTTTATTCGTTTGAAGAAGTTTTTCCCGATTGATTATGAGGAAATCATGAAAATGTGAGCGGAGTCTGTACAGCCTGTCACTGCTGACGATACAGGTAGCATTAGCAGTTTAGCCACAATTAGCGGTGCAGCCACCAGACCAAAGCAATCAATCGTATCATCTACGTTTACATCATCTAATGTTTACATTTTAAGGCGTCTTCATTATCCCTGAGGAGGCAGGGACTCTCCTCCTCTCAGGACTGTAAACTAGTTCACTGTATTATTTAGTATTTATCTACATTTGTTGTGCTGTTGAGTTATCTCAGTTAATTTTCTTTGTTATTCACTTTGTATGTTAATAAAATGTTGAACTAATCTCACGTTTCTTTAGTTTTTAGTACAGATAGTTGGCAGTTTAAAAAAATACAAACAAACAATTGTGAAAATAATCGATGATCAGATGATATGACAAAAAAATATTGTGACCATTTTCTTTGGCCAAATCGCTCAGTCCTGGTCCATACTGTACAGTCTATAGCTCTGTTAACAAGTCAACCAAAGAGTCGACACACTTGTACAGTTTATGCTGTCGTAGCTATTTCCATGGCTGTTACTGGGCAGAGAGCAGAAATAGATCCAACGAGGAAGTATGAAGAGAAAAGTCAAAACAATTAAACAATACAGGGCCTTTTTATGGTTTTAATGATGGATATGTGTTTCAAACGGTCTCGTGACTCATCCGGTGCAGACACTAGTGTTGAAAGATTTTAAGGCGAGGAGGTTGACTTTGAATCAACAGTTCTCTCCGCTGCCAAAAACACATCGTCATAAAATCAAACCTGCTGCTAAAATCTGATTTATTACCTGAATAAAGGACTTGAAATGGTGAGCAGACGGTTTACTGTAGCTGCTACAGCCAATGAACTGATTCACTCACCAAGAATTCAGTTATTAAATAACTTTTCAATAGACTGTTGCCTTTTACCAGTTTCTGATATGGTTATCTAAAACAAACAGGCACTAAAGTACCTCAAATAAACTGTAATGGTACCAATTAGATAGTAAAGAGGATAACTATTGAAGTAATCGTTGAGTCAGAGTCTCTAAAAATTCGCTTTATTATGTATCAGGCTTGACCCCGTCTGATGGAAACTGTAGCCTTACCCTGTGACTCATACAACCTCAAAAACAGTGAAATATCCCTTTAAATACTTACACAGACAAACACAAACCTTCTTTTCTGTAAAACGTTAATACTGACATGATTAGATTGAAAGAAGTGGATTGAAAATATTTGAAATAAAGACACTTTTAAATGTTTTTTAAAGCAAAACTTCTTCTATCATTTCACTGGTAAAGACATCCATCTACCTTTTCCACAGATAAACAGCTGATTATTCTCTGATTAGGTGTTTTATAAAATAAGCTTTACTTCCTTTCTCACTCACTTACTCTCTTTTGTCGTGCGGTAAAAAGCGAGTTAATTCAAGTGAGTTGACTGAATGCGTTCCCGACCCACAGAGGTCCTAACATGCACTGACATCAGGCTCGTCCTCTGATTGGACATCCCGGTGTCAGAGAAATAACACATCAGTGAGCTAATGGCTCTAAAAGCACTGTGATGGAGGTACAGCCATGCTGTAATCATGCACTCATTCAGTAAGTGACGTGTGGTGATTCAGGAGAGTCAAACATGCACACTTAACACACTCTATATCTACTGTCACACATCTGCAGTGGTTTCATTTACAATTCAATAATGTCCAACTTTATTTTCTGTTCCTGTCTCACCACTTTTATTTTCTCATTTTTGAATATTAAACTGTAATGACATTAAGTGTCCACAAGGTGGCTGTATCCAACAGGAGAAACATACAGTGTTTTTTCTACTGAATAAATCTGTTAACCTCTGGGAACACGAGCATCAGTGATGTGAGCAGGTTCTGATTTAGAGATTTAGTGTCAGTGGTATGTGAAGTTATGAAGGGATAGAGAGAATATGTAAGGTAGGAGTAGTACTGGAGAAAACAAGGCCAAACGTGTAAGACAGGGCTCTTCAATGTGTTAATTTCTGTGTTTTTCCTGATAAAATAGTAAACAGTAAATCTGTTACTCCAGATGATCATAATTATCTGATTAAAATATTTCAAAGATAATATTATACTGCTATATTTTTTATATTTTTCATTTGGGAATTATTGATATGTGTCTCTTCTTATATTCACTTCAACTTTATTATGTCCCAAAATGGGCAGGTTGCAGCAGGCACGGGGAATAAAAACACTGCCATACATCATAAAAGAAAAGAAAATACATATATTATATTCTGATATTATTCTGGCTCACAAGAAAAATGCTGCTGTAACACCATAAAATGTAGATCCTTAGATTGGTATTGGTTTTAAATGATGTGCAAAATATCTAACTTTACAGTGTCTGGACCTTTTTGGATTTGGGACAGTAGAAATTGGCCTTAATCAAGAAAGACAGCAGCAACACGCTGCAGCGTTGTAGCTGACACACAGCTGGTAGGAACATCAGGTCTTTATATTTAGAAACTTATCCATCTCTAGTGTCAAAAAGATGATTAAATTAGCTCATTTCTTTGTTTCTCTGTATTGTAAGGGCAAATTTAAAGTTTATTAGATTTGTTTTTTTGGTGCCTGATCACACGAGATAATAACAATAAAACTGGAGATGATTCTTCGTGAGGATATTTCGGTACCTTGCTCTTGCTCTTGTGATGCCGTCTGAACCGCAGCAGCTCTTTGTGTTGCCTCGACACGAAGTTGACGGCGGCGTACTCCAACAGCGCGGAGAAGACGAAGAGAAGACACACGGCCATCCAAATGTCTATAGCCTTCACGTAGGAGACCTGTGAACGCACAGACACACGGAATCGGCGTCAATCCGAGGACTTTGACTCTTTAATGTTCCTCCAATATTTCAGGGTCGCAGCTGCTGCCTGTCAATCACACACACGCTAACACACACATACACGGGTTTGCCAACAGTGCTGTGATGTCAAAGTGATGTTTCCTCCCAGCTTTATGAAATAATGACTCACTTAGACACGTGTAACATACTGGAGTGCAAAGTTCTGTCGGGCATCAGAAACATGAGAAACCTCCTAACATCGAAACACACACACACACACACACACACACACACACACACACACACACAGAGCCTCGGCCATGTTGGTGAGGTGTGTGTGTGTGTGTGTGTGTGTGTGTGTGTGTGCAGCATGTGAGAGAGATGGATGTACTAATAAGGGTTATATAACAAAGTGCTCCATGTCGGATTTTTCCTCATGCATACAAGATACCAGAGAAAGACTGAGGGGCTCTCTCACACATGCTCGAGCGGACACATGATGTGAGTAATCAACACACACTTTGGCCGCCCAAGCAAAACACCCACCAATAAAAACGCAGGAAAAAAAACAGAAGAAGAGGCATCTCAGGTCTCTGGAGAGGGAATAAATGAACTCTGCCACATGTACACAAAACACACTCATACACACTCTCTCTGTACACCTCACTTACCTACTTACCATAAGTGTATTCAGTGTATGTCCTGCTAAATATGTAACTATATTCATATATGAGCTACGCTGAACGCCTGGGAGTTTAACCCTTTAAAACAGATGGACACAATCTGTCTGCTCCTCCGTGGACTCGGCACACACAGGAACTGCCTGCAGACTGTTTGCAGGGCAGATTCAACCAAATCCACATTATACCGTAATCTGATTGGCCAAAGGGTGTCACATGATGGTTAAAAGTTTAGGACTAGTCTGTGAAAACTGTTTGTTGTTTTAATTTTCTGTGGCTCTGTATTAGTTTGCATCTAAAATAAGTACAAACGTACATAAGTAAATGAAAACACAAAAACTGAAAGGGAATCTGATGACCCCAAAGAGATGAACCCCACAGTCACATGACATCAAGATGTGTAATCAGCTAAATATGACAAATGCACACACAAGAAGGGCGACACAAAGGCGCTTTGTTTACTTTTAATCTACTAAAAATAGCAACCCTCAGGGAACTTTGTATTGATTTTATCCACTGAAGGGGCATCCAAAGTGCAAATTAAAACTTAAGTCCTAAGAGGGGAACTTTATTTACATTTTTTCTACTGGTGGGGCATCCAAACGGTTCTCTGTTTACATTAAACCCACTGAAAAAACAACCACAGGGTACTTATGCTGCGTTCCAATTGTACTCAGAAGTCGGGATTTCCAAGCTATGAGATGAAAATTCGTCTGGAACGCCCCCCTGTGGTGGGATTTCCTCACCAACCCCGACTTGACAACAACGACATAATCCAAGATGGCAGCGCAGTGCACCGACGGTAAAGAGTGACAGTGAAAGCTCTCGTAATGTTTTATTTATTCGCACTTCTGTTTTGTTTTTGTGAAATTAATAAGTGGTTTATGTTGTACTGTCCAACGTCTAACTGTGAACGCAGTGCTCTGGTGTTCGTAAAAGTAAAATACCGTGTTGTATCATGCATTGTTTACAACTGGTACAGCTAACAACAGCTAACAGTAGGCGTTCATCTTGGTTTTTCGACTTGTTTACTGGAACACGGTCAACTCAGGCGTAACGTCACTCCCAGCTCCGACATCCAACTTCCGAGGTAACTGGAACGCAGCACAAGTTTACATTTTATGCTCTAGCAGGATGTTTTTAATCCAACCTGATTTTCACCTCTAGGGCATTAAAGACAAAGACATTCAAGAAGACGCCTAAGGCTACATTCACACTGCAGGTTATGATGCACAATTCGGATTTTTTGTTAAATCCGATCTTTTTGTGTGGTCGTTCACCATGCGTCCGTGAAGTGACTTGCATGCGCACAAAGTACAAATTGCTTTCCGCGCCTGTTTGTGTTGTCGAACAATGGTGACGTTTGTCCCAAATTGATGACGTATAGGTCGGATGAACGCGACCTGAGCGTCCACACTGCAGTCACATCGGATACATATCTGATTTAAAGCCACATATGAAAGAGGCCTGGGTCAGATTAGAACAAATCAGAATTGCACTGTTCACACTTAGATGAAAAAATCAGATATGTGTCACATATGGTTAAAAAATCGGAATAGTCTAAGAGGCATTTTTTAGACATGAAGTCATGAGGGAGGGCGGGCATTGCCCCCAACAGGAGCAAAAACATCACTCTCAACCTGTTTGGATGTGTACATTTGCCAGAATATAGAAATAAATAAATAACACAATCAAACATGTTAATTGATTAAGAATAGACTGCAGCCACTAAACGCACCAAGAATTTAACTGATAAACAAGAAACTGATTTAAAGCAGCAGATGCAGTTTCATTTAAAATGCACGCACGGGGTAAAACACTTAATAGCAGCATTGAAAGTAACTATAAGGAAATAATGAGTGATATATATCAAGCTAATGCACGTAGTGACATACAGTAGGTCTGCTATAAAAAGTGTGAAATCAAACCACAACAACAAGATGGGGTTAGAGACAGTTTAGAGTCCAGTGCAGTATCTGTCTGAAAAGCTCTCTAACTCCATTAAACTGTCTGAAGTCTGAGGAAAGAGAGAAAAAAAGCCGTTCCTCTCAAAGTTCAGAGCGTGACAGCCACAGATTTTCAGTTTTTTATATCAGTTTGGATTTCTCCTCATCCTCAGAGTATCTCTGCACAGTCTGTGAGGGAAACAGAGGCCACAGGGGGGATCCCAGCTCTGACAAATCCAGACCGACAACCATTCAGCCTCACACTCTCACTGTGGGCAGGTTAGACTCTCTAACTCTCCAACCCAAGTCTGTTCCACCTGTGGGCATCTGAAGACGCCGACACACACACACACACACACACACACAAGCACAGGAAGATAATAGAAAACAAACACACACCTTGGGCAGTGAAGTCCTGGATCCTGAGCTTTGTGTGGTCATGGTGAGCACGGTTGTGATGCCCAGAGCCACTCGAGCCGGGGCGGCGTCCATGTTAATCCAGAAGGAGACCCAGGACAGGATGACGATGAGCAGAGAGGGGATGTACATCTGGATCAGGTAGTAACCCATCTGACGCTCCAGGTGGAACCGCACTTCAATGCAGGTGAACTTACCTGAAACAGAGCGCAGACCACTGAACACAATGACAAAGACTGAGGAGAAGGTGACGAAGGTGACTCTTTACTTTACCCTGCTGCACATCTAATCACCCAAAATACATGCTGAGTCTGTCATTCTTAAACTTTCCTGATGCGTGTCAGCGGAAAAAAACACCATCAACTACAAGGAAAGCATCAGTTTAAAGATGTTTACCTTAAAAAAGTCAATTTATCCTCACATGGAGATCTGCTGGAGCATACTTAGACATTTCTCAGTAATAACTAACTCTGAATAATCGTAATTGAAGATGAAGATGAAGCTGAGAGTGATGCCACAGACTGCAGTCTACATTGTTTTGAACCGTTGTTGTGCTACATGCACAGGCTTCTGCTCGGGAACGAGGCTTTGCAGACCAGCGCGGACAACTAGGAATAATAACGTTAAAGCAGAACTTAATAACTTTCAGTTTCGGTGGAGTTTGGCGGCGCCAGCGGAACAGAGCGGTAGTGTTTTGCCTGAAGGTAGAAGGTAGTTTTCTTGTGTAACGCGGCTCGCACCATCCTCCAGTGTGCAAAACGACTGGAAATAGAAGTCAGGTCTAAACTACACAGACCCCCTCAGGCCACGACAGAGATGCTATTCAACCATCGCAAAAGTTTGCAAAATATTACATGAAGGTTAAAAAGTTACTCAGTGTTGGTTCAATATTTACATGATACACAATATGACTAACCAACAAAAAGGAGAGGGGACGGATCTGACTCTATGAGGGAGTGTTTGTCATGCTTTTTACAGAAATAACATTACCAACTCATGATACAACTGGTGCTTTATGCTGATGACACACTTAGAAAATAACTTGTTTTGTTTGGCTGCAGGATGCGGAGACCACCTTCATTTCTGTAAAGACTCTGAATACTTGTGTGCTTTATAATACCCTCGTCTAATGGGATTTACCCTGGTGCTAGTGTCGAATCTAATTCTGTGTTTGGTTTGAATGCAAATGCCAAAATGGAGTAAAATGCTGGTCTAGTCTTGAGGTCATCTCATTATTCGGCCTAAAATCTATAAATATCCGTCTGCCCGTCCTCCTCTGTGCCTCCTGAATCACTGCGGACCCCTCCCCCCTCTCTGCAGCGCTCCAGGTCAAAACACTACATCGCTGTTTGTCTACAGTCTGAGTTCAGATCCCTTTTAATGAAAGGACAACATCAGTCTGCATGTCCGTCTGTTTCTTCCTCTCCTGCAGTGGATTTTTTTTTTTTTTACGTCTCGATCCCCGCAGCTCAGACGTGATGGATGAAATGTGGCAGCCGTTTCCTCCCGTGTGCGTGTTACCTGTGTTTGGTTGCTTACGGCAGTGTGTGTTTTTCAGGAAGTGTGTATATGTGTGTGTGTGTGTGTGTGTGCGTGTGTGTTACCCGTGTTGTAGTGCTTGGTGCAGTATCTGAGGTCTGATTCGTCTTTGAGGATGAACTGAGGGAGCGTGAGGCCTTCAGCCACTTGGACCGGTCCGTTCTCCTGCCACTCAAAGATCAGGTCGTTCATGGTGTAACCGACTAAAAAAAAAAAAACAGGAAAACACAGAAAAGTTTAATCATTACAATCGAACATGAACAAGACTGGTTAGGTTAAAAAAAAACATTTATGAGTTGTTTTTGGAGTATTCATAGCCTCAGTAAAAATGCTGCACTGCTGGTTCTTCCTAAACTCTGGGAAACAAAAGCACATGAACCCCTTGGTCAGATAAATCAGAATTTAAACATTTTTATGCTCCATATCTCATAAAAACTACAGAAAAATAAGAGTTTTTTTTAGCTGCAGCTTTAAAAGATCTTTAATCTGAGCATAGACTGGATAAAACATGTTTGACACAACAGTTCCTGTATGTGAGCCAAAACCAATTGGAGCTCCCTCTACTGGCAGGCTGCAGTATGTGTGTAGATTCCAGCTCCTCCTTTGTGAACAGACGCGTCAAACTATAAAATCAAGGTACGCCTCAAATAAATGTGTCTGTTTTGTGAATATTGTGTTTTATCTGTCCAACAGGTTCAGTTTTAATAAATTATTTACTGCGGTTTCAAACTGTGATTGACAGCTCTGTTGGAAATGAGGCTCCTTTGGCACTTTGTACGAACAGAGTAAGTGTTAGAGGAGTTACTATACACTGTTTGTCACATTGTTTGTTTTAGCGCCGTTTTATTTCTGACAATCTGGAGCCTCCTGCAGCAGATGAGGACAGCTTCTGGATTTCCTATTTTTGGAGCACGGCGCATCAGTTAGCTTAACTCTTACAATAAAACACTCTCGGCTCTATTTTCCTGCCCGCCGGCGGTGCGGTGGATGGTGGCGAACCCCATGCAGTGGTATTTTTGTCAGGCAGAGCCTGGTGCACAGCCAGTTTGGTATTTTCGTAGACTGAGGCGCACTGAGGACCGCCAAGCTGGACGTGTTGGCGTAACAGGGGGAGGTGGCGACAGAATCAGCTGGCGCAGTGACATTTTTGTGCTCGCAGGCGGCGTGGAAAGTGCGCTGAAAGCTCGCCGATTCAAACCTGGTCAGCTTTCAGTGCAGGGGGTGCGCAGCTGGTCTAGTGGTTTTTTGGTAGACCAGCGGCGTAGTGCGCATATGTCACCGATGCCTCACCGGCAGGTTTCCACAGTGTCAGGCACAATTTAATGCAATAAATAATCAACAACAGCCAATATTCTGAGTCAGCACATACATTTAGATCTATATCTTATCTGATGAGCGCATTTGGCATGCTTTGGACACTCAACCTCACCAAATCAACACAGCTGAAACCGCATTAAAATTAAATATTCTGAGCTGATCTGATTGGTGAAAACAGGTCTCGGCTGTGTTCAACCCACTCCACGCCTTCTCTCCTCCCACGCTACGACTTACGCCGCTGGGAGGAGCTGAGTTAGCTGCGCTGTTCACCAAAACCCCAAGTGTGCTTGGGCACGCCTTGTCGGCGCAGCTGACCTGACTTACGCAGCGCCTATGCCACGCCGCCGGCAAGGCACGAAAATAGAGCCCTCTGTGTTGATGCCAGATCATGTATCACTTAAGCACACCAAAAAAACGACAAAGTGAGCGGAGCCAGGTTTGGAGTCACAAAGTCAGAAGGTTTCAGATGCAGCTGGTGGTTGTTGACAGATGAGGGGGTTTGGAGACAAAGTAATCTAACAGAACGAAACAATCAGAATCTCCTTTAACACTAAATACATACGAGTCTTTAAACTCGTTTAAATAGTTCATCTTCCTCTTTTTGGCGAAGGTTACTGACAAAAAGGCAGAAAGAAAGGAAGGAAACAAACCGGCTAAACAAATGTATTCAGATCAGATCTGATAGAAGCCACATTGAAATGCATGCAGTCAGAGCACTGTGGGGCTTCTGGGCAGAAGCAGAGAGCAGCTGGTTTATGCTGGTCCAAGCCTTCAGCCAGACACAAAATATTTAGTTCATGTTTCCTCTTAAGGTTCAGCAAGCGTGTGAAAGTGTGTGCATATACAAAAAAAAACAAACAAAAAAGGGGGGAAAAAAAGGAGAGTGCATGCCCTCCGCCTCCGAACCAAACCGCCTCAGCTTCTGTGCTTCACTCTGGATGCTTTTTAAATCTCACACTCGCCTCTGGTGGGAACAGCATCTCTGACTGTCAGCTCAACAGCTCTTACAAGTTCTACATGTCACACCAACTACAATCAACGCTAAACACTCGTTTTTCCATTTCAATTACTCCGCTCTAAATAAAATCATCGTATCACTTCCACCAATGAGATTACCTGAGCGGAGACAAACTGCACGTCATGTTAACCCTCTGTTACGTTTAATACTTTGCATTAAATCTACATGGAGCTGCTGTTTTTTCTGCTTCATGTCATGACATCCTCTCTCACTCGCGTGCGTGTGGTAATGTTTCCTGAGTTCCTGCTGCATGACATGAGAGACAGCAGCAATAAAAATAATTAATTAAATATACAGAAATAAATATGAAACTAAACAAAGACAGACCTATACGTGGTGATGCCTCTGGCCAGTGGCTGCAGCAGGACAAAAACCTTTTAATGAAGACAAATCATCTCTTATCGGCTCCCTTCAGGCTAAACTCTTTATTGGGCAAAGGATGAATTAAAGTCATTATAACTTTATGAATATGATTAAATATGACTTTGAGTTTCTGTAAAAAGATACGGCCTAGTCTTTCATTCTCACATTTACACTCTACCTACACTAAAAAGAAGTCTGTTGAAGAGGCTAAAAGTACCACATGCACCAGTTTTTACATACTTAGATTAGGGCTGCACGATTAATCGATTTTAAGTCGTAATCAGATTATTTGATTATGACGATGTTAAAAAAATTAAAATCGTCAAATCGATTTTCCTCTCTATCATGTCTCACGCCTCGTGGCCACCGTAGGCTCTCCCTTTCTGCGGGAGAGCTCCCCAGTTTCCGCACACACCGGTGTAAACAAACATGGCGTTTGCAGAAGAAGGCGATAATTTCGTGGCTAAACAGGACAAGAGCAAGTCAGTCGTGTTGAATTGGTACGACTTCACAGTTTCAGATGAAGAGCAAACCACTCCCCGCTGCAAAGTCTGTCTGATGGCGGTATCAACTAGGGCCCGACCGAATTATCAGCGAGCTGATTAAATCGGCCAATTTTAGCCCATTTGAGACGAATCGGTAAACGGCAAAAACTCGCCGATTTTCGACAATATTTTCAGAAATAAAATGCGGAGAATAAGATTCGGTTCCATTTCGAAAATGTTCCGCTATTTGAAAAGATCCTCAACTTATCCTGTAGATGGCGCAGCGACCTCATGACGATCTTCATCCACTAACTTCCTCACAGTGCAGCAGAGTGACGGATCTGAAGCAGGCAGCTCAGGGACGCACGGAGGAGAGTGGTCCGCCTCAACGATAAATAAACCAGTTTGTGAAATACACAATAAGTCAACAAGTTTCATTCCTAAAACATGGCAGAATGCCGGCTATTGAAAAGCATATTGGCCGTGTTTTATATCTATATCGAAGGAAATTAATTTTTGATACACATCGTTGTCGTTCTATTGCCCAGCCCTACCCCCAACACTGCTCATATAGGCTATAGCTCATAAAAACTCGTGAGATACTCCTGGAATCGTTAAAAAAATAACAAATAAATCTGTACAAACTGCAAACTGAACCTCTCAGAGTTCATGAATCCTCCTCCTAATCTGATTTATTTTATTCTCAGACAGTATATGATCTCTGCAGCTCCTGTGTGCACAGGTGGTGATTCATGTTGTATGAATCCATGCAGCATGCTAACACTCAGTGATGTGCACAGTTAAAGTCCCTGTGGGTGCAGAGACACTTCACGGATGTATGGAAAACACACATGGCACGGACACGAGAAGCCATTGCAATTATGTTGAATAATAAAGCAAGCAGGAGGTCGCATGAGTGCCGAAGCTCCGGCTGAGCCATGTTAACTTATTAATCAGCAATGTGTGAGTAACATTGTTCATTTGTAGGCCACACATGTGAGGAGCTTCATTTTCCGAGCGGTTTAATTATGAGTGAGGCTCCAAGGCCTCGGCTGCAATAAAACCCTCGCAGACTCTGACAACTGGCAGTAAAAGCTTAGGTGAGCTTTGATGAATAATGTGATGAATAATAAATCAGAGAGAGGGAGGGAAACAATAATGAGAAAAGAAATGAAACAAGAAATCGATGACAGAAACACGGGGTGCTACTGAAGTAAAACAGACAATTATTTTAGTGTGTTAAAGTTCGAGATAAGGTTATGTTTGTAGATCGCTCTGATTAATTAAGTTTTTATCTGGTCATAAAAAAAGAGTTAAATTAATTCTGGTGCAGAAAATGAAAATGAGGAGCAGGACTGCCTTTTTTTTCTGGTTAGTTATTTTAATAACCGAGGCGTTGGGTTGGCTCACAGCTGAAGTCTAAGGTCGAGCAGAAATCAAAACTTTTTTTTTTGACATTTTCCTCTCGTCAAACTTGTCCGCTAACACTGACAAAGCCTTCAATTGGTGCATCATGTCGAATTTTCTTTAATTTGATCCATGTTTCTGGACTCAGCTCTCTGTGAGTTGAATTTGAGGGCATGTCCAACACGGAGGAAAAACAAACAAACGAAAAAGGAACGTGATCGAGCGAGGGCAAAAACGGGTATAAACATCGGTAATACCCTCGCAAGGTGGGGAGAGTTACGGGGCTTTTTTACACTGCTGGCTTATTGGTATGAAGATAAAACATTTCAAAGCTGACAACTTTAGCTTTATATACTAATCTACGGTCGAGTTATTTAATCTTTGTTGTAGATTTCCTGTTACGAACGTGACGTAACTGTAGGGTAAAAATTATACAACATTACTTTTACATAAAATGAAAACACAGTGAATTCATGGACTCTAATGTTTCATACTTATTTTCGATTCACCATAGAGAACATACCAACACAACACAGCGATTAAAACCCTCTACTTACAGTCCTCCTCTAAGTTATCCGGTAACTCCGAGCGAGCTGTAACATTTGAACTTGAAACTATTGCAACGCTTAAAACATTATAGTCATAGTAGAGTGTATTCTCCATCCTAGATCAGAGGTTATATAAAGACTTAGATACGTAGGCATAGCTGGTGAAATCCAACACAGATGCAGAAAGTTATGCATGATGGTATGTAAAGACATTTAGCTAAAAGCCTTCACAGATTCAAAATAATTAAACAAAAAGGTTGTACTCGACTCCCTAAGCTTGATTCTAAGTCTGAAATCCCTAGAAGTGCTCGGTAAGGTTGACCACGTCTGATCCCTTCACCCAGGAGGGAAGTTAAGACTGGGAGCAAACAGGAACGGAGGTGAACTAAATTCCCTCGGCCACAAGGTGAATTAACTCTGCACACCTGTGTTCGTATTCCACCTCACAGTCGGCAAACAACAAAAGCAGAAGAAGAAAAGCCGCTGCTTTGTTTCATTGGCAAAGACCCAACCGAGGAAAAACCGCTTCATTATTTCCAGCTTTTGCCGACAGATATCTATTATGCAGTCCATTATGGTTCCCTCTGTTGGTGTAAAATGTGAGCAAACACATTAATATGTAAATGTGCTGCAGAAGTTCGGTCCCAGACCGTGTGTGTGATGAGTTTTTGGATTAGCAGGGACGGTTTTGCTGGTCCTCACTCTTTTGGTGGAGCTATTTAAGGTTAAGTCTGTTTTTTTTCATGTGAGGTTGAGATGAGGCTGAAGTATGTAGAGGAAAAGGTGCAAGCGAAGAAACTTTGAGGTGTACTCACAGCTCTCCAGCTGCATGATGCAGGTCTGCACATCCATGGGGAAATTCTTCAGATCCATGGGACACGAGAGAGTTAATGTAAGCCTGAGAGAGGAGATAACGGAGAGAGCGAGTCAGAAGTGAGTCAGAGACAGTCAACCAAATAAGGCGCATAGATGTATCAGAGTGCTTTTATTCGCTAATTTCATATTAATGTGACACTAAGTGCTTCATCTTTGCAAACAGAAGCACAGCGTTTCTGCATTATCTCTTCCCTTTGTACTCTTCTTCAAGAGCAACACAGAAATTTAAACACAGCAATAAAGAATACGATCAGCATCTGAAGGTGAAAGACTTGGCGGTGGCGGTTTCAGTAGACGTCGGGGTTACGGGGTGAATTCAACATCAGGTAAAAATGAAACAGATGTGAAGATTTATGGACCTGAAAAGCAGAACTGAAATTCACGAGGCTTAAAACTGTTTTTACATGTAACCAGGTCTTCATAGCAAAACTTGAACCTTCCCAAATGAGGTCTGGAAATTCATAGATGAGTGGTTATAAGTTTAGCTTATTGTTCAGTAATTATTTTACCACAACAAGAGAGCGCCTGATATTAGTGCTGATATCTTCTTGTCCATCTTCTGCTCATTTCTACCTTTACCTCAGAATAACATCCTATTTTGCACAGGAGAAGAACCCCAAACCTCACAAATCCCAACTTGGGAGAGTTGAGGAAAATCTGCGAGTTTTGGCCGATTACCGATTAGTCTTAAACGGGCTAAAATTGGCCGATAAATCTGTCGGGCCCTCTTACACAGAATATAAATTTTTCTCACATGTAGTTGCTGTAAGACTGGTTTGTGCTCAAGTCCTCTTTTTTTCTGTACAGCTCCATTTTTAAAAGTTATTAGGGGGTTCATGTTTTCTCTGATTGACACCGGATACAGCCAATTGGCGTAAGAACGCTGTAGCAGAAGCAGGTAACATAGGAGCTATTCATACGCTGTTTGAGACGAGCGTCATCACAGCGATTCTCAGCGACTCTCCCACCGAAATACAACACTACTGCACAATGTTGGTTTCAGGAAGTGGAGATAAAAACGCAGAAATCCGAGAGCAAATTGGCTTCAAATCTGTATCCTGGTGGAAGGCGGAACCAAGTTGTCCATCGTAAATACAGTCTATGATTTATCCTAAAAAAGGCGGGCCTTAGTCTCCTCATGAATGGCTAATTTGCTAATGTCATAACCTTAACATCATCGAAACTGATTTCTGGTACTTCTGCAGCCAGCCTCTAGAGGGCACTTGTGGTATTGCATGTTTGAGGACTCCTGGATTAGCTTCATTTTTTTGAGGACTGGCGGTTGTTGTTGGGGGTCTAAATGGAGTGTATGAAGATATATTTAACAGCTAACTGTATCCAGACCAAGACTGTCGTCATTTTAAAATACAACACCAAGCCCATCTCCACACTTACCTAATAGAGTACAAAACATTCCCGTTCTTAAATATCCTGAGCAGTTTGTTGTCTGTAGTGACTTCGTGAAAGTGGGCTCCCTTCTCATTAGCAAAGAACAGATCCGGTTTCCAAATAGAGTCCAACATAGAGGGGTCCAGGTCTAGAGAGTCATCTGGGTACTCAGCATAGGCGAGCCTTGGATCATTCCACTGCTGACGGAGGAAGATGTTCACTCTGTAGTCCTGCAGACACAAAAGAGCAAAATTAAATCGTAAATATAACCTGAAGTAGCTGGTTAGTAGGGCTGTAATCAACCGATTCTTGGTCGACTAAAACCCCGAAATTTTCGACCTAAAATCGACCAATCAGCAAACATTCAGCAAACAATCGGACGTTGATTAACATCGACGCTCTTCAATCTTTCCATCCCATGGTACATTCCTCCCGATGAAAGTAACCATAGACTGTTCATTGACGTGGAAAAAAATGGAGTCCACCGATCAGAATTTTGGTCGACTCAGCACTTATCGACCAATAAGTCAACCAGTCGACTCAGACTTTACAGCCCTGCAGGTTAGTTCAGCCAGGTTTTATCATGGATTGGAAAAACAGACAAAAGGACTTAAGTGCAAAAGGTTATTTAAAGGGATAGTTCGTGACTTTTAAAGTGGGGTCACATGGTTGCATGTCTCTTGTAAATCAACTGGCCAAAATTCAATACATGTTTATGTTTATGAAATTAGTTGATTTTCTGGTAGAAAAGTGATGAAAAATTTAGAGTGCACACTTGGACTAAAGATTAAGCCAGAGTCTCTCAGATTTAGCTGACCGTGGCATATCTGCAGAAAACTGTAGCCTAGCTTACACGGCGGTTCTCCCTGTGGCTACCCGATCAGTCCCGGAAACACGATTTGTACTGCGCATGTGTGAAACGGACGCCACTTCCTCTACTAGCCATCTTTGCGACAGTTCGGCGATTCTTTGCTCCTAGCGGTTTGCGACAGCTTTGGCACTTATTCACAAAAGACGTGGTTTGGAAACATTGAACGGAAGTTGGAAATCTTACTCTGTGCTGATGTTTGATTTGATTGGTCGGGCACATATCAAACAGTGAAGGGGTTCAAAGACGTGTGGAATCAATAACAATCAGAAGTTTAATTTAGCTCCTGTCACTGTGATGGTTACTGGGTTTATGATTTTACTGGGAGGATGAAGAAACGAGGCAGCAGGTGCGGATCAGAACCGTACATGATCGTTTACTAAGAAAATAAACGCTGGAGTGAGGAGGGCGTTCCATACTCGCCCGTCTTGTTTATACGCTCCCATTTCAATTGAGGCGCACTCCACAGCCGCGAGTGTAACTTCATTACGAGTGACACTTGATAGTGAAGGCTGAGTGTGTAGGGGGCGGTTTGGGATTGGGCCGCGGACTACACAGACTGACGTAAAAATGCATTGAAATACGAAGAGAGGAAGTGACGTTTTTTCGCACATGCTCGGTACAAATCCTGTTTCTGGGACGGACTGGGTAGCGACACTCCCGTGGGTAACATACTCCGCTTGACACACCCCTTAAAAAACCAACAAACATTTTAACAGCCTGGTACAAAATCATGATTTTAGTGTAAATAGTTCAAGGGATGTTTTATTTTGGAGAATTCAAGGTCATCAGTTCACAGCTGCTTCGACTGATAGGCAGCCACGCCATGACTGTTGGCAAGGAGGCTAAACGCCGGCCTCATCTTCACCTCTTTGCCTCATGGTAGGTCAGCTGAAAGTTAGGTTGTGCCAGCATGGCATCTGCAGGCAACATGCTCCCAAACACCTCCTCAGCAACAACTGAGTGATGCCACTGATGCAACGTCCATAATTTAGATACAGCCGATTGTAAAGATAAACCCTGAATCAGGCCACACCCCTCATCACTGGAGCTGACGAATTAGGCCCTAGATCTGTTTTTTACAAATTCTGATTGGCTTCTTAACGTTTAAAGTCGATAACAATATTTCAATCTTTCGTCCTCGTTCCTCTGCAGTGTCTCACTCTGTCTGAGCTGAATCATCATGCAGCACACTGGCCATCTAACGGTCCCCTCTTCTGCCTTAACCTGTTAAACGTTATCTGTGTGGGAATTAAGAACAATGAGAGGAGATAAGCCTGGCTTATGTGGGGGAGGGGATGGCTGCGTGTAACTCAGCAGTGTTATTACACATGGTGGAGGGTTTCCTTCAGTAGAGCCAGACACGGTTTCATGAAAGTCAGACCATTTCCTTCCTTTTCCTAATGCTTTAAATCTCCGTGGGGATATAAAAGCAGAGTTTAAAGGTGAAACCGAGCGGCTCAGACTGGTCTCTTGGCGGAGAGTTGAGCGTCCTGAGCGCAGTATCACTTTTTTTTTTTTTTGTACTGCAAGTTCAGCTCCCTAGAAAATTCCCAGAATGCACCGTTAAAGGCAGTGAGTGTCTCTGCTCGCTCTGCTCACTGACTGGAAGTGACATCACTGCTCTTCCACTCCAGTTCACCTCCAGCAGAGCCGGAGTCATCGCACGGGGAGCACAGATGCAGTTAATGAAATTAAACAAGGTTAAGTCTGATTTAGGTGTGACAGTGATGCTAACTGTTGCCGACGCTAACGGCGTACACGAGTCAAACATGAAATTTTTATTCCAGGAGTTGTGTTGTCTCGGTCTGATCACTTGATGAGACAGAGGAACAAATTGAAAACACAAACTTGTTATTCAAGTCATTTGCAAATGTTTACACCTTTTGTTTCTTTACCTTTCACCTCGTTCACTCGGGGAACAAAAGCGTCTCTGCCGTGGCTGCAGAGGTCTTATGGAGCAGATTTATCTGTGAGTTCACTCATGCAGAAACTTAATCAGAGCAGGAGACACAATTCACTTTACTCTGATTCACTGCACGCCCCGAGTAATCCTTAATGTCCGAACATAAAGATGTGATTTCTGTTGGCAGGTAGAACGACCTACGAGGACCTTTTGCTTGGACAATTCGGTATTCTCTCACACAGGCCCTATTTTTGCTTATTTTAGGGGTTAAATGACTCATAGGTACATCAAGTTTTGGACTTGCTTCAGGTTGTTTCAGCCTGCAGCAGCGTGGCAGCTTACATAAATCTGGGAGAAACTGACAAGTCTAAGTTTTCAGTTTTTCCCTCAAGGGTTCAGACTGTTGTTCCGAGTGTTTCAGGAATATCCCTGCATAGAGGGAGAGAGAGACCCTGTTGATAAACGTTAGGAGAGGAGCTCTTTATGTGGTTATCTGAAGGTGGATTAAAGGAATAATTCACTTTAAACTGTACATGTCTGTTTGTGTTTATGATCGATCACAGGTGAACGAAGGCTGTTAACAAGAGAGAAGGTCTGCTGATGGTAGGACTGGGCGATTTGGCAAAAAAAATGTATCACAATAAATTTTGTCATATCGTCTGATCTCGATTATTATCAAAATTTTTAATTAAAAAAAAACGAGTCAGTCATATGAACGGCATATGGAGAGGTGACCAATCAGAAGAAAGTAGGCTCATGGGGGTGTGACATGAGCGAACGAGTCAGTCATATGAACGGCTCTTTAAGTGAATGATGAGTTTCATGGTGTCGAGCCGTTCGTTTGCAAATCGTTCATATGCAAGTTGCTAGAGCTGAAATGATTCCTCGAGTACCTCGATTACAAAAAGTGATTGAGAAGTTTTCTCTGCCTCGAGTCCTCGTTTATAAGCTCAAATTGTAACAGTTTCCCTTGGATTATTTTCAAGGTGACACAAAAACTCTCACGTCACCACGGTAGAAGGAGGAGTACGCGCGGTTTCGGTTTTGCGGAGCAGAAATTGAATGAAGAGAGGGACTGTTCTTCTGCAGAGCTCCAGTAGATCATTAGCAATTCGCCTCTGAGTCGTGGGCGGAGACAGCGCTGCTTCGACACTCCTCTTCACGCTAGCTTGCAGCCTAACGTTGCCAGTGAAGTAGCAGAAGCAGGTAACATAGGAGCTACTCCGCTCTTGGACACTAATGTCTTCTGGGACGTGATGAAAGTTAATATCATAATTAGCTTTCTTACGAGCACTGTAATCTGCTAACGCACACGCTTGTTCCGCGTTCCTTGTTTCTAAAAAAAGGAAAACAATTGGTTGTTTATTTTTAGGTGAAATGTCTTATTCTCTCTTGTATATCAGTAATAACACTTTAACTTTGAAAAAAAAAGAAAGGTTTTATCCGATTTGTCGATGGAATATATGGTAGAATACTGGATTACTAAAATATTCGATAGCTGCAGCCCTACAAATTATCCACGCTGCCTTCTCGTGTCATCTGTGTGCCCAAAATACCAAGTAGAGTTGTACAAATTTGCATTCATATTTTTTTTATCATGTCTTAATCTTGATCAGTTATCAATTATCTGTAGCCTGTGTAGTTTTTATTGTTCCACAAAGTTTTTCAGGTAAGGAACAAACTCAAACTAGTGATCTCTCTACAATAAAACATAAGCTAAATGAAATCATAACCAGTATTTCTAAATAATTTATATCAAAATAGTACATATATAGGTGTGTTGTGTAGCCCTGGTTGGTTTTTATAAATATATATCACAATGAGACGATCTTTTGAACGGCTCTTTGAAAAGAACGACTCCTCAAGATCCGTCTCCCTTCAAAGATCCATAAATCCCATCACTGATTTTAATACACGTCTGTGAGACATTTGAGGCTTTTTCTACATTTGAAAATCACATGAAGCTATTAAAGATGTATCTGAGAGTCTGAAAAAAGGGGCTTTGTCTGAGCGAAAGCATCCAGCAGCCAGCTGAGCTTCAGGTGCTCTTAGATGACAAAACAACCTGATTTTCCCACACAGGTTTAAAATTGAAATGATTGGTGTGTTTCTATCCGAGCCTCTCAGCGCAGTCAGGAACACTGAACACTCGCACACGGATACACAATGGATTAAGAAGGATGGAGAGATTGAGTGAACAAATGAAAAACAGAGAGTAACAGTCGTAAATCTGTTTAACATAGATAGCGTGTACAGAGCAGAGTGAACCAACCTGGCTCTAAGCTCTGTGTGTGTGTGTATGTTTGTGTGTGTATGTGTGTGTGTGTGTGTGACAGGGCATACAAAATTAACTCTAAATCTCTCCTCTTTGTTTTTCTCTCTCTTTCAGTGACATAATAGCAAAGAGCAGCACAGACGGATGTGTCAAAAAATGGTTTTAATGCTCCATGAACTGACCCTCCGTGAGAGAACAGGTGGTCGAATTAAGCTTTAAAAGCAACACGAAATCCTCCCGTTCAAACAATCTTTTAATTGTTTTTTTAAACGTAAACGATTTTTAAATATATTAGTGTGAGTGTGAGTTTATGGCTGCCAACTCCATCCCAGTGTGGGTTTCATACTAAAAGGTTTTTATTCCTAATCTACGGTGATTCAGTTACGTTGGACATTGTTTCGTCCATTTTCAAACACAAAGAACATGGTTACACATCCTACTATGTTGTGGTACAAGAGCGAGAGGCAAAGCTTGTCAACTCTGCACAAACACACACACAGAGCTGCTCCAACATTACACATCGACACCTTCTTTCCCCCGTTTCTGAGGCAGGATCAGAGGGGGAGCATCTGCAGCGCTGAAATTTGGGGACTTTTTACCGGGACATTATCAAGACTGGTGAAAAGTTCGACTTGCACTGACACCAGGTGAGCAGAAAGACGGGAAAGACACATGAAATGAAACCGCCGGATATTCCCTGTAACCAGATGTTAGGATTAAATAATGATCATAGTTTACCTGCAGCCAACGTGGATTATGCCAAATTTCTATCCTGTGCGTTTTACCAAATAACCGCTCCGAGAAAACTAAAAAAAATAAAAGCACTAAGTAAAAAAAAGGGGAGTCTCTCCACAGACAGAACAGGCAGGCTCTTATTTTGAAATTAATTCATTTATAGCATATTTTTCATTCTCCTGATATTAACATATGGAGCCAATTCAGCCCTAAACTTATTACATTTCTATATTTTTTCTGAGATCTGAAAAAAGAAAAAGAAAAAGCTTTCTAGTCTCAAAATTGTAGCCGCATGAGATGGATGTTGGACCATTTGCTCGAGTCTGAAAAACCACATTTAAGTGTTTAAATCTCTTTCTGGATGATTTTCAGAGTCTTAAGATAATTTCTATGAACCTGCTCCTCATGTTGATAGTCTGCATGTTGAATAATTTCCCTGCCCTCCTGTAGTGAAAGCTTTGGTTATTTCCAATATGTTGCTGTCAAAAATATATGATCTAAAAGAAGAAAGCATTTGGTATCACTTTTCTTTACATAAGAAAAATCTAGATTTTATGGACAGGGTAATCAATAGTTAATAATTAACAAGGTTGGATGAGGGAGATAACCTCAAATTTGCATCCCTACGACTGATTAATTGTTTATTTTGTTTGAATGACCAACACCTCCTTTGAAAGTCACTTTTAAATGATTTTAATGACACTTATTTTTAACTAAGGTCGCTTTCACACCAGAGCTGTTTGGTCCGCTTTAAACGGACCAGAGCTCGTTTCCTCGGATAGTCCGCTTTCGTCTGGGCAGGTGTGAAAACTCATCCGAACTCTGGTGCGGACCAAACAAGCGAACTCTGGTCCGCCTGAAAACGTGGGTCTCCGTTCGCTTGCAGGTGGACCCTGGTTCGGTTCGTATGCAGTATGAAAGCTAATGTACGTAATGACGCTAAATGCAGTGCATCTTGGGTAGAGGAAGCACGGCGTCCCTTGTTGCTATGGCAATACATAACCGCTGACATTAGTAGTTGCTAGCTAGCTTAGCTCAATTGTCTGAACAACAATAACCCATAAATTCACAATTTGGCATATTTAAACAAAATCAAATCACAACTGCCAACAGTAACAGTCCTTAAACTCTGAGCTCATATGTCGTCACGTTAGATCGTCAGCTATCGTTAGCTACGATAGCATTAGAGGAACAGTTGCGTTCACTGACGTTGTAGCAATCCATGAAATAATGTGATGAAGCACGATACAAGACGGCGAGTCCACCCCTGTTTGTAATCCGTGAGGTTACATCCCCCTCCTACTTTGTCCAATCGACGAGTGCCCCTTCCAACCACGTGATGCTGCTCGGAAAGTTTGGTGCGCTTTAGAAATCACAGTGTGAAAGGAGAACCGAAACAAGTGATAAATGTAACAATGTTGCGACTTTCAGCTCCACAATCGAACCAAGTCCTCTTGGTCAGGTGTGAAAGCGACCTAAATCACTGTAAAGACAAACAATTAACCAATTCTTTGTTGTGTGTTATATTGACGTCCCATGTTACTTTGTTTTGGGGGGTTAAACTGTTTTGAATTGAAAACTATACAGGGTAAATTCCCGCTGAGGGACAGTTAAGCTCCTAACTGAACAATTTTTTTTACTTAACGCATTTTAATGAATTTAAAACACGGCACAGAGCGTTATCTGTCCTTTTAACGACACTTTTTAAAAACCTGTGACTCCCTCTGAGTAACACTTCTATCACCGCTTGTCTCTTGGTATTATCACCACTTTGCTTCTCCTCATGTGGAGTTTTTTTAAAGGATTACATTAAACAAACAAACAGATAACATGCGTGTTATCTCCAGTTAAAGCCAGCTGTAGTGATAGTACGTCAGTTAAACGCGTCTATAATGTGTTGTTGATGTGTGAGGTTATGTCACCACGCGCTCTCTCTCTCTCTCTCTCTCGTTTGTCAGATGAAAAGAGGAGAGGGGAGATGAAAAGACAGATGGTGAGAGGAGGGAAAGGTCTTAATCCTAATGTAACATATGGGCCCTGTATGAATCTCCTCTCTTTCTGCCGCTCTCTGCACAAACTGGGCATCACCACCTCTGCATCAGCTCTGACCCCTGACTCTGCACACTCTTCAGCCTTACTGTTTTTTACCTTTTTATCAAATATCGCCTCATTGACCCCGATGTTTTAATCCCGCTCAGATTTCAGATCAATCGCTGGATTAAGACCTTTGACACACATCTGATATGAATCCATCACCAGCCTGTCAGCTTTTTCCTGGAGATACAAACTGGAAACATCTGTTTCCCATTAAATGTAATCGATATTATAGGAATAAATGATTGTTGAGATTCCTTCATATAATTACAGGTAACAGGAAATAGGACAGCATTTTGATGACGGTCTTCTTCTAGTATCGTTATTTTCAAGCTACCATGGCAAAAAAACAAAGAAAACCATCACAGTACCTTTTGAATACGGCGCCAGCAAAATGTTGAAAGAAGTAGGGCTGGGCGATATGGCTTCAAATCAATATCACGATATAATGATCAGTTCACCTCAATAACGATAAATGGACGATAACTACTCCACAAGCTGCTCACCCCCTCCCACATTAACTTCGTCTACTTCAGCCGCTCCAACTTTTGAACCGTCCTCCATCTCCCCACCTGTCTCTCCCTCTTTGTTATAGACTGGATGGGGTGGAGTCACGTCTCTGATGTAGGACAGCGTCTTAAAGAGACATGAGACCATAGCCTACCTACACACATCCAAAACCAAATTTTTTTATCTATTTTTTTGACATTTAATATACTGATATGGGCAAAATGACGTCGGTTATTGTCGTAAATTTCAGTATTGGTAAATTTTTGGGTTATTGCCTAGCCCTAAAAAAAAGTTATGAAAATTGCAAGAAAAACAAAAGTTCACTCTTCACCACATTTCACTAAACTAAATTTCACTCGGGGTCTATATATGAAAATAAATCATATTTTGGAAAGAGTTTGTAAAGCAAAGTAGCTCACCTCTGACAAAGATCGGTTAATGTAGCTCAGCATGGTAAACGCTAACAGGTGTCAAATGTGTAAACATTAAATTTAGAGGACACCCTGTTCTTATTGAGAGCAACATACTAGTTTCATGTGCGAATCTTATCGCTCTGATTGTCTTTAAGTGCTGATCATTTGGCTTGAGCGTGTGATGACATTTCCAGCTTTTCTAGCCAATCAGAGGCGAAGGAGGCGGGACTTTCCCCGGGAAAAGTCTTCCCCGGGATGAGTCTTTTTCCCTCAAGAAAGTCGCAAAAATTCTGTTATTAAAAATAAGGTTAAAAGCTCAACTTTGGTAAACAGTTAAAGACAAAAACTCTCATAATTTAAACTGAAACTGAAACTGAAAGGTTTTAAAATCTACATTAAAGCTCCTGTGAGGATCTGACCAGAGCAGTCTGTGCGTATCTTTACATGCTGAGCTCGTTTCTCTTGACAAATAAACCTCATCCTGCTGACTCTGAACAGTCAGGCGTATTTGTTGTTGTTGTTGTGATTATTTTATGTCGAAGAGGAGCTTTAAATTCTCGATCTGTTTAAAAACAAACATAATAAATATTCAATTCAAAATGAAATTACAATCATGTTATAAAACTGCGTGGACTCGCCGGGAGAAATTCGATGGATTCGATCGTGTAAGTACACTCACCAACACACACACACACACACACACACACACACACACACACACACACACACACACACACACACACACACACACAAACAGCCTACATGAAAAATTCATTTGAATCTTCTAAATAATTCAAGACAAATGAAAGCAATATTGTACGTATGTGACATTTTACGTGACATTTCATGGATGGCAGGACGACACATGCACACACACACACACACACACACACACACACACACACACACACACACACACACACACACACACACACACACACACACACACACACACACACACTCTCACTAACACTGTACAAATGGCGAATCAGTCAGAAGAGCTCCCGGTGGTGTAGAAAGCTTTTAGTCTCTGTCACTTCAATCATCCATCAGCTCGTCGGTCCATCTGACTTCAGCTCGACTGATCACAAACAGGTCAACCGATAATGACGACAGAGATGGACTGAAGTGAAGACACATAAATGCTCTCAATCAGCGGTCAATCAAGGCTGACGATCAGTTTTTTTTCCATGAAGGTTTTACACTGAAACTGTGGATGAGCATCTAAAAACTAAATCATTTTATTGTCAGTTTTTTTCTGCACAGTGTATAGAAATAGAAATATCGCCAAATAACGCTTACTTGCTCAATCCTCAAATAAAAAAAGTGACAAGAAGCTCCAGTGACACATTTCAGAGCAGGTTTTTAAGGGACAAAGTTTATATGTGGGGATTTCTGGCAGTCAGAGTCGAGACTGAAGTGCTCCGATGCTCACCCCTGTTGCTAATAAACAACGATGGCCTTCGAGGGCGACAAGCTCCTGTCTTAGTCGATAAATACAGTTTGTTCCTTAATTGAAATAACCATGACTGTATTTGTTTGTGTGCATCTGAGACTATGAAAAACCTCTTCCTAAAAATAAGCTGCTAAAAGATGCTGAAGCTGTGTTTTACCCTCTATTTAAACAACACAAAATTCATATTAACTTCATTAACACATTTACTTTGTCGGTAACCGTTTCTTTTACGGTACACTTATTACCAGGTAATTAACAGGTAATTATCTAGTAACAACATGAAATTATCTGGTAATTACATGATAACTACTAAGTCAATACTGTCTAGTTTTTCTGTTTTCTGTGCAGCTCCATTTTCAAAAACTGGCTTGGGGGTTCTTTTTTTCTATGATTGACACTTGATACAGCCTATGGGCGTGCGAAGATTGAGTAGCGATACGCTGTTTGAGCCGAGCATTATCACAGCGACTCACCCGCCGAATGCGTACGACGCTACTGCGCAAGAGGTGGTTCCAGGAAGCGGAGAAAATCCTGGAAATACCAGAGCAATTTTGTGTGATGATGGAAGGTTACCTACCTGGTAGCTAGACAGTATTGACTTAATAGTTATCATGTAATTACCAGATAATTTCATGTTGTTATTAGGTAATTACCTGTTAATTACCTGGTAATAAGTGTACCATAAAAGAAAGGGTTACCACTTCGTCTACTTCAGCCGCTACAACTTTCTCTCCGTCCTCCATCTCCTCCCCTGTCTTTCCCTCTTTATTACGGACTGGATGGGGTGGAGTCACGTCTCTGATGTAGGACAGCGTCTTAAAGGGACATGAGACCATAGCCTATCTACACACATCCAAAAACAACTTTGATTTATTTATTTTTTTGACACAGAATTTACTGATATGGGCAAAATGATGTCGGTTTTTTTTTTTTTTTATAAATTTCTGTATCTGTAAAGTTTCGGTTTATCACCCAGCCCTAAAATACAGTATATTCCTCAATTTTAATAACTACGGATGTATTTTGTTTGTGTGAGTCTGAGTCTGTGAAGAACCTCTTCCTGAAAAAAGCTGCTAAAAGATTCTGAAGCTTTTACCTTCTATTCAAACGGCACAAAATTCACATGCCTGTACAAGCTGTACTTGTGTTTTGAAGGTTGCAGACATCATTTGTCACTCTATCAATTCAATGCAATAAACATAAACTGTTCTCTTTCCATAACATGTGGATGGAGGAATCACCATTTTTTTTTAAAGAGTTACTAAAAGTTCAGCACAAATGTGGGCAGACCCTGATCCGCCCTGGATCCTCAGTGAGGCTAGCAGCTTTAACGTGCTCATAAAGCTGAGAAATGCTTTTCCTTCAGCGCCTAAAACTCACATCTCGACAAGAGCCTCGCGGACAGCTTTAAAAAATCTAACAAACCAAAAAAACTCCAGGTCCCAGTCTGTGCACGTGTGTGTTTGCATATTATCAATGTACAAAGCAGCCTGAGTGCAGCCTGGGTTAACTTCATGTCACTTTAAAGTATTTGCTGTCAGAGTCACTAAATGTCTTCACTGCACATCTGCTATTCCTGTCTGCCTGTCTGTCTCCTCCGATTTCTGTCCCTGTCTGCCTCCATCCGTCATTATCTCCACTCATCACTGTGTCATCCCGTCTGCCATCCTCTGAAGATTTTCTCTCCTCCTGTTACAGATTATTCCCTCTCTCGTGGATGCTCACAGTGACAGTCGACTAAATAAATCCGTGTTGATCGGTCAATAACACAGACAGATACAGCTCGACAGATATCAGTGACTTCACTGAACATGTATCTGATCACATTCAGCTAGTTAAGCGGCGCACAATCCAGGTACTGAGTGAAGCACAGAGAGGTTGGATTACGTGATTACGTTATGGGTGACAACTGATCGCTAGGACTGATTGGTCAACTCAATTCAATTTACTGTCTATGGTTAATTTCACCATTTTGGATTCGCCGAGACCAGCTGGAGACAGGAAGATTGAAGAGCGTCCACGTTAATCAACGTCAGTTGGTTTGCTGAGCAATTATTTTTATTTTGAGTGTTTCAACTTTCATGTGAGTCCTCCTCTACCACCCTCCCGAGCCGTGTTCAGACACCAGGCTGTGGGCAGTTTCCCACACAGTTAAAACTGGTAGTATGCTATTCCCACCTAAAGCTATTCTGTTTATTTATATATTTGTTTATTTTCATCAAAAGACTATTTAAATATTTATTTATCAGATTTTTTGGTCACTTTAGTCTTTATGTTTGTCATTATTTACTGACATCATTCTTTTCAGGTGATCGTTGACGTATGTGCACTACGCCGCCGGTCTACCAAAAGACCACTAAAAAAGGTGGTTGAATAAAGGTTTGAATTTGAATTCAGTGCTTGTGTGTTCTTTATTAAAAGTAGGTCATTAAGCAATAGCATAAAACATCCAAGGGCTGCAATTAGCTTGGCGGACCTCGGTGCGCCTCAGTCTATGAAATTACCAAAGTGGCTGTGCACCGGGCTCCGCCGGACGAAAAAACCCCTGTGCGGGGTCTGCCACCCTCCGCCGCGCCGCCGGCAGGCACGAGAATAGAGCCCTGAAAATGAGTCCGTCCGCTTTGTTTTCACACCTCAATGCATGTTCACTGACTTTATAACAACAACAACACAACACTCGAGCGCGTCGGATAAAAGATTACAACGACACTTCTGCTATGGATCAAAGTCTTTAAATCACCAACACGAGCCTCCCTGTCCTGAAGGTCTTCATTCAGATCTAATGATGCCCGACCAGACTGAAGCATGACAGCACCCTGTCTGTGCACCGAGCGTGACCCTGAGTATTAAGCTTTCAACACAAACTCTAAAAAGTCTGATTTAATCCCTGACAGGGTTCAGCTTCCTGTCAAGAAAAATGCACCGTGTTCGAAATAAAAAGAGGTCCAAAACGAGCTGCAAAGAGCAGCTTTAATGCGACAAACTTTTACCTCTAATACACATCATATTTATATGTTTAAAGACCCACTCCGAAGAAAATCATGTTTTTCTTGTTGTCTACATGTTCATATGTTCATTTCTCTAATGCAACAGGACACATCATGAGAAAAGTAGGTGCGAAATAGCATTTCTGAGTATTTCTGCATTCAAATCATTGTAAACCTCTCATAGACCCAAACAGCAGGTTCAGACACAGTGAGATTTCCTACGTAGCAACTGCAAGCTCCGCCCCCCGAGCCTCGCTATGCAGGCCAGACTCCGAAAAGTAGAGAGGACGATCACGGAAGAAGTGTGTGCGATAGCAGATTGCAAAGCTCAAACACACATAAAAGAAAGCTAATTGTGATATTAACTTTCATCATGTCCCTAAAGACATTAGTGTCCGATGATACCTGCTACCTCTACTACACCGACAATGTTAGGCTGCAAGCGAACATGAAGAGGAGTGTGCACAACTCAGAGGTGATATGCTAATGAGCTACTGGAGCTCTGCAGAAGAAAAGACCTTGAAAATGACACAGGTAGCATGATTTTGGCTAAAAACTTCATAATCTCAATTTCAAGACCACTAAGAGGCTACATATATTACTCACCATTGTGGTTTCAGCGATTGAGCCGAAGCTGTTGATGAAAATGTTACAGGATACGTTGACTGGAGGACCTGCAGACGGAGAGAAACTGGTTAATTATGGAGAAGATGATGCATGAATAAAACTTTATATGCAGCTCATTCCTCTCCTATATGAACATCTACGTACACACCTTATCTCCCCAAACTGTACAAAGTTTTCTGCAGTTTTCTTTGTCCCCCAGACTTTTTTTCCCCCCTTTTATTTGATTATTGTTTTCATATGCTTATTTATTCACAATTTATTCTAACTGTAAAAACTGCCATTCCTAAATGAAAAAAACAACTTATAATTAGGAGAAAATGAACGTACAATCTGCCCTGTTTCAAAAAGCAGATCAGGATAAATAAAACAGGTGAGCACTTGTAGTAAAAGAAAATGGATTCACGTCTTTTGTAAATGTTTTCAAGGCCTCAGTCGTTACCGAGACCTTGTTGTGGATCTCTTGGGTCAGTAACATTTCAGCGACTAGATTTGAGTTTTACTTTTAGAAGAACAGAATAAGAGAGGGAGGGGAAGAGGTTCTCTGAGCGTGCTCCAAATCAACCACAGAGGAAAAACTGAAACCGTTTCAGTGATTTTGTACACCGTTTCTTGAACGACTGATCGGTCTGTTTCAAGGAAGAAGACATGTTGCTGCTCTCGGTATTTATGGATCCTGGTTGGTAAAAGTGACCTCAAAGATATTTTGTATCCTGCTCATCATTTGATTCGATCTCATTTTAAGATCAGCAATCTGTGACTCGACTTCATGTCTAAAAAACTCAACTCATTTATCATATTCTGCACTTCTATATCAAGTTTTCTTTTGATATGTTTGTGCAATAATAACGGTCGATTGTAACGTACTTTGTGTTTCTGTCGTCATATCGTATTTTATGCTCGGCACACTGAGATTACTTCCAATCAGCTGCTGTATCAAAGCTTGGAATTCATACACTGAAAATGAACTCAGTACCTTTAAAGTTGGGTCGGATCCTGGCGTCGTACCCAGACGTCCTCCCCATCAGTTTGTCGAGAAAATCAGACGGAGACATCGGAGCCTGCCGCGCCCTCGCAGCGCTGTCCATCTCTTTACACTGGCTCACACTGTCATCAAAGAAAACACAAACACATGTAATCATCCCTGACATTTCAACAGCAAACACAGTTTACAAAACCGAGTGAGCGCAGTCATTGATAGATAATGACAGGTTTGATGTTTCCACTTTCAACGGCTGTTAATACAGTTGAATTAAACCACCGGGGTCCCAGTGATCAATGCGATAATGAAGGAAGCCTTTCAGTCATGGCTGGTGATGTGGTGTTTATGGAGAATCCCTGAATTAGACAGATCCATGTAAGGGCCAGGGGGTCCTGATGTCTTTCATCAACCCATGTTGAAAACACCTCAGCAGAAAAATAGTTCAGCCTTAAACCAACTTAAAATAAACTCTGAAGTATCCATGGATTGGAGCAAAAGTTTGTTCAAGCAAGACGACACAAGTTTCTCCTTGAAAAAGTCAGCTAAAAGTTGTAAAAGTGACAAATTTTGACACTGATTCCTGTTAATGTTGTAATTGGTGTGTCTCCATAAATCATGGAGATAATGGTGTCGATACGTAAGTGGATACTGTTGCTCCAACTCCCATAAACTGGATCTCACGCTCTACTTTTCCTTACAGTCTAAGGACCATTTGCAGGTTTCTGCTCAGATTTAAGTACATGTTTAATCTGTGAAAAGCTCCTACTGTCTGTATTCAAAAGAGTCTTCTGCACAGAGATTTTAAGCTCACAACTGATACCAGTTTTAAATCTGACTATAACTGCTGCTCAGAGCTGCACTGTGCACCGTCATCCTCATAGTAGCACGCAGTAATGCAGCTTGAATGTGCAGCGTGTTAGTGACAAATGTCCTCAGGCTGATTTAAGCAACGGCAGTAGTGGTTTCATCATGGAGGCGACTTAAAGCGCCTGTGGGGAATTTTAGGTTTGTGTTAGTTTTGGCATCCCTGTGACAAAGCAGTCTGAGCTCATTTTGACCTCTTTTTTTTGTTGACATCTACCCTCATGCACCAGTTTTAGGCATTAAAAGAATAAAAGTTAAAATTGTCAATATTGTTGGTCTTGTTTGCTTTTAAATATCATTAAAAAGGCACTGATACAAATTTTAGCCAAATTCATAATAATCAAAAAACTCCTCACAGGAGCTTTAATGTACATAAAGATTATTGTGAGGGCATTCATAGGTCAACTAAAGGCGAAATAGTTATGACAAAAAAAAAACAAAACATTTTTATTTATGATTAGGTTTGTTTGCAAAGAATGGGGTGGACTTTAAATACAAACACGGACTGAGCAATAAAAATAAAATACTAATGTAAACTGCCTTTTAAATCACTGACCAACATCATCATGCAGATGCCTTTTTATTATCTTTATTATTATTTAAAACGCTGTAATTTCGGGGAGGTCAAATGTTAACGCTTTGGGAAACAGTTTGTGCAGGCAGAGGTCATATCACCAATCTGTTTCAACGCTCGGAGCACGATCACATGACTGAATTTGCATGTTTAACAGCTCAAGTGAAGATGAACGAACAACATGTGCCTCCACAGAGCAGTCATTTAAAAATCTACACAATATGAAGAGGATTCAAAAAGCTGACATTATCACCTAATCTTACTACATCATACAGTGGAGCTGAGTGGGGTTCAACACCTCATCAAAAGACTAAAACTGAAGAAACAACGCGCCAGGGTGGAGAACAGTCGAGCAAACTAGGGCTGTAATCAACCAAAGAAATTCTTGGTCGACTAAAACCCTGAAATTTTCAACCAAATATCGACTAATGGGGGAGGGTATGACTCTGACGGCAAATCCCTCTACAGGAGGGGATGACACGGGTCGGCGGGTTGAAAATATACTGATTTTAGCACAAGAAGGTAATACAAGTATTGTATTCAGCAAACCACAGAACATTGATTAACGTGAACGCTTTTCAATCTTCCTGTCTCTAGCCGGTCTCCAGTTGGTTGGGCGAATCCAAAATGGGGAAAACAAGGAGGGTGCTCTGAGACAGGCTGTTACCAGTGAAACAGAGGTGCTCTGAAAACACCCCCACTAGCATTTGGTACGTTCCTCCTGATGAAAATAACCATAGACTGTAAATTGAGGCTGGAAAAAAAATCAAGTCGACCGATCAGAATTTTGGTTGACCAGTTGACTCGAACTTCCTACAGTCCTAGTAAAATCCTTGTCAATAAAAAAACTACGACTGCAGACCCTCCCCAACCCTAATAATCAATGATTGAAATCAAATTTTGTTCGATAAATTATGTTATTATTTTAATTATAGTCATTTATCTGCTAATATTGAACATCTAAATGCAGGAAGTCTCTCATTTTTTAGCCACGGCTGCATTGTGGTGTGTGTTGTTTCATCAGCTGAGCTCTTCTGGATTAGTTCTATTTTTTCACCCGTTTGTCTTTTTCAATGTGTGTGTGTGTTTGTGTGTGTGTTTGTGTGCCTCTTATGTGATGATCTACCTCATAAACATTTGCTCAGCTGTTTATGATAATATGGTTTCATTATGTTTGTAATATTACTGTCATCATCACTGGCTGTTAGTTTTCTCCAGACACTGCAGTGTGTGCATGTGTGTGTGTGTCCTGGGTTGAATAGATGGTCCCTTTTTAATGCTACAACAAAGCCTAATGATCCTGAAACTGCACTCGCGTTTATGTGTGTTTGTCAGTTTGGACAAGAAGGAACATTTCCAAAAATAACTCCCTGTAAGGGTCAGAACTTATGCACGCACGCACACACACGCACACACACACACACACACACACACACACACACACACACACACACACACACACACACACACACACACACACACACACACACACACACACACACACACACAGCACATGAAAGTGTAGTTTCAGGATCATCAACCTTTACTCTGACATTTGGGAGGATCTCTCATTTTCGCCGGCAGGGACTGACCTAATGCAGTCCAGAGAACTGAATCAGGGTGCTGACCACGCGTCTGATTACTCATTTAACCTCCTCTGAAGATGAATTCACAGCGGTGGTAACAGGAGACACAAACAGGCCAGACTCATTCATTTCCAATGAGCTGGGGGCAAAGAGGAGGAGGAGGAGCACGGGGAGCAGAGCCACAGCTGGAGGAGACACGGGAGAGACTCCCAGGGAGTCAGGTTTGACGAAGAGCGTTAAAGTGTTGATGAGCTTTTTAAAGCCGATATATAAAAGAGAAAGGACACCGCTACAATGTGTTGAGGCTTTGTCCACACTCAGGTGGGTTGCTTTTTCTTAATGATTTAAGTTACCGAAAACAAAGTTGATGTACATTTTTGAAATCCTGTTTTTGTTCAGACATGAGAAATGAAGTTTGGAAAACACTGTGGTCATTACCTGAATACAAGCATGCGATTGTTTAAATATAACCCATGTGTCGAGTTGGCAGGTAACCTGGTCAGACTGCATGTTAACAGAAAGAACTATCTTTACTTTGTATTTATTTAAAGCTTCAGTTTTGATAACGAGCTCCACAAACGTAGAAGTGGTCAAATTCAAAAAGTTTCACTGATCCACCAGGACCTGCTGTATGGGCAGGAAGTTGTGAGACAGTACATAAAAACAAATTTTTGAGATGACGGAAGACTCATCTTTAGTTTAGCTAAACTTTACCAAAGGGATAATTAATTAGCAAAGGAGGAAGCATGTCCAATCTGACGGAGTATTTACATTATCATGGTGAATTTCAGAAACTGTATTTGATTTGTCTCTTGTTCACTTAAAAAAGGCCTCGAACGCCCCACGATAAAATTCAGACCCTGTTGAATATAAAGATTTTGAAATGCAGCTCACTTCCATTAGGGGTGTCCTGATACAACTAGTTTACTTCCGATATGATACCGATATTATAGCCTTCAGTATTGGCAGATACCGATATTGATCTGATATTGGCACAAACTTGTGCCACAAACTTGTCAGTCTGGAATGGACTGCTTGTATCAGAGTGCTGATATCAGAGATTTTAGATGCAGGCCGATATAATCCAATATCGTTTTTTTTGCTGATATCTGATATCAATATCGGATTGGGACATCTCTAATTTGTATGAAGAATCATCAAATTGATTATTTTATTTATTATTTCAGACGCGGTAGTTCTTCTGCCTTAGCGTCTCGGTCTGATTGCATTTCCATAAATAATAATAATCATAAATGTTCTTCCTTGAGCTGCGAAACTCTGCCGCACTCAGTGATCCACTCATCAGGGCTTCTACACAAATAAGCGGCTGCTGGAGGAGAGTAGGTGAGATGTGTTTGGTGTCTGTTAGGTGCTGTTCTGAGCATTATTTGTGGGCATAAAGTGACTTTTTGGTTGAGGTTTGTTTATGGAGACATAGACGTTGTGTTTTGCTATCGTGCGGTCGTTACTAAAGTTGGTTTAACTACATAAGCAAGCAGTTGACAACATTCATCTCTCGAGAGGGTGTCTAACTCAGTGTGTTTGACCCTTACTTAATTTTACGCTGGTATATCCCTTTAGCCCAGATAAATCCTGTAAAATGAGACCTACAATAAACACGAATAGTAGAAATATTACCTTTACGACTGTGTCAACAAAACCAAACTATAAACTTTTGAAAAATAGGATACAGTGTAGATTTATAAGTTAGTCTAGAGGTTGAGTGGGTAATCAATATTTGTAGTTCCTTTTGATCGGAAATTAAACATCATCAAATTTAAACTTACATAAATTTGTCGTTATTGTTGTTGTGCCAGACTTCTGCACAGTCTTGTTCTGGACTGATACAACCCCTAAAGCCGCCCTCAGCGCGGTGGGGGATGCTGACACACACAAACTTCCTGGTTGCTGCGTCACCACACACTCTCTCTGTCTGTGTGAGTCTGCCTGTGTTGGACAGTGTGTCTGCTAGGAGTGTGTGAGTCATGCTAAACATTGTGTAAGAGTGTGTGAGTGTGTGTCTCTGAGTAGGTGCTGCTTTAGTCTGCGTGGATGCTGATGCTGACTCTCCTGAGGATACAATTGATGGAAACAGAAGATTATAAGTCTTATATCGACTGGCCGTTAAATTCACACTCCTTTTGAACACGCAGCGTCAAAACCATTGTTACAACTAGTGTTGTCTCACTGTGTAAAGAGGCTGCACACACGTAGTCGCAGTCACGAGACTGTTTGACCTGCTCACAGAAGTCGCAGTGACACAAGCCTCGAGCTCTCGGGTGATTGGACAGTGCTACCGAGCAGCAACAGCAGCGGAGACGTCTGTGGGTCTGAAGCTGTGACCCAGAAAGAAAAACTTTTGAGTAACATTTTATACAACCTCCAAAACATCTGGAACAGAAAAACAACATTTTCTTTAAAGCATGAGGACAGCAAGGCGCTTCTATGGGGATTTAAGCTGGTTATGAAATGGATGGAAATTAATACTAATGCTTTTGTAGGATATTATTGCCTATTACTAACGCTGAATTCTGATTGGTCAACACCTCATCACGAAAGGAAAACAGAGTCAAGCAGAGGTTAAAAAAACAGGACTAGATCTTCACAAATTCTCAGCTACTTCTCAGTGTTTCGTGGCAAACAAGGTTATAATAGTTAACTAAAACGAAACTAAAATTTAAAAGACATTGCAGTTAACTCAAACTAATAAAAACTAGAAAAGAAAAGAAAAATGATAAGCAAACTAAAACTGTATCTCATGTTCACAAAACTAACTGAGACTAACGAAACGAAATGTCCTTCGTTATCGTTTTTGACAACATTTATTAGCCTTTAGGATTTAAATTAATCCGACACATTTTCCCAACCAGTCTTACGACAGTTTTCGGCAGTTGTCAGCGCCGTACGGCACCATCATAGCGACGTACTGGGACGTGCTTGTTTACCGCACTGACTGGCTGTGCTCTGTGCTGCGACGAGAAACGCATGCCTGCTGAGAATTGCCTGCACCTCACAAAACGCTCATCGCTTATAGTAGAGTGATCCACGGAAATGTACAATTTAAAACCCATACAATTCTTATTTGTTGGGCTAAACAGTGATGAGGAATGTTCCGAAAGTAATTCTTAGCGGACACGCGTTTTTCGGCACAACACCGGCAGCGCCAGCGACTCACTCCATGTGCAGGGGTGTGGTTACTTCCTCTCTGATTTTGATTGACAGCTGGCAGGGTAGTCTGATTGGCGACTGAGTAAAGAACGAATATGATTGGTGGATCACTGCACAGCACATGCGGAGTCACATGCAGAGTATCTTAGTCAGCTACCCTTGAAATTAGATGAGTTCATTCGCCTCTGACATCGCCTGCTCTGTAATGTGATGATCGCACACACGTACATCGCGATGATGTTGCTCAAACGATATATCGTGCAGTCTTACCATCTATGCAATTAATCATCATTTCATCAATGCATCCATCCATTATTTCATCTCAATCCATCTCGCATCTATCCATATATTCATCCATTCATCTATCCATCCAACTGCCCACTCATTCATCCATCAGTCTATCTCTGCGCCAATCCAACTTGCATCCCTTTATCTATATATTCATCCATCCATTGATTCACCCACCTTTTAATGCACTCATCAGTCCCTCCATCTATTCCTGCTTGCCTCCATCCATCCTAAAATCCATTGTCCTGTTTATGGATTCATTCATTTATTCACATGATTGTCTATCCTTGGATCCATGTGTCCAAACATCCAACTATCTATGTCTACCCATCCATTCATCCACCCATCCATCTTTGTGTCATCCAACCAGTCAAATGTATGAATGAATGAACACATAAATAACTGACGTTAAAAAACACGGGTATGATACGCCGTGTTGTAGCCGCAGACTGATTTCCATCCCTCGTCTTTGCGGTGAGGTCGCACATACATCAATCATGTATATTTTAAAGGCCCGTCTTTCCATGTACAGCTGCTTTTATTCTCAATGTTTATTCCGTTAATGCTCACGACACACACTCATGTACACCACCATTAAGCTGGAGTTCTTAGTCCTGTTTAATATGTGAAGGTTCACATGCTATCCGTGTTTCTCCACCTCCTCCTGAAACCCTGAAAACCGTGTCTTCCTTCAGAGGTTATGGTGAACAGTCACACACTCACGCAGACTTGTCAGCTCAGAGCATCTTAAATCAGCTGCTAAGCTGCTTAGGTCGCTGGAGCACTACCTCTCCCCTCTTTTTCTTCGAGTCTCCCCCCCTGCACTTCTCTCTCCTCAGCGCTTTTTGGTGTAAAGCATGAGAACAATAGGATGCAACGTACACACACAAAATAACATCCGATCCTTATCAATAATGGATGAGCTTTTAATCTAAAACTTCCCTCTTTCTCACACACACGCAGACTATTTCAAGTGAAGAACTGAACTCAGACAATAAACCTCAGAGTTATTTCATCGCAGAACCTTTAATCCAAACAGCTGCTTTAACAGACTTTTTAAGAGCGATAATGAGCAGAATTGGAGTTTCTCGCTGACCAAACAGTTCTTTAAAAACTGCTGCTTGAGCCACTTTAATTATCATTGATAAAAACTGCCCGACATAGAGGTCAAACATGGAAAACATTATTTCCAATCATAATTAGGGATGGAAATTGTTAAGAATTTAGTGGTTCTGATTCCATTATCGATACTGCTTATCGATACGATTCCTCATTGATTCTCAAATAAGATAATACTAATGGGTTTGTTCTCATTAACTCTTTAATTTTGTCACCTTGGGGCAGAAGATATGTCATATCCATGCACTCATAATTTGTCATGTTACCTACCCCTTGACTATAAATCTGCTCACAGCTCGCTGACATTCGTTTATCTTCGCCTCTGTCATTTTACTTTTCCCTGCCGTAATGAAAGGTGCGCGAGAGCTACCCACTGCAGCCTCTGAGCTGTAAATCATGTTAAAGTTAATTTAAGGAGATTGAGAGTATTTACATAGTGAAAGGGGTTAACATGGCGCTAACGTCTACAGAACAGACAGGACCTGGAGGAGTTAAACGTCACCTTGATGACGCCGAGACGTTAGCTCTGCTCCTGCTTTTACCAGTCTCTCCTTCGCTAAGTGGTGTATCGAACACGTTACACTTCAGCATGCTGGGTGGACAAATGTTTCTGCATATTGGAAGTATTTGACGAAGTATCCCACTTTGACGAGATTAAAGCTTAGCAAGTGTTGCAAGTAGCCCCGGTATTTCAACTTTTTCACGTGAAATACAGCCGAACTCTGGAGTGCTGTTGCCTCGACGCCATGCTGGAAAGTTCTGAACATAGACTGTGTAGAATGGATGCTGTCTGCCTCCTCGCTGGGTGAAGCCACTCCGAGAACAGCACCCTCTGTTGGCGGGCTGCAGTATAGGTCATAAATCCAGCCGCCGCCAGCAAAACTTATGGAGCTGTAGACAAACTTTATAAATTTATTACACAGAATATAAATGTTTCTCCCCTCCTGCTTGTGATGTTGACATGTAGTTACTGTCAGACTGGTTTGTGCTCAAGTCCTCTTTTTTCTGTGAAGCTCCATTTTTAAAAGTTATTAGGGGGTTTATGTTTTCTATGATTGACACTTGATACAGCCTATGGGCGTACGAAGATTGCGTAGCTCACCCGGGGGATACTTCTTGGGCCGAGCATCATCACAGCGACTCTCGGCGACTCTTCCGTCGAATGCGCACAACGCTACTGCGCAATGTTTGTTTCAGGAAATGAAGAAAAATCACAGAAATACTGAGAGCTTTTTGATTTCAAATCCGTATACAGGCAGGAGGCGGAACCAAGTTGTCCATAGTATATACAGTCAATGGTTCTGAACCAAAACACACTTCCCGCGTTTTACGCCATCACGCATTGAGACGTAAGAGGAACCGATAAGTGGAATTGTCAAGGAGGCAGACAAACAATTCTAAGGAATCCAGTCTCTGGGAACCAGCTCTAAAAAAAGGACCGGTTATCGATTCTCATCCCTAATCATGATCATCAATCATAGATGTACCAAACACACAAAATAAAATCTTTTTTGAAGAGCAGACACCCCTTCACTGGTGGTTTGGTCCACTGCAGACCAACCCTGCACCCTAAACACTTTAAGCTTGGTAATAATACAATAAAAACACGTATCAAATTATAACTAAACTGCATCATCATCTAAGTGCATCATCTGTGTCAACGTGGCAGCTATATAAGCACGGAGCAGCTGCATTTTTCCATAGAGACAGGAGATTAATCCTCTATTGAAACCCTCGGAGTTTCTGTTGTCTGGAATAAAATGCTGTGTTATCAGTTCTATAAATAGAACGATATGATGATGCAGAGTTTGCAGGATAAACTACAAACTAAGAGCTAACTGTATGAGATCCGGATCAGTTATGTAATAGTCACTGACAGCGAGAGTTTGATTTAATAAGACTTATAATGTCTCAGCTCCATCATTATTGAAGGAGAAGATACAACTGTAATTGAATCCCTTAGATCCAGTTAATTAAATAATCACTCTGACTATCTGACACTGAGGAAGTACAACAAGAACAAGGTCTCTCTCTGTTGCAGGATGATTTCAATAACACACAGTAAAAAGCCTCATGAATGTAAAAAATAGTCATCCTGACGAGTTAATTTCACAGGATAAACCAGCTGCACATCTGATTTTGACTGATTCATTCCCCACAGGCCAACAGTACACCTGAGTCCGCTCTCACAACAGGTGAGCAGCATGTAGAGGTTCACCTGTTAAAGATCTAACACAGCGGAACAATCCAGAACTATGAGCGCAGAAGAACATCGGCACCAACCGGCTGTGTAAAATCATCCAAACTACCAACCCTGATATGTGATTCCAGCCAAAGGACCTACTGCGGAGCAAAGGTCTGTTTGATTGGATTTAATTTGGTTGGGTGTCATGATACACTTATGATTCAATATCATCCGTGCAAATCATTAATGAGGTTTTAAGAGTGCAAGTAATCCAGTTTAGTGTCAGGGTTTAGGGCAAAAGTGATAAAACGACTATTTTATTGTAATTTATTGTAATTTTGCCTTTTTTGATGCTTGCAGCAAAGATACTTTATCACCCTCCTATCCTGATAGAAAACCAGCTTTTGTTTTTAAGGGTGCAAAAGGTACAAATTTAGTAAGCTCACTTAATTTATTTACTTAATTTATCAAATTTACCCTCACGTATGAATAAAAGATCTTCTTATCTTATCTTCAGGATGTAGAAAACAGAGATTACATTAGAAAAAAAAAAGTTTTCTCCATAAAGTTGAAAATGATTTTAAAAGCAAACTGAAAACATACATGTTTAGTCTTGCTTTTAACTAAATTTTATATCATTAACTTTGTTTAAGTGTTTTAGCATTTATCTCTTTTTAATGACAGGACCGTCTTTTATTGAGCTGTTTTGGTGCTCTTATTTTAGTATCTTTTACTGTTGTTTTTATTTCATTTAATTTATTATTTTTTAATTTCATTCTATGTTACTTTGTTATTGAGATTTTAACCTAAACCTCCAGTTTTTCTTTCTCTTGAGTTTTAAAATGACGTTTCCTCAGTGCGCACACTCCTGTTTCCACAAAATCAAACCCTTTTTAAGTTTATGAGTTTTAGCCAATCAGAATCCCACATAGCAGCAACAACAACAACATCACTTCTTCTTTCTGGCGCAAATCTGCTGTCGGCTTCCCAGATCTCCGTTCTTCTCTGTTTACATGCAAACAGAGTTTTCCTAAATCTTCACTCTGGCCACAGTTTCTAAAAAGCATCGTTTTCAGGCGCGTCAAAAGTAAGGGTGCAAACGACGGTTAATGTCTCTGTTTTTAAAAAATAACTGGGTACGTATAAACGGGGCCTTCGTTTACTGATCTCCTCTGTAGGATAGGAAAGTTACAGGATGTATCAGGAACACAAGCACTTTAACAACAGGAGGCTGTCGGTCTCACAAAACTAGTGGATTTCACAGTAAAGTCAGCCTGTGCATCTTTGGATCTGCAGTGAGTAATAAAATCGAATTCCTACTCTATCACGAGTGGAAGACATTTAGTTAAGTGTTATCATCAAAATTAAGTCTGAGCTCTTTGTGAAGTAAAGAACTGATTCTTGCCACGACTGAACGACCCTATCTAGACACTAAAATTACAGCCTCAAGTAGGATACGAGGAACTTTATTTATCCCCGAGTGGAAATTGGATTGTCTGGGATCTCATGTCTCATGTTTTATGTCATCTATTATTTACAGTCAAGTTGTAGAGTCTGATTGCTGTGGGTACAAGGGATCCTTTGAATCTTTCAGTCCTGCATTGAAGTGAGAAAAGCCGTCCACCATCATTAACCCATCGGTCCGTTGTGATGTTATGAAGTGGATGATGATGTATTTGAACCAACAGTCCTTCGATACGCCAAGGCAGAGTCAAAACCAAGAACCGCGCTCGCTGAGCTGTTTAGTTTAGGAACAATTTGACCTTTCTGCCTCCTTCGTACTCCATCATCTTACTGTGACACTGACTGAACCTTTTCTTGACATATTTTCTCTCTGCCTCAGAAAGCTGCACATGTCAACCTCTCTAGGAAACGGCAGAAATAACTTCTTAAAACTTTGCTATGCTGCAGAAACACAAAGATATCAGACTCAGACTCAAATCCCAGAGGAGTCTACATCAGCATTCATCTGAACATACAGTATAAAACCGTATCACCTGCTCTCTGCAACTAAGACGCTAAAATGCAGAGCCCTGTCTGCGAGAGGTTTGGTCTGAAGTGCTGACAGAATTATTTATAACTAGCTCTCAGATTATGCAATAAAACACCCTGATGAAGTCAACATGAAGAGACAGAGAGAAGAGGCCTTTTTGCATCTGGTCCTACCGAGTGTGCCTGGGAGACCTTGGTTTATCTCTGACATTATGTAACACCACTTCTCTCACGGCCATGAGCATGCAGGAAAGTATAATGTTGAAAAATCCATTATTATAGAGCATGATCCAGGATGAGGATGACTGTGAGCTAAATGTAATACAGGAATGTTGATACATCAGGCTGCCATTTAATCCCAGTTTATCACCACCGTATCGTCCTTTCATCAGACTGAACATGTCAGTGGGTTTAAAGCTTTTATCCACAGGTTTATTATTGTTGATGTAAATATTTATAATTTTAATCAATGTTTTTTATTTCTAATTAAAGCTGGTAATAGATTTCAATCATTTGAAGTTTTTATGCATAAATTCAGGCTGTCCATGAACTCACTCTAAAACCCAAAGTACGAGTCACACGTGTCTTGTTCGGAGGATCTCTCAGAGTGACAAAAATAAGGTCCTGACAGTGTTTCACCGATAGTGGTTTTGGCAGAGCGCCCCACCCATAGCCTTGTATACTATAGACAACTTGGTTCCGCCTCCCGCCAGTACACGAATTTAAAGCCAAAAAGCTCTCTGTATTTCGAGGATTGTTCTTCATTTCCTGAAACCAACATTGCGCAGTAGCGTTGTACGCATTTGGCGGGAGTGTCGCTGTGATGACGCTCGGCTCAAACACTATCCTTTAACACCAATAGGTTGTATCAGGTGTCAATCATAGAAAAAAAAAAACCTAATAACTTTTGAAAAGGGAGCAGCACAGAAAAAAGAGGACTTAAACACAAACCGGTCTTACAATAACTACAGAGAAACATTTATATTCTGTGTAATAAATCTCTAAAGTTTGTCCACACCCCTATAAGATTTGCTGGCGGAGGCAGGATTTATGACCTATACTGCAGCCCGTCACCAGAGGGTGCTGTTATCAGAGTTGCTTCACCCAGCGAGGAGGCCCATAAAATATAATTTGCACAATTTCAGACTCTAAAGCTTGCAATCGTTTCGTTAATTTCAAGAAAAATATATCTCTCCACTCCTCTGTGACAAGCGAGGCTCTCCGCTCACTCCTCTCTCCATCTCACAACACGCAGGCGTACTAAATAATTATTGTAATGCATCAGATTTCATATTGCGCTTTTTCAGAGACCCTTAAAGAGCTTTATATTGGATACATCATTCATTCACTCACACAGTCACACCTTGGTGGTGGTAAACTACCTTCGTAGTCACAGCTGCCCTGAAGGAGACTGACGGAAACGTGGCTGCCAGTTTGCGCCTACAGCCTCTCCGACCACCACCACACAACACTCACAATCATACACCAGTGGAGGACACACACACTGGGAGCAAAGTGGGTTAAGTGTCTTGCCCAAGGACAGAACGAACAGACTCAGAATAGGGGGGTATCGAACCGCCGACCTTCCGGTTATTGGACAACCTCCTGAGCTACTGAAGTGCTAACGTAGTTCAGAGGCGCGGCACGTCAGCACCACTGATTCTGGCATTCTGGTCGCAAGTGCTTGCCACTCATACCCTGCCGGTTTTGCACAGGATTGTTTTGACGTTCCGGCACCTTTCCATCATGTTTGCTGACAACAAAACAATTTAAAATATGGTCACGAATCATCGAACTGTCCCTGAATGTTCAAAACCCCAATTAAAAATATCTGCAATCTTCAAAAAGATGGTACGTAGTGCTAGCTTAAGCATGTCTCCCAGCCCCCAAAACAGCGCTAGCTCATCTCCCGCCACCCCGTATGACGTAGGTTTATCCCCCACTCTCAAAGCAAAGTCCACAATGTGCAGCTTTTGTGCAGCTGTGCAGCTCATTCAATTATTATCTGTATTCACCATGCCAGTTACCCATAACAACTAAGCACAGTTTTACAGAACAGATGCTGATATCAACAGTGAGTAGAAGGCTAGCTAACGGCTGACATATAATGCTAATATTGTGTCCTTATTTTTCTTTTTTTAATTTTGTTTTGGTGATTCCAACAAATGAAAAACAAAGTTGTCTTTCTTTGCTCTCTCCACCTCATGAATGACCGGCATTATTTATACTTTAGATCACAGCAAACCACTACATCATCGGCAACTTGCGCACAGATCATAACAGGATACGAAGAGAAACATTTATAACACAACCATACCAGCTAATTAATCTCTTTAATATGTTATCTTCTTCACTCTGACTTAACAGTGTCGCACATAAAGCCCGTTGTTCCCATTGTAGGGTCACAAATTATTCAGCTGGATACGGGGGCCCTCGGTTTTAAGTTTCTCAAACACTAAAAGTCAATCTAAGCCTTCCAGAGGTGAAAGTGTTCCTCTGTCGAACAGAAGAAAAATGACCAGAACAACATCCACTCAGCCTCCATGGTCCCTTTTTATGATTTATTCCCTAGCAAACAACAACCAAAGCAGGGTTAAATAATGAATGAATGTCTGTATTCTTCTTCGCCAAAACATGTCATGATTAATTAGAGCACACGCCAGTGACTCGACTTTTAGCATCTCTGTGTGAGTGACAACACGGTGCTAAGTCATCAGCTGGTGCACTGACATAACCCCAACCTCAAACCACTGCTCTCCAGATTTGGAATATGTGATCATGCACTGCAGGCTCTTTTCCTTTTTACCTTAAACACAGGTCATCCTCCCAGGCAAAACTCCAAACTGCACAGTACGCCCCAGTCGTGGGCTGATTTCAAACATGCACACAGGAATAGTTTGCTACCTAGCAGCTCATCAGCCCCTCACCGAGTGCAGAGATTCAGGGTTATTGTTGTTTAGCACTGGATTCTGCCAACTCACTGTACACAGAATGGAGAACGTCAAACTTCAGAGTTTTAAGAGCAAAAATCGCTTCTACAATCACCAAAATTCACGCTGGTGAATCATCAGCACATGACGAAGGCATGACCTGGCTGGTGGCGATGCAAGACTGACGTCACACTAATGCAAACTAAAACCTACACCGAACCGACGGGAGATCCCTCACAGCACACACTCACAGGTAGAGAAAGGTCAATCACTCTTTTTTGTTTGTTTTGTTTGTTGTCTGTCCTCCACCTCGCATCTGCTCCTTTAAAAAAACTTGGTCAGAATAAACTTGTCCGAAAAAACAAAAACTTGGGCATGAGTCAGCATTAGAGCATGACACTGTAGCGGATTTTCACTCCTGTCCCGTCCCACTCCCAGAGAAAAAAATCCTGTCCCGTCCCAATCCCGGACTGGAGTAAAAAAATTAATCCTGTCCTGTCCCACTCCCGTAGAATGACTCCCACTCCCACTCAAAATTACTCCCACTCCTGTCCTGCTCCCGTCTGAATAAAACCAAACATGTTGAAAAAACGTTGCATTTTTTTTAGTTTAGGTAAACGTGGCAGCCAAGTCGGAGCTGCAGTCGCTCCCGGCGACACCAGCAGCCACTCCAAGTCGCTTTTCACTTCCGGTGGAGGCAGGAAGTCAAACCACTGTTCAAGTTCTTTTGTGTTGCTAGCGCGGTCAAGAGTGTCAGCTCTCACTGAGTGATGACTACAAAAATGGACGCATCTGTTGTTTAACACGGCTGAAAATGATCATCTATTAATGTTGTTCCCGCTCCCGTTGCTTTTTTTTCCCGTCCCGTCCCGATCACAAGATTAATTAAAAAATGACTCCCGTCCCGTGGGATTCCTGCGGGAATCACGTGAATTCCCGAAAAATGTCATCCTCTAGTCAGCATGATAAGAACTTTCATGATAGAGAGTAAAATTTAACACCTTTTCATTTTGTAGTTTGGCCTCTTTTTAAAACAGGGTTTATGACCTCTACTGATTAGCCAGCAGGGGGAGCTCTGTCGTAACACTGAATCAGACAGATAAATACACCATCTATGATTCTGCTGTAGCGAAAAGACCAGGGCTGTAATCAACCAAAGAAATTTTTGGTCGACTAAAACCCTGAAATTTTTGTTACCAAAAACTGACTAACAAAGGGGGGAGATTTTTCCGACTCCGACGGCAAACCCTTCTGTGACAGGGGACAACCCAGCTCGGCTGAGTGAAAATATACTGATATCAGCACAAGGAGGCAATTAAACAGAAAAGGCTAAAAGGCTGAAAACACCCCAATTAACATTTGGTACGTTCCTCCTGATGAAATTAACCATAGACTGTGAAATGACGTGGAAAAAAATTAGAAGTTTGGTCGACTCAGCACGTATCGACCAATAAGTCAACCAGTGGACTCGGACTTTACAGCCCGAGAAAAGATAGTTGGTGAGGATTTTAACTTTGGCAACAACCTGGTACTTACTGGCGAACATTGACCCAACCTACAATTACTCCCTTTTATTGGCTTGTGTATAGAAAATGAAAGATACCAAGTGGCTTTCTCAGCATCCAACATTGTTTTGGTTGTAATTCTGTCCACCCCTACTTGCAAAACCTCTCAGTGGATTCGTAATGGCTGTCATAGAAACCCTTTTCAAAATAAACTTTAAATTCTTAATACTTTCAAAATACAGCGTTAAGAGATCATGAAAATTTTACATGATATTTGTTAGGTTCCACTACCCTAGACTATAAATGCTTGAGCATGTCTGGCAGCTTAACAAAGCTTGCCCCATTTAAGTCCATCTCTTCATATTTTTCCTGCCAACTTGCTTCCGGCTAATTAAGCAATCACAAAAGCAGTCCAAATATGGACAGCTACGGCATCTCTGTTGGACTGTTTTGAGAGCACAGACTGGCAGACGTTCAGAGTCGCCACCACCCATGAGACTCCCAACAATCAACAGGCGTATACATCAGCAGTGACATAAAACAATAACAACTACACTGGGGTGGTTTTAATCTCAAACACATTGAATCGGCGCCTCAATGAGAAAGAACATCCAGGGGTCATTGGGTCAGGCTCAAAGTTGGCATCCAGGCAGCAGAGACTGAAGATCTTGACACAACAATCGAACAGCTTTTAAACTAGAAGAACCGAGACGGACAATTAATCGGGTTGCCAAATAATAAGCAAAGTTGTCTGGTTAAGTGAAGAGTTTCTTTGATTATTGAAAATCTTTAATTTGAAAACTGTAGCTGTTTGACTCCTGTTTAACAATGACGGGTATCAGCTAGAGCAGGGGTCAGCAACCTGCGGCTCTTTCTTCCCTAAGCTGCGGCTCCCTGTGGATTTGGAAAATAAATAAATATTTCATTTAAATTTGTTTTATTTTATTTTTGTAATTCTAAATTCGAAGATTATAATGCTCTTGTAACAATAAATAAGCCAGGTTAAATTTTATAAGTATCATAACTGCTGATTTGGGAAAACTGAAAACCTGTGTGAAGATGAATGTGACGTCACACAGCCTGGATGTGGAGACGCTGTGCGCTGAGGTTCAGGAGCGAAAGTCACATTAAGCAAGTAAATTTCACATTTTAATCAGCTATTATTTTGCAAATATAGATCTTACATTGTTCAGTGAAGTCGTGTTATTTTAATCAACGCACACGCTTGTTGCGCGATCATCCTCTCTACTCCTCCGAGTGTGGCTGAGAGACCGTTTGGGTCTGCCAGAGATTAACGCTGATGTGAATGCAGAAATACTCAGAGATGCAATTTCACACTTATATTACTTATATGTCCTGTAGCATCAGGAAAATGATATATGAACATGTAGACAAGAACAACGTGATTTTCATTTAAGTGGGTTTTTAAGGTTATTTCAAACTGTTTAAAATATTTTTGTTTGCCTGCAGAAATATCATTTCTTTTTCTCTGCAGCGGTTCATTTATTTCAGAAATGCAGCTCACTACAGTTTTTTTATTTACTTTTAGACCCTCCAGGAATCTGCGATTCAGTGGAAATTAAAGTAGTCCTCGGAATACAAGGCGGGGTGCAGAATATTATATTTTACATGTAATTTTCATCCTGGCTGCTCGATGTTGGGTCAGGTAGACGGGTCAGATGGACGGGAACGGGAACTCACAGCCGAATGCAGAAAGGTTTGGCGTCGCCTGGTTGCTGGTGCGATCTGGTGCGTGTGTGAGGAGGATCCCAGATGGAAAGGTGGGCTGTAGAGCGGATGGCATATTTTTAATGGAGTAAAAAACAAAGCGTATGATGAGTGACAGCGAGCAGCTCCAGCGACACTTGAAATGGAGGACTTTCTCCGACAAAATCCTACGACACCAGCAGCAAAGCTGTATATTTTTGTATGTGAGAATCACAGCTCCAGGCGTTTGTGTTCCTATGCCATCACCCATGATAGTATGGTGAAATATTCTGCACTTGTATTTGTTTACATTTATTATCTGACTGTTGCTCCATTTTGAGACAGTATAATATGCACTATATTATTCCTGAAGTTGCTGCAAATAAATCTGCCTAAGGGGGACAAAAGGAATATTGATGTTGATTGATTATTTATGAGAGCGTTTCATAGTGTTTTGGTTTTGCAATTCATTTCATAAGATATTTCTTTCTTTATTATGACATGAAAAAATACGTTTGCTTCAGAACTGGAAATTTTAGGCTGTCTTTTTAATGTCTGCCGAATCTCAACTTTCAAGCCACAGATTTCCGTGGAATCGAGAATTGCTCTCGGCAGAATCAGGATTGTTCTCCGCGGAATCAACACTTTTTTTCTGCAGATTCCTGGAGGGTCTATACTTTGCATGAAGGTAAAAAAACAATATATGCAATGTTATCTTCATTTTAGATGTCAAAGGGGTTTTGTGTCTCCCTGCGTTTTCTTTTCTGTGGGAAAGCTACAATTAAAAAAAAAAAATTGCTTGGTCAAAAACCACAAGGTTTAAAAACAAACCATGGCAGTAAGCCGACATGTTCTCCTCCTCTGAACAAACTCTAACTTAAAGCTTTAGAATTCTTAAACATGGACTCAACTTTCACAGTTATGCTGACAACATCCAGATCTACATTTCCAACAAATCCATCACTCCAACCACCTAATCTGCACCTTCCACCTGCCTCACTTAAATAAAATCATGGATTCAAACCAACTTCCTTCGACTGAACTCTCACATTATAATAATCGACCCTAAATCACTCATTCAATCACCTCAGAACCTCTGCCTCAGTTTTGATAATTCCACCCTGACTCCATCATCCAGCATCCGTCTCCTTGGTGTAATCTTCACCATTCCAACTGCATGTTAATCACATTACCCCGCACCGCATTCTTTCACCTCAGAAATATTACCCATATCCGACCTTCACTCTCCCTCTCCGTTGCTGAAACTCTAATCCATGCTTTCATCACATCCACAATCAATTACTGTAATAGTATCTTGTATGGTTTACCCTCCAAAATTATCAGTAAATTACAGTACATCCAAAACTCTGCCGCTCTGCCTCCTCACCATTTATGAATCACATTAAGAATAAATAGGATGACACATGGTCTGAATGAGACAGGAATAATCAAACTAGCAGAAAGAATTAGACTGACAAAGAAACTGCTTCAGTGTTTCTGCTTTTAACACGCTGATAGTTTAACTGGCTCAGTTTCCAAAGTATGGGAGCCAGAGGATCTCAAAGTCTTGAAAATATTGGACTCCAATTAGGACAGCCAAAGTGGGAGAAAGGAAAGCAAGCCAAAGCTTAAAAGCGGGGAAAAAATGTCTTTGGTGGATGAACTCTCAGTGGAGATACTAAAACGGTGCATTCACATCACGCTGCAGAACAAGCAACTGAAGGGCTGGACTAAAATTTTAAACTTTTTTTATATCTATTTTTTTAGTTAAGTCTCTTAAAAGGGGGTATTATGCTTTTTAGGGGTGCACCGATCACAATTTTCTGGCCAATCACAGATTACCGATCTTTAAAAAGCTTGACCTGCCGATACCGATTTCGTCCGATACCTTTTTTTGAAATAACTGACAACATACACTTTCGATGCTCCAATCTTATTTTGATGAAAAACATTAAACAATACTTATGGAACAATACAAACCTTTTTGTGTTTGGTGACCTTACTAGATGTGTGCAAAGTCTCAAATCACAAGGTAAACGTATTTTGTCGTCATCCTAGAAAATAGACGTAAACTGCTCGAATCTCAGACGAATGTGAGAAGATGCGAGATTTTATAAAATTCTTACGTGAGAATTAACGGCCATCTTTACTGGTTTAACTGAGCTTTCGGCAAAGCAGAACGACCTGCCTCAAACATCGGTCAGGTGACACTTCCAGAAAGCCTCCAGAGAGGTGGCCAATCAGAAGAAAGTGGGCTTGTGGAGGGAAGGGCCTTAAAGAGACAGTACCTAAAGTGAAGCGTTTCAGACAAAGGCTGAAAAATGATATTTGAACATACCACTGTGAGAAATTTGAGGCCTTTTTTTATATCTGAAAATTATGTAAATATATCAAAGAGGAATCAGAAAGGAAGTATAGAGTCTGAAAAAAATGCATAATACCCCCCCTTTTAAAGACTGTAACAATGTCACGATTCTATAACAGATTCTTATGCGTGTTTGACTTTGTGTATAGTTTACAGACCATTATATTTTTATGTAAGACTTAATACCACGTATAAATGCTAAGGTATTAAGATCCAGTTTTAACAGGATAAACCTGTCACTGTCATGCATAAAAATGTATTCAGCTCTCATGATGCAATTTATAGCATCGTTTTCTTTTTTCAGGGCGGCTGAATCATTCGCAGTGTTGCTCTGGGAGATTACACCAGCTGACGTCATATGTCTACATGCTGAACATGTCTGGTTTAGTTTGATGCTGGTAAATGTAGACCTCTCTTATCTCAATTCCTATCTGTTTATACATTGCATCATTTTAACTGGATTATCGAATTACTACAGGCTAAGAGCTCTGAAATGTAAGATAAACACAGAGTGCATGAACTGACAGATTAGAGAGCACTGAGGCCTCTGGCTCCTGTTTGTCCTGCTTTATTTCCCCTGTGTTAATAAATTAGATTTAAGATTCTGCAGCTTCTGAACCACATTTACGCTGATTTAAACTCGGATGTCAGTACAATCTTTTCAGTACATTTAAATATTTGCGCTGCAGACATGCAAATTATGTTCCAAGTCAAATAATCGTGCATGAGTTGGAGAATGAGAGTGAGACGTTAAGTTTGCAAAGTTTATTCAAACTGCATCATCAAGCCTGCTTTATTCTGCTGCATTAGGTTTATGGTGGTACGTAGAGATGGGAATTGATACAATTTTATCGATATCGATGCCATTATCGATCAATTTTAAAAATTTTCTTATTGATGCCTTTCTTTGATTTTTAAAAAAAGTAGACTATAGGTTTTCACTGTAAATCAAAATTTAACTGAAAAAGATGTATGCCACCTTCAGTTAGAGGCTAGAAATAATCAAACAGCAAACTATTTTTACAGCATTTACTTGGTTCAGTATTAATCCTGCGTTCAAGTTACCTTGGAGGTCAGATGTCGGAGGCAGAAACAAGATGTCTACATCTACAAAAGTTATTTTAGCGCTTGCCTTGTCCGAATATAAGCAACCTCTGGACAAATATGCCGTCCTTCTGCAACATCAAGTTTCCGCCTCTGATTTTGCTTTTTTCTGACTTGGTAACTGAAACGCTAGTGACTCGGGTGTGACGTCATTCCCAGCTCCGACGTCTGACTTCTGAGGTAACTCGAATGCAGCATAAGCCAAATACATACTACGTTGTTAAGTCTGGCGTGCATTGTGCTTATGTTAACACAGGATATATGTTAGGGTGACCATATTCTAAATCCCCCCAAAAAAGGACACTACTATGTAGGGCAGAGTTGTGCGCAAAATTCTGAGTATTTTTTAGGTCGGGTCGAGTGTTTTTTATGCACTTCTAACTCAGTTAAATGCATATTCTGAATTCCCAAAGACAGTGCATACGTGCGAATACATGTGACTCCTTAATATTTGATGTCGTGCCCCATTGACAAATGTTTAAACATGTCGCTGGTGTATCCACCTTTGCATGTTATCACTGCTCAACAAATGTTACACGTCATGCTGTTGTCGTCTTTTTTAGTAAAATGAAGCGGCTCTTAAGACTGTTTCTGCCTACTTTTCATACCATCCACCATTTTTTCCCTAAAAGTCTCTCGCGTAGACTGGCTTTGGCAAGACCGTTTTTTGAGGCACCCAGAAGAAAGGAATCGCTTAGGGAATCGTTAAGATAAAATGTAAATGATGTCGATGGATTGAACCATTCGGAACCGGTTCTCAACAAGAATCGGTTCTCGATTCCCATCCCTAGTGGTAAGCACTGTAGCTATGCTGAAGCCGACTCTCCCCTCCAAAAAAGTAACAGCGAATCTTATTGGCGCCCTGTGGCTGACTTTTCTGGTGTTGCCTCCGCCTCAACCCTCCTCCTCAGCAGCCAGTTTCCATCTTCTCCATGGACTATCTACTCAATGGATGTAGCGTTGGTGACATATTCCTTTTGTTTGTACAGCAGCTTCAAAGCCTGTCAGCAGTGCTGACTCAACCCAACTTTCAGTCTTCCTTCCAAAGACAGGCCTTTAGCCTCCTTACAAACAGCTACGGTGCGCCCACCTGTCAGTCAACTCAGCCGTGCTTCTGATTCAGCCATTTTTAATTCTCGTTCTCGTTTAGTGATGGCCAAAGAAAGGAGAGCTGTCAGTGCGGCGTATGTGGGTGAGACAACAAAACTGAGAGAAGGTTTACTGCAACAATTTTAATGTTGTACAAAAACACAGTAAATAGCCTGACCTTGTAGAAAAATTGCTGACAAAAAGTATTATAAACAGCTGGAGGGTAATGGAGTATTGTGTTTGAGTCAGAGAGTCCAAATTTTCTAATAAATACCCCCAAACTAGGCCTGTGTAAATTAAATTATTTTAATGTGTTGTATTTTTGTATGAATCACATAATAGACTGAAAAAGTACAGTACATATAAAAAGGGGCATCATTTTTAAGACTGATGAGGGTAAAATCACAGACAGGCACTAAAGTAAATTTATTATTCAAAGGGAACAGAGACGTTTACTTAGGTTAAACTTAGATAAGATCACAGTGTCCAAAAACACCATATTCATCTAAATCCTCCTGACATTTTACTTTTTCAGCAACTAAAATGAATCTAAATGTGGGACTTTTTCTCCACAATATTTATCTTTTTTAATTCAAGTGTAAAGGACAAAAATTATCTTTTTGATTCAGCCATGCATACTTATGTGATCTCTCTCGCTCTCTGTGGGGAAGATAGAAATATCCTGGACTGAACCTACCACTTAGTGTTTTGTTTTTTTCATTTTCTTTATTTTTTTAGGAGGTACTCAGTGTTTGCCCAGAAGGTTTTATTTCTCCCTCCCTCTCTCTCCTGGGTGGGGAGGCCTCTGAAACAGTATTTAGCACACTGGAAACACAATCTGAAAAAGTTAAAACTGAGGCCAGAGGCTCATGAAGGCTTTTAATGGAGAGTCGGGACAAAAGGAACTTTAAAACATTCAAGAGAGACCGATCTGTTCGTGTGCGTGCGTGCGCTGCATAATGCAACAACTAATTAAGAAATCTCTCTAAATAAAATACCTACTTACATTCAGGACTTTCTTTTGTTCAGTTCATGATTTTTGTAGCTTGTCATCTCCAAAACATCAAATAAACATGACTGAGATTATAGTCGGTGCAGTAAAATTAAAGAATATACTTTGTTCACTTTTAGCTTATTTCAAAGACTGTGTGCGCCCCATACAGTGTAATGGTATGAAAGCAGAGCTGGCGTCAGCATTGGTGGTTAATCTGTTTGAACTCCAGCCAATACAACCTCAAAAGCTTTAGTATTTTTGCTTAAACATACAGTTTGCTTATAGAGTGTACACTTCATGATCTTCCTTCACAACTTCACCTTTCTCCAAAGTCATCTTGTGTTTATCCTCAATTTGACTGACGTGATAATATGCAATCCTCAGTCTTTGATATGATAATTTACATCCACAGTGTTGGGTCAAGTTAAAACTCACTGTTTTAGATGAACCTCCAACTCTCCAACTTTATGAGCTCTTTTAGCAGGAAAATTAGCCGGATAACATCTGTGTTCCGTCTCAGATAACTTCTGTACAGCTTCATGTGGGGTGAAAAACGAATCTTTAAGCATCAGGAATTGCAAAATATTAGAAGTGTGGCAACTGCTAACAACTTGTTTAGCAGCTTTTCACCACCTCTCACACCAACATGATCCTTCATGATGCCAGAACTTCACAAAACTTATATTTTTGCTGTCCATGTGACATTTTTATTTTCAAAAATCTCCGCCTTCAGGCTGAAACATACAGAATCCGTATTGAGTGTGTTCCGTCGGCTGCCATTCTAATCAATGCAGCATCGTATACAGGACATGTATCAGCTCCGTTTACTTTTAACTGCTAACTCTGTCTGAAGCGTGTCGAGCGCGGCTCAGCTTTAGAGGACATTTCCCCAAATCTCTGATTGCGTTGAGCTCGAACTCTGTGTTTACCCGTGGACAAAGACAGGTTGAAAAGCAGAGATTAAAAAAATGTGGTTTTCAGGACTTATTCGTGTGGTACAACCTCAGGAGGCCTTTGATCCCTAACAACCTTGAAGGTACACTGACTCTTTAAACGGTTGCCTAACTTAACAAAGTCACATTCACACTGAAACAAAGAGTGTCTCTCACAGTAGATTCATTTCTCTCATTTATTCGGTATGTTAAGTTGTCACTTGTTACTTTGCCTTCCTTACCCTTTAAACGCACCTTTAAAAGTGTGTGTGTAGATTCTCACAATTAGTTATAATAAATCCTCAAAGTCACCCTTTTTAGTCATGTGATGTAGCACAGAAATGACTAAATTAGGACTAAGAAATCACAGAAAATGTCTCACTACACTATAAACATGGCAGTGCATAAAGGATCAAAATAAACCTGCTAATTTTATAGACACACACACACATACACATACAATCATATCAAGGCAGTTCACTGTTAATTGCTCGGTGGCCAGAGATATCGTTTGACATGACCATAAACCTTGTATAACACCACTCATCACTCAGACAAAGAAACTGAAAAAAGAGGGACCATAAAGGGAGAAAGAGGAAGAAACAAAGACACAGAGAATTATACAGGAATGACAAGCAGGAGGCAGATCCCGTCCAGCCCCAGCTGAATGACAGACTTTAAGCCTGTTAAATTTTGTCTTTGAATCCATCCATGACCCTCTAAGAAGATTTACTGTGGCTTTGATCTTTTCAGCGGCTTTTTTTTATGCTAGAGCTCGCTCAAACTTTTGGGAATCCACATGTGTTTTACTTTTAGAAAGCCTGGAATTGAAAGAAAAAAAAACTGAAAAGTATGTCAAAGTTAAAGGGAGGAAAAAAAAATACAAAAAGCTGGTTTATTTCCAAAGGATGTGCAGCTGAAACTACTGGGACATTACTGTGCACAAACTCCAGCCTTGTGTGATTTGGGAGCTACCATCAAATCTTCTGCAGATCTCCTGCAGATCTAAACCAGACGGGAGAGGGTGTATCACAAGTGTCAATCTTCTGGGTTTGATCGGTATTGTTTCTTCTAATCCCAAAAAGCCTTTTAGCTGCTTTTGACCGAACTGTCTGATGCTGTTCAAAAACTGCAAGATAATTTGGAGGATTCTCATGATAAAGTATCCAACACACTGGATTTTCTACTTCTTCTATATGTAATCTAAATCTGATGGATCAGTGGTTCCCAACCGGGGGGGGGGGCATGGACACCCTCCTGGGGGGGCGCGAGCACAGGACGGGAGGCGGGGGGGACTCACCGGCTATTAGTACAAAGGAGATGTAGAGTCTCAAGCAGTTGGAAACAGACCAATTTACATCCAGAAGCTGCAGCACGGCATGGCAAGTGTCAATAAAAGATTCCTTCTATTTTGTCCCAGCGACTCAAACGACCAAGTAAGCAGGAAAAACGTCCTGTTTCCCCGGAAACAAGATCCTTCACAACGTTACACACACATACGCACACACACAGAGCAGTGATCTGAAGTAAACATCGATATTAACTGTAACTTCATCACCAGAATCTCCCTCATCTACACACCTGTCTCCTCTCATCCACACAGACCCACCTGTGTTCACAAAGCAACAGCTTTCACAGGAGCTCATCACACCACACCACACCACTGTTTAACGGAGATCTGATATAAAATAACGGAGGAAACGTGACCTCAAAAAATATAAAACGTCCTGATCTCTGTCATGACTCTCCCGCCAAATGTGCACAATGCTACTGCGCAGCGCTGGTTTCAGGAAATGAAGAAAAATCCTGGAAATACCGAGAGCTTTTTGGCTTCAAATCCGTATACAGGCGGGAGGCGGAACCAAGTTGTCCATAGTACATACAGTCTATGGTTTTAACTGGTTGAACTGATACATGACTCTAATCTATATTGAGAACAAAGTCAAGCGTTTGCTGATATTTTTTTACATTTTCCTTATATTTTCACTTCTTGTCTACATGTAAACAGTGTTAGGTTGCTGAAAACAGATGTTTTTGAAAAAAGCCCTCCAAAGTGAACATCTCTTGTGGACAGCACAAACTTAAGTTGACTCTCTTGCACACGACAATTGATGTTTACATGTATTGCACATGTGCCAATAAAGCAAGTTCCTGTTTGCCTTCGGTTGATGATAAAAAAAAGTATATGTTTATATATAAAGACTCCAATCTCAGAATCTTGACTGACACAAATATTAAACCAATAAAGAGCTTCCAAACCACTGTGTTTCACTCATTATTCATTGGATACAGCCTTATCAGAAGTGCAGCAACAAAATGGGCAATGGACAATGGCAGGAAACCAGATTCTTTGAAGAAGGCAAATACTGTTAAGCAGAAATAATTATTAAAAATTAGCTTTTTCTTTTGATTGGGTATTTCTGATGAATAAGTTATAACTGTATGAGGAAAATATTAAAAATAAACAGACTATGTATTCCCATATTTACAGTCTGTGACTCCAAAACCCTTGAAGAAGTTGTGTGGTTGAATGGTACCTGTCTTAAGCTACAACCATGCAAGACCAAAAGCCAAAGATAAATTATTTTGCCTGATATGACTTCCATTACAAACCTTTCAGTTTTCTTGTTGTCCTGTGTTTGCATTAAAATCACTGTCTTTTTCTCAAATGTACCCAAGTACTTTTTGAAGCCACACAAATTGACGTTTTTACATTAAAACTTTAAGCAATCATGACAGTCAAAGCTAAAATAATACTTTAACACCAACTTTTGTTTTCACGAGTGAAAAGGAGAAATAGAGCTTTCTGGCAAAAAAAAAGCCCAGGAAGCCGCCGGGCACAGTATTCATGTACCTCACTGTCATCTTGCTGACAGCCACAGAAAGGCTTTTGTGGTTGTAGTAACAAAATAGCTTTACTTCATCTTCAGACATAATACTCATAAACTGTCCTGGCTGATGGAACAGTATGTCCATGTACGAAATTCAACTTATTTTACTTTTTAGTTTTTTCAGAAAGTGACTGTCAAACCTGTTAAAAGCTGAATTGCCAAAGGGGGCTTTTCATTTGCTTTTACGTTTCCACTACTTTCAAACAATGATGTCCATTTTGCACAGAAATAATGATAAAAGGCCTTCATTGAGATATTATTGGAAACTGTGTGCTCTAATTGGTATTTGTATGATTAATTGTGTCTCACTTCATCATCTGAGACTGACTGTTAAAAACACACATCAACACTTCAGCCTGTAAACAAGGTCAGAAGACATATTTTCTCTTACAACCACATGGACAGAGAAACAACCAGACAAAATACCACTGAGTGATTCGAGTATTGAGAACGGTTGATGAGCTTTTATGTGGAAACCATATCTTTAATGATATTTCAGACATGAGCTGGACACTGGGGGTAACAAAATCTAAAGGTGAGCAATTATCTTATTAAATTCTAATTTGACTAAACTGGCACTCAAGAGTTATGACTAGTATCATTCCCTTACATGGAAAACAAAACAGTATGAAGGCATACGCTTAATTGAAAAATAATGTGTACTCCAAAAGATCTAATGTCTTAAATACTAATTATATAGTCACAAGAATATGCAAAATTAATTCTGAACGTTGTAAATAGCTAAAAAAATTTCTCTTGCAATACTCCCACATAGATGTCAGTCCTTATATATCTCTATTTAGCTAAATATGGCAGATAATATTCGCCTTGAGGATATTGATTGGGGTATGACCTCTCTCAATGATACATCAGGCCCCAGGTGCATGAAACTGATGATACACAGTAAGTGCATTAGATGGCAAACTACTCGAAATCAATGTGTAACATTAAAAAAAAAAATGTAAAGGACAGCCATATTCATTTCAGTGTAGCTAATTAACCCTAGAACACTATCGCCGGGTGATTTTCATTATGTTGCGTATGTCTGAGTATCATGGGTCCCTGAGTAGCTTCAGCATTGCCTTTGACATCTATGAAGGTGCATTTGTTTCCCTGATCCAAAACCTGCTTTTTCCTACAGGCACGTGTCCACAGGGTGATTTTCACCCGCAATAGTGATACAGGGTAAAGTAGGTTTGGGTGGATTTTATAGCTGCATGTAGGCGAAAAAGGTCAGTAAGAGTGGTCCTGGAATTTGCATACTATCTTTATTTAGCGCAGTGGTTCTGAATACCTATCACAAAGTAGTGATTTTCAAGGGAATTCATATGGTGATAGGAAATATTTTAGTCAGTTGGTCATATTTTGGTTCTCTCTCCTGCAGCTGTTATTGTGCCAAGGACCCTGAGTCTTCACCAGGGAAGACTCACATGCCCCAGGAATGGGTGGAAAAGAAACTAAATTTACATTTTATATACATGTTATGTTTAGGAATTTTTTGTTCATGAATGCCTACGTTCAGTTATTTTGTTGTATTTTTATATGGTCCCATCATGGCGCTTTTTTCCTCATTTTTGGACACTGCACAGTTAAAAATAAAAGAAAACTACTTTAATTTGTCATGCATTTTCATATTTCATATTTTGATGACAAGTACTTTTTCTTGGGTATATTATCTCAGGCAAAAATTACCCAGTGATAGTGATGGGGTAACGAATTTTAGCGATAGTGTTCTAGGGTTAAAACAAGTTTTTGGTTGTATCTACCGATCTGTCTGTTTGTCTGTCTTTCTTTCTTTCTCCCTGTCGACCTACCTGCCCACCTAACCCAAGTCACCATCGGTCAGCCATGTTGACATGACGCTTACCTGAGTAACAAAACTAGTTTCCAGGCGAGTAAAAAGCCCGCCACAGAGAGCGTCTTCTTCCTCATCTCTCTCCAGAGGCGCGAGAACCTCTGCTCCCCTCTCGGCTCGTGCGGCGCTGGTGCTCCAGCTGTGGTCAAACAACAGGCGGGGGGCAACTCACAAACATACTGCGGTGATGACAGGAACTCCAGAGAACAGACAAACTCAGAGTGTTCGGTTTATTCCCATAAAAAGACGAGCAATGACATGAAAAACCGACATTGTTGTGGGCAAAAAACTGAAACGGTGGAGACAGAAACAGAGGACTGAGCACGCGACAGCTGTTCGCACTCCGCTCTGGGTTCGTTCTGTGCCCCTCGTGCTTCACGGGGGCAGAGTCCCGCCCACCACTCTAAGATTGGCATGATTGACAGACCGCTCAGCCAATCACATGCGGTGCTGTTAATATTTCCAGTTGAATCGCGTCTGAAATTAGAAGTCCAGTGAGTTGGATCAAATTCAACACCCACCCATGCAGTATTACACTTTCTACCCCTCTCACCGTGCATATGAACCCATCTGTAGGCCAATACCAGAGCCGGCCCAAGCCTCAATGGGGCCCTGAGCAAAAATGGATTTTGGGGCCCTCTGTTTCTGCCAATAATATTAGTTTAATTAAGTATATTCATTTGCACATGACAGATGGGGGAAAATTTCATGATAGATTTAAAACAGCTTGTCAAAGTACCTCCCCCTGAGATATCATCTATCCATTTTCTACCGCTTGTTCCCGTTCCCAGGGTCGCAGGGGAGCTGGGGCCTATCCCAGCATCTTTGGGCAAAGGCAGGGGACACCCTGGACAAGTCGCCAGTTCATTGCAGGGCTGACAAATAGAGACGAACAACCATCCACGCTCACATTCACACCTACAGGCAATTTGAAAGCAGCCAACTAACCTAGCACCACTTCTGCGTGTTTTTGGGCTGTGGGAGGATACTGGAGTACCTGGAGTAAACCCACGCAGACACAGGGAGAAACGCCCTGACCAGGATTGGAACCCAGGACCTTCTTGCTGTGAGGCGACAGTGCTAACCACTACAACACTGTGCTGCCCTCCCCCTGATATAGCTACGATTAATCAAGGCAGCAGTGCAATTTTATCAAAAAAATTAAAAATAAATAAAATAAAATAAAAATGCAGAAACAACAATAAAATTTAACAGTAAAAAGGAAATATAAATTAAAAAATATTTTAATCTTTTTTTTTTTATTGCTCCTGGGGGCCCCCTACTGGTCGCGGGGCCCTAAGCAGGCGCTTAGTTCGCTCATGCCTTGGGCCTGCTCTGGCCTATACTCTTCTGTTCTCTTCATTTTCTTTCTCTGACTCTCCTGCTCATTTCTCCATCTGTCTCTTTCTTTCTGCTCTGTTGGACAGGACAGCATAGAGTCGCATGTGGTCGTGATTCCCGGCTGAAAAGTAGCTTTTTGCCATATGTGGCCAAAGTAGGCGTGGGCAGAGTGGAGTGGATGAGACTTCAAATTTCCATCAAGAGCACCCTAAGGCTGGAATATACTTAAAACCCAAAATACTTGCCAAGTGTGTGCAAAAATTACAATTTCACACTGTCCACATGGATAAAACTGCACATTTAAAGTGTAAATGTAAGGGATATTCATTTGTCATTGGTGTTTAGTAGTGTATTTGGCTAAAGTAAAACAAAATTGTTTAACCTGGAGCACAGCACATGATTTAAAGCCTGATATAAGGCCCGATCTGCCACCAGGGCATGGCCTGACTCCAAGCTTACCGAAGCCTCCCTAACCTGACATCATAAATATCAAACATGATCTCACAAAAACTCACATGTAAACACAACATGTGAGTTTTAGTGCGATCATGTCCGTGAAGTCACTGCTGTGAAATTGTTAACACAAACGTTAAGTGTGTGGTCAAGTGGTCTTATGAAATTGTATTGTTTGTGATTTTTAAGATTGTAATTTCTGAAATGATCAGAACTGTCTTTCTGTAATGCCCCATTGATTGATTAACATCTACAAGTCTTGTAGCTTGTGATCAGCATCTTTTGCCAGTGATTTGTTTAGTATGTACAATATATGGCACTAAACCAACAAGGTTTTGTTGGAGGATAAACAAACTTTAATTTGAATTTGTTGGTATAAACCTGAGGATGTTTGGTTAGTCATCAGCAAAGAAAAACATAAGGAAACAGCAAGGGAGACACAAAGTACTGAGTGAATGAGACATCAACTAAACTGAAGAAAACAGACAAAAATCAAATATGTAGCAGGACATGGGACGAGTTTTGGCAGTATTCATGGACTGGGTCAGCAAATAAGAAAATGCCAACCCATTTTATACCATACAAGAAGCATTTTACACATTATTTTAAAATATCAGCAGAATAATGCTATCTTGACTTAACTTTAAAAGAAAATGTGTAAAAAGCTTGACGTTGCCTTGACTTGCTATCTTTACTACATCCCCATGGTGCACGTGCAGCTCTTTAAATATGTGTGATTTAAATTTTTCAGACAAATGCTCACTCCTTTAAGGCTGCCTCCATATATATATACTGTATATACTGGGTGAGTAGGCTCATTACATGTTTTACCCCTCAGGAATAAGAGCTACATTTACTACACGGTCTACCAGATTTGGATGCAAACACCCTCAAGATAACGCTCAGAGGCGGCTCTTGAACCTCCGTGTTTTTGAAGAAAATACCTCAAACACAAATTGTGTCTTAATACTAACAGATATCACAGGTTTATACATTTTCAGATCACGTGTCTGTACATATTTCTATTCACTGGTTTATTCTCAGCTGCTTCGCTTTGCCTATCCTAATTTCTAAACAGGATTACATCCCATCCGTGCAATCCAGTTAGTATGCTTCAACCATCAGTGGCATGATTTGACATTTTTAGACAATTCTTTTGAGAATTTATTAGATAAGGACAATGTAATGTACCAGTTTTCAAAACACAGAGCATGTAACTGTGGTGCGATGGAAGGAAATCATTCAGTCTGTATCAAAATCAAACAGGAGTGTGATGAGAGTGGAAACCCAGGGTGAAAGTAGGATAAGGTTCTTGCAGGTTTTGTACCCGTAGGCTTTGTACGAGAAGAGCACACCCAAGTTTAACGAGGTGCCGACTCTGATCCCACAGTATCATCATCTGCGGCATCTCTCTTTCTCTTGAACATAAAATCAATTTTCTCTGCATGTCGTTTATTTCCACATTAAGATTGAAGCAGCTGTCTCTTTAAAATTCCCTCCTTCCGCAAAAGGCGGGAGGCGGTCTCTAGCGCAACCAGCGTCCAATCAAAAGTGCGCACTGAAGCTGCGTTCCAGTTACCTCGGAAGTCGGAGATGCGAACGACGTTACACCCGAGTTGATGGCGATCCAGTAAAGACGTCGGAAAACCAAGATGGACGCCAATTGTCAGCCGTCGTTGGCCGTTGTTCGTTGTTGTTAGCTTTACCATTTGTAAACAACGCACAACACAGTATTTTACCTTTACAATCACCATCGCACCGTCTTCAGAGTTAGACGTTGGACAGTACAACATATACCACTTATTTAATATTACAAACAAAACAGAAGTGCTAATAAATAAGAGCTTTTACTGTTACTCTTTACTGCCACCTTGAATAATGACGTTGTCGTTAAATCGGGGTTGGCGAGGATCGTCCGACTTTCCGAGGCGGAAACTTCGAGGCACTATTTCCGAGTACAACTGGAACGCAGCAAATACGACTTAGGCCCAATTCCAAACTCCACCCTAAGCCCTCAAGCCCTGCACCCTCATTAGCTTAGGTTAAGTCAGCTGGTAAGTGCTTGAGTGTGGGAGGGTTTAAGGGCTCCAAAAGGGTATAAAAGCAATGGAACAGCCCTTTGTGACGTGCCACGTTACCTCGACGACAGACGACAACGTTGCCGTGACAACCAAAGATGACTGACACTTGCCTCTCTGGGCCTCTTAATTCTGCATTTATTTCGCGGCCAGCGACGTCGCAGAAGAAAGGCCAACATTGTTCCGCTCCTTTTGCACACACTTGCTCTTGAACATAGATAACAGGTAATTGATAAATAATGATTAGATTGATAAATTAGAAAACCAGCATTAATGATAGGTTAAGTGATATTGAATGGTTAAAAGGTTGAAGCACTAGATTCTGAAAGTAATCACTGCTTTAGAGTGTTAGTTCAGTATAAAATGTATTGCTTCAGATAAAAGTTTGAAGTGAAAATCAATTTTCTTTGTTATAAGAATAACGCATGCGTGTGTGTGTGTATGTGTGTGTGTATATATGTATGTATATATACACACACACACACACACACGCCCACCATACACGATGCGGAACATCCATGTTAGAGTATTAAGGGTGCACCTAGATCCTGAATGAACTGCTACTTCTTGACCTTCTTCGCCATGATCTCCGTCATTTTTGGTGTCTGTCGCGGACGATTCCCTCGTTCCTTTTTAAATCCTGGCCCCGGCTGCGTCGGCGTCCTCCAGTAACGCCCACAACGCAATGAATTGTGGGCAATTTCATAGCCAAAGTCTCCAACGGTACGGACTTACGGAAAGGGTGCAGAAAGGGGCGTTCCCGAGCCCTCGCTGACTTACCGATTTCATTTGGAACAACCCTCAAGCCCTTACAGAGCTCACATGAGCGCGCACCTAAGTCAATGAGTCAGTGAGGGGGTGGTTTGGAATTGGGCCTTACTCCCAAGCAGTATGGTCCTATTGGATTACTACGGTTACAGCGAGAGTACAGACTGACGTATGGCAACACAGTAAGTAAATGTAGAATACATACTTGCAGAGGTGAAAGTTTGAGTATCGGCTGTACACTGTGGATTATGTCTTCCCTGTATAGCGTACCGCTGCGTACCGGTGTTGTGCCGTAGAATGCATCCTCTAACAGGAGCGCAGTTGAAAGTACATAACTATATGTACTTCCAACTATATAATCCAAGTTTTCCTCATCATCGGATTGATTCAAAAGCGTGTGCCTGTAATGAATTCATTCAGGCTATTCAGATAAACCAAAAACAATAGCCCTCTGATTCAGAATATCTGCTGTCCCGAAAATAATGTTCTCTTCATTGACAGCTTATATACAAAGATACTCCTCTATGTGTGCATTTTTGAGAGACATGAAAACAGAAAGTTTGCTGCTCCATTTGACATGTTGTCATGATCCAATTCTTGTGTTCTTTTAAATATGAGATCATTTTCTTCCACTTTAAGAAGGTTATGAGGGGATGGAACGCAGGGGATGCATTCTATGGCACAACACCGGCTTACTTTCACCCCTGGTGGAAACTAGTAGGTTATTTAAATGCTGTTTTACCAAGAAATCAGGCATTATATCCCATATGTTTTATCATTTTTATGGTGAAGGAACGGGATGGTTAAAATTCATATCCAGCCAATAAACTCCAAAGAACTGGGAGTGTCTGAAGTGATAGAGGTGAAATTATTTTTCTCTGTCTGTAAATTAATCGAAACGTTTTCTCATGCTACTTAGGCAGTGTGTCGCAGGTCCAGCAGTCTAAGCAAGCCGACCCAGACCGCCTTCCTTCCTTCCTGCAGGAACATCCTCCTGGGGGGTCCCAAAGCATTCACGTATTGCCCAGACGAAATTAGGCCCTGGTGCCCTGCCCTTCCTCAGGTATGACTGTCCACCCTCCCCAGGGCCCCTGCTAGCCTGGACTTACACAGACACAAACACTAAATGGTGTTATGTCATCATTTCATGTTTTAAATTTACAAGAAGCACTGAACGGTGGACAACAGAGACCCTAAGTGCATTTTTACCAACTTTAGAGCACAGATCATGGTGGAAGGACTATAGAGAAAGCTAATCATTTTACTGTATATCTTATTTGATTTGGTCACTACTCAAAGCTCATGACTGTAGGTGAGGTTTGGAATATTTATCGACTGGTAAATCAAAAGCTTGGCCTTTCAGTTCAGCTCCCTCCTCACCACAGTAGTCCAACACAACACCCTGCCAGCGCAAGACTCTGCAGGGCCCTGAGCAAAATTAGATTTTTGAAGATCAGTCGAAGAATCAGTCGTTCGTCTTCATCATGAAACGAATTCATGACATTTTGGAGCCCCAAACCTGTCAGGTACAAGCGGACCTGCAGACAAAAAGAGTGACAGTGAAGGGTTGACACTCTTTGGGGAAGCCTGTGATCTGCACATGCCTCTTCCTCCTCCTCTTCCTCCATCTCCTCCTCCTAATGTGCACCATATGAATTAGACATTAGATTCTGGGTTTGACGGTGCAGCACGGGGAAACTTCTCACACTGCCTGTCAACTCCTCCTGCAGTCAGGCTCTTTTTGCCTCATGCTTTTTGCAGCCCCTCATCCTCCATGTGTTTTATCCTGCTGTGACCCTGTGAGGGAATAACAACCTGAATAACACATCCAGACAGCTCAGTATGCAACGCAAACAGAGAATGCGTCGCTTATATTTCATTATCAGAGATGCTTGTCCTAATTTCCTTTATGCACTGGCTGAATGAAACTGTATTTGACTAATTAGAGAAGATTTTACTTGGAGGAAGAAGGAAAAAGTCCAGGTAAAGATGGTTTGAAAGCTTAAGCTGTTTGTGTTCAACATCTCTGACAGTTTTTAGGAGTTTTATGTAAGTGTTTGAACCTTAATCATCCTCATTTAAAGGACCTCAGTTGGTGTTTGCCATAGTCTTCTTCCAGACAATTTAACATCCCAATTAAAAATCCCACATTAACAAGAATTCAAAATACTATGTTCTTTCAGACATCTTGCGATGCATACTTGGACACATCATCAGTGATGTAACCCAGGGTCCTCTGGTGTTTCGAGTCATTCAACATCATACACCCTCACCTGGGCGACCCAAGCCCCGACTTGTGTCTCAGTAGCTTTAGTAGTCCACGGTTCACCCTGCTTGATCCACAGCCATCTTGATGCCCTCTCTGTGGCATCTGAGATGGCCTTGATGGCTCTCCTGCTGTGCAGCCCTCTCACCTCCAGCCTCTTCAGTGCTCTACAGAGAGACTGGCCCGCGAAGCCCCTACACCCCACCTCAATGGGGTCACACCGGGTATTCCAACCATTCTGTCGGCACTCGCTTGCCAGCTCTTCATATTTGGCTCTCCTCCTTTCAAAGGCCTCCTCCATCCGGTCTTCCCAAGGAACAGTCAACTCCAACATTACCACCTGTCTGGATGTTTCTGACACCAGCACTATGTCTGGCCTGAGGGAGGTCTCAGTGATGGAAGCTGGAAATTTGAGCTGTTTCCCTAGGTCAACCTTCAACTGCCAGTCCCGGGCTGTTGTTAGAAGCCCTCCTGTTGTTCTTGAGGAGTGGTGCACCTTCTCCCCAGCCTTGACAAAAGCTATGATGTTCTTTGCTGGTTGCTGCTGCCGGCTCTTGATGATCCCTGAGCAGTTGACTTCTGCGATGACCCGCAGCACCTGATCATGACGCCAGTGGTAGTGACCCTCTCCTAGGGCCTTCCTGCAGCTGCTCAGGATGTGCTCCATGGATCCCCTTTCATGCAGAGTGGGCACGCAAGGGTCTCTGCCAGGCCCCAGCAGAAGAGGTTGGATGGGCTGGGGAGGACATCATAGACTGACTGGATCAGGAACATAATACGGTGTGGCTCGGACTTCCAAAGCTCCGACCACGACATTTTCCGGTCCAGCACCTGCTCCCATCGTGCCCAGGCACCCTGCTGCCGCATCCCCACAATCTGGCTATAAAATAAAACTCTTATTTGGCTGTACAATTACTCATTTCAGGTCAGGTAAGCCAGACCCTAGATAATCCAGGTCTGAACCAGGGCAGCAGCATCTTAAATCTGCATTTTTATTCTATCCAGCAGGGGGTGTATTCTCTCAAACAACTCAGGGTAATGGAAGTCAATAAGAAAATGGCAAATGACTTCCAAGTTGATTTAATGCTTCAGTAAACAACTTTTAATCGGTCTTAATCTCCAGTTTTTTGAGACACACCCTGTTTTTAATTGAATAAATTTTGGTCCAACTCAAAGTAAAATAGACGCTAAAGTCGGGTTTCCTTTATTGCATAGCGGTTTGTCCTACCCAAGCCTTCAAGCCTGTCTCTGAAAACACAGAAAAAACAACAAAACATCACTGGACGAATGCCAAACCATCCTCTTATCCACCAAATATACTCATTTCTGACTTATAAAGTGGCTGGTTCAAATACAGCACAGTTCTTAACCAAATACTCTGACATTAGTGTAAAAGTTACAGCAGCGAGGGATTAAAATGAATGAATTTATGTTGTACTTTCAGAGAAACATAATCAGAGACGCTTTAACTCTGCAGATCTCTGTTCAACTCCAAACCTGAAACATATGTCACAGATACTGAAGCCGACTTTACTCATTTCTCCTCAGTTTTACTTCTGAAGCTCAGGTACACTCATTTGATCCTGACACTGATTCACTGTGAGTTCAGGGTTTCATCAGTCCTCAGGTTGATCCCTGAATTGTTTAAATTGGAGCCTGGAGGGGATCGTGGAGTACACAGGAGTGCCTCACATCAACTCAGCACATCAGCTCAACATCTGAGGTAGAGCCACAGCTGTTATCTGACAACATTACCGTCTCAAACCTCTCTTTTATTCACTCTGTCAACCCATTTATAGCTGCCATGTATAACTCTATTTATCAAGATGAGTTAGCACGAGTTTAACCCTGAATTAAAGTGCTATACATGAAAAAATGTGTTATACTATACATGTATTAAATAAATCATATAGAAAAGTAATGTTTTTTTGCACTTTCTCATTAAAAGGGCAGAACCTTACTAGTGATATGTAACCAATACAACCCTACTTTTAAAGTGTGATTAGAGGGTTTATGTTTTCTATGACTGACACTTGATACAGCCTATGAGCATACAAGGATTGCGTAGCTCACCTGAGATTACGCTGTTTGAGCCGAGCGTCATCACAGAGAGACTCTCCCGCTGAATGCGCACAACGCTACTGCGCGATGTTGTTTTCAGGAAGTGGAGAAAAAACGTGGAACTGCCGAGAGCTTTTCGGCTTCAAATCCATATACTGGCGGAAGGCTGAACCAAGTTGTCCATAGTATACACAATCTATGATGAATACTCAATACTAATTTAATTACTATCTATGCACATCACTACCTTGTTGGCAGTCTATTGGTCCTCCTTTCTCAGAATACTTTGGCAGGTACTGTACCACTGCAGATTCGAGCTGCATTTATGAAATGTCATTGAGCCCCCACAGTTTAATCCCTCACATCCTTTCGCTCCCCAGTTTGTCCTGCTTCAAAAACATCATCTTCAAGGAGGAAATGTTAAACCTGACTGTACATTTGTCACAGTTTAATAAATGAGGACCAAATGGTATTCAACAAATTTCTGCTGTAAAAAAATGCATTTCTAAAGAGGTCTCCTTGACTTTTGGATACAGCTCTAAGAGGACACTTGAGGAACTGTAATTAGGGCACTTCTGCATCGTCTCCATGTTTCATCACTGGGGGATGCCTCTTGTGTGTCGTGTACATTTCATCACAGATAACTTGTTGTTAATGTTGCTATAAGCTTAATAAACATCACATCAGCATGGACGTGACAGCCTGTGGTCCTCTCAGACCTCGTTCTCATGTAAACATCCTGAAGGACACAGCGGGTCTGTCAGCAGCCCTCGCATGTCCCTGCAGAGTCCCTCAGCCTCTGAAGTCGACGTGAGCGTGTGCTGAGAACACATGAGCCTGAACGGAAGAACAAACTCCTTTAGGAATAAATAAAAATAAAAAACCACGGATAACTCTGCCAACATGATCACAGAGTGCAGGAGGCACATTTGGTCAGCACTTTTTGACACCATATGGTTTTATTTTGGGGGAGGTAAAGGTTATGTTGTTGAAAGTAAGTCCACTCTGTGTCCCTTTTTAAGCTCATTTATCTCAGTGTCCTTGAATAAGAACTGCATGCTTGACTCTTTTTCATACTGTCCCCTCTTTGTTGAATAAGTGTCTAAAAAATCTGAACTTTTTCGGCTTTAAAACACAACTCTGAAGCTTCTTAAATTTATATCGATAAAGGTAATCTGTACCTGAAAATATACGAAGATTTGGTTGGATCATGTATAGACTACGGTCTCATTAAGCACATCATTCTATTAAATAAAGATGTATTTGAGTCCTGCCCATTGTAAATGACATAATGTATTCAGGACAAATCAATACTAGTTATTCACCACAACAGAGTCAAAATTTGCAAGACTTTTGAGCCCCATGACCACAAGAGAGAGAGCCTCTCAGTGTTCAGACATAGCAATGATTATCCGTGTTTTTTTCTTTCTTTGCAAAAATGAGCCCAACCTTTAAAACCTTTACATGCCCCAAAGCTCACCAAACTTCCCACGCCCTTTAAGCTTAGACAGAAATGTAAAATTGTAGGGGTTTGGCAAAATTACTTGAGTAGTAGCGCCAAATGACATTGAACTTTGAATAGTTAAAGTAACTCCTTCATACAGAGTTCAACGTTTTTTATATTTCATGTACAAGGTCGACTCCTGAACACATCTGCATACCGATTACTTAACCACAGTTATAGCGCCGTCATGTGGAAACACTGGACTTTCCTGTCAAATATCTGATCTGAGCCCACTTTCACAGGTGTCATGGTCCCAAACTAAACTCATTCACATGTACATTACCAATCAGCTGGTATTGGACTTCAAATATCTGATCTTTAATGGATTGACAAACACAGGCCCACAGATGATAAGTGTGTTGAAGGCAAATCCCGACACTCTGCACTTAAATTTTGCCAGGTATGTTCATACTGTTGGTCATGTAAATCAAACTCAGGGTGAGTGGCCTAACCCCAAATTTCCAAATTTCCACTGTCGGTGCTGATCGCCGCTGATCGTTTACATTCAAGTTTATGTGTCAAATTCCACCGACTTTATTCCGGCCTCCCGCAGTTCAGCGGGCTTCGTAGCCGATCCCCAGGGTTATATATTTTCCTGACATCGCAGCATGCCGCATAAATTCAGCCCAGATTAGCCCGTACTGGAATGGACACAAAATAAAACATCCGGCTTCTTTTTAAAATAAAACACTACATGTTTCAGGCAGATTGTATTTCACACCGTGCAAACATGGTTTGTTTTGTACATAAAGATAGATATTGTACTCACCCGTGGTTAATTCCGAATTTCAACAAAAGTGTCTGATCTACTGGTCTGGACAGAGTGGATCCTGCTCTGGACTCTATATGGTTATGTGACTGTCTTTATAGAAACAATTCGTTATTGTGCGATTGCATTGGTTCTTGTGAGTTCTTGCAATTCCCACTGTCCGAAATTCACCTCACAAACGCATCCGGTAGGAATTGGCGGACGGCGAAAATCGCGATGCTGTTCTGCATGCAGTGGAAATTTAAGGTAACTATTGCTGCATAGTAATGGCTGCCAAAAAGGAAGTGCTATAGGACGCAATAGGACGAAACATACACAAAGGTATAAAAGCTTTTTCTGTTTGCTTGTTTGTTTTTCTTTCTTTTTTAAACCATTGTAAAGTTGTGTGGTTAAAGGGGAAACTTGGACAGGAACTTGGTTGGGATTGCTTTGCTATTTATTTATATATTTTTTCAGTGTAAATAACACCCATTCAAAAGGAATTTATTGTGTTTTTCAGTATAAGCTGTTGTCTCCGCTGTTTGAGATCTGAGTAAGCTTTACTTGTAATTTGGGACCATTGTACACCTGACTTTTATCAATTAGTTAACCATTTCTTTGGGAATATTTTTCTCAGACACTATTCAATCTGCATCACACGACTGTTATTCTGTCCATGTTAAGACCAAATCTGTCATGATATGTCAGATGCACATCCACCAAACAGCAGGCTGTTGATGCTGGTTGTGTGTGCAGCGCTGACCTTCCTCTGAGCCAGCGGTGACCCTCATTTAGGCCATTCTGTGTCTGACAGTGAAATGTTGAACAAATGGTAGATTATGCCTCTGTCTCTCTCTTTCTCTGTTACCCCTCTGATTCTCCACCCACCGACACACAGCTGCTGCCAGAGCTTCATCAACCCTCCTCCTTCACTAACAGACTCATTAATCCACCATCTGTAAACCGTGCAGACAAATAGCCTTTGAGTTTGTAATCTCAGGTAGGTTGTAGCTTTTAATCCAAGAAGCTGAAACACCGTTACCATCAGTCTCAGACCTCTTTATTATTCCATCTATGTCATATCTGCCGGCCTTGGAGCTTAAGTCAGTCTGTTTGTGGGTGGAGTTTGGTGTGGTGCTGATCCCCTCTGGGGCCGTGGTGGGGTTCAAGCCAAAGCCTGTCAAAATGAATTTCCCTGAAGTAAGAGAGCAGCTCCACTCATTAGAGCGCTTTTATTAACCCAATAAGAGAGATCCGTGACACAGCTGGAACCGAAATCTCCACAGCCTCGTGTTATTTCTTCTCCTCTCTTGAATCATGAAGAGACCGGTGCTGATGAGATTTCAGAGAGAGGTTTGGTGCAGATATCAGAGGGAGAATATCAAATAAAGGTGAAAGATGGAAAGAATTAGTGAAACAAAACTTCGCCTCATAGATATAATGATGTATGCTTTGGGTTTTCTTACCCAGGATTTCCACCGAATCCGGAATGGCTCAGATCTGGAACGGCAGCGATTTTTGCAGTACGCCAATTCCTACCAGATTTGTTTGTGAGGCGAATTTTGTGGCGGATTACGGACAACAAGTTGACAATAAGTTGTCATTAGTCACATAGGCTAACCATATAAGCAGTCGATTGTGTCCTTCTAGAGGAGGAAATCTACTTATAAAATCAGCATCTTCTCATCCATGGGGATGAAATGCTGTCTATAAACCTTTCACTTGTTCGTCCCCGCCCGTTTGCATGGTGTGAAAAATGATCCGCCTGAATTTATTTTGTGTCTGTGCCCGACATCCTTTCCAGCACAGGTTAATCTGCATTCGCATTCTATATTTGCGTCGGCCCCGGTGTGTAAGGACCTTAAGTTCTCGAGGGAGAGAGTTCCAAAACTCAAATGCTAAGTCTCCTTCAGTTCGTAGTCTGGACCCTGATGAGAGGATCTTAGAGTAATTAGACCTGATCGCACCTTCACAGGGGTTTGAATAGCCCCGCCTCCCCTGCAAACAGATGGTCCGAATTCAGCGATTTTCGGAACAGCGTAGTTTTCCTGTAAACCGGCCGTTAAGTGCCGCTAACCAAGGAAATCCGCGGGATATGCTGGTCGTCAATCTGTTTTTTTCACGCAGTGTGCCCAGCCTATAGACCCTGAATTGAGACACAGCCTTAGGAGGGTTTCTTTCTCTAATTATGTCTGCTTTAACTTTGGATGAGAATGATTTGAAAAGTTTTATTATTGGGGAAAGTTTTTACTTCAGTAAATCACCTGAACTTAAATCTTTAAGGATACAAAAAGAAGATTTTTATCCAAAGTCACTAAAGAAAATTACACCAACTATACCGCTGGTTTTGACGCTGTTTACAGATGAGTGGCCCCACACACTGTCCTATGAAAATATTAGCATTTAAAGTCTTCACTCTGACAGAAAGTCTGTCCATCTTATCAGAGAAAATAGTTTCATATTTTGGTAATTGTGATAAATAAATACATCAAACTCTCAGTTTACTACTGGCGTGTCTTTAAATCTGTTGTCAACCAAGAAGGGCACGTTTAGCAGCTAGACTTTGAATATTCTTCATTGTTTTTTTATTTTCTTAGTGGGTGTAAATGTGATTTTTGAGGCTGCTGTCTCCCCTCAGAGAATAAGTCTCTGTCTAATCAGCCCTCTCCACAGGGACGGTCAAATTTAACAGGCAGCTTACTTGTAAAAACAGCTCTATCACAGATCTGTCTCCTGCGATAATGTGAATGTGTTTTAGCGTCATTAAGAGTTCATGGGGAGGTTACATAAACAGAGGAGGCCATACGGTAAAATGACCTCAATTATCCAGTTGCAGCATATTTTAATTATGCAAATCATCTCGGTTGTACATAAAGATTCTCTGACATAGAAAAAGTCAATCTGTCAGCGGGAACGCCAGGATCAGGATTTACCACTAATGAGAATCTTTCTGGGTCACGGATCATATGACCTAGACCCACCAGGGGTTTTTATGGTCATCCTGAGTTATGAAATAGGCTGACTGGGGTTGTGTTGTATTCAAAGTGAGTTTTATTAACAGAAAATCAAAAAAGCGAGGAGATTTTTTTCTGTTTCCTTCTCTTAAATGGTCATGACCCAAATGTCTTCCTCAGTATTCTGACTCTTGTCCCGGCAGATCCCAGAGGTGCTGTTATGTAAAATTTTTACGACCTTGTGAAACCATTTCTAAGATGGCCTTATAATGTCGTTCTCTGTTTTTTTTTAAATTATTTTAAAAATAAATATGAAGGCACCAGAGGGACCCGAACAACTCCCAATAAAGCTTTTTTGGATGACATTAAAATCACTGAAATTGTGCAGTAGCTTGAAGGAGTCAGTCGCCTCCAGTCAAATTCACAGATTTTTGTTTATTTTACGAGTCAACGTTTCGCTCTTTAGACACAACACCGGGGAAGCTGAACGATATCAGTCAGCACATTTACATAAACGGTTAACTTGAACTGTGGCGTGTTAACTGGACTTTTATCTTCATCCCAGTTTACATGCACCGGTCAAGAGTTGAGTTCCTGACTTGTATACTGTAGGTGGTAACATGCCTCCTTTCAGCTCATTATGGTCAGGCTGTTTCCTGGTCGACCTATTACGTACCAAAACAATCGACAAATACGTTGCTTTTACAGCTCTGTACCTTTTATTCGTAGGATACAGCAGTTTTGCAGGTTTTTTGTCTGTCCAGGTTTTGTTTGACACCCGCCTTCTTAAGACACATTTATAGTTTGTTACTTTTAGGCCAAAGCCTGGCGAACCATTGAGCATGTGCAGGATGCTTTCAGTCTGATCAGAAACAGAGAATCAATCACTGATGCCATTAGGTGGTTTCTTCAAGAGCAGTCAGGTTTAGTGTGATTTATTGTTATTTATGTGTGGCTAGGAGGTTTAGCTTTTCTGGGATCACGATATCAGATTAGGCGACCAGATTCTCCTGTTGTTTTCTACTTTCTGTTTGAGTAACTGGAACACACCTTCTAACCAGTTATGTTAAAAACAGTATCACCACATTAAAACTGAATAAACAGTATGTGGCTGTACGGCTTTCTCAAATGACCTGATGGTTAGATTTTTGTTTTTGTCTGACTCTTATTTTCAGCCTGAACGCTGAGGTGGAGATGTCTGCTTTAAAACTGTCAATGAGAATTGATTATCTCCCAGGATGGATTATAAGTCAAGAGGCCACAGAGGATTTCTCTGGAGGAAAGATGTGTCAGGTCACAAATTCATTTTACCCCTGCTGTCACCTCAGAACGCCTGTCCTTCACCTCTCCTGACACAGTGGACTGCAGGAGGTAAACAGAGACGCCATGAATGTCAGTTTCTCTTCAGCGGCCGCTTTTCATCTCTGTTTGTAGTAGCTAAGTAGTGATGTTTCACTGAATACTAATTTGACAGGAACGAAATGGGGACACATAGAAGTGGATTAACAAAAGGTTTAATGAAATTTGAGCCTTAAATTTCCAATAGGTTTGGTAGAATTCAAGAAAACGTTCATGAAACCTTGATAGTAATTAATAATATTAATATTATAATAGAATAATAATAATAATAATAATAATAATAATAATAACAACAAAAACAACAACAACAACAATAATGATAATAATAATAATAATAATAATAATAATAATAATAATAATAATAATAATAATAAATAATAATAATAATAATTATTATTATTATTATTATTATTATTATTATTATTATTATTATTATTATTATTATAGAATAATTATAATAAAAATAACAACAACAACCCTTTCTCTCATAGTGTCCACTACAATGGACAGTAAATTTAAAGCCACTTTTAGCTATTTAGGTGACAGGGTTATAATTTCTGTGGATTTTTGCCAGTCTTGGATGTTTCATCTGAAATTCAAACCCGGTGAATGGAGCAGTGGATGCACCAAATGCCTCAGGGACAAGTTTAAACATTTTATGTAGAGAACCAGAACAAAAAAAGTGACAAAACTTTCAAATGATCTTTTGTGAACTTTCCTGCACTAGATAAAACTTTTTTTTTTTTTTTTTTTACTGTTGGGCCTATGATTTTTAAAGGACAGCAATATTTAATGGCTCACATGTTTTTTTAAAGATCTTTTCAGCATTAATATTCTTCATCGCGTCACATTAGAGTTTGAGGAAAATGTGACGCAGAGCAAAACACAGGCATACAGACCCAGTGAGATCCTTGTTTAAAGTGACTTTTAGAGGGAAAGTTGAGGTTTTTGTTTCGCCAAATCAGTTTTAAAGAATATACATTTATTAATTTATTTTAAAATTCATTTTTTTTAAATTTCTTACACTACCTTTACTTTTGTTCACTGTTCCTGTGTGTCAATTTGTAGTTTGCTCTCAGAATAATGTCACGGACCAATATTAGGTTCTGATACACGACGTCCAAAACAGCGGGCAGATGCAAACTTGGTTAAAATTAAATTAAAAAAATAGATTTTAAAAAGCATTGACGTGACTTTTTAAAGCTTTTATTCACCAGAGGCATTTTAATTTTAAAATTTAAAAGCACCAATGAGTTTTTTATGTTAATGAAATAAACTGAAAATCAAACATATGCAAATTTTTTGATGTGCAAAAGCAAAGAAGACCGTCAAAGAACAGACACTGTAAATTTTAACACCTGAAATGAGTGTGAGTCGATGTCTGATACAACATTTCAAGTCAGCAGGATGAGCTTCTTCTCTGCAGACTCGACTTCCGCATGAGGAGGAAGATGTATGACCTCATTGTTCACGGGCAGCACTCACATGTATTGCCGTATTTACTTCCATTCAAAGGTCATAATAAGTTTTTACCTCCTCGTCTCCTCCAGCAGCTGAAGACGAAACCTTCTTCTCGGAGGAGCTGGAACAGGAGCAGATTATCTTTCTTTGCATGTAGATGGTTATTATATTTAGCACTGACCTTTTCCTTCAGCGAGCTTCGTAACCTAACGTCATTCTGGATTATTAATGCTTAGGCGCAGGAGCACCTTCGTGATGTAGTCTACTCTACTGTGTTACATTATACTGTAATGAGCTCATATTTGTTTTCTCTGACCTACATGTCTTTACCGAGGCTGTAAGTACACGACCTTTCAGACCCCACGAGAATAAATCATCCTCAACATTAAATATATGAATATCCTAGTAGCTGAATAACAATCTTAAAACTCATGCTCTTAAGCTCACCACTACTACAGATATCATGATCAGTCATACTTCACCTTTAATATACTCAAACCCTGATCCTGGTGGGTGATATGATGGTCTGCATATCATTCAGAGTCTACATTTGATTGAAAATAAAGCAATGACAGCAAATGATTAAACTGTAAAATGTCATTAATTTATACAAAAATATATATATTCTCATTTTAAATGCAACATGGTTTTTATTGTGTTTTATCATACTCTGTAAATATTTGATAAATGAGGAGACGACTCTTTTTTTTATATTTTTAAATGTTCTCTAAATGTGGGTGACAAGTCAGGACTCTTCTAATTACAGAGCCATGCTGCTGTAAAACGTGCCGATTGTGGTTTGTCTTTCCTAAAAAAGTCCGTGTCTGGAGGGCAGAGTATTTAGCTGTAAAACCTGTGCACTGGTAACAAGTCAGGTGGTCCCTCTTAGCTCTAGATCAGAGGACATGGTGTCTGTAATTTCCACAACGAATGTCATATTTGATTTGTCAGTTTTCCACTTTTCCGCAGACCACCTTGAATGAGGTCAGGGTCATTTCTAGATCAGGTTCATGTATAATTTCCTGCTTGCTTGATACAGTTGTTCCCTGCATTTGTGGATGTCTGTTTTTATTCCAGTCTTGGTTTTGAATTCTGCAGATTCTCTGAATCTTTTAATAACTTGATGTTTCACAGAGGGCGGCACAGTGGTGTAGTGGTTAGCACTGTTGCTTCACCGCAAGAAGGTCCTGAGTTCTAATCCGGCTCAGGGTGTTTCTGTGTGGAGTTTGCGTGTTCTCCCTGTGTCTGCGTGGGTTTATTCCGTGTACTCTGTTTTCCTCCCACAGCCCAAAAACATGCAGAGGTGGGGTTAGGTTAACTGGCTACTTTCAAATTGCCTGTAGGTGTGAATGTGAGCGTGGATGGTTGTTTCTTCTCTATATGTCAGCCCTGCGACAAACTGGAGACTTGCCCAGTGTGTCCCCTGCCTTCGCCCGAAGATAGATAGATAGTGAAATCCCCTAGATCTTTGATTTTACAATTAGGAACATTTTTCTGAAATTGAAGGACTGTTTGCTCAGGCAGTCTCTAACAACCTCTTCCCGTCTTTACTTCTTGAGCTGCTGAGTTGCTCTGAAGCGCCCCGACGATACCCAGATTTGTTACTAGCCCGTTAAAAAACTTTTATGAGATGTTCCTGCAGCTAAAATAAGTTTCTGGTATTAAGGTCATGGCAAACATATCTTTTTCATTTCACAATATGACTTCGCATCAACATTTGATTTGTTGACCTTGTACTATTCTTAATTAGATGCAGGCTTTAAATGATTTGTAAACCAAACTGTGTTTTTATCAACATTTTACACACTATCCCAACTTTTAAAATTGGTTTGGTATGACTGATGGTATATCACACTCAACTTTGATTGACTTTTTATGAGATCATTGTCATTTGGCAATAAACTTTTAAATTTTTATGGATCTTAAGTTTATATATTTTTTAAATGAATTTAAAAAAGGACACAACAAATACATCTTCAAAAAATAATAATCTCAATCTAAAATGAATAAATCTGTTGTCTGATTATATAAAAAATATGAAATATAATGTAAATACAGATATATAAAAGACTAAGTCCTGAACTCTCCCCTCTCGATTATGTAATCCCAGTTTCACCTTCTCAGGTGGGGATCATATTTCAAGAATGCCTCACTGTGGTCACGCCCCACCTCCACTCCTCCTCGAACAGAGGACGAAAGAAGAGAAAGACAAACCTTCTTTCAGGATCCAAAGTCCAAAACCAGCGTGCATTTGCTTCCCAGATGGAGTCTCGGACCAAAACAGGGAAAGTTTACCTCCAACCACACAAAGCTGGAAAAGTAAGTACAGGATTTATTGATCTTCCTCTATAGTTTGAATGAGCAGTGTTTAACAGCAGTGGTTAAAAACAGGGTTGAATGATAACTGACTTACACTGCTGTAAATAAGTAACTAAAAAAGGCAGATAACCAGAACAATAACCTATAAAACAATATGTATTTTTATAGGTAAAAAGAATGTCTGTATCTGTATCTTCAAGACTCAACAGCTACCAAAGTACATTATATAAGAGCATGTGAAGAGAGTAAAAACTGTCAGGCTATCTGTGTTGCTCAAATGAAACTGCAGAGTGAGAATCCAAATGAACAAGTCGAAACACAGCGACACATTCCTGTGCAGCTCTGACAGAAAGTTCGCTCTGTGAGGTTTTTACTGCAGCAGGCAGCTGAGTGATAATGTCGATGTGAATCTAGAAAAAAAACACCTGAAACTGGAATAAAACTGTAAAAAAAACAAACAAATCAGACTTCGATTTATGACTTAAAACATGAAATATGTTGCCTGTGGTTTACTTGGAGTTATGATCTACTAACAGGCGAACAAAGTCGAGGATAACTGTCATAGAGGTGTGCTATAATTTGCCTTTGTTTACACTGGGACATTCCTGAACCATGAAATGTTTGTGACTAATATTGACTCCCAGTTACATGTGGAAGAAGAAAGGGTTTCTGTCATTGTCAGAAAAAGTGGGTGAAGCCGTCGTGACGTCATTCATTTTTCCAGACACGTGAAATGATGGCGCTGTAGAGAAGCAGGGTTAGAGCTCAGTGCAAGGTATCTGCTGAAGCCATAGACTGAGAACAGCACCCTCTGGTGACGGGCTGCAGTATAGGTCATAAATCCTGCCTCCTCCAGCAATCCTTATGGAGCTGTTGACAAACTTTAGAAATTTATTACACAGAATATAAATTTTTCTTCCCCCTGGTTGGGATGTTGACACGTAGTTATTGTTGAGATCCTTTCGCACCGGGACCGTATTTGTCGTGCGATTATTCCGGACGTCAGTATTTTTTTTAAACCCGTATCCTGTCAATACAAGCGTTCACATCAGCAATGTTTTCCCATCCTGCCATATTGCGGCATTTATTTTTTCGGATCACGGTCGATTTTTCTAAAGTTTCGCATACTGTGTGTCCACTTCTGACCAATCAGATTGCGTGTTGTTGCGACGTCTGATTCACCGGTATATCCAACATGGCCGACCGGCTGATTGTTTATGATCGTTTACACAAACATTACAAAGATAACGACATGAAGGACAACTTGTGGAGAGTCATAGCGTCGGATCTTTCATATGACGATGGTTTGTGTGCTTTAACAGTTTGCTAAACGTCTTTGTTTTAACTTTCATCTGTGCTAACGTGAGCTAACGGTTGTTACCATAGTTTCATGTGCTTATCTTATCGCCTCTGATTGGCTATAAGTGCTGACGTTTCCAGCTTTTCTAGCCAATCAGAGGTGAAGGAGGCCGGACTTTCCCTGGGAAAAGTCTTCCCCAAGATGTGTCTTTCACCCCTGGAAAGTCGCAAAATCGCATCGGGCTTGATGTGTATAGTAAAGCGTATCAAAATACACCTCTGAATATTTTGCGTTGTATATTTAGGACCTTAAGACCGGTTTGTGCTTAAGTCCTCTTTTTTCTGTGCAGCTCCATTTTTCTGGCACAATCTCTCTTAAAAACCTCCTCTTAGATTTTTCCAAACATTTTGTGTAAAGACGTGTTATCGGCACGTATCAATGGGCAGAGTTTACATTCTGGATGTCTGTTTATGTGTTGCGTTTACTATCGTTGCCATGGCTGCATTTGATGCACTTGCTTCCCAAATGACTGTTGAGTTATTTTACTCGATATTTGACAGCGTGCATGATCAGCTGTCATCGGGGTTCTGATTGTAAATGTTGTCTTTGGCTCCTCTGCAGTTTATGTTTGCAGTTATCGGTGTTTAAAGCTAGAATTACAAACAGAATTATAGAATACAGTGTCTTTTTTGTAGACTGTGTTTGCCCTGAGCTAACAAACCTTTACTTTCCCGTTTTCAGAAATGGAAGCCGGTGTGGTTGTCTCTGTTTCCTCACAGCAGCAGTGGCGTGGGTCGCCTGGAGATACAGGATATGGCAGGTATGTTCGTCTTTTCTTCTCGCGTCAACATTTGCTCCTGAAGTGGAGGTTTTACTTTTTTCTCTAGACCGTAATAAACAGGATCATAGGGTGACCGTATGTCCTCTTTTACCCGGACATGTCCTCTTTTTTTGGGTGCTGTCCAGCCTTGTCTGGGGGAGTTAATAAAATCCTTCAAATGTCCGGGGTTTTGTATGGAAGTTCTGAGTTTGTGTTGTGTGGACTTAGTGAGTTAGAAGTGAGTGAAAAACACTCGACCGGACCTGGAAAAAACTCTCAAGATTTACGACACATGACTCTGTGACTCCGCCCCCGCGTAGTCGTGTCCTCTTTCTCAGGATTCAGAATATGGCCACCTTAGCTTTGTATGGAGGTTTTCTTCACTGACTGAAACATTTTTTTGTACTTTTGGTTTTGGCGGATTTGCGCTCTGTAAGTTGTTGTAATTTCTGCTTGAGAGAAAAGAGGGATGTGCTTTAAATTTTAGATAATATCAGACTTCATCCAAACATTTTAGTGAGTTCATCCTAAACGCTCATCCTCCATCTTCTTCAGAGGCTGTGGTCGAAAAGAGGCTTCAGATCCCTTCTAACTTTCCCAAATGTAAATCCACGATGTGGGTAGAGATGAGTAACTCCTCCATCATGATGACTCACAGAGAAACAGACCACAGGTGTATGTTGAGTGTGTCATACGCTTTAATACAGTTACAGAGCATGAGGGTGGGTTTGAAGGTTTGAAGGATGTAGCAGAGCCCAGAATTGGTGATGGAGTTATTTAGTTCAGCTGCATGATGGAGAACACGGAGGTTTTCCCTCTGCATGTATTAGATACGGCATGCCTATTTAATAATTCAAGGAAACATAAGATGTAATGGATCAAAACTGTAAAACTGGTCCAAGAGATCTGGTTCTCCAATGTTTTTGAATAATATATCAAATCTGAAGTACTTTTTTTTTGACCAGCACATGACGTTGGTGACAGAGGGGGTCTTTACTGAGGGGAACCATGCAGCGTTTTTCCAAATATGAAACAACAACCTCATAAAACATTCAATGAACTGCACCGGCTCGATGCATTTCTAACTTTAAGAAATCAGCACTAGGTTGATATTAGAGATGAAAACAGTTGTATCTGAAAAAGTGAAAGATGCTCGGAGTTTAAATATGTTACAGAGAGAAAAAAAGACGTTTTCCACCGGTTCCTGTTGATAGAAATGTCGGGGCACGTTTTTGTTGTGTTATTTGAAACCTGAATAAATTACAAGTCTGATGCTTATTAAACCCCTTTATTACACAATCTCCACGCTTTTATTAATAACCATGGTTTGGTGACATAAATAACCTTTGAGTGAATTATATTTGGTTTTCAGGATTTCAGCTTCCTCCAAGAAATAACATTTCATTCAGCAAAAGCATAAAACAGAACGATTAAAAGATGTGATTTTCTTTTTCTTTTTTTTTGTAAGTTAAACTCCTCCCTCAAAAGTTTTTTTATTACAGTTTATTTATTTTTGTAGTATGTTCAGACTCTTCAAGGTCTCTTTTTGTTCTTCAGCAAATTCAAAGAGTATAAATTTGTCCCCAAAGAAAAGTAAAATCCAAGAGACCTTTTTTGAAGGTTTAAGCATAAAATATGAGCGAACAAAAACTCAGAAGTCACTGTTAAATGAGCTGCTGGAGGTGAATTTGAAGTATTGTCGGGGGCGCCACATTTCTCCAGAGTTGACTGATGATTATGGGGTTGTATGAAGTCCAGTGAGCGACATTTGACAAGAATTAAGACAAGTATACACAGATTTAATACAGCATAATTCTATAAAATATGTATTTTTATAAAACAACCTATGAAATCAAATAAACAAGCAAATACACAAAGTCTTCATAACTCTGCATAAAGACTCCAGATAAGCTGAAGTCTGGTGTGTCACTGTTAATTTGGGTGTTTTAGATTTTGATAATAGCCTGGGTGTGTTTTTGTGTGCCTGGTCCCACAGGACGAGGTACACACTGAGACAGGGTGTTGACGAGGTCAGCAGGACCAAGGTTTATTTGGACGCCCCCCCGACCGAGCGAGCTGACCTGAAATGTTCTGAGTGATCAACACGATAACAGCTGTAGAGAGTCAGAAAAAAACACAAACAAAAAACGGAAAATCACAAAAACCGTCAGAGTGCTGTTCACCTGATCGGGATTATAACTTGCATTATCACCCATTCGCTGTATGTCATCCAAACTTAATATTATGTTGGACCAAAATATTTCATATTTCATAGAATATTTCATTAATCAGAGCATCTTTATGTCTTCATGAGGACATTTTTGAGCATCAATATGTTTGTCTCAAGTTCACTTCTGGGATACCCTTTTGTTAATAGAAATAAAAAAAATAAAAGACTGATTACTCATCATAACAATGGTTTTGAATGCCAAAGCTTTACATATATTTAAAAAAAAAGAAAAATAATGTTAAATTATTTTATGTTTTTCCGTTCTTTTTAGGTAACACTTGACAATAACCATAATTTTTAAATGGCAAATAGATAGTTTATTAATGTAAGTTAATAGTTACTTTATTATTAACAAGCAATGAAATTAGGATCAATAATTTTCATTTATTATTAATGGGCTGTCTATTAAAGGTTTATAGAGGGTTTAAATATTGGTTGTAAAACATCTGGATAAAAATGTGTGTCAGTAGCACTTTGTAAATGATTTATATTTGGTTTTTAAACCATCTATAAACATCACTTAGATGGTTATCGCAAATTTAGGGTTAAGGTTAGGGTTTTAAAATTGTAAAATTTACAATGTATTAATGGTCTATATTCTATTTATAAATGAGGATTAAACATTAATTAACTATCTGCTTACCATTTATAAGTTATGGTTATTGTAAAGTGTTGCCTCTTTTTCTTTTTCCTTTTTTTTTGAGCCTTAACTTAAGATGAAGACATCCTAATGTTCCCCTCCAGTGTGTTAAACATCCTTTGGTTTGGTTTATAATTGGTCCTCTTATCGTTTGTTTTTAATGTTTCAAATGTTTTTTTATACTTCTCAAAGAAAACTATCGTGTGATTTTCACTCTAAGACTGAAGCTGCCCTGTGTTATTTCATTGTCAACTTTTCATTTCACTAATTCACCTCTCCCTCAGCGAAAGGAGGATTTTTGTTGGTATTCGGTGAATAAAGATGGTTGGATTGATGTTGAACAGGGAGCTGACAGCTCAGCAGGATAAACAGACTTTGAGGCGTTACACAAATAAACAAAAGAGAAACAGCGGGAGGAGAAAATGAGAGATGACAGGCCTGTGAGAGGAAATATCTCCACTTCCGAACAGCTGCTGTGTTTATTATGAAAGTTCCTCTCAAGTAAAATCTGTCTACACCCTTTTAGACACAGGTACTATAAACAATGAATCACAGGGTGCATTTGTGTCCAAAGTTTAAATGAGTCCAGAGTTTTAAAATAGCTGTGTGAAGATGATGAAATATCAGAAAGTATCTGTGAAGTAACTAAAAGTTGACTTTAGATCTTTGAAGAGTAAGAGTCAGACATAAATACAGTACAGTAAATTTTGGCGTGACACATTTATTTTCAGCCACAAACATGCCTTTACATTTTGTTGTCCCGTGCAGTTTGCTCTTGTTTTGAGTTAAACTGTCAGCGTCTCCACTCCCATCCCGATAGATCTGAAACCTGCCCACATATAAACAGTATCTCACAGATGATTAAACTCAGACTTTCCCCTCCGTCTCTGCACCAGGAAGCTCCGCCCACAAACAGACGCTCCTGCTCGCTCGTATCGTTCCAATTAAATTCAGATATAATGCAGATATAATTGTTCGATCTTTTAATTCTCATCATTCATGTTGATTTTTTTGATTTGGTTCAGCTTTAAAATTCAGAGCATATTCACCCACTTTTTTCTAGTGTCACAGTAGAAAAGCACAGTCTCTTTATTGTGAACCCCCTTGTTAACATTTGATGGAATAAAACTTTAATAATTTATTTTTTCACACATGCACAACTTCAGCCGGCTCTTTACTCATCCCGCTGAAATACCTGTCACACCTCCCGCTTCATGCCAACACCCGAGGCTGTTTGGCATGAAGGTGGACAAGTTGTCTCACGCAGCGTCTGTTCCTGCAGATTAGTTTACTGTTCAAAACTAAAGCTTTGTGGTGCAAACTGTGTCAGGATGCAGAGGGGGAGTAATCACCAAAATCAAAAAAGATGAATCATAATTACTTCTATGTTTATTTAACTGTTTTGTATAAAAATGATGCATATTGATCCTGCCTTTTCTCTCCAATTTATAAACAACGATCGTAAATCTAATGTTTAAGGTTTTCCCAGGATATCTTTGCATAAAATTCTTCGTCTTTTCATTTTGTGTTCTCTAGGTGGCGCTGTGGGAGGTGACCATTCTGGGGTCAGAAGAATCCACCAGCCTCAGGAGAGAAAGACGAAGGTGGTCCGACTGTCCGAGCTGATCACCGTCCTCAGACTTCCCCCAAACGCTGAGGCCTGTCCCATGGTGGGTCGGTCCCTCTGAGGGTTTGTTTGGTTCACATTTATCAGTAAAGGTTGACCACTCACTCAAAGCTTCTTTGTGTCCTCTTTGCAGGAGAACATGTCTGCTTTCTGTGTGGAGACTCAGGACAGAACCATGGTGTTCGCTGCACGCAAAGACGACTGTGTCGAGTGGGTCGAAAAACTCTGTCAAAGCACGTTTCAGGTGTGTGAACTGTTTGTAACTTCATGATTATTATTTCAGGCCAAAAAAAGCCATGAATAAAAGGGATGCTGAGGTTAGTTAGTGGCCTGAGTAAAAGACATTTGTGAATATTCAGCAGGCAGACTTTAGTTGGATTGTGTGGCGTTGTTTGTATGTTTAACCCTTTGTTCCTGTTGATTTGAAGCTCCATCTACTTTGTCCCCAAGACACATATGTAGATAAGTGTTCATAAAATAATATTTTTTTAACATTTTTTTTTCCTTTTTTTCAACTCATATCTCTTAACGAACTTCAGCCCTGACCATAAAAAAAATAAAATAAAATAAAAAAATGTTACACCTTTTTTACACTAGTTATTGTGCACCATGTCTCACTGTTTTAATGATAAAAAACACAAAATCACCATATTTCCCATATAAAATGACCTAGTTTGATTAAATTTTATTTTTTTATTTTATTATTGTTTTTTTTTTTTAATAAATAGAGTCTGGGCCATGTTAATGATTTCAGTGCATTTATTTTTTTATTTTTGCAGTGCCAATTTCCGTATCTTAAGCTCCATTCAGCCTACTTTTTCCAAAAACGGACATGCAGTTTACTGTTCATAAAAATAATCATTTTTTAAACTTTTTAAACTTTTTTTAAACTTTTTTTTAACTCATATCTCTTAAATAACTTCAGCCCTGATTATTAAAAATTTAATAAATAAAAAATTCAGTGTTACCTTCTTTTTATGCTAGTTAGTGTGCACCATGTCACTGCTCTTTTTAATGGTAAAAAAACCCCATGAAATCACCATAATTCTCATATAAAATTACCTAGACTATTATATTTTTATTAATTTAAAAAAAAATAATTATAGAGTTATTTTTTGCGGTGCCAATTTCCATATCTTAAACTCCGTCCAGCGTACTTCGTCCCCAAAACAGACATGCAGATAAATTTTAATTAAATAATAATTTTTTTATATTTGATCAACATTGAGAACAGGTTTCTTTGCCCCTCTGTGGTTGATTTAAAGCTCATTTAGATTTTATTCTATATCTGTTGTGTTCCTGCAAACTACGTTCTTTAATAATGATGTTTAAATACTAGGAAGAGCACAGTTCATCTTCAGGGTTCAATGATTGGAGAGGCTGACAGCTCATCTCTTCAGTCAGATGCAAAACAAGAGCAAACAGCCTCAACAGAGCTGTATGGGGACGTTAGCTCTGAAATATCGTACATGTCATCGGTGAAACAAGCTTTATTGATCAGACTCCGAGATGATTCAGACAGCAGAAGGGATTTAGATTTTATTTTTTCTTGTCTCTCTGTTTCCTCTCTTGCTCTTCTCTTAGAGAGGTGGTGTCTCTGGATCAAACCAGTCTCACATGGAGGAGAATCAGATCTATGCTTCAGTAGGTGAAGGTAAACTATTCCTTTTACTTTTCCTCCCTTATAATTATTCTTGATGTGTGTTTGGATTAAAACCCCGGGGACAGGTCATGAAGTCTGAACTGATCAGCCTCAGGGAGCTAGAAAGAGCAGAGGAGTTAATTCAAACACAATCTGTAAGACAGCAGGTGAAGTTATGAGCTTGAAATGACGCTGTGTTGTTTTCCATTATCTCTGATCAGGGTAATCACCATGAGAATAAAGTTTCTGCAGGTTTGTTTTCGGTTTTCTCAGATATCTCTCACTGATCCGAAATGATTTGAACCTGCTTCAGACTCAGAAAGACTCCTAACAGATTAGCGTGACCAAACGGCCTCTTTTACCCATACATGTCCTCTTTTTTTGGGAGCTGTCCGGCCTCGTCTGGGGGAGTTTATAAAATCCTTCACGTCTGGTTTTTGTATGGAAGTTTTGAGTTTGTGTTTCATGGACTAACTGATTTAGAAGCGTGTAAAAAGCCACTAGACCTGACCTGAAACTCTCTCAAAATTAAGTACATGTGACTCCGTGAGTCCACCCTTTGTAGTAGGGTCCTACTTTTGGGGGATTCCGAATATGGTCACCCTAAAACAGATTGTTCTGTACTTTTCAAAAGAAGGGTTGGTCTCCGAAGTGTTGACCCAAAGGTCTTATAAATCTGGCAGTAAAAACTACCTCGGCGTTAAATATCGGCCATCCTGCTCTCTTATGATCAGCATCAGCTGTGCGAAAACTGATATCAGTCGAACAAATGACTTAAGAAATATTCTCTTCTCTCTTTACAGCGTCAGAGTTTTGGGTGGTGGTTCAGAGGACTGATGCAGCGACCCGTTGTGGCCTGCAGGGGTCCTACTTTCTGCAGGTTGGGACAGAAGCGCTACTGCTGAAAGAAACCCAGAAGAAAAGTGTCGTTAGCGAGTGGCCCTATGAGCTGCTGAGGCGGTACGGGAGAGATAAGGTAAGACAACTGCTCTCAGCCAAGTTACAAATAAAAACATGATATTTAAAAATATTTTTTGTTGACTGAAGTTTTTTTTTCCTTTTTTGAAATCCTATCAGTCGTCATTAACCATTGAGACAGGAAGACGCTGTGAATCTGGACCCGGTACTTTCACTTTTGAGACTCAACAGGCTGAGAAGATTTTCTCTCTGGTTCAGAGCACCATCAAACGAAAGACTTCGCCTGTGACTTTAGGCGTCCCAAACCAAGAAAGTGAGAAGATTCGCCCCAGTTCCCCTCTTCCCAAACTACCTGATCCGACCGACATCGCTGTCATTCTGGAGAAGAAGATGACGACACTGGAGAGGAAACCCACCGCCTTAGAGGAGGGTTCTCAAGAAGATCTGGGTGGTTCCTCTGAGCGTGTCTCTGCACAGCCAGCTCCCATCACCCTCATGCCTCTTCCATTAATCCCATCAGACGACAGCAGCAGCTCTGCCGGTCAGGCTGGTGGACAATCAGAGGCCGTATACGCTGATCCTGCGGACTGCATCAAATCTGTACCAAAGCCTCATCCGGCCACGGCTTTGTACGTTGACCCTGCCTGCTTTCTCCCGCTCAAACCCCCCAGTTCAAGAGAATCCACTAGTCCTGTTCCAAACCCCTCTGCGGCACAGCCCTGCTCCAACACCCATCATCCAGACCCAGTCTACTCAGAGGTATACGACAAAATCAGTCCTGTGCATGAAAAACAAACTGTGATCCAGAGCAAAGGGGAGGTTAAAGGTTGTGCAGGCAATGAACCGATTTATGATGAGCCCATGTCCCAAAAAGAGGAAGTGGTTCTGAAGAATGAGATCAAAACAGACCCGTTTGCTCACCTTTACGCTCAAGTCAACAAGAAAACTCCTTCATCCAGCCCTTCTTCATCTACGACCGCCGCTCCCACCTGCTCAGCTTCCTCCTCCTCTGTTTCTGGCGGCACAACCTCGACAAAGAGTTTGGACCCCGATCTGGATGATGTGATCTATGAAAACCTGGGCATCATTTAAAAGGTGGATCAAATCCATGCGGGGTCTGAAATATCCCTCGTAAACTATGATTGCAAAAGAGCCTAACAAGCAGTTGTCCCGAGCGGATGCATTTTTACTTTTGAAAATGTTTTGCAAGAATCATACTTGGTTTTCTCTTGCAAGAATTTTTGCAGGAAAACAAGCAACAAAAAAAAAGTTTTATTCAATCTCAATTATTCTATAGTAAATAGAACCGATGTGTTGGTCTTTGGCTTGTTGTTGGCCATGATGGTTTTGCAGAGTCAGACAGGTGGAGCTAGAGAGGTTCAGGGGTCGCTGAGTCTTTAGTCGGCAAATGAACAAAAATTACACAAAAATATCTTAAATCCTGGCAACTGTTTGTGTTTTATCACTTAGAAAAAAAACGTTTTTAAGCCTAATTTTGGCAAACTAATTTTAGCTTGTAATAATAATAATAATAATAATAATAATAATAATAATAATAATGACCTGCTAAAAAATCAAAGCTCAGGCCTAAATTTACCACCATAACATTTATCTGCGGTTTAGAGAGACTTAAAAGAAAATCTACATAATGATGGATTTAAGATAAGACTCTTCAACTAACATCTCCACATATTTTTTTGATTTATCTGTATTTCACTCTTTATACTCATCCTGTATTGACTAAACTGACGCCACCTTTATACCTTTATACCCTGTAAATAGACTTCGTTCTGTTAAATCAGAAAAGTTCTTCTCTGGATAAACAAAAGACAAATATTAAAACCAAATGTCATTTCTTAACTTGACTTTTCTAACCAGTAAAGTGACAGATCTGCACATTTTCGCTGAATGTAAAGTTTGAACACTTCACAGTATTTATATTTTTGTATTTGGTACTTTTGTAAAGCATTGATTTGTTTGTGAGGTACTTTTGTTTGATGAAAAAATCATCATTAAGTTTGATTATTATTTTTTAAAACTATATTGTAAATAGGGTTTCTTACTGAAGATGAACAAAGTATTATTTTCTTAGACAGTGTTTGCTCTGTCACCTTTTCTTTTAGAACATAATGAGAGGTCTCACACTGACGTTGATGTTGGAGATTTCCTTCAGGCCTTTAATTGATCGGTCAAAACCGTTTCAACTAATCAAACCTGTTTGTTTATTAAAAACACGCCGAGCTCTGCAGTTCCACCTCTACTTGGTCTCCTGTGACAGTAACAAACAGCAGTTAACGTTTGCGGTCTCTAAAGTATTATCTCTGCGTTTAATTTATGATCAAATCAGCTTTTCTTTTAATATTTAACATGAACTTTTATTCCGACATGCCAGTATTCAGCCTTCAATCCCTCTTTGACTTTAACAGAAACAAAAAGAAAGTTCCTGTTTTCACTGTTTCTTTTAAAACGTAAACTTTTATGATTGTACCTAAAATGAGACAAACTATTTTATATACTTTTGATAACGCTTAATTTTTTATTGTGCATGTGTCTGTCAAATAAACGAAGAGGAAACATATTAAACACACTTCACTGATTCTTTGTTTTTGTTATTTGAAAGACGTCGGCCCTTTTTTATTAAGATATTACATCCTTCTGTTTCACTAAACTTCATTTACCGTCTCTCCTCTGAAGTCTGGAACAAAACCATCTCTGTCTGCTTAATCAACATTTAACCAACATTAACTACCTGGTGAGAAAATTTTTATTTATCTATTACTATTAATATTATTTTTTTGTTATTTTCTAATACAAGTTTTATTTCTCTTGAGAAACATGACATTTTTATATCCAGATTGGGATTTTTCCCTCAGTTCCATGCAGCTAAGTGTGTTTCCAGGATCTATGAAAAGGTACAGTTTTGAGTTGTACCACTAGGTGGTGCTGTTTAACTGTTAAAAATGTCCTCAGCTCTTTACTCTGAGTGCAGGTTCCTTTCTTTCCTTTCTCTGTTTGTTTTACCTGCAGAAGACGATGGACTCAACAGATGTTTATACTCCAAGTCCTAGAAGGTAATATATAATTTTTTTAATTCAGCATTTTTAAACCAAAGAGGATCACTTTTAGGTCGTACCATAACACGCCATGACACCTTTGATGAGGATTTACGATTGTCTTTGCTTGACACTTTGAAATACAGATATATGGTTCACGTTGTCAAAAGTTTGGGAACTCCTGATCTATTTTTGGTTAATCAAAGTAGAACCAAATGACGATATTTAACGCTCTTAAATGGTTTACTCATTGTTTTAATATCTGGGTGTCTGACCTTAGTCAAAAAGATTAATTTCCTACAATGCATACAGAAAGGTTCTGCATGGCTGGGGACAAACCAGGAAGCCTCTAAAGCCCATGTTTACTATTCCAGAGTGTATACTTGTGTGTTGAAGTGGTTACATCGCTCTTTAGTATTCTGTCTGAACACGAGTAGACCGAGCAAGTTTCTTTGCTTCTCACGTCGCCCATGTCTGGTTTGGCGTCAGGACAACATAGCGCCTAAATTTGCATGTATTATGTTTGTTGGAGTCAACTAATTCAGGTCTAAAGGGAGATGCAGAGAGCTCATGGTTGGCGTAGTTTTGTTGTGTAGTCACATTTTCATGAAAGAGCAGGTACAGGGGCGGCACAGTGGTGAAGGGGTTAGCACTGTCGCCTCACAGCAAGAAGGTCCTGGGTTCCTGGCTTTGTGGAGTTTGTATGTTCTCCCTGTGTCTGTGTGGGTTTACTCCGTGTACTCCGGTTTCCTCCCACATCCCAAAAACATGTCTAAGTGGGGTTAGGTTAATTGGCCACTTTCAAATTTCCCGTAGGTGTGAATGTGAGCGTGGATGGTTGTTCGTCTCTATATGTCAGCCCAGCGATGAACTGGCGACTTGTCCAGGGTGTCCTCTGCCTTAGCCTGTAGATGCTGGGATAGGCCCCAGTCCCCCCGCAACAGTAGAATGGTAAGCGGTAGAAAATGGATAGATGGACATCTTCTTCAGGCTGGTGCATTTCATGTAAACTCTCACTAAATAGAAGAACATGCTTGTTACGAGTTTGTTGGCTTTGTAAAAAGATGGCGGTATAAGACAGAACCGCCTCCCGTCTGTATACGGATTTGAAGCCAAAAAGCTCTCGGTATTTCTGGGATTTTTCTTCATTTCCTGAAACCAGCGCTGCGCAGTAGCGTTGTGCGCATTCGGCGGGAGAGTTGCCGCTGTGATGACACTCAGCTCAAACAGTCTATCCCCCGGGTGAGCTACGCAATCCCTGAACGCCCATAGGCTGTATAAGGTGTCAATCATAGAAAACATGAAGCCCCCTAATAACTTTTAAAAATGGAGCTTCACAGAAAAAAAAGGACTTGCGCACAAACCAGTCTGACAGTAACTACATGTCAACATCACAACCAGGGGGGAGAAACATTTATATTCTGTGTAATAAATTTCTAAAGTTTGTCCACAGCTCCATAGGGATCGCTGGAAGAGGCGGGATTTATGACCTATACTGCAGCCTGCCACCAGAGGGTGCTGTTCTCGGAGTGGCTTCACCCAGCGAGGAGGCAGACGGCGTCCATTCTAGATACAGTCTATGGACAGGACCCACACTGATGTAAATATAAAAAGCTCATTTTAAGTCACCAAGTGATTATACTCTAATTTAAATATATTATACTTCATTTTAATCAAGTCCCTTCTAATAAATGTTGCTAAGCTAGATATAATACACCTTTAACAGATTATGAGAAGTCTGTTCATACAAAAACACAAAACTGAGCGATTGTTTTGGACTTACTACTCAAAGAAATATTCAACTCGATTCAAGACAGGCGGCTATCATCAGCCAAGTCCATGTCAGTGTTTTTTCTAGTAACTGCAAGATAAAATATGGGTTTTGTTGCTTCCATCACATTATTTGTAATGTTTAATTTAACTGTTCAGAAGAAATATTTTGGCCTGTAATATTTTGAAATGAAACTTATAAGTTTGTTGAGATTTTACTAAAAATAAGACTAAAAGACTTGCTGCGCTTTAAGTTCCTGCAGTATGTAAAGTTAAAGCCTTTTTAGAAAACCATGTAGTTGTGTTGCGGTGTGAAATGAAGACACAAACTCGCAATGTTCCCTTATTAACAAGTACACAAGTGTATTATTTCATTTTATTTATATATGCAAGCAAGTTTATGTCTTTACAAATAAAAAAAGCCACTGTCTGCCCAAGCTGTTGGCACAGATATGTACAAAAATGGAGGAGTGAGTCAGATAAAGCCTGCTACTAAGCAACCAGAGTGGAGTACAAAAAGTCTAAAATACTATGGAGAAACAGAAAAAAAAAGAGAAACTACTCCCAACGTCCAAAATGTCCAACCTGACACATTGCATGGATCTGAAACAGGCGATGATCGGTTTGACATCATCGATTTTTAGATCTGAGGTTTCAGTTCATGATGGACAAGAGCTGAACACGTTCAGGCACAGAGGATCTGATTTTTCATCCTGTGATACAGAGCTGCAAAAACAGTCAAAAACAGATCAAATCGTCCTCACACACAGGGTTTCAAATCAGACTTCATCTTATTGAAATTCATGCTTTAGTACGCTGACGTGGTCAAGGTTTATATTTTGTCTGAATCCTGTCACAGAAAGCGTGCAGCCAGGATGGTGGAATGGTAGAGTGAGTCCATGTTCAGCCGTGGTCAGCGGGTAGACAAGAAGGACGCAGGATTAGTGCGTGTCAACACTGACATTAAATATAAAGAAAAAAATCATCTTCACAAGGAGACGAGGTGAGGAAATGAGGAGATGTAAACAAATGGAGAGCAAGCGGCTCGCATTGTCTTCCTCGTTTCAGCGGCAGATTGATCCTGACATGGTCGCTGGATCAAAAATTTCACATATTTCACATTTCCAGCTCCAGTCACACCACCCGGCAGAGGTGTTTCCCTCAGATGGACTATTTTTTATTGTGTGTGTGCACTTTAGATCTACCAGAGTCCAACCGTGCAGCTCTGAGTTATCATCCGGCCTTCATTACACATGGTGATTTGGCCGTGTGAGCTGGACAGACTGTGCTTGTTGCTAGGTAACATGGAGCTTTACTTCTGCATGGGTGACTCCTGCGAGCGTGCACACAGGAAATCAGACATGAGTCATTTTTAAATACAAAAGCGCAGAGCCGTGGTGCGACTGCGGCTTCGTCAGAACGGGGCGAGGAAGACGACGCGAGCAGAGGTGGATGCAGGATGAAGAGGAGAAGGGGAGGGGTGGGGGGTGGCCAGAGCAATACATTACACCACGTCTGCAAATTCGCTTTATTAGGAGAAACAATAAAAACACCATGATCATATCACTTAAGACTTGCATTCATGCACTTTAATGCCAGAAATTGATGGTTTTCTTGTTTACGTCTTGATTTCTGCTACAATATATTGCTCTGGTGGTAAACAACTGAGCAAGCAAGCTAGCTTAGCAACACCATTAGCAACAGGAACCGCAATACTGCACACTGAAAAAGGTGAAAACAGAACAAAAACAGCAGAACAGCGCCAGTGGAAAAGAATGATTTTTTTTTTTTGTATTGTTTTAATCATTAAAATTATGACCATTGAATGCATAACCATGCCACAAACAACAACTAGATTCACTGTCTTTTTTTTCTATTTTTTTTTTAAACCTAGAATAAGATTATCTTCATTATTATGAATTCATTCGTTTCATCATTGTTATTTCTTCAGGTTATAACCAATGCTGCAAGACTATACACAGGTCCCTCGGTGGGGATCTCAATGCACTTACACACCAAGAATAAGAGAGAGAGAGAGCTCACAATGGTCAATAAGTGCACAAAAAACTATTTTTTTCTTTTATCTGAGGTTAAAAACACTGACATGACATCCATTGTCAGGCAATGAAATGATAGAATACTGTTACTGTAAAACTAGACCCTTAAAAATACTGACTGTATGCAGCCGAGACGCACCTGAACAGGACACGAGTCTGGCGGAGTCTCTCCTCATCGACACAGGTGGTTCATTTTTCACATTTCAGTCAAATTTAGCTGCATTTACACGTCACAAGAACCAGGTTTGACATCTTCTCAACAAATAACTGTGAGGTCAAGACACCCAGGCCTCCGGTCATGTGTGATTTCAGTTTATCTCTGAGAAACGTGCAAAATCTCTCCTGACAATCAACAACAATCATGAGATTTTCTCATATGAGGTTCTAACGCGCTCGTCGTCTCAGTTTTTCAAAGTTATTGTCACCATCTTGTGAGCAATTTTGCCTCTAAAAGATATGTTAGCGCCTCTAGTGGCACTTTTAGGTGCTGCAGGAAGAATTGCATAATTAAACGTAACACATTTAAAAATCAAATTACAAACAACTCGTACCAAAATTCGTTTTTTAAACGCAGCAGGTTCCAACTGTTGGAACGAATGTAAACATGAGACGTTAATTTAGCTTTTTGTGCTGTTGCCTGATATGAGACTAAAAAAGAAAAAAAAAAAGAACCTTAAATGTGTTTTAAATATCATTTTAAAGCACTAAATAATCAAAAATATGTCAAAGAGGGGCAGATTTTTAAAACTGAGTCAAATACTAATACGACTTTTTTACACTCGTTTTCTACTTTTGTTGTATTTTCCATTATAATCTGGTGCCAAAATTCTTTTAATGATATTTCAAAGTCACCGATTATCTGATCGTGGCACACCTGCTTTAGTCGCGTAGTTTAGTCTGAATTTTAAAGCCAGTCTCTCGTAAAACCTGCTGTCGTTCCTGTGAGTGTAAATGCAGCTTTATGAGGGAGCAGGAGTTCAGGACATTGGGACTGAACCGCCTCCTCCAGACTCTGTAACCGAATCATTCTCCCGGCTGCTCACCTCGACTGTTTCACATATATGTATATCTTTATACAGAGTTAATGTAGGTACAGTGCTTTAGTACTGCCCACAAAAAAAAATAAAAAGAGAGAGAGAGAGAGAAAAGAAAACACATTTCTTTTTTTCTAATTAAATGATTTCACATTTAAAAAGTTTTAAAAGTCGATAATAAAATAGTGAAATGTTATTGGTGAAAAGTAAAAGAGCAAAGAATTATGGCTCAGAGTGATGGCGGTGGTGGACTCTGTGTTTGTGTGTGTATTTAGTGTGTATGTGTGTATTTGTTTGTTTGTGTGTGTGAGTGTGTGTGCGCTGGTAGTCTCATCAGATCAAACCCTTCATCACCACTATTATCATCATCATCATCACTAGCACAGTCATCGTTCCCTCTCAGTCGTCTCTACTGGCAGATAGAGAATCGTCACTTTCCTTCACAGTTAAACCAGGACAGAACGAACAACCCTCGAAAGATGTGTCTGCACCAAAAGTGAGGACAAGTTTGGAGTTTGGCCGCTAAAATGTTTGAGTATTTGCCTCTCGGGTTAACTAATGCGAGGACAGAGTCTCATAATCTGGTAGTATACGCCAGAAAAAACCCCGTCCAACAGCTGCAACTACCTGGAAAAAAGCCGGAATAACTACATTGTTGTATAAAGTTGTAAAAAGTACTTTTTTCACCTTGTTTGGTCGCTTTTGGAAACTACAAGCAAAAACCTTTAAACTGCTTGTTTTTTAAATGGAATTTGGATCCATATCCTGCACAACATCAGCGCTTCAATCTTGTTTCTCGTGAGCAATTTGATCAAAATTAAAATGTCTTTTATCGACACAGTGTTCATGTCGTTCCAAATTCACCTCACTTTTGGTCTCAACACACCTTTACTCTAATGGCTCAAAATAACATGAAATAAATATAACAGCCCTGCACACTTGCAACACATATTTCAAGTATTTTCATTTCCAAATACTAAAAATTTTAATTTGTAAAGTTTTTTTTTTTAGTTTTTTTTTTTACGAATTTGGTCAAATCTACCTACGAGAACAAAACGAAAACAAAAAAAGAATGAGAGGATTCGAGATATTCAAACTCAACCGGAATGATCACATTTAAGGTGATCTTCAGCAAAACCAGTAAAGAAGCACCTGAGAAGATAAACGAAGATCTTAAATATAAAAGTGGGCAGTCTTTAAAACCGTTAAACTCTCCGTGAACGCAAATCTTTCCAATACCACGAGCTTATCAGCTGGAACATCATTCACTGGTCCTCATTCTCAGTACAACCTCTCCGGTTGGATCCCTGCAGCCAACAGTGGTGAGTTTAACTTCTTTTACCTGCTCTCTTCAAACCTTTTCCAACACTTCCCTTCACACCTTTCCTTTTTTTTTTGACGTCTCAAACACTTCTAAATTAGATCCTCTATCCGGAAACACATCCTTCACAGTAACCCTCTGATTCTTTCACTAATAACACTTTAATATCAGTATCAGTGAGTTTTTAAATTTAGCTTATACATGAACTGGAGTTTTGGTCACATTAGGGCTCGTTTTTTTATATCAAAGAAAATGTAAAAAAGAAAAAAACGAAAAACATGACGATGTAAAATTCTCAACATGATTGGTGCATACGCATGTGTATGTGTGTCTATGTGTGTCTGTGTGTGTGCAGAACCACTGAAATACAGAATCATCACAAGAAAATGTGGAATTGTAACGACCGACCCCCTAACCCCGCCCCCTTACACACACCTGCCCTGTTTTAACGCCCCCCCACCCGAATGCTAAAATTACACATAAATAATACTGATAAAAATGTGGCAAAATTCCAAAAAGTGAGAAAAAACATTATTTATCAGACTGATGAGAACATGACACACGTTAAAAAGACTTTGTGCTGCTAAGATGTGCTGTTTCTGAGGACAAATCACAAGTTTATACAAATCAGGGATGGAGGGTAGAGGGGAGGAGAGGGGAGGGAGCCGAGCCCTGTTTCAGAAGCTGTTCTAGCCGCCATATTGAGGACGTACCGAGCTAGCATTGGCGTCACAATTTAAGCAATGCTAGCGTGAAATTGGGATTTTTTTTACGACGGCGTGTCTGCGTATTTCGCGAGTTTGCGCGTTTCCGTTACGCCAAACCTCATTCGTTCAACGGCCACTTTTCACGAATCTGAGAAAACGACGACTGAAACTGGGCTCATGATGAAAGGTTCACAGAGTAGAGGAAGAGGAGGGTATTGAGGAGAGGAAGGAGGGGAGAGACAGAGAGAGAGAGAGAGGGGGAAAAGTTAGCAAAGCTACTCATTTGCACCAGTGAGGTACAAACATCCTCGGGGACCATTTTTCTCTGCAGTACCAGTCATCATAATGTGGCGAAACGACACGACACAGCATGACACCACCGTACAACACTGCCTGCACAACACCGACCATTCAGCCACATCTATATGTGAGAGTGTGTGATTGTGTGTGATGTGTGTACTGCAGGAGTAAGGGGGGGGGGATACAGTGACAGCGCCCCCTTGTTTTAGGATGAACTCACAGACACCAAACTCATCCGGATGTCTGAGGTAGTTTCGTGGCTTTGGCGTGCCGTGTTAAACCCGGAAAACTTACACAAAACGGGCAAAATAAAAGATAGGATACGTCTTTTATTTCGAAGAATGAATAATCGAGTAATAAACAACTTAGAGGGGCCACAAACAGGCACATTTGTGTGACTGTTCTTTGGGTTTTTCTGCTCATTTTCACCTTTTTGGTCTCATTCTGTAGTTTTTTTTTGTGCTCTTATCTCCAAACGCCACTTTTCTTTTGCTTTGCTTTTGTTTTGAATTGTTTTTAATGCTCTTTTGGTTTTCTTTCTGGCCTGTTGTAGATATTTTTAAGCAGATTTGTGCCTGCTGACAGGAAGATCCTGTTTCTTATTTTACCCGGTTAGTGAGTCGAGGTTTTGCTTTTTTCGGCTGTATCTCCACGGGCCAACACAACAAGAGTGATCGGGATAATACCTCAATTCAACAACGGTGAATTCAGGACTGATTGGCCCCCGTTGGAAAATAATAGGTGGATTTTAGCATCTGCAAACCTCCAAATCACTGTCGTCCTGACCTCAGAGGAACAATAAAGGACTTTTAAAAGTTTGAAGCAGCCAGATTTTATTTCTTGGAGGAATTTTTGAAGTACTTTACTCCTTATTAAATACTGACAATCTCTTCGAGCTGCACCACTCGCTGTGATGAGCTTGTTTTTAGGTAAAGCTAGAGTTTTATTTATCAAAAGTAAAAGTTGGGTCAAATTAAAAACAAATAAAAGTGTTAACACAGCCTAGCCAAGCCAGTAGTCCAGACATGAGGATGGTGACGGTGTCCGTGTTTTCATCGTTTTTCTTCGTACCTTCTTCCTCTTTGTGTCTTTATTTTACTCTGAATGTACATTTATGTTTGTTTTTTCACTCGTTTATATTCTGTATATTTCCTCTTGTTCTCGTGTCAGGCCATGTGTGTGTGTGTGTGTGTGTGTGTGTGTGTGTGTGTATGGTGTGTGTGTTCATGTTTCATATATTGTGTGTCTGACAGGTTAAGTGTGTGTGAGTGTGTGTCGTTTCTTGCAGGTGTGTGTTTATGTGTAGGCATTGAGGCGTTCTTTGGAGCGCGTAGAGTGGATGTCATGCAGCTCCTGCTCCTCCTTCGACTTGATGTCCTCGTACTTCTGCATCCGGCTGGCGTCCTTCAGGTAGCCCCAGTTGGCGGCCAGAGCCATCAGGAAGTGGACCTGGGGAGGATCAGGACAACGGAGGGTGAATACGAGCGGAAATGTCTCTGATTCAGGTTTGTTTTTCATATATTTGCCCTCATGGAAACTCGGGATGGGAATCGAGAACCGGTTCCAAATGGTTCAATCCATCGACATCATTTACATTTTTTCTTAACGATTCCTTTCTTCCGGATGTCCTGAGAACAGAGACTTTTAGGAAAGAAAAAAATGGTGGACGGTACGAAAAGTAGCCAGAAACGATCTAAAGTGTGGCCTTATTTATCTAAAAAAGACGACAGCAGCGCGACGTACAACGTTTGTCGAGCGGCGATAACATCCAAAGGTGGAAACGCCAGAAACATGCTGAAGCATTTGTCAACGGGGCACGGTATCAAATATTAGGAGTCACATGTATTGACGTATTTTTCGCATTATAAGGCATCATCAATGAACGCCTCGATTCGCGTCTATTTTCGCGCACTGGGTTATGAGGCGCACGAAGCCAAACAAAACAGTCAAATAAGTCAAACTTTATTTAACTAATCCAATAACTCCGCGAGGCTACAGTAGCTGCAGCGCTCCGACAAGCCAAAAGGATTGTAAGTTCGTCTTATCGTGCGAAAAATACGGTCGATGTTATCTGCTGGTTGTCAGACGCTGCCACTCAGTCTCAGCACGGCATGGAAGGTACGTATGTTAGGGTGTTATACATCCTCTTTTACCTAGGGGGCAAATGTCCGGGGTTCTGTATGAAAGTTTTGAGTTTGTGTAACGTGGACTTACTAAGTTAGAAGCATGTAAAAAACACTCAACCCGAGCTGAAAAACCCTCAAATTTTTGCGCGCGAGTCCACCCCACGTAATAGTGTCCTCTTTTTGGGGACCCATAATATGGTCACCCTGATTTGACTCAATACTGAAGTAAATGCTGTACAAATATTTTGTCATTTGATTATTTTTAGACTCTCACTGAAGGTGGCGTACATCTTTTTCTGTTATCAGAGACTTTAAAATTTTGAGTTAACTGTGAAAACCTGTAGTCTACTTTTTATTATTAAATCAAAGAAAGGCATTGATAAGGGAATCGTTAAAGAATTGAATCGATAATGGCATTGATATCAATAAAATCTTATCAATTCCCATCCCTAATGGAAACACAGAACCAAAACTTTGTCCCAACAATACTCAATTTGAATTTTTCCTTAATGAGAGACTCATTAATGACTTCTTATCTTCTGCTCATGCTGTGTATTACAGTCTAAAAAAACTTCTCCATATTGTGTCCTAACATCTTGTGTCGTACGAAATAAATAAAGGAAATAAATTTAAGAGGATATTCTTTTTGAAGTATTTAATTAGACTTTTTAGAAAAAAAAAAAAATAGATTCAGGTTTGCTGCCAAGCAGGTCACAAATATGAGAGATTTTTATATCTGGGTTTATTTGGTGCAAAATTGAACACAGCAGCAGAATTAAAGTGAGTGAAAAGATGGAAATAAAGACTTTTAAGGCCCTTAATGGTGAATATTAATGAAGATTTTGTATGTTGACGCTGTTCTGAGGTCAGCGTCTGTACTCTCTTAATGCTCCCTCCTCTATTACAATACTCTAGTGCCCCCTACTGACTAAAAACAGAAGAAAACCTGAGATATTTCAATTTAATTACCGTTTAACCTTCAAAACTTCAATCTGCTGCCTTTTTTGTCAAGTGTTTTTGTTTTTTGCATGACTAACAGAGTAAAGCTGAAGTATTCAAAGAGTTATATTCTCCAACAGACCATCACAAGGACGCCACATCCTTCAAATAAAGATCGACAAATAAAGCTGTAAAGGTTAACACACTTTAAACAGTACGGTCCGCCAAAAACGACTAAAGATACTGAGAGACAATTACTTTTATTCAACTATACTCACTGCATCGGTTGTTATGTCTGTTGTTTCAAGTTGGGATGCGTTTTTATCCTGAATGGGCTGTAAAACTTGATGAAGTAAAAAGTCAAAGCCAAATTAGATAAATCTTTAAGGAAATAAACTAATACAGATTGTTTCTTCACGAATTCGAAGCTCTGACATCCCCCACAAGGGAGAGAAAACCTTCCTACCAGCTGCCACGACGCAGAAATGAATCTGATTCATCACTCTCAGTACATGCTGTCAAATTAGACAGTCTTCTCTTCTGCAGAGCTTCTTTGGTGTTTAAAAGCTTCACAATTTATCTCTCTAATAGAAAGCTGTGGAGGAGGTGCGGAGTGTTTCTGGGAAAGACTCCAACCCCCTGTGACTCTGACCAGGAATAAACAGCTACAGAAAATAGAGGGACGGGTAATGATGCTGCGTTCGGTGGACAGGATGGAGAAAAAACCAGCAGTACGGGCAGTGACGGGTTGATTTCTGCAGGATGAATGCAGAGTAGAGAGCTGAGCCCTCCACGCGTCTTATAGCCTATCTAAACAGGTGGATGACTCACTGACTGTATCACTGCAGAGCTTTTTGTAGACCTCATATTAACCGAAGTGGGTTTTCACCGTGAACCGTGTCCACGTGAACTTTCCAGCTGACCAATGACCTGTTAGCTGGAATCAGAACAGATGCACAGTTTCCTTTTAGCAGTGGACTCACCTGTCCGTCTATGACGGCTGTATCAAAGTCCTGCAGTGTTTCTCCTACTGAAATTTCACATGATCATGAAAATCAATGCGCCACGAATGATTTCTACTCGCACTGTGTGAGCACAACAACACATGACTTGTTTTAAGTCCCTTACCCTAAACGCCCTTTCACACCGGGACTGTTTTTATCGTGCTAGTATTTCGGACGTCAATATTTTTTTTGAACCCGTATCCTGTCAATACAAGCGTTCACATCAGCGACGTTTTCCCGTCCTGCGATATTGCGGCGTTAATTTTTTCAGATCACAGTCGATTTTTCTAAAGTTTCGTATACTGTGTGTCCATTTCTGACCAATCAGATTGCATGTTGTTGCGACGTCAGATTCACCGGTATATCCAACATGGCCGACTGGCTGATTGTTTATGATCGTTTACACAAACATTACAAAGATAACGACCTGAAGGACAACTTGTGGAGAGACATAGCGTCGGATCTCTCATATGACGATGGTTTGTGTGCTTTAACAGTTTGTTTTAACTTTCATCTGTGCTAAGTAACTTTAGCTCGTAATATTACTTCGAAATATTCGAAGGCTGAATTTTGACGCGCCTGACTATACAAGCCTGATGCGATTTTGCGACTTTCCGGGGAACTTTGATTGGGGTGTACTCATTTTTGCATCTTGATTTTAAATTGAAAAATACAATTTTTTTTGTATGCACTAAAAAAAAATCTTGTTTGCAATCAATTTGCTACATTTGGGGAGTGTTTTGTCGAATAGTCTGACATAAAAATTGTTGATTTTGAGAGGAAACTGAAGGTTTTCTGACAACTCTGAAGGGGTGTACTCATTCATGCTGAGCACTGTAGATGCACATTTGGAAACTTCTGTGTCACTGCTGTGCTGCTCACGAGTCACATTTCTTTTCTCGTGTGATTCACAGCATGTGGAGTACCTAACTAAGGAAACAAGATTTCACATGCCGTTTAATGTGGCCTATTTCATGTCTGTTATGATGACCAATTAAGGTGTTTTTTAATGAAAGAGGATCAGCAGATGTAAAGCTAATATCTCTGTTTTTCATACCGCAGAAACTACTTAATCGGACGTGGATCTTAAAAAAATTCCCATATTAATGTATAGAAATATCTTTTTTTTATGGCATGGACATGACAGAGAAAATGTTTTATAGAGAGCAGCCTGAATGGGGGTCACACTTATCAGCACCGATTAGTACCGCGGACCACTGACCAATCACATTTAAGAGTCTAATGGCCCTCACCATGGCGATGACAGCAGCTCCTGCTCCCGCCAGAGCGCACACGAACAGATGGAAGGTCAGGTCCAGCTGCAACACAAACCGAGCGTCAGAGTCGGATCTTCGTACTGATATTTACATTTTTATTATTAGAACATCTTAAAGAGCAACGTCGCTTCGAGTTTCCGAACTCACCTCGTTGGATTCGCACATCTTGAAGAACTTCTCAGATCCTGTGCACACCTTCCTCTCCTCAGAGATGGTAACGGCTCCTAATGAACACAAACATTAAAAAAAACACAGACTCTTTGTTACTCCGGTGATAAATGGACTAAAGAACTTTGAGATATTACAGCCTGCAGGTCAAGAGTCCCTGTTTTTATTTAATGAGGACATTTTTCAGCGCCGACTGCTGGGAGCTGACCAGTAGACCCACAGGGTGGTGCGGCTAGTGGGAATGTATCTTCACCTTTATGAACCAGCAGCTTTTTTAAAGTGAAATGCTCCTCATGAGGATTATTCAGACTCGGTAATTACTCGGCTGCAGGTGGTGAAGTGCAGAATGGGCAGCAGGTGGCAGTGTTGCAGGAGCTGCCTTGTGCTCATGTGTGTTTTTCTTTTTATGGAGAACAACATGGTGGACAGAGCCGTGGCTGCGTCATGACAAAATATCCACAACCACGCCAAGATGTATGAATGCCCTCATGACTGTGAGTGTGTAGAGATATATTTTTTTTTGTAAAGGAGAGATGAGACTTTTTAAACCTGCAACAGACTTTTTATGTAAACCATTAAATCACTGAAAATATCAGAGCTTTTCCCACTGTTTACCAAGAAAGCGGAGTAATTTAAAGGATCATAACAGCCTTTATAGTCTGTTTGCATTTAAGGTGGGGTAGGCAGGAATCCGTTAAAGAAGCATCTTATTTAAAGCTTTTAATATCATTTGGTAATATAACTATATCGCTGTGTTTCGTTATGTCTGTGTAGTCAACATTTTACATTTTTAGAGCGGTCCGCTCTTTCTGACTGTAAACAAAGCCATTCTCCGCCTCCCCCGACCTGATTGGTTGTAAGGCAGACGCTGCTCCCCCGTGTCGTTCAGGAGCCCAAACAAAGTTAGCGTGCTACAATATCGGACAGTAGAAACCAACCAGAAAGTTCGTAAAACTGTCTGAATCCTCCTTTGGCCACGACTGCCGACACAAGCAAGAAAAAGAAGTAAATACCGGAGACTCTGGAGGAATAACGGGCGCTTAAAACGGAGGTAGACCGGACAAGAGCTAAAAAGCCGGGTCAGCATAAACGATGGGGGACGCTTGGGGATCTTGGTGACCCTGTAACCTTTCTGCTGGACAGGTAAACCGCTTTAACAAAGTAAGACAAGTGTCTGTAACAGAAGTGTTTCTTGTCAAACGGACCTCCTGTAGCGTGTTGTAGCGCCATCGCTAAACTGTTGACCTCGGGTCCTGGACTATGTCACTTTATCCTCGTTGTAGAAGTCCTGCAAACATTGTGTTTGCTGGTAGTCTGTTGGCATCTACAGTAGCACCAATGCTTTTGACTTTCACCTTGACCGGGCCCCATTTGTTATGATCTGAAGTATTTATCTGCATTATATCTGAATTTAAGTGGAACGATACGAGCGAGCAGGAGCGTCTGTTTGTGGGCGGGGCTTGGTGGAGAAGGAGCTTAGGGGAAAACTGGTTGGGAGGGGTAGAGTTTACATTCAAGATTTCTCCTAAAAACTGGCACTTCCTCAGATCCTGACTACCCCACCTTTAATGCAACTTTCCATAACAAACTCCAAACTTCTCTGAGTTATTTTAACCCCAGCGTGTTCAGAAAAGGCAACAGTTTTAGATCAATCGCTTGTTATTTTGTTGTTCTTATCCCTGTTGTTTTCATCTGTATCCCATTTGAAATGTTCATCAAAAATGGCTTATTGTAAACCACAGAGCTGCCTTTGTAATCTGCTAAAGTATGAGTACCATCACAGCACTGCGCTTTGTCGTATCACCGTTAGCTTACTAAGTATCTGGTGAAATATCCACGGCGGCACATGGTACTCTGTGGGTTTTCTGCCCTCAGTTGGCACTTTGGTTGTGCTCACACAGGTTTTTCCATCATGTGAGCCAGTTTGGTGATTTGGTGAGTCGCCATGAACTCTCCTGCTCTGAACAGGTTGATACATGTGAGTCAGAGATCAGGAAATAAAAACTGTCACTCAGAAACTGGGATTTCTGTTTTGCAGTTGTAGTTGTGTTTTCTTCATTCTGTTGCTCGTGTCTCCCTTGTGTCCTGTACCAAAACCCACCACTCGATTTGACTCAGTCAGGTTTTAATTTTTTTTTACATTTTTGGGTATTTCAACAAATTTGTTTACGCCTAACAAAGATAGAAATGATTGTTAAAGAGTTAGGTGCATATATAACCAGAAAAGGCTCTTATATCAGTCCATCCCAGGCCACCAGTCTCTGCTACATGTGGCTATTTTTATGTTTTATATTTTTGGTAGTTGTATTTCCCAAACTTTTTGTACCTTTTGGGCCCTGTAGCAGTGCTAGAAGACATATTCTGAGAAAATTACGCAACAATTCAAAAGACTCAAAATAAAAATGACATGTCTTTTAATCCATGTTTCCATCCATCATGATGTCTCTTACCAAACTGGCGCAGGTCTAGGCAGAGGTTGGCCCCCTCCACCAGGCTGGTGTTCTGACACATGGACCAGACGTTGAAGTACATGAAGACGGGCAGGCTGGTGAACGCTGTGACTCCGAGCCACACCAGGAAGAACAGGTAGGCCAGGAACATCAGCTGTACACACACACACCGAAGAGATACCAAGAGGGAGGCAAACCAGACATTAGTCAGGTGTTTTTGAGGGAAACATTTCACAGAACTTAAACTGACTCTCAGTGGCGACACCTGTGGTAAAAAGTTGTAACTGCAGGTAAAGTTGTGATCCGCACTTTGAAAAAGATCCAAACAGCATCCAGATCATAGACTGTATATAATATGGACAACTTGGTTCTGCCTCCCGCCTGTATACAGATTTGAAGCGGAAAAGCTCTCAGTGATTCAGCGTTTTTTCTCCACTTCCTGAAACCAACACTTGCACAGTAGCGTTGTAGCAGGAGAGTCGCTGTGATGACACTTGCCTCAAACAGCGTATCCCGCGGGTGAGTTACACAATCTTCGTACACCAATAGGCTGTATCAAGTGTCAATCATAGGAAATATGAACCCCCAATAACTTTTAAAAATGGAGCTGCACAGAAAAAAAGAGGACTTGAGCACAAACCAGTCTGACAGTAACTACAAATTTATATTCTGTGTAATAAATTTCTAAAGTTTGTCTACAGCTTCATAAGCTTTGATGGCAGAGGCGGGATTTATGTCCTATACTGCAGCCCGTCACCAGAGGGTGCTGTTCTCAGAGTGGTTTCACCCAGCGAGGAGGCAGACTGCGTCCGTTCTATATACAGTCTATGATCCTGACTAAAAGTTAGTCTTCACAGTGTTTCTCTTTTTTGCCCCTTTTTAAAAATGTTATTGTCTCGTCACAATTTTTTTTTCCATTTCCATGAGAAGTTCTAGTTTTATGAATGGATTACAAATGTAGTAACTGTGAGAATTGGTGAACACAATGCACTTTTATACCTTCTTTCATCACAACATTAATATTAACTGGTTCACTTGATATGTCAGAGGCATTTTATGGTGTTGTGGTAAGCACAATGTGATACAGAGCTTGATTGATTTATATATCTATATTATTTTGAAATTTAATCTCAGACATCAATACTTTATTTTATGGGGAGACAAGTGAAAAGAGAGGAAAACTGGGAATGACATTAGAGAAAGAAAAGTGGTAAATGTCAGCAGGTTAGGATCAAATCCAGGCTGTTTGGAATAGATACTAAATCTTGAGTTTTTAATCTGTATGATGAAATATTTACTGTAACCAGAGCCATCGTTTTAAAATCTCCTCTCTCACTAATCATCTAGGCGCCTGTTCAAGGCTTACGCTGTTTTATGTATTTACTGTAACCGTCGTTTTGCACACAGTAAGTCCTATACACTTCTCTCTCTCTGCTTCAAACAACTGCAACTCAAAATTCATATCTGATAAAGTAAACTCTAAGGCATACAGCGTTAATGTACTGAAGCAATAATATCATGAATTTGGAATTATGTACTCTATGTTTTTCCCCGTATTTATGTTTTTTTTTTTTTTTTTATCTAAGGATAGCGCCATAACATATTACAGAATCCTGTACATGCATGCATCAGGTGTATGCCTGTTATTGTAGAATATCTACTTACTTTTCTCTCTTAGAAATGGAGCAGCCATAATTTCAGATGATTTCCCTCCAGGGAACAGTGAAGTAGTTGTGATTCTCATTAAATTTTACTCATTTATTAACAAAGTACAACTTTTCCTTCCCCTGACATCTGTTTCCCATTATGCTGAAAACACTCAGTGCTTCTAAATTACAGTTGTGGATTTTAGAGCAGAAGTAATAATTCAACCAAAACTCTTCATTATTCACACTGATGTGAAAAGATCTCAAATACCACAGATGACTAGCTTTCGTTTTTTTGTCCTTTAGCTCGCTGTGACGGAGTAAACACCTGTGTGTGTCCGTATTTGTGTGTGTGTGTGTGTGTTTCTGTTGTCTCCAGAGGCTTGTACACACAGCTGTGAGGGAAAGATTTCCTCAGCAGATGTGGACAAACTCTGAGCTCTCTCTCTCTCTCTGTATGAATCAGATGTGATGAAGAGACAGACGTAGACGCACAGATCTGTCAACACTAATAGCACATTATCATAATTTATCATTTCTAAAAGACTGTTCACAGTTTTTGCACACATCTAAATCTTGTGCACTCTGTTTATAAACTAGCTAATGTTATATAAACTGTTTAAATGACTTAATTTTAAAGGGATAGTTTCATTTTAAATAAAAAAAGTGGTAGCATGAGGTTCTTGTCAATAGAAAGCGCATCGCCTTGCCTTAGCTGGGGTTTTCTGGCAGGTAGTTACAGAGAGCTTTCACAGGAAAGGGTGTTAAAGTGTTTTTGTAAGAGGTCCCTGGATTCAGTGGATCATCCACAGGGGATCTCGGTAAGCTTGACCTCTTTGTTGATAAAACAGCCTGAGAACTGGTATGAAAGATACTGGCCCTGATTTCTGCAGACAGAGTCGACTCTGCTGCAAAATTTCGCTCATTTTCAAAGAATCGGACTGTAAAATCAAAGTGAACTCTCGATGGAGAATATTTTTAGTGCTTTGCTATTTGAAGGCCACTTTGTTTTTGCACTCCTAATGGACACGATATGTATGTAGTCGTCTCCCATAATCAAATCTCTGTACAGTGTTTATGTCGGTTTTGATTTCTGGTCTACATTTAGTTACACCCTAAAGGTCCTTTCACACCGGGACTGTTTTTATCTGCGATTATTTCGGACGTCAATATTTTTTTTCAAACCCGTATCCTGTCAATACAAGCGTTCACATCAGCGACGTTTTCCCGTCCTGTGACATTGCAGCATTTATTTTTTCAGATCATGGTCGATTTTTTAAAGTTTCGCATACTGTGTGTCCACTTCTGACCAATCAGATTGCGTGTTGTTGCGACGTCTGATTCACCGGTATATCCAACATGGCCGACCTGCTGATTGTTTACGTGTCGGAGAACAGAGTGATTTATGATAGAAGACACAAATACTACAAAGATAACGACCTGAAGGACAACCTGTGCAAAATTCAGTCTGATCTCTCTATATTTTTTATAGTCGTAGCGCTTGTTTAACTGTTGGGACGCCATTTGTCCAAATCTCATTTTGAAAAACTACCAATGAAAATCAAGAGGGGGCGGGACTTCTGTCAAAACAGGTATTTATATCTTTCACTTGATGATTGCACAACTTAATATTAAATCAATGGAGATAATACACTTCCTACAAACATGCACCTCATAACTTCACTAATGAAAGACAATAAAAAGAAGAAAAAATCATTTCCTGTAAAAGTGCTCAGTTACAAACCTGCTAGAAAACCCTTTTGACAGATTTTTTAAAATAATCATCAGTTAAGTTTGTTTTTATTCCTGTTTTCTCAAAAGAAAGAAGCAGCATTTGATAGGGACTATTTTGCGGATTAATACACATTTAGTGCTCCAGCAGCAGTGTGCTTAAGAGAAGTATATTATGATCATGTTTATAGAAAAACATGTCAGCAAGAACAACACTGTAACTAACTGATGTGTGTTTTTGAAGGTTTGGACTTATAAAACTAATAAAAACCTTATAAAAGTACCCAAAACATCTTGCGTGATTATGTAACTTCCTGTATTAATTCCCGTATTTTGCATCTATGTTTGATGTTACTCACGAATGCAGTCAGGCAGCGTCCGCAGGCAGTGATCTTGAACTCTCCATACAGATCCCTGATGGCTCCGGTGGTGAAGAAGCCCTCCACCAGCAGCAGCACTCCAAACACAAAGAAACCAGCTGCAAGCCCGTAGATGATGTACTTCAGGATATCAATACTGTGGGGACACACACACACACAAACACACACCACAGTGTCAGTGATTAATTGATGTTAATTAATGTTTAAGCTAGACTGCTTTCACTAGTCTCAACACACTCTTCAGCTGAGTTTATTCGCCAAAAAGAAATCAGACGACACGGGGGAGAGGGAGGGTTCGTCTGGAGCAGATAACCAATAATCAATACATCCAGACTTTTGTGTCATTACATTTGTCTACATTTAATTTCCAATATATAGTTTTTTGTCTTTTTTTATATGACAGCTGCAGAGAGACAGCAGGTATAGAGGGTAGAGAGTTGGAGATATGAAGGGAAAGGTAATGGCGGGTAACCAAGCCAGCAACGGTTACAGGACATTAACTATGAGAGATTCAGTTTCCATGTTTAACTCAGTTTGACTGAAATCACACTAAATTGAACTTCTCAACGTTGGACTAACAGGTCATGAAAATGCAGTCGAGGATTGATTTTCTCGTCCATGTATACCCTCGTGTAAACCTTTCTTGTGCACGTGAACTAATCATTCGATGATAGAGAGTATTGTAATTATTCAACTACCAAACAAGCTCAGACATAAATATTGGAGAAATAAATACAAGAACTTTGTAAAAATGCAAAGACAGTAAGTTATTTGCAACGGAATCACACTAAAGTATGAGAAGGTGTTTATAACGTTAGTAATTGGAACAAGGGATGGATTTATATAGACGTTTATATGAATTGATTTAAGTCAAGATGCACAGGCGTCACAGACTTTATTTTTTAAAATAGGCTAAAACTGTGGATGGAGACGTGTCGGTGCATTAGAGCGCTATCTTTAGTTTAAGGGCTCTGTTCCACTACGGTACGGCCGGCAGATCAAATCCAAAAGCATTATGATCAATGTGAGTCCACGGAATCTGTCCGGCGTCTAGCTCCGCTGCGGATCGGCTCCTGCGGCTGGATCAGATACGCAAGGCTTCTATTTTTTTTATTTTTTCAAATATCCTTAATTAACAGAATTCCCAGAGTTTTACAAGGTTTCATCTGACTCTCACGAGTAAATCTACCAACTATGCTAGCAAGTTAGCCCGATAGCCACCGGTTGCTAAACTAGGGTGACCATACATCTTCTTTTACCCAGGCATGTCCTCTTTTTTGGGAGCTGTCCAGCCTTGTCTGGGAGAGTTTATAAAGTCTTTCAAATGTCTGTGGTTTTGTATGGAAGTTTTGAGTTTGTGTCGCGTGGATTTACTGAGTTAGAGGCACATAAAATACACCCGATCTGACCTGAAAAACGATCAAAATTAACTCTGTGACTCCGCCCCACATAGTCATGCGGCCTTCTTGGGGATTCAGAATATGGTCACCCAAGCTAAACTGTAAGAGTGATGTAAATAGGCCCTTCAAAGTCCCTGGATCCAGATACATCTGGAGACATTACATCAGATTGCATGCTTTATTTTGAAAACACTCATCTGACACCAGAGGCGGGGACACTGCTACAGTTAACCTTTGACAACTTGAACTCTTGGCACACTAAAACTCACTGCGGCTTGAAAAGTGAAAATAAAACAGAGAAATCTGAGGTGAACCTTGACTGGATTTCATTTAGTGATTAATGTATGAAAACCCGAAGGTCAGGTCCAGGAAACGGCGTATTAAACAGGTCACTCACATGGTGAACACATCCAGCGTCTCTCCCGGGGCTCTGATGACCTCAAAGTAGTTCTGGAGAATGTTGACGGTGCCGGTCAGAGCCTCGTGGCCACACCCACAGAACAAGGCCACGCCCATGTAGAGGAGGATGGTGGCGATGAGAGAGGCCCAGGGGAGGCTGCCCACGCATCGCTCGCAGCACTCCTTACAGCCTTAAAAAATACAGAAAAACAGGATTATAGAGCTGAAAGTGTCTTTAATACATTCAGCGTGATGATGATGCAGCGGGTGAAAGGAGGTGCGAGAGTCATGTGTGGAAAGAAACTGATGAAAAATAAGCCTGAACACAATAACCATCCATAATCCATAAAGAGCTGTGTATAATGTCGTCTGTAAAGGTTAAACAATTCACAGGAGACAGCAGAACTCGTCCAAAACCAGGATCTATAAACAAACAAACAAACAAACCCAACATGTTAAAAAAACAAACAAAGAAAACCAGTTTAACAAAATATTACCACTTATCTTTTTAAACTACAAAATAATCCCAGTTTCGAATAGAGCCCCACAAAATGTCTGAATTGTTGGTGCATCAGTCACAGCCGCTGAACAATTATATAACATGGCAGGTGTAGAACTCTAATTAATCTCCTCAACATATGCCAAACACAGGAGGAGGGCGTGCAAAGAGAAAGAGAGAGAGAGAGAGAAGAGGATCACAAGTTAATCTTAGCAGTAAAGGACCAGATCCATCCGGAGTTATTTACAGGTATCCAGCAGGTCTGTGTGATTGAAGTCAGCACCGTCACGGTTTCGATTCAAGGCTCCTCAAACATTATGATGCAGCAGATGAACCTCTTCAAACGCAACACCACTGAGGGGCACGCTTACATAACAGGACGAGTAAGTTTTAAGGTGACGTTTGGAGAACCATTGATGGAGATTTTGGAGGAGGAGGGGGGTCTATTTTTGTCTGCTGGTTCACAGAGAGCTTTAAAGGTATGGTGTGCAGAATGGGAGTATTTGGTAATGCCTTGTGGTCAGAATCTGTAATAAAAGGCTCCCTTACTCACCCCTTATTTTATTAAAGGCACGGCCATTTAAGGCCAAGAAGCTCCTGTTATACACGGCAGAGGCGGGGCCTTGACGACTCGACTCGAGACTCGACTTGGACTTGAGTCACGTTTTTGACCTGCTTGATGAAATCAAGAAATGACTTGGACTCGCTTGGGACTTGATTGCTAAAGACTTGAGACTTGACTTGACTTGGGCCCAGTGACTTGAAAAGTCAAGTCAAGTCTTTTCAAGTCACTTAATACTGTACAGCAAGCCCAAACCGTTTAAAAAGTGTCGCATCAACTAATAGTCAAGAATTACGGCCGTTGGTAACACCGTGTTGTGTTGCCAAGTCTGCTTATTTCCTTTTCCTTTGTAACTTCACACAAACAAGAACCCTTGTTTAATAATAAATGCAAATAGTGAAAAATGCTCATGATTTATGTAAATCTTTACATATAACAAATGGTTTATGGCTTTGATATGACTTGTTTTTGACTTGAAAGAAATGGTAAGGACTTGGTTGGGACTCGAAACAAAAAGTTCAGGACTTGGACTTGACTTGGGACTTGAGAGCAAAGGACTTGAGACTTGACTTGGACTTGCAACATAGGGGCTTTCCCCCACCTCTGATGCACGGTAAGTATACTGAAGCTACAACTGGCTGCTAATGAGTCCATTGTTTTGATGTGTACTCAAAGAAAATAACAAAGTCCGCTTTTTTTAAATATTAGTGATGTTTTATTTTCTTACAGCAACGTTGTTGTTTTGTTTATCGCTTCCATTAAGCAGATGTTGACAATTACAGACATAAATCACAAATAAAACCCATAATCGTAGATCAGAGTAATTAAGTCAGAAACTGTTTGCCTCTCCAGCGGAATCATTAACACAAAAACAAGTGTGGCGAGTCAGCCGCCACCAAAATCACTCTTGGCTGCCCTCTAGTGACTTGGAGGAGCATTTCCCTTCAACGTCAAGTTATGGCTCTTACGAGTTCCTTTTTCTTTGTGGAGTTTCCACCATGAAAACCTTATTTACATGACGACAAATCTATTTCAACTTCTCTGTTATGAAGAGGTGATTATCCTCTGATTTAAACACGTTTGTAAATATTAGATTTAACTGCCATTTAAAGGGATATTCTGGCGTAAAATTAATTTATTGTCAAACACATCATAACACCGAGTTAGACATGAATGTTGCCGACCGCTTGCTTCTCTAGTTATACCAACTTAAGAAACGACCGCAGATAGCAATACAGGGAGCCGTGTGCTCAACCAAAACGCCACTCTATAGCCACAAATAATGCTCAGAACAGCACCTAACTTCATCAACAGGACATATAGGGTCCCAGCCATAGTACTAGACACCAAACATCTTTTTAACTTTGTTTCTGGGGAGATCCTGATTTCCTCATGAGGAATAAAAAAGAGAGAGAGGTGTGAACAGAGAGGTGTTTTTCTGACTGATGATTGACGGCTGTCTCTTCCTCTAACAATCAGCTGTGATGTCTGCTGCTCGCTAATCTCACCTCAGCTCCCGACTATCCACCAACATAAAAAACACCTCTACTGATGAAACTTTGGAATTTGTACATCTTTATTTTTATATCATTCACATTAAAGCTCCAACACTAACTGATTATTTCTCTGTTCTTAGTTTTGAAGCTCTGAACCACCGCCGTGAGATATATGTCAGAAAAAAGCAGCTTCTGTTTACAGATTTTATAGCAAAGTTAATAAAAACACCACTGATAATGTCAGTAATCTCTCAGCACAGTTAGGTATTAAACTGAGTTGAGTTAAACAAATCATATCTACTAATATCCAAAATGCGATAAAGAGTGGGATCAACATGCTGACAGTGGAGGAGTGTCACCTTGTGATGGCGAGATCTTTGGCGAAGCAGTTTCGCTTCTTTCCCTCTGCTGAGTCACCAGATTAAGTCATGCAAAATGTGTCATATATGTTGATATCGTGTTTTCCTGGCAGAATGAATAAGAAAAACCTTTTCAGTACATTTTAGGATCGTATTTGGACTCTAAACTTCCACCCTCTGCTCTCTGATTCGGTTTCTATCGTCACAGAGTCACATTCACACCAACATCTGTGTAAAGAGTCAACCTGAGCAGCCCGGGTCAGAGGTTGTAAGTATGATCACACTGCACTTTCTTTATCATGGCTCTTGATATTTCTCATAAATCATCACGGGATGCTTCAAAGATCATTTTTTAAATAATTTATTGTTTATGATTTGTTGTCATGTATGATATTTAATGTCTTAGTCAATTTTTATAATAATAATAATAATAATAATAATAATAATAATAATAATAATAATAAAAATAATAATAATGAGTAATTTTATTATTATTATTAATAAAAATAATAATAATAATAACAATAAATATTAATAATAATAATAATAACTTTATTTTTATAGCACTTTTAAAAACAGAAGTTTACAGAGTGCTTTGACAAACAGTACAATATATATATATATATATGTAAATATACATATATATATATACATACACACATATATATATATATACATACATATATATATATATATGTATATATGTATAAATATACATATATATATATATATGTATATATGTATAAATATACATATATATATATATATGTATGTATATATAAAATTCATAAACACACGCACTCACACAACACCTACACTTACACACACACACACACACACACACACACAAACACACACACCTATCACTTGTCTTTCTTACTCTCTTGGGTTTTGGGGTTTTGTTTGTTAGTGTGTGTATGTTTTGTGTGTGTGTGTGTGTGTGTGTGTGTCTGAGTCATTGCACTTCTCAGGTTTAATTGACCAGCCTTGTTGCCATGCCAACAGGGGTGTGGCAGGAGCCCGCTGACCCACTTTGCCTGTAGCGTAGTCATGGCAACAAGCGCGGCTCTTCGAGCGCTACAGTCACATTTTCACACACACACACACACACACACACACACACACACACACACACACACACACACACACACACACACACACACACACACACTAACACACACACACACGCGCACACACACTCAGAGGCAGAAACGCTCTCGCGCTCAGCAGCCATTTGACACACAGCCTGTTCTCGATCTCGTTCTCGTCTCAGTTTGTGAAAAATCGTCTCCGGATGGTTTTTGATTCGTGCCCCGTCAAAATAAGAGCGTTAGAAGAGAGGAACAAAAATGGCTGCTGTGCCTGGTAGGGAGGTACCATTTTACTCCGTCTGACTCCATTTAATAAAACATGCATTGCTAATATGCTACATGCTAGTTTTGGTCCGTAATGCACTCATCGTTTCTGTCTCTTATGTTCACACAAGAAGAAGATTCGGGCCTTTTTTCAGAGGCAGACGGAGACACAGCGAGAAGGAGGAGGAGGAGGAGGAGGAGGAGGGAGATATAAATGTGTTATGAGTTCTGTGTGAAGGTGTTTCTGAGAGACATTTTGTGCGCTGCTTTTTTATTTCTCCATTTCTACATACGTCCAGCTGTGTGTTTGTGCGACTGTATGTGTGTCTATGTGTGTCCGTGTGTGTGTCCGTGTGTGTGTGTGTGTCCTGAATTGCAGCCAAGTTATAATCCTCGTCATATTTCCATATTTGGGCTTAAAGCAGGAAAGACCCAGTGACCCGGTAAAAACTGGGACAGGATAAACACAAACGGCTGAGTGTGACGCTGTATATGTGCGGCTGTTTTCTTTGTTTAAGAGGAGGTAAATACTTCCACTCAGGATGTGAAAACAGACGTCTATTGACAGCCCTGTCATTCAAGAGTACTGTGTAACATCTGCACTATTTTAGGATCTATCTATAGATGTCCACAAAACTCTTATATGTTTGTCATCCTTTCAAATACAGCAGCTAAGTAAAAGATTGGCGCCCACAACTGGGTTAATGACCCCTTCTGTTACAGTGAGCTGTGTCCGGGGCTGACCAGTGTCCAGGATCAATACTTTGATTCCTCTGATGGACACTAACCACTGCTTTTTCGGTTTAGCTGCGGAGCTCCTGTCCATCCACTGAGTGGCAGTTGTACAGCATCCCACAACTCCCACAGCGGCTGAAAGCCAGCTCACCACAAATGAATAGATTGTCTCCTCCTCCTTTTTATTGGTTAAACAGCGTCGATAAGGAAACAGGTACAGGTGAGGGATAATAGCAGACAGGTTATAAACATTAAACGGATCCTTAAGCTAAAATTTAAGAGGCCAACTGGCAACACTTTGCTGTCATGAAATAAAACACGATTATTAAAGATTTTTGACCAATGAGAATCAAGGATCGAGCAGAGCTGATAAAACTAATGGTTGTCCCGCCCTTTCTCTCAGCTGAGGTTGAGTGTATCGTGTTAGTTGATGTAGTTATTGATGTTTAAGATGTGTGTTGAGAAATCAATACAAAACACTGACTGAGAAACATCTAAAAAGTCCATAATGTGAGTTCATGTATCAGCAGGATTTTCCTCATTGGATTCTCTGCATGTTAGTTCATCATAATCAGCTGACAAATTCCCTCTTCCCTATGAACGCCTCAAACTAGCCGAACAGTCTGTGCGTGTTCCGGAGTCCCGCTTTGACTCAGAAACTGAGCAGCAGAAACTGGTTGTTAGAAGCCGGACAGAAGGAGATGAATCGGTCATATTGTTTACGAAACTTCTGTAAAGTTGTCGCAGTTTTTTAGAGTTTAGATCGACATCCTTTTAGACTAACAGATATTCTTGCCTGGTGTTTGTGGACTGGGACGACTGTCCAAACTGATACATCATCCACGATATAAACTCTATTTCAGCTCAAGCACAACTACGACAAAATATGTTCACAATACCTCACAGCAAGAACGTGATGGGAGTATAAACATGTTGTTTATGATCACTATTTGTTGTTTACCAAAGATGAAATCAAAATTAACCACCATGTTTGACTTTTCGGACACACATTTGTACTCTCACTGTGAACCCTGTTGCTCATTAGGCAGCTATTTGGACCGCTCTGTCTAGCCTGATTGTCCGATAGACAACATAGCTGCCGCGCGCGCGTGTGTGTGTGTGTTTGTGTTTACGACAGTGTTTTAGCTCTTACGGAGGATTACTGAGTGAGCTCACACGGGCACAAACTCAGAGAAAGAGAGAGAAACACACACATAGAGTGGCCTGAAGATGCACTCAAGAGTCAAAGCCCTGTTCTAATGGAAAACGACAAGTTCAGCCCCACTGCACCATTTAGAGAGGGAAGCAGTCCAGCACAGTGGAGTATAACCCAGATAAACACAAATCTATTTGTACACTGATGAGACTCAAAGTGGCACCATCTGCAGGTGAAAGTTATCTTATTTGATGACGACGAAGTCTTTCTGCTGTTTCGCTCTTTGAGATGTGCAGAAGGTCTTAAAATGCAGATTAAATAAACTGTTTCCCGTCCTGACACGCAGAGTTAATGGTGGTGGCCTCTGCCGGCGTGGCCTCCTGAAAAGATTCGCCTAGCTGCCAATCAAATTGTGCGTTCATCCAAAAATCCCTCCTATCCTCTCCTTCCTTACTGTGCGCTACATCTCAGTCCAGTGTTTGGACACCACAGAGACAGAAGACGTCCCTGAGATTATTATTTCTTCATACCGTGTCTATTAATAACAGTAAAAGAACATTGGGTGCGAATACACAAGGTGAAGAAGCAGGAGCGTACACAACTTTTTTATCCTCAGTTGTGTGTTGGATATCATGTTGACGTTTGAGAAAGATGCACAAAAGCTTGAAGTTGTACTGTAAAGAATAAATCAGAGCAGATACTGGGATTTTGAGGGTTTATTTCTGGAGCCCTGACTCAGATTATTTTGGACATGGTCGCATAAAAGTGACCAAAATTTGACCAGAGTGCAAAAACGAGTTGTTATATTTCTTGGCTACTCAAACCTCCATTTGTGCAACTTATGCCCTAACTTATCTTTGGTAGCCACGCCTTAAATTCAGCCCTGCTGTACTGTCAGTTTTGGTCTTCATTGGTCTGTAATTATTTGCAGCACATGGTCGGGGCTGGACTCGAACCTGCGACCGCTGCGGAAACCGTGGTCCCCATGCAAGTGGCATGCTAACTTGCTCGGCCATCTGTGCGCCCCCTTGTGGTCTGTAAATTTAACAAATTGCTTTGTTAAGATTTCAGATCATGCGTTCATTTGTAATATATTTATTGTTGTGAAACATCTGTCGGTCACTTTGCACACACAGTTAAGTTGTCATCTTTATATTTAGTATGAAGACTTTCCTGTAATATGAGGTTCACATGTACGTCTGTATTATTAAAAGTACGATTGCATGAGCAGGATCGCTAAGGTGAGTCCAGTAGTTTACCTCGGAGAGCATCATGGCAGTTGTGTTTTATTGTTGTCCTTTCTCATCAGTATAAGGATGATAAAGTTCCCCTCATACTTGAGTTTACTGGGAAAAGAGAGGGGACGTGTCTAAGACAACTAAAAATCATCAAACCAAACATCGAAGAACATAATCAGCGCTGTTAGTTAGCTTGGAGCTATTTCTTAACGACAGTCGTTCGGTTTTTTGCTAACTCTATCGGTAGCTGACAGGCGGCTGCTAACTAGCAGGAACTTTATAGTGCTGCATCCATTTTAATGTACGTTTCATTTTTCACTTGTAGCCAGTGCTTTGCTTTACTACTACTACTACTACTACTAATAATAATAATAGTAATTAATAAATAAATTAAAAATAAAAAAATCTGTGACTTAACTTGTGTTTGTAACATGAACTTTTGATTTGTTTTCCGAAATCAGGTACAGTGCGTAGACATGGCGATATCTGCGCTTCCTGGCTCACCCCCAATTTCCACCACATCTGGAACGGCTGCGAAAAGGTCGTATGCGCCGATCACAGCTGATCGTTTCCATTCAAGTTAATGTGTCGATTTTCACTGTTTTCTATCCGTTCCGCTGCGGTTCAGCGGACTCTGCGGCCTATCGGCAAGGTTCTATTTTTTTCCAGAATAAAACATCCAGCTTCCTTTCAAAATAAAACACTACCTGTTTCAAGCGGATCGTATTTCACACCATGCAAACAACAGCGGGGACGATCAAGTGAAAAGTTTTCAGATGTCATTTCACCCGGATGACACCATGGATGAGGAGACGCTGATTCTAGAAGTCTAGAAGTAGATTTCCTCCTCTGGAAGGACATGATCTACTGCTTATATGTCTATGTGTCTGTCTTTATAGAGACGACTTTTATTTATTTTTTATTTATTCCCGTTGACCGAAATCCGCCATCCAGATCCGGTGAGCCCACTTGCTCACCCCTCCAAACATCTTGGTGACGGTGGCCTTTGAGGACAAGAGGCTCCTGTGATGTATGATGAGTGATTCAGAGGATTTTACACCAATTTCAAACATGTAGGTATTAAACTCCATTTCCTCTTAGTCTGTTCTGATTGATTCTACTTTTTATAATCCAACCCCTTTATTAATCTCATAAAGCTGTTTGTGCTCAATGCATATATTAAAAAAAAGGACAACAAAAGCCTTTGTTTGGTAAACTACATACTGGTGTTTGGTTTTATAGATGAAGCTGACAATAAGAATAATAGGAGCCACCATAATCAGTTTTCACTGCTCTGTCTGTGAGGAGATTAGCCGTCATCTGTTCACAGCTCCCACAATGGAAGAGCTAAAACATATAAACACATGAATATAATCATTTTTCTCTTTAGTTTTCATGAACATTTCTCTGACTGAGGTCTCTGGTGTGAATCTGTGGAGACATGGGAGAGGGAAGCCCCCCGAAGAGACCAATCACAACTCAGAGATGGATGTCTCTCAGACAGGCAGACAGTCGACCGGACCGGGTGTTACCAGGAGAAATCATTAAGATACTCACTCAGCTGCTGTGGTGAGAGGAAATGTGACAGAGGCACATTCTGATTTTCATAACGGTGAATTCAGCGACTTTTTAACAGGGGCGTTAGTTTGATTCGTTCAGATTCGACTAAAGCTCGATTTCTCAGAGAGGAAAACATTAACGGTATCTGTTTGTTTTGGAGGAGAGTCTTCTTCTTCTTCAACAACAAAGTTTGACCTTCGCAGGTTTTCTGTCTCTTCAAGTTGTCAAATACTTTGGATAAAATCTGAACTATCAGATGGCAAAAACAAAATATTTAAAATGATAAAGTCTCCTGGACTGTTTGCATATTTCACAGCCAGTACGCACAGTGATTTTTTCCATAGATAAATACTTTAATGTTAATGTCGGTGTCTGTTTTTGCTTCATGTTAGCAAGATAGAAACACAGCGTTAAAGCACCAGTAGGTTTTTTTGACATAGGCTAAAAACACCAGAAATTATGGTCACAAAATTCATTTTTTTGGAGCTTAAATGTTTATTTCACTTACTACTGAAAACCAAAAGAATCAAAATGTCCTTAAAATTTTACAAATATATTTATTTATGTCATTAGATGTTTTTGGACACTTATAAACTACAAGAGTCAGACTGTATTCAGGTGATTTTTTTAGTAATTTATTGATCATATTGATTAGATAGAAGTATATAAAAGTATTTATCAAATATGATACAAAAGGCATTGAAAGGTTTAATGTGTTTTTATGGTGTAAAAAGCATCAATATAAATTTTTTTTCATGCCTAAAAATGGTGTAAAGGGGGTTCGGTGTCATATCTATCCTATCTAATTTAACATTTGACAAAAAAACATCCATGAGAGCAGTCAAACGTCACCTCCCCTTTAGGTGAGAGCAGTCTATGTAAAAAATACAACTGCGTAAAACATGAAGAACATTTGATTTTGTGGTAAAAGCCCAAATCTGACGGCTTTCATAGCATCAGAGATCTGTAATGTCGCTAGATGTCACTCAACTTGAGATAAGAAATCTTACCTGTGAATCACAAATAGTACATTTAAAGGAAAACAGCAACTGGATCGGGGCTAACATCCCATAATATACCTGTGGAGTCTTGTTGTGTTGTACGAGTGTCTATCTAATGCGACTTTAACCTAGACAGCGATATAAACACAGACAAAATAATCATTATGCTCGTGCAAATGTTTCTCCTTTCCGTGGCTTTTAAAGTATGTTCAGATGTTACTAATAACCTGTTTGTAGACTCAAAATATCACCCAAACTCTCCTGACTCACACTAACCGTAGTCTGCACGGCTGCTCATCATGACCTGACGTGATTCATGATAATTACCTTCGCCAAGGAGGTTATGTTTTCGGTAGCGTTGGTTTATTGGTTTGTTTGTTTGTTTGTCTGTGAACAACTTTACGGAGAAAATTACAGACAGATTGATCTGAAATTTTCACCAGAGGTGCGTCTCAGCCCCAGGAGGATCCCATTACATTTTGGTGGTGATCCGGGTCGCCTTCTGGATCCAGGAATTTTTTGAAGGATTCTTTATCATTGTGAGATAGGGCAAATTTTGGAATTTTTGCATTTAACTCTATAAAAATGTCCAGAGTCTTTAGTAAAAAAATACACAAAAGGATCTCAATGAGTTTTATGAGGTGTCAAAGGTTGATCCTGATCCAGACAAAATTCCAGATACTGTGATCCAGAACACACAAACATATAAGGGTTATACGTTTTCGTGTCGTGCAAATGTGACAACATGATTTTAGAGTGTATATGCATCAGTAAATTCACAATTTAAGCTCAAAAGTTGCATCAAATTTTCTCTGAACATGAACAACCTTTAGTTGATGTTCATTTGCTTGAATAGTTACGGCAGATTGCGGGATTCAGTCCCACATTTGCCTTTTAATGCATTATACAGTCGATCTCACTCTATTTGCATTTGCATAAAAGACATGCATGTGATGGAAAAGCCTCTACGACTCAAATTTTACTCCATCACAGGTCTCAGAAATAAACCACAGAGGGATGTGAATCTAACGTCTAATTTGCAGGAAGTTTTCAGGTTTAAAAGGAAGAAGAGCCTGCAGAAAAAAAAGACTCCATAATGAGGGTTTGAATTGAGCGTCAGTGTGAATGTGTAGATGGAGGCTGTGAACCACTCCCTGCCTCGGCTGAACGGCACAGAGAGACAGACTGTAGTGATGATGTCATCCTCAGACTCGTGTTGGAGCCGCTCCACAGACGGCGAAAAACTGGAAACACTGCCAGGACTCTATGACAGCGGCCTCCACGGCTTTTCACCGATATGAGATTATTGTCTGATTCATCGCTGGACAAACACAATCCATACGCAGCACACGCTTAACTCATGCATCCATCAATTCACACTCCAACGGTTCATCCACCGAATCTGCGTGTTTGTGTCATTATGTAGTGTTGGCTCTTCTGTTTAAGGATGAATAATTAAAAGAGGAGTGAGCGTCTAAAAAAAGATAACATCTAAAAGCGCTTCACACACAGCATCCATCAGACAATGCCTCATATCTTAGACTGGAGATATTCAAATATCTCACAGCTCTCCGAGAGTGTTTAGACCCCAGAAAACACGCTTTTTCACCCGGATGGGCGTGGTTTTGCAGCACTGAAGCAAAATGTAAGGTTTGCATTTAATCAGTATAAACAATCTGTGTGTGTGTTTACTACTCAGGAGCGGTTTTGTAGGTTGTTGGGCTTCAAACAAACTCTGATGATACCTTGACCACAGGATATCGACCCTTTAATTACTGATAAGATGGTGTTTTTGGACATTTCCAGTCCAACACTTGCTAATTATTCAAAGACCCACTCCGATGAAAATCATGTTTTTCTCATTGTCTACATGATCATATGGCATTTTTCTGATACTAGAGGAGATATCATGAGAAAAAAGAAGCGCAAAACTGCTTTTCTGAGTGTTTCTGCAGTCAAATCGCTGTGACTCTCTGGCAGACCCAAACGGCAGGTTCAGACACAGTGAGATTTCCTATGTAGCAAATCCAAGCTCCGCCCCACTTTGCAGGCCAGACTTGGAGAAGTAGAGAGGACGATCGCAGAACAAGTGTGTGCATTAGCAGATTAACATGCCCTAATCATAATATTAGCTTTCATCATGCTCCTAAAGACATTAGAGAGCTGTTTCTTCTACTAAACAGGCATTGTTAGGCTGCAAGCTAGTGTGAAGACGAGTGTGCAGAGCAGCGCTGTCTCCGCCCACGACTCAGAGGTGAATCGCTAAAGATCTACTGGAGCTCTGCAGAAGAAAAGTCCTTGAAAATGACACAGGTAACGGGATTTTAGCAAAAAAAACTTAATAATCACAATTTGAATACCACTGAGAAGACTTTGAGTTGTAAAACAATAGGAGTGGAACTTGGACTGAGTTTGATGTTGAGTGGGGTGACCATACATCCTCTTTTACCCAGACATGTCCTCTTTTTTGGGGGCTGTCCGGGGGAGTTCATAAAATCCTTCAAATGTCCGCAATTTTGTATGGAAGTTTTATGTTTGTGTCGCGTGGACGTACTGAGTTAGAAGTGTCTGAAAAAGACTCAATCCGACCTGAAAAACTATCAAAATGAACCACTCAGACCTCTATGAATCCGCCTTTAGAAAATGGTCACTCTAATGTTGAGATGGTCCACTAAACGCTCAAATCGGTCACTTTGCTTCAGCGTTTATTCCGTCAACATTTGGGCAGGTCAACGGTTACATCACCACCGCTTTCGTTCACTTTTTCATCCTCATCGCATGACTTTTTTTGCCCGTTGAATGTTATAAGTCATCCGTTTTACAGGAAGCTATCAAACCAAAAGTGAGGCATATTACAACCGGTGGACTGATTTTATAATAACAAGAATGAGTTAAATGTATAAAATCTAAAAGACACCCAAAGAAACAACACCTCATAGTGTCTGTTCAGGTAAATGACAATGAAGTACGACGGTTCGGTGGCAGAAATATTGCCAAAGGTTAAATTCGGAGTGAAACAAGGCCTTAACTTAAAGATAAAAAAAAAAACATTTAGTTATAGTGTTTAAGTTAAGTTATATGAGATCAGTAACAGAGGGGTAAGACGAGACAAGTCTTTGACTTCTTCTTACCCATTTTTTGGACATGTGGATACTCTGGTTTTGTTTTTGTTCTTATTTTGTTGTGATAAGTGAGATTGATGTGCTTCTAAGTGAGGCACTTATTTTATTTTATTCTTAACTATTGTTTTGTGTGGTTTTTTTATATACATTTTTTTTAACCATGTACAGAAATAAATAAATAAAGAAAGAAGAAAGAAAGAACTTACGCTGTGGGAGCATTTTCTAAGGTTGCCTTCCTTCTTGTGATCAACTGTAGATCGATATTCTTCATTTAGCTCATGATAAGAAGTCTTAATTTTTACAGTCAGTGCTTAATGACTCCAAACATCGCTTATTGTTCTCATGAAGCACTGACCTCAAAAAACCCCAAATCAGAAACGGTTATGAGCATTCAACACAGAAACTGTACACACTTTTTATTTTACAACATCTCCCTGATTATGTTTTAATGATTTGAGGGCTCATGTTAAAATAAAAAAAAAGAAAGAATCTGGCTGATGTTGGTTACAGAAACTTCGTGGCACTTTGCCCAGAAACTGCATCTATCTGGATCAGAGAGTTTTAACCATTTGCAGAGTAATAAAATATCGCTGGCAGAGTCAGGGTTAACCTCCTTCCTCCCACTCTGGGTCAGAAAACAGTTCAGCTGCTGGATGTGTAAATGTGATACACTCACAGCAGCAGAGCAGACCTTATTTTAAGCTAGATTTCATCTCTGCTGTTGATGGGAGGTAATGACATTACCTACAGAGAGGGAGAAACAGAACTATTCCTCTGGCTATTTCATCCTCATCGCTCCCTGGTCGGTATCTGTTTCTCTCCCCCGCCTGCTCTCCCCTTTCTCACCCGCTGTGGGCCTGCTAAGTCAATTTGTATTGACTTATTCTTCTCTCCATTAAGTTCCTTTCTATTAGTGGTCATAATAATGAAATGGATATGAAGCACATACACACGGCTCACTCTCAGCTCCATGACTACAGTCAGTTTATCCACTGACATTTCCAATAAATTAGAAAGTACTTCCACAGATTATTCCGGGCAATTAATCATAGCCTTTCGGTCGGCTTAGAAAAGAGAAGAACGGCATATCCGCGTATGACGGGAGAGCAGATATTCTGTGAACATGTTTTCAAGCCAAGGAGATAAAAAAAACTAAATATTTTATTTTATCAAAAACACACAAAGAATCAGAGTATTTTTTCAGCTGTGCCTGTTCCTGTGTAGCCTTAAGCTTTCTCTTTGAAACTTTTTGTTTTAAATTTAATCATTTTAATTCCCATTTTGCAACTCATTTAAGGTGTCCTTTTTAAAGTATAAGACTCAAATGTTTTAACTCCATCTCCACCTTCCTCATTAAACTATAATGTGTTATTTTACATCTGTTTTTATGTACCCCTCAGTGTCAGCTCCAACAATAACTTTTCACATCTTTCCTATTAAACAAAGTAGCATCTGTCTATCGTCTCTATCTCCTTTTCTACTTCTACACTTATTTTAATGTTACCTTTAAATATTAGTTTAACTGCTGTTTAGATTCCACAACAGCACATTTAATGTTCTTTGTGTCCTGTGAAAGTTGTTGTATATTTGGATAATCGGTCATTATTACCCTTTTTTACTTTCCTCCTTACACAGCAGTTTGGAGTTTTCCGTCCGGACTTCATCATCGGTTTCAGGGAACCCTATAACAGCTCGGTAAATGTAGATATTCAAAGGTACCCTACGACATCTGTTTTGTGAGTTTTCTTACACTCACGTCTCTCTCATTGGTTTCTCCTCAGGCTATGTTTTAAAATACACTTAAGTGTCTTTTTATTGCCACTTCACCATCTGTTTCAGTCGACTCTGCTCTGTTTTAAGGTAGCATTAAGTCTCTATTTAAGGTGGTACAAAACAGATGGGGTAATGCGTGCTGTATAAAGCTGTAAAAACTGAAACCTGCCTCCTCTTCTGGGAAACCTGAGGCTTCCTTTCAGTGTAACATGAAGAGGGTCTTGTTTTGTACCCCTCGGGGTCTTTTCATCGTTTCATGTAAACCTTTGATGTTTCGAATCGAGGTACCCTTAAATATCATGTTGAAATGTCCTTTCAGTGTTTTAATGGTGTTTGTTGGTCCTCGTTTACAGATGTTTCACTAAACTATGTGATTGTTCGCCGGGTTTTGGTTCGACTGGTTAAGGGACTTTTTAAAAAGTCAAGATGTACGTTGCTGGTAAGTCCCAAGTGTTTGATCAATCTGGACCACAACACAAAACCATCTTTTTATAACAAAACTACGAATACAAACAAGTGGATCTGGTCTCACTTTTACCAATTATCACCAATTATCAATCCAAATTTTCTTAGAAAATCCTCGCTGGGTATGACAACTCTTGTTGGACTGAACTATTTTTAGCAGTAACTAGGTAACTAGCATGAGATGTGATGGGAGCTTTGTTTGAAAAGGAGGAGAGACTGTCTCAAAAGAGCGCCACGGACTCAAACGGAAAACTCGAGGATCAGACAAAAGCAGAACACGAACCACGGCAGGTGTCTTTTTTTCTTTTTTTTTTGATTGGCCCGTTTTTAAGGCATTTCCTTTGTTTTTGTTTTGGTATTTTTGTCATTTGGGAGAGTTAAAGTGTGCCGAATAATTTCACAACTCTGCCTTCAATCGACTTTCTTCTCGCGGTTAAAAACTCTGATTATAATACAGCGTTCATAGAAATCTGAAGTAAAGCCTAGATGTTTAAGAAGACACAATTCAGGGGGTAAAAAATGCAGGAGATCAAAATGAGTAATAATTAATGATGAGATACAACAAAGGATTAAAGCCACTTTGTACCAAACAATGATTACTCGACAACTATTGGAATTTGGATTTTGAAACGTGTGTAAAACTCAATTCAATCCTGTTTATAAAGCAAATATTAACAACGATTCGACTCATCACTTCAGCTGACAGTTTTTAGGATGTACTGGTGGTCCGTGTACCAGAATTTGGGAGACACTGTTGCAGAAGAATCTATTTCAGAAGAAGAAACTGGGTCAGAATGAAATTTTAAGCAGCCACTTTCTGACATACAACATCTTATGAGTCCTGCTAGCATGAAAGTACAAACTCGGAGCTCATTGGTGCATTAAAATGAGCTGCAAATGCAAGTCTATGATTAACATTTGGAAAACGTGTCTTAAAGTTCACAGAGTCAAAACACGAATATTTAGAGCAGATTCGATAAAATTTAATAAAATATCCAAGAGAAATTGCTGACTATTGACACACTACCCTTGCAAGTTTTACTTTGTTTGTCTCCTTTGCCATAATTAGCTGAGTGCTGCTATAAATACAGTATATGAAGGCAAAGTATTATTTTTATCTAAACACATTTAAAAAGAGTCTCTAAAAGACTGGTTATGGGAATAAGATGAGCCATTGCACACCCAAACTCGCACAAAAAACAGATTCTTTCAAAAACATATAATCTTAATTATTTTGTTAATGATTAGAGTCACCCTCTAATAAACGTTATCACTTTCTAATAGAAATCAAGTGACGTGGCCTAAAGAGCGGTATGTCTATGGCGACCACTGGCCTCCTTGCTGTTAGCGACAGTGTGACCTCAGAAACTGAGAACTTTAGAACTTAGACAAACAGGTATCAAAACAAATCGCCTGCTCTGCCATCACAGAAATGAGCTGTTCAGACCAAAACCAATTTATGAATCAGGCCGTAAACATGTTTATTTTTGCTCAAAAAAATTGGCCTTTTTGAATGAGTGTGTATGTGGTTTCTGGCGCTTCTGCAGACAGCCTCTAGTGGACAATCAAGGAACTACAGACAGGATGTTTCTGCTTATACCCATCTGAAAGGTTTGAGTGTCTAATTCTCACCAAACTGAGACAGCATTCATTCACGCTGCTGCCGCCTACAGAAACATTAATTTTGGACATTTCTTTAGTGGTGATAATGTAGAAAAGAAACACGAAAACTTGATTTGTTTTAGGAAACACCGACATGAATGATCTGCGTAAGACTTCAGGGATGTTTGATGTTGCAGATCTAAATCGGACTGCACCGTGGAGCTTCTTATGTAAGATATCGCGGCTGATGATTGGTCCCCATTTGTCACGAAATCAGATCAATATTTGCACTCTGGGAAGTATTACTCAAACCTAAGGCTCATTAGTGCTGAATTTATTCATCTGGGGAAGGTTGGATGATTTTAACATTGCTTTTGCTGGTGATATTTTTCCAGATGATAATATTTCATTCACACCCCAGTAATAATTACCCACAAACTTTCACCTGTGATTCACATCCAACTCAGAGCCAAACCATTTCTCCGCCCAGTGGCTCTCCGAGGTCTGAAAGAAATCACTGTAATCCTGTTAAAATAAAGAGTTTAAATCTGATACATGGAAACATACAAACAGCGATAACAGCTAGATACTCTTTCTCAGAGCGTGTTTTGGATGAATTTTGTTCAATTCACCAATGAGAAGTACGAAAATACAATAAGTCCTGTTGCTGATTGCAGTCCCCCCCACGTGTGCACAGACAACTATCACTGCCTCGCTTTGAAACTGATGAAAACATGATGAATCTGAAGATCTGAAGCATCTTCTGATCTGATTAACGGACGCTTCTGCTTGATGTAAATTGGAGATAATGGTATCCTCGGGAAGGCTAAGTCACGCTGAATGATATCAATAGCTGAGTTGTGATTTAGGGAAAGATTTTGGGGTTTTCCTTTTAACCTTTTTCCAATTTCAGCATCAGCATACAACTGGAAATGTGAGTGAAGAGATGGTAACTGAATATTTAATGACCACCTTCACCAATAAAACTTCTAATGATGTTTAACACTGACAGATAAAGCCCTGTGTGTCTTTCAGGGTAACACAATCACCATATTTGTGTACTGGGTACTTCCTGTTCTTTACAGGCCTTTTGTTAATTCCCATTTAAAGCTCCAGTGAGTATTTTTTTAGCTGGTTGTAAAACAGCCTGGAAATAAGACGCCTCTTTATAACCGATAAAAACAGGATGATCAACCGTAAGAAGGTAAGACCTTTACTTTATCCCTCTCTTCATATTTTACATTTTCAGTTACAACAAATCTTGCTGAGAAAAGGAGGGAAGTGACATGTTCACGTCAGCATGCACACAACAAAGCAAGCAAAGACCACTTCGGCCACAGGGCGTGCCAAATTCAATGCAACACAACAATTCCTTGGAACAGCGGTATGTCTTATTGTAGCGGAGGTAATCTAGGCCTCTGAGCTGAACAGTGAATGAAAAGTCAGTAGAGAGGAAATGGGAAGTTTTGAGGCCTATAAATGGCCGTGGTCGCTATATCGGAAACACTGCTAAAGATAGCTTTTGGTTGACCGAGCAAGAGGCAAAGACGCTGACTGGAGGCGGGTCTAAGCCAGCTAACAGCTACAATTTGTCCACCTGTCAGTCAAATCAGCCACACCCTTAATTATGCATATTGATGAAAACACATTATTTTATTATCAACACAAACTATTAAAAAAAAAGGGTCCTCGTACAGTGAATGAAGGAATCATATGAAAATGCTGTAGTACATTTGTGGCCTGGAGACAGTCGACACCAGTGGAGTGTTTTTATTTTAGCTGGAGTTGAGGTTGTGGGTGCTGCCAGTGCAAAAACACACACTGCACAAAAACTTGAGGCTAATGTTAGCTATAAAACGGCCAGCTTGAGGTAACATTCGGTTATGTCATCATCTTGTGAAGAACAACCACCTGCTTCATAAAGTTTAGGTCATGTGACAAATTCAGCTCACTGACTTTGGATTTGACGCCACATTCATTCACTGATGTCAAACGCTGCTATAGCCAATCCCTTTAACCGACTGTGTCTGGTTCCTTAACTGTAAACTTGATCAGGCTATGGCGATCACGATATGGCGTGTTTATGACTCATGGGCAGCTGGAATGTTATATTGGCGTTATTCTGGTTAATTCAGGGATGTGTCGTGCATGTAAAAGTAACCTGGGGTTCATTACGTTGCCAAGAAACACTTTGGCATTTTCAACTAATAGACAATTCTTTTTGGGTGGGTTATAAATGTCACACTTATTCTGTGCAACGGCCGATAATTGGACTCTGTAACCACAATCTAGACTCTTAGTGTTGCATTTTGCACAGCTGATCTGTTAATAATTGATGACGTTAGCCGGCAACACACCATCAGTCATCTGTTCAGCCGAAATAAGCAAAGAAACAGCCAGTTCGTCCAAAATGTCAGCGCTACCAGAGGCGTGGATCGGCCATAGAGAGAACAACAGGCTGAGAACCTGAAGTGACAGCAGTATTAGATGTTAAATAAACCTCTAACACGCAAATAATACACATTTAATTTGATAGTGAGCATCCAGGAGATGGAAATGCGATCAAATATCTGTCCTCTCAGGATAAAGATGAATTTGATGACATCCACGTTCATCACTCTGACATTTCATCTCACTCAGGCCTGATCTTTTATTAAATCTCGTAAAAGTGGGAGAGAAAACGTCAGCGGACCTAAATAATGGTTTTAAAATCAAGGAAAGGATACCGAGTGATGACTCGGATGTGGGATGGGAACTAGTTGAAGGGATGAACAGAAGGAGTGGGGGTGAGCGTTCGAGAAAAAAAAAAAAAAAAGAAAAGAAAAAAAAGAAAAGTGGCTGGAATGAAAAATCATGTTTGCTTGAAACATCATGCCTCACCATTTGGCTCTCTGATTGGCTAAAACAGGTTCCTTCCAGAAAAAAACACATGAATCCGCCTATCGCACAACAGACGACAATTCCATAATGGTGTTGCCATAGATACAGCATTATTAAACGTTGATAAATGCAAATAAGGGTTAATTTTTCTGTGAAAACACCTTCATATTTGGTGCATTTCTCAATCTGTGCAAGCTGCAGCCGCTTACGTCTGATTTAGGACCGAAGGTGCGACGAAGAAAATGGACACGCCCATTTTTTTACAGCGGACAACAACAACAAAAATATGGGAGGGTACGGCGAAAAAATTGCTGAGAAAAAATGCAAGGGGGAAACTGATTTTTATTGAATGTGTGCGATGAAAAAAATAAATAGAGGGAGAAAAAATATATAAGAAGGCGGGGGAGAGGACAGGAAAAAGGGAGTGAGTGAGTGAAAATACAGGTTTAAGGAGAAAGAGATGAAAAGGATGGAGAGACCTGCAGAGCCTGAAATGGAGTTTGAGATATACAGAGTAGAACAAATGGATAGAGGGAGAGAAGAGATAGAGACATAAAGAAAATGGAGGGAAAGGGTAGGGAGCAACACAGACAGGCAGAAAAAAAGGGAGACATGCAGAGAGCGAGGGAGAGAGGAGAGGAAAAGGCGTTCAGACAAGCGTGAAGCATCAACAATGGAGGCTAACAAAGAAAATCCCAATGGAGGCATCAATCACTGCCCCACTTATCCCTCCTCCCTCTGATTTTTAGGCTTTATTGCGAGCTTTTTGCCCCACACTCCCTCCTTCTATCACCCTCATCTGCCCCCTTCCCTCCCCCCCTCTGCCACTCCCACCTCCTCCGTCCATCTATCCATCCATCCATACATACATACATACATGCATCCATCCATCTGTCCGTCCATCTGTCCGTCCAGCCTCCAAAACAACACCTTCCCTCCAGTGTCTGCCATCTCCCCTCATCCTCAACGCAAACAATCTGCTCATTTAAGCATCCATTCACCCAACGCACCACAAAAACAGGGTTGTATAATCCTGGGTGTTATCATCAGCAGACGTAGAGATGGGGAGATAAAAAAAAATCACAGTCTACCTTCAGATTTTTGGAGGGGAAATAAATAAAAGAAACAAGCAGAGCAAGAAAGAGCGAGAAAAATGTGCAAATAAAGAGAGAAAAAAAATGTTTGCTGTTTTTTTTTTCTTTCTGCAGGACATGTCTTCTCTCTCTCAGCCCACAACACACACACAAAGGAATCCCATGACACCGAGATGGATGGATGAACAGAACAATGGCTCAACGGCACAGCTGATGAAAGATAAAAAAATAGCAAACGACCCCTTCGTCTTACCTTTCTGGCTCTGCGATTCATCCATGTTTTCCTCCATTGTGGCAGGTTACAGTCCCTTTGTCTCTGTTTAGAGTGAAGCTGTTTAAAGCCCCTTGCTAGCTCTCAGCACAGTGTGCGTGTGTGTGTATGTGGGAGGCTGTGTGTGTGTGAGTGTTTTTTTTCCCTCCCTGCAGATGATGGAGGCTCAGGGAAGTCCCTGTTTCAACACGGCTCTCTCTCTTCACTCAGCATCCTATCTCTGCATCTATCTGTGCAGAGGCTTTGCATACAGCAGTCATTTAAATCTCGTTTATTATAATTATTCTGACATATTTACATGCAATATAACAGTAAAATGTACAATGAGCTGGAGCAGTAGTCCTATTTTAAATATAAAAATACCACAAAATAAAATAGAATCTATGTCTACGGGGGGCTTTTAGGGCCAAAATGACAAAAAAAAGTACTTATAGAAGAAATATTGATTGTTTTTCTTTCCCTCCATTTTGCTGTCTGTTCACCACAGTTTTAGTTGAGTGTGTCCTCTCATTAAATAAATTAAAAAATAAAAAATAGTTTTAAAAAAGAACATACTTAAAAAATATTGATAGTCATTTCATTATAAATAAATAGAAAGATAAATAGACAGAAAAAAAAAAGGATGTACTTAAAAAATTGATGGTCATCTTATTATAAATAAATAGATAGCTAGATAGATATAGATAGATAGATAGATAGATAGATAGATAAAAAAATAAAGAGAACGTTTAAAAAGAACGTACTTCAAAAATATTGATGGTCATCTTATCATAAATAATTAAATAAATAGAAAAATAAATAAATAAATAATAATGTTTAAAAAGAATGTACTTAAAAAATTGATGGTCATCTTATTATAAATAAATAAATAAATAAATAAATAAACAAATAGATAGATAGATAGATAGATAAAAAATAAAGAGTAAATAAAAAAAAACGTACTTCAAAAATATTGATGTCATCTTATCATAAATAAATGAATAATAATGTTTAAAAATAATATACTTTGAAAATATTGATGTCATCTCATTTGAAAAAAAAAATGTGTTCAATATCTCAATGACCCTAAATTTATAATTTATCATCTTATTTTTCCTTAAAATACATCTGGGACACCATCGTGTATTCTGGATTTAGCAATGAATGTTGATACCACCATAATATTGTTGTAGCTTTAAATACAGAAACATGTATTGTACCCGTTTACTTTAAAGCTCCCGTTAGGATTAAAAAATTAATTAAAAAAAAAATGTTTATCCAACGGACAGAAATTCAATTGGTGCTATTTTTTTTATTAGCAAACAATTTAAGTCGGTGAAAGGCTAACAATTTTTAAATGATATTTTTATTGAGAGGGTCTGCAGAGATGGGGTTTTAAGTTTGAGACCTGCGCTTAAGCCAGACTTCACCCTAGACTTGAACTTGAACCAAACTCTAGCTTTTACGACAATCTTATCTAGTTTTCTATTTTGGTCTCTATGACAGCGGGAACTTGTCATTGTTCACTGTTATCAGGTGTATAGTTATACTTCAGGTGAGTGGGCACCCGCACCACCTGCTACAGTAAAAAAATCAAGAAGGCCACTCAGACATAACTGCTGAATTTTTTGGGCATCTTTCAACCTAATAAAGCTACAATCCACAATCAAGAAATAATACAATAAAAATATGAATAAAACTAGATAAGCAAAAACTGTTTTGTCCACTGGGTGTGCCGGAATGCACACAAACAAAAAGTTCACCACAGGGCCTTAAAAATCCACTCGCTCTGTGAGACGGGCGGAGTCTTTCTAAACCACAAGATTAGACCATGTCAAGAGACTGTCCTTACCTAAAACCTCAAAAATAATTAATGATGATTTATATTTTAAAACAGCTGTGAAGAGTGTCTAGGCTGTTTCAGTTTTGGCGCCCCCCAGTGAGACGACTGTCACAGTCTGCTCTCATTGTAGAAATATGAGAGACAGATCAGTTTTGATTGGATTTATCCATAGGCTGTATATAAGATGGACACCGTGGTTCCGCCTTCCGCCTGTATACGGATTTGAAGCCAAAAAGCTCTTGGTAATTCCGGGTTCCTTGAAACCAGAGCTGTGCAGTAGCGTTGTGCGCATTCGGCCGCGCAGTCGCCGAGAGTCCCTGTGATGACGCTCGGGTCAAACAGCGTATTCCCCCGGAAGAGCTACGCAATCCCTGAACGCCCATAGGCTATACCAGGTGTCAATCATAGAAAACATGAACCCCCTAATAACTTTTAAAAACGGAGCTGTACAGAAAAAAAAGGACTTGGGCACAAACCAGTCTTACTGTAACTATATGTCAACATCACAACCAGGGAGAAGAAAAATTTATGTTCTGTGTAATAAATTTCTAAAGTTTGTCCACAGTCCCATAAGCTTTGCTGGCGGAGGCGGGATTTATGATCTATACTGCAGCCCACCATCAGAGGGTGCTGTTCTCGGAGTGGCTTCACCCGGCGAGGAGGCAGACTCTGTCCATCTTATATACAGTCTATGGATTTATCCTATTAGCTTATTCTATAATCAATGGATAATAGGTGTCCAGGTGCTTCATTTACACTTTTCATTATTAGGCATATATATTAATATGCCAACAAGATGCAAGCTTTTCAGTCAGTGAATAAAAGAAAGTCACTGATTAGACTTTGATCTGGAACTGAACCATTTGATCAAATTTTAATTCTACTATCACAGAAAACTCTCATTATTCTCTTTAAAGCAGCAGCTGACTATTTTGAATTTTAATTGTACAGTTTTTGCAGCATTAACACTTTTGCATGAGCCAAATGTGAATGAATAATGATGACCTAAAGTGCAGGGCTTTAGTGTGGTGACTGGAGTCCACATGGTGTGATTAAAACAAAGGTTGTGCAAAAGAATGTTGAATTATACTGAAAACAGTGAGCAACCTCTATCCAAGCATCCACCTTAGATATCTGAAGGGTTAAGTTAGTGACAATAAATACACTTCAGTGGATCACTGAGTCAACTGAACCCACTCTCAAAATCTCCACTGCAGTCTCTCTGAGGATTTAGGCCCTCATAGTAAAGGGTGTCTGTGGAAGTCGGGTCAAATGAAGATTAGGTGTCTGCAGATGACCCTGTCAGCTCTAATATAATAACAGGTAGAGAGGCATTGCTCTGTCTATAAACTGCTCTGTGAAGTGGACGGAGACGGTGTAAATCCGATGATCTGATGGTCCGTTGTAACCTAAAGGTCTGTTCAAGAGACGGGTCACTGCTGCTGTGAGCCAGAGTCTTTAATATACGACACAGAGCCTGTGCAGAGCTAGTGCTGTGATAGTGGAGGTGAACTGAATCCCTGGACCCAGATTAGTTTACCGGTAAACTTTTTAGGAAATGACAGTAAGGTATGATGGTCTTACGCTTCGGCAGAGATCAACAATCTGATAAAATGATGAATTAATTTTATCAGCAGTATTTAAAAGAGTCATAAAGTTATCTTTCTGCGTCTCGCTGCTGTCATTGTTTTCTGCAGATGGGTCTGACTTTGACTCATCTCTGTTTATGTGTGTGCTCTACTGAGGAATTATTCAGCATTTTACTTGGCCATCAGTTCGCCCATTTGCAGATGAACCATAGATATGCTTTTCCGCCTGCAGCCTACTGATCAGCTGTTTGGTCTGTTGGCTTCAAAAAGACAAAAATACAAACTAAATAATGAATGTATATGACGGCACAGGTGACCGGCAGTCCAGTCAATACACTGAAAAATTAAGCAGAGAAATCTCAGCGCAAACCGGAGAGCAGAAGACGACCAAGGTCACCTCGGGGTACAGGTGTGTAAACTGTGAGCAGATACAGAGAAGACTGAGACCTAGCAACCACAACCCAAAATATACCAGCAGTTCACACAAGGCTGCAGACTGTAATGATCACAGACTAGAGTCCACTGCCTAATGACTCAACCATGGTCCACAGGATATGTTTACCTAATCTAAGTCCACTGTGGGAGCTGATGGAGGGGAGACTGAGCTGCAATAACAAACTCTACACACATCCACGTGTCCACGGGGTGATCTGAGGCTTCTGGTGTTTAACATCATGCAAAACTGAGATGCGAACTTAACGGATCGATGATTTGTACATCACAAGCCCAGTTTATTGATCTGCACTGCATGCAAATGATCCCCTCGGTATTTTAAATCTGCAAACAGTGTAAAAAACAAAACAAAAACAAAGGGGCTGCCTGATTGCAAAATAAGGTGCTGAAAATACTCCTGTAGATTAAACACTTACCGTGATGAGGACTTGACCCCATCTGCAGAAACCTATAGACCAGTATGTATGCAGGTTCTCCAAGCAGTTCCTCACTTAAGATCTGTACCAATTGTGGTTAAAATCTTATCTGTGACTTATTGCACATTGGCTGTTAGATTGCGAGCACTTTGCCTTTCTTAAATAACAACTAAATAATAATGTTTTCTACTTAAACAGTTTTGATTTGACTCAACGGGAAGTAAGAAGTACATTTTCTAAATATCAATATCCAATTTAATATCATTCACAAAAAAGGAAACTCAGATCTATATCATTACCTCTAAAGCTCTTTTAAATAGATTTTAATGGGGTGTAAAACAGCCAGAAAGACCTACAACAGTAAAACAGACCTGTAGGAGTCAGACTGGTTATCCTGCAGCAGACTGATTATTACTCGGTGTCAATTAAACGAGACCAGAACTCAGGATTTTACAACACAGCTTAACATTTCCCAATGTTTATATTAAAACTGTAAAAATGACACTGACAGAACACAAACAGGTAAATGAATAAAATTAATTTCAAAGAAGGGTTATGTTAAGTGATTGTGCATTTTAATGAGATACTTATTTGTCTATTTTGAAGGTTTTTTTGGGGAAATATTTCCTGATGTCTCCACGTTTGTTTTGGACATAAGAAACAGAAGGAAGACTGAAAAGCTTGGCTGTTTCAGACAGGTTGTTCAGGCAGAATGAGGAGAGGCACTGTCCCCCATTTTCAAGGCGTTTCCTGAGTCTGAGATGGTCCTCTACTGCCCCCTGCTGTCCCAGAGAGGATCTGACACAGAGTCATTCTAAACAAAACCAACAGATGGTTCATAAAATACACGAACTGAAACAAAGTTACCCCAAAATAAGTTTAATTTACATATGACTCAAGAGTAGATTCTATCTATCTATAAGTCTAAATCCTTATTACTTTTAATGCCTTTCAGTAACACACACTTGGAGGATGCACGGATGTAAGAAACAGAGGCATAGCCCTTTATACCTTTGTTGACCTTTCAAAACACAAACAAACGAAAAACAACAACAAAATCTTAAAGTCCTGGTTGACGATCTGAGAAGCAGTTGATAAAAACTGAGCTGTTGAGGCAGATTTGAAAAACGCGTCCCACCCCCCACACACAAACCTCACCCCTCTGTGCTCCACCATAACTTCTCCCCTGAACCTGTATCTTCCTCACCCCCTCTGACAGAGCAAGAAGCCGGCCGGCAGAAGATCCTACGCTAGCTTCAAAGGCGAAAAAATCAAAGAAAAAAAAGCCGATAAAAGTTACCTGATCAACAAAACTCTGCTGTCTTGTCTTCAGGCCCAAATCCTGGCGTAGCTCTTTCCACCGCTCCAAGGATGACCCGATGGTTATTGGAGTTAGATTCCTCGCTTGGTCACATTTCCTCTTCATCTCTGACCTTTCTTCTGTCAGCTTGCCTTTTATTTTTGCGGTGGGGCGAGCAGCAGTGTTTGTTTTTTGCGTCATTCTCCATTACAGCTCCTGTAGCTAAGCTGCTAAGCTACTTTTAGCTGCTCAGAGCTCCGAGGAGGGCCGGGAAAGAACTACGGAAGAGGGGTGTGTCGAATACAGCAAGGTGATTGGAGCAGGAGATCTGCCAATAGGAGCAGTTCGGAACAGATGGCTCCCATTGGGCAATTTCTCCAGTCGTCAACCATGACTTTAATCAATGCTGTTTGGTTCATGGATGCGCTATGTTCAATTATTTTTTGGAAAATAAACAAACGGTTAAACTTTGGTGAAGCAAACTGAAAAAATACAAGAAATTAAAATTAGATTTTAAAAGATATTCGAGTTGTTGCTGCTGGAGTTTAGGTTTTCCTTTTGCACATTAAAGTTAACTGGTGAATATGGGAGGAGACGTAAAGTGGAAGGTTTCTTATTTACACAGAGATGTTTTATTGATTGAGAGTGAAATTTGAGGCACAGAGGAGTAAATGACACCTGCTATCACATCTGTGATATTATGACCTCTTTTTTAAAAAAAATCAGCCATTATAAAATATTAACTTTGCTGAGTAACTGAAGAACCTACATCTCATGTGATGTTCAGACTCAATGTGATTATGCTGTTTTGACTGTTGTAGAGGAGCATCAGGAGAATAAGGATCAGACTGTTGGTTTGGTTACATGGTGAATGACGATAACTGCGATTTCATACAATAAGGGAAGGTTTGCATATGTATACATATATATATATATATATATATATATATATATATATATATATTCATGTAGTGATTGTCCCTATAATTAAGTTAGGATTGATGCTCTCAGATGTAGTTGAGGTGGCTCTTAAAAGAGCCGTTGTTTTGATATTTTTCAGGTCTCAGACAGCTTAAGCTCTCTCTCCACGGATACGGCGGGCCAGCTGGATGTCTTTGGGCATGATGGTGACTCTCTTGGCGTGGATGGCGCAGAGGTTGGTGTCCTCGAAGAGTCCGACCAGGTAGGCCTCGCTGGCCTCCTGCAGAGCCATGACAGCAGAGCTCTGGAAGCGCAGGTCGGTCTTGAAGTCCTGAGCGATCTCTCTGACGAGGCGCTGGAAGGGCAGCTTGCGGATGAGCAGCTCGGTGGATTTCTGGTAGCGGCGGATCTCTCGGAGAGCCACGGTACCGGGCCTGTAACGGTGAGGCTTCTTGACGCCGCCGGTGGCCGGGGCGCTCTTACGGGCAGCCTTGGTGGCCAGCTGCTTCCTGGGGGCTTTGCCTCCGGTTGACTTACGGGCGGTCTGCTTGGTTCTTGCCATGGTATCTTTACTCTGTGAACACGAGAGGAAAAATGTGAAGCAGTGAAAGAGGCGCGCTGCTCTTAAAGAGGAGGAGAGCGGATGTGAAGCGGTGACGCCGCTCCGCAGCTCCGGCTCTGATTGGTGAGAAGCTGCTCGTGGAGCTCAGCCCCGCCGGGTGGACGCTCGATGGAGGGAGGGAGAGCAGAGAGCCCCCTCCACAAAGTCTTCTGCTGATTTGAGAGAAGAGCCTCGGGAGTGAAGCTGGGCTGAGCGGACAGACACCCCCCCTCTCTGCTCTGCTCTGCTCTGATTGGTGCGCCGGGAAAACAGGCGCGCTCACAGGGTATATAAACGGGTCTTGAGCTGAAGAGGACATCATTTCTGAGTTCAGACCCTTGAAAGAAACGTACATCATGAGCGGAAGAGGCAAAACCGGCGGTAAGGCCAGAGCTAAGGCCAAGACTCGGTCATCCCGTGCCGGACTCCAGTTCCCCGTGGGTCGTGTCCACAGACTCCTTCGTAAAGGAAACTACGCTGAGCGTGTGGGAGCCGGAGCCCCCGTCTACCTGGCTGCCGTCCTCGAGTACCTGACCGCTGAGATCCTGGAGTTGGCCGGAAACGCCGCCCGTGACAACAAGAAGACCCGTATCATCCCCCGTCACCTGCAGCTGGCTGTCCGCAACGACGAGGAGCTCAACAAGCTGCTGGGCGGAGTGACCATCGCTCAGGGAGGAGTGCTGCCCAACATCCAGGCTGTGCTGCTGCCCAAGAAGACCGAGAAGCCCGCCAAGAAGTAAACAACCGAAAACTCAGCTGACAACAAGAACCAAAGGCTCTTTTAAGAGCCACCCAACAACCTCAAGAAAACAGAGTTTCGTATTGATGTTGAATTGATGCCTTTTATCAACCATCACTGATAGTTGATATTGAAAACACCACATATACATTTAAGAATGTTAATAACTTTAAAAAAACGCTTAAGTGACATCTGGTCTAGGATATTATGATTTGTCTTAATATCTCTGTCAGACTTTGTTTCCCTGACATGTTTTTTTTTTTTTTTCCAACTCATGTATTCAGATCAACAGAATCAAAGACTGACTAAGTTGCATTCCATCTTCATGGCTGACTGTACTGCTAATGACATCAAATTCTCTGTCATATTGCCATAGTGACGAAAAACCACCCTCCACCTTAAACATCAAACAAGATCTTAAAATCACAAGTGAGAACAATAACAAAACAGCTAATCAGATTTCATCTTGTTACTGACCTACCTGCTTTAATGTTATGAACCAAATTTATTATTTGCACAACTTCAGTAAATTACATCCACACCTGTACCGTAAGTCATTTACAGCAGAATATTTGTTTTCTGGTGTTCAGGCGTGCATGTGTATAGGAGTGTATGAACACGGACACAGTAGGGTTTTAGGTTGATGTGTGTTCAGATACAGAAAAGACATTAAAGTCTTAATTATTGTTGCCAAGTGTCTTTCTTGCTCTTCTGTCAAACAGGCTTTAATCTTAATTTAGTGAACATACATGTTATTTATAAAAAAAACATCCAGCCGTTCATTAACATCACATACAGACGCTGATAACAGAGGACGCTTTAGGACTGAGATTTGACAAATTCAGTTAATATGTATACACAAACTGCTGAGCATGTCACTGTATGATAATCCGGTCTGGTGTCTGATGTGAACCCAGTTTTATTCTGAGTCAGGGTCAGAGTCTCAGAGACTTGATTAGGATTGTCCGAGACTGTAACATTTCAGTCTTACTGTAAGTGTATGAGGGAGTTTGTAATCTGACCTGAGAGGTTATTATAATTATGAACTTGATTCTGTTTTACAGAGCCACCAACCACAGAGCAAAAATGTAAAGGGTTATATGAACTGAATGTAATGAACTTTTAATGTGAAACAAGTACAACATTATTATCCCCCCTTACTTTAAAAACAAACACGAGAACTTAAAAAATGTAAAAGTCAAAATGTCCATTGTTCCAGGTTCAGTCAACCTCACCAGGATGATTTGACACAGCATAGTTTATTTCTCTTCATGTTTTTGTGTTAAATGTTTGAATTTTGACCTCCAGAGCCTGTAAATAAGTTATATCTTATCATTTAATAATTGTTATTGATGTGTTTTTCATTCATTAATCACATGATGAAGAATAGTTCTTAAAAATCACTGGATATCAACTCAATTGTCCCGTTTTCAGAAGAATTTCTTTCAGTGGTTCTTTCACTGTTCACTGATCCTCAGATTATTAAATTACCTGTTTTTCTGTTTATGTGTGTTTGTGGTGGATTTTAAGGAGTTCAGTCCCAACTGGATAATAAACCTTTGATTTTATTTTGTTTTTTTAATCCTTTTCTTTTTTTAATTCTCCTATACTCTTCATTTTACTCTTACTTTATTTAATACAGTTAAATTAAACATTTATATATTGTGCTCATTTTATACTATTATTGTTTTTTTATCATTTATGATATTTTTTATCATTTATTTTTCTTTTTTATTGCATTTATTCTTAAAATTGTGTTAATTTTATTCCACGACTGCTTTTTAAATATTTTTTAGCTTCTCTTTTATTCTGCTTTAATTTTTTTTATGCTTACTCTCATTTCATTTTAAAATATTTTTTTATCTTCTCTTTTACTCTGCTTTTATATGCGTCTTATTCTCATTTCATCTAAAATTGTGCTCATTTTTACTCTATTACTGTTTCTATTATTAATATTTTGTGTATGCCTGATTATATAAAACCCCTGAACAGCACTTTAAAGCGTGCTCCAGAAATAAACTTTGACTCGACAAAGACGATACAGCTCGTCTACATCCATAAAACTCCTCAGATCAGTGAACATCGTTAAAAAAAAAAACGCGGTAATCGCTGAATAGCACGAACAAAGCCTTTGTCCTCGTGCTGTTCGGCCTCTTCAAAGCGCTCCGATTCCAGCCAATCCGACGCGAGCAACGGCACACAATTATGCGCGTGGAGGACCCCATAAAGCAGAGCCCCGGCCGGACAGCTACACATCTGTCGTTTGGATTCATCTGAACAACATGCCTGATACCGTGAAAGCTCCCAAGAAGGGCTCTAAGAAAGCCGTCTCTAAGGCCACCAAGAGCGGCAAGAAGAGAAAGAGGACCAGGAAGGAGAGCTACGCCATCTACGTGTACAAGGTCCTGAAGCAGGTCCACCCCGACACCGGTATTTCCTCCAAGGCCATGGGTATCATGAACTCGTTTGTCGGTGATATTTTCGAGCGCATTGCCGGTGAGGCCTCTCGTCTGGCTCACTACAACAAGCGCTCCACCATCACCTCCAGGGAGATCCAGACCGCCGTCCGTCTGCTGCTGCCCGGAGAGTTGGCCAAGCACGCCGTGTCTGAGGGAACCAAGGCTGTGACCAAGTACACTAGCTCCAAGTAAACCTGCTGTAACACAGTGTATCCACAAAGGTCCTTTTAAGGGCCACCCACCTTTGCCTTTAAGAGCTTTTTCCCCTCCACATCAGTCTGAATGTGAAATTTAAGATTAGACGTATTCTGTCTCCTCTGATTTCTCTGAACGTAGCATTTTATTGTTGGGTTATCATAAAGACAGTACAATAACAGAAAGATCATCAGTGGAATTTGAAGTACTATTCCTGAATACATCTGTACACACTATTGCACTGGTTAAGCCCCTATGCCAGTCTTGTAGATGAACTTTCTAGTCTTGAGACATACTGATGAGTTAGCTGACATTCATTCTGTGAAACACTCAACAAGGCCAAAGCACTAACAAACACACCACCATGAACAACCAAATATATCCACATATGGACAATGCAATTTACTTGCTATATGTTCAGATTAAACAAAGTAACCCGTGAAAACATCGTAGACTCTTTCATAAGGCCTTAACTTAAGGTTGTGTTTTATATCCCTCCCTCATACAGTCATTGTGTACACATTTTTCAGTGACCATATTTGTATCCAACATGATTTCTACCTTCATTCCTCCACTCTATGAGCAGTGGCAACTTGATGAGTGAATAACAATTCCTATCAGGGCAACAACTGATCTGTATCAGACTGTAAATGTGACTCTAATATGGTGTACAGGGGATCCAGTCCATTTTGACTCAGTGTTCTTTTATGTGAATACATTTAGGACGGCTGTCTCTTTTGTTCCACCGTACCGACAAGTAGGAAAACTGATAAATGTTCTGTTTATACCATGAAAATATCGTGTTTAATTAACGTTGGCATTGGCCTTATATTAAGGTTGCTATCCAGTTCACTCTTATTGAAATCTTGCAATATATATTTACTTTTTTTTTTTCCACCGTAAATTATGTGGTTGACTGTGGTCTATTTCAAAAGAACTTGTATTTAGTCAGTTCTTTGTACAACATCAATAATGCATTTTTTGGCCCATTTAGTGTCCAATATGATTTCTACCTCTGTTTAATTCATTCCTCCACTCTGTAAGCAGTGGCATTTGGACGAGGAAAGGATGACAGTTCCTATCAGAGAGCAACAACTGATCTCTATTTGCCCCTGAATGTGCCCCTTATATTATTTTATTTTGTGTATAGTCAGTGTTGTGCTTATGTGACTAAAGTTGAGACAGCTGAGTGTCTGTTTTGTTTCAGTGTGTAGTCCTAACTGTGTAGTGAAAGTGATAGTGGTTAACTAGATGGAGATGGAGTACTTGTGGCTGGTGTTGGTCTAAGATGTTGTCATTACATTAGGTTTACTTCATCTTACCTGTGTAGTGAATAGGATAACTTCTATAACTGTCTATATCATGAAATGCTTATGGTTGGTGGTGTCTATATTACATGTCAGTACATATTTTACATACATAGGCCCTGCTCAAAAAGTACATGTACAAGAGATAATGTTTCATAATTTCTTAGTAAAACCTGAATTAAGTTAAAACAGGAGTGCACTCTTTGGTTTGTAGATGGGTGGCTCTTAAAAGAGCCTTTGTTTTGAGGTCTCAGAGCGGATCTCCTGAGCTTACTTCTTCTTGGGTGCTGCCTTCTTGGCTTTGGGTTTGGCGACCTTCTTGGCGGGGGCTTTCTTGGCTGCTGGTGCCTTCTTAGCCGCCACCTTCTTAGGGCTCTTTGCGGCCTTCTTGGGGCTCTTGGCGGCGGCTTTCTTGGGCGCTGCGGCTTTCTTGGCTGCCTTCTTCGGGGACTTCTTGGGGGTTGCCGCCTTCTTGGCTGCCTTGGGTTTCTTGGCCGCTGCGGGTTTCTTAGCTGCGGTCTTCTTTGCTGCTGGTTTCTTAGCCTTGGGGGCTTTCTTCACCACCTTCTTGACCTTCTTCTCGGCAACCTTCTTGCTCATCTTGAAGGATCCGGACGCCCCGGTTCCCTTGGTCTGGACCAGGGTCCCCTTTGCCACCAGACTCTTAACGGCGACCTTAATGCGGGCCTTGTTCTTCTCCACATCATATCCACTGGCGCCAAGAGCCTTCTTGAGGCCGGCCAGAGAGACTCCGCTGCGCTCCTTGGAGGCGGACACGGTCTGGACGATAAGCTCGCTGACGCTGGGTCCAGTCTTCTTAGCCTTGGGAGCCTTTTTCTTGGCCACTTTAGCCGGGGCGGCGGCGGCGGGTGCTGGAGCTACTTCTGCCATAGTTTCCCTTTCGAGTCGTGCACAGAGTGATTCAACTGTCTGACCGCTGTGAGGCACGGAGCTGCTCTTAAACACACCATGAGAACCGTAAAGACTCAAGCCGAGCAGCGTCTCCGCCGGGCCGCCTGAATGTCCGACCACTTGTGTTTTCTGTGCCGCGATTAAACTCTCCAAACTCAATGTAGAGGTTGTGTTCAGAGCTGCGGGTTCAGGAGCAGATAGCGGACTTGTGTCTCCCCGGGTTGAAGTCGTGTTGAGCTCTGCTGCTCGCTCTTTTTTCTCCGTGGAGCCTCCAAACCTCACAGATTGAGCGCCGAGAGCAGCGCTGCTCAGCGACTTTTCACTCTTATATTTCTCTTAAAACGTTAGCAAATGCATAAGAGTACTGTGAAAATGTGTTTTCCCGTTTGTCAACATGTTTGTTTAGAGACTCAGACGAAAAACACCCATCTGTTAAAGAAGGATTTCTAATAAAACCTGTTTATATCGATCACAGCAAACACACCAAGGAGGGCTGATGCCTGTTTTGTAGGGAAGACAGATTGACCATCAGAGCTGCTCCGTGTCTCTGTGTATTTTACTTATATTCATATCTATGTTCACTAATGATACGGTTTAGTAAAACAGTACAGGAGATCTGGGATAATGTTTTTCACATAAGGGTTATTTTCCAACAAAAAACAAGCTGTGGTAACAATACTGTTTCGCACATGCTCAGTTGGATTCTCTCTCTGCCTGCACGATGACAAAGAATGCGATGCTTTACCACAGACGAATTTATAACAAATAAAACGTTTTTATGATTTATACCAAATATACATTTATGTTTTTTTCCCCCTGCTATCCAAAAGTATATAATTTTAACAAGATGAAAGCATAACTCGGTTGTTCCCATCGGGTATCTGAAAATTTGCCAAGTCTCTAATCGTACCAGAACTGAAAACATGATATAATTTTGAGTTATTCATGTTTTTCATTTTCTTTGCTACTGTATGTTAAACAATCATCTGATCAGTATATCTGACTAACACCACACATCAGTATTGCCCTCTATTCTGTTCTGTACATACTCTCCATACATTTGACTAGAAACTGATCTTTACTCAAACTGATCTAGGTAAGAATTGTTGAATCTATAATTTGATCACAGTTTTAACAAAATATAATTATTTAAAACCGTCCTAGTTTTCTTCCAAGAAAAGTGTGATTTGTACTTGAATTCATACAATCTTAAAATATAACGGTATTCTATCCAGGATCAAAAATGGACCTGAGCTGTGTGATTTAATACTAGTTACTACCTTTATTACCTTAAAGGTGTTTATTGATTTGCACCAAAGTTGCTAAATTATGGTCTCCATCAATTCAAATGGAGTCATTTGATCAGTTAATGTCCATCATTACAAAAAAAAAAAAAAAGAAAAGAGAAAGGAAAACATTTTTTTTATTACGTCTTTTTTTCTGAGTTTAAATTAATAATTGGATCCACTTCTTAAACTTTCCGTCAATAAAATACTTTATTATTATTATTATTAATAATAATAATAATAATAATAATAATAATAATAATAATAATAATAATAATAATAATAATAATCCTTGAAATTAAGAAATGTACACACTCAATGTCGTAACATCTCGTTACTGGTCTGCATTTGTCCAGGACCCCTGAGGTCATGTCTACTCATTGTCCCCAGGGTCACATCCAAACAAAAACAAGCATAATAAAGCAGATGGTCGTGTACAGAGCCATGCAAGTATAGAACAAATTACCAGACAACATTACACAAGAAGATAGTGAAATAACTTTTTAAGAACTTAGTCAAGAAACACCTTTTCTCAACAGAAATTTAAAATGTAATATTCAGTTGGCAAGTAATGTGTGTGTGTGTATGTATATAGCTATATGTACATATATATGTGTATTGTATTGTTGTATTGTGTATTTGTATGTATTATGTTTGTTTATTTGCTTGTGTTTATTATTATTATTATTATTATTATTATTATTATTATTATTATTATTATTATTATTATTATTATTATTATTATTATTGGGGTGTTTAATATATATGAGATATTGGCTTTGATTTAGGCTAATGGGGATCCCAAATAAATCAAATCAAATCAAACCTCAGGTGTGGACAAACTGTCAGCTCATTTAAATCAGGACTGAAAACATTACTGTGTACTACAGCTTTCCTATAGCGTCAATTCCTTAAACTTCTACCCTGCTGTTCCATCAGTTTGAACTGTTTTAATGATTTTAAATTACATTTTGATATTTTATTGATTTTATGCTGACAAATGCTTCTTCTTTTCCATGTTTCTAAGGGTAATAGAGACAAAATTGGGACCTAACTAAGGAATTGATTTTTGTGTATGAAAATAGTTTATCTTGACTGTACTGAAGGTCAGGGTAGAGTTGAATAAAAGGGTTGAGGTATGGAGGTATAAATTTGGGTTGAGGAAGAGAGGGATGAAAATAGTTAGGTGGCTGAATAGTAAGAAACAGGGGTGTGGAGACTCTGAGTGGGGACAGATCTTGACATGCTTCTGGTTCTGTATCTCAGAGAGAACTTCTTCTGAAAAGGTCGATAAAGTTACTTGTTCAGTTCTTTACAACTGTTGTCTTGTCTTATAGGAAGGACTGTGCTGTACTACATGAAAATATACAATACAAGTAAGTATTAAAAGAAATGAAGTAAATATCAAAAAGGCTTATAGTCACTTTTATCATCTGACAGAACACATTTGGAGTTTCTGAGATGATATCACTTCAAATTCCTGCAGATCCTCAGGTCTAGCCTGAGGCACCATGTGAAGACGGCCAGAAGAAGGCCAGCAGATGGCAGCAGACGCTGTGATTAAATGTAAATAGTGAACCTTTTGAAAATATTTTATTATTGAAATATATTCAACGGTAGAACTGACTAATATTTCACCACAATACAATATAATATATTCATAACATGCTTATGTATATATTCAGTACCAACATTGCATGAACCTGTACAGCTGCAGGAACCAGCATCAGAGGGACAAATTAAGGAAACAAACTAATGACAGATAAGACCCTATTTTTCCTAAATGAGGTCAGAATAAAGGTCTACAAGAGAATATTTAGAGTGAGTACGGGGTACCTAAAAGTAAACACTATAAAGCAGAGTACAATTTTTCATGGGGTGGTTCCAGGCATTTGCCAAATAGGATTTGCTGGATTGTTGAGCCTCTTTTATTGTTATGGATCACTATCACTATCACAATTCAGATATGTCCATGTAGATTCTCATTCATCCAGGTCATGGTTTTCCTGAAGACTCCAGAATCAGGCAACTGGACCGTGTAGAGTTGAGAAGATGTTTCACCTTTTATCAAATAAGCTTCTTCAGTTCTAATTATTGCTAGTGTGAGGAGCAGATATTTATCTTACTGGAGAAGGGGACAGACAACGACTGGGAGGAGTTGGAAAGAATGGGTCGGAGACACCCATCTCCCGGTGTTCCCCTCTGAGGGTCGTTATCCTGAAAGGGTCATAAACGACCCCTGTCATGTGACCGCATAACTCATTCCACCTGAGTCATGTGGTCCAAGGTGTGAATGTTTGTGGAGCTTCCTGGGGAGAGAGCTGAGAACTGCATTGTAAGTGCCGGAGAGGTTGTGCCTGAGTCCACCCCTCTGTTCAGAGAAGGTTTCTCCAGCCTGGTAAAGGTGGCTTCTTTAACTCCTCTTTTAAACCATCTGTCTTCTCTAGCCAACACCTGTACATTGCTGTCCTCGAAAGAGTGACCTGTGTCCTTTAAGTGAAGGTGGACAGCTAAGTCTGGACCTGAGGAAGTGTTGAGCCATGCGCCCATGAAGCAGTTGTTTAGTTTCCCCAATGTACAGGTCCAAGCATTCCTCGCTGCACTGGACAGCATACACCACATTACTCTGTTTATGTCTCGGGGTGTTTTGTCCTTGGGATGGACTGACTTCTGCCTTAGTGTGTTACCAGGCTTGAAATGAGCAGGAATATGGTGTTTGCCAAAGATTCTCATGAGTTTTTCCGACAGGCCTGCAACTTTAGGGATTACATTGCTCCGGCGTCTCTCCTCCCTTTCTTGTTCAGTGTTATTTCTCTAATCTATCGGCAAAAGGTAGCCGAGGCAAGCATACTGCAGATACAAGTGTACTTCAACAAACCATGAGTGTATATAGGAGTATAGTATATAGTAGAATTAAGTATAAAGTATGTATGTATGTATGTATATGTATGTATGTGCAGTGTATGTACACACAGGTCATGTAGTGGAACTAGTATGCACAGTCTATGAAATTAACTGAGACAAGTGATGTAATAAGGCGCGTCTGTGTTAGCATATCGGTAACCGATTATGGTGGTACACAAATAATAGGAACGTAAGCTCTCAGGTCTTGTGGGTGGCCCTTAAAAGGGCCTTTAGGGTCTAAATATGGATCCGTTATCTTAACCTCCGAAACCGTACAGGGTGCGTCCCTGTCTCTTCAGAGCGTACACTACATCCATGGCGGTGACGGTCTTCCTCTTGGCGTGCTCGGTGTAGGTGACCGCATCACGGATCACGTTCTCCAGGAACACCTTTAGCACACCGCGGGTCTCCTCATAGATCAGACCGGAGATACGCTTCACTCCGCCACGGCGAGCCAGACGGCGGATGGCGGGTTTGGTGATACCCTGGATGTTATCACGAAGAACTTTACGGTGACGCTTGGCGCCTCCTTTTCCAAGACCCTTTCCTCCTTTGCCTCTTCCGCTCATTTCTGCTGTATTTGTGAAAACAGACTGTGACCCACTGTGATGAGCTGCGACTTAATATGTATGCCCCGAGGACGTAAAAGAAGACAGAAGCCTCTTGTTCTTCCTCTCTTCAGCAATAGTTGATCATTCAGAGTTTTCAGCATCAGCGCCCCCTATAGGAGCGACACTGCAGATATCAAAGCACTAATACACAGGTGGCAAACTCAAGGCCCGAGGGCCAAATCTGGCCCACAAGATCATCTCATATTTACCTCTGCCAAGGAGGTTATGTTTTCGGTAGCGTTGGTTTGTTTGTTTGTCTGTGAACAACTTTACGGAGAAAGTTACAGATGGATTGACCTGCAATTTTCACCAGAGGTGCGTCTCAGCCCCAGGAGGATCCCATTACATTTTGGTGGTGATCCGGATCGCCTCTTGGATCCAGGAATTTTTTGAAGGATTCTTTATCATTGTGAGATAGGGCAAATTTTGGAACTTTTCCATTTAACTTTAAAGTCTTTAGTAAAAAATTACATAAAGGATCTCAATGAGTTCAATGAGGTGTCAAAGGTTGATCCTGATCAAGACAAAATTCTGGATACTGTGATCCAGAACACACAAAAATAAGGGTGTCGTTGGAATTTTCAATGCTGAAAGATAACCAATGGGCGGTACAGTGGTGTAGATGGGTGGTACAGTGGTGTAGATGGTTAGCACTGTCGCCTCACAGTAAGAGGGTCCTGGGTTTGAATCCGGGTCAGGGCATTTCTTGTTTTAGGAACATTATGAACAGTGAACGTACCAGTTTAAACACAAATAAACGAGTGCTTTTCTGGTTGTACTATTATTATTGGCCCACCAGATTGAAGTCTGCAGATTTCCTCCAGTATGATAATATAAACTTTAGCACATTCATTTAAAATATCCTTAGTCAAGAATGTGGGGGAAAAAATATTTGGTGTTTTATTTCATATTTTCAATTTTGCATGTCAATATTACAAGTCAAACATGATTGGATTTTTTATTTCATGCTTTGATTTTGTTCAGGTTTTCCCCCCAGAAAGTCGCAAAATCGCATCGGGCTTGATTTGTATAGTCAGGCGGGTCAAAATTCGCCTCCCGATATTTCGTAGTTTCATGTTCTACGTTTGCATCAGCCTTTAAAAGGGTGAATTCATGTCTTAGTTTAAGTTGATCCTAAATAGTTAAAGCTTCACTATTCTTGAAGGTTTAAAAAAAAAAAAAAAAATTGAGAGAGGTTATTAAACGCATCCTTTCAAGGGGTAAAACTATGTTTTTTGTTACAGAAACTATATTGATACTGTTCTTACTGTTTTCTCCAGCTCTTATGGTGTGTTTACACTGTTCATGGAGGTTTAAAGGAGCCATTTTAAAATAAAACTTCGTGAAACATCAGTCTGAGAGTCAGACTGTAAGTCAACGGGGGGTGATACACAATGTACTTTTGTCACATTCAACATCTGAAATATTTCCCCTGCAGATACAATAACATGAAGTCAACTGTATTTATATCTGAAAGGAAAGTCCATTTTGTCAAAACATACTATGAAATATAATGCGGGGGAAAGGTGAGAATAGGAATAATACAGAAATCAGTCCTGCACAGTTGGATGACCCAGTGAAACAAAGAAAGGTTTCAACTATATATTTAATGCACAATAAGTCTTTCAATGAACTTTGAAGAAAGAAAGAAAGACAATTTGATGTTGTTGCCCTCTGACAATAGTCTGCCCCTATGCTTTGGCGGTATTGAAAATATTTCTGTATTAATTCAATCAGTGATTATTTTACCTTATTTGCCTATTAAAGGAGATCATTTTTTAGTCCAGTGTGCGGTTAAAAAAGTTCAGATGTTGTCTCTATCTCAGCAGGGCAGGAGGCTTTTACAGAAAACTAGAAGTCTAATAAAGCAAGAGGACACAATGAGTTACATGTGGAATCAGACAGCATAAACCAGACATTGGGTTATTTTTAATTAATACTACTCAGGCCTTTTTGCATACATAACGTGTGTAGAGGTTTGAATTAGTGCTTGGTAACTTGTGATGGCTTACTCAGCTTGGCACTTAGTTACTTCCACAGGCAGTGTCTGCCGCTAGCCCAGCTACACAGGTCAACAAAATCCACTCTGGAAACATTTTTGTGGTGACGAAAAACTATAAAAATCTTCTGGTATATTTCTTACATCCAAGGATCCACAAAATTTATGAAGACTAGAGCTGACTAATATTAATACACTTGTTGTAACTAAGCAGTAGCAGGAAAGAAAGCCGTTTGCTTCTCTAGCTTCAAGCACTGACTGACTGCATCGTCTCCGTGTCCACCAAACAAACGCACATGCGGTCTTAAAGGGGTAGCCGCCCTGTTATAAAAAACATTAACTAAATCACATGAAAGATAAATTTTAGCATATTTTTAACATTTTTGACCACAATATGAACTTATAAATGATGTATGAATTATGGATTATTAAATCCTTATATTTTTATACTGTCAACTTATTTATCTTTTTTTAACACATTTCAATCATGTTAACTGTATTCATAACCATGAACTATTCTTCCGCCTCTACAATGTGGTATGTTTAGTTGGACACTTTGATTTAGATTGAAGTAAAATTCTGTGTTTTCAGCATTTCTAATTACAAAATGGTTGGTTGGTTCAGAAGCACAAGAATAAAAAAAATGACATCCTCTGCAGAAGTACTTCAGAAACCCCTGCAGACAATAAGGATTAAAAAAAACAACATTGGTCTCCTCATGAGTTTGCCTCATAAACATGTGGCGATTGATTGAAAAAGTATTATTAGATACAAGTATTGTCTCTTATTATTGAGGCAGGGGTCATTTAAAAAAAATGGGTCTAATTTAAGTGTATGTTCATTATTAAAGACAACCAAAAACAAACGATAAAATGAGCAACAGGTTAATTTCTCTCAGATGTAGTTGAGGTGGCTCTTAAAAGAGCCGTTGTTTTGTTAGTTTTCAGGTCTCAGACAGCTTAAGCTCTCTCTCCACGGATGCGTCGGGCCAGCTGAATGTCTTTGGGCATGATAGTGACTCTCTTGGCGTGGATGGCGCAGAGGTTGGTGTCCTCGAAGAGTCCGACCAGGTAGGCCTCGCTGGCCTCCTGCAGAGCCATGACAGCGGAGCTCTGGAAGCGCAGGTCGGTCTTGAAGTCTTGAGCGATCTCTCTGACGAGGCGCTGGAAGGGCAGCTTGCGGATGAGCAGCTCGGTGGATTTCTGGTAGCGGCGGATCTCTCGGAGAGCTACGGTACCGGGCCTGTAACGGTGAGGCTTCTTGACGCCGCCGGTGGCCGGGGCGCTCTTACGGGCAGCCTTGGTGGCCAGCTGCTTCCTGGGGGCTTTGCCTCCGGTGGACTTACGGGCGGTCTGCTTAGTTCTTGCCATGGTGTCTCTTCTCTGTGAACACGAGAGGAAAAATGTGAAGCAGTCAAAGAGGCGCGCTGCTCTTAAAGCGGAGGAGAGCGGATGTAAAGCGGTGACGCCGCTCCGCAGCTCCGGCTCTGATTGGTGAGAAGCTGCTCGTGGAGCTCAGCCCCGCCGGGTGGACGCTCGAGAGAGGGAGGGAGAGCAGAGAGCCCCCTCCTCAAAGTCTTCCGCTGATTGGAGAGAAGAGCCTCGAGAGTAAAGCTGGGCTGAGCGGACAGACACCCCCCCTCTCTGCTCTGATTGGTGCGCCGGGAAAACAGGCGCGCTCACAGGGTATATAAGCGGGTCTTGAGCTGAAGATGACATCATTCCTGAGTCTAGACTCTTGAAAGAAACTCTCATCATGAGCGGAAGAGGCAAAACCGGCGGTAAGGCCAGAGCTAAGGCCAAGACCCGTTCATCCCGTGCCGGACTCCAGTTCCCCGTGGGTCGTGTCCACAGACTCCTTCGTAAAGGAAACTACGCAGAGCGTGTGGGAGCCGGAGCCCCCGTCTACCTGGCTGCCGTTCTCGAGTATCTGACCGCCGAGATCCTGGAGTTGGCCGGAAACGCCGCCCGTGACAACAAGAAGACCCGTATCATCCCCCGTCACCTGCAGCTGGCTGTCCGCAACGACGAGGAGCTCAATAAGTTGCTGGGCGGAGTGACCATCGCTCAGGGAGGAGTGCTGCCCAACATCCAGGCTGTGCTGCTGCCCAAGAAGACCGAGAAGCCCGCCAAGAAGTAAACAACCGAAAACTCAGCTGACAACAACAAAGGCTCTTTTAAGAGCCACCCAACAACCTCAAGAGAGCAGAGTTTCTTATTTGTTTATTTGACTTTACACAACACTTTATTCTAAGTGAACTTGATGAAATACTTAAATCTGACACAAAAGATTGAATCACGTTTAGGTGCAATAATGGAAGACATCCACCATGTAGCATGAAGCTCTACAATCCTCTGTATTTGGGTGTTGATTCATATCTTGTCATTGAATCGTGATGTACATTAGGGTCTGAAAGACCATGAAATACACCATGTTGGGTCTCTGTGACAGAGGGAAAGGCACATTATGATGCCATGCAGCAGTGCAGTGAGATTAGTCAAACAAAAATTCCTCTGGCCTTTTCTCTCTCTTTCCTATCTATCTGGATAAAGTTTGACCATTTTCTTAAGGCAACAATGTTGTAGTAGAAGCATTTTCTTGTGACAGTGATATATGGGAGCCAACAAAAAACAAGAGTATTTGTCATTTCTGTATTTGTAATAATTATGCTGATAACTACACACCCACTATGTTAGGGGTCGGTTTTGACCCGTGTTTTAAATCAGCTGTAAATTACACTAAAAACAATTCTCTATCATTCAATTTGGTTCTTATTTTAGGTTACCTTGTTAGGGTTTATTATCCATGAAAATATTGCCTATGATAGTTTTTGTAGTGGGTCTGTGGGCCTTTCTTTGTCAGTATACAGACAACTATACTAAACTGATCTCACGTGTCTGGACATGCTTGACGTTTTTTGTGCAGTGAAAAACAGGGAAAATGAGAATTTCCTAAATCTCACATGATTGGAAGAGGATCTGACTAACAGTGTGGTGCCTGACAGTGCACATATGATTTCAGTTTTTGCTCTAATTATTAGATATTGATCCAACTGGTTCAACAGCGACCCTAACACAAGGGCCATTGTATTAATAAGAGCATTTTATAATTTAGTCAATTATTTTTTTTTTTGTGTTTATTTCGTGGAAATAGAGGTTCCTGACAAAGTCAAAAAGTCTGGATGCACAAAAGGTAATTTAAGTGATTCTTTTGAGCCATCAAAATTAAAAACGGGTTGGTATTACAGGAGGAGGCTTAATGCAGTTTTTTGTTTGTTTGTTTTTTGCATTAAGGTTTTTCATCACATGTCCCAGGTGTTGTGTGTTTCAGACTTAAGCCTGCACTTTTTGACGTTGTGTTGTTTCTGCGTTTGTGTTTCTCATAATGAAAATCTTCCAGATCGTCGCACTGGCCTGAATAAGTTGTAAAATACCTAAATGCAAGAATACATTCATTTTGTTCTGAGTCTAAAGTGGTGATGAATTGAGGTTTTGGTTTCTGATGAGCAGCAGAATCATATTATGTTCATGTTATTTCCCTACTCTAATCAATAACATATTCATCAATTATGTGGAAATTTTTTATTAAATGACATCAGAGAACACCTGCCAGTTTTTACAGTTTACAACAGAAACAAACGGAGAGATGAGCCAAAGGAAAATCTAAAATACAGACCAGTGAGGACAGATAAAATACATTCATGAATGATTTACTGTCACTGATTTGGGAAAAAGTATATCATGAAAGTGATAATGAAACTTTTTAAACATATTCACGTTATATGATTTTTAAAAAATTAGCAGAGGGGTTTGACAGACTTTTGAGGAGGATCACTACAAAAATGTGCAAACTGAATATGTGGTTTGACAGAAACAAATTTACATTAAATTTTAATAAAAGTACAGATCCAAGTAGATGAGGTGGATCTTTAAAAGAGTATATGATGTTGGGAATCAATTGATGATTAAATAAACCGGAAGTCACATATCAAACATGTACAAAGTAAACTATCACAAATCACTTTATATTATTATCTACTGTTATCTGACTTCATCATATTCACACGACTGTGCAGAGGTTTGGGGCATTTTTTTGCTAATGTACAATATAATCAATATCTTCAGCCTAAAATAGACCAAAAGAAGAATAATTCATGATACTGGTTAAATACACAAATTCACAACTCTTAATGTGAAAGTCATTAAAATTCACTGACCTGTTTCATTTTTAAACAGCACAAATCATCTGCAAAGGAATAAACACACTTCTGTGTGGAATTTATTTTATAATTTTATTTTACTGAGCTGAGGGTTATGATCTGAGGGAAACTTCAGAGGGAACAAACCACATTAACAAACCTGTGTGTTTCTGTTTGTGAAGACAGGTCGTGGAACAGATCCGGCCAGTTTATAGAGTGGTACAAATGCGTGGTTTTTACCAGGTACAGGAATAAAGAAGGGCTTTAACAACCAGGTGGTTTCATAAATGATATGTGGATTTGTTTATTTACTCTATTTGTTATTTAGTTGTTTTTTTTTATTACATGTAAAAATGTTTTATGTAGATATTGATTGGAGGGACTGATTTTTTAATTGACTAGTGAAGAATGGGTAGATTTTTTTTCTGACATGTTGGGTTTACATCATCGCTGTATTGCTTTTACTACTGTTGTTGTTTTGTTCTTTAAAATATTCTCATTGGTTTTGTTTGTTTTCAGTTTTACTTTCTTACTTTCTCAGACTTGGCAAAAAGTTGAGATGCGTGGTGCCCTACATTAAAACTGAAGTATTGGCTAATTGACGACCAAATTAACAACTTCATTCTTGTGATTTACTGACTTTACTCTCACTTTATTGATGTGGTTTAATGACTTTTTTATTAAATCATAAAAAAAAAAGATATATTGTTGTAAATACACAAGCAATAAGAAAGAAATAATGCTCCACACCAAACAAGAAGACCACACTCACTGATGCTGTCAGTGTGTCGGGGTTATTCTGAGGGTAACATGAAGTTATAAATAACATAGTGATTCACTATCAAGGTTTATTTCTCCTTGTAAGATGACTATAGAAAATGTCTTAGGTCATATCATAATTCAATATCCAATAAATGGTCACACATGATTGTGTTAACAAGATATTTTATTAGTTTCTCTTCTCCCTCCTTCCTTTTCCTCTTCTAGCTTGCGTGGCTCGCCGCCCCCCTCTCGTGCTTGGCCTTAACGGCCACCTGGGACGGGCGGGGGTGGTGGATGGGTCTGGAGCGGGCACCAGCCTGTCAGCTACATTCGCTAGTCTCTCCAGAGTAGCAGCAACAGATGCCAAGGGGAGCAGGCCGGCCTGTATGACCCCCTCCAGAGACTGAACACGTGTCTCCAGGGACTGAAGACGAGCCTCTATCGCCCCCAGCTCCCTCTCCATCATTGTGAATCCCGCTCGCTGGATCTCCAGGACGGGCCGGTCCTCCTCCTGCTCAGGTTTGTGGCTTGCCCCCTCCTCCTGGGTCATCGGCTCGGGTCTGTGGTCTGCCCCCTCCTCCTGTCTCACTGGCACCAGCCATCCCTTCTCGTCTTCCTCCTCCCTCTCCTGCTTCAGCTGAGGCATCAGGACACATCCCCATGTCTGCTCGGGTCTGTGGCCTTCCCCCTCCTCCTGGATCACTGGTTCGGGTTTGTGGCCTTCCCCCTCCTCCTGGATCACCGGTTCGGGTTTGTGGCCTTCCCCCTCCTCCTGGATCACCGGTTCAGGTTTGTGGCCTGCCCTCTCCTCCTGGGTCACCCACTCGGGTCTGTGGCCTGCCGCCACCTCCTGGATCACCCACTCGGGTCTGTGGCCTGCCCTCTCCTCTTGGGTCACCCACTCGGGTCTGTGGCCTGCCCTCTCCTCTTGGGTCACCCACTCGGGTCTGTGGCCTGCCCTCTCCTCTTGGGTCACCCACTCGGGTCTGTGGCCTGCCCTCTCATCCTGGGTCACCCACTCCGCCTCCTCCTGTCTCACAGGCATCGACCATCCCCTCTCATGTTCCTTCCTCCTCACCAGATTCAGCAGCAGTGAGTCTGCCAAGGTAGACCAGATGATTTATTTTAGTGGTTCATTTGTGAAACATTAAAACAATAAAGACACTTTCATTCAGAGTAGACCTTGTAGCTAATGTTGTCAGATGATGTGAATCATTGATCGGGTATGGAAGCAAATTTGTATCATAATTCAAGTAAAAATAGATAAACAGAAATGTGTTTTTGCATTTCTAGACTGTCTCTGCACTTCTTGACTTAAATAAGATTAATAATAAATAATCCAAACTGCAATTGCTTTTTCTTTTTCAAAACTGATCATTCTGTAACTAAATTCAAATGTAAAAGAAAAAGCTATTTGAGATTTAAGTTTTTTTTGTTTTTTTTTTTTAAATATGCCCCGGCAAATATGAACCAAAACTAATATAAAAATGTCAAATCTGAACATTTAAATGCATTTACAGTTTTTTGTTTTGTTGTTGTTTTTTTGTTTGACTCAGAACTTAAATTAAGAATGAATAATACAAACTGCATTTTCATTTTCTTATTTGAGTTGCACATTTCGTGACACAATTCAAAGGAGAAACCACACGGGCAATTGATTTTTCATTTTCATGTCCACCTGTCGCTATCCGAACTGCGCAAGTGCAAATTTACCTCACCTTAAAAACTTCATTTAAACTCTGTGACAGGCTAGCTAGAAGTAGGCTCCAGAGCTCCTGCTGAGGCATTTGCTAGAGCTCCTGCCCAGCATGGTGAGACCTTTTTGGGCCACAGAGAGCACCAGGGAAGGGTACAAAACTGGTGGCCACATACCTCGAGAGCAGCCTCTGGATCAGTTTTGAAAAAGAAAAAGCAATTGCAGTTTGGATTATTATTATTATATATATTATATTTATATGTAAGTCATGAAATGTAGGTACAGTCTGAAAATGCAAATGCATTTCTGTTAATCTATGGTAATTTGAATTATGACACAAATTCGCTTCCATACACGGGAGTCAGGAGTTATGCCAATATAATAATGGAGCGTGGTGCGTCCTTTACGCACAGATGGCTCTGATTTCAATCCCAGCAGGCATGTCGTTTGTTTATGTTATCTGTACACACAATCCCAATCTCTAACATTTATGTTTAAACAAACTTGATGGGTGAGAATCTCTTTATTTGTGCAGAGTAATGTTTGTCTTACCTATGGGTCCAAGCCTGCCTCTGCTTATTTGTGTGGGTGAAACCACGTCCCCCGGAGCGCACGGCGCTATATTTGTCGAGGGACCGCTTCCGGTTGTGGCCGTGTGCTGGGGAAGGTCCTTGGCAAGTCTGAGTCTCGCCCTTCTTCTCAAATCATTAAATCGCTTTTTACACTGTGAAGCCGTTCTCCGGACGTCAGAAGAAATCTGGTTCACTCTCACGCTGATCTCCTCCCAGGCTGCTCGCGCCTCATCTGGCCGTGGAGGTCTGTCCGCGTAACCGTAGATCCGGTTAAAGCGAGCCTGGACCTCCCGGAGCAGAAGCTCAGTCTCTTTGTCGGAGAAGTTCCGCTTTCTGGTACTGATACCCTCAGCCATTTGTTGAACTGCTTCACTGATTTCGCAGTCTGCCCTTCCTCCCTCTCTTTCTACTTGCGCCGCTTGCAGGAGCTCAGATAGGGACGGGGGTGTACTTACACAGGGCTGTGCCACTCACCAAAATAAACACAGAGAGCTTGGGCGCGCCCCATCGGCGCGGCGGACCTGACTTGCGCCACGCATGCGCTACGCTGCCTGCAAGGCACGAAAATAGAGTCTGGCTCAATCTCAATCTCCTCCCTAAACCCAGAGCCTTTATTGACTCAAGGGACTGCAACTGGAGAGAGAGTGAATGAGTGAATGAATGTATAAGGCTGCAAGGGCTTGAGGTAGGGGAGACCAGGGAGGGTTGTAACAGGGGTCAAATGTAACACTTTCAGTTTCTCCAATCAGAAACAAATCACAAATCACCTGACTCATTCTGCACATGCTTAGTTTAGTCTTTGTCCCACATATGTAGGGGAGACCGGGGCTTGTTGTCACACTTTTTACACTCTTATATCTTGAAATCAATGCATCATATATGAACAAAGTTTGTACCAGATCAAAGATCAAAGTCTCAGGTTTATATTTCATATTCATGTCATTTTTATACCTTGTGTCAGTGCAGAGTTATAAACAATCAAATAGCGAGTGTGAACTTGTGACTTGTTGCCCCACCATCGGGTGAATTGTCTCACTATGTGGGGTTAGTTGTCACAGTGGATTTTCAGCTAATAAAATACAGACAAAATTATTGATCTCATTTTTTTTACATGAAAGTGAACATCAAAGTCAGGCACAGAAAATGTCTATCATTGAGCGAAAGAAAAAGTCATTGAACAAACGTTAACATAAAATACAATGAAACCTGCTCTGGAGTTTGTAGAACTGTCTGACTGTATTTCAGCTGGGGTGAATGTTTCGCAGTACCGAGCCATGGTATGGTAGTTGACATTAAAGTCTTTATTGTACTTTAGATTGATTTATTAGCTCAGGTCACCTGTCTGACTGTCCTCAGCATCATGTCAGGTACTGCACTGCCACGTTTTGTCTTTCTTTTGTAATTCCTGACCATGTCTTCCCGCTTTCTCCTCTCCTTTAAACCGCTCTTTTTCCTGTAAAAATTAAGTCAAACTTTCATTATGACAACTGCTGATAAACAGACTCTCTGTGTTAATTGGAATCCCTTTTAAACATGTGGCAGGTAACCCCAAAATGACTGAGACGTGTTGCCCCAAACTATCGTGTTTGCTAATTAAAGCTCTGGCTTAAAGTTAGCTTAAAACAGAACAATGACTAGGGTATGACAGGATGCCTTAATCTCTCCTCTAACAAGTCCACATGTTTCACTGCTAAGATTTTTATCTGAAAGAAGCTTATTTTAAAATATAGAAAGTTATTTATTTTTTTACTTTGGGTTGTGCAAAATGGTTAATTAGCACTCATCTCAGCTCACAATGTGCTCTTCCCTTCTCAGACAGGACACGACCTCTGACCATGAAAAGGAAGAAAACTAGAATTCTACTTTTTAGTAGCGCCCTCTGGTGGCTTACCCGTGTGACAACAAGCCACAGTCTCCCTTACATGTAGGAACTTGTGGTAGACACAGCCAATTTCAAGTGAAAAAAAAAAAATTGAGGTAAGAAAGTTTTTTTTTTTATTTTTAAATTCAGATATATATTTATTTTTTATGATAGCATTGTCTGCTTTGTAGTTGAACTCATCAAACTTCAATCACGTATTTTTCTTGCTAGTTGTTCGTGCCAAAGTTTTAGCTGTTAGCTGTAAAGTAAGCTAGTTCCTGGTGGAAAGTGTCTGGGTTAGTTGTAACAGCAATAAAAAATGTTAGAACCTCCCCCAAGCAAACCTTTTATTATCTTTATGTTCTCGGTATGCCTCGTCTTGGAAGAGAAAGGCTGACTGGGGGGTACCGCTCAACATTTTGTTCAGTTTATTATATTCAAATGTCAATATAAGACACACACACACACACACACGCACATGCATGCACACACGCAGGCACGCACACACAGCTGTGTTATATTGAAGCCACTGCAAACACACATAGCCTACTAATATTCAGTTGGTGCATATTTTCACATTTTGTTCAGTTGTCAGACATTTCTAGGACTGGCAGTAACTAACACATAGGCTCAAACAAACAAACACACACACACCAGTTATGTTAAAATGCCTTTAGAGTGTTAAATAAAAAGCTTCTAATCAATAAAGTTTTGTCATTATCCTGATTTTTAAATTTTACCTTTCACCCAGGGGTATGTTAGAACTAACCCAGACTATGGGGTAAATTGTAACATTACATTATGCGTAGTCTGTCTGTGTTGCAGGGGTAACCACTACAGCCTTTCATAGCAGACACATATACCTATTTTGTATCACAGTTTGAATGCATTGGCTTAAAACAGCTCTGAGATACAGACAGAAATGTGAATAGGAGTCTGATGGCCCTTTGTTGACAGCAATGCATCATGCTTACCCACAACTGCTGCTTTGGAGCTTTTACGTTTTTTTTTTGCTTTTTTCTGCATTTGAGTCAGGTCGGAGAAACAGCAGTAAACAACGATCTTCCCCCACATAAGGAATTAATGAGCTTGACAAGAAATAACACAGATATACCTTGCCTTTATGCCTATTTCCTAAGTTGAGGAATACTTTTTATATATTTATTATACCTACACAAGAACTTTCTTTTATTTTATTTATTTATGTATTTATTCAACACAAGAAGTTGTACAGAGTGTTAACTGAAAGTGATCATAGGAAATCACACAAAATGCAAACATCAACTATGAAAATCACAGCATAAACACAAACAGTCACGTAAAAGCAGTATAACAAACATGTAGGTAAAAAAAAAAAACATATTCAATTGTGAGCAGAAGAGAGTAGATTTAAATGATATAAACACATTTTATGTTAAATCTGACAATTTTAAGTATCTAGTGAAGAAGAACAGATATTTTTATGGAGAACTTCGGCGTCAGTGCTCATTGCATTTCACTTTCTTTTTATAGCGGCCACCAGCTGGTTCGCCCGCCCACACTAAGTCTGCAGAGAGGCCCACTTCTAGATATAAACCATGTTTATTTTGAATCTGTGTAAGATGATGGATGGAATGATACACTTATTAATCTAACACACCAGTGGCTTGACACACCAGTGGTCATATGATGTGCTTTCATTTGGAAGGTAACTGAATATAAAATTTCAAGAAAGCCTGATTTATTTCCATCACGACCTGACGTTGTACATTTGTGTACTGTGGATGGAAAGACACAATTCTGTGGTTGTTTGTTTCCAAAATTATGTTTCAGAGTAAGGGCATCATTCTGATTTCTTTACTGATATGTTGAGTTATCAAATTTCTCCTTAATGTGGAGACTGACTTCATTTCTCGACTCCTCAATACGATTAACTGTAGTTTTAAAGGGGACCTGCCACCAAAATTTCATACCCATTTTTATCATTTTTTCATAATCCTTGATGTCCTCTGATAATGTTTGCAACATAATTTTAGCTGAAAAGTTATTTGATGGTTCGTTTTAGTATGCCTAAAAAACCTTACAGGAAAACCAACTGGTTTTGGCTCATTAACATTTATGGTAATGAGCTTTGCTCTGATTGGATCGCTGCTGTGAAGCCTGCTGTGCTCTGATTGGCTCAGCAGTGGAGGTTCGGATTTCAGTTTATCCCTTGTTATTATGCTAATGCTAATAGCATATGCTAATGTGTGCTAAAGTAAGGTGCCCAGATGTCTGTAATGATATCCGGGGATATTCAATGCGGCGGCGGTGCAGGGGCTGCAGGGGCTGTGTGATCACAGACAAAGTCTCGGTACTATTTAGTAGCAGCGCACGCCCCTTGTAATAACCCCGTAAGAACTGTTGTTCAGGACTGCTAACTTGTGCTTCCTACCTATTCGGCTACTGTAATAACCGTTGTTCGAGCCTACATGCAACATTTTTGCTCTCATTCATGAAACGCTTAAATCGGGGACATTATCGGGGACAGCTTTTGCCGGGGACAGATCATCCAATACGGGGACTGTCCCCGGAAATCGGGGACGTCTGGTCACCTTATGCTAAAGGCTAAAAACCGCAGGTATTAAACCATATATTTAAGACCCAGAGTCCGAAGAGGAGGTGGAAGTTGAGGAAGAAGCCGGAGATCTCAAGCGGTGTTTTCTCATTCATTCTGCCCAGCTTTAAGTTCATTTTCCCGGCAGTGAACTGAAGGAAACACCGGTCGTTTGGAAGAGACCCATAGCGGATACAGTGGTAGCTGGGTCTCGCTCTTGCTGTGACTGAGTACGAGAACGAGAGAGTGGGCACGGCTCACCGAGGACGCGCTCGTGAATAATAATGAGCAAGGTTGGCGCAACGTAACACCGACCTGCTTTTTCAATTGGCCTGGTTTACTCGTTCCTTTATTTTAAACCTTTACAGAATGCAAACGACGTAACGGTTTGTTTTCACATTTACAACATAAGACGAACATAATATGGACCTTATCTGACACAAAAAAACCCCAAAATTACATTTTTATGGCAAGTCCCCTTTAATTATCACGGTGATGAGGTGTGAGCCCTGCCCTGCAGCTTCAGGAGTTTTGGTATAGGGTTTAGGGTCTTGTTCAAAAGTTTGAATTATTGATCCAGATTCTGTTATCCTTCTAGTTTCCAGGTTCACATGATCCAGTTAACTTTTATCAAGTTGTAAACATAAATCTGAGATAAATGGAAAGGAACTAATGAAACAAGACAGGAACTTTTAAAAATTAACATGATTCAGATAACCAGAGCATTAAAGAGAAAAACTAGAACTCTTGCAATCAGCTTTGGAGTCCGGCAATCCACAACGGAATGGAAAGAAAGTACAGTAATGGCAAAAAAGGATTGTACCTTCAAAATAAGACTGAGAATAACAAGACATAATGTGGGTCATTTACACATTGTATGGTGGTGTGGGCCCTACGCTGCAGCTTCAGAGGTTTTGGCATCGGGTTCAGAATTCTGTTCAAAAGTTTAAATTATTGATCTAGATTCTGTTATCCTTCTTGTTTCCAGGTTCACATGATCCAGCTAACTTTTATCAAGTTGTAACCATTAATCTGGAACGTATTAAACCATACAGGAATTTTTAAAATTAACATGATCCATATTGCCAGAGCATTAATGAGACCTGTTTCATTACATCCTATAAGTCCTATAATTAAGTTTTAGTTTTGTCACTATTAATTGTTTTGTGACTAATTATCCTTTCATTGTAAATAAGTGTTTAGCCTTGATGATATTTTGGGTATAATAAAGGTGGGCTTAATGGGTGGACAGGTTATTCATTAGTGCTTTGACATCAATAGTGAACAAAGAGAACACATTTGAATCTCGTCGTCCTGGTTTCTAATCTGTCCCCCTCATACGGTTCAATGTAGAGACTGACTTGATTTCTCAGGAGTACAGCTGTTGCCGGTTTACGCTGCCGCTCCTTTAGGGGGCGCTGATGCTGAAAACTCTGAATGATCAACTATTGCTGAAGAGAAGAAGAACAAGAGTCTTCTGTCTTCTTTTACGTCCTCGGGGCATAAATATAAAGTCGCAGCTCATCACATTAGGACTCAGTCTGTTTGATTCACATATATAGCAGAAATGAGCGGAAGAGGCAAAGGAGGAAAGGGTCTGGGAAAAGGAGGCGCTAAGCGTCACCGTAAAGTTCTTCGTGATAACATCCAGGGCATCACCAAACCCGCTATCCGCCGTCTGGCTCGCCGTGGCGGAGTGAAGCGTATCTCCGGTCTGATCTATGAGGAGACCCGCGGTGTGCTGAAGGTGTTCCTGGAGAACGTGATCCGTGATGCAGTCACCTACACCGAGCACGCCAAGAGGAAGACCGTCACCGCCATGGATGTGGTCTACGCCCTGAAGAGACAGGGACGCACCCTGTACGGTTTCGGAGGTTAAGATAACGGATCCACATCAAGACCCCAAAGGCCCTTTTAAGGGCCACCCACAAGACCTGAGAGTTTACGTTCCTATAATTGGTGTATTACCTTTTTTTTGGCATGCAGTCGTCAGCTATTAATGTTTCTCATAAACAACTGAGTCTAGTGACATTACATGTCTTAATTATTTTCATAACCTGTCTTTATTATAGTCTTGTGTGTGTGTGTGTGTATGCACTCAATAATCAAACCACTCTACTGTATTCTATAGTAGGAGTGGAGGAGAGCCCATATGTTGCAAGTTGAAGTCTTTTCTATCAAATCTGAAGCAAGTCTAAGTACTTTGGTCTTAAATCTGGAGTCAAGTCCAAGTCAACACAGACAAATGAGGTCCAAATCCTCAAATTTTTGTTTCAAGTCCCAACCAAGTCCTTACTTTTTCTTTAAAGTCAAAAACAAGTCATCAAAGCCATAAACCATTTTGTTTTATGTAAAGACAATATAAAAAAAAAAGTAATGCTTTTCAAGAGCCAATACATGAGTACATCCTACATTCCATACATCCTTGACTATTTATCAAATCTTCCTTACTCTTTAATTTCCCAGATTATCATGCTTTATAAAGAATGTTTTGAATTATTGTGCTAATGTTTGCATTATCATCCTGGAGGAAATCTGCAGACCTCATACTGGTGGGCCAACAGTATTACAAATATGATTTGATCTCGCGGGCTAGATATAATTGTTCCATGGGCCAGATTTGGCCCCTGGGCCTTGAGTTTGACACCTGTGCCCTATTCAGTGCTCACCAGCCCCATCAGTTGTCAGAGTTAAACTGTGACAGCCAAGTCATTTCAGTTAGATATTTAATGTTTCCACAGCATGGATTAAGCAGTGATAGAAAATGGATGGGTGGATGTGACCACAACATAGAAGAGTGTTTAATCCCTGTGCAATAACAATAAAGTCTATAGTGTTGATATGATACAACTCTGCTCTCCCTGTTTATTCCTGATTAATATTTGCTATCTGTTTTTAGTGATGGTGAGATGAAGCCTTTTAAACAAAAGATCAGAGCCTGTGTTGGTCATCCAGCTGTTGAAGTGGTGAATGGTCATCTGAGTCTTTAGCAGGGTCGTTGACCTAGTTTCATCTGGGAGCATGTCCTCTCGGGTCTCCTTAGATTTGCCATGATCCTGCATTAAAGTGTATCATTATTATTTCACTCTCTCTCCTATTGCTCAAGCTTTTCCTTTTACCTCTCTTTCATTCACGAGTGCCTCTATCTCTTTTTTATTTCCAAACAAATATTCACCCTTTTCTCATCCCTCTCTATCACCTGGCACAAGATCTGAGCCCAACCCCAACCCAAGCCCTCTTATCGTTTTTTGGTGACCTTCCTGTCTCAGGGGAGGGAGGAGAAACCAACACTATGTCCTGGTTGGCAGAGTCAATGGTAACGTCCTTAGGCCTCATCCATAGGTGCAACCCACCTCTAAGATGCAGCAGAGGTTAACTAACTTAAAGGGATATTCCGGTGTAAAATTAATTTAGGGTCAAACACACCGTAACACCAAGTTAGACACCTCCTGGAGAGATGAATGTTGCCGACCGCTTGCTTCTCTAGTTATAACAACTTTAGTAATGACCGCACGATAGCAAAACACAGTGGTCTGAGGAAACCAACCAAGCGCTCAACCAAAACACCACTCTATAGCCACAAATAATGCTCAGAACAGCACCTAACTTCATCAACAGGACATATAGGGTCCCAGCCATAGTACTAGACATCAAACTTCTTTTTAGCTTTGCCTGATTTCTTTAGCAAAGAGACTAAACACAACTCACCTACTCTCCCAAAGCAGCTGCTTCTTTTTTCGGGGAGCCCTGGGAAGGACATTTATGATTATTACTTCATGGAAATGCAATCAGACAGAGACACTAAGGCAGAAGAACTACCGCGTCTGCAGTGCAAAATGATTAATATGATAAATATTACTTCAAGGAAATGATAAAGTAATAATCACACACTTTTTATGATGTCAGGAGCTATGGATAAAGAATTTTCGGTATTGCCGGAGTATAAATATAAGTACAAGCTTCCTCCTACTTAGTTATCCTCATACTTAGACCATGAAATGTTGAGACAGCGAAGTCGAGCAAAGATGGGCAATGCTTCAGGCATCAAATTGAATCATCAAAATGAGTGAATATTAAAAATAAATTAAAAAAAAAAAAAAAGGGCAGTTAATTTTATTAGTTTGAACATCTGTAAAAGTATGTTAGAAATGATTTTCGAATAATTGTGTGTGTTTTTTTTTTGTTTTGTTTTCATATTTTACACATGTCCCGGCTTTATTGAAATTATGGTTTGTAGCTGATCATGTCTGCATGTTTGTTAAAATTCGAATAAATTAGGCAGGTAATGGGAGAAGGATGAAGTAGTCCAGCTGGCATTTAGAAAAGAGTCATTTTAAAAGTTAAACACATGGACCTTGTAAGTTATGTTTAAAACCAGAATTAAGTTGTATAATAATAAATCAAAAATATTGCTTAGACTGCCACTACATCAGGGTTTACAGATATTTTTCAATCTCATTCATACAACATGGTATATATGTAATGTATATGGTCATTTTATGAATACATTTATACATACATCTATACATCTATACATCTATACATCGATACATCTATACATCTATACATACATACATACATACATACATACATACATACATACATACTGTGTCTCCCCCACACTGAGAAATTGTGAGTCTGTTTCTAACTTTGTTCTCATTGTCAAAATGTTCCTAAATAAGATAATTTTTATTCATTCTTATGTCAATAATAGCAGAAACGTCCACAGTGACAGAGAAAGCAGCTCTGATGGTCAGTCTGCAGCACCAGCATCAGCCCTCCTCGGTGTGTTTGCTGTGATCGATATAAACAGGTTTTATTAAAAATTCCTCTTTAACAGATGGGTGTTTTTCGCCTGAGTCGCTAAACAAACATGTTGACAAACGGGAAAACACATTTTCACAGTACTCTTATGCATTTGCTAACGTTTTAAGAGAAATATAAGAGTGAAAAGTCGCTGAGCAGCGCTGCTCTCGGCGCTCAATCTGTGAGGTTTGGAGGCTCCACAGAGAAAAAAGAGCGAGCAGCAGAGCTCAACACGACTTCAACCCGGGGAGACACAAGTCCGCTATCTGCTCCTGAACCCGCAGCTCTGCACACAACCTCTACATTGAGTTTGGAGAGTTTAATCGCGGCACAGAAAACACAAGTGGTCGGACATTCAGGCGGCCCGGCGGAGACGCTGCTCGGCTTGAGTCTTTACGGTTCTCATGGTGTGTTTAAGAGCAGCTCCGTGCCTCACAGCCGTCAGACAGTTGAATCACTCTGTGCACGACTCGAAAGGGAAACTATGGCAGAAGTAGCTCCAGCACCCGCCGCCGCCGCCCCGGCTAAAGTGGCTAAGAAGAAGGCTCCCAAGGCTAAGAAGACTGGACCCAGCGTCAGCGAGCTCATCGTCCAGACCGTGTCCGCCTCCAAGGAGCGCAGCGGAGTCTCTCTGGCCGGCCTCAAGAAGGCTCTTGGCGCCAGTGGATACGATGTGGAGAAGAACAAGGCTCGCATTAAGGTCGCCGTTAAGAGTCTGGTGGCAAAGGGGATCCTGGTCCAGACCAAGGGAACTGGGGCGTCCGGTTCCTTCAAGATGAGCAAGAAGGCTGCCGAGAAGAAGGTCAAGAAGGTGGTGAAGAAGGCCCCTAAGGCCAAGAAACCAGCAGTAAAGAAGACCGCAGCTAAGAAACCCGCAGCGGCCAAGAAACCCAAGGCAGCCAAGAAGGCGGCAACCCCCAAGAAGTCCCCGAAGAAGGCAGTCAAGAAAGCCGCAGCGCCCAAGAAAGCCGCCGCCAAGAGCCCCAAGAAGGCCGCAAAGAGCCCCAAGAAGGTGGCGGCTAAGAAGGCACCAGCAGCCAAGAAAGCCCCCGCCAAGAAGGTCGCTAAACCCAAAGCCAAGAAGGCAGCACCCAAGAAGAAGTAAGCTCAGCAGATCCGCCCTGAGACCTCAAAACAAAGGCTCTTTTAAGAGCCACCCACCTTCAAACCTAAGAGTGTACTCCTGTTTTTTTATTGATGTTCTAGTAAGAAAAGAAGAGTAAATGTTAGTTCTTTAATATGATCTTTGTGAGTTGGACTACACGGGTTCACATGTATCCCACACAATTACGTGTATAGAAAAAAAAAACTATTTAATAAGAGGAAACTGAGTAATGGCATTTATATAAAAAACAGCCACAAGTACTTCACGATTTAGTTAACAGTTATCATTTTCACTACACAGTTCGGACGGCACAGTGGAACTAAATAGACACTCAGCTGTCTGAACTTAAGTCACATAAGCACAACACTGAGTATACATTAAACTAATCTTCTATACACAATATAGAGTTCACATTTAGGGTCAACTAGAGATCAATTTCTGCTCTCTGATAGGAATTGTCATCCTTTCCTCGTCCAAATGCCACTGCTTACAGAGTGGAGGAATGAATTGAGCAGAGGTACAAATCATATTGGACACAAGATTGGACCAAAACATTGTTGTAAGCCAGGTCTACATATTGTTACAGATTGAGAACTTTGTGAATTTTGATTTGTCTTTTGAGACAAATACCTGTAGTTAAATTAAGAGCAGGCTGGTAGGTAGGGGTGGGCAGCTATTGTATTTTTAAAAAAACTTTTCTTTTCTTTTGGGTTAGGGAGTCAGGTAAGACCCCCTGTATTTTATTTCATACTATTTTGTTGGTTACGAAAGTTAGCTTTATTAGAAAGAGGTTTTGTTTGTTATCTTTGCCTGTGTCCACCCTGAGGTTAAATACCTTTTATGTTGAAAAATAAAGCCATATAAGCCTGGGTCGTAACTATATATATATATATATATTTATATATATATATATATATATATATATATATATATATAAATTACATGAATTGAATGATCCTTTAAATTTAGATCAGTACACAGAGATAGATTTACTTATTAAACATAATAATCAAGTAACTCTGACAGTCTACTTCACTCTGTCACAACACTATATAATTATTATCCACACAGCGAAAAACAATTACTCAAAATGGCCACAACATGGCAGCATAAGACCACTAATGAAAAGCATGACTCAACGCTTACCTGCATTCAGCCAAACATAAATCTTTTTACACTGTGAACCATAAACTTTTTTAACAAAGAATAAACCACCATGACATTATTAAACAGGAGGAGTGAATCAAGCAGTGTTCACTAGTAGGCATTCTTCATGAGTCTCATCACATGACCTACTCAGACTTTCTGTGTCAACAGAGGCATGACACTTGAACTGTGAAGATTGAGCTGTGATGGCAGCCTCGATTTTAGGCCAATGCCAGTGTTGATGAAACACGAAATTTTCATGGTACAAACAGAACATTTATCATATCACTACTTGTGGGTACAGTGGAACAGTGGAAGAGACGACTGTCCTAAGTTTATTCACATAAACACTGAGTCAAAATGAACCGGATTCTCTGTACACCATATTAGAGTCACATTTACACTCTGATAGAGATCAGTTTTTGCCCTCTGATAGGAATTGTTATCCACTCGTCAAATTGCCACTGCTCACATAGTGGACGAATGAAGGTAGAAATCATGTTGGATATAAAAATCATCACACCAGAGTGTATGAGGGAGGGATATAACAACACAAGTTAATTTCATATATTTTATTTAATGATTGCATTGTCCCCATGTGGCTATATTTGATTGCTCATGGTGGTGTGTTTGTTAGTGCTTTGGCCTTGTTGAGTGTTAAGATAAATGTCAGCTGCCTCATCATTAGGTTGTCTCGAGACTAAAAAGTCCATGTACAGGATTAGTGTAAAGGTTAAACCAGTGCGTTACTGTGTGTACAGACATATTCAGGAGCTGTACTTTTCATTAATGATCTTTGTACGATAAGTGATTCGTTATCACCAAACAATAAGTGTTAACATCAGACAAATCAGCGATAACAGATAGAACCAACTACTTTGCCTTGTAGACTAATACAAAGGGGAAGAAAGCTCTTAGGGTAAAAGGTGGGTGGCCCTTAAAAGGACCTTTGTGGTTTCACTGTGTTACAGCAGGTTTACTTGGAGCTAGTGTACTTGGTCACAGCCTTGGTTCCCTCAGACACGGCGTGCTTGGCCAACTCTCCGGGCAGCAGCAGACGGACGGCGGTCTGGATCTCCCTGGAGGTGATGGTGGAGCGCTTGTTGTAGTGAGCCAGACGAGAGGCCTCACCGGCGATGCGCTCGAAGATATCACCGACAAACGAGTTCATGATGCCCATAGCCTTGGAGGAAATACCGGTGTCGGGGTGGACCTGCTTCAGGACCTTGTAGACGTAGATGGCGTAGCTCTCCTTCCTGGTCCTCTTTCTCTTCTTGCCGCTCTTGGTGGCCTTAGAGACGGCTTTCTTCGAGCCCTTCTTGGGAGCTTTGACGGTATCAGGCATGTTGTTCAGATGAATCCAAACGACAGATGTACTGCTGTGCGGCCGGGGCTTTTTTTTATGGGGTCCTCCACGCGCATAATTGTGTGCCGTTGCTCGCGTCGGATTGGCTGGAATCGGAGCGCTTTGAAGAGGCCGAACAGCACGAGGACAAAGGCTTTGTTCGTGCTATTCAGCGATTACCGCGTTTTTTTTTTTAACGATGTTCACTGATCTGAGAAGTTTTATGGATGTAGACGAGCTGTATCGTCTTTGTCGAGTCAAAGTTTATTTCTGGAGCACGCTTTAAAAAGTGCTGTTCAGGGGTTTTATATAATCAGGCATACACAAAATATTAATGAAAAACAGTTATAGAGTAAAAATGAGCATAATATTAAGAACGAAATATTTTTAAATGATATTAGAATAAGAATTAAGAAAAAAATGAAAGCAGAATATTAAAAACGAAATATTTTAATGGATATTAAAATAATAATAAATGCAATAAAAAAGCAAAAGAGAAGACAAAAAATAAAATGATAAAAATTAAACAATAATAGAATTAAATGAGCACAATATATAAATGTTTAATTTAACTGTATTAAGTAAAGTAAGAGTAAAATAAAGAATATAGGAGAAGATTAAAAAAAGAAAAGGATTAAAAAAACAAAATAAAATCAAAGGTTTATTATCCAGTTGGGACTGAACTCCTTAAAATCCACCACAAACACACATAAACAGAAAAACAGGTAATTTAATAATCTGAGGATCAGTAAACAGTGAAAGAACCACTGAAAGAAATTCTTCTGACAACGGGAGAATTGAGTTGATATCCAGTGATTTTTTCAGAACTTTCCTCCATCATGTGATTAATGAATGAAAAACCCATCAATAACAATTATCAAATGATGAGATATAACTTATTTACAGGCTTTGGAGGTCAAAATTCAAACATTTAACACACAAAAACATGAAGGGAATAAACTATGCTGTGTCAAATCATGACTTCCTGATGAGGTTGACTGAACCCGGAACAATGGACATTTTGACCTTTACATTTTTAAACTTCTCATGTTTGTTTTTAAAGCAAGGGGGGGTAAAAATGTTGTACTTGTTTCACATTAAAAGTTCATTACATTCAGTTCATATGACCCTTTACATTTTTGCTCTGTGGTTGGTGGCTCTGTAAAACAGAATCAAGTTAATAATAATAATAACCTCTCAGGTCAGATTACAAACTCCCTCATACACTTACAGTAAGACTGAAATGTTACAGTCTCGGACAATCCTAGTCAAGTCTCTGAGACTCTGACCCTGACTGAGAGAAAAACTGGGTTCACATCAGACACCAGACCGGATTATCTTACAGTGACATGCTCAGCAGTTTTGTGTATACATATAAACTGGATTTGTCAAACATCCTAAAGCGTCCTCTGTTATCAGCGTCAATATGTGATGCTAGTGCTGGATGTTTTTTTTTTTTTATAAATAACATGTATTTTTATTAACTTAAGATTAAAGCCTGTTTGACGGAAGAGCAAGAAAGACACTTGGCAACAATATTTAAGACTTTAATGTCTTTTCTGTGTCTGAACACACATCGACCTAAAACCCTACTGTGTCCATGTTCATACACTCCTATACACATGCACGCCTGAACACCAGAAAACAAATATTCTGCTGTAAATGACTTACGGTACAGGTGTGGATGTAATTTACATTATTGCATGTTAAACTGGAGTTGTGCAAATATAAAATTTGGTTCATAACATTAAAGCAGGTAGGTCAGCATCAAGATGAAATCTGATTTGCTGTTTTGTTTTTGTTCTCACTTGTGATGTTAAGGTTATGTTTGATGATTGTTTAAGGTGGAAGGTGGCTCTTCTTCACTATGGCATGAACTTACTAATTTTTGATGTCATTAGCAGTGAGATCAACCATGGAAGCGGAATATAATTTTGTCTATTGGTGATTGTATTGATCTGTATACATGAGTTAAGGACATACATGTCAAGGACACAAAGTCTGAGGAGTGGTCAGTAAGAAATAAGGTAATACCCAATATCTGAGGTCACTTTACAACATCTTATGAAGTTTTTATACATTCTTCAATGTATATGATGTATTGTTTATAGTTCCAAGTATCAAAGTTATATATACTAAAAAGCACAAACTAAACAAAAATAAGAAACTCTGCTCTCTTGAGGTTGTTGGGTGGCTCTTAAAAGAGCCTTTGGTTGTAGTTGTCAGCTGTGGTTTCAGTTGTTTACTTCTTGGCGGGCTTCTCGGTCTTCTTGGGCAGCAGCACAGCCTGGATGTTGGGCAGCACTCCTCCCTGAGCGATGGTCACTCCGCCCAGCAGCTTGTTGAGCTCCTCGTCGTTGCGGACAGCCAGCTGCAGGTGACGGGGGATGATACGGGTCTTCTTGTTGTCACGGGCGGCGTTTCCGGCCAACTCCAGGATCTCAGCGGTCAGGTACTCGAGGACGGCAGCCAGGTAGACAGGGGCTCCGGCTCCCACACGCTCAGCGTAGTTTCCTTTACGAAGGAGTCTGTGGACACGACCCACGGGGAACTGGAGTCCGGCACGGGATGAACGGGTCTTGGCCTTAGCTCTGGCCTTACCGCCGGTTTTGCCTCTTCCGCTCATGATCAAAGTTTCTTTCAAGAGTCTGAACTCAGAAATGATGTCCTCTTCAGCTCAAGACCCGCTTATATACCCTGTGAGCGCGCCTGTTTTCCCGGCGCACCAATCAGAGCAGGGGGGGGGGTTCTGTCCGCTCAGCCCAGCTTCACTCTCGAGGCTCTTCTCTCCAATCAGCAGAAGACTTTGAGGAGGGGGCTCTCTGCTCTCCCTCCCTCTCTCGAGCGTCCACCCGGCGGGGCTGAGCTCCACGAGCAGCTTCTCACCAATCAGAGCCGGAGCTGCGCAGCGGCGTCACCGCTTTACATCCGCTCTCCTCCGCTTTAAGAGCAGCGCGCCTCTTTGACTGCTTCACATTTTTCCTCTCGTGTTCACAGAGTAAAGACACCATGGCAAGAACTAAGCAGACCGCCCGTAAGTCCACCGGAGGCAAAGCCCCCAGAAAGCAGCTGGCCACCAAGGCTGCCCGTAAGAGCGCCCCGGCCACCGGCGGCGTCAAGAAGCCTCACCGTTACAGGCCCGGTACCGTGGCTCTCCGAGAGATCCGCCGCTACCAGAAATCCACCGAGCTGCTCATCCGCAAGCTGCCCTTCCAGCGCCTCGTCAGAGAGATCGCTCAGGACTTCAAGACCGACCTGCGTTTCCAGAGCTCTGCTGTCATGGCTCTGCAGGAGGCCAGCGAGGCCTACCTGGTCGGACTCTTCGAGGACACCAACCTCTGCGCCATCCACGCCAAGAGAGTCACCATCATGCCCAAAGACATCCAGCTGGCCCGACGCATCCGTGGAGAGAGAGCTTAATTTAAGACCTCTAAACAAACAACACAACGGCTCTTTTAAGAGCCACCTCACCTACATCTGAGACAAATAACCTGTTGCTCATTTTATCGTTTGTAGTTTTGGTTGTCTTCAATAATGGCCATATACATTAAAGTCAGTAATTTAGGCCGATTTTTTTAATGACTTCTGCCTCAATATTAAGAGATATTAATTGAATTAGGTTCCCCATCCACCATGTTAATGAGTGATTGGTTCCTAACTCATTTATACAAACAAGTTTTTACATGTCATATCTGATCATAAAAAATAGTAGTTTTCATCAATCACCATGTAATCAAAGCAACAGTCTGGTCACTTTCCTGTCCACTGCAGACACACTGCTTCACTGTTAAAGTCAAAACAGTATTATCACACAGAGCTGAAGTTGAAATGTTGTCCTCTATTTATCAAGCACGGTCAAAATACTTTATAAACAGCTGATTATATAACGAAATGTGCCAGCAGGTGTCGTTCACTCCTGTATGCCTCAAATTTTCCCCTGGATCAATAAAAATATCTGTAAACTACTAAACATAACACCTCTCTTCTCATATTAACAAATTAAATTTCATGGGTTTCACAGGGATTTCAACTTAAGCAGCTACAGTGATGTTCACATACTCTCACTTAACGTCTTTTCTCAATTTATTGTATTTATTTGTCCTCCTTTTCCGAAGTTGAACTGTTCTGTTTTAGTTCCATTAAAGGTACCATTAAGTATTCATAAACCATACAAAAATTGATTATTATTTTTAAAGGTCAAAAGGTGAACTATATGTATACCAGTCTGACTCCTGGTGGTCTTGTTTACTGTTATGGGTCTTGAGGAAACACCAGTATTCTTTCTAACTGTTTTACATCCCTCTAAAATCTTATTACAGTTTGTCTTTTATTTTTTACGATGAGCCTGACACAGACTACGATACCCCTGACACATTTCCAAAAATGCTCACACACCAACACACCTACAAGGCCCAACTAACAAACCAGTAACTTCATTCTCAAAAGTTCACACTGTAAACAAGTACTTTTCAAAATGTAAGAAAACACCAACACCATACACCAGATCAACCAAACACCAACACCATTTCTCTTCTATCAAAAACCTAAAGTCGGTCATGCGACACGGTCATCAAAAACACCCACAACCAGGTGTTTTTTTTTTTTGCTTGTAGTCAAGATAGTGCATAGTAATTCATTGCCTTGTTATATTGTCAATATGTTTAAAAAAAAAAGGGGAACATAGGTATGAGCTCTGAGGGACACATATGATGGAAAAAATAAAAACTAGAACCGAGCTCAAAGAACAGTGTACCTCGGTTAAAGGTGTCGATTCATGGAACAATCTTGATGATGAACTGAAGATGTGTCAGACAATCCACAAATTAAAATCGTTTAAAAGTATGGTGATCGAAAATTATAGAAATAACGATTGATGTTTCGGATGAACTAATATTCGGGATTTAATTTGATTATTATTAGTAGTAATGTTTTGAATATTTTGATTTAGTAAGAAGGATAGGCGATAATAATAATAATAATAATAATAATAATAATAATAATAATACATCAGATTTCATATAGCGCTTTATCAGAGACCCTCAAAGCGCTTTACATTGGATACATCATTCATTCGCTCACACAGTCGCACTTTGGTGGTGGTAAACTACCTTAGTAGTCACAGCTGCCCTGGGGTAGACTGATGGAAACGTGGCTGCCAGTTCACGCCTACGGCCTCTCCGACCACCACCACACAACACTCACAATCATACACCAGTGGAGGACACACACTGGGAGCAAGGTGGGTTAAGTGTCTTGCCCAAGGACACAACGGACAGACTTGGGATAGGGGGGAATCGAACCGCCAACCTTCCGGTTATTTGACGACAATAACCTCCTGAGCTACTGCCGTCCCATAAGCTCTTGCTTCACCCTATGCCTTTTCGGTCAGGTTTTCTTTTCTTTGTAATCTATTGTATATATTGAATGGATATGACCAGATCGAAATAAACTCCAAACTTCAAAAAAATATAAAAAGATGCATAAATTGTTTCTTCATAGCAAACGTTCAGTGAAAATGAATTTATGGACAAAGACAGTCACAACTGTATTTATGTCAGATATTCTGCAAGCCTGCGAGAAAGAAAAATCAGTTTGGATACCAATAGAAAATTTTGCAGAAGAAATATGTAGTATAAAAAATTAAAAATACTATTGTAAAGGTCGACGTTCTGCAATTATCTATTGTCTTGTTTCTTCAGACCAAAACTGACCGACCACACCAAACTTTTTATGTATTAGCTGTGATTGTACTCAGCTATGACTTCAATAGATTGTCAAATTTACATCAGCTGCTTTTCAGTGAAAATAAGAGAAAACAAGACATAAATTACTATAAAGTGAACTGCTTCTCACTTCAACTTTAACCTGTTGGTTTCATTCCAAACATAAGGTCATCTGCTCTGACATACCGTGTGAAAGCATTCGTAAATTCGTGTGCTAAAGTCAATTGTTTTTGCCTTGGTAGAGCTTGTTTGCTGAAGAAGTTAAAACATTTTGTAATTTGTCCACTGTATGCAGTTTGTGTCAAACAAACAAATATTGTTGTAATTGTATAGGTCATATAGCTGATGTTGTGCAAACTGTGTGAAGAGTTTTGGAAATTTTCTCAGAGGTATTAGAATATGTGTTAGGAGGATTGTAAAAAACTTTAAAAGAGCTTTAGAGGTTGAAATTGGTGATCAATTAAGTAACATATTGATATTTAAAAAATGTACTTCTACAATCTTTTGAACGCATCATTTTAGTGAACTGATTCTAGTGATTCAGTTCATCGAAAAGAACTGCCGTGCATGTCTAGTTTCAGTATTAATGATTAGATACATGTTCTTGTCAGACTTGAGCGTTGGTCATTTGTTTGGCGATATCAGAAATTCTAAAATCTTGAGACAGAAAGGAGAGCATGAGAGTAGATCAGGGCTAAATCGCTTTATTCACCTCCTTTACTAGCACCAAAAATAAAAAAAAAATAAAAGGGCCTTCTTGCCTAAAATTGTGCTACAAGTTAACGTACGAACCATCTCAGTTTACTCAGCAGACACGCATGTTTAATTGAACATTGATAATTAGTAGTTCAGAGTGAACACTGACGAGGAAAGCAGCTCTTTAAGAAACAGGTGGGTGGTCCTGAAAAGGACCTTTGTGGTTTCACTGTGTTACAGCAGGTTTACTTAGAGCTGGTGTACTTGGTCACAGCCTTGGTTCCCTCAGACACGGCGTGCTTGGCCAACTCTCCGGGCAGCAGCAGCCGGACGGCGGTCTGGATCTCCCTGGAGGTGATGGTGGAACGCTTGTTGTAGTGGGCCAGACGAGAGGCCTCACCGGCGATGCGCTCGAAGATATCACCGACAAAGGAGTTCATGATGCCCATGGCCTTGGAGGAGATACCGGTGTCGGGGTGCACCTGCTTCAGGACCTTGTAGACGTAGATGGCGTAACTCTCCTTCCTGGTCCTCTTTCTCTTCTTGCCGCTCTTGGTGGCCTTGGAGACGGCTTTCTTTGAGCCCTTCTTGGGCGCGGACTTTGCTGGCTCAGGCATTCTGACGACAGACGATGACTAGTTCTTGAGGAAGCTGCTGTTTTTATACCATTTGTATGCAAAAGTTGCTGTGCCGTCCCCCGCCTGTGATTGGTTCAATGTTCTCCAGCGTTTGTAGCGGTTCTCCTGCGGATGTCACTGTGGGGACTGAAACCTCGCTGATGTTCATGATATTTACTTGTACTTCTGTCATGCTGTAGTTTATTTACAGTTTTTTTCAGTCGGTAACAAACGTTTGTTAGCCAGCATCGGTCTTTTGTGGCCATACATTCACACATCTCATGTCGTTTTTGCACAATATGCAGTCTGTGAACACATTTCCGCAATGCTTACACTTTCTATACAGACAAGCTATGCCTTTCAACAAAATTATGGATTGTTTTTTGTATTATTTAACCTCCTAAGACCCGAACTCTTGCAAGGCATGCATTTTTATTTTCTCTTTGATATTTAGGCTAATTGGGACCTGATGAGTGTAAAAACAAAGAATGATCTTTTTACATGATGTAGTTTCTGAGAAAAATGATGTCCACATATGAGGACATTCGTTTTAAATTTTGAGAGAAGGCCCTTGTGAACAAAATTTAATATTGTGGTCTTGACAAGCAAAAATGTGATGTCCACATATGTGGACGCCAGGTCTTAGGAGGTTAAGAATGTCAACATACAACATCCCACAATAGCAAAAAACATATTCTAAAATCTTAGACACAGCATGAAAACCTCTGCTTCTGCAATGATACCAATTAAAAAACAAGATATCTCAGCTGATAATGAACAAACAATCGAATAATTGAAACACAGCTGATTCCGTAGAGGAGTTCTTCTCTGCATGGAGGTGAAGTTTATGACCATCAGCCACATGACAATGATTTTCTTTATTTTTTAATTTGGGCTTTTTGCTGAGGCTGCTGCTGCTGCTGCTGCTGCTGTTGTTGTTGTTGTTCTGAATACTCTTGTGTGTTTCATGGATATTTTGTTTACTGTAAGCAATACTGTAAAACTTGTTTTTTTCTATCATATTGTAAACAGTATTTCTACTGTACCACCAATAGTAAAACTGTAAAGGGAAAAAAAATTACAATTTCCTTTTTACTGGAATGCTTTTGAATGTGAACATTACGTGTGGACATACAGTTCCCAACCAACAAATTTGGTGTAAAAACGATGGATTGCATGTTTTGCATGAAAATACCAGTAAAACTGAAATATAAAAGTCTATGACCACGTCTATGTCCACTTCCTTAGAATCCTCAGCAAAAATAACACCTGCCAGAGACTGCTTGTGTCTTTTTACTGTTCCACCATGGAGAGCATCCTCATGTATACAATCACAAGACACCAAATTCGTGGGGTTCAAATAGCCCACAGTACAGTCGTAACAGAGGTCCTGAATGTAAACACGCTGCTCTTGCATTTCCTGTGTTCAGCAGAAGTCAATAAACAAAATACATGCTCAAAACAGTGTACTGACTCAAGTATTATATTACACCATGGCTCATTGTGCAGCTATAGAGCTACACTTTTGTTATATGAGGTGTTACTGTACGATTGTTGGGATGTGAGGTCACTACTTTCAAGGAGAGCGTGAGGCCTTTATTCGCTGATATGTATTCAAAAACGACAGGTATCGGAATATTCACTGTTATCTATACAATAAACATGACAAGAAGACACAAAGGTTACAAAGACTTGATTCTTTACATGTACTCAAGACCTCTGTGAAACACAGCGGGTACTTGGCGTCCTTTTCTATCACTTCATGTCATCTACCGAAGTTACTTTCCAAATTTAACTTAACCCTAGAACACTATCACTGGGTGATTTTCGCCCGACCAAACATCATGAGTCCCAGAGTAGATTCAGCATTTCCTTTGACATCTTCGAAGGCATATTTGTTTGCCCGATCCAAAACCTGCTTTTTCCTACAGGCATGTGTTCACAGGGTGATTTTTACCTGGCAATAGTGACAGAGGGTAAAGTAGGTTTGGGTGGATTTGAAAGCTGCCCCAGGAACAAGTGGAAAATAAATAAAGTTCACAGTTCATATATATAGGAATTTTCATTTCACTTTTATATAGTCTCCTCATTGCACTTTTTTCCTCCCTTTGGACATTACACAGTGAAAAATAAAAGGAAACTACTTTCATTTGTCATGTATCGTCCTTTTATGATATATTTGATGACAAGTACTTTTCCGTGGGTTTATTATTTCAGGGAAAATGACCCAGTGACAGTGATGGTGTTACTAATTTCAGCGATAGTGTTCTAGGGTTAAAGGCCGCACACGTGTTCAAAGTAAAAAGTGTGTTTATGACTGAAAATAAGACACAAGTGTGCTAAAATTAGTTTATAAACTCTGCTCTTTTGAGGTGGAGGTGGCTCTTCACTATTACAAGATGTAACTATCACGGATCATGACCCTTAGACACTGACTTTTGGATTTCATTGGCAATAAGATCAAAAGGAACAATATTTCAGTCCATGAGTAAACTACCTGAACTGGATAAGAGTTAAAGGGAAAGATATCAGGGACAAAGTCTGACTGACAGAAACAGTAAGATGTATAATGGATTGGATGTGATCTTGAAGACTTAACAGGCAACTGGACTGTGTAGGGTTGAGAAGACATTACGCCTTTTAGTACAGTTACAACTGAAGAAGCTTCTTGGATGAGAGGCGAAATGTCTGTTGTCAAGTCTTCAAGATAACCATGACCTGGATGAATGAGAATTTACATGTGGGTGTCATCACTTTTCTGCTTATTTTAAAAGTTTAAAAGCTGGTATTTGACATTACATTTGACGTTGTTTAAACGTTCATTTTCATATGACCATAAATAAGAAACTCTGCTCTCTTGAGGTTGTTGGGTGGCTCTTAAAAGAGCCTTTGGTTGTTGTTGTTGTTGTCGTCAGCAGTGGTTGAGGCCGTTTACTTCTTGGCGGGCTTCTCGGTCTTCTTGGGCAGCAGCACAGCCTGGATGTTGGGCAGCACTCCTCCCTGAGCGATGGTCACTCCGCCCAGCAGCTTGTTGAGCTCCTCGTCGTTGCGGACAGCCAGCTGCAGGTGACGGGGGATGATACGGGTCTTCTTGTTGTCACGGGCGGCGTTTCCGGCCAACTCCAGGATCTCAGCGGTCAGGTACTCGAGGACGGCAGCCAGGTAAACGGGGGCTCCGGCTCCCACACGCTCGGCGTAGTTTCCTTTACGAAGGAGTCTGTGGACACGACCCACGGGGAACTGGAGTCCGGCACGGGATGAACGGGTCTTGGCCTTAGCTCTGGCCTTACCGCCGGTTTTGCCTCTTCCGCTCATGATCAAAGTTTCTTTCAAGAGTCCGAACTCAGAAATGATGTCCTCTTCAGCTCAAGACCCGGCTATATACCCTGTGAGCGCGCCTGTTTTCCCGGCGCACCAATCAGAGCAGAGCAGAGAGGGGGGTGTCTGTCCGCTCAGCCCCGCTTCACTCTCGAGGCTCTTCTCTCCAATCAGCTGCAGACTTTGAGAAGGGGGCTCCCTGCTCTCCCTCCCTCTCTCGAGCGTCCACCCAGCGGGGCTGAGCTCCACGAGCAGCTTCTCACCAATCAGAGCCGGAGCTGCGCAGCGGCGTCACCGCTTCACATCCGCTCTCCTCCGCTTTAAGAGCAGCGCGCCTCTTTGACTGCTTCACATTTTTCCTCTCGTGTTCACAGAGAAAAGACACCATGGCAAGAACCAAGCAGACCGCCCGTAAGTCCACTGGAGGCAAAGCCCCCAGGAAACAGCTGGCCACCAAGGCTGCCCGTAAGAGCGCCCCGGCCACCGGCGGCGTCAAGAAGCCTCACCGTTACAGGCCCGGTACCGTGGCTCTCCGAGAGATCCGCCGCTACCAGAAATCCACCGAGCTGCTCATCCGTAAGCTGCCCTTCCAGCGCCTCGTCAGAGAGATCGCTCAGGACTTCAAGACCGACCTGCGCTTCCAGAGCTCCGCTGTCATGGCTCTGCAGGAGGCCAGCGAGGCCTACCTGGTCGGACTCTTCGAGGACACTAACCTCTGCGCCATCCACGCCAAGAGAGTCACCATCATGCCTAAAGACATCCAGCTGGCCCGACGCATCCGTGGAGAGAGAGCTTAATTTAAGACCTCCAAACAAACAACACAACGGCTCTTTTAAGAGCCACCTCAACTACATCTGAAAGCAACAATCCTGATTCTATATTATTTCTTCTCATCTGTGACTTCACTACATTCATTGTGTCTCATGAATACAGTCAAAAAACATTTTTAAGTACGGAACCGTGATTTCTTTCCCCAGTAGATGTTATTTAAGATAGGCAGACCAAACATTAGACACTTGCACGTCTTCTTTGTGTGTTACAAGTGTGGTGGAGAACATGACATAAAACTAGAGTTGATTACAATTAGTCCTGATGACATATTAATTTAACATAGTCCATCATTACTCATATCCTAACCCTGTAAATTCATCTTGTTTTCACCATCACATGAGCTGCTGTTGCTGCTGCTGTCCCCTCTCTCTCTCACCCTCGTTCTCTACTCTCTCTCCCTCTCCCCTACTCATTCTCTCTCTACTTCCCCTTATCTTGTTCTCTCTCAATTTCTCTCGCTCTCCCCCTGCCCTCTTGTCTCTCTCTCTCTCTCTCTCTCTCTCTCCCTGCCCTCTGCCTACTCCACCTTTAACATGGTGGGTGCTTGTGAAAGCTAACACAGGAGTAAGGTTAAATGAGTTGGGAACTTTGTTGTTCAATATTATTAGCTGCGTCCGAATTGCCAGGTAGTAGTCGAAGTAGTAGTCGAAGTAGTATCTAGCATGTCCGAACTGGCCACCGGAGCGAGTAGCATGCTACTTCAGATACTACTTCAGATACTAGACACGCCCACATTGTAGGTTGGTCGCGGTGCATCCTACGGGCATGCTACTGACCCAAAATGCACCGCGGGCTTCTTCTTCGTCCTCTTAAAAGTTGTAGAAGCGCATGTGATGCTAGCGCCACCAGCATAGATGCGTCGCGAACGCCGGCTGGCCACAGCAGCGCGCACCATGTCGGAGCAGCAGCAGGCGGGACCGCAGCAGTACAGATGTAAGTTTCATGTAACTTCACACACTGTCCTAAAAAATGTGCGGTTGTATCTCTTTGTCATGTCATGGTGTCATATTTGCCCAAGTAATCATTTTATGAGCAAATATGTGGCGACATCATGGAGGTAAAGCTCACTTATTCCATCATTAAACTGCACAGCTGCAGTACTACAGCCAGGCCCGCAGATGAGGGGCTTCAGTTACCACTGTCTGCACGGGCGCAGTCCCTACTCTCTGCCTGCGGGGGTCGTCTTTCCCCACCGCTCGTCTAGTGTGTCCGAATTGGGCCAACGTGTTTAGTATGTAGGAGTAGGATCTAGCAGTAGTATGTAGCAGTAGCATGTAGTATCCGAGCGGGCAATTCGGACGCAGCAATTGTTTTTTTTTTCTCCCAAATCTGCAGTTTCGTCTCCAGTCCAGTTGGTGGCGGTAATGCGCCTTCAAGAGGATCACCAACGAAGAAGAAAGAAACGATGACGAAGACGAACATGCGCAGTTAGTGATACAGGAAGCAGTATCGACGAGCTCGACAGAAAGAGAACAGCTGTATCGTGGATATTTGTGTCCATAATGGGTCGTTTCTAGAGTAGGACTGTCAGGTTGAAGGAAAATCGGAATATCTTGAGAGATATCCACCTCAGAGTACTGAAACGGAGCAAATATGATGTCTGAATGCGATCCGGCAGAGAGCAGCGAGCTCGTTCTGGACTCTGGAGCAACAGCGGCTCCTGCTCCGAAGTGTGACTTTAACTCCTCGGACCCTTCAAATGTTTTATTCGACAGGACTGGGAGAGGGTTAGGGATCTCGGTGAACCCCGGAGGAGCGGTTCGTATATCAGGCTCTCGAGAAAGTGTCCTGACTGAACTGGACTCTGACAGCTCCGGAGAGGAGGCGCTGCTGTTACCGTGTCTGACAGGAGGCTCGTCCCCGCGGGAGGTTCGAGAGAAGCGGGCCAGGCGGACCAGACTCGGCTTGTCGTCGGACAGGGACACACTGGCCTCCCCAGGTAGTCTTGTTGTTTAAGACCAAGGCTTTAAGAGTCTCCCGAAGGGGGGAAAAAGGGTGTAGACTGTGGGGTTGTTTTCGTGAGGGGGGTACTGACTTAGTGGTTTAGACTGATTCATAAACGAGAGATATGTTTGGTGGGTTTGTACGGTGGCCGATAACCGCCACTGCTGCAAATAAAAAAAGAATGCAAAGAAAAGAAGCCACAACTGAAGTTACTGATGGAAAGAGAAAAAAATAACAAACCCCGCTGCAAATTTAAAAAAGAAAGAGATGATGAGGATAAAAAAAACATCGGAAGTTAACCACGCCAAATAAAAAAATGGTAATGCAAAAAAACGTTACGTATTGACAAAATAAAAGGATGCAAATAAAAAAGCCAAGTTAGAAACAAAAGGATGCAAACGATGGAAGTTAACAATGCAAAAAAAAAAAGTAGTGATGTGAAAAAAAAGTAACCTACTGCAAAAATAAAAGGATACAAATAAAAAAAGCCACAACAAAGGGTTAACGACTTAAAAAAAGTGGCCATGCAGAAAAAAAAAAAAAACCTACTGTGAAAATTAAAGGCTGCAATTAAAAAAAGCCATGACTGAAGTTAACGACTCAAAAAAAAGTGGCAATGCAAATTGCTGTTGCTGTTGTTGGCTGTAGAAAGTATTTTTTGAACCTGACCTGTCAAGTCCTGGCGCGTGTTTGATCACGTGTGCGACACTGGAGAGTGACAAGTGCTTTGTTTTGTCAATTCAATTTTACTTCATTGATCGCTAAAATGTTATGGGAACTGAGTGCCGTTGTAAAACCTCACCAAATGGAATGGAGTAATGCAGCGTTTGGTAACGGACACAGAGTTACTGAATTTAACAAAACAACAAGTTACATGATTAATTACCAAATAAAGTAACGGCGTTACGTAACAGCGTTACTAATAACGCGTTGCTGCCCAAAACTGTGTATGATTGTGAGTGTTGTGTGGTGGTGGTTGGAGAGGCCGTAGGCGCAAACTGGCAGCCACATTTCCATCAGTCTCCTTCAGGGCAGCTGTGACTACTAAGGTAGTTTACCACCACCAGGGTGTGACTGTATGAGTGAATGAATGATGTATCCAATATAAAGAGCTTTGAGGGTCTCTGATAAAGCGCTATATGAAATCTGATGTATTATGATTGTTATTTATATCATCATTGTTATGTTTTTCTACACTAGGGACCAACAGGGGGGACTTCAACCATTTCCCAGATGATCAAGAATTTACAGATATCGTCCAAATGGCAGAACAAGCTATCCAGACCGGTGTATTTCCAGAGAGGATTTCCCAGGGTTCGAGTGGGAGCTACTTTGTCAAAGACCCAAAAGGGGTGAGGAGACGATGGAGGAATGACGTAGAATAAAGAAAATGAAAAGAGAGGAAGAACTAGAGACTGAGGATGGTGTATAGAACAGCTTCTTTGACGATACCACAGCTGAGACAGGACGTAAGAAGCTTGAGTTACGCCTCTGGATTCTAATTTGCTGAAGGAACTTGCTGAATAATGCAGAAAAGAAGCTTTCCATTGATAACTGATAGGGAGCATGCATGATTAAGTCACATCAGCGAGATCCTCGGTACGAGAGAAAGACACAGGCAGCGTCTTTACAACTACTACATTTTAACTGCAAGAGATTCTCCAGTTTGATCTAATTTGCAAGGATCAGTAATTTTTTTGGATATCGCCTCTCCTGTGATGTTTTCACCATGTCAGAATCATTGTGTTAAACTGAACTCATGCATTGCTTTGTTGATCTTTTGTAGAAAATCATTGGTGTTTTCAAACCAAAGTCAGAGGAACCTTATGGCCACCTCAACCCCAAATGGACCAAATATTTCCACAAGGTACATTTTAAGAAGAGTTTCATCTGTTTTATGAAAATACAAACATGTAAAATTATTCATCACTGTCCTCCCTCTCGCTCTGTCTCATTAGATATGCTGTCCCTGTTGTTTCGGCCGAGGCTGCTTGATACCTAACCAGGGTTATCTCTCAGAGGCTGCTGCCTCGCTCGTTGATTCCAAACTCGGCCTCGGAGTGGTACCAAAAACAAAGGTAGGAAGTCAGTGGGAAAGGTTGGAGGAGGAATAACACCACCTCTGTGACGTGCAGCTTTTGACCTTATGTAGATGTAAATTTTGAATTTCGGTCAACACCAATAAGTAAGTTTTTTTTTTTTCAAATGAGCACCATCATCTCCATCCGTATCAGACAGATCAGCTTTGTTCACCCTACACCTGTGTGTGCGCTGGCATCTGTCTATCTGTTAGAGACTCTGACGAGATTCTCACTAAATCTTTGTCATCAGGTTTTGGGGTCCCACCTTTTTGGTAAAACTGTAGGTAGTGGATTTTTTATGCATTTGATTTTAAAAAACTGACTTCTGGACGCTTGATTGGTAGCTTTAATTTGTCCTGATCCCGGCAGATCCCGGAGATTTAACCTCTGCACAGACATTTCCAGCCTTTTCTCCTCCTCAAAAACAGCGATTCCCTACAAGTCCGCCTGGTTCTTTCTGCGGAAAAGATGAATTTCTTGCATATGTCCTGATACTTCTGACAATGTGATGCTGAAACGCCAAAGGATTTAGTATCTCCTTGTTTGTGAAAAACAGCTACTGAAGTTCAATTCATCTTAATGCTCCACAGCGCTCATTTAAACAAATAACAACAGGCTAGAACAGCTATTAGCTACAACTTTATTCTCGTAAGTAATGATTTAATTACGACTTTATTCCCGTAAGAAATTAATTTATTTTGAATCTATTCTCGTAAGTAATGATTTCATTACGACCGTATTCCCGTCAGTAATTACAAAGTCTTAATTATTTACTTGGTTGTTGGTAATAGATTTTTTTTTTTTTTTTTTCAGGTTGTGTATCTGGCAAGTGAGACGTTCCACTATAACGCCATCGACAGAGCAAAATCCAAGGGGAAGAGGTACGCCTTAGAGAAAGTCCCCAAGGTGGGAAGACGCTTCCACAGAGTGGGCCTGCCACCCAAGGTAAGGGCCTCAAATCTGCACAACATTGCTGTGTTGTTTGAGCAAAAAGTGCAACAAAAAAAAAAAAAGGTGTAACATATGGAGTGTTTTTGTTCCTAGTTGGGCTCGTTTCAGCTGTTTGTGGAGGGTTACCGTGAAGCAGACTACTGGCTGCGGCGCTTTGAGGCAGAACCGTTGCCAGAAAATATCAGGAAGCAGCTGCAGTGTCAGTTTGAGCGGCTGGTCGTTTTGGACTATGTAATCAGAAACACAGGTGAGAGTTTCTCAACACTTTAAAACGGTGTACTTAGATAACCACAGGACTGCACTTCAATCCCTGAGTCCAGCTTGAAGTGTTTTTCCTACACTGTTTACAGCACTTACTGGCTGAGTCACCTTTGCACACATGCCTTTCTAGTTATTAAATTTGCAAGCTCATCATAAGTTGAACTTACACTCTTCATCGCAGCCAACAAATTTGATAGCTGTCACATACATTTAAAGCAGCTGGACAGTTTTCATTTTCTGTTGATTTCAGCGGCCACTATAGACAAAAGCGGTAGTGTTTTAGTGCGAGCTCCAGGAACTGACTTTTTGCAATCAGTTTAAGGCAACTTACTTGGTAAATGTATTTAAAATGGGAAGTGAGTCTGGGTCAGCCCGCCACAGAGTGTGAGACAGACGTGGAGCAGCAGGACGACTGAGGTTTGTGACACAGAGCATCTCTGTCTGTCTGTCTCTGGTGTGGAGGAGCTTCTCACTCCGTGGCAAGACGTTGTCAGCATTTGTGTAGTGACAGTAATATGCCCGTTTTCAGTGCAAAATTAAGAGAAAAAACGCTTGTCGTCTCTGGTCTGAGTGCTGTAAATCATTTCCTTCATGGTCCCCACCCAACTACTGGCTCCCGTTTTCCCCGTTTTCACTATTTAGAAATAGCTGATCTTCACACAGGTGGGCTCATTCGCTGTTGCAGGTGACGGGGAGAGATCAGCAGAAACAAAAGATTTTTTCAAATCTAGTTACAAGTTCCTCACAGAAGGTTTCAAGTCCTGGTTGATGATCTGAGAAGCAGTAGAAAAAAACTGAGCTGTCGAGGCAGATTTGGAAAAAGTTTCCCACCCCCCACACACACACACACACACACACACACACAAACCTCTCCCCTCTGTGCTCCACGATAACTTCCCCCCTCAACCTGTATCTTCCTCACCACCTCTGGCAGAGCAAGAAGCCGGCCGGCAGAAGATCCTACGCTAGCTTCAAATAGGATTCACCATGTTGGATTGTTAGCGGCAGTAAACGCCAGCTCTGCGAGCAGGCAGCGTCTGCAGCTGCCTGGACAGCCACCGTGTTGACATTGCAGAGACTAATAAGACTTATTTATGTAACATGTGCCACGATAAAAGGTGATAAAAGTTACCTGATCATCAAAAACTCTGCTGTCTCGACGTCTGTTTTCAGGACCAAATCCTAGTGTAGCTTTCTCCACCGCTCGAAGGATAACCCGATGTTTATTCGAGTTAGATTCCTCGCTTGGTCACATTTCCTCTTCGACTCTTCTGTCGGCTTGCGTTTTCTTCCCACTTTTGGCGGTGGGGCGAGCAGAAGTGTTTTTTTTTTTTTTCACGTCCTTCTCCATCACAGCTCCTGTAGCTAAGCTGCTACGCTACTATTAGCGTCTCAGAGCTCCGAGGAGGGGCAGGAGAGTGGGAGGGGACGAGTCGGAACTACAGGAGAGGGGTGTGTCGAATACAGCGAGGTGATTGGATGGAGAGGCGGAGCAGGAGATTAACCAATAGGAGTTGTCCGGGACGGATGGATTCTGTTTTTTTTTCTCTTCACTTTGTGGAGATCGCACTACAGGACCATGATCGGCATATAAACGAGGTTCATAATAATTAGCAATCTCTCCAATTGTCAACCATGACTTTAAGTAAAATACACCTGCTAGAACTCAATTTATATTATTCTTTTTATTTGAGGGAGTAGAGTTTCCACAATAGATCAGTAAGTCCGCCCTCAGTCTCCGTATCTCCCACAACTATTGCTTCTGCATACGCAATCCACTCGTTCTGACACAGCAACACTACTTTGTATCCCGTCATTGTTTTAAAAGTTCGAATAAAGTTCAGATCCTGTTCGAAATCTCATTAACATCACAGTGAACACACATTAAAAGGCAGCTTTATAAGCGTAACGCCGATGATAAAGTCAACACTGCAGACACAAGGTCATGGCTAAAATAACTTGAGGTTGACAGCAGTAATGTAATGCATTTTTAAAACTCCTTTTCTCTGTTGTCTCTTCAGATAGAGGAAACGATAACTGGTTGATCAAGTATGAGAAGCCTGGGGAAAGAGAAGAAGAACAAAAGGTGAGGTCAGTTACCGTGTGTGGAGTGTTTCCAGAGGGAACAACACCCAGATTTAAGTGCAGCTTAAACGCACAACCCGGTGAAAGCAGAAACACTCAGCAGGTTGTAAAACACAGGCATGATTTAGCTTCAACAAACACACACAGACATTTGCACGTCACCCGTTCATATCCAGGACACTCAGAGACAGAGAGTATCTTCCTTTTTGTTAGTCTGGTGCTACAACTCAACTCTAACAAACTATTGTTTGTGCCCAAGCATGCAATGTTTTTTTTATACACATACATATACACATATACACACCATAATTAAGATCCTTTATAGGTGGGTTCAACCGACATGCGTGAACATTTCTACGCATTTGCATCAAGGCCTTAAAAGACAGATCTCTCTGTCCGATTGGTTTGAGTGTTGTATCTATGACAACTCTTGGACAGCATATCTGATCCGTTTCCTCCTCTTGATAGGATACAGAGTGGCCGGAGACCAGTCCGGACTCTTGCATCAAGATTGCAGCGATCGACAACGGCCTGGCCTTTCCCTTTAAGCATCCAGATGAGTGGAGAGCTTGTACGTTGGTCACTTTTCCCCTCACCTCTTTTCAGTATTGTCTGGGTCTTTCACACTTGGTGCAGCTCTTTGTCAAAATCAGTTTAAAAAGCAGGAATTTAGTTCATTGGATGACAAATTTTGGGGGCTTTCACACCTACGTCGAAACTGTATGTATTATGGACAACTTGGTTCCGCCTTCTGCGAGTATACGGATTTAAAGCCGAATTACTCTCTGTATTTCTGGGTTTTTTATCCACTTCCTGGAACCACCACTTGCGCAGCAGCGTTGTACGCATTCGGCGGGAGAGTTGCAGAGAGCTGCACAATCGTCGTACGCCCATAGGCTGTATCAGGTGTCAATCATAGGAAACATGAACCCCCTAATAACTTTTAAAAATGGAGCTTCACAGAAAAAAGAGGACTTGAGCACAAACCAGTCTGACAGTAACTACATGTCAACATCACAAACAGGGGGGAGAAAAATTTATGTTCTGTGTGATAAATTTCTAAAGTTTGTCCACAGCTCCATAGGGATTGCTGGAGGAGGCGGGATTTATGACCTATACTGCAGCCCGTCACTAGAGGGTGCTGTTCTCAGGGTAGCTGCTTCCAGTGAGGAGGCAGACGGCGTCCATTCTATATACAGTCTATGGTCCAAACCAAAATGATAGGTGTGAAACCTCCTCAGGGGCCTCATTTATCAACCGTGCGTACGTACAGATGTGTGCATAATGTCAAACTACGAACATTCCCACACAAAGTCTGGAATTTATTAACTTGTACTTGTTCTTAGGAATGTTCCTAAATTTAAGCCCAACTCTGACAGTGCTTACACACAAACCCTAGTGGTAGAACATTGAAACTACAAATAGAACCCGTTAAAGGAGTCACAGCGTTCAGCAATCTCAAACTTCACACATGTTCTCCGTTGCCTCTGTACAAAATCATCAGTTAGTTATTTAGCAGACATTTTGAATGATCGGTGTGACGAGCAGACAAATCTCCCGAGCCGGTGTTGCAATGACTCGCAGGATTACATACTTTCTTTTCCTTTCCTGTCGATGAAGTTGTCGTCTAATGATCAAATTCGTGAGACTTCCTCAGACCAAACTCATGTACAGCTCTCCAAGTTTGACAAACAAAACAAACCGATTTCTAAAAGTTTCTAAAACTTCCTTAAAATGTTGTAATAGCAACTGAAAAGTGAGATACTCCCACATCAGTGGCCAGAACAAAGCCCTCATACACGGTATTGTCGTTCCCTCGCTCTATCAGACCCCTTCCACTGGGCTTGGCTCCCCCAGGCTAAGGTTGCCTTCTCCCAGGAGACCAGAGACCTGGTACTGTCCCGGCTGTCTGACATGAACTTTGTCCAGGACCTCTGTGAGGATCTTTATGAAATGTTCAAGGTATGAGCCACCTCATGACTTTTCCATAAATCCCTCTCATTCTTTCTAGTTGTACAGGTACAAGTTCGTACTCTTCAGTCGGACGTTGGTTTTGAAGCAAACTAACTCTTTAACAATAGCACCTCCTCACTGTGATTTCTTTTTTGTTCCGTTTAGGCAGATAAAGGCTTTGACAAAACCATGTTTGAGAGACAGATGTCTGTAATGAGAGGACAGGTAAGTTGTCGTTTACCAGTTTCTGATCGTGCTCGCCGTTCTTCCTGTCCCTGTTTTGCAGTTGTATAACTCATCAGTCATCAAATCTTTTACATCAGTGTTTTTAAGGTGCCTGACCAGCTTTATGAAGGCACCTTTTCGAAGCAAAAGCTCGCTTTCTTCTTCTTCCTCTGACTCACACGACCCTTTGCCATATATGTGCTGCAAGTCTCCCCCCGCCCCCTGAAATCCAGGGTCAGTAGTGTCAGTAGTTCTTGCAGCTGTAACATGGTTTGTTGTTTTGGAGCTGTAGCACCACCGGTACTTTAGTCCTCCATCAGGGGGTCTTGCCAAGACATTTGCTTCTTCAAAGTTCTGATCTTAGCAGGTGACAAGCTTTTGCCCTTCAGGCATTTCACCATAATGTTCTCGTCCTTTTTGCCCAAAACCTCAAACTAGGACTGGACGATCATATCGTATCTTCCGATCTCGATTATTATCACTTTAACTGCCAGTTTTTAAAAACTAAAGAAACTAGAGATTAGTTCAACATTTTATTAACATATTAAGTATGTAACAAAATAAATTAAATAAGATAAACTTAAAAAGATATAAACAACATTTTAACTCAACAGAACAACAAATGTAGATAAATATTAAATAATACAGTGAACTAGTTTACAGTCCTGAGTGTTTTTGCAGGTATGTAAGACCCAAAATAAACAAATCGCCTCCTCAGAGATAATGGAGACGCCTTAAAATGTCAACATTAGATGATGTAAACATAGATGATATGATTGATTGCTTCGGTCTGGTGGCTGCACCGCTAGTTGTAGCTAAACTGCTTATGCTGCTCGTGCCGTCAGGCTGTGCAGACTCCGCTCACACTTTCATGCTTTCCGCATAATGACTTGGGGAGTACTTCTTCAAATGATTAAACAGATTTGTTGTGTTGCCGGTTTATCAGGGCACCGACTGCCAACATACCTTACACATCGGCTTAATTGCTCAATGTCACTTCGGAGATACCTGAACCACCGCCACACAACCAGCGTTGAATAACTTTTCTTCTCAACAATAACATCTTCAGAGGATGACTCAAAGTCACGGCTGACATCTATTTTTCCGTCCTCAGCTCCATGTTTAGCGCCACGTTCGCTCGTTCTGTTTACTTAAAGAAGCGGCGACTTACAGAAGCGAGCAGGAAAATCTCGACTCTGATTGGCTGTTGTGACGCACATTTCCGCCATGTTTGATCGAGTAAATATGCTCACAGCTGATCACCGTGATCGAACTGAAATTTATCACGATCATTAATAGTGATCATATGATCGCCCAGTCCTACCTCAAACCAGCGCTAATATTTCCAAGAGGTAAACACTGTTCACTATTTTAAACCAGCTCTGTTTGCTACTAGGTTTTGAACCTGACCCAGGCACTGAAGGACGGGAAGAGTCCCATCCAGCTGGTCCAGATGCCACGTGTGGTAGTCGAGCGCAGCCTCTCAGGCAGCCAGGGCCGGGTGGTCACACTTGGTAATGCCTTCACACAAACCTTCCACTGCAAACGCCCATTTTTCTCTTCTTGGTAATCAGACTTTGGCGAGGAGGGGAACTAAGGAGAGACATTTGCAAAAGCCCTTTCTGTCCAGGAAGCGAGGAGGAAAATGGGGATGCCACATGGTAGTGTACTCGTCTTTCCTCAACAAGGAAAAGTAAAGGGAAAAGCCATGGATGAAGAGTAAAAAAAACTATCGGTGGAGTGAAAAACCTTGAACTGGCTCTTTTAATTCTGTGTAATCAGATCGCAGGGATTAATGAAGCTGGAGAGACTGTCTCACCAGCGTCTCCTGGAACACTTGCAGATGCGGGGAAAGTTTTGAGATGTTATCCATGATATGATGGGATAATCAGCTGCTCTGATATTTGTCTTTTGCAATGAGAATGGTGTGTAGTCTACCAAAGTACCTACTGGAATATCTTTCGTTGTGTGTCAGTGGGGTTTATAGCCAAAGAAGAAGCACTTACAAACCACAAACTAAATGATCAGTGGTGCGGTGGTGTTTGGTAATCCCAAGAACTGGTTTCACAGGTCTCCACCTACTGGTAAGTGTTCTCCTCGCGGGTGTTCTTTTTTGTTGTCTGTTTGTTTTGCCTTGGAGTATGTTGGGAGAAGAATTAGAAATATTTGTCCGGCCTCGCTGGGCTCCTTCTTGAAGTATAAATGTGCGCTCGTACTGCTGTAGATCTCGGACTTGGTCAAACCGTTCCTGACCAAAGGTTAGTTTTTCAAAACCACGTCTCTCGGCCAAACGCAAACACAGTGTCTTCAACTTTCACAACTGCCACATTTATTTTAGCACATTTAAAGGTCTCCAGGAAGTGTTTTGAATTCTTGAACATGAAATTTGAGATGTAATGATGATGCCAACACTGCTTGAATGTAATCTGTTTACAGTTTCTATTCTGACTCTTGATCCTGTACATTTCAATACCAGTGAATGCACTTGAAAATAGTCTTTTCTCTTATCAGTGAATGTAATGCAATAGTAATCTGAAACCTTTGATTCCTGGCCAGAAGTTCTTCTTTAGGACTTGTGGAAGTGGGGATAGGACCTGGATCCTCTCTCCTATAAAGAAGTTAAACTAAAGGTAAAAAACGAAAAAAAAACAAATGCAACATGTGTTTGAAGGTATCGTGCTTTCTTAGGTATGCATCTTGAAATTTTCATAATCAGATGATTTTATGAATATGTATACTAAACATGGAAAATAAAATTTGCATAATTTGAATCTTTTTTTGTTTTTTTAATTTGACCTCATACTGAGGCCATCGATATAAAATGTAATGTCCTTTTGCTCGCATCTATCATAAGACCTTTAACCTAAATGACTCAAAGAAAGCACAAAAGAAACCTGCACGTTGATTTTGGAAAGCTATCATCCATGCAACGTGCTCCTGCTCACTCTGGGGTTGATGTAAGTAAAGTAAATCCTGGATGCTCTGTCCAAAATAACTTTAGGATCAGTTATTGTTTGATTTGCTGTCACTTAGATACTTGTCTGTGGAGACTTACCTTGAGCGTCTGGAGAGGGACCACGGCCATGCCAAACATATTCTTCACTCTCAATAGAAATCAAGTTATTGTGGATGCTGTTGATATGTTCATCAACCTCATACAATACGACCAAAAAGTTCAGTAAACACTATGAGTCTAATCCTTTGCATGTGGCATCCAAACAAAAAGGTTACATTAAAGGATACTTCTGTGATTTTATTGTAGAGGTTATATGAGGCGTTTTAAAAAGCCATTGTATAGACTACTGTGTATGGCAATTTACGCAACTTAAAGGGATATTCCGGTGCAGAATTAATTTAGGGTCAAACACACCTCAACACCGAGTTAGACACCCCCTCGAGAGATAAATGTTGCCGACCTGCTTCTCTAGTTAAACCAACTTTAGAAATGACTGCACAAAAGCAATACACAGCGGTCAACGTCTCCACACGCAAACCTCAACCAAAACGCCACTCTATAGCCACAAATAATACTCAGAACAGCACCTAACTTCATCAACAGGACATATAGGGTCACAGCCATAGTACTAGACATCAAACATCTTTTTAACTTTGACTTATTTCTTTAGCAAAGAGACTAAACTCAACTCACCTACTCTCCTCCAGCAGCCGCTTGTTTGTGGGGGAGCCCTGACGAGTCGATCACCGATCAAATGCAATCAGACAAAGACGCTAAGGCAGAAGAACTACGGCATCTGCAGTGCAAAATGATTAATATGATGATTATTACTTCAAGGGCATGATCTGCTGGTCTCTGTAATTTAAAGGGAGTTATATAGCTCACAAAATGCACATTTAGGTCAAGATAATTGTGAGTTTAAAAAGTTATACAAGTATAAATAAAGGGGGAAACCGAAAGTTTAAGAGGACTCCTGCAGAGAAATTTTAAAATGTTAAAATGTTTTTAAAGAGCTGAAGCTTCTTGTCTTTAGAGAAAATAGGTTGTTCTGTGAAGGTGTAATAATGACGGTCAACACAAGAGAGAGCTGTTGGATTATTTTCATTAAAGTGCACTTACAGGAATTTGCTGTGCAAAACAATTCAACAGTTTCTTGTAGTTTTCCAGTTTCTAAAACACTAAATCTTTTTTTTTTATTTTATTTTTTTTTTATGGACTAAACAGTCAAAGGTCTGAAGCTCCCTAAACAACCCACTTAACCCACTTAATAAACTGTATGAACTTTAGAGACAGCCCCTAAACTCCACCTGTAATTTTCAGGTGTGGCTCTCTGAACTTCTGTTACCGTTAGATTTATACTCCAACTCCCGGAAATAACTTTCCTTTTCTTTGCTGAGGCAGATAGATGACACCACCAACATTAGAGCTTCTTCTCATAGGTATGTATGTGTGTTAATTACTTTAAATGATCATCATCCAAAGTTGCTCCTATTCTCACTTACTTTCACTTTGAGTTGTAGCGTGAATTTTGTGTTACACACCTAAAAAACACAAGATTAGGAAAGCAGAAGATACTCGATCTGGTTCTGTGAGGTTAGCTTTAGTGGAGGACGCTGAATTTGGCTCCACATCCGCCTACGGTTGTGCTGAAGTTTCAATTCCTCCTTAAATTACAAAAAAATCCTGATTTTGACCACTGGATTCATGGAAGTGTTCATCTTAACAATAGTCTATGTAACAACAGATTCTGCACATCCGAGGTCAATTTTATTCCAAAATTCCACAGTACATATAGACATGTGAGGCATTATTACAATGCTGGGGTCGTCTACCTTCACAATCAGTTGACAAATTTTACGGGAAATCGTATCTGACCTCTAGGGGGCAGTCCAAAGTTGGGAACTTTGACATTCACTTTATGCAAATTCCCATTTTCTAAGTCGATTTCTTCTAAAATTCCACAGTAGATATCGACATGTGGGGCATCGTTACAATGCTGAGGTCGTCTACTTTCAGAACTTTGGGGAAGTTATATCTGACCTCTAGGGGGCAGTCCAAATGTGGCAACTTTGACATTCACAGGAAATATACAGTAAATATCACAGTAGACAGTAGATATATATTGAAATCCTGGGTGAAATAATACTTATAATACTTGTAGTTTGTAGTTATAGTTTGACTTGTATACAGTCATCTTAATGTTAAAGTAGAAGGGGAGATTGCGTTGTCTGCACCGATTGAGATGTGAAAATAAGCAATGAACATTCGTTTTGTCGCTGATTTTAGAGAGCTAGCCGGTGACAAATTGGCGTAGAAGAAGAAATAGCGTTGCCATTTCAGGTGAGTGTGCCTAGCAACAGCAATCAATTTGGCACAATCCTGCACCCTCGAAACTCAAGCACTGTGCGATTGAGTACATAGTATGCTTAGAATACTCAATTTGAAAAGTATTTATTACGGAAGTATGTGATTTGGGACACACCAGTAGGTTATTGTTAAGATGAACACTTCCATTCCGTGGTCAAAACTGTGCTTTTTTAATTTTATTTAAATTTAAGGTGGAATCAAAACTTAGGCACAACCGTAGGCGAATGTGGTGCCAAGTTCAGCGTCATCTTTGACGGAACCATTCTCAGGGTTTGCCTGTGTGGCGCTGTGGGGGGGCGCAAAAGGACATTTAAAGTGCCCACTAATAGTTACAGGTGTGGCGCACAAGGCTGCTGACTGGTTTGTTTTTCAGTTGTTGGTTTATTGTGCTTTTGTGCAAAAAAATACTTGATGGATTGGCATACCCAAAAGGAGCTTTTTGCCTGCAAAAGTGTGATTTTGCAAAACTTAAATGGAACAAGTTATCGACACTCGAAAAGGAAGTCAAAATACCACGCCAGGTCCGGGAATGCATAAAGGTGTGTCAACAACCTTTACAGTGTCAAAGGGTGCTTTTATTACTCTGAGCAGGATCCAACTGCAGACCAGTTGCAGTACATGTGTAGTTTTCATGTGAATATGATGATACAGACTGAGCAGAGATCAATATATTTCACTTCACTAAATCATCTCAGTACCTGATTATTGTAAAAATACAAACGGAAAGTTAGGACTAAAATGGGCAAAGCTCCCACCTGCCAACTGAGCCACCACTAATTCTGAGGGGATCAATGTGACACAGTTCAGTTATTAACCAAAGGTTAATAAGTGACCTGATAGGCTGATCACTAGTACAACCTATCAGAAGCATACAGCAGAGTTTTCTGTCACCTCTCATCCTGGTTAAATATTGAGGAAACAGCAAGGTAATACCTGCAGAAAGGTTAGTATTCTCAATCAGGCTTTACATTTAATAGTGTATTTTACAGCTCATGTTAAAGCAGACTTGATCTAAATTAATCTGAAGTCCTCTTATCCTATCTCACTAAATATCCTTCAGCACCCATATCTATGAATCTGTGAGGTGACTCTGTCTGTCATCGGGGTCAAAGGTCCATCATAAAGACAGTATAATAACAGGAAGTGTGAGAAGTCAGAGATAAATGTCAAACTTGAAAATCAGACTCTTAAAGGTTCATTTTTCTATGAAGAGTCAAAGAGAAACTTCTGTGCTACTTAATACTTTGAGTGAAAGAAACTGAGACCCACCAGAATCAAATGAACAGGTGATACACTGAGTGTGGAATGAGCCTAGAAATTACAGCTTTTATTGTTTTTCATCAGAGCAGTGTTCAAATGTGTTTTTAAAAACATCCCTCTGAAAGTACCTAAATACATCAGTCAGTCACAGTGCACGCAAACACAGCTTTGGTCAGAAAGCTGCTTGTTCTTGTTAATTTACAACAGCAGCATGATGGGAAATCAACTCAATGGGAATCTAGTGGTACTTTTTAATCAACAAAGAGGCTCGATCCTTTGACTTTAATCTTCATCCTAAACTCCTTCAAAAGTTTTCCATTGTCAGGAGGACACAACCTGCATTTGTTAGTCAGAGGCTGACTGATTTTTATTTCCAGTATAATAAAGTTACTTATGTGTATGATGCTGTTATTCCTGATTTTCCTGACCGATCAACTTTTACGTTTTGACAGGAATGAACCTCACCTGAAGGACACCGCTCAAAGAGAAAGACTAAAAAGACCGAGTTCTTACGGTGGCAGATCAGCAGTCATGGAAAAATATCAAATCACTGAGAGTGTTAAACAGGAGCTCAAAGCCCACTTGAGGGAAAAGTTTACCTTCATTAATGAGGGCACATCCACCGCTCACTCTCGACTGGAGAATATCTACACTAGAGTCTTTATCAACAGAGAAAAGGTGGATTATCGCCGCCAAGTACATGAGATTCTGGATCAGTTCAAACTCCCAGATAAGGGATCACCATTTTCACATTATGAAGAGATAAACTGCTTTGACATCTTCAAACCTGGAAGAAACATTTCCCAACAACAACCAACCAAAGATGGCACGATCCGAAGAGTGATGATGAAAGGTATCGCCGGTATCGGAAAGACGTTAGCAGTTCAAAACTTCTCCCTGAACTGGGCAGAGGGGAAATCCAACCAGCACATCGACTTCATCTTTGTGCTTCCTTTTAGAGAGTTAAACATGCTCAAAGAGGGTGAATACACCCTGCTGCAGCTTCTCCTACCCTTCTACCCTGAACTCGGACAGTTCAAGAATGCACAGCAGCTTTTTGAGAAGCAGGTGCTGTTGATCTTTGACGGTCTGGATGAAAGTAGATTTCCCCTGGACTTCGACGGGGGCGCGAGAATGATCGAACCAGATCGAGCAGCAACGGTGGATGTGTTGCTGACAAACCTCATCAAAGGGAACCTGCTGCCCAACGCCCTTCTCTGGATCACTTCCCGCCCTGCAGCAGTCGGTCAGATTCCTTCACAATATATTGACCAAGTGACAGAAGTCCAAGGGTTTACTGAGCAGCAGAAGGAGGAGTACTTTGAGAAGCGGTTCAGCACCGCTGATCAGGCCGATGAAGTTCTGTCCTGTCTCAGAGGGATGGTAAGCTTCTATTTCATGGGCCATATCCCAATCTTTTGTTGGATCCTAGCTGAGGTCTTCAAGAAAGGATGGGACGACCAGAGAAGCCGGCGTATTACAACAATGACAGAGCTGTACATTTATTATCTCGTCATTCAAACCCAAAGAACAGAACAGAAATACGGAGTGAGTAAGAAGGCTCAGAAGAAGAAGTCAGCAGAAGATACGTCCATGATTTTCAACCTGTCCAAGTTGGCATTTGAGCAGCTTCAGAAAGGAAACATCATTTTCTACGAAGAAGACCTCAGAGAATGTGGCATCGACAGTGACAGAGCTTCAGTTTTTTGCGGATTTTGCTCAGAGATCCTGAAGCAAGAGTACGGCCTACACAAGGAAAAGCTGTTCAGCTTCGTGCATTTAAGCTTCCAGGAGTTTCTTGCTGCACTTTACTTCTTCCACTGCTGCGTGACAAAAGATATCAGCGTTGTAAGATCTTTCCTTGAGGTTGATCCAACTGATC